ATAATTAAAAATAAAATATAATTAAGTACTACACTAGGCTTTATTTACTTGCAGCTAGAAGAAGGGCGCTTTTTTATATTTTTTTAGGATGTTAGAAACTATATAGCAAAGTGCTAATTAAAAAAATTAAAAGGCTGTTTAAAAATTAAAGCTTTATAAAATAAGCTTTAATAAGATTTTTATAAAAATAAATCTTACTTTTATTTTTTAATTAAAATAAATAACGCACCCTTTAAATACTTTATTAAGTTTACTTAAGATCTCTCTAGCCGCTTTATTTTATTATTTTAAGCTTATTTATATTTTATAAATATGTTATAGGAGCATCTAAATATTTTTATAATAAATTATATATATAAAATAAACTATTTTAATATGCCCTTCTTCTATATTATAAAAATCTTAAATATAAATTAAACTTTTAATATAGCTTTTACGCTCTTCTTAAATAAATAAAAAAAAGTATATAATAATGCTATAACTGCTTTAAGGGATTTCCTAAACTTTATTACACGTACTATAAAAATTTTTATTATTAATAATAAAAAAGCTTTAAAGCGCTGCTTGCGTAAGACTTTTAAAAATATTTCTATTAAAAGCTATTTATAGCACCTTAATACTAACTTTAAAGTTAAAATTAATAAAATTTAAGCTAATAATAAGGCCTTCTATAATTAGAAAAAAAAGTTTAAAAATATTAAAAAAAAATTTTTATACTGCTTTTATAGTATAGTAAACGCCTAAAGTAAAAAGCAGTTTAATACTTTATATATATTTTTTTAGAAGCATTTTAACTACGCGCTAACTTTTTTAGACTATATAAAAAATTATATAATACTTCTAAAATATAAATAGGCAGAGTATATATACTAATATATACTTAGTTTTAGCTAGCAAACAATATTTCTACTTAAAGCTTTATATAGGAGGGTTAAACAAGCTTTTCTTAATTAAACTAAGTACTTTTTAGACATAATAAAAAACTTTTATAAGTATATTTAGGCTTTTAAAAACACTTATTAAGTTGCTGTAAATATAAAAAAAGTTTAGGTATTTAATAATATAAATATTCTAGGCCTTTAAAAACTTTATATTTATATTATTTTGTTTAAATTAGTTTTTTTTACAAACTAGTTTAGGCTTGCAAAAGACTTATCTTATAATCCTAGAAATTATTTAAAGGCTTTTACTATAATATATAACTTTTTTTACAAGTACTAGCTTAGTATATAGCTTTAAAAAAACCTAAACTTTACTTTTAAGCTTATATAAGTAGGTTAATATTAGTACTTCTACCCCCTCTGCGCTGCAAATAACTTGCGCTGCTATAAATTTTTTATTAAAAACTTAGTTAAATTAAAACTTAAAAATTATTTTAAAAGTGCAAGGGGTAGAAGCAGAGTTGCTAAAAATAACCTAAAAGCTATTTTTATACTAAAAAAATATAATTTAATCTATTTAGAGTATATGCAGGCGTTTTAAATACTTTAATTTTTATTATTAAAAACTTTAAAAGCTTAATCTTAGTTCTAATAAGTACTTAGTAATATTCTTAAAAATTAATTAAAAGTCTTTAAGTAGTAACTTATATAGTTTTAATAAAGGGTTTGCCTTGCCCCCCTATTTTTAGTTAAAAAAAAAAAAATTCTAGCTATCTAGGAATTTTAAATGCTACTTAAGAAACTTAAAGTGCCTTAAAGTTTATTTTCCCTTTTAGTATATATTTTTAAAGAGCTATAGCGTCCTCCTAGTATATAGTAAACAAGTTTCTAAGCAGTTAAAATAGTAGTAAAAAAGTTAGTATATATATATATTAATTTTCTTTCTTTTTTCTAGCTTTTCCAGCCTTATCTAAGTAGTTTAGGCTAATTAAAAGCTTTAAAAAAAGCTATTTCTAGCTACTCTAAAGTTTTTATATACACAGCTATATGCTATTATTTTTTATTTTTATTGCAGAGGGCTAGCTAGTTAGGGGTTTAAGCTTAACTTTAATAAAAATTTACTTAAATAAAATTATATTTTTATTATAGCATCTTGTACAACCTCCTTAATATAAAAAAAAGTATATATATATATTCTAAGCTAGTCTGTATACAAAAAAATATATTTTTTTAAAATATTATTAAAAATTAGGGTGCAAAAGTATTAGCAATGTTATTATTAATATTATAAGTTTAATATAAGCAGTACTGTAATTTTACAACTATATAATAAAATAATTCTAAAAAATTTTATAGTACTATTATGTATACTATAAAAACGTACTTGTAGTTTAAAATAAAACAAATTGCTTTTATAATATTAGTATAGCTGCGCAGTTTAGGGCTAGCAGTTTTAATAAAATAGTTAGTAAACTTAAAATATTATAAATTAAGAACAAATTTACCTATTTTTAACTAAATAATATAATTAGTAGTAAAATTAGTCAGGGTCAGTATTAGATTAGGCTGAATATTTGAGGGCTGCACGCGTATAATCCAGAACGACCCCTCTGAATATTGGAAATAACCCCTCCGAATATAGTCCACCTAATTCAAGATGGGTTTTCTGATCTACTGTGTTATCGCGAGTAGACACCTGCCTAATGAGTGACACTAATCGCGAGATCACGGCTCTACCTGCAGACCTACTAGACCAGTGATTCGAAATGCAGATTTTCGTGTCCAAGTGCTCATAGCGTTGTTGGTGGCTTCTGATCGTCGGCGAGAGGATTCCGATCCTTGAAACACGGGCCGTGAGCCTTCCCGAAGAGCTTTGGAGAGATTAGGCTTGAGCACGGTACCTTTTGTGGAAATGCACGCGAATAAACTGCGTACGAGATGAGGAAGCGGCCGCTCTTCGATGCGTGACTGTGAGGCCATGGAAGGTCTGTAAGCAATTAAATCCTGCTTGTGGAATATCACCGTCAGGCAAGTTGGACTCTGCGTTCCGTCGTCAAAACTTGGACAATTGGTGGATGCGGGCGTCAACGAATTATTCCGTCTGATGCCTAGGGGTTGTAACACTTCGTGATCGGTCCCTGTAACCAATTTCCCCAGAAAGTACCTCACACAAAGGCTGGATCCCGTTGAAGGCCGAGAAGGACGATGATTACCAACTCCAGTGTGCCTGGAATCTTTACAAGTAGATTATGGAGCGGCTGGTAAGAGCATTACGCACCTGGCCCTTGCTTCCGAGAGTGAGAGAGTAGTAATTGTCAGCGGCGTCTTGGAACCATCGAAAGACCTACTGGGTGAACTTGCAAAGCATATTTGAGGGAGATCAGAGTAGGAACCAATATAGTGTTAACTATCCGAAGTTCTAGACCTAAAGGTCCTAAACATAGAGGCTAACCGACGTCATGACCTTGGCGTCCTAAGAGACTCGGAAGCTGACATGAAGATGGCGTACTGTTACCTCTCATGGTGGATAGAATAGTTCTGGGTTGAGTACGGGATACTCTTGGTTCCAGATCCGTTCTGACGCTACGTCCAGGGGTTTCTCCAGAGCTCAAATGCATCATCTGATCCTGTCCAGCTTCATCAATTCACCTACTTCTACACGAAGCTCGTGCTCATCCAGATCTTCAGTCCATCGTACTCGATTCTGACGCCAATCGAAAGGATGCGGAATGATATTTTTCTTAGGACCACGGCCAGTTCCACAGTGGACATTTAAATTTTGATAGATCTGCAAGCAGGTACAAATTGTGGTTGTAGCTCAGGGGTAGCATATCGTGTACGACCTTTAGGACCGAGCGCGACATGCGCTCGTCAGGTACAAAGGATGGTAGCCGAGCATATAGAGAGAGAGCTAGGTTCTTTGGGTGTGCTGTATGCGCTTGTGGGTTTCTCAATGAAAAGATCGCTCATTTGACCTGTATCATAGATGGTAGGCCCCGAATAATCGATCAGAGATGTAGTCCAAGCGTATGAGCAAACTGCCGGAGCTAGGCCGTGAGGAGATGGGCCAGTCAGTTTACAGTCAAAATGGGATGTTGATCGAAGTAAGGTTAGGATAGGGGCAATCAGCTAGTTAGGTTAAGGATAATCAAGATGAATAGCATCGTGGGAATACCAACTAAACCTATTATCGAGGCAGCAAAAGGCAATCGGCGTTTGCGTCACTGGATTGATAGATTGGCGATGGGCCGATGACACGAGAGCTGCTTTCTATCACCTTCCCATCACTTGTCATGGCTAGACAAAGTCAGCATGAACGAGCGCGGTGCTTGTTGCTGCGAGCTTCGTTGGCGTGAGAGACAGGCACGTTACGCCCGTATACCAGCACCACTAGAATTGAATGGCTATAGCTCCTTGTGGTAGTGTTTCTATTCAACCTGAGTTTGGGAGGGTCCTCGACTTGGGTATCATTAGTTTGAATAGACGATATTGGAGCTCATTGGGAGGTAGATCTAAGTAGGGCTTGCGGAGAACAGCGCCCACTAACACTAGTGGTTGGCAAAGTGGTACCCGACGAGAACGCCTGAGTCCAACATGGAAAACGCAGAAGCAGGTACGAGTGATAAGATTGTTACACCAACGTGACGTTGCAAAAGGATCGGAAGCTTAGAGAACCTAGCAAGAGCCGTGCAATCAACAAGGACGTCGTCCTATGAGAGATGGCTAGCACGCGTGTTGTGGCTTCGGCTACCAAGACCTCTTCATCGTGCATAGGAAGCTGAGATAGGCGGCTAATATTGGGCGATGCTGTAAAACTTATCAAGTACAAAACGCGTTTGCGCAAGTGCAAGCCAGCACATGGACAGGCCAAAGTCGTCTCCAGAAGTGTGGGCGCGTGTCTGGGTAGGACCGAAGTCCCATTGGAGAGGGCTACTGCATAAGCTAGGGGAAGTAATAGCGCAGTCGGCATGCAGGCCAACGTCATCCGAGGGCGAAAAGAAGAGACATGGAAAGGAGAGCGTGTAGATCGTTGTGCGAAAGCCCTCTTGGCTAGGTGGTCGGACCCGCTGCTTGGGACAAAGAGAAAGTGGATGCACGGAGGGGCTTTTTGGCCGATATGCGGTTGCGGTCAGCAAGGCCACTGCAGGAACCAGGGGAAAGCGGAGGAGAACCACTGGACTGCTGGAGCTGCGTCGTGTTCCTGCAGATAGGTCGAGTTCGAGCCAGATAGGTGGCCTACGTGATTGATCAGTGATGAGGCGTCGTCCCGTATCGACGGTGTTGTTTCGCTCCTTCTGGGCATGGACGAGTGATGAGTCAGTCTACTGGGACGCGCTTTGCCCGTTGCTCACCACCACGGCCTCGTTGGACTCCAAGGACTCCAAGGACCAGGCTCCTATATCCTTGCGAGATGCACTTGGAACTTCTGCTGTTTCTCTACTCGGCAGTGCTCGGCAGATGGCCCTGTCCCAATCGCCCACGAAATCCTCAGTATGCAACCCCAGGAGGACCCTCACCCACGGCTTGCAGCGTGCCGCAGACGGACCAATTTTTTTTTCAACATCCAGCCGACGACAGAAAACGCCGCACAAACGTAAATGACTAGAGGTAGCGCGGGCGAACAGCGCACCATCACAAACGCCTCGTCGACAGGATGCTGTCGGTTGGTGTGCTCGTTCAACGTCCACGCAGCTGTAGCTGACTTCTAGGCTTGACCCCCCCACGCTATTCACTTGTCAAGTACAGCTGGAGGTCAATCCTCGCCGCGAAACCAACCAAACAAACAAGCACACGGTAACGATAAGCGCCTGTCATACGTTTCTTCACCGTCTGCATAGGCGTTGTACAGCGGCTGATGGGTCCATCGCAGCTCCGACCGTGTTACACAGTCACCGCGTGGACTCAGCAGACTGGATTGCAACGTTGATGGCATTTGAGAGCATGGCAGACTCGAGGATATGGCGTCTTGGCCATGCCGCCATATGTGCTGTGCTATATGCAGGCGCATCTCCGTAGGGGGATCCCAAAAATGGCCGGCTACGAAGGTCTAACGGCCCCCGACCGCAATCATTTTAGCCCGCCTGTGAAGACAGTTTGAAACATGTTTGAGAGAGCCATCAGTGTGTTTGAGAACGATTGTCAGGCTGCTCTCAGGCCTCGTGAACAGACAGCTGCGTACGCCTTAGTCGACCCACATAAAGCCCTGTGTAAATTGAGATGAGTGAGGCGGGGTATCGCGTCCATCATTTGGACACGTCCTCTCTTCGGCTGTTTCATCCTCCGCTTGTCTCACGAGCGAAGATCGCCGTGGCTGGAACGGTACTCTATGCCCAAAGGGGGAATGTATCGTCTCCGCCTTGCAAAGCGAGAGAATTGGATGCATCTTTGCCCGGGCAAACAGCGACAGCATGCGACTACATATCACCGAATCTTCCACAGTCTCTTCAACCATGCTCCGACCTACCTTGGACCAACTCAATATTGTAGCTAACCTTGGAAGGTCGAGGCTACGGCCTCACGCAGACCGTTGCAAGGTACCCTGAACCGCACCTGCAGGCATATGCGCCGTGTCCGCCTGAAAAACGCGAACCCGGCACCACTGTCCGGCACTGATAACAAATAGCTGCTGTCGCTACCAAAATTCTTCTCTCCCATCCCCACAGTACTGTCCCGCGTTGTATCGGCCATCACCCCATACATATGTATTGTGCGCTGGAGGACGCCTGAGGTTCACGACCACAGCAGCAAGTGCTAGCCGCGGTCATTCCAAGGCTTCTGCACGTTGGTCGAATCCTTCGCGGTTGCACAACAACATGCCGCCGGCGCGAGTAGATTGAACTTCACGGCCCTGCAAGGCGACGGGTGCTCCTTGCGGTCCCAGCACGTCTGCCGCACCATTTAACCGTTTATTCGCTGCAGCGTCCAATCAGCAGTGACCCTCATGGCCCCGGCAACGTTATATTGCTCCAACCGACCTCTCGGACCGCTTTCTCTGTGCGCTGATGCCTTAGTGGCTTGTAGAACAGTCAGGCTTGGGATCCCTCGTCTTTAGATGCCCTGTTTTCCGCCATCCCCAGCCACTAACAGTTCTCCAGGTGCCGTCTCTCAGCAGCAGAACCCATGTGCCTCTAGCGTGCAGTATACCCTGTCCCTGAATGTGACTAACCTCGGTGGAGCGCACTGAGCACTATCCATCTTTCTCCACAAGCTCTCCGATGCTGGATGCCCGCCATGTACTTACATAGTAAGATCATCCCGACATTTGTTCGTACCTCACCGGCCGCAAAAGCCTCATCTGCCCCAGTGCTCCATCATGGAGTAAACAACCGAGGAGCCCAATGAACCTTGAAGCTTACTTGTCTTCCCTCGTCGAGGCTTCACATCAACAACACACTACTGCTACTACTGCACATCGTTCCTCCTGGGATCACGTCAACAATTCGTCCCACCTCACCTCAATTCCGACAACCAGCCGGCGTAGACTTGTCCCCTTCAACTCCAGTACACCCTCGTCTTATTGCCTCAGAGACAGGTGATCCCTTGCCATCAGCTGTCGCCCTGCGGTGTTGTGGTCTGTGACTAGACCCGCGTTGCTCCCTGCCAATAAGCCAATCATCTTACCAGGTACGCATATATCACCCCCAACTTTATTCTGCGTCTCATCTACACCATTATCGTCCTATTTTTTTTCTCACGTTCATATACTATGGCTTAGCCCGTGTTCTATCATCTTGCCTTGTTTAACCCTGCTCCGTCCTCTTCCCAGGTCTCGGGCCTATAACTCGAAAGTTGTCTGCATGGACCACTGACACGTTCATCAGGCATTTACCCTGGGCTTTCTATCTTATAACAGCCGAGCTCGCGTGTGCGAACACGTTCCTGCAGAGTATCCCGTGTAACTCGCCCCTTAACTGCTCCATGGTTGTAGGCTTTACACATCTGCCGACCAGTTGCGGGGTCTCGCCCGCGCCATTACAGCATTGACCGACTCCTACTGCTTGTATCTAGGCCGTTCCTCCCAGATTTCTTCCTAATTACCAAGCGATGTTTTCGTTTCATAAGAGTGATGCTCTGCCACGATCCCGACAATCGTCTATAGACTCCCTGGCCCTTGGACCCTCGACCTCTGATGCAGAACCCGACCTTTGGGTGTCTCAAGGCTCCGGTCTTTCTTCTCATGGAGGAATGCACTCGCCGGAACAACGACAGAGAGCTTATTCGACTAGGCGGAGTTCCGTCTTTAACCTGCGGTCAAGAAGCAACACAGCCACCTCCATGACACCCTCGTTGTTATCGTTGTCTCATCCTGACATGGCTGAAAATGAAGCCTCCTTGCATGAACCACCTTCCAGGAGCCATTTTGAATCATCAGGGCCTGGGGCAAGAAGGTCGTTGTTCCGCGGGAAGAAGGGAAAGCGATCAAGCGAGACAGTCACGTCCAGTATAGATGCTACCGACTATAAGGAGACGGATGCGTCAGAGAAGCGGACATCAGTCTTACGGAAGGGTAGAAGACAACACAATCAGCCTGAAGGCTCTTGTAAGTGGTTTCCTTCAGCTCTTGTTTCCTCGCGCTCATTAGTACCTGCAGTCCGAAACCTTAAACATCGCATATCCAGCCCCTTCGACTTCCAGCACCTCACGCATACCGATCGACACCAGTTTGCTGCCCTCGAAAAGGCCTCTAGCGATAATCAAGCTGCTAGCTTCTGGGCAGTGAGCGCATCGCAATCTTCTAGCCGAAGCCCCACCGGGATCAAGGCCGATCATCTTCATTTCAGCAATTTCTCATCCGAGGATCTGGCGACATCAGAGGGCCAGTCGATATCTGCTCTAGGATTTGGGTCACCTCCCCGCAGTCCGGAATCGGCTCACGAATGGCAACAGACGGATTGTTCCCCACGGGTTGTAGCCTCGAGACCAACGCTTCGCGTGTCTAGATCTGTAGAGAGTTTCTCCCAGCCGGGTCTCAGTCCCCGGAATCATCATCACTCACAGTCCGGTGTAGGTCCGCCTCGGTTTTCCTCCCTTCCTTCTCTAGTCCCTATACATGACGGTCGGGAAACTTTGGATGATAGGGAAGAACCAATTGTACTAGGGTCCTACCGTTCCAAACGAGAGTCCGGTGTGTGGGATTCATTCGCGCTTGGGGCTACATCACCAGCATCACAATTGCCAGGGTTACAAGAAGAGGAAGAAGCTTCAACATATTTTGGACATGCTCTCTCCACGCCTGATGATTCTGCCATCCTTGCCATGACACCACCGTTCAGTCCCAGCCTTGAGGATGTCGATGAGGAACCAGAAAGATTTGTTAGCCCTCGACCCGCGCCACAACCACCAGTGCGGACACCAACTACACCCAGATCACCCCTCTTTGAGTCCTTCGCCTTCAACAGCCAACGCTCCCCAATGTCTAGAACCCGCGTCCGTGGGAATTCCCATTCTTCGACATCTTCCAACCAAAGAAGTCCGCTCACGCGACCCATGTCACAAATGTCAGAAACCCTAGGGTCGGGCAATCTGACGCGCAGGGGTTCTATTCGAAGACCCTCCGTCAGTCGCCGCAGGTCCAACACATGGCGTGCGATAGAAGAGTCATGGGAAGATGATGTTGATTACATCTATGAGAATGCATTGGAAGCTGATTGCGATTTTGAATGGGATCGTGCATCTGATGACGGGGATTATGACAGCCACCAGCACGACCTTGGGCAGGCAAGTCGCGTCAACTCACATTCTAAGACACAGCTGGATGCGCAGATGCGATCCTTGGTACATGAGGGCGACGCTTTCGCTCCAACGAAACCCACTTCCGTTGACTTTCGCACATCTCTACTCGTTCCTAGCGCTAGGAGCGTCCCAGATTTGGTTCCTACGTCTGCCATGTCTATATCGACCACAGGGACGGGACTACTAACACCCTCTAATCCATTCCATGGGAATGGCTTCACCGTGGACGAAGGGTTCGCGCTGAGCCCCTCGCTTTTGGTTCCTCAAGAATACAAAGACACGCGTGAAGTCACCTATGAGGATCTCCTCGATGAGTACGATGGTTCAGATCGACACTTTCCTATGCTTGACGCAACCCAAAGCACAACCAGCTCTTCCCGCAATAGTCACGTTCGATTCAGTAGACGAAGCTCATATGACAGTAGCTTTATGTCTTCTGCCCAGAGCTCCGGCCTCTGGAGCTCTCCGGTCCGTCGTTCTGCGAGTTCCGCTGGTAGCGTACCAGAGCTTGTGCCCTCTCGCCGCACGCGGAAGGACCTCAGTTTCAGCCTCGTAGTCGAACAGCTGTCCGAACAAGTCGCCTCCCTTCGCCAATATGACGAAGAAGATAAGGATGATGATGACGTTACACCTCCGGGGCGTAATATGCATGGCCGGACATTCTTCGCTTCTGAAGAGGAACCACAGAAGGTCCATGGACCTCAAAGTTCCCTTGAGTGTGAACTTAAGACCTCATTAGAGCTCGCACGATGCGGTTCGCAGCGCATCGATCGTTCTGCAAGCGAAGGTCGGCTAGATACGTTGAAGGACCTTGCTTGTCAAGACTCGCAGCTCTCCAGCCGTGCTCCAGCATATCACCACAAGCAGACGCTATCTGATGGCGCAACAAAATTGCTCAACGCAGCTTCAAACGCTACAGAGGATCGACCTGCAAAGCCGCGCAATCGCGCAGCAAGCCAGCCGATGCTGAGTCTCTTCCCAACACCTCCACGTCAGTCACCAACTCCTAACCGAGTGTAACGCCGTTCCTATCGAAGCCGTTTCCAGAGATCACACTTCTGTGGCACGGCCCTACAACGAATCCTATTGCTCTCCACCCAGTGGTATGGCTGGACCATGCTTCGAATCACGCTGTCAATGACAACCACATTGCGTTCAATGTATATATATTCACGACTCATGAGCGTCTATGACGCTATCTCCATTTTCTTTTTAGTTTTTAGTTATTCGCTATCTTAGATGGAAGATTGAAGGGTCACAGCTGGAGTGCTATCTTTTTCTTCTATTAACCCGTCGAATTTCCTTGTGTTATCTCAAGTTTCCTCTCTCGTCAACTCGTTTCTGAGCGCGTTGCTAAGGCGCATCGCTGTATCATTGCTCGTATTAGATATCGGCGTCTTTTGCAGCGTTTGCGCGTCACCGTCTCCTTTGTCATCGTCGTAGGGAGTCTAGCGGACCGATAATGCGGCGTCGTAGTGGATAAAAGGATCTATTCATTGCCTGGTGTTGAGGACGGAAGCAGGCGAGAAGACGGCGTAGTTCATCATTACTTTTCCGCCATCTTGCATCGGCTCTCGCATTTAGCTAGAGCAATTGCACTACATACTCACACTTGCGTTCTCTCTTCCACAAATGCTCCTCCCCCTGCACTTGCAATCGTGCATGCACAAATCTCTCCGGTGTATCACTTTCGCGCGGAAATCGGACTTAATCAAGCCACAACGCACAGCACAGTTGTCATAAATGCTCAACACTATTGCTTTTCCTATGCCAATCACGCCACACCTGGTCGATCTGACCCTGCCGATCCCTGCGCCAGCGCGTGCATAACGCTTGTGGTGCAGGCTATAACGGGCACGTGCAAAAGAGATCGTCAAAACAAAGCCAAAGCACGCAAAATGCGAATAATAATTATACCACTTTTATACAATCGAAGTCAACAGATCGCGAGCAGTGATGCCAACGCAAGGGGGTGGTCTATTCAACAGGGATCGAGCAAGCGGCTTTTTGCACACCCCAGATACACGAACTCGCATGGACGGACAGGGACAAGCAACCCGGGCCTTCGAGTCGCATTTCCATCAACCAGCGTTTGACGGAGGCGAACGTGTGAAGTAACCGGTCTCTGGAAAGCGACTCCAGATTGAAGGGCCACAGTCCTATGACGCATCGCGGCGTGTGCGTTCATTTATGTCATATGGAGGACGAAGCGTGGATGCACGTTCACATCCATATCAAGCCTACGCAACAACGTTTGGAAAATCCCAAATTGCGGCGTCCGTAGCGCATGCAACAAGCGCAGCGCGTCCCAAGCATATGCGTGTAAAGTTCGCGTCTCGGAGGTAAACATGCGAGCCGCTTTCTCTGTTGGGCCCGGAGTCGAAGGGATCAGCCCTTCGGTTCCAGGAATTGAAATCATGCCACACGCTTACCAAAGCCCCCAATAACTCGGTACCATACTTGCGACTTCTGAGAGTCGTCTTAACTTGACGTTAGCGTGTAGTTCCCGTTCACGATATTTGCCGCTGTGTTGAGACAACTTTCCCCTGCTTCACTATGCGGGATCCGTAATATCCGGTAAGCGCGGGATCTGGGGAAGCGAAAGGAACCATCACCAAACAAGGACTCCAGATTAGCCTTGGAATCTCAAGGATACTGCAAAAGGAAACTCCCCGGCTCCTTATCACTGCTAACCATTGCTATAATCGTCAGTGACCTAACGGAGACTTCCCCGGTCGCGATCGGGCCGTATTGCAACTTCCCACTTCCCGACTTCAGAGCTGAACAGCCGTCTGTAGAAAGATGTGTGACTACATCACATCATGCTTGCCCCGTTACGCACTCCTGCTTTTCTTTTCGGGCCGCACATTGATCTACATCTAACATGGCTGGAGCTAGACAATTTGGCATACTAAAACCAACACCAAACCTCCAGTCACTCTACGCAATCATGGAGCGCAAGGGATCATCCGGGTAAAACCGCACACCAAGAACCGTGCGCTATGCAAGTCAGTTTTGAGGCTGATCAGAAGCGGCACAACTATCATAAATCACACTGTTATAACGTTAGTATATGGATAGATCAGTATCAACGCGGCAGGCGGATGGCCGAGGAGATTATCCGGGCCGTACAGCGATGTTCTAACGTCAACCCCGGTTGTAACTAATGATGCGTTCCAGGGTAGTATAAACGGCGAGCGGATGTATGCGTGTTGACGGATTGGGAAGAGGTGAGTATCAATTTGGGGGGAAGAGACAGGAACTTCTAGCCCTGAGGGCATGGCTTCGTGGAGCCTAAATGGATTTGATCTCCGCTTTGTGCATACGGTAGAATTCTTCTGCAGGTAATCGAAGATGTTCAGCCTCATCAAGAAGCGAGGATGTATGCATGTGGATGGATTAGACATTGTACTCCATCGAGTAAGAATTAACATTCGAGCGGCTTGACTTCACTGAGCCTGAATACGTACATGTCCATTGTTCATGCAGTCAAAAGATCTTTACGCTTCTCGAAAGGCATTCTGCCTATACTAAACGCTTTCTCACCTCGTCTACTAGATCTTCACGATCAACCACCGTCGCCTTGTCAAGGTTCTTTTCAGGCAAAGTGAGAACCTTGACACGTATCCCTCCAGCAGTCTCTGTATCTTCTTCCAGATAGACTGCAACCACCACACAGTCTGCTGCCTCTAATTGTTTCCGTGGCTTCTGAGAAGCATTCGGGTTAAAGTCGACGCTAATATATGCCTGTCGCAATTCCCGGGCAATAGCCATGCGCTCCTCAACAAGCGAACTGCTGTCGGATGCTATGATCCACGTGTCGATCTTGGGTTTCGGATCCTCAACTCTGTTTTGACGAGCGTTGAGGATGGTCAAGATGCGGTCGACCCCAAAAGAGATGCCCACGCAAGGTATATCGCGCCTGCTGAACATGCCGACGAGTGTGTCGTACCGGCCGCCTGCTGCGATGCTACCCACTTGTAGCGCAGCACCGTTTACCGTGGAGAATGATTCCGGGATGACTTCGTAGATCAACCCAGTGTAATAGTCCAACCCTCGGGCAAGTGACAGATCGAATTTGACATACGTCGCGATGTCATATGCGCTGAGATATTGCGAGAGAAGCTCCATCTCCTGTACGCCTTTCTTGACATCTTCGTTCGCCATTAGCACCTCATCGCTCTTGATGAACGAAAGGGTACTTTCAATATCGCTCGCGTTGCTGATGTCACTGGATAAGAGATAGCTACCAAGCTTATCTACCACCTCCGCAGCCAAGCCCTTCTGTAACATCTCTTTCTTGACCTCCTCCCAGGGTGATTTGTCCAACTTGTCGACCGCTGAACTGATCGAGCGTAGCTGGTCCTGGGGCACCCCCACGGCGGCAAACATACCGTCCAATATGCATCGGTGGTTCAACTTGATGGTGACGTTGATTCGAAGGGCTTCAAACACTTCGACAATGACTGAAAGGACCTCACTGTCCGGGACCATGAGATCGAACGTCCCGGCGTAGTCAAAGTCACACTGGTAGAACTCTCGGAGACGCCCGCGCGCAATCGCCTGACCTTCGTCAGTAATGTCTTTCTCATTGGGAAGTCAACTAAGCGTTGTATTTGAGGACACTCGGATGGCTCAACATGACGAATGTTGCAGTGTCAAGTAAACGTCCACGGGTTTCGGTCCTTCCATCTTAAGATTTGAGATGTCTGACGTCATCCATGAAGCAATATGAGTTTCCGCGTACTTATGGACGCAATATAGAAACTACTTACAGGTTGGTCACGTCGATAAACCTTGCCAATCTGGTACCGCTTGATTTGCCGGACATTGCTCATAGCTAGCCATCGAGCGAAGGGAACAGTAAGGTCGTATCGTAAGGCACACACTATATAATCGTCAGCTACGCAGAGAGGGGAAACACGTAGGCTACAAATCGAAAAGTCCAAACACAGGGCGCTTACACTCTCCGCCTTGATCTTGCAGATCGTAGATCAGTTTTGCGTCTTCGCCATACTTATCGGTCAGGATGCTCTTCAGTTCGAACACAGGTGTGTCAAGTTCAGCACCGCCGTGCAATCTGAAGATGCTCCGAATTTTGTCGAATACATGCTCACGTAGCGTGATGTCTTCTCCCGCCCAATCCCGAGTCCCCTTTGGCGTTTTCATCTGCATAGGTGACATGACTCGAGGCTATCTTTCAGAATGTAACGCTATTCGAATCCTTCGGAGCCTCGTGCGACCAGTACTAATTAAAGTTGCCTGCTTGTCTTCAGCACATTGTGTGCTTCTCAAAGCGGAATTAGGAACACACCGAGCAGTTGCAGTTGTATTTGTGAGGATAGCAGATGGTAGTCAGAAGCATGTAAGCATCAAAGTATGATGGTGCGGGCAGGATTTGTGACTCAAGCAAGGCCGACGCCACAAAGTTCAAGCGAGGAACCGTCTCAATGACCGCATTGCTGCTCACCTCAGATACTCTACAGTACGCGAACATAATCATCGAATCTTCCTTGCGCAACTGCCCCACCTGTACTTGCCGAGCACCTGGTAGCGACACGGCAAGCATGTCTGCGCTCATTGTATCTCGTATCGCAAGGAAACTGGGTATCGCTGAACTAATTCAGTAAAGAAGTAAATGTGGAGTTTTATGTAGATATTTGTAGTAGAAACGGTATGCGGTTAACCGCCCCTCCAGTTTCTTCGCTGCGAGATCCGACAAGCATCTTTGCGGACACCATCGTGACCAATCTACACACGACGGATGTAGCGGAACCTAGTGCATCATAATCGCACGTCTTATTTGTCTCAATTGAACAGTATTTATGTACAGAATTAAGGGAAATGGAGTGGAGTTTGATAGCCGCTGGCAGCCAATGGCATCGCATCGCAACTTTCTTTGAGCATTACGTCATCCGTCGCCGTCACGCTTCACAGCTGCCATTTCATCTTGCTCTATGCATCCTCGGCCACTCTGTCATCCTTTTCTTGTGATACTTGTTTTGGATCATCGCAAATCTCCATTCCTCTACACATCATTCCTCCACATACCCTTCAACGTCCACGAGAAACCCTAGTTCACCATCTTCTTCCTAGTTGCTCTAATTTATCGGGCGCTGAGCACAGAGATACCCAACTTGGCTGCACATCATGGTCTTCCATCTCCGGCGCTTCACCTCGCGGCGGGTTCTGCTCTTCATATCAGCTGGCTTCCTCTTCTTCGTTTTCATATTTAGCTTAACACCAATCACAGCGCCACTTCCGCCATATACCGGACCTCATGAGGTCGGAATTCTAGATGTTGAAACCGAAGTTCAGAATCAAGTCATCCATGACGCGATATTGAAGGACACAGGGGGGAAACCCTTCGAGTTATCTACCCTTGCTATCACATTATACTATCCTTCCTCATTATCCGCGGCTCCGCCAAGCTCACGACCGTGGGCTCGTCCATGGCTCCCACAACCCGTCTCACTGATCGGAGAGGGATATGCTCGGCTTGCAGGTGTCTCATATTTGAGTTCCGTATTCACCTTCGCCCTTTGGCTCCTTGGTTCGAGTACCGTGATACCAGGTGTCGTTGACGCGCCCATCCTTTCAGGTGCCGAGAAGGTCCTGGTAGACGAAAGCGGCGGCGCTGCTGGGTTTAACAAGATCCTGAGCGCAGCTGAGCAAGAACATCAAGAGCTGAAAAGAGATGCAGACTTTGGAACTCTACCATGCGTTGTTTTCACCCATGGCATGGCTGGAATGAGCCAGAGTTATTCGCACTATCTCGGGAGTATTGCAAGTCATGGGTACGTGGTTGCTGCGGTTGAGCACAGAGATGGAAGCGGACCAGGCACTATTATTCATCATCCTAATGGAACGGAAAAGGAAGTCTGGCACCTGAAACTGAAAGATCTTGAGTCCAACCCGCCGATGACCGACCTCGACCTCAAAGCTGCCCAACTCGCTTTCCGCCAAATTGAGATTCAGGAAACAATCAAGTTGTTTGCACAGCTCAACGCTGGTGACCCGCCATTTGTCAATCTTAAGCCCGACTCACCCCGCGAATCCCTCCCTGGATTTAACCACCGCCTCAATCTTTCCTCTGTCACAGTCGCGGGCCACTCCTATGGCGCAACTGGCGTTCTGCAGGCTCTCAAAGCTGCTGGAACCAAGGAGATGCCAATCAACGGTGGCATTGCACTAGATCCAGGCAAGGGCTCTGGACCGTTAAACAAGGACATTGATGTCCCGATTATGGTTATGCAAAGCGGGGAGTGGACAGAGCAACAGACCGAGTTTTACGGACAGGGGTGGCATTTTGACGTCGTAAGAAAGATTGTGGAGAGCGTGAAGGAAGGATGGTTCACAACATTGAGTATGTACTCTCTACTGACTTTATGATTACTGAGCATACTGACCCCGCATAGCTGGCACTGCCCACCCTTCATGCACCGACGCGCCCCTGATTGTTCCCTGGATCATGAAACTAGTTACTGGAACCACGCTGGACTCGAGAGTTGCTCTACGGGAGTACATTGATACTTCAGTTCGATTTCTAGAGTATCTGCAGACCGGAGAGAAGAAGGGTGTCTTAGGGAGCGATGTGACGAGTGCCTCGGGACCACTTGGAGACGAAGAGAAGCGTACGAAGGTAAAGGGTTTCTATGGTGCTGATTGGGAGGTTCATGCGGTGCCTCAGTAGGGATCAATCCGCAAAGAAACTAAACTAGAAAGCGGTAATACTTAATAAGACACTTAAGATGGCAGATTACACATGAATCTGTCTGAATAGCTCTAATAGCCTTTGTGATGCAGTTGCTCTAAAGACTAACTGTGGGGTGCGATTGGCCTCGTTATGACTGGGCACACTGTGCACACTGTGTACGCAGCAGGGACGACAACGACCAGCATACCTACGAAAAGTACACTTGGCTTAGTGTTTAACTGTATAAAAGTTAAAGCTAATATACAACAGAAGGAATAAAGAATAAGGAATAAAGCAATGTCCGACCCTAGTCGATAGTAGCACAGCCTGAGAAGGAATCGGCGCTGTTCCTCAGCCTGACGCATAAACTGCGCTTATAGGCTTCTCAATAACCAATGGAGCGCCCCTTTTCATTGTGGGGGCAGTGCATATCGTACCAGCACCGCTGAGCACAGCCTACCCCAAGTTTGACGGAATTATATTATGAATTAACCTGATTCTGCTCTCTCCCCAAAATTTCATCAAGCACAGCTTCCCACTCTTTGAGAGTATGGGCGCTCAAATATCAAACGAGGTCACTGAATATGACCCAAAATCAATCGCTGAGCCACAAGAGACACCGTATTTCTCGCCATCGACCTATTGCAGCCGCTTGGACAGTGTAAACTCGGTGTATATGGACAGTCCTTATACGGGTCAAAAGACAATTAGCGAATACCCCAAGAACCCATCGTTTGCGTATGACGAACAGGAGGAGGAAGTTTACGATGTCGCCGCCGAAGTGACAAAAGCAAAACGTCTATTTCCTGTCGCACCTCCGCCTCCACCGCCTCCACCACAAAATTATTTTTCGGACTCGATCTCTCACGTCGCCGAGGGACATGAAGACGACTATCCATCTTCGGATATCACACATGACAGTGGGTTGGTGCAACACTTGGGCTCATGGACGGCAAGTCATGTAGAACGAGGGCCTGTCAGCACAATTGCAGACGGGATGTGTTCTTCTAGACTGGCTTCAACATCATCTGACTACGTAGTGCAGCCGAAGAAGCCTTTAGGGCATGTTTGGTTCTGTTGTAATTGCGGGGACGGTCCTTACTCTGAAGACATTTCGCTTAGTTGTGTAATGTGTGAACACAAGAGATGTGAGATTTTGGATATGAACTAGAACAAGGAGCGTAGTAGAATCCATTAATCTAGAATCCTCGAACTCTGGTAATCGCTTATGGTGTAAAAAGCCTCACAACAATATGAGGAATGTTAGTCTCCTTTGCTCCAGACCATAAACCGTTGAGGGCCCTTCGGTGTTATTTCCGATCATGCAAGTCGAGACGGTGCACAGCATCTTCACCGGTCAGCCATAGAAGGCTGAGTCGCACTCCTTATCACTAGGCTCAGCTGCCTCGCCAAAACTCGTCTCTTCTCACCCACTCAACACCAACGTCGGGGCAATCCATCTACCCATTTCCATTATAACATCAATATGTCATATACTCTACAACCTCATCTCTTGGATAGCTCTCGAGACGGCTATAACACCAAAGCCGACGCTCGAGACCCGGTTCTTGCTCCACCGCAGTTCTAATCCGTAACCAGTATTCGAAGGATGTAGGCCGCTTCACTTCCGCTTACTGAACTGTTTCTAATATTAGAAAAGCGATAGTGGGCCGTGACCAGACACATCTTTTGACTTTAGGCATCTGCTTTGCTAGGAAAAACCATTGTAGGATATCTTTTTTGGTTAAAGAGATAGCCACTATGCACGCTGCGTGAGTAAACTTAAATGGGGTTTGCATCAGGGCTTTCTCTTCGAATTGAGCATTGTATCAAGGTCAGGGTTGCTTAGGGTCTCAAGTATTTTCCAATCGAGATGATTCTAGTCAGTAGGTAGCATGATAACAAGAACAAACAGGTTTTTTTTTACCAATGATATGTTGAGGGTGGGGCGTATCATTGCTTGATTTGTCCTTGGGTCTTTTCGCCGTGTATCCGAACCTAGAGAATGCACCGTTGGAACTACGCAATGAACTCGATCATGCAAGCCTCCACACAAGCGCACCCAATGTTCCCCGCCTTCCTCAAGCTTTCTATATCATCTGCCCTCCGCCCTCCAGTCCACAACCCTCTTTTCCTTCACTTTACACAGGCTTCATCCTCGTGACTCCCATAGAAAACCCCGTCTTTCGTTCCAAACCCTGAAACACTGACGCTTCGCATCCTGATCGTTGATTCCGTATACTTTAACATTGTATCGCTGCCCCGCATTCCGGGTCCATTTCCTCTATCATGGGTTATGCACAGGATCACTACCGAACGCGGATGGCTTGGACTAGTGGTATCCTTCGATCGGATATTCCTCGCGCGGGGGATGTTAGCAAGCTGAAGCCCCTGGCCACCTCGACCCCAGCCTCACCAGCGACGACGCCGACGTCAGACAACAAGTCGAAGGAATAACTTCTGTCGAGGTGGGTTACTGCTGAGACGGTTGCTTGCTATGGTCGATTCAGGAATAGGGGGAAGCAGCTGATGATCTGCGTAGGTCCGTGGTCGAAACGAGTGTGATGTTGATCGTCGGTTTGTCATTAATATTTGGAGGAAAAGGTGTTTTATGGGATGGTGGAACAATCTTGAAAGGTGTCGTAGCGTGGTTTTTATTACGAAGGGTGGGATGCAGGAGGCTAGTGTTATTCGATCAAGTAGAGATAGGTAACCTTGTTTGTTATATTGATGAATTCGATTTCCTGTTGTTTTGGAAGGCGACATGACGTCTTTGCGCGCATATGTCCACCTGCTATGATATGTTTGTTTCACAAAACACCAAAGTGCATACTGCATAGCTCCTCGACCTTCCACGTAGCCCCCTCGGCCTTGTTACCCTCATGGAGGCCTAACTGTACCTCAGACAGGGCGCTGTATTGTGCTCAGCACGACTAGCTATAGCCCTCAGCCTCTCCTCCGCTTTCTGGCATCTTCCACCTCATGATTTTCCCGCTTCTTTCCCCCTCTGCTGTGATTCTTTACCAGAGACCCGGAGAGGTGTGGAGGTGTTTACAGGTTGAGGTGATGGACTTTTGTGCAAAGTCAAACTTGACGACACTGAGCCGCTCGCTTTACGGGCCTGCATCGATCTGATGTCGGGCGCGGGATTTCCACATGGTGGGATGTGTTGACAATATTCTTCCTTTCAAAGTGTTTCCGCGGCTTGTCTTCAGACGTACTTGACAACCTTGACTCCACTCTTCTTTCCTCTTGACTTTGGCTGCGGCCTCTGCTTCTCCAACCTCTTACAGCTAACATCTGCCTTGACTAGAATGAAGCTCTGGTCAAAAACATGTCCATTCGCATTCCCGCACCTCTCCAATGCAGGAGCAAGTGCAAGTTCCACCCTTCGACCCTTCACAATCCCAGCTCCAAACCTTCCGCCACCACTGTCATTATCGTCTTCATAGACATCTTCCATCTCACTCTCATAAAACCCATAGCCCCAAAACTCATCTTTCTTCCCTCCCGTGAACATGACGAACCGATAGTCCGCCCTCTGCCTCTTCATTTTCAGATCCAGCGCAACAGACGCTGAAACGATAGTGTGCAATTGTTCTTTTCCGACGCGGAGGGATTGTGTAGACCAAGGACGTAGTTTGTGTCGGATGCGGCTGCATAAGCGGGATATGCGTTTGAGAACGGGCGAGGCGTCGAAGGTAGGGCGCCATTTGCCGTCGACTTGCGGGACTAGGAGGTTGACGGTGTTGGAGCGCCAGTGGTGGTATTCTTCGGCTTCAGCTTCGTTTTTAACGGCTGAGAATCATTAGCGAGAAGTAAATATAGGGAGAACGCCGTGAAGGTACCTTTTCGTAAGGTGTCATTGATAGGGCGTAAATTCTTGTCACCAAGTTTGCCCGCCCAGACATATCCGCAGCCCTTTTGCCAATTGCTGAAGATCTTCTGCTGCAACTTTGACCACACGTAAGCTTGTATTAGGAGCGGTCGTTCCTCGGGACTCTTCAGATACGTTTGGAAATTGTCTGTCAAAGTCCCGAATAAGTCCTTCGCCCTATGTAGATGCGGTCGCTTGCTGCTGGTCCTGATCGGTCCGCTAAAGTACTGTTCGCTCCATATCCTGATCTCGTATCGCAAGGCGTGAAGTTCTTCGATCAGCGTCTTCTCTTCCGACTTGTACACGACTGAGTCCCTCGCTGGTATCCCGTGCGGACCCATGCTCTTCCTCTGCAGCTCCTTCCTCAAAGCATCTCGCTCTCTCGTCACCTGGTAGAAGCGCTGCACCAGATCCTCCTGGCTACTGCCTATCCTCACATCCGGTCGCGACGGATTCTTAGGCGGCACGCGTGGGCCGGCATCCACACTTAATCGATTCGGGCTAGGCGCAGTAGAGTTGGACTCTTCCGAGGATGTCTCAGCCGGCGTGCGCGTAATCTTGAGTGGTCGGATATAGAGCGTCTTTGGTTTGCTCCGCGGTAGCAGTACCTCCTCGTCCGACCACTCATCTCCCACATCAACAAAGGGGTTGTTCTCCATATACGGCGAGTCGATAGTCGAAGCGGAGGACGGTTCACGGTCAATGACATCGGCCGAGGGGCATGTCAGCTTGAGAGACTTGAGGGTGGAGTCGCGAACGTCTGTCGACACGGCTCAGTCAGCGAGCTAGTCGTGGATAGTTTCGGGGGACGGCGCACCTGGGGATAGAGTGGCCATGGCAACAAGCTACGGGCATGCTGTGGGGATCTAAATAGCGTCCCCGAAGTAACGTTTTGGCGGTGAGGACGCCCTAATGCTGGTATCCGTTTCCGATCTCTCACAGACGGCAGTCTGAGCTCAGATCAGCTATCACCTGCTGGTCACAGCGGGACCGGCAAACCTGGAACAGCTGCGAAAAATTGTAATAATTGTAAATCGTGAGTATGCTGGCAGAGGACCCGCCAGCCTTTGAGCCGTGGCATTGCGAAAAGCAAGCTCGCTGCTCCTCATTCATCCAGCCTCACTGCACGGAAGAAGAGGCCTGGGCGGCTCCGTCGACCACTCAGATCAGCAAACAGCGGGACGAGATGCCACTCACGCCAGTGACGTGTGACGATGCATGCATGGTTGGGCTGCATGAGTCGGCGGGCTGCATGTTTCTCCGAGCCGGGTTGGGTTAGATCTTCGGGTGTTGGCCTTGTGCACCACTGGAAACACCATTCGAGTCAATGCATATACACGACGTTTCTCGTTGAGCGTTTGTTTTGCTATCACAGAATCCGATAGGCACCAGTTGCTTTGGCCGAAGCTGCTGCTATATATGGACGTAGGTGGAGCCATGGTCTAGAACCGTGTCGCGCAGTGCATCCCAACCAAAAGAATTACGCAACGGCCGCATATACGGCCTTGGTAAACGCTACGCTACAATCCATGGTTGCGTATAGCAGTCTGAAACGAGTGTGGAGGAGTGTTTGTGTTTCGAAACAATCAATCATCATTTTTGCCGGCGTGTTTTAACAACCCCACTCAGCTCTTGCCAACTCAGCAGCCCCTCGTACATTACACCCAAATCTGTCTTCTGCAATACGAGGCCCCCCTTTCTGCCGCTTTGAACACCTCAAACATTCATGCTACCAATTGTTAGCTTTGACTCCGTATGGACAAGGACAACTTACTTGAGGCGGATTGTCTTCGGCTCGAGGTAATTCATTAAGCCAAGACGACCACCTTCCCGCCCAATGCCACTCTGCTTCGCTCCCCCAAACGGCACGTCAACGCTCACCTGCTGGGCTGCGTTGATGTTTACATTGCCAGCGTCAAGCTGCTTCGCAATGCGCAGGGCGCGCGGTATAGAGGCCGTGAAGATGCACGAAGACAAGCCGAAACTAGTATCGTTCGCCAGCTCAATGGCCTCCTCATCCGTCTTGAACGTCCTGATTGTGATGACGGGTCCGAAAATCTCCTCACGGTAGATGGAAGCATCGTCCTTGGGATTAAGAAAAATCGTCGGCTCAATATAAAACCCACTCTCCCCTTTCCTCGTACCACCAGTTACAAGCTCTGCCTCGCCCTTGCCAATTTCCAAAAATTCCATCACGCGCTCAAACTGCTTCCCATCAGCTAATGGGCCTAGGAACGTCGTCGCCTCCTCGGGCGCGCCAGTGGCGTGGCTGAACTGCTCGAAGCGCACTTTTAGCTGCTTGACGAATTCATCCGCAATGTCTTCATGCACAAAGGTGCGGGAGGCGGCGGTGCAGGCTTGACCGCTGTTGATGAGGAAGAATTGGCTGTGGTGCACAAGCGCGTTTTCCATGTTTGCATCGGAAAATATGAGCGAAGGCGATTTGCCGCCGAGTTCGAGTGTTACGCGTTTGAGGTTGCTGTGTCATTGTGAGCTACGGATCCTTCTGTCGCTCCAATTTGGAGCTGAGAGAGCGGCCGGTGGTAGGAGAGACATACCTCTTAGCGGCCAGTTCCTGGACCTTTTTCCCAGCAAACACAGAACCAGTAAAGGAAATCTTGTTGATATCCATATGGCTGGCCAATGCAGCACCGACCTTACCATCGCCAGTGATGATGTTGACAACACCAGGGGGGAATCCAGCCTCTTTGATGAGCTCTCCAAGCTGCAGCACACCAATTGGACTCTTCTCAGAGCCTTTGTGAATAAAGGTACACCCAGCAGCTAGAGCAGCAGCGACTTTGTAGCCGAAGAAGAGCCCTGTGCCGTTCCAAGCCCCAATGCCAGCGCATACCCCAACGGGATCGTATTGAACAATCTTGAAGCTATCAGCGCTTGCTCACTCCTAAAGCCCCTTTGAAAGCTGAAATTAGATGAAAGCATACCTTGTAAAATCCGTCCTCTTCCGGCCACTGCTCCCCGGGCAGCTTATTCGTCCAGCCTGCATAGTATCTAAATGTTTGGCTCACCAACTTATACAACCACTGCGCAATGGCAGTCGGTTGGCCCATACTCTTACTCTCCCAGCGCCCCAGTTCCGGAGCATGCTTATCGATCAAGTCTGCAAGCCTGTTCATGGCATCGCTACGTTGCTGGGCCGTCCATTTTGACCATTCGCCTTTGAAGGCTGCACGCGCGGCGGCGACAGCAGTATCAACGTCGGCTGCAGAGGCGACCTGAACCCCGTCTAAGACGAGAGATTCGTCGTGGGGAGAAGTGATGGTGAGCGTTTCGTTGGAGGTGGCATCGACGTACTGGGGGTGTCAGTAGGATATACTTAGTTTAGTATAGAGAGAGCATATGTATGGGATACCTCATTGTTGATGAACAATTGTTTGTAGACCATGATTGCTATTAACTGCTACTGGGGGATTCAGTAAATCAATAGAAGGGATGAGAAAGCAGTGACCTGCTATATTTCGTCAGATCCAGTCTCACCTTATATACCATACAAGTGGGGCAGCCAAGGCTTACTTCCATCTCGAATCTCACCACTGATGACCTGGATGATACCCCCGGAAGAACGGATAATTGTCATGATACGCCTCGTTCTGTGGTGAGTGGCCCGAATCCGCGTCTCCACATGCAACCAATATGCTATTGGCGTGGTCGTTAAAATAAGAGTGGGACGTTGCATGCAAATATATAGTCTATCTTTAGACTCTTCAGTACAATTCACTACTCAGAAATCAATCAACAACGAGCATGCGTAGAAACGATGACATACTTCGCCTTATTCGTAGCGTTACAACGTGCAACTTACGAGCACGCTGCGAGCCCGATGATAATCCTGCAGACCCTACCACCGCCTCAACCACCCAACATTATCTGCCCCGTATGCAAAAATATACGAGTTGAGAATCCGAACTGGTCTCATCATAACAGCCTGCAGCATACATCCAACCACCCCCCTGCTCGTCCATACGACCTCGAACCCATACGCCGTCGCGAACGGCCGATAAACAGCTCCAGCGTTAGGTTGAAAGTTCGGATTCAGCCACGCTTGAAGCAAAGACGTGAACCGCCACACGCCAACATGCCACAGCACGCAAACTGTTACGTCCAGTGCAACAGCGCGCCAGAAGACGGCAGCGGGTGGTTCTCGACCGTCGCTCAGATGAGTTTGCCAACAGATGGGAGAGTTGGGATGGTAGCTGGCGATCATTTTGGCGGGCGGGGGTATCAAGACGTCTGGGTATGGCATGGGATTCTTGGTCCGGGATATGTATTCTATTTGTGAGAGAAGGAGAAATGAAAGGCAAAAGTGGGTGACGGCTAGATGGGCGCTTGCCATCGTGTCTGGATCCGCGACGATGTAGATTTGGATGAGATGGGCTACGTCTCCGAGCGAGAGTAGAGCTGCAGAGAGCAGGACGCAGTATTGAAGCGATCGTTGGCGTTGGCGTTGAAAGAAGTTGTGAGCTATGTAGCCAACCACAAGAGGCAAGCCGCTTGATGCTGAGATTGGCTTTGAAGCAAGAGTTGAGACGATGTGGTAGCAGGCGACGGCGGATGCTGAAATAAGTATGTATGCGAGGTAGCGCTTTTTACTCATGCACCGGAGGTCTGACGAGTAGAACGCTGCTGCGGACATTGTGGCGGTGTCTCTTCGAATGCCTGTAAGCTGTGATTACTGTCTGGAGACAGAAATGGATCGTGAGATATTCAACCCCTAACATATTTGGTACTTTAGCGTTCCGAAGGTTCCGAGGAGAGCATAGGATAGGATCTCGACCAAAAGGCGCATTCGTAATGGCCGACAACTGATTGGCACTGGAGCAGAAAGACGTTTGGTTGATGGAAGCCGAAAACGTAATCTTGGTTCTTCGATGACCATGAAGTAATCATTACGATGACAAAAATGGGTTCGAATTGAGTCGTTTCCTTAACAAGCCTGCCCTGTTTACCATACTGTCTGTGGTACGGGCTGTAAATGTATGGTTCGTGTTGAGTGGTGAAGATAAAGAGCAGGACCAGCTGACACATAAAGTTTTGGGCCATAGCCTGGAAGTCTGGACGGATGTATCGGCAGAGAACAACGCAGATTGTGTGAAGACGTGACCCTGATATTTGACGCTGGGCGGGAGGAATACCCCACTCATGTCACTGGCTGATAATCAGATCATGGGTGCGAAAGAGGTTGTAGCAGATACACATACTGTCTTCGTCCAGCTCCCGTTGCGAGCTCGACACCGACCAGCCAATATGATTCCAACGACCGGGCCCACCCGCCCGCCCTGGTTAGTAACCCCACCCTACTCACCAGCTACAATTGTCACCGATCCCGAACTAGGGTCGACCTCCATCCGAGGATGGGGCCCTGTCCGCTGATGTTGCTCGATTTGACGAAGGAGGAAGAGCCGGGCTACGTACTGTGGAGATGGTACCCCCGGCTGAGCGACCTCGTGAGCGTCATCGGCGGCTTCGGAATCGGAATTGACTTTGTCGTTATCGTTCTTCATGCGTTCTACGTAATGACAGAGTGGACCGATGGGGAAAGCGAAGATTACGATGCTGGCTGCATCGCAAACGACGATCCGCCATGCAGGTCCACCTGCGATTATCGCTAGAATGCAGCTGAAGACGATACCGACGAGAAGCCGCATTTTTGACCGCTGAATGGCTTCTATCGTTCTTACCGTTCTCTCATGTTGATGTTTTGGAACATCTTCAGCTACGCTGAGGTGTTCCTTCTCCATTGCGTCCTCCACCGTTTAGCAACGCAAGAACCGTCCATCCAGAATTCGAGGGGAAACCGCAATACGGGGAAATAAGAAGACTTATATATCCTAGCAGGGTTTGCCAAAATTTATACCTTTAATGTCTCGCAGCTTCGTCTTTTCCTCTTAATGAGTACTTGACAGTATGCTGACCCGAACAAACAAACTTGCAGCATCCAGTGCTGTTACTGGATGGCATGGCTTCGACAGCTGCATCTGATGGTGTTTTGGGCCTCGGCGCTTTGAATACTCTGCACGCTAGAGAATAACGGCCAATTCGCGCGACCAACATTATATGAGAGCGAGAGACGTAGGCTAGCATACTTAGTTTGCTTTGTCACAGCATTAGCTCCATGTTCCGAAGATCTACTTAGGTATAATTGCATGTTGGAGCTACAGGACCCAGCAGGTTAAAGCAACGACTTATGAACCAGTGTTTTCGCGAGTCTCCTATGCAATCATCGGCTGTGTCCTTTCGTGTCGATGTTGCAGGGAAGATCGGAGTTAACGTTGGAACGCACATTCCAACGATCAAGACTAGACCGAAACAGGAAAGGCCAAATTTCACGTGCGTCTTCACGTGCGGGGCGATAAGGTTTATTTGAGGCTCAAGCGGATCGATTTCTTTGCCGGACTCCGATCGACTTGATCGCAAACTTCGTGGACCTAATGAAAAGAGCTGGTCCATATCTTGAACGGATGGTCGAAACAAACATCACTGCCCAGTCGCAGAGTCAGAGTCAGTCTCAGTCGCCTACTTCAGCACCAAAACCAAGCAGCGGACGACAACGGGTTATCTCGTCTTGCCTAACATGCCGGCGGCGAAAGGTCAAGTGTGACCATGTGCACCCGGTCTGCAGTTCTTGCACACGAGGAAATCATGTTTGTACCTGGACGGATCAGGTGCAAGCGTCGACGAGTACCGGGAGGATCTCAAAGCCTATGATCACCAGCAATGGAAAGATTGCGAAGAATAGCGACGTTCAGGCGCGACTGGATAGGCTTGAGTTACTCTTGGAACAAGCCGTTACGAGACAGGGAACAAATCCGATTCCATCCGCGCGTTCCAGTGCCGACTTTGAGAGAAAACCAGAACCGGAGACACGGTTGACGCCCACTTCGACCAGTCAAACCTCCCATGGCGGAGGCATGGCTTCTGATGATGGTGATGGAACTCTACTCCTGGATGGCGGACAGTCTCAGTTTGTTTCTTCCTTGCATTATGCATTACTTGCTGATGAGGTGAGTTCCGCTCTTAGATGGTTGTAACTGGTACCGTACTTTGTTTTGACAAGCGCTTACCATCGATGGGTTTTCATTCCTGACATATGTTGGTACAGGGGTTCATTACATACAAGGCGCTGACAACTGTTGCAGATTCAAGATATCAAAGCCCTTTTGGGTGATAAGACAGATGAAGAGAGAAAAAGAGTACCGCAAAGCAGTCTCGTAGATTTACTTTCGTTAGGCCGTGCAGGCGCCGGATCCAACCTTGAGCAGCTGTTACCGAGTACTCAAGAGCATCGTGATACCCTCCTAGATGTTTATTTTGCGAACGTGGATCCGATGGTGAGGATCACGCATAAGCCAACAGTGCTTCGCAAGTTTGCCTCATACAATAGCGAGGCCCATCCGATCGCCTTTGCTATTTTCTTCTCTGCAATCAATTCCTTGCCTCCAAAGGTCGTCCAAAACAAGTTTGGCGAAAGTAAAGAAAGCCTGTTAGACCGCTTTCAGCTCGGTGTCGAGATATCACTCGCCAGGGAAAACTATCTAACGACATCAAATCTTGAGATATTTCAGGGGTTCGTCCTATGGCTGACTTGCATCAGCAAAGAAGAAGACATGGGTAATCTTGCCACCAATTTTTGACGTTGCGTCGCTCACAGTAAGACTAGGTAAAGCATGGGTACTACTAGGTATCGCCGTTCGCATCGCCCTAAACCAAGGTCTTCACCGGGACCCATCTTTGTTCCCCACCGGGTCAATGGATGCTGTTACTACCGAGCTACGCCGCCGCATGTGGCATCAATTAGGTCACCTGGAGTATCGCGCAGCCGAATGTAAGGGCCAAGAGCCGAGCATATCCGAAGACTTTTATACTACACTGTTTCCGCGCAACATTGACGATGAGGACCTTATCGACGGAGCAAGCCCAGGTCCCGCGCCTTATGACGAAGAGAAGTTCACATCGATGTCGTTCCAACTCGTAAGGTACATGGGTATGCGAGCATTGCGGCGAATAGTTCAGAGCACATATCGCTTGGAGCGGCGCATGTTGGATTCGGGTCTCCACGGAGCCTCCCGTCTTGATCCCGCGCGAGAGCTCCAGAATCTCTATGAGCAGATCAAAGTCATGCTTGACGAGGATCATGAGGAGAACCAGAGAAAGTATCTCCAATACCTGAACCCGGAAATCCCAATGCAGAGGTTGACGCTAGGTCTGGCCTCTCTCCTGGAGTGGCGGTGTTATTTGCTATTCTGGCTCCGCATGCCTCGTGCTTACCGCGACGTGGTCTTCTCTGATGACATACGCAGATCGTAAGTGAATCAGGCATACATCTTTTCCGCAGGCCAGCTGGCAACTGCTAATTTGATGTAGAATATTCGAGAAATCTGTGAATTGTATAGAAACACTGAATAGTGCAGCTGCTGATGTCGATGCAGCTCGTTTTCAGTGGCACATAAGTGCGTTATCTATTCATCTGTTGATCAATTGCTAACCTTTGAAGGTGGAATTGCTTCTTTCCAAGCCATCATGCATGTTCTCTCAGAACTTCGTAATCCATTATTCGACGCTCCAGATCGGCAACGTGCATTGAGAGCGCTGAAAATATCTCGCATTCTCCGAGAAAACAACAGCGCTAAAGCATGGCAAGCTGTTAAGAACATGATTGACAAGGCTGTAGCTGAGCACAACGCGTCTCCAAGGAGCCAGGTGCAAACATCAGCATCTTTCACTAGCCCTCCTCCACCGCTGTCCACATCCATTCGGCGGGATAACTCTACGAGCAACAATGTTTCTGCGTATCCTGGAATGGAAACTACACCTAGTTACGCCTTGCCAACGTCTTCTAGGCAGTACGTTTCACAAGAGTTACCAGCACAATCCCAACAAATACCGCCTCCATTGGAGCTATTACAGCCCATGCAATCCATGGAGGGTCAGGATGCACCTTGCTGGGACGATATCAATCTAAACATCATCAACAACATAATTGGCGACGTTCAACCCACTCTTGGCATCATGCCAGACTTCGACTTCGTTAGTAGCCTCCTGAAATGGCTTAGATTTTGACTAACTTGACAAGGGCTTCTGGGGTGACCCCTTCAACTACGAGAATGAGCCTGCTGCAATGCCGATAGAAGATAGCTATTTTCCACCGTGGACGGGATGATCAAATCTAGGATCCCAATAGAAGGATGCTTTTATATCGCCATCATCAACGTAGCCGAGCTCTAGGCTGCGCTACTACCTGGCCTAAAAAAACAAGAAAGGACTCGCTAGCGACAAGCGGCCACCTACATAACACCCCTACATCACTGCGACTGCTTTGTGTCTTGAATGATATCGAATCCAATGAGGTGAAGGACGCTACACCGCTGCACAAGCCCAACAGAATCTCGTTTCGAAGACCTCTTTGCGTTGGTAGAGGCGACTAGATTATTCAACTTCTCCAAGGACATCAGACTGTTTGAGGTTGTGCTACTACCGACCTATAACGACCAAAACACGAGGCCATTGGTAGGGCGATCCTATTGCTGAAGATGTTATCGGCTAGGCTCAATCGAGGTTGAGTCCAGATTTGTGGTGAACTTTCTCCTGTGTATGCTTCGGCTGGTGCAGAGCGATCAGGATATTGAAGGTTAGTCATGGCGGGCTGGACGATGAAAACATGGGGATAGCTTAAAAGATAATTGCCATAGCTGTTTTGGTCTCCCGAAAACATCTTCTGTGTACCTGAAAAACCGTTGGGTTAATCATGTGTGCTGAATCTATGTCTGGTGCGGCGGTGTGATGGAATGACCCTGAAGGCTGTGAGCTGAAAAAATCGGTGCCTGGCAAGGCGTACTCGTTGCGCATGTAAAGCGCATGCAACAAAGTGAAAAGTATTTTCTTCGTCGAAATTAAAAAGGGATGCATTCCAATATTCTAAAATATAGATACCATGCCTGAATGCGAGATGGCCACTTATCAAGGTGCAACATGGTAGAGACGTCATCATTCCAAACACCCAAACTCAAAAGATTTCAAGGACACTCGCCATCCACTTGTCTTTGAACAGCCTACCACCGTCGCCTAATCGCTCTATTAATAATATGCGCTACCCAAGGCGAGCATGCGTTGCCGGGTTAGGGCAAATACCCTGGTGGCGCGGGGGCGCGAGGCTGCGCGAGCTACGCGGATCCACAGCTGAGGCTGAGACTCGAAGATGTTTGACATTCACTCATTTTACTGCGCATCACCTTCACAACACTCTCTAGGCTTCTCTATCTTGCGAGCGAGCGATTCCCCTCTCCTTGGTCTTCAAACTCGACTTCGACGTAGCGGTAGTAGCCCGTTGGGACCTCCTCCGGCACCTCCGAACCCTCTCGAGCGAACGTTTCCGTAGTAGGGCTGTGCTGTGTTTACACTCACCCTTTTCGCCTTCCCGCCTCGATAACGCATGCTCTAAGCTCTTCGAAACGAATATTGAGAGAAGAGAGCGCGACCATGCGGATACCACAGTCCTATATTCAGAAATGCAAGGCCACGGCACATGGTTTCCAGGCTATACTCGTTTTCATAGCAGCATGTCTCACGATTGCCGTCATGATCAAGGACGGGTCAACAGGAGGACCGACTAAGTTTTATCTTGCTATGGTAGGCTCTATCTCTAGGAGGATTTCGGGGGTAGTAGATCGGAATCGCAAAGCCGTTACAATGACAGATTGAGAGAGTTAGGCTGACAACCGCCCCAGTGCTTCGTATCCATTCCCGCGATAATCTACCTAGTAATGGTGCCGATGTGGTCTCGCGCGCAGCGCTTCGGAAACGCATATGCCTTTCTTGCAGTCGATGCGCTGTATACAATGCTCTGGTTTGCAGCCTTTGTAGCAGTTGCCGTGTGGAACAGCCATGGCATCAAGGAGGGTGCGAAAGAGAAGAAGGTATCCGATAACGAGCGAAACTGCACCACATTCAAGTATGGGAGTGAGAGCAAGTGCAAAGTTAGTAAAGCGGCTGTAGGAATTGGCAGTCTGTTATTGTAGGTCCTCCCTCTCTGCTCACTTTCATGCGCACCATAACAAATGCTAATGGTGGAATTTGATAGCCTATTCTTCGCCATTACAACGGCAGTAAGCTCCTACTACCTCCTAAAGTTCCTCCGCGAAGGCGTCCTCCCCTACGAATCTTCTGCGCCAAACCCACACCACATCTCCGGTGAAACATCAAAAGATAACGCATGGTCCGCCGAGATCGAACCTGGGCACCGCGATTCTATAGACTCCGTAGACCGACTCACGGAACACGGCGGCAACCAACAAGAAGACGAGTACGCACTGTTGAACTCGACGGAAACGGATGAGGGCAGACATCCAGGTAGACCACTCAGTTGGGGGGAGGACAGAACGGGATATGGAAGACCTATGCCGTCATACGCAGATTATAGAGATGGGCCGCGGCCTGGGGCGGGCGACGCCTTAAGTCCAGGCGGATATGAAGAGTATAGGCAAGCAGCTGGCTCTCCTGGAGTCGGCGGAGAAAATAAGCAGACGAGCCAATCGGGAAGTGGGTATAGTTTCAGCGGTGGGGGAGTGAGATGAGCATGTCAGGGACAAGAGTAAAGATGACTCTGAGAAGAAGATTGCTACCGTCCAGATGTTGAAAACTGCCCTCGCATTTGAGCATTCGGTATGTCCTGAGCGATTGTTGGATGTAATCATGCTTATCTATTTGCATTATGATTTAGCGATTCTTACTACATAGCATACTACCATCTCCTCTACAGTCGCATACTCTTAGATATCCTTTGTTTGTTCCGGTCACAGTAGAAGACATATTCATCTATTCATGTACAGCATTTTTCCTTTCTAGGACTACTAGAAGACCAAAAGATGTATCAAACTATCCTGCTACGGTGTTAAAGGCGCCCCACTGATAGACGTAAATGCGCAGCATCGGACTAGTAATCACCATGCCCCGTATGATCCACAAATGAAACCCAGCGAAAGCGTACATAGCCTAGGGAGCTTTACTCAATAGACGACAAGAGGTGGAGACGACATGATCGCCCCATATCTTAGAAGGCACCCTGCGCGCCGCTGCCGGCCGTCAGTGGAATAACTAATCCGGGAGAAGAAGAAAATGCATTGGGCGGGTGCAACAATTAGCTGTCACAGCTTGCGAGCCGCTACCCTCACATTTACGCCATGGGCGCTAGATGGACAAGCTTTCTTGCGGAGAATAAGTAATCTGTGAGCATATACATCTTTCTAGTAGCTCGCTGGCAATCGTACGATATGCGCTTGTAGCCTGTTAGTTGTGAACGTTAGATTCGCAACATGGCAAAAAACTAGCGCCTTGTTGGTGAATTCGAGCAATTATGTGTGCTTTCATGTCGCCGGAAAATTGAACTAGGTTAATTGACCTCAGACGTTCTACAACAGGGAGTACTGCATGTGGACCGATGGTTCAGATAATGATATGACATCGTACGAAAACTCACGGGGGTTGATTCTCTCCATAGAAGGTGTGACACTCCTCAGCCTGATGCAAAAATGTTAGCAAGATACCACTTCAATGAGGTATATTGATGGAGCAAGTCGGTTGGTGTCCACGTAACAACTAGTGAGTGAAGCCTCTGTCCGAGGGTGCCCATCGAGTATGTGATTACGGCGGTATTGCAGGCTGATTTTGGGTATCTGATTGTTGTCGCTATTCGAGTAATATGGCATCCTCGATCTGCTCGTAGACCGTTCAACGCGTTGTCGTTTCAACTCGTGCAAGGTCGTACGGGAACAGCTGCACGGCAGCATGGAACTTTAAGGCTGACTGGCTGGTCAGCGTGAGGAGTGCCGGGTATCGGCTGAAGTTGCCCAACGTAAGCGAGCCTCGGCCGCTACTTCAATATTCAATCACTCGTACGATCACGGTGTGTCTGTTCGATCGCAAATCATATCCGACGACACTGTAATTGACGCCGTGGTGTTTTCTTCTGCCCTCTCTGTAGTGTCTGCAGCTATCGCTCCTACTAGTTCCTTCTGAGACACAGCCGCTCTCGCGCAGTAGCCTCTACTAATCATCCTTGCTCGCGTTCTGTTGTTTTGTAATCATATAACAAGCGCCAGAGATTCCACTTCCCATTCGGAAAGACGATGGATACCCCACTCGCAGTCTGGATATCTTCGGCGCCGGTCTGCGCAGATTCGCTGCTAGGTTCTTAAAGCGAGCACCATGACCGGTCCCCAGGTGAGCCATCTACTAACTACACCGAGCTTTCTTTACATGTACCTTCCAAGCGGCATTCGACTTACGAAACCCGTTGCGTAGCCCGTGTGCCGTGATACCCTTGACGCCAAAATTCCGTGGAGCCAAATGCCTTCCAAGTTCCGCAACCTCATTCCCTCCGAGCAATTCGCTGTAGAGAAGGATCGATATATACTCTACATCAACTATGTCTGCCCATGGGCTCACCGCGCTATCATTGTTCGCGCGCTGAAGGGCCTAGAGGACATTGTACAACTAGTAGAAGTTGATGCAAGAGATCCGACCCATGGCTGGTATTTCTCTGGCCACAGGGGTCCAGAAAGGGATCCTATACATGGTTGTAGATGGCTGAAAGAGCTGTACTTGAGGGCAGATCCGTACTACAATGGAAGGATAACCATTCCTCTGATGTGGGATAAGAAGCAAGGTAGGAGAGCGATCAATTTGGTGTGTAAGGGCGTGGACTGACATGATTAGATACCATTGTGAACAACGAGAGTGCTGACATTATTCGCATCTTATTCGAAGCCTTCGATCCACTTTTACCTCCCCATCTGCGTGAGGTGAACAAAGGAGCCGCTGCATTCATCCCACCCCACCTTAGGACTGGTATCGATTCGCTCAACTCTTGGGTATACGATACGGTCAACAATGGTGTCTACAAGGTTGGGTTTGCCACGTCACAGGCGGCATACAATGAGCATATTTCCAGGCTTTTTCAGTCCTTGGACCGTTTGGAACACCACCTCTCCCAAGCTGAGCATTACCCCTACTTGTTTGGGCAACACATCACCGAGGCTGACATCCGCCTATACACGACGCTTGTTCGTTTCGATGTAGCATATTACCCGCTCTTCAAATGCAACATGCGGATGATTCGTCTGGACTACCCTCGCCTTCATGCTTGGCTGAGACGTTTGTACTGGAGCGAGGGGCCAGAGACGAACAGAGGTGCATTCAAGAGCACTACTCACTTCGATGTAGTAAGTCTGGCCTTGGCCGCACTCAAAAGCCACATGCTGACTCGAAAGATCAAGCGAGGATATTCATCTGTTGCTGCCGGGAACGGAATCGTACCTGCTGGTCCAGTTCCACCTATCATGCCGCTGTAACTGTTTTGAACTTGGTCCGTTATCAAAGTTTTGTTGATATTGTCTACATACGTTTTCGTTGGGAGAGAGAGAAGAGGGGACGAATAATTAATGTATTTACTCAGAATGCCCTTGGTACGGCCAGAGTTTGGAGTACAGATCTCTCTCACTCTCATTCTGAGCCGCGTTCAGGAAGACTTCTCTGTACCTGTGGCAGTTTTCAATAGCAGTCTGGTACTCCTCAGGTTGCACCATACCATCTGCTGGTAGAACACCTTGGTCTTGGAATAGTGACAGCATTTTACCAACACCATCCATGTTCTCTTCCTCCTTCGCATGCAACTCAAGTTCTTCTTTTGAGAATTTTATGGGGCATGGTGTATCTTCCCCAAAGATGTCATTCCATCGGGCAACGAGAGCAATGAGCGAGTCACGCAAGAAGAACAGATCCCGGTTCTCCCATACGCCGGTCACAAGCCAGACAGGCTTTCTAAGCATAGGCACTGATGATCGCTGGAGAACATCCCAGTGAAGCGGTGCACGTTTCATAGTTTGAAGTTCGTAGTATTTGTGTATCGTTTCGCTCTCCAGATTGCGGTCGATTTGTTTTTGCTCTTCAGGGCGCAGGGTATCGAAATTTTCGGGCTTCTCGGGCATGACCCAGCCCTCTTGGACAGTCTTGTAATATCGGAACGCTCGATGGACACCGGACTGATAAAACAGCGGTGCCACAACTGCCGATTGCCAGTCCACGATACTAGTGATTTTATGTGAAACTGGATCCACAAATACATTGTCGAGATGGAGATCGGGATGCCAGAGAAGTTTTGTGGCAGATGACTCGTCGTTTGATGCTGGAGTCAACAGTGGCGCGACTTGTTCATACTTGGCGAGTAAGTGAATGGCGTCTTCAGGTAGCTCAGGATCTTTTGGCGACCGATAGTAGTTCATTCGAAATTTGGCATTATTTCTGATCCATGACACTTCATTGGCGCCTAATGCTTGCGCATACGCTTTTGGGCTATCCCCTGCTTCTGATCAGCATCTGCCGCATGACCTTGGATTAGCCCTCAACGTACATGGGCCTCGATCAATAGCCAATTGCTCACGAGCACTGCTCCAAAGCTCTGCCTTAACTAAAGGTCCCATTGCATATCGCTCAAGAGTCGAATCTTGCTGGCCTAAGTTGAGTTGCATGGCCTCTGATTTTCCGGTCAAGCGTTGGAGGTCGTCTTTGAAATATATGCAACCATGTTTCTTGAATTTCACGGCATTCAAAGAGGCATCAATTTGGGCCACCTGATCGACAATAGCCAGCTTTGTTGCCCAGGGCAATTTGTACCATACCGCGCCTAACCGAACGCCGGAAACCTTCTCTTCAAGAATGTACTCGGCCTGAACCGAGTTATTCACAGCATCACAAGACCACGCAAGCACGCGAGGGACAGGAATATCGAAGACGTCTCTAAGCTGATTCTATCAGTTATGTGTAATTCTCAAGCTGGCATCATCACATACCATTTGCCGGGTAGCGATTTCGGACGCCGTCGTGTAATAAGCTGGCCCGGCATTTGGGTTCGGAAGTTTCGCGAAGACTTGTGCACCATTGTCCATAGTGAGAATAAAAGCCTTGTTATGCAAGCCTTCAATGCACTTCAGGACTTGGGTACCTGTTCGCAAGTTTAGTGATAATGCACGTTGTAGGACTAAGAGACAAACAGTGCTGGGCTCCCCTGCAAACACCAACAGCTTCTTTAAGCAGCTGCGGTAAATTAAATTTGAGATAGCGTTTTGCTAACTCCCCTCGCTCATTCTTTCTGTAGACATATCGTAAGTAGGTTCTTTGGTAGGCTTGGCTAGGGGTCGGTTTTACAGCCACCGTTGACGGGTATAACGATACAAATCCGCCTCAGGGGTTCTTTCATCTGATTTCACCAGATTAGAAAGTGAATGGTCCTGTCGGGTCAGGTCTGGGATGATCTTACCGACGCCACGGGCTTTTTCAGCGAACAGTTTTGGAGTTTGTGATGTAGATTGCGTCTTGCTAGCCAGCCTGAAGGACCGAAACTTCATGTTGCACACCCGAGGAGCCAGCCTTGGATCTTCACGACCGCAAGGGCCACTGAGATGTGCGTTTTCAGAGCTCAGTACGAGAGAATTGAAGTCAAAGCTCTTAGCGGACGAGTTAGTTAGAACTGTTTGTGACACTTAGCCCCTGACACGTGAAAAGAAGAAATAAGCGGGGAAATAAATGTTAAAAGGGCCGAAATATACCGGTACCACCCGCCTGCTCGCTTAAGCAACAACTGCGACCTTCTTTATATTGCCATCGTCTCTTCAAATCTCCATTAATCATCACTAGGATCGTGGTTTAGTGGTACTATCTACCCTCCTACTTAACTAAAGGCTAGTATTTCGGCTTGCGAGTTTCAAAAAGTATTTCAAGAAGTATTTTCAGAATCGATGCTTAGAGCTGGTTAGATACGCAGACCAGCCGGCGGTAACAACGCAGGGCTTGTGGAAAATAGGCATAATGTGGTTCGCTCGTGGAATTAGGAAGATGTTTCGCAAGAGCGATTTCCGAAGTGCGGCTTTCTACCTCTCTTGTCCAGACTGCTCTCAGATACACGTAGTGTTAGCCAATTGAAACATTTTAACTGTTATTAAAAAGTTAACTACAAGAATCTAACATTACGAAACCTAAAACCTTCTACCTATAGTTTAGCACTGTAAGGTCTTATAATGCTGTTGAAAAGATATTTACCCCACCCCATATCGCGCATGTATCCCAACGCATGTGAAGGCCTGTACAGTATCGCATTCCCAAAAGACTTAATAGGCAAGCTGTTAAATAAGCTGTTTACATGCCAGAGAACTTTGTGGGAGCCCAAAACGATTGGGCCTCCAGGGCCTCAGGAGATGAAGTCCTTGACACAACCGTTGTTGGGTAAATTCTGATTCGGTTTCGTAATAAAAAACAGGGCTCTAATCATCAAACAGGCCCAAATGGCTTGTGGTATAGTGGTGATGGTGTGGTTTGCCGTGGGCATCGAAACGTAAACGGGACAGTGGTAGCGGGAGGGCGTCACGAGAGCGGATGTGCGAAGAAAAGGCGTGCTCCCCATTTCGAAGAATTGTGTTCATCAGGGGCGGCGGTTCGATGAAAAGGCATATCTTGCGACCCCTTCATTGCGATTTCACCGACGTCTAATGGCAGCAACCCTAAACACCAATCGTGGTCGCGACGCGTACGATGATTGCCTCTTTTGCCATTATGGCGGTGTGTATTAGCATATGTGGACGGCAGCTTCAGCAATCGAGTTTGGGATGGCGATGTATGCAGCTGAAGCGCAAAGAGGCTCTAGCCGCTGCTCGGGCAGTAGAAAGGACTCAATCCAACGCCAAAGTAGCGACCATGGACCGCCAAAACGTTTCAGCTCTGGAGATCCAGCGTGATGTCGTACGTGTTGAAATTCCAGTCTCTTGGGGTGCGGCAGGCGACCGATTTGATTTAGAAGAAGAACAATCGTTTGATGAACCCCAAAAGCGTCTGAGCTGCACTGGCTGAGTTCACCGATCCGCTGTTTTCCAAAAGCCACACAATGTATTCATAATCATCGCCACCCTGCCTCGCGATATCCAGGCAAGATCTCCCATTGAGGTCTTCGGCTAGCGGATTCGCGCCTCGTTGCAGCAACAATTCGACGCATTCCTCGTTACCCTGCTTACAAGCGTGGTAGAGTGCCGTGCCTTCCGTATCGTACGTCTCATCTGCAGTACCATAGTTAGTGACACGGCGTCGCTCTTCGACGTTGAGACCCCGATCTAGAAGCAGTCTTAGCGCCTCCACGTTTCCCTCCTCAGCAGCTACCACCCCAGCCCCAGTATTCTCCAAATCATGTCCATGATCAAGCAGCAGCTTAAGCATTTCTTGATTAGCCCTGTCTGCATAAATCGTAGATACAATAGCAGTGTCATCCCCAAAAATCGAATCATTCGGTGTTGATCGATGCCCATGCTCAAGCAACCACTTTGCAAAGTTATAGTTACCGTTTTCAACAGCACTAGCCAGTGGGTCGCCGTGAAGCTCGTTTTCATGGGCGTTGAGATCCAAACCATTATCAATCAGGATTTGGAAGATGGAAGGAGATTCCCCATATACGGCATGGGAGACGAAATTACTATTGAAAGATTCTCGAGGAGGCCTCCAGCCTTGGTCGCAACACCATTGCATAATTGAGGGCTTCCCGCGAGCTGCAGCGTGTGTGGCAATATCCTCTAGCGTCATGTTGTTAGGCTGATAGAGATCTTTCAATTGGGCGGCATCGCCTGATGCGATGGCAGAGGCAACTGCCTTTGGGAGATTTGGGAGGCCCATTGTGAAGTTTAAAATTCGTTTCGACGGCGTGTCTGTTTGGTTGCGGAAACCTTGGCGAGTGCGAAGATGAGTTCGCGATTCGTTGAGGTAAGTGGCCTTGTGTGTGCGTCGACTGTTTGTATCTTAGGAAAAGTACTTGTGTGTTGGCTATTTGCGCCTCGGGGATTTGTGTGATAGCTTGCGTCGCGGGTGAGTTGGTGTCGGGTTGAGGTTCGCCCTGGACTCTTATAGCTTCTGTGGCATGAGATGAGTCATGGAGTTACCGACTTACCAAAACACGGTACGCTGACTCTCAGTGTCCTCTAATCCATGGTTCAACCTTTGCAACGAGTGTATGTATGGCATGTGAAGACATGTGAGTCCAGGGCAGGCGACTTAGTGAGTATCTACATACGAAAATGCTCTAGATATCTCTACCGTATTATACGCATTTTCATTAGCCCGAAATTCTGATAGCCGAAGTTCACCGCCATCAAGTGTTGAGACAGGCTCACAGCTTGACTACGGAACTGACCTCTCGAACTTCGGTTCATCTCTGATTATAGACATGTATCCGGGGGTAGAGGTCGTTGAAAGACATTGGGTTAGGTTTGAAGTCCGGGACCCACGAGGGTATTCCACCGTGATGCTTGCGCGCTAGGTCGCCGTTGACAGCGAGGAAGGCTACGGTTCTGCTGGTGGAGAGAATTCTAGCGGTGAGCTCTGTATATAGTTCCCGGGGGCGCCGACTTTGGGCATGAGCAGGACGTTCGTGGTACTGCAGAGCCGGGCGGCGATACCCATGGAAGCGTAGTAGTAGTCTTCGGCTACGGTACAGCTGAAACAAGCTCTGGCATGAAGAAGATAGCTGGTCTACGCTGCGAGAGCTTGTTCTTCGCTTTTAATGCCGAAGAAGCCGTCTAGTCGGTGAACGAATGATTCTGGGCCTACATGCAGAGCGTTGTACCAGTTGCCGTCGGCTAGCCATGCCTCAGCTTTTGTGATTATAGACCCAAACCAGCGCACGTCGGCGATGAACTTGGGCACCTTGGCAACGACCATCCTTATTTTTGGTTGATGCAGATGGCATCGGCCCACAAATGCTGGTTGATTTTCTCCTTACGCAGCTGACCAGACAAGAGTAAAGATTGTTGTCAACGAGAAGTCCTCGCCGTTGCAGTATATCCTTGTCGTGGGGTTAAGACGGTCCCGCTCCTTGCACTCGGGGAACGAGCTCTGGAATGGGAAACACCACGTGTAGGACAAAGCTGTCTAGCTGGGCTTTTCGTTGATATTGTACACAATTAAGAAGTATTTGATCGGCCCTTCGTCCGTTGAAGTGTCAAGATCTAGCAGGCGAATACATTCCAGGTCCGGGAGCAGTAGGATACCGTACAGAGGGTGATCCATCTTGCCCACGAGTCGCCGCTGTAGAGGAATCTGGTAGAACTTATACCTTGCGACGGGCGCGAGGACGAGGCCGAGAATCTGTCACCAGGCATGTTGCCGAGTCCCCTTGAAGGATGCCTATTAATGTGGCTTGAGTCCCTACACTGTCAGGCCGATCTGTGCTGTGAAAGAGGAGGCGGGAATTCTTAAGCGAGTCGTTCTATACCGGAAAGTATTGTTCAGCACCCTACTGATTCTTGCAACATTCGACGTGATTAATAAAGATCTTCTCCTCGAAGGCAGCACAAAAATAATGCAGCGAGCCCCTCTGTGTCGTTGATTCATGATTAAGATTCGAGAAGCGAAAACCACTTCTCATTTTCGCGAATGGGGTTGATTTCAGCTACTAATAACAAGCGCTACTAGCGTAAGCACCTGTCGGACGGAATTACTAGGTTAGCAAGTAAACTGCATAGCAAAGCTGAAAATCTATAAGTACTTATATTTTCCTAATTCCAAATTTTCTTCATCAGAACACGAAACGGGCTCGTGGTTTAGTGGTATAATACTCCCTTAGCATCTCTAGCCTCCTGGAACAGCGATTGGGAGTGGTCCGGGGTTCGATTCCCCGCGAGTCCATTTTTGCCTTTTTTGCCTTTTTGCACATCTTTATGCATTTATGCATCTTTTTGCTTTACTCATACAAAAATCGGGATTCGTGACTAGACGTCGTCGACTAGTCCCGCATCTTTTAGTATCATTTTGCCCACTTGAAGACAGATGCCGACCGTTAGTACGAGTGGCTGTAGGCGAATACGTGTGCTGAGGCTGGATCTAGCAAAATTCGAGGTACTCTACTGTCAGAGCCACCATGATACTTGAGTGTACTCGGAAAGGTAAGGAGTGGGTAGTGTTTAGATGTACGTGCCTGTAACACATTTTAACAGCGAATTGGATACACATTATGATATTGCCAGACTTGGATTTGTAAAATTAAGAGAAGACTACATAATGAGAAAGAGATATTCTGTAGACCCGCCCGAGACGCGATTCAGGCAACTTTAGGAAGAGTTCTGACATCCTATGGCGACGACTCGCTCTCAAGTGTTTAGTCCGTGGTTTTTGGCGCGAGTGTCACAACGTTCGCCACGCACTTGCAAGTCGCAGTTAGGTAGGTAAGAGAGAACACCGGATATTCAGCCAAGAAAGATAAGAAGAGCTACGGTTTTGAAATGCAAGTTTGAGATTATGCTACAGACGTGTCCCCACGATCATGGTATCATCCAAAGACTCAGCGCCTTCCGAGGCAGCAACAGATGTGAACGCCGTGAAATGCCAAAAGTTTATGCGCCAGTATATCTAGTGTCGTAAATCATGATCGGCGCTTGCCGACACGCGAGCCGGTGAAGGGCTTTAGGGCGCCTTTACCGCGCGAGGATGGGAACGAAATCTTGTTCTGCGGCCTCCGGCGAAGCTGTTTCCGGGACTGGTCCTTGTCCTTGTTTTTCTTGCTCGACTTCTTCGCAGCGGAAGCGGCGCCATCGACGTCCATGTCTATGAGGTGACAGTTAGCCCTTGATTCTCACTCAACCAGTCGGTGGAAGCGGGTCAAAGGCAAACTTGAGACGGCCGTCCTGGCTGAAGCCAACAATGTCGGAACAGAGCCCCATGTAGAAACAAAGGTTTCTGAGCTCACGACTCTCTTGTGCAGGATCGAGTTTGGTGTTGGTAGGGTCGCACAAGGAACGTGGTATGGAGGCAGTTAGAAAAGACGAACCTTTGGGCAAGTCATCCTCCTTGGTTGCTTCGGTGGCAGTCGCTTTGAAGAGGTCAGCAGAGCGTTTGTGAATGCAGTGGGACGGCTCACCTTCGGCTGTGTCCATTTCCGTCCTCTCAGGCTTCGATTGCGCGATGGTCTCGAGGAGCTTTGCGTGCAGGCGCTCAGCGCGGGCTTTCTCGACGGGTCCGAATACTCTGGCGCGCAGCTTGGTGCGGTTCGCCTTTTTGCTGCTTGCTCGTGCGGATTTGGCCATTGTGATGAATGATTGTGGTGAAAGTCGAAATGTGGAGGGGAAAAAAGTTCGAGGCGCGGAATTTTGGGGTGGCGACGAGGGCGGTCCGGCTTTCGAGTCGGGCCCGTGCTTGGTCGCGTTCGCCTAGTGACGCTGACTTTGCGACAAGCAGATGCAGATGCGACGGCCGCGAGAGCCGCCGGGAGCTCGACGATAGCAATATAACCTGTCCGGCTCGCACCAAGACGTCTGCCTGCTGGCTGTCCCCGCGCCTGTTTTGCGCCGACGCTGTGTTGGCTGTCTTGTGTCGCCTGCGGAGTCTTGGGAAGTTGCGACCAACGACCATCGGGACCGCTGCAACCTCAGATATCTGCCCTCACCCGGCCATCTCTTACTCTTTGTCACCTCCGCTTGCGAGGCCTTAATCTCCCCAGGCTCCAATGCCTTCTCGAACAGCTTTCCTCCGCTAGCGCCTCACTTCCACCTCAACCTCAACCTCGACTGCAGCACCCTCTCCACCCCGAACTGTAGCCCACAATGGCGTCAAGCTTGCAGCTGATGGCCGCTACCATCACTGAGCGCTCCAAGACGCTTATTAACAATGACCTGAAAAAGATTCTGAAAGAGGAACGCTCATCGCAGACGGGGAACAAGGCTGCGTTACAGTCCCGCGTCATTGGGCGTACGATACTCCCCTGCTCGTCGATTGACTTTCTACTGCCTCACAATGGATGCTAACTTCACGTTCACCAGTCATACAAAATGCCGTCCTTCAAAATGATGCCGATGCGCTGCGGCGACTTCAGTACCGCGTACAACACCACGGAGACGCCCCGCCGCCCACAGCCAGCAGTCCGGCAGCCCCCTCATTCTCCCACCCGCCTGCGCCCACCGCGAACGGCTTCAGCATGGCGAATGGATATCAAACCAGCGGGTCATATCCGGCATACCAGCAGCCACAACCGCACATACCACCTCGTACGCCTTTCTTCTTCCTTATCGACCATGTCCGGGCCACGGCACTAAAGTGAACTAGGACCTACATACTTCTTCAAAGAAAGCCCCTTCTTCGAGATCCGCGAGCTAATACTAAGTAATATTTCGTTAGAAGGTATGATTGCTAGTCTCTGCACACCTGAGCATTGTTACTCATCCAATGCAGCTTCGCCAAGCCACCGTCAAAATACGACCAGAACCCTTGCACCCACCGACGCCATTTGTACACGATTGAAGTCAGACCCCGCTCTACGACTTCTCCTGTTTTCTGCGCTGGAGCAACCACTAACGCCTGTTACGCGCCTGGACATCACATTCCCATCGCAGATCGAAGTCCGCATTAACGGCGAGGAGGTCAAGGCGAACTACAAGGGCTTGAAGAACAAGCCGGGCTCGACGCGTCCTGCAGATATCACCGATTTCGTCCGTATCAGTCCCGCTAATCATCGTAATAACATTGTCGTCACCTATGCCCTAACGCACAAGGCAAGTCCACAGGAGGTTTCTTATCCCTTATCCCTTTCATTTCAATAGGTGAGTATGCACTAACTGTTCCTGTAGAAGTACAATTTGTTTGTCTACATGGTCAAGAAATTCTCAGTAGAGGAGTTGACACAGCGGATCAAACATCGCAATGTCATCACAAAGCAGTCGGTGCTAAACGAGAGTGAGAACCTCTGTATCCTGGGTTGCACTGTGGGGCTGACGGATTCTAGTGATGGAGAAAGCGAATGACCCTGATATCGAAGTTGGCTCGAGCGTCATGTCTTTGAAGGACCCCATCTCTACTTTAAGAATCAAGACACCGTGCAGGTCCACAGTCTGCACGCACAACCAGTGCTTCGACGCCGAATCGTTCCTACAACTGCAGGAGCAGGCACCCACTTGGACATGTCCAATTTGTAATAAGACTATATCTTATGAAGGGCTAGCCGTCGATCAGTATGTGGAGGAGATCTTGAACAAAGCCCGGAACGCAGATCAAGTCACCATTGAGCCCAACGGGGAATGGTCGACCGACACGGATACGTCGCCCAAGAGAAACGGCTATAGCGCCTACGACAACGACGACAGCGAAGATGATCTTGTTGAAATACCGGATTATCGCATCAGGGCCATCAAGAGTGAAGCCGCGCCAACACCTGTATCGCTCAGCACGCCTCCACTACCCTCAAGAGAGACGTCAACGGCCCCTCGATCAAGCAACAAAAGAACATCCGAGGTGGTGGATCTGACACTGAGCGACGATGACGAGCCTGTGAGGCCAACCAAGAAGGTAGCGTACAGTACCCCCAATAGCCTCCCAGACCCATCGCGTCGCTACCAATTGCCTGCCCATGGCCACTCCTCTGCCCACAGTCGTCCACCACCACCCTCTTATCACAGTATGCCTTCGGGTATGCGCTCGGAGTATTCTCAACCTCCTTCAACACCTCCACCGCGGCCCGCATATGGGTCCTATCGACCGCCACCGCCTGCGTCACGCCCTAGTTATCCCGGCCAGGGCACATCATCATACCCTACATACCTCGGCTCCTCCCCTTGATTTTCATGTTGCGCGCACTATTTGTATCTTGTCGATCATGTACGATCACTGTTCCTCAGCTAATCTCACAATCTAATCACAGGGCAGAGTCGGAGCAAGAACAAGCTCGATGCGAGAATAGGCCTCCTACTTTAGTGGGGAGACGCTCGGTTCTGAAGAAGTTGCACAAACTGATCAAGTGGAGTCTTCTACCATACTCTATATTTTCCATTCTGATTTGAAGTGGGATTTAGCGCGAGGCGTTCAGGAGACGACATGCTATGAACTTTTATCTGATTTTGGCGTACGGGAGGGGACATTGGGATACCATCACCGCATTGCGTGCATTTTGATCATTTTGAAGCGGTTTACATTTCGTTGACTGTGCAAAGCGCGGGGAAGCAGGCTGAGGGGGGTTGGGGTTTCATACAAGGATTGGGGGAGCAGGCCGAGCGAGGGAATGGAGAGCGTAGTGGAAGAACAGCTGAACAACTTACGGTAATACGAAACCGGTTTGAGATGTGATTCTTAATCTCATCCACTATTCAACAAGGCAAAGACAAGACCAAACAAACGGATTCAGATAGAACAGTGACACGTAGAAGGGACAGAGCGACCTGGGCTGAACCTGTTGATGAATAAAACGGTATGTGACGGTTGATTTTGTGTTGGGGATGACTGTCAAGGCGATCGGTGGGGTTTTCTAGATTCAAACGAGAGGAGTTGTTTTAACAGTACCTAACGCTGCACTTGCTTAACGATTGCTGAAGGGCAATAAGCCACCATGCACGCCTGTGCAAAACACTAATTATACAAAAGACCGAAATCAAAAGACCGCTCCAACAAAGACTTTTTTTTTTCAAGCTCCCCTTTCCATGAAACCACCAATTTTAGATCGGATATGCGCACGCACTTACTGCGACAGATTCAAGTCCTGGTAGTAGTTCCGCGGCAACTTGGTCTCGTTCGGCAGATACGGGTATCCTGCTTTCTCGCGCGCCATGTCGTTGATCCATTTGCTGTCCGGCTCGACCTTCTCGCCCTGGGCCAGCGTGTCTGCAAGGTACAGCCATGACAGCGCATTGCCCACGGTACTGACCTCATCACTGATGTTGTTCTCCGCATATTCGGACATGTCAGCATAGAGCTGAGGATCAGTGAAGAGGTCGCGGAGGTGCTTGGCAACCGCCTTGTAGTCACACGGCTCAACGAGGAAACCAGACTTTCCATCTTGGACTTGGAGGGGGATGCCGCCTGCACGCGTGGCAATGGTAGGCACGCCATGATGCAGGGCTTCACTGACCTTGACCTCGAAGCCTTCACGGGTGGAAAGTTGAAGGGCAACGTGGGCGGAGTGCATGAGGGCGTTGAGAATTTGGTCGGAAGCGCCTACACGCATCACGACAACATCATCTCTGAACTCTTTGTACGCATCACTCGCCAAGAGCTCCTCGGTCTCGTTGTAGATCCTGACGGCGTCGGGGTCGTCGACGGCGCCGTGCCCGGCGATACATAATTGCGGAATCTCCTCGATGGGCTTGCCTTTCATGTACTCTCTACGGAACTCAGCATAGGAGGCGATCACATCAGGGATGCCCTTTGCCGGATCGAAGCGTGCGATTTGGACAATGTATTCACGGTTTGGGTAGGCAAGCCGACGCATACCAGCCTGGAAGCATTGAGATCTAAACTGATGCATGTAGTAGAAGTTGTCCCAGTCCTTCATGTGCTTGTTCAGACCGTCCTTCCAGTCCGTGGTTGCAGGCAGGTAGCCGACTTTTGCTGGAGTAACGTTCTTGGGGACGAAGGCGCCAACGGGATGGCTGACGAAGACATTGCAGTCCTTGACGTTGTTCCACACCCAATTCCACACCTCGGCAGTAGGGGTGCCTTCCTGATCAGCCAAATCGGCACGAACCTGGATATGGCTACGGAAGATGACAGGACGTGTGGGATCTTGTTGCTTGGCGATCTTGACCAGACTTGGCATCTGAGGGTCGTCGACGATGATGACGTCGGCACCTCCCTGCTCGCGAGAAGCAAGAGGACCACCGGATTCCAGCCATCGGCACTGTTTAGCTTCGTGCTGGACCCACGCGTCGAGTTCGTCCATCTTTGGCTGGGTAAGACGCTCACCGTGGACAGCTACGCCTTGGAGGATGTTATGATTGTCTTTGGTGATGCGGAAGATGGTAGGCTTGCCGTAGGGAACAAACCTGGTGAATTGTCAGCAGTGAAGTCCTGGTTGTGTCAAGTAAAACTCACCATTTGCAATCCACATTGATCAGGCGTAGGAAGCGAATGAGCGCGTGTCTCATCAGGGCCACACCTCCACCTTGTGGAGTGCTGTTGAAGAAGGCAATCTTGGTCTTGTTCGTCTTGAGCGAGTTTGCGTATTTCATGGTTGCAGCCCACGTCGTGTCCAACCTGACCGTGTCTTCGTAACTCTCAAGATTGGTGATGAGGGCTCGACCCTCGCAATCGACGGCAACGACATGGCGATGGCCACAGACCACAGGCACCAGTCCGTTCAAGTCGAACTGCCTAGAGGGAAGTAAGCCAGTGCATGGGGTTAAGAGAAGATGGTATGGTCAACGTACTTGACGGTCTTCCTGGACATGTAATCAGCTTCTTCGTCTACACTCATGCTGGATTGGTCGCGTTTGGAATATGGGTTGGGGCCAAAGATGAAGGGGACAATGTCCAGCTCGCTCCATAGGAGTGCGGGCAGCTGAGGACACAGTTCAGCAACACGCTCGGTTAAGCCAGCACCCATAGTTTTAGACAGCCGGATGGTGCGGAAGCTGCTGAGCTTCTTCAAGACGACCTTGGCTAGATCATTGGGGATGTCTTCCAAGGACGCTGGTGTAGCCACGCCCGATCCGGATTCAGAGGATGTGCCTGACGAGCCGTTTTCTCTATCGGATGGCACGTTGAGGAGGTCGTAATCGAGGCAGTAGGTTCCATCGTGTAGAGCGAGAGCAATTTGGAAGGTTCCATTTTCTTTCTGGGCAACGGCTACACCGGCGTAGATTGTTTCAACACCTGCACCCGGATTGCCTGAACTGGACTTGAATGAAGTCTGCGCCTTGTAAGCCTCACGTGTATCCCTGCGGCGATTTGCCGGGCGATTCGGATCTAGCTTGGAAGCCGACATGTCTCGTAGTAGGGGATGTATTGGAAATATAAATCAATGTGTTGTAGCGGGAGCAAGTGGGTTAGCAAGCTACGAGTGGGTGGTCAAAATAGGTGGTCAAAATAACAAGGTAGGCAATGGATGTTGTTTGCCAAAAGCTGTAGAAGCAAGGCAGAAGGGCGCAGGCAGCACGGCTTTTATGGTACAAGTGGATACATGGTTGACTCGCGAGAATGCTGTGACTTCACTGGCCGACTTGTGAAGCAGTGCCATGGTCGATGGTGGTGGTGCTGTCAGCGGGATGCAGTGGCGAATGATAGGCGCGGGTGGGTCCCGAGGAACCTGTTGCGAGCAAAGGGCTCGAGGATTGACGGTGGTTGACAGTGGCTAGGAAAGGCGGTGAATGGAGCGAGAAAGATTGACATGCGGGCGTGCCGTGGCGAGAAGTCTTGGGAACACGAGATAGGGTGACGCGACCATGTTGGTTCAAGCATTGGGGACTGGCCGAGAGTAGAGTCGGGTCACTTGGGGAGTGAGAGGAGCTAGCGGGAGAGAGCTGGAGGGAGGGAGGGAGAGAGAGAGAGAGGCGGCTCTGGTACGTGGGCTGGCTTACGCGAGGCGGCAGACGCTCCCCACGCGAAGCCTGGAGCGAGCGAGCGAGGGAGGGCAGGACAGGAGAGGACAGGAGAGGAGAGGAGAGCTAACTTTGGACTATGGGACGGGTTGGCACGACATCAGACCGTCATGCGACGCCTCATCAACGCCAGACGGACGACGGCGAGAAGCTCAATTGGAAGGCCATGTGCTGCTGCTGCTGCGCGCCGTCTTACCGCAGTGAGGACGGGGTCGTTTGACATGAACGAGTTTTCTGTCACCAGGCCCTGCGAATGGGGGACGCCTTGGTTCCACTGCCTGGCTGCGATGCGATGCGATGCGATGCGATTGCCTGTGTGAATCAGCCTCTGCGAGACGCATCGTGCAACCATCGTGGCAGATGGCGAAGAGTCTAATAGGAGTGTAATTAGAGTCTGGTTGGGGTCGTCTCCAGTAGAGAGGGCATCTGATTAGACGACAAGTCGACTGCTACTACAGCTACTCGGGCTGTAGAACATGTCTAGAGCTAGCTGCTGCAGCTACCTGACATGTCAGACAAGTCTAGGGTTTCTTTTTTCTTCTTTCTTCTTTCTCTTTTTTTATTTTATTTTTTATTTTATTTTTAGTATTCTGATTTCTCACCGTACTTGCTATGTACCACCCACCTACTTGCCATCTACGTATTCCCATACTTACTACCACATTACCACCTCGACTACTTCGCGAACACGTGCAACAAAACGAGCCCTCTTGTTTGTATTAGCGACGGCAGCTAAAGTCGATTCGGGGCGCCGGATTGGAAACGCTACCAGGCTCCGGCAAGCCAAGGCGACTGTGCATCCCAGCGACCCACCCATCGTCGCTCCGCCGCTCAAACCTCGTCGCGCTCGCCAACCAACCTCACCACCCACCAGACACTACACACTAGACACCAACCGCACCCGCCCCAGTCTCTATCACCGCCCCGATAGACTCCCGCCCGTCCATCCGGCTTTTGTCGCGCCCACCCCAGGGCCGGCTCTGCCTACTACACGCCTGCTCCGACACACGCTCGGAAGCTGTGCGACGTCCAGCCTCGCCAGCCCTGCGACACCTTGTCCACCCCCCTCAGGCATCAACACACAGCGTCACACACAGCGTCACACATATCTCCACTATTCACTACTTGCCACTTGACCGCGCCTACCACCCTCCCTGCACCCCATCACCGCACCCGACAGCTGTCTCCTCCAGCGTGAGCGCATACCATTCGCAAACATGAACCACGGCTACCCGCCCCGCGTCATGGGCGGCCCTCCTCAGCCTGGCCCCAGCCAGCGCCTCAATGAGCTCCTCGATAACATCAGGACCGAGTTTGAGTCAGAGTCCCAGCGCAACGTCGACTACGAAGGCCAAAGTGAGTGCTTTTTTCCACACTTGCATCCCATGAAGCATCTGCTGACCACCCTGCAAACAGTCGCCCGCCATATCCAAGAGATCGAGCTGATCCGCAGCAAGGTCTATTCGCTAGAGCAGCAGCATACCCAGATGAAACTCAAGTAAGGCCCCCCATGCTTGCTTCTGCTTTTCACTTGATTGAAAATTACCCACTGCCCCATCATGCCATTCTACACATGGGCCAGAACACAAGCTGATAGCAATCGCAGATATGAAGACCGAATCGCCCAGCTAGAGCGCGAGGTGGAAGCCCGCGGCGGACCCAGCCAGAACTCGCAGCACCACGGAGGCCCCTCGCAGCCTCAGCCACCCACCATCGGCCATGGACCTAGTAACCTATTCGGCGGAATCATGGCAGGCAGCGCTGCGCAAGGTGGTCCAGGACTAGCACCTCCTCCACAAGAGCCACAGCAGCCCCAGGGCATGCCACCACATCTGGGTCCTCAGGGCCCACCAGGTCTGAATCCGGCGCCTGGCCCCCCACAACATTTTGGTGGCTATCAGCCGGGCCCTTCGGTCAATGGTGAGCAACCTCACGCTCTTTGGCTCTGACCAAAGGCTTGAGACAGCTGGGTCGACTTCTGTACGCATTCGAGCTAACAAATCCTAGGTTATGGTCAGCCTCCGCAACCCACCGCCTCGCCTGGTGGTAAGCGCCCAGGCCCAGGTCCTGGCCCTGGCCGTGGTCCCCCGGGACCTGCAACCCCTCAGCAGAACAATCCTGCCCCGTACCCTGGATCGCCTCAAGTGCCGCGCCCAACACCTCCTCCGCATCATCAGCAGCAACAGAATGCCTTGATGGCCCAGAACCGCATACCGCTCAGCCAGAGCAACGTACTGGCTGATCTGGACATTGAGCAGCTGCCAGAGAACCTGAAGAAGGAAGGCAGTGACTGGTTTGCCGTCTTCAATCCTCATTCTCGCCGCGTCCTGGATGTCGACCTGATCCACAATCTGCCCCATCAGAGTGTAGTGTGCTGTGTGCGCTTCAGTCTAGACGGGAGGTACGTTGCGACAGGTTGCAATCGTTCGGCACAGATTTTTGACGTCGAGACCGGAAATCCTGTTGCCCATCTTCAAGATGGCAGTCTGCCCGAGGATGGCGACTTGTATATTAGGAGCGTTTGTTTCAGCCCCAACGGTGCATACCTCGCAACTGGCGCTGAGGACAAGGTCATCAGGGTAAGTCTTGAATCTCGGGTTATTCAACACGCAAACCACTGACGTTCGCAAACAGGTGTGGGACATTGCATCCCGCTCTATCAAGCATCAGTTCACCGGCCACGAGCAAGATATTTACTCGCTAGACTTTGCCAGGAATGGCAAGATCATTGCATCCGGAAGCGGTGACCGTAGTGTCCGTCTCTGGGATCTCGAGAGCAATTCGCAAGTGGCCAACTTCTCCATCGAGGACGGTGTCACTACCGTGGCCATCTCTCCAGACAACCTGTTTGTTGCGGCTGGATCTCTCGACAAGAGTGTCCGTGTCTGGGACATTCAATCCGGCCAGCTTGTCGTTCGTCTTGAAGGCGAGCAAGGCCACAAGGATAGTGTCTATTCTGTTGCCTTTGCTCCTTCTGGGAACCGACTCGTCAGCGGCAGTCTTGACAAGACTATCAAGATGTGGGAGTTGTCTACAGCGAACCGCTTCATTCCCGGACACCCTCCTAGTGGGAAGTGTATCCGCACTTTCGAAGGCCATAAGGTAGGCACTTCTCACCTTTTGGAGTAAAGATACGTAACGACTGACACATACCGTAGGACTTTGTGCTCAGTGTTGCGCTTACTCCCCATGGCGATTGGGTCCTGAGCGGTTCCAAGGACCGTGGTGTTCAGTTCTGGGATCCTCATACTGGTGTTGCGCAACTCATGTTGCAAGGGCACAAGAATTCTGGTACGATTGAGCCTCTAACCCGTCAAATCCGTTGTGCTCGCATGCTAACTATCGGTAGTCATCTCTGTTGCCCCGAGTCCCACGGGAGGCGTCTTCGCCACCGGTAGCGGCGACATGCGCGCGCGAATTTGGAGGTGAGTTATTTTCCATCCCAGTCACTTGACACCGCGCCATTTGCGCACTCACGGAATGCTTGCACACCGCCAAACTGGTTATCGCATGGCTCCATTGTTATTGCAAGAGCTGTTTACGTCGTGCGAGCAATCTCATCCCATCTTCTCCACGATGGATGCGGTGTGCAGTGGGGTTCTTGGCGTGGGACCCACGCCTCACTGCCCCCACGCAACCGTCATCTGGCTGAGAAGCGGATGGGTCGAGGCGAATAGCCATGCCCGCATGATGCAACAAACTCCAGCCAAGTCTTGGATGTCTTCTACAACCCTGTCGTAGACATCCCAGGACTGACGCTGGGGTTTGGTAGGCGGCATGCAATGAATCGGCCTACATCACCTCCACAACCAATCTACGTATAGAGCTAACTCTATGTACAGATTCGACAGGTACCCTGGACCTTAAGCAACCCGGCCAATTAAAGTTGGGTGTCTGTCACCAGAGAAGTGGCAAGAGCTGGTCTACAACACCGTGGAACAACGACTACTTTTCTCGACCGCGAAACCTTGTATCACATTGAGGACTCTCCGGGCGTACTTACCAATGTCCAAGTACGGTACATGTCCGACCGATTACTCCTTCATGTAATCCCGGATGGGTTGAACACGTCCCATTTACGCGAGGATCTAATAAAGTGTTGGTAAAATTTTGCGAAGCTAGTAGGGGGCCAAAGGGGGAGGGTATAAAGTAACGGGGTAGAAACGTTCAGGTATTGATTCTCGTTTTACGATTGGTAGGAGATTGGAGGATGGAGTTTTGAACAATTCCTACGTAGTTTTTTTTTGGATCCCTCGCACGGATGCGAGGGGACGCAAGATAGGGCTTGCGGAATATTCGGTAGCTTTGATTCCCATACAATTCAGTCTTCATCCGCGTTATGTTTTACCGTTCTACATATGCATGATTTATGTTGGGCGAGCTTATCATGTCTGGCCTGTCCTGATACTATACACCGTGACGATGGAGGACTTATTTTCAGCCTTTATATATCTCATCGTAGTTGGTAACACGATTTAAGCTTCCTACTCGAGACTTGCCATGGGTTACAATACAATAGTTGGCTGTTGGCTTAACCTATTCCAAAAGCTTATTAATAGCTTGACAAGTAGTCCAGGGCGTATTTTATTCACGCGCTGTTTAGTACGGTCACCCATGGCACAATGTGTACTCAACCACCCTAAATCCCCAGTTTTCACTCGTAGCAGTATAAAATCATTTGCGCACCCATCTTCATCTCTAACCTCCAGACCTCTTCAGATCACGTACCTCATTCACCACCCGAAGATGTCTCTCGTCGAAACGCTTCAGTCTCAGTTTGAAGCAGCACTGCTTCATGTCGCCGCCATAGTGTCACGCTTCGAATCCGAGATGCTCCATATCCCACCTGCCCTGCGCTTCTTCACAGTAGGCGCAGAACCAGACCACCTGTTCAGACAGGCTTTCCTCTTCCTTCTGGCTCCGCTCCATGCCTTTGTTACACTACCTCTGACCGACTTGGTCTGCTATAATTCCCGGAAGTTACGGCGTCACGGGTTGGTTCAGTGTGGAGAGTGGTATCTGTGGTTCTTTGTCACGTTTTGGGTCGCTATACTCCTGGTAAGAGCACTACTACACCATATTGCGAGGTAAGAAAGTGCTAATAAAGCGGCAGAATCGCCATTTTCCCTGAGCAAAATGAGGATCTTCCGACTGCGTCGCTTCGTTGGATGCTTCTTCATCTATTGTACGATATGCTTGCCACTCACATTCCTGTATCCCTCGTATTGCACTTCCTCGGGTGGCATCATGCTTTTCTTTTCCATCGATTTAGTCTGCAGGCGAAAGCTGCATTTTGCGATAAAAACTCACAAGCACCTACGCTTTAGTAGTACCTGCCGGCGGGGCAGTAGATCATCTATGCAATTTCGACACCTCCTGCAACCCATACATCTCGAACTCCAGCACAAACCGACATACAATGGCACCGGCAAGAAATCTCCCAACAACTTCCATGGCTGTGAACAAGGACAGAAAGAGCACACTGGAGAGCACAATGGTACCGTATATGACCTGGACCCAGACCAAAAATTTAATCGCCCAATTCAAGAACAGCAACCAATATCTCTTGTTTTTCTTTACGGCTTCCGTTCGCGTGACAGTCTCGCCTTTCTTAAATGCGCACGGCGTCATCTCCCTAACAGCCCAATCCCTCACTCGCCTCCATGCTCGATAACACGGATGTAGTTGGCGTGCGGATTCTGGTTTTGGCTGCGGCCTACCTGATGGACGGCCGAGATAGAGGACATACACGCCCAGCGCTTGGATAGGAATTGGGATGAAGACCCAAAGCAGCGGCGAGAAGGCCTCGGCCGTGTTTCCAAACGACCCCATAATCATTGATATAAACGAAATGGCCCAGAAACTGAGTTGATACCCCTGGATGAGTGAATTTGCTGCCGCCGTCCCAACAAGTCCATACTCGAAGATTGATATCAGCGCCTTGGCCCACACTGGTGCATCGATCAGTACCTCCGGCCACAGAACATCGTTCGCTCTATTCTGATTATCTTCCCCTCTCCTGCTCACAGCCTCCAAGCCCGTATAATCGCTCTGCAGCGTCGCGCAGGTACTCCCCAGACTGATTAGCACTGCCAGAACTGGTCGCCGCATGCCCAATACTGCCACATCAGCTACCCTAGGCCCGACAAACTGCAACGCCATAGGCAAGAGGCCCAGCACAACCGACACGATCGCCATCTCAGTTTTCCGTATCTCGGTGAAGTTGTCCAGGATGCAGCTAACAAGAATCCAACCACCCTTCTCGGGACGCGCTGTTAGTTCGGCATATTCGTCCTTGCAATCATGGTGGAGCAAGTCGGTCAGCACGGTATTCCAGGATCCTCCGGCGTAGAAATGCTTGAATTGACCGTTATTATATGCGAAGACGGGAGTGATGAATGGGATTATGAATAGATGGGTGAAGGATGCCATGGCGTATGGGCGCTTAACGATAGGAGAGGTGGTTTTGTTGCGTTTTTGCCAAATTCAGGTGCTTACATGGACACCGAGGCGGTGTCTCCATGAGATATGTGAAAGAACTCACCGACTGGCAGGAGACGAAACGCGAGATTTCGATGTTAAGAAGCGTTTTAAGACCTAACTGGCACCCCATGCGAATCCTACAGCTCCTTCGTCTACGAGTCAGCGACGCAGTTATTTGAGAGCAGATATCTTTTCTGGTAGTAACTTGGATACTGGCTGCTAGTAGAGTAGTTGTAATACACATTTTAGCACGTTACTGGGTCTATGTAGCTGTTTGCAACCACTTGTATCCTGAAGTTGTAGAGTGAGAAGGAGTGACGGCAGACATGGGTAGAGGCCTCTAAACTCAAGCGGGTAGTCCCGCGAATTTAGCCAGCTGCCTCCCTGCACTTTAGGCAGGTTAGTGCTGACTTTAGGTGGGTAACCAGTATCTAATTCCCTGTTGTATACTTTTGCAGTAACCGTGAAAGGCTATGCACTTGAAGTACCTGCACAAAACCAGGAATAGCTCAACAGGCAGGCAATCTGGGCGTAAGCGCTTTTGAATTTTATTTTCTCTTCAAAAGGCCAAGCATCTTCTTAGTATTTTGAGTAGAAGCAAACTTTTTAATTTTGCATTCTGTATAGAGACTAAAGCTCAATACTACAGTAAATGGCTGATATATGTAATATGCTAACAACAGAGCCTATATGCGTCTACAATGCGAGTTTGGGCGAGTTGTATCCTAAGTCGATAGAAAACGATACAGAATTCTGAAAGATTTTATGGAATCACAAACATCTCTGCACCCATAGTACCTTTATAGAACTAGCCATAGCTCAACTCTATAATAGATATCGCTAGTGCAAGGCAAGCGAGGCTGGATTTGGGAGAGTGAGTGATGAAGGTCTTGACTTTGTTAGTTTGAAGGAAGGCTGACATCGTTGGGCAGCAATTCAATTGTAATGCGACAATCCTGTATACAATAAAATCTATGTCACCGCTAGATTACTGTATTAAGCTTCTTAACTTAAAGGGTGACTGCAGCGTGCGATGAATTGAATTAACTCAGTGAGTATGCGATGAGTAAGTGCTGACTTTGTTAGTTATCCTACCTCTCATCGAGACAGGTTCAAGTGATTGGGCTATTCAATCGGTAAAATTTTGCATGAACGAGATTTCGTTTGACGAATCGAGGTCAAGCTGTCATAGGATACGAAATCTTTGCTGAGGTAGCTTGAGGTTGACATTATACTGCAGAACATTGCAAGTCTTGACCTGTATATCAGACTTCTACTTTGAATAATGATGATTCATTCGGGCGACGGTGCGGTTACCCACGTAGTATAACGGGATAGGGTGTGAGTAACACCTATAGACTGCACCTCTGATAGTCGAATCACAGAGCCGTTATCAAAGTGAAGCAAGCGGCAGCATTGACAAGGTACGACGACAACATGTCAGCAGTTCTCGGCGAATTTTGTTTTCGCAGAAGTCTACGACAATAGAGTCGTCATAGACCATCTCTTCGGTGTTCAGTTCATGGTCTAGTGACTATTGTCTCTCACGTTGGGTGTAGTACCCATCGTCGTACCCCTGATGCTATGGTCGGCGAGGTCCCCACAAGGGTTGACGCGTTCTCATCAAAATCCATGTTCTCTCCCGATCCCATTATTTGGGAAGGCTGCCCAGGTGGGGGGGGGGGGGCAGATGAAACTGTATGCTAGGTTCTTCCGGCACTTCCTCTCCACCGGTAGGCTTGACGGAGAAATACGAGATTGGTTTTACAAGGACAGTTAATATTTCCAGCCGGTATATGCATTTGGTAATTTGAAGTAGATCTCGTATGATTCAGAATGCAGTACCCCACTTCCTATACGGATTGAGTTCGATCTCAGGCGATGGATATTGGGAAGCATTTGAGACTCGGCGTTCGGTAGATGCTTGGCCGCCAACCAAAAATCATTGCAACGCATGTCACTTGTGAGATAGTCCTGGAAATTTATTGGTGAACATGATTCAGTTGCAGTGTGATCTGAGCGATGGCATAGAAGTTTTATAGAACTTTTGCCATCACAAAGCTGGCCGACGATAGTGAAGCTTCAGGGGTCGAAACTAAGATCTGTGTTGCCGATGGACATACCCCTGCGATCAACATACCCCTGCACCGGGTGCATGAGGGATTGTAGGATTGTGTCATAGCTCTGAGACTAGTTGTAAAAAGAGGAGAGCTTGATCCCGGCTCTCGGCTGTCGTTCGCTTAGAGGGATTAGCTGAACTCATTTGGGGGCGACGTTCAGTCAGATACTTCCCTGTTCTGACAGTCACCTGGCAATGGCACGAGCATATTCCTGTTTAATCGAAACGGCAAACACACTTAGAGAGGTTGAGCCGCACAATCTTGGGCGGCTTGGCATGTTCTCCCAAGGGTATGCTTAGTTCTACTCTAGCGTGCGAGGGCATGCATGAAGTTCCTCGCATGCTGGTAACGGGAATCGTAGTGGCCTGACTATCCTCGGGCATATTTGGCGAGGCAGTAACTCGAACGAGAGAATCGTGCAGGATCTGAGGAATCTGATTCCACTATGCATCCTACAAGCCCCTTGCGTAGCTCGCGACAGCCGCGAGGCTAGTAAATGTGTGTGATAGCGGGCGAGTCGTTTGGGTGGGTTAGAAGATACCTAGAGCAGTGTAGTGTATCAGCTGTAGAGGTTGCGAACGCTCACAAATTGAGTGAGGTGCAGGAACATGCTTGAAGGTTACATGTTCTGCAAGTAGTTGCCGGCGTCCGCTCGACATGTGGCAGTGGGGAAAGAAACCCTGAGCGAGAAGCGAGACAAATTAGATACGAGATCGTGGATACACGGCTGCAATAATAATAAGTCTTGTGCAATGAGGCAAGGCTGGCTGACAGTGATGGTGGCATTGTCAGTCTCACTCACACAACACCGGCGTTCGGCCTTGAGATGCGTACTTTGCTGTTGCAACGAACATACAAACTATATCTAATTCTGTAAGTACAATATCTTGAACTGCGGAAATAATATCAAAACAGGAGGGGGAGGACTTAGCACTACAAGCTCCCACTGGTCAGACCACCCGCAGGATCTGATGCAAGAGACTCAAAGAAATAATCATGGCAGCTAGCGCGCCTCTCATCAGCAACGTAGCGAAAGCCTAGATGAGGAACGTCATCCGAGACCGATCAATGAGAACTGTGGGGTAAGCGACAAGATAGGTGACCTGTCAGAACTGCTAGCAGGTTACTGCAGGATTGCAGCAGGATTAACGAGATTTTGCGGGCATGGAGATTGTGAGCACTCTGATAGGTGAAACCCCCTTTTTTTCATGATGCAGTTGCGATCGCAAAGTTCCTAGCGAAATATTGTGTCAGCTTGCTCCAACCGGAATCTCAATACTGATTGCTCGGCTGGATCTCGGAGTAGAAGATAGGCAAGCCACAATATCCTGCGCAAGCTCCGCACACGAAAAGCAAAACCTAAGGCCCGCCGTGCGCTCGTTGCACAAACTAGTACAGTAGGCGTCAGGATCGGCCCTTCCTTGGTCCTTCTCAAATCACCCTCCGCAAGCGCTCCCGCTTCCGCATTCTGCGAGAACCTTGCAAGCTGACAGGGTGTCCTGGATCTCGGTATCGGGCTGTGTCAGTCGTGATCGAGACCGCGGGTTTGCCCTCATACTTATTAGTGGCAGATCAACGGTCGAGGCCGAAACTGCTAATGTTGGTAGTTGACTAAGGTAGAGTTGATTAGAGCGGTAAGCTGAACTGCTCAACGTGTGGTTGCACGTGGGACGCCATCGCATGGGCCGCAACCCACCATTTCGACACAGACTGTAGCTGTAATTCGTGGATGTATCGGTCAGACGAGCGTTCAGATTACACCGCCAACTTCATATGCATGTCATGTCCCCGTAAGTGTGTAGATGTTGACATGAAGGCGATATCGTTTCGCAGAATTGGTAAATGTCAGCTTCAATTGGAATACTCTATGTGTCGCGACTGATGTTCGACAAGTAGTGAGCGCATACTGATAGTAGATGCCACTGCTGGTAATCTAATTTGGATGTTAGACGTAAGTGTTCCCATCAAAACCAAGCAGCTTGCTCATCATACAAACGGATACGCATGTTACGCATGGATGAATTAGATTGACCGCCAGTATGCCTGTGCGCTTGCTGATGCAGGCCGTGCTATCATACCGCCTTTTTCAGCTAAGTGGGAAAGTACCCGGGGGCTTGGAAAAGTGACGAAAGAAATTCAACGAATTATATTAGCTGTAGCGGAGACTTGTACGGAACGTGATTCGTTCGTCGCTTTTGGAAAACCCCTGTACCGCGGTAATGGAATGACCGGAGAAGGGCTGTTGCCGCAACTCCGCGTGCTGTTGTGTGGATGTGTCAAGGCAGACAATTGGGACGTGAGACATCAATTGGCCAAGAACAAACACTAATTCATCGGGCATGCGAGAGTGCTGATAGGCAACTTCACCATTTCAAGTGGCGGTCAACGTTGGGCATCCTACCAGTCCAGAGAATCTTACGACTTTGGGATCCAAATTAGTCTACTAGTCACTGAAGGTGTCCTCGTGTGTCTCTCGATTTGCTCATCCAAGCGTGATATGCCTGCATGCTTCCAAAGTTGCATAGTTGAACCCATAGATCTTTATGACGGTCCCCTGCTCGTGTTTGAGGCTACTGCAGGTCCACCAATTCGGATGGGGACTTGCTCAAAGACCTAGAACCCTCACCCACCTGCGTCATTTGCGTCTGCCCAACTCTTGCAGCTGACATCTGGCCGCAAGGCGAGTTCTGACCCTGGACGTTTTGACCCTGGGGGAATATTGAGGGATTATATCCGCCCAATCTGCAGGGGTGGAGCATCTACCCCTTCAGCAGAATATAGCAAAGCTTTGATACGGCAGCCTTAACTTTGGGTTTTCCGTCGGGTGCTATTAGTTCAGTTCAGTAACATTAGTCCGCACCAGTGATTGATTTCCTGTGGTTCAGATTGGAACACGGCCTCTACGATTAACAGAGAGCTATAGGTGAGCCCTAGGAGTTCTTCTCCCCTTCCTCTTTGCGGGGGTAAAAGTTGGATGACTTAGCTAAGCTTTTACTATGAATGAGACTGTGACGGAAGAGTACGGAAGTCTGGTTGCTGTAGCGTTGAAGGATGGTCTGATACTCTCGTGATATCGGAATCGTGCAACTCGGGTGTCCCTCGCTCTGATCATCTCGGCGTGCAGCCTCATGCCATCTCGAAGAGCTTGAAAGCACTGCTTGTGTTGCAGTGGGTATCGGGCATGTTGATTCAGATACAGTGCGAGGACACGTGCATGCCATCAATCGAACCGCCAAGCCGCCGGGGGGAGGGCCAATTTTGGACGATACGAAAAGGGTCTTGAAGAATCAAACATGGTTAGAAGGAACCCATGTCCCAGCGAGAGCGAACGGACATGGGCGAAAAGTGAGAACGAGGACCCGAAGCGACTCTGGAACATGGCGTGGCGTGCGCGCTTCCGACCAAGGCTGGTTGAGGCCATGGTACTGGGTCACCGTTGACACCTTCACGGCTGCAAGGCAAGAGAATGGTGGCCAGGGTATGGGACCAGGGATCCTGCACCGTGTGTGTCGAGACGTCGGCGACGATAAAGCCCCCTGTGATGAAGTCATGGGTTACGGCAGGTGGCGGCTAGCGAGGCGTCTGATTGTGGGATACCGAGCGAGGCAGGGGAGGCCACAGGCTGCTGCAAGCCTTTCTGAAAAAAGAATGTTGAGGTGGAGAGGGGGGGAGGGAGGAGGGAGGAGATGGGTGGTGGAGATGCGCGTTTGCGATGATGGGAGCAGATGGGGATCTCGCCCGGACTGCCGGGGAAGGCGCGATGCACTGATTGGCCTCGATGATGCGATTACGAAAGCCAGATAATCCACACCCACACCCACACCCAGGTCGGATGCAGCCTTCCTCACTCCACCAAGCACACACCAAGCACACTATTCGTCGCCATGCCAGCCCTCTTCTCTGCCCACAGTGGGAGCCGCTTGTTTACTACCGCACATGGCGACCAAAAACCATGGCCCAACCCTCGAGACGGTGATGCTTGGCATGGGTATAGCAACATCGACGGCGGCGGCGGCGACGACGACGACGACGACGACGACGAGCTGCAACACACTGGGAGATAGCTGACGCCTGCAGGTACCCTGCGGACACCAAGGTAGGGGCCCCGACCAAGAGATGCACTTCTGACAGCCTGGGGCGTCCTGGAGAGCTACCCGCCTCATTACCTAAGGCCCCGTGAGTGAGGCTCATTATTCGCCCCTCCGCCAAAGCAGCAAACACTGAGGCTTATTGGGCTTGCTCCAATCCGTGCAAGATTCGCGAATGGGCTTCGTTCGCGGTCCCTCGCGGCTTCGGGAGTAGCCCGCCCCGTCGCTCGACCGTCGCTATAGTGTCTATTCGCACCCACGTGCGCTTGGTCTGAACCCCAGGGCCTGAGCCGTGTCGGCACGTAAGAGCGGGGGCACGAGAATGCGCACCAATTTGCAGAAGCACACTCAGGCCAAGATTAGCCTCCTAGATCCTCACCAGGATCGTAGCCCGCCCTGGATCCATCTTTGTCCTTCATCGTGGTCGACGCTTCAGATCTAGCATCCAGCAACAATGTCACCCTTGCGGACGACTTCACATGGCAGCCGTGACAGCGTGATCCCCCCTTCATTGACATCTGAAAACATCGGAGCCCTCTTTTCCAATAGGACGGTCCAGCTTCAATGGCAGCCCAATAGCATGCGGCCTGGGCCTCCGTCCCGAGCGTCACAAACCCCCACACTCTAGTGCACTGAGACGAGCCCGGTGCAGCCACTACCCGTCCGTTCACACTTGGAGTGAGACCCTGCTCCGTCCCGAGCAACACGTCTGTGAGCTCACACAGCTGGCGTCTTCAGACTGCATCCCTGATCCTGATCCTGATCCGCCACAATGCCCCGGTACCCCCTCCCTGCACTCCCCCTGCTCTATCCGGGCTTTCACTAACACCCTCGCGTGCTGAGCAGCATCTGTGGTCCTACACCCATTATTACTTGGCTGCATGCAAAAGCGAAATCCTTGTCTATCCTGCTGCAGCAGTATTGGTCTCGATCTCCGACTCCCTTCCCTGTACATTGGCCTTTCGGGCTGTCCCACTTCAATCACTATCCTTGACAAAATGACGGGATGCTCAGAGGAGTTTACGCCTTAGTCCATCCATATGTAAACCATGTAAACCCCCAAAAATCTCCCCCAACCACAGAGTCTGCCGCCGATCGAGCATATCTACACCTTATGACCGCATAGCACCCACGCCATTCGACTCTATCACCACCACATCATTTTCCTGCGCTGTCTTGAAAGACATATTCCGTTAGCCTTCCGCTCAGCCGCTATTGCTGGCTATCTCTACAAACCTCTTTATATAGCCTTCACCTCATTGCCTATCCCGTGGCAGAGGCTTCTTCCTGCAATGGCTGTTGTCGTTGCATCTCACCACACCGACCTTTGGCAACAACGAAGAGAACCACCCACTCACTACTCAACCATGCACCTCGCCGGCTTGATGCCCTCCTACGATGCCTCAAGAGGCGTCACAGCTCCGCCAGTTTCACGTAACTTTCAACCTACGACAACACACATGGACATTAATATGCCTCTTTTCTCGACAAACGGCCTCACAACCTCTGTTCCCTTCCAGTCTGGAGCGTTCGCTTTCGACCCAATCTCGACGAATCCATACAATATGCAGCAACCCTCATTCTATACCTCAAATAACTTGCACAATGTCTCTTATGCCAGAGTGCCCGAGGTCCAGCCACTTCCTGCTGTGCAAGGTGCTGGAAATACATTCATGGTCGATCGGATCCCCATCGTCAAATGCGAGAGTAGCTCGCCAGTCCAGTCGAACCCACTATTCAATCATACTTCTTATGCGACCGAATGCAAGCGGTCCAGCTCAGAGCCTTCGGAAAGAAGCAGTATCAATTTCGTCACCGATGTGGACACTCTGATGAAAGCCATCCAGGCCAAGCAGACGAATGCCCCTCTCCGAGAGGACTCCAAGGTAGGAGCCCACGGCCGATAAACTGATACATACACTCACTCTGAAATAGGAGGAGCCCAAAGTCAGTAAGAAGCCAAAGAAACGATATGAATGTCACATGTCCAATTGCGACAAGACCTTCTCCCAGAAGACTCACCTTGCGATCCATATTCGCGCCCATACTGGTGCAAAGCCATTCGTAAGCCGATATTCTACACATCAATGGATGGTGTCGCTGATTACAAGTGCAGGATTGCAAGGCGCCAGGATGCGGACAATCATTTTCCCAGCTAGGAAATTTGAAGGTCAGATACTATACAGATTCTTCAAGAACACCTGCTAACTTTCGTAGACACATGAACGACGTCACACTGGAGAGCGACCATACAGCTGCGACATTTGTGGCAAGACTTTTGCTCAGCGGGGCAATGTTCGCGCACACAAGATCGTCCATCAGCAGGTCAAACCCTTTACCTGCAGGCTTGATGACTGTGGCAAGCAATTCACCCAGCTGGGTAATTTGAAGGTCAGTCACCTATCACCGTGTAATTCGGAATGCTTGCTAATGAGTAGTAGTCTCATCAGAACAAGTTCCACGCCGCCACCTTGAGGTACCTTACGCAAAAGTTCGCAACCATTAGTGTCGGCGACTGGGTGTCGAAACAAGACAAGGAGCTTTGGGAATACTTCGCATCGCTGTACAAGAACTCGAACAAAGGCATCAAGGGTCGAGGAAAGGACAGAAGGATATCCGCAGTGCCATCATCAGTCGCATCACGCCTCGCGTCTTATGCAGGCTTGCCAACCGCCGCAATGGCTCGGAGCTACCCAGGATCATTTCACCAAGATGGTAGCGACCGCAGCAGTCGTAGTTCCTCGATGGTATCAGACACTACCCATAAAGGGGACAATGGCTTCAACTTCAATGCTCCTATGCACACTGGATATCACCAGCCTCAAGGCACTGGATACGGTGATATGGTATTCCCCGGGCAAAAGTTGTATTAACTACGAAAACTCGACACGCACACAAGTACACGGTAGCACAAGACTACGAGCTGAAAGCTGGATCATCGGGAGTTTTTGGGAGTCAGGCACGCTGGGCTCACAGCGAATAGGCTTTGGGATTACGGGACGATATGTTACCCAAGCTAGCGCAGCGAAGGGTCAGGGCCATGGGGTTTCCTACTCTATGTCGGCGTTATGGCTTGTTTCTACAATATTGCTCTAATGTGGTTGATGGGCAGCTACTCTAGTAGCCACCACTGCGTATACCCCTTGTATATTTTACTCCCCAGGTAGGGATGACCTGAAGAGGGGCCAGGTCGCAAATTATCTCTCGGTTTCTTGTTATCACTTTGGGACATTCCTTATCCCAGCATGTACGAGTACTCAAATGCTTGGACGACTATAGGTTTATCCAATCATCATTATCTCCATTCTGCTACATTTTGTTACATGAGATAAAACAGTTATCCTAGACACGCAACTCCTTGATGGAATGTCACTCACCGCTCACATCTCAGTCTTATCGAACGGGAACATGAACGGCTGCGGCGTGCGTGCGTGCGTAAGCTGTAACGCATGCTGGCTGCGGTATGACACCGACGATCATCCATCGCGCCTGCCCACTCGCTTCACACCACCGCTTGGCTTCATCCTGCATGCCCATCTCGATCAAAACGTACCGCCGATCTCCGAATAACCGACTTTCAAACTAGCGGTCTATGTCATGTACTGTGGATGTGCTATGCACTGTGGTGGATCGTAGGTTGGGCTATCTCGACTATAGAGCTTGCCCGAACAACAGAATGGAATAGCGTCTTTCTTCCATATCGCAGACCCGCGCGAAACGGCTAAAATCAAATTGGAATCACTAATAAGTTCATGAGACAGGAAGAATTCTCCATGGACCCCACTGTCCCAGCAAGCCGCCCCATCGCGACATCTCTTACAAGAATGACTGCTGAAGCTAATGGCGGTCATGTGTGCTTGCTGTGCAGAAGCCGCCCACTCGCTTCATTCCACCTAAAAGGAGTTGTTCTCCGCGATTGGATACGTCGAATTACGTGCATTGGAGCTCAAGATATGCACATCCCGCGCTCCGTCGGCGAGAATCCTGACCAGGTTCCCCAAAGCATGCAGGCGTCTACATTAGCATGGAGGAAATGTCATCCCCCAAGTAGCCAATGAGATTATATCGCGGTACGACATTCCGGATGCCGGTCGCCAGGTCGTTTCGCGCACAGAGGAGCAAAGTCCAAGACGGCGCAGTTTCGCCTTCAATATGATCATGGATGTGATATGACGAGGCGAGGCGAGGCGAAGGATTCGTGATGCCTCACTTCTTGTGCGTATTCCATCTCAAAGAGGTAAAGAATTGAGGAAGATTTGTCGCGAGTGGGATATATCCGCACTAGCAGGGCAAGATCTGCGTAGGGCTAGTAGGCAATCTGGTTGTCTTCGAAGGCCCAGAGCGCGCGGCGCATACCGGCTATGACGTCTTCCCACCACCATTCGGCGACAATCTGGGCGCCTTTAGTGAGGCCTCTTGATAGGAAATAATAGGCGCTACAGGTAAGACTGGTTGAGTTGGGGGTGTTGCGCGCATCGTGTTGAGATGGTGGGTTTCGTGGGAGATGTGGAATACCGTGGGGAGCACAGCAGGGATGAAAGGCATGCTTATCGCGCAGTTCACCCCAAGTCTTTTGAGTGAATAGCGCTGCTCGGAGTTGGCCGACTGTGATGGTGGGGTAACAACTTCACAACGACAATCTCTATGATCAACAGCGTGTCTCATAACCTCTTCATCATGATTGTGCTCTCCCACGTTGCAAATGCTGTGGCCGGTGGGCATGGTCAAGGTTAGGACAGGCAGCGGGAATGTCACTGCTCACGCTTCTTCAAACCTCATCCTCGCTCCTTCACCTCCACTCTTGCAACGTTCTCATACCACGTATCAAAGACCCCAGCTTGCACGGTTCCCCTCGTATCTTTAATTCCCTACCAAACTACCTGTCGCGCTCAAATTGCTGCGGCCCGCCTTCGCTGGGCTCTACCAAGGCGTCCCGTCAACGCCCAAGGCCGCCATGGCCACCACCAACACGAACAGACCCAAGCCGAGACCCGTACCCATGGCACACCCATGACTCTCATCAATTCTAGCTTTCAGCTCAGCCCGGACCGCCCGGTTGTAAATCCTCCGAGTGCAGCATTACCACGCCCTCGGGACATCTTTATCTCGCATTTTCTCATGATCTACTAAAGGGCATTGCAAGTCCGTCACTATGAGATTGGCTGTCTATCGGTTGGAAAGGTCAAGATCCATTGCTGAGTGGAGGACTACCTAGTGAATCGGAAGGTGTACGCGTCGTGACCCTTGTCAACGGGAAGCTCCTCGGGAGGGGAAGGGGAAAGAAATTGCCAACGGACTGATCGCAAGATGGTCATGTGGGTCTTCGCATTGAGGTGGCTGTGCGAGGCTATTAATATGGAAATCGGCGATTTCCGCTGACCCGCGATGAATTGCAAACGCCCAATTGAGGACGGCGAGGTGAACAGTCTATCAAACTGACGGGTATAGGGCGTATTATTTCATCAATTTCACTGCATGGAAATGGCTGAGGCACACTATCTCATCAAAAATCGAACAATACAAAACATGGTCCACATAACTGGCTACGTGCATCATCATGCCTCCGATCCTAGCACCCCCCAGATTTACATACATCAACGCATCTCCTCCCGAGATCTCTGCTGAAACAGCGCGCATACGCAATGCGCGGCCCCACGTTTAAACATCGGCCAGTCCTTGCTCACGCTCCACGCCCGTCTGGTCTGAAACGGAAGTCGTTGTTGCACAAAATCCGCCATCTCGCTACATAGGGCAGCAGCGCCGACATTGTCGCCCTGTAGTGCTTTTCGAAGACTAATTTGAAAGGAAGAAGGTTGAGCGTACAGTAGGTCGAGTATCTAAAGCATATGCTTGGGCCGCTACCGGTGGAGAGGTTCAGAAAAGTACTAGATTTCTCTAGGTTGCGTAAAGTCAGAGATGTGTCTTTCGTCTCCAATACCCAAACGGGGACACAAGAGCATGGCTTTGACAGGAACTGCATGCCTCCACCACGTCTCCATCGGTATATTCCAACATCTGTACAACGGCAAACGCCCTCGTCATGCCTTCACAAGCCATGCAGCTTCCACCACATTACCTGCGAGCTGCAGCACCCCTTCCCGGGTAGCACAAACCTCGCTCGCGAAGATGGTGTAACTCACCACCGACCTCCTCCTTGAGATCTGCGTTATCCTATTCAAGATCGTGTGCATTGTGCGACGCACCTTCCGAGGAGCTGGGCGGGGCTCACGATATCTATCTCGCTAAGCCGCAGAATCCAGAGGACATGATGAAGGCGGATGGACCAAGGTCACGGATCAAGATGCGTCTTGCAACCATTCTTCCAAGTTCTCAATTAAACAGTCTCAAAGGCATAGCAAACGTGGCCTCGGCTCCCCGACCTCTCGTCAAGAGCAGAGTGCACGGGCATGCACATTGACACGAATCGGCTTACGAATCCTCTTCTGCAGCATGAAGTGCTGGATAACGCCACGACCCTATTCAACTTCTCCAATAACGCACGATCCTCATGTCCCTTTCGTTACTACGCTCTCTCCGTGGCTATGCAACTCCGACCTTGTTCATTGTCCATATTGTGGCATAAGAGGATTTCCAAAGCGCCTACGCCCTAGTTGAGCTATACTTTGAGTGTGGACATGTTGGTGATTATATTGTCAATATCGTGGCAGCAGGGACGCCCACCATGCAAGCCCTCCCGAGTTCAGCAATACTAAACGACGTACCAAACGCTTGGAATCGGGGAGCGAGCCAAGTCATCGGCCGCCCCGGAATACATGAGAATATCGGGAGCCGGGGCACCCTGCATTGGAACGACTGCACCGCTTGCAGTGGCGTTCCGAATACGCACATCGCCTACTTTGGTTGCTGCACCGATGTCGCTCTGAAGACATGGGAATCATGGGAGCCAGGGCGCCCTGTATTCGAGTGAGAGTACAATGGTATGGCTGCAGGAAGTCTCGTAATGGGCATCCCGCACGCAGGCCGCGGGAGTAGCGTTTGCTACAGGCGGGCTGTATCCCCTATGGATGGGTTATCTCGAGCGATAATCGCGGACTTGGCGAGAATGTAAGTAACAGGTCCGTGGGGGTAAGTGATTGTGTGTATACGCATACAATATTTGAGTTTGTAGATGTGGACCGACATGGGACGCTCAGCACCGCCCACGTTGATTGTCTCGGGGCCGCAACAGCCACTTCCCATTGTCTGTCTCACATCCAGCCAGTTATCCAGGTGATGTCACCAAGCGTCTGAAACAAGCACGTTCAGTGTCCTACGTTTTCAGTATAAGCCCCATTTGATGTCCTCAGCTGCGCCCCTTTACCGACTATCACGAAGCAATAACCGGGGCTTGAAGCGTATGGATCTAAAAGGCCGCCTTTGAGGTCGGTAAGAATACCAATCTTTCTTTTGACCCCTTCTTTTGTTCAGGACGGCAACCTGTGAGCTCGGTAAAATAAGTATGAGTTTTGCCGCTAGTAGCATTGCTTGGTGCTGTTTCTTCTAGGCGAAGTCGAAGACCGAAAGTGTTGTGTTGCACGAAGAAATTGGTCCTCCTGCATATTGCATTGCCTCTGGGCATATTCGAAAGCATCGGCTACAGAGGGGGTGTTTCGATTAGCAGGTCGTCTCTCCTTTTCCAATAATTCTCACCAGACTGTCGGGCCGGATTTGGCAAACCAATGCTCCAGTGACTAGTAGCGTCATCGAGTCCATCTGTTGAGCCCATGTCCATGTCGTATTGAAAATCGCACTGGATGCAAAGAGACACCTAGTAGATGCAAGAAGCGATGTGAGCGCGGGTGACCCCCGGGACTGGGAACATCTAAACTAAGACCACGTGTTTTCCTCGCAAATTACGTACACGGCAAGATCAAGTGAGCGAGCAGATTAGCTATCTGAGTGTGATAAGCCGACGCGCGTCCAGTCCATGATGTCTGCTCGCTGTGCCGCAGAGGAGGTCAGTACATCACTGGGGTCGGGGATGTGAGTGACAGGATGAAAGGCGTATATACGGTGAACGTCAATTACCATGGGATGGACTCATGGGCATGTAACTCATTGCTGTTGGGCTGTGAAAATTTCATCTCGATGTGTATGTAACATGGTCGCCACAAATAACAACAACATGCTGCAGTACACTTCGCTGCAGCATTGGAAAAAGTCGGTAGTGATCAGTCAAAGTCTGACTCGACCTACAACAGGAAGGCCTGAATGATGCGCTATATCTAACGCTCAAGGCCTCCCGAGTTGTCTATACATGAACAACGAGAAATGAAGGTCTGAATTCCAGCTTCGCAATCTCAGTATTAGTATTTCAACATTTGTGGGAGCATCATCTCACAGCGGAGCAAGAACGCCGTGAATTTCTCATCGTCAAATTCCGTAACGATTGAGTGACGTATAGAAGAAAGATGGTAACTATGGAGTATGCGCTGATCGAGGACGAGTGGTTAGAAGAGCGCCGGCTAATTTGATGTAAAAATGTGCGTTAACTATTTTGAACTAATGGGCGAGCATAAACTGGCGTATGAGCAAGCGCACCGACTGCGAAAGCTGACGTTTCCATTGTTTTATCATGAACGGGCACATTTTCTGAGCAAGTGTAAAGTCAGAATATGATTATCAATCCTTCAACGGACGCCCAGCTCCAGCTTGGAACGTAGTACCCGTGCCGTCGTCGCGATTGAGTACCGTCAACACATCCCAAAGAAGATGATGGTTAACAAGGCTCTTCCTACCACAATCCGACTAGGTACTTCCTTGTCAAGCGCTTCGAGTGCGTTGCAAATTCAAGGGATACTGACCAACTTTGTCTGCGGATGTGGCAGGTAGAACTGGGTATATTCGTTCATAACGTGATGCACACTCCCATGGCGACGCGAGGCATGTTTAGAACGTCTGATAGATGAATTGGGAAACAGGAGCTTGTAAAGCCTACAAACAATCTATTCTGAGTTGGGGGAATCAAAGATTGAATGCACGTTGCTATATCTGACGGAAGAATCGTGTTTGCCTTCCGAAGACAAGCTTTGTAAACGCCTTTATAAGATACGAGGGAGGTCATGTAGCAAAGTTAGAGTTGATATAAGCCTACTTGGTTTGACTTGGACAAGTTCCATCGTATGAAGAACGGCAAGACGAACTTGGCAACTATCCATTGAGAGAACCTGCTTGGTGGCCTGAAAGCATATAGGTACTCACTGTTAAGTAGAAGCACAGTGACTACGATTACGACTTGATTGAATTCGAGCGCCATCAAAACATCAATCGTGGGCGAGCAGGTTTGCTACTAGTCTCTTCTTGACCATACAATTTGAGGCCTAGGAATGCTCCGTTCCAGGCATTGAGTGGTTGGTAAGCAATAATTACAAGGCAACACCACCCATCCATGAATGTTAGCCCTAAGTGGTCTAGTGAGTACAGTCAAATGGGCGGCGATGCTGGAGCTTCTAGGTGTAAAGGCTTCAACGTGTAGATCAGTTGTTGTTTGCAGCAAGAGGTCGACTTGGCTGTCAAAAGCTAACGAGATATATCCCTGAGACGTCGTGTTCGGAGCTACGATGACGCGGCGGTGAAATAGATAGCGCAAGGAAATGTGCGATGTCGCGCAGAGGCGGCATGTTTGTAAGGCTACAATCGCATGATGTCGACAAGTGGGTCTTCCGTGGGCTATCCGAGGACCCTCCGAGCATCGTGTGAGAAGATCTGATAAAGGGGCACGTCAGTCCACTCCGGTCTGAGCGGCTTTTTCGTTCCCGGGTGCGTAAAGCTACCAATGAAGCCTTGCCATCATCGGCCGACTCGCTCTTTGATAGATTAAAGTGGATAAAACGCGCAAAAGCCCGGCGCGCGTGAAATTATCGCCGATCGACCGCTGCGAACTCCTTCTAAAGCGTGCAGCTATCGCCTCCCAACGCCGCAACGCTCGCTACTGTTCTTCTTTGCTTCTTCCTACGTCTTGCTGCACCTTTACTGGCGACTGCTATTCTCTCACTTTGCCCTCGATAGTTGCGACGGCTCCCTCTGCGTCTGATTTGCGTCTGCTTGCGCATCCCAAACACCACGAATCGCAGCCCTTGCGTACCTGAACACCCCGGAACCGAGGCGCTGCCACCGCCACCCCGGCCATCCTTCACCATGGATATCGTCCTCGAAATAGCAGATACTTTCCTCTTCGACCCTTTTTATGCCACTCTGCTCCCAGCACATGCACCATCCCTCAAGGCCAATGCGACTTTCTCGAGTCCGAGACACGAGCCAACCAGCTACGCCATCCCCCACGCGACCTGGCAGTACGAGCCCTCCACCAAATATTTCTCAATTGAGCCCTCCAAATATGCCTACATGAGCCAATGGTCTCGCGATGACTGGCAGAGACAGGCATTGTCCCTGTACTTGATTACATGGTAGGCATCTCCCTTCGACTTCCCCTCCAGACCCCGACTAATGCGCAAACTGTAGGCTGTTCGGTGTCCTCGTTTACTATGTCTTCGCAAGCGCCTCGTACTTCTTCGTCTTCGACAAAGCCACCTTCGCCCACCCAAGATACCTCAAGAACCAGATCAAGATGGAGATGAAGCAAGCCAATATCGCCTTCCCCATCATGGCCATCTTCACCGTGCCCTGGTTCCTACTTGAAGTGCGCGGCTACGCAAAGCTGTACGATACCACAGCCGAGGGCCCAGGACGGTGGTACAACTACCTACAGTTCCCCATCTTCGTCACCTTTACAGATCTGTGCATCTACTGGATCCACCGCGGACTGCACCACCCCAAGGTCTACAAGCACGTCCACAAGCCCCACCACAAGTGGATCATGCCCACTCCCTTCGCCTCGCACGCCTTCCACCCCCTGGATGGCTATGTCCAAGGTCTACCGTACCATATCTTCCCCTTCCTGTTCCCTCTGTCCAAGTTCGCCTATGTTGCCCTATTCATCTTCGTTAACATCTGGACCGTGCTGATTCACGACGGCGAGTATGCGCACAACTCTCCCATCATCAATGGCGCCGCCTGCCACACCATGCACCATTTGTACTTCAACTACAACTACGGCCAGTTCACCACTCTTTGGGACCGACTGGGTGGCAGCTACAGGAGGCCCAATGATGAGCTGTTCCAGAAGGAGCTCAAGACATGCCAAAGCGAGTGGAAGAGGCAAGCCAAGGCCGTAGATGAAATGGTTCAACAGGTGGAGGGTGAGGACGATCGCAAGTACTTACCCAATGAGCCCAAGAAGGTCCGTTAAACATGGCACGTCCATGGAGCCAGAGTAGACGTTGGCTCATCACTGAGATGCCGTTATGAAAAATGATGGGCGGAGAGAAACCGCACCAGCATACGGTTGCTGCGCAATCATATTGTTAGGTGTTGACGAGTTTCGCTGTGTATATACCGTTCTTCGCCCTCGCTGCATTATAACTTTTGGGATATAAGGCGCGCCGCGGCGGCTGCCTCACTTGTAATAATTCGGAGCTTAGATGCATAACGTCCCGGCCAAATTTGGAACGACGTTAGGAAGGATAATATTAATTCGATACAACTAAACTCAATCTTGTCAATATTTCCCCCTGTCACTGTGTACATGTCGTTAAACTTTGGGAACATGCACTGTACTCTCCGACATCGGACCCTCTTTGTCTTGGAAAGATAGTCATGAACAAAAGTCTTTCTCCTCTCATTTGCTTTCCGTCTTAAGGCGCCATCTAACTCACGCCCCTGTCCTTCCCCCTTGAATAGTGCCTCATTTCGCGACAATGCTAACCACATCCTCATCACTGACCACGTGCCCTAGTCCCACTCTCTGGGGCACATGTCTCGCACTCGCACCCCACACCAAAGCATGCTTGAACGTCTCTTTCAGCGTACGATGAACCTGATCACACACATCCTCAATCGTACTTCCATGCCGTACAATGAGTGCCTCGTCGAAACTCGGGTCAATGCCCTTGCGCTTCGTGTAGATGCGGATCAAGCGCAGTTCTTGCCAGCACCGGTCCACGACGTCTTCAATGCCCAGGTCTAGCTCGCACGACATGACGACCGTGTGTGGTTCGCGTGCCAACTCGTCCAGATGCGGTAGGCCGATGCTGTCGATTTTGTTGTAGATATAGAGGCATTTGATGTACTTTCTGTGGTCTTTCATGATGGTGTCGATGAAGTCGTCTACGGTGGCGTTCTCGTCGCGAACCAAGACTTCGCAGTTTAGCATTTTGTAGTCTTTGAGGATGTTGTAGACCATTTTCTCGTCGAGGTGCTTAGGTGGCGCTTGGAAATTTATCTTCATGCCACCTGCTTTTTTGGGCTTGAGGTAGATGTTGCTGTCCGAAGCGTTAGTTTGCTGCTGCGTGGATATTTGATTGATAACAGAAAAAAATGAATAGACGTACGGCGGCTCTCTGTTCAGTCTGATACCAACGGCCTCCAACTCTGCCTCTAGCAACCGCCTCTGCTCCGCCTTCTTAGTCGCATCTAGAATCATGCAAATCAAGTCACTTGTCTTTGCTGCACTGATAACCTGCCTTCCTCGTCCCTTTCCCTCGGCCGCACCCTCGATGATTCCTGGCAAATCGAGAACTTGGATCTCGGCACCTCCATACTCGAGCACACCAGGGATTGCTGTGAGCGTGGTGAAGGAGTAGGATGCAGCTTCAGACTTTGTCTTGGTCACTCTGGAGAGGAAGGTGGACTTTCCAACTGAGGGGAAGCCAACGAGGGCAATGCGTGCGTCGCCGGATTTGGAGACATCGAAACCACTTCCTCCGCCACTACCTGCACCTGGACTGGGCTCGAGGAGTTGAGCACGGAGACGGGCGAGTTTTCTGGGTTTAGTCAGCCCTGACTTGAACCTAGAGATTGACGTTTGTTATCTTGTACCCTTTAAGAAGACCAAGATGATATTCTGGGTTTCTATGTCAGCACGTGATGACCCCAGCAGCTCAAAGTTTTCGTAGTACGAGACACTACTAAGCTGGCGTACCTGTAGCCTTGTTCTCTACGCCTTGTTAGTATTGTCCTTGCATTGCTCTTAGCCGGGTACTCACTCTGCGTCCTTCGCATCTCATCCTCAATCCTGGCGGGGCGTTAGCGCTTGGCATGTCAAATCTTCGAGCCTGTCCCACTCTTTGATCTTCTCTGTAATGTTCACCATGTTGGCGGCGTGCTCTGCACTCTGTGTCAAAGAAGGGAAAGACTAGGGTGAGCGGTCGTTTTCGAGCGTATGGCGATCGGTCTCCGGAGACATCACTATGGACGAGCTTTTGGTGTTGCAGTCCAACGCTCGGGTTCCGTTTCAGTCTAGCGCGCAACTTAGCGAATGCACGACTCTCGTGCGTCATCTCGACTATTAGCTGTCAGCAGTTCTTTTTAGAATAACTCGACTTTAAACTCTGCTAATGTTTATTACTCTTCTCTGACGTCAGCTTCGATGCATCTCGCCCCAAGATGCTTTTCACCAAAAAGGATCCCTGGCCACACTCCCACCATGATCTCATTGAGCACTACTACAAACAGTACGACGAACAAATCGCGTCTGGCGAATACCAGCCCTTTCTATATCCATGGGGAATATACGGCGCCCTGGCCGTCATCATATACCTACTTGTTCCCCACCAGAATAGACCGTGGTTACGAAAGTGTCGGTTCCTAGCATTCGCCTGGATGGCCTGGTTCGCAGCGTATGCAACACTATACACAAAAGCTAGGGGGGTGACGCCAGCTATAAGTATAGGTCTGATGAGTGCTTGGGGTGTTATTTGGGCGAGCGCAATCCTAGTGTGCAATGACGCGCAGACGGACTTTATGAGGATCGAGAGAACGGAAGGCGCCTTTGGGAGTGCGAAGAACCGGCCAAAAGATAAGCACGAGGCGAACGGGACTTCAGATATCCAGGAGCAGCACACAAAACACCAGATTGACGCCACAACTAGTGAGATTTCGAACGGCCATGCTGGACCCCGAGACCGGCACGGCTCCTTTGCATGGCAGCCCTACCCTCACTCCCCTTTCATCGAGCGCTTAGATTGGGTATGCGATATATTCTGCAACTTCCGCGGCGCAGGCTGGAACTGGCGGACGTCCGCTCTCCCTCCGCCACCGAAATGGGTGCAAGAGCAGCTCCACCGCAATTCAGGAGACGTAGTGCCCAAACATTCGTACAAGATCCATGCAGGCCAAGTCAAGGCGTATGCTACAAAAGACGAGCTATTATGGGAGAACGCAAAGAAACTTGTCAAGGGGTACTTGGCCCTCGATGCACTGAAAACAGTCATGATGTGGGATCCGTACTTTTGGGGCTTGGTCGAAAGGGCACCGCCGTCGTACCTGCCCGACTTCATCACCTCGAGTACTGTGCTAACACACATATACCGCATGTCTCTCTCCATGCTGGGAATCAAGTACGCGCTACAAACCATGTTCGCCACCGCACCACTCTTATTCGTCGGCCTGCTCGGTCCTACACGCATCGGCGCGCGTGCAGAGCCCTGGATCTACCCGGAGACATGGGCTTCTTATTCTGGGGTGCTAGATCGGGGCCTTGCGGGGTGGTGGAGCAGCTGGTGGCATCAAACCTTCCGGTTCGCGTTCGAACAACCAAGCCGCAAGATTATCGAGATGTGTGGCATGGATAAGAAGGGTAATGCGGCCAAGTTACTACAACTGGTGGTTGCGTTCGGCCTCAGTGGTGTGCTGCATGCTAGTGGGAGTTATACCTGTGCGGGCGAAACGAGACCACTGAGAGGGCCGATGGCGTTTTTCCTCTTACAAGCCGTGGGCGTCTTTATGGAGATGGTTATTATCCAGGGGTTGAAGTCTACAGGTATACAGCGATCCATGCCGACCTGGCTGAAGCAAGCATTTACGTTCGTGTATGTACATGTATGGTTTTATTACACGGCGCATCTACTATGCGATGACTTCGCTCGAGGTGGTGTCTGGTTATTCGAGCCGATTGCTGTCTCGGTGTTTAGAGGATTGGGCTTTGGTGCTGATAGTAGGGATGGGTGGTGGTGTTGGGGTGGCCAAGTCGTGCGATGGCATAGGGGAGAGACGTGGTGGAGGAGTGGGCTTGCTGTTTGATGCTGACGCTATGCGGCCATGTAAAAGTTTTACAGGGCGCAGTGTATAGCAGATGATTGCTAATATGGAGGGGTTGTTATAGAGAGGGTAGAATCGGGCAAAATTAACGTTACATGACCCAATGTCAAACAAGAAACACGTTCATGATTCAAGTTGTGTAAAAGGAGCAATGACTGATGGACATGATCTGTATGTTTTCCGTAGACTCAAGTTCGTAACAAGCAGTTTTGACTCGAGAAATCTGAACAGGAAGCAACAAGGCGATGGAACGTATATATTAGGCCGCGACGGGCGTCTTCAAGTATGGAGCTGCGCAATGCTATGGAAATGCAGTACAACTGGGTATCGAAAACGAGAAAAGACAAAAAGGAAAGAGACATTATGCTTTTGCTTCGCAGCAAGTGTAGTCTAGACATGACAATCCGAGCAACTAAAAATGGGAGTGCTAACGGGACAGCGCCTCGATATCGTCTCTCAAAGCTTGAGACAAACAACACAGACCGCAAACTCCTGAAATCTCATGCTAATATGCTAATATAACGTGTCCTCGAACCTCGGTCGGTAGGACATGAAGTGTGCGTTGTTAATGTGCCTCAATAGCCGGTGGCTGCGAATTGACCTGCAGCGTCGGCGCAATGGGATATGGCAAATATTGATCGTGCTGCTGCCGCAGCTCGGTCTGAACATCATCCTCTTGCGTAGCAGGCCGTGAGCCAGTATCGGGGCCGAGATGTGGATCGGGTATTTGAATGTCGAGCTACAATTGTTAGTTACTGCTTCGAAGCGTATTGGGAGAGTTGGATGTGCATACTGTCAAATACCCCGTCCGCCGCAAGGGGATAATCTTGACCGCTTCTTTGGCGCCCACGTCCCGGTTCCAATCTTCTATCCACCGCTCTAGCTCTGCGAGTTGTCGCTTGACGCCCGTCAGGCCCACGTCGTCCCACAGCCAGAAAGTAGCTACGCCCATGACGGTGTCGAGCCAGGCCCTGAAGGTAAAGGGATCAAATGCGTCTGTGAGCGTGTCGTTTATTCTCTTGATCAGTATCCGGAAGTCATCTTCGGTGATCAGGGGATCCAAAATCTCCGGGTACAGATTCGCATAGGTAGGTGCCAGGTCGCCCTGCATCATCCAGTCCCGCTTTATGCGAATGATGCGCGTTGTGTCGTACAGCTCCGAGTCGAGTGGCACATGCGGATTCGGATGGGGAAAGCATGGATGTGAAGGCCCCCACGGGAACTCTGATGCAGCCTCGTCGCCGTGGGCAGACGCAGAGCGACCAGAACCCAGCGAGGTGCGTCGCGAGCCTGGCAGCGAGACGCGGGACAGTTCGGGCTTCCTAGGCCTCGCCATGCCTGCTTCTATGTCCTTGTCTGCATGGCTTGGTGCACGATCAAGTGCGTCTGCTTGCGGTGGCATTGCAGAGGGCCCTGGGGTCGGCGGCTGCGAACTGGTGTAGAGGCTCCTTTGATTACGCGGAAGACCAATGCTTGTGCGACCGCTGACGCTGTCCTCGCCCGTAGAGCGTTCGACGACGAGCGACGAAGGCGCAGGGCTCTGGCGGCTCTGGCGACGCTGCGGGAGCGTAAGCAGAGGATACTCGTCACGGGCGCCAGTCAGGACCTCGTCGACGGGTAAATTGGGATGGTATGCTTCGCGGGGCTCGGACGGCGGTGGGGGAGGATGGTACTGGACGGCAAGCGTTCGTGGGGACGAGTTGACGGGATTCCAAAGACGCGAGGCTGGCAGGCGCGGCGGGCCCTGGTACAGCGAGCGGAGGTTTAGATTGAAGATGCGGTTGGTGAGAGACCAGCGGGCAGGCACTGGCGACGGAGGAGGCGGCGCAGACGAAGCGGAGGCGGTGCGTGAAGGCGCCGTGTTGAATGCTGATGCAGTGTTTGCGAGCGTCCTACTGCTACCACGGCGGCCAACGAGTCCATGCGCACGTGACAGGACAGAACAGGACAGGACAGGACAGGACAGTCGCCCACAGTGACAAGGCGGACGGAAGAGCAGTCAGGCGCAAGACAATATCGAGGCGGCTACTATGTTAGTTTTGGTAGCTATGGTCGAGATGTCTGCTTCCTCGGGGCGCCTTGGGATGTGTTGTGCGTCTAGAGCTTCTCTCGGGATGTGATGTGATGTGATGATGTCTGGTCTCAGTCTCAGTTCTCGCCCGTTTGTGCAGCAGCGCCATCCAGCTTGGGTCCCAAGGTTTGGGTGGGTCCTCAGCTTCTTTCTTCCCTGGTTGCCCAAAAGCCATTGATTGCATTATTGTGGCTCGTGGGCCCAAAGTCTGTCTGTGTCCGGGAGCGAGCGACCCCTGCCTCTCGAGCGCGTGCCTGCATTAACCCATAAGCATCAGCTTCATCACCGCCAGGACAATCGTTGCCTGGTCTGCTAATAACAGGAACACGGTTGATCCCTTCAGACTAGGAGAATAGCATTGGCTGCCATCTCCTCCCTCCTTACTTCTCCCGCTTCTCCCACCACCACCATCCCCGCATTCCCAGGGACCAGCACTACTCTCTAACGTTCCCAACCGTTACGTTAGAAGCGTGCCCGAGTTTCAGGAACCCAACATTTGTCGGGTCCTAGCCATGTGTTTTTTGGGTATTGAATCCACTGTGGAGGCGCTCTGCAATCCCTGCCTTTTCTCCACCCGCATTGCGGGATGCTGCAGGTGCATGCTTGACAGGCCGACGACGTACACTCCATGTTGTCAGCTTCATCCTTTGATTATCGAAGAGCGCCACATTCACCATAAGCGGCCTCGGTCCCGCCTCGCTGGGATTGCTTTACGTATGAATCTAGAAATGTTCGTCCGGTCTACCCGCCCCCGTTCGCTTGTCATCTTCTCTCAATCAATCTTAGCCCTTTGTTATGCCGCTATCCCCCTTTCCTGAACACATTCCGAAGACAGACATGTCAATGCAATGCTCCATAGAAGTCGTGTTTTGATGCTTCCCTGGTTCTTGGGTAGGGGGACCCCTGAGCCTTGTGAGTCGTGGCGGCGGCCGAGCTTAGCATCTAAGCTTCACTGTGACACACGCAACATCGACAAATGGACAGCCAAGTGAGCAATGGATTGTCATTGTACCTACTAAAGATTACTTTGCGTCTTAGCTGATGTGCTGATCTACCTGATCCGACCAGCGTTCAGTCCCTGCTAGTAGGGCATAGACATGGCCCTACCGGAAGATCGCCCAATATGCGAAATTATACATCGAAAAGCCTGTCATGCCTGCCTGTACCTGCACATGTACTTGCAATAGCCGCGTGGCTCGTCATAAATCTATCTACTTCGTACCATGGGAATATCTTTTAGAAGCTCGCCGGCTCCTACCTCTGGTCCGTGACATGCATATACCTATGCACGTTTGTTCGCGTTCGCTTGCATCTTCCGCATAGCTTCACGATGAGCGTCCATCATATGGCCACTGCGCATCATGCTGTCTATTTGCGACGCGCGTTGCTGCTGTATCTTCTCGCGCTGCTGCTTGTCCATCTCTCTCTGTCGTCTCTCGTTCATCAGCGCTACACGTTGCTGTTCTGCAATGTAGGCAGCCGTCTGAGGTGTCCCATCTCGCATGGTATCTCTCCAGCCCGCATAGAGCTGCTCGCGCTTCTGTTCCGATTGTGAACTAGATGCTCGTTTGGGTTGGTGTGAGTCGAACCCGGCTGCTGCTCCTTGTACCGCCCATCCTTTCTTCGCCCACTTCTGGGATGCCGACGGAGGCGTCTTCCTTTGGGAGGTCATAGAAGCTTGATGCTGAAGAATCGGTGATGGTGTTTGGTGTTGGAGCAGTTGTCGCCGTTTCGCTAGCGTCATGTTCTCTTGCTCGCCTTGGTCCGCTAAAAGATTGCCCGACGACGTGTGTGGTGTTAGCGATTGTGAAGATATCCGGTTCTTCATCAACTTTTCGCGCTGGCCCATGAGGGTATTACTTGGAAGAGGCGAAAGAGCGTCGAGCCGAGTTCCGGAGCTAGACCGCGAGACAACGCCTGGAGACACAACTGGAGGCGATCGCGTCATTGACCGCTCGTCCACCAGCGAGCCTTGGGAAAAGGTCGAGGTAGATCGCTGGAGATTCAGACCACCGCTTCTATGCACTCTACTTTCTAATGAGGTTCTTTTTGAAGCCTTTTTGCTGCCCATTAACGGCGATGCGATCTCATCGCTGACGGGTGCTGGCGTCTCCTCGAAGCCTTCCTCCAAGATGACGCCAGGTGACGCGGGGACTAGGAGATCGTCCAAGTCAGGCTTCTCCGCGGCTTCCAGGTGCTTCGCCCACTCGTTGGTACGATACGACAAGGCAACCTTGGAGAGCCTCTCGGGAAGTACACGGTCCTTTAGGGTGCCAACTTGTGGCTTAGCATGCTCCATCTGTGAGCCTGCAGATGAAGCGTCTAATCTCGTAGATTTTAATTGTGGGCCTTCGCTGCTCCTATTGGTGCTAGAATCAAGTGTCTCAGCTCGAATCCGAGAATCGCGCAGGGACGATCGTTTCTCTTGAGGCTCGTCGGGCTTGGGATCAGTGCTGCTAGTAAGGGATTGTCGGATGGCTGGTTGTGGTGGGCTAAGATCTGAAGTGTCCTTGTTAGTTGGATTACTCTGCTCTACGTTCACATTGGATTTGAGGGGTCCCAATGGTTGAGAGTTGGCTGGTTGAGATGTGCTCTCCTCGCCGTTTTCGCTCAGCGTGCGGGCCTCGACATTGTCGCTCTTTGATGCCTTGGTAGAAGCTACACCGTCCGAGTGTTCTCTTGCAGTACTGGTCCCAATCAAAGTCGCATGTTCGGTACCAATGGGTGAGCGGGGAGGAGAAAGGTGATGCAACGAAATATTGTCGTCGTCGTCATCTAACGTCGCGGCGACGGATGATGCTCGGTCATCTTCAACATACGGGATGTTGATCAGATCTTCTTGGGATTCAGAGATGTCGCGTCGAGAATGGCGTCTCATTGCTGACATGTCAGAAACACGTTTGGAAATGGGTCTGCGGGTGCAGTCGGCTTCGTGCTCGGTCTCCGCAAGGGCAGACACAGAAGCATTGTCCTCTTCCTCACTCTGTGCATCTGCTTCTTGTGGTACCGTGAAAGGAAGAGGCACAATAGCGGGAGGCGGTGGCGGGGCGGAAGGGCGAAGACTGCTCCTATTCGTTACAACAGGCCGAGTCACATCTGAGGGCGCGGTTCCTTGGGCGTTTGATAAAGTGTCGTTTCTATCAGACCCTACTACAGGATTGAACTGTTTGTGGTTGATAGGGTTACCTTGAGCATCGATGTGCTGGATATCTTCGTCCCTCAGTACACTGACAGTGACCGTCGTGCCTGCTGGAGTATCGGGGTTGGTTGACGCCATGACGCCACCCTTGGATATGTTGACCATTTCCAGACTATCATAGCCATAGACTTCCGTCCCTTGGATGCTGGTAGATCCTTTAGGACTTGTGATGGAAGATCTGATGCTCGAGTCTTGTATGCTTTTATCGCCGTAGGCGGCTTCCCATTGCGAACGTTCTTTTTGGAACTTGTCCTCATTCTCATGGCCAAGCGCCTCCTCTTCGCGGTCTCGATCCTGCTGTTCCTCCAATTTCTGAGTGGCGCTCTTTGCTCGATGCTCCTTGACCACCTTCCAAACGCGCATCTGTGACACGACCCCAAACACTGCAATGATAACAACGCCAGCCAGTTCCGCCTTGATGTTCTTAGTCACAGGGTAGGTGTTAGTGTTCAAAGGGAAAACATTGTCGTTGAGATCTTGACCAGTTAGCGGTGGTCAACGATAGATACGTTCCCAACTTACTCCAGAGATAGAGCCAAAACTCTTTCCAGCCCGCGCCAGCGAAGCAATCAATTCCAAGGATCGTAGCAGTGGCGCCCGAAAACGCGATCGACGCAATGAGACTGTGGTTCCTTGTGTAGTGACTGAAGGACAGTGAGTATCCGCCAGCACTCATGCACCCAATGAAGATCGCACGACCGGTAGCTGAAGGAATCAAGCCGCCATTCCTGAGGCTCAAGAACCACATGCTCAGGCAGAATCCGCCAAGCAGACACCCAAAGCCTTCGGTGATATCAGAAAATATCAGCGACAGGACACCAAATATTACTCCGGTGAAGAAGGCGGCGACAAAAAAGGCACCTTGAATTGCATCTGTAACTGGCGGAGTCATCAAGTAAACGATGAGAACCGTTACGGCAAGTGCAGTCAGATATGCGGCAGAGCCGAACACGTATATCCTGATCCTTGTAAGTCAAGGTTTCAGACTGATACGCAAAACACCTACCACTTGTTCTTGATGCCAATGACGGCATATACCAAGCCTGTGAGAAGTAATAAAGCGCCACTTAATCCCATGGCTGGTGTGAGCTTCGGATGAATGGGCAGTAGATTCTTGGAAACGCCTGTCAACGATTGACTGTCAGCTTCCTCTCTTCGAAACCAACAGGGACATGGTGCATATTACCCGCAGAGCTCGTGGGTACTGGCTCATTCGATGTGGTAGTGGCTGGTGCCTGGATGACGGTGCTAGCAGTTGCTGAAGGCTCTGCTATGGATGAAGAGCGAGTGGACTCAGTCTTTGGCCGTGAGGATTCTCTAGATGGCGTAGCTGTCGCTGAAGGTGATAAGGAGAGGTTTGTCGTCGCGGAAGGAGCGGGCGTGTTGTTGGAAGGGCTGTCATCTTGTCGACGCACGGCTTGCGGGACTGCTGCCACGGATTGCAGACACAGGATAAGGGCGAGGCAGAGAAGAAGGCTGCGGTAGGAGCGCATTGTGGATGGAGGTGTGAAGATGGCGTGGCTCAATAATGGGTGATGCGTGCCATGGGATGAAAGTTAATATTACAATTAGGGTTATAGAAGTCGCGATTGAATCGTAGGAAGGCGCTTGACACGAGGAGTCTAACTCGGACGATGATGGGCGCGGAAAAGAGCGAAAAAGAGCGAAAAGAAATGGAAAGGAGTGTTGAGGTAATTATGACTTGGTGCTGAATGAAGGGACGAATGAAAAGAAAGTCAGCTCAGACACGTAGGCGTAAATGCTAGAGAAGGTGCAGAAACCGGCTGGCAGGCGCAGGCGAGGGTGCATGTCGGCCATAAAAGAGCATCAGCACGCCTTGACCAGATGATCCATTGCTCCCGCGGGTTGCAAGAAGCGAGAGGCTCGTAGAGCTTGGGCCTGGTTGGCAACCAGGGTAGCTGAACTATGAGGAGCTCTTCGGACCATGGCGGCGTCAAACGGCGTTCATTTTGGGACGAGCACGTCTCGAAGTGGAGTGGGTTAGTCCTCGGACATTCAGAAGGAAATTGCAAGTCGTCAGCCACCGTCCAGTCGACGTTTTCGCGACGAGCGACGCCCGAAAAGAAGCCGCTGAGACACCAAGGGAGGGGGGTTGGTTCTCTCGAGCGCTTCGTTCGTACAGGCCAAAACTACGTGTACCAGCAAAGCGGGCGTGCACATCCATGCGTGATGAGTTGTGGTGCGCGGAGCTGAGCTCGCATTATGCGCCAAACGGCCTGGGTGTGAGAGGTTGATGGAGGAAGACGCGTCGAGGGGGAAGCGAAGTCCAACAGACCAGTCACATGTGCAGAGTAGATCCATGCGCATTCTGATTCGTAGGGCTGCACCTGTTGGAAATTGGAAACCAGATTTTTGACAAGCCACAGGTGCATAAACCGCGGGCTATTATGCATAAAGACGTCCTGTCCCCATGCCAGACATGTGCTGCAATCATCATGATACATACGTACAGTACTACCGCAAAGTTGAGGCCCTCGACCTGTGGGCGTATGTCACGACGACCCAATCTCCTCGGCTGACTCGAACCGTCGAACTACTCTCGTCGTCTGGCAAGAGAGGACTAGACAGCACGGACAGATCGCTTGCCGATGCAATGATCTGCACAATCGATGCCGACGATCCAGTTCTTAGAGTTTCGCTTTTGTCCGACAAGGAAATATGCCTCACACCCGCCAAATCGCTGCGCGAGTCTCAGCGTCGACCTGGACATCAGGTAACTGTGCAACTGCTGCTTCTGCGTCTATTCGCACTGCATCCCGAATTGAGCGTCTCTGGTCTTGCTTCAATGGCACCTTGGACGAAGTAATCCAGGTCCTGGCACGCGCTTCGAACGGAGGGTCCAGGAGCTATTGTGGGCCCAGTAAGATTGGCAATAGACGCAGAAACCATGAGACACGACCACCCTGCACGTCACACAATGGCTCCTCTCCATCTCCATCCTCTCTGCCTGCAATGGTAGCAACGTGTGGTTCAATGGAACGCTGGAGTGCGGACGCAGGTCGTGTTCCACGGCAGGAACACGTACTGTGATGCTCGTACTTCGGCTGCAAAGGCCGTGGTTAGTGCACACGAGGCTTGCAGGCACACCAAGGGCCCATCCGTTTGGCCTCCCGCTCACCATGGTGCTGCCGGTGGATCAGTAGATATGCGATTGGTGGTTGACGTCTGAAGCGAGTGCAGGCAGCAGCGTGCAGCAACCCCAAAAGACTAGTGGTGCACAGGGTCCAATGAAACGGTAGTGGCAGTGTTTGAGCTCTCCAAATTAAGCTGATGATAGCATTTTAACGGAATAGACTATCAGACCGCAGCAGCATCCTCAACCAACAAGCCTCAGCCGTCTACTAAGCAGCAGCTGTCAACCGCTCCAAAACCTGCGGCTACCCCCCCTTCTTCACTCTGGTCACCTTTCGTGCGGAGAAGGTACCCCGCCTCCCAACTCTCCAAGATCTCGCCCTTATTCTGCTCGGCTCCACTTCCATCTCGCCAGAGACATACTCCGTACACACCTAGCTCACAAATGACACCTCCTTTCTGCAGCTCTCCATTGCGAAGGATGGCATTTGTCAGTGGAGGCGGTTCGATCATCTCCATCAAGATGTACGCCGGCCAGTGTGTCTCTGGCAGTTTCTCCAAAAATGGAGGGATGGCTTTCCGGTAAATGTTGTTGCCACCTCCCTCGCGTTGGGGTTTCAGAACATATCGAGATGCAGATGCAGGATCAGCGGCAAGCCTCCTTGCTTCCCTTCCCGCCTCGCTGCTATCGAGCGGGTAGATGGGTGCAAAGGTGGCTAGCACTCGAGCTGCAACCTTTTCATCCGGAAGGAAGCGTTTTAGATGCGGTGAGTGTGGAGTAGCTAGCACTTGTTGAACCTTCTTGCAGCCAGCGAGATGCGTCAGGATGCTGGGGCATTTTATAGCACGGCTCTTCTCCAGGTGAAGCCGAGCAGTCCAATCTTCGTCCTTCGGGTAGTCATCGGGCGAGTAGCCAGCTCGGAAGTAGATCGTCGTCACCTCGTACGACGTCGAAGGTGAGTTGGGCGGCGTGTAAAGCAGCGTTCGATCAGCGTCGAGTTTAGTGTGAGACAGTGTTTCTCCGAATGGTAGGCGGAAAGAGCGAACCCCGTTCTCTTCCAACAAGGCATACTCGAGATGTCTCTGATCGAAAACGTTTCTCTCTGGATCTTGAACAATGAATAACACGCATAAGGGACGGTTAGCCTGAGATGATACATAGGCTTTATGTGCGGCAGCGAGGCCTTTCGCCAAGGATGAAGCTGATCTGCTCTGTTGGAGTGCTTCGGCCTTGACGATAGATGAAGTTGAAGACGGATAGGCATCGATCGTGAGCAGATACCTATGTAGAGCGGACACCTGAGATGACAGACCACCGAACGAGGAAGCAATGGTATTGAATTCAACCTGTTTCAAGCTAGGTGCAGGGTTGGCTTCTGACGGGTCTTGGTGTACCATGTAGTCCGAGCGGAATAGTCCAAGGGAGAGGTCTTGAGCATATCCTTCCTCCTTCACCATTAAATGAGTTTGCCATAGCTTTGTAACGAAGTCGTCAATACCCAGCAGCTCTTCAACGATGCTCTGCAACCATGCCTCGTCCCTCGCGATTGCTGAGTAGAGCTCGTTGTAAGCTCTCTGTATGGCAAGACCTTCTTCGAAGCATGAAGCCGGGAACAGGCTGGGAAACAGGGTGACTGGAGCCGTTGTCGCAAGCACACCAGAAGGATCCTGCGATGGTTGGACAAATGCTGGAGCCGGGCGGACTGCTAGACCGTGCGCTATTGACCAATCTTTGAGATTCGAAATCAGATAAAGCTCTTCTTCCTTGGAGAGCTCTGGAGGGTAGTCCGCAAGCGATATCGAGGCCATGCTTGCTGCTTTCGTTTGGTTGTTGTCGACGCTGTTGCTGAGGAGGAGTCTTCAAGCGGCAGATTACAGTGAGAGACGTACAAATGCTGCCCGCACTAGCGAACTAGCGATTGCCTCAACTGCCCCACCAAACCCGGATGCATCTTGCAGGTGGTGAGGGACGCGTGCTTAACAAGACCAAATCGGTGTTCTCAAGCACACCATGCGGACTGCCTGGCTACAAACGTCAGCCAACGACTTGGTGTCTTTCGCCCCGCGACGCGTTTGCACGTGCTCTCGCGTGCTCGTTTCCAGGAGCCTGTTTAGCGCCAGCTGTTCACCTGGGCACGACCGCAAAGACTACATGCCTCACTTCACAGAGCCTCATCCCGACGAACCTCGCTATTGTTCGTATGGTGCCTAGTTTTAGCATCTCTATCTACCGCGCAATTGGTTATCCACACAGTCGGGCCCTGCTGCCACCTCCACTAAGATGCTAGCCAAAGACCCTTGGCTATGGACTGTGGACAATCTTGTCGCAGAGCTATGCCACTCAGAAGCTTTGTTTCAGGCAGCAGGCTACGGATTAGGGAACTCCCCTAACCCGGCAATGCTCGAACACCGCATACGAAACCAACAGATCACGGGAGTAACCTTTCTCACGGCATCAAGTACCCATGCTCTAGGACTTGAGTTGGACATATATCAGCAAGCGGCCTTATCGGCAGTCATTCGCCTACTTCGCCATCGATCCTTCATATACAAGCAGTGCGCAGCTACCAAGGGTGTAGAATCGTTAGATCTCAACAGTGCATCCTCCTCGCGCGTGCCTAATACCTTTAGTGATCCGGAATCTATCGATGAGACTGGCCGAAAGCGAAGGAAAGTCGCGCACATTATTACAGAGCCGCTGTCTAATACTTCTCAACCGGCGTTGGAAGCAGCTACAGGGTGGACCGCGGGCAATGCCTCTGATCAAGCTATCTCTGGTGGCGGCGAGTGGGATCATCTATTGCGACGACACCAGCCGGGCGGCGAGGAGGAGATTGACCTGGCAGAACTAGATGACTCTGAAGATGAAGAACGAAGTGGATATGCAGATGGCGCAGAAGAGGAACAGGATGTGCCAGATGAGGATGTGGAGCCTGAGCAGGGAGCGCAAGGCCGAAGTAAACTGAGTTCTGAACAAGTCATTGAGATCATCAATGAGCGCATCGATTACTACACTAATTCTTGGAAACCTGATAAAGGAGCGGTCAAAGGGGAGGAAATTCTATACGATCCAAACGCTATGTGGGAGAAAGCAGAAGCTACAGGGCAAAGACAACAACTTGTGGACAGACACGAGACGGACCTGGCATACTATACCCAACGTCTCGACAGACTATGCGACGAGATTTTAAAGTTTCCCGGAAGCAACGCGGACCAGGTGCGCCACCAGTGCCGCAATCTTGAGGTCACGATCGATTTGATGCAGCTGGCCGAATGGTCGTTGTCTATCTACAGATTGGAGCCCGTCTATGATAGCGACGACGAAACTGACGGCCCAGATACCAGCAATGAGCCGCAACTTCACGCTGGCATGCATCAGTCAAGGCCATCGGTCGAAATCGTTGATCTTGGGTCACCTGAAACCTCGGTAGCGGAAGATGTGATTATTCTCGACCATTCTACTGAACTCGCACGAAACATGGACGCCCACCATGATCATACCCCCACTTTATCTCATTTGCAGGACGTTAGCATTGCTGAAACAGTCGAATCACCCATATATGCCAATCCAGAGCCTCCTGCTCAGGCCCGCGCTCTTCCCTTGGGCTTACACGGAGATGAGCCGGAACACGCATCGATTGCGACAATACGTGGCTGGAGATGGGCCGGCTTGGTCGATACGCAAGATCGCAAACGTATCGTTTCGAAAGCTGTGCTTGAAATGAGGACCGAAGACCGCGAACTGATACGCACCAGACTAAAATTTGTAGGCAAAACGGACATGATCAAAGAGATTAGGGCCTGCCTAGGGATGATGTTCAAGGGACTGAATAAAATGCAAGGCGTGCTTTCAAAGGATCTACCCAAAATCGTTACCTTGACAAGACTTTTTCTGTCCTGGTGGCTTTGCGACGACTACTCCAGAGAAAAGCCGTCCATTTGGCACCTTGAAGAGCTCCAAAAATGTCTGGACGAAGGTGCTCCCGATTTGAGGATATTTTGCGACTACCTTGACACAATCATGGCAACGACTTTTAGTGAAGAAGCTTTGAGACATCCAGAGCGACCTTCACAAGCCGAAGTCATTGAAATCTCGGATGACGACGACGAGCCGCCAGCTCGACCAACTACTCAACGCAAGAACAGGCCGAATAAACTTGTGGGTATGGAGCAGGGTTCTGTCATTGTACTTGATTGAGGAAGATTCCTAAGATGTAGGCTGTATCGGCAGTACTGAGTATTCTTATTGAAATCATGGGGCATTGCAGGACATGAAGCCGGGGCAAGGCGAGTCTGGTGGGATGCAGTTTTTCTAATTTGGTACCGCTTTCACTAAGCAATCGACAATTTCACCCATCAGTCGATATGCCTCGGTAGTGGGGTGGTCTACAATTGCCGGAAATTCTTTAACCGGCAACATTCTATGTTGATCAATGCTGATGAACGCCTCTAAGGGGATGACAGGCCCTAAGCGTGCATGGTAAAAACCTGGGGTAACATGCGTAATAAGTCTACCTAGGTAGTTATTCGGTTCGATCGCTCGAGCTAGAAGCAAGATGCAGTGTAGGACGAACGTCACAAGGTTGTTTTCGGTCCGAAGTCTGGAGCGATAGAGAGAGCTGTGCCATGCTGTGTGTCCTTGAGGGCGGAGTCAGCATCGGACAGGTTGTAATATGCCAGGCTTTTGCCTTTAATCCGACGTCAAGACAAATTAGCGATTATGAAGATGGCGTCGGCATGCCATCCAATCATGGGCCGCTCATTTGATGCCGACGGCCGGGCCAGGCTCGGAGCTATCCCGCTTAGCTTTCCATCTCGTTCCGCATATGAATGATTTCTGTCCGTCCGTCTCTCTGACACGCTTCCGAACCACTCTTCTTCGTCCTCACGTTCCCCCCTCCCCCAATTATACCACTTCAACCTCATACTTCTCTCTTGCTTTTCCACGCGCTGCGCAATAGCCCACCATGGAGGCTCTTTTGCGCCAGTCGAGGTCCATGTGCCCGTTCCTCCACAAGACCTCCCCCGCCACTCTTCGCTCGCTCTCTACCACCACCGCTGCCGCTCGCCATGAGGCCTCTCCTGGGGCCGGGTCCATGTCCAACCTCCAAGTCCTTGCTCGTCGCTGCCCAATCATGGGCAAGGCACTCGCCGTGCAAAGCGCTCGCAATGGCAACAGCGCTCTTGCCGGCGCCTTCGGCGGTGTGCGAGCCTACCACTCCCGCGTCAATCGCGCCAAATTGCACACTTCCACGGCGAAGGAGGCTCAGGCTGTAGATATTGAGAATGTCAGAGGCAAACAAGGTATGGCACACTTCCGGGGCCCCGCACATGTCGCGCGTCATCCGCGCCAGACATCGAGGTCCTGGGCTAATTGACTCGACATGTATGGCTAACTCGATGCAGGTCCTATCCCATTCGCGCACGCAGCTCAGAAGTCAGCCACGGCTAAATCCACCCATGTTGGCGCTCCGCCGGCCCCGCAAACCGTCAAGTTCGATTACGAGGGCTTCTACCACAATGAGCTGGACAAGAAGCACAAGGACAAATCCTACCGCTACTTCAACAACATCAACCGCCTAGCCAAGGAGTTCCCCCGCGCCCACAAGGAGTCAAAGGAAGACAAAGTCACTGTATGGTGCTCCAACGATTACCTTGGCATGGGCCGCAACCCGCATGTGCTCAAGGCCATGCATGAAACCCTAGAGGACTATGGTGCTGGCGCTGGAGGCACTAGGAATATCTCTGGTCACAATCAGCACGCGGTGGCGCTCGAGGACACGGTTGCAAAACTCCATGCGAAAGAGGCCGCGCTGGTCTTTTCCTCGTGCTATGTTGCCAACGACGCTACCCTTGCGACTCTCGGAAGTAAACTGCCCAACTGTGTCATTCTCTCGGATAGCCTGAACCATGCCTCGATGATTCAAGGCATCCGTCACTCTGGCGCAAAGAAAATGGTCTTCAAACACAACGATATTGCCGACCTTGAAGCAAAACTCCAGTCGATTCCGTCAGAGTACCCTAAAATCATTGCATTTGAGAGTGTGTATAGCATGTGCGGCTCAATTGGGCCGATTGAAGAGATTTGCGATTTGGCGGAGAAGTATGGTGCCATTACCTTTTTGGACGAAGTCCATGCTGTAGGCATGTACGGACCACACGGTGCTGGTGTTGCTGAGCACCTCGACTATGAAGCCCACAAAGCGGGCAGGCCCCACGGCACGATTCAAGATCGCGTGGACATAATTACTGGCACACTCGGAAAGGCCTATGGCTGCGTTGGCGGGTACATTGCGGGCTCTGCTAAGCTTGTCGATACGATCAGGTCGCTTGCACCTGGCTTCATCTTCACCACCTCCCTTCCCCCAGCCACCATGGCAGGTGCCAAGGCTGCCATTGAGTATCAGACCAATTATCAGGGCGACAGGCGCCTCCAGCAGCTGCACACTCGTGCGGTGAAGGATGCCTTGAACGCGAAGGACATACCGGTTATTCCGAACCCAAGCCACATTGTCCCTGTACTTGTAGGAAACGCAGAAGTAGCCAGAAAGGCCTCTGATCTGCTGCTCGAAGACTGGGGAATCTACGTCCAAGCCATTAATTACCCAACTGTCCCTGTAGGCCAGGAACGTCTTCGCATTACGCCTACGCCTGGGCACGTGCGCGAGTACCGCGAACACCTAGTAGATGCTGTCGACGCCGTCTGGAAGCAGCTCGGTATTAAGCGTACCAGCGAGTGGGCTGCTGAGGGCGGCTTCATCGGAGTTGGTGAGGCTGGCAAAGCGGACGAAGCTCCTCTTTGGACTGACGCGCAGCTCGAGCTTGACACCGTCTTGAAGGAAATGAAGGCTGGCCAGGGCGCCACTGGCGTGCTTGAGGCTGTTCTAGAGAACGAGCGTAAGGCTACAGCCCACGCCGTTGCTGCAGCTGCTTAACTCTTCCATATGAGGTTTGGGGAGCAGGTAGAAGTAAGGTCTGGACGCTCGTTTGGTATTTTGAGACCTAGGATAACACTGAAGCGATGATAGCGCAATCAATCTGTTGTTCATCTGTCCATGTTTGATCCTAGTGCGAGTAGTGACATGCAAATGCTAACCTAGTTGTGACGGTTCTAACATCTAACCCTCTCTCTCTCTCTCTCTCTCTCTCTTCCCTGATGGTTCCCGCGCGAGTGCACGGCCATGTCTTGGCAGCCGGTGACGCTAGGTCAAGAAGCTCTTGAGCCTCAATTTCCTGGAGACAAGCTTCAACACGACCGACCGCGCCCACCGCAACGTGACATCGCGCGCCTTGTTCCGTTGCCGACCCTATTCATTCGCGGTCTTCGTCTTTCATCACGCTCCTTATCAACCCAACCTCCACAGCTCCCGACAACGAAGCTTCAACTAGCGTCACGGAGCCTCGGTGCATGCTCTGCATACATTTTATCAACCTTGCTCCCGCCGAGTCGATCCCTGAACCATAAGAGATGCCTCCACCGAAGCGAAAGCGACCTGATCGCACCTACTCCCAGGATGATGATCGCAACTCACGACCGTCGCCGCATCGCCCGCAGAACCTCGGGCTCGCACATGCGCAGCAGCAGCAGCAGCAGCAGTCCAACAGCCCGCGCGGGGGTGGTGGCCGGCGTCAGAGCAGAAACAGCGGTCGAGGTGGCTCCAGCGTACCCCAGAGCCCTAATGTCTCACAAGCACCACCTACAGCCATGTCCCCACCCACAAACACGTTACCACTCAGCAGGCCAGCGCAAGCGACTCCATCTGTTCCTGCACCACCAACAGAGCCCCCTTCGACACCCTCTACTCCTCGAGAAGTCCCAGAGAGCAACGAGTACCTGACCCCGGAGCGAGTTGCTCAGTGGAATGCCGACGCACGCGATGCCGTGGTACATGCTGCCGTGTCAGCTCAGCGTGAGGGCGATGTCCTCACAATGTCTGTCATATTCCACGAGATCATCGAGGCGGCTATGGATCGCTTGATGGATTCAGCGGTGCTAGGATCGATAGTCCGAGATATTGTTGCTGCTCCTGCCGACGAACTGGTGGATCCCGTGTCCACCTTCCTCGACACGCTCAGCTCACTGACACAAGACAAAGAGAAACGGGCGCTCGTACGGCAGCTACTTGTTGCGACCGACATCCATGTTTCCCGTATACGCACCGAGCTCGAGAACGAACTACTGACCTCCTTGGGTTTGGTCCGAGATAGCTTCGGTAAGATGGCTGTGCGTAAAGCGACCCATGCGCTATACCGACAATCGAACTACAACCTCCTCCGCGAAGAGACCGAAGGCTACTCTAAGCTCATGACGGAATACTTCACCACAGTCAACAGTCAACCGCCCACTCAGGAAGTCGTGAGCGAGACTTATGAGCGAGTCAATGCACTCATTGGTGCATTCGATCTGGACATTGGCAGGGTGCTCGATGTAACCTTGGACGTGTTCGCCAACCTTCTTGTCAAGCATGGACGCTTCTTTGTCAAGTTACTGCGATCAAGTGCGTGGTGGCCGGAGCTACGCGGACTCGAGGGCATTGAGTGGGAAGAGGCAGATGTATCCGCCCTACCGCAGTGGGCACAACCAGAGTCACCCCTGTGGCACTATTCTGATCAAGAGAAAGACAAGCAATTGCAACTACGAGAGCAGAGGGATCGAAAGTTCTGGCAGCGTGTCGGAGAGCTGGGGCCTCGCTCCGGGATTGAGGCGTTCTTTGAACTTGGTGGTCGCCGCATCACTTCGAACAATCGGCAACCAGATCACACAATCTCCACAGAAGGTACACCGCTATCCAAGCAGCAGGCCGCTCGAAAGTGGGCAGATGAGTGGATGGAGCAAACTAAGACTCTTCCGCCACCCGGCAACGACATTGCCGCCCAGCTTCTTGGTTTCAAACTTCGCTTCTACGCCTCTGATACCCGCGACTCATCCGATTTTCTTCCGGACAACCTCATCTATCTGGCTGCCCTTCTGATCAAGATTGGCTTCATCTCTATCTTGGATCTCTACCCACATCTGTACCCACTGGAGGAAGATATGCCTGCACACAAAGAGAGCCTTCTAAAGGCAAAGAAGGAGAGGGAACGGAAGGATCGAGGAGGTATTGCTAATGCGCTGACCATGGCTGGGGCACTACCGGACGACAACTTGCCACCAGCTATTAGTCGTTTACGGGAGGCTGAAGGCAAGTCGAAATCCGAGTCTGAAAGAGGTACACCCGCCAAAACCGACGAAGCTACCGAAAGGAAGAAAACATTACCTGAACCTGCGGACCAAAAGTTCCAGCTTCTGAAGAGTTTACTCTGCATCGGGGCTCTGCCAGAAGCATTGTTCATCCTGGGACGTCACCCCTGGATGCTCGACACTTACCCTGAACTGCTTAAGCTCATTTTCCGCCTGGCACATCACTCGCTCAGCAAAGTCTATGAGGCAGCGAGGCCTACTCCATCAGATCAACCCCTTCCTACCAAGGGCGCCGGTCTTCGAACGTCCTCAAGGCCATGCGACTATATCCCCCGGCGAACGCTCCGATGGGCCAAGCCAGACGAGAGAGATGCAGGCGATGGAATTGATTACAAGTTCTACTGGGAAGACTGGGTGGACAATGTTCCTGTCTGTCAAGAGGTCGACGATGTGATAAAACTCTGCAATACTCTTCTCGGCTTGGTGGGACCGGAATGCGGTCAGGATATTGTTCTGTTGACAAAAATCGTGCGCATTGGCAAACATGACCTAGCAGCCGATCCATCGGACGCGAATCGAAAACGCTGGGTCAATTTCTCGGCGACCTTCATCGCCCCTGCACTCTCCTTCACAGGCAGGAATCCCGGTATCATCAACGAGGTCTGGGACCTGTTCAAGCAGTTTGACACCGCGACTAGGTACACCATCTACCAGCAGTGGTTTTCTGGTAACAAACCATCGATGAGGGCTGTCTTTGCGAAGGTGCAAAACGAAACGAAGGGTACACTTTCACGAATCTCGGCTACAAACACGAAGGAGTATGGCAGAAAAATTGCGAAAGTGTCCTACTCCAATCCTGGCATCGTCTTCCAGATGACGTTGAGGCAACTGGTTGCCTACCCCAACATGATCGGCGCCCTGGTCGAGTGTAGTAAATACCTCACATTGCTCGGATACGACTGTCTGACCTGGACCCTGGTGAACTTTTTCCTCAATCCCATCAAGGGTGGAACACAAGAGGATGGTATGCTGTCTGCACCATGGCTTAAAAACATCGCCTCGTTCGTCGGGAAAGCTTACCAGAAGTACTACCTGATGGATCCGACTCCTGTATTACAGTTCACCACGCATCAGCTGCTGCAAACGGAAGGCGAACTATACATGCTCGACGTTCTTGAACAGATGATCAAGTCGATGGGCGGAATTGCGTTGAGCGGATCTTTGTCTGAGTCGATGACCCTCGCGCTCTGTGGTGGGCCCGTCCTCCGCACCTTCACCTTACAACACCACCTCTCGGACAGTCGTCACCAAGCTGGTTCCTCTGCAAGACGTCTTGTGAGATGTCTGAAAGAGACGGGCTTAGCACCACAGATCCTTATTGCGCTCGCACAGCACGTGGAGGCCTATCCCCATCGCGAAGATCAGCGAGAAGAACCCGACAAGGTGGTGCTCTTCAACGTGGACAAACTGCGCTCCAACCTTATCCAGTACCTAGAGCTTCTTCGAGCATACCTCTCTGCGGACGAATTTGATCAACTCTTTCCCCCGCTGATTGAGATGATGTCCAGCTTCGGTGTTGAGCCAGATGTTGCTTTCACTGTTGCTCGTGCTAGCATAGCAGCCAAGGCCAACGCTTTCAGAGTCGAGCGACAGCCGAAGTCAGCCAACGGCGATACTATCATGGATGAAGCCGAAGGATCACCGCTTGTCAATGGAGCCACGGCCTTGTCCGACCTCGGGATTAAGGAATCACCAAAACCCACCGGAGACACTGAAATGAAGGACGTAACTGCAACCACAGACGCTGTTGCAAAACAGGGGAGCTCAACTGTCTCCCTGTCAGCTCCTTCTGTGCCTGACATGCCCAACCCCGAAATTGAAGTGCTGGTGGAACAACTAAAACAGGCATTACCAGAGACCTTCGCGGATCATCCTAGTCTCTCTTTCTACGTCACCTTCTGGCAACTTTCCTTACCGGACGTCGACGAGGGTGGGATCAATCAACAGTATCGGGACACTATTGCATACTTTGAGCGACAGCTACCTGCACCTGTTCCTGAGCGCCGCGGCTACAATCCCAACATCCCTAGGAAGGAAACTGAGGAGGCGCGCCGGGCGAAACTAGAGATTGCCAAGCTGAAGGAAGAACAACAGAATGTCGCAAAAGCCAACGTTGTAACTCAGGACAGCCTGCGGGTCGAGATGCAGCGATGGTTTGACGGCATTCCCATGGTAGACTCGCGGTCCGACGCGCTCCACAATGCTTTACTACAGGATTGCTTCATTCCTCGTAGCCGCATGTCACTCCAAGACGCACAGTTTGCGTCGTCTATGCTCAAGTTCATGCACAAGTCCGGTGTGCCTGGTTTCCGTACGATCAAGTTGCTTGATCTTCTCTTCAACGCCAACAAGCTTACGTGCATCATCAGCATGTACACTGAAGAGGAGTCAGCGACGTTCGGCCGCTTTTTGAATGACATTCTGCGCGAGCTGCAGATTTGGCATGATAACAAAGATGACGCGTATGTTAAGCATGCGCATGGCTTACAGAAGAAAGTGCCTGGGTTTGGCAAGCGTTTCGATGCCGGCCGAAATGCAACGGACTTCCTTAAATACGAGGAGTTCTGCATGCTGCTGTATAAGTGGCACAAAGCACTGTTCACTGCGCTGAAGACGTGCGTTGATAGTGGCCACTTTATGCAGATTCGGAACTCCATCAACATACTGAACGGCTTGTACCCAACGTTTCCCAAGGTGGACTCGATGGCGAACGAATTGCGGCAGACCATCTCGCACCTTGCCGAGGTCGACGAAAGAGATGATTTGAAGACATCTTTGCAATCGATTCTCGCTGGTTTCAAAAAGAGCGCAAAGTTCTGGCAGAAGGAACATGAATTTCGCAATGTATGTTCATCCATCTTGCTTTACTCATGATTGGTCGCTAACACATCATAGCTTCCGGCACCTCCAACGCCGAGTAGCACTGACAAACCTACTACCGACAAGGCTCAAACACCACAGCCGCAAGATACGAAGCTTAGTGCGACTGCGCTTGCTTTCCAGCCGAAGATCGAGACGTAAGTGATCGACCCACCAAGCCATGTCAACAACAAGGCTAATACGTAACCTCCAGCAACGGTATTCAGAAAGGTCTACCAGATACTATGGACGAAAATACGCCAAGGCGGACTGGGTCGACGCCGGCAACGCCCGTGCCTACCCCAAGGGACCGAGAATCCGCTAAGTTAGTACCAAAGTTGCCTGAACCCAGGGCATCCACTCCAGCAAGACAGGATATGGGCCCCGGGAAATCCACGGCGAAGCCTGGTCCTCCTATGCATGCGTCACACGTACCCCTGCGGCCGGATAGCAGAAGCACGCCGACACAGTCTACGCCTATTAGTAGACCTTCGCATGCCTTGCCAACAAGGCCTGACGCACAACCATCGAGGGCTCGACAACCCGAACGACCTGGTGTCGACCGCCCGGCAGATCATAGTCGATATGATACTCGAGGACCACCACCAACTGATTATGGGCGATTGGACCGCCCCGGTGATGCTGTACGCCAACGCGAAGCATCTCCCGGTCGCCGTGCACGACCTCTTCCTGGTGGCAGAACACCTGAGAGGATTCCACAGGCAACCGAGCATCGCGAGTGGCCGGCAAGAGACACCAGAGAGTATGACGAAAGGGCCATGCGAGCGCCACCGCGAGATGCGCGAGGTTCCCTAGCGCGAGCGCCGCCAAACTGGGATCCTCGCGATGCTAGAGATCCAAGAGATCAACGCGAGCGACCCGACTCTCGGGGTCACGTTGCGCCACTGTCAATGGAGCCTCGCCGTATGCCTTCCAATTCATCAGTAGCTCAAGAGCATACGGCACATCGACGAGACTTGCCACCACCAAACGTTCGTTCAGGCACAGAGCGGGAGGACCATGGCCCACTGCACCCGTCGCCGGCCGCACCCGTACCAGCGGCTGATGGGGCTATGGTAAATCCAGCGCGCGCTGCTCTCATCAATCAAGCTGAGCATGGAAGACACGAACCGCAAAGGTCCGATCGTGATGGCCGCCGTGATAAAGGCTCACGTCCACAGTCACCTCGCCGTGGCGAAGATAGACGTGGAGAAGAACGCCGAGTCGAAGAACGTCCACCTCCAGGTTATCACGGTCGCAGTGATGCGCCTCGCGAGCATCGTGATGAGCGAATACCTTCGCAGGCTCCACTACCAGGCAGCCGAGATCGCCGGGATGAACTTACTGCAAGCACCCCAACGGGCCCGCGTGGTGGACGAAACGAGCCTTCGACGCCTGCTCGCGCCTCTCGTGATATGTTCCAGCTCGCGCAAGGTCCAAGGCCATCGCATCACCAGGCTCAGGATCCCAACTACGGACGACTCAATCAGCCTTCTGAACCAGCACCCCCTTCAGGTCCACGGAGTAAGTCCTATAACTCGAGGGTTAGCTCTAATTGCTGACGACATTAGGTGAACGGCCGCAAACACAGTCTCAGCCGCCCACACCAACTGCACCTTCGGGTCCCGCAGCGTCTCATCCTGTAGGAATCCATCCCAGCAGACTTGAGAACATACATGGCAAGGGGCCAAGCGGGCCGCTTTTGCAGACAAATGTGCCCAATGCTCCAAGCGGGCCACGAGGCTCATTTAGAACACCCCAGGGACAAATACCATCATCACCTGTGGGCCGGGGTCCTCCGACTGGTCCTGCTGCCGCGGATCGCGGACCAAGGAATGCGGGCAACCCCTTGCGAGCAATTAATAGTGTATTGACGCAGAATGCACCTACAGATAGACCAAGTGAACGCGTTGCACCTTCACAAAACCCTCCTGTACGTGGCCGAGGTGCAACTCGTGCCAACAGTCCTTTAGAAGCATCAGGTGATATGGCCAGTCCCATGCCGCCGCCAGCGCACGCTTCGACACCCAACTCCCGCATGGAAGGTCAGCATTCGAGGAACAGTAGAACGGAGAATCCACCGGGCCGGGTGGAAGGCGCTCTACCAGAAGAAGGACGATCAGAGTCCCGTGGACATAGGGACAGCAGACGTAGCGAGCGGCCAGGACGCGAGCGCTCTCCTGATCGAGGTGATAGGCGACCAGATGAGCGAAACAGTCGCAACGGACCTACGGAGCGACCAGGCCAAACCGAACAAGAGCGAGGGCCGGAGCGTGACCGCGGTGGTCGTGAAAAGCGAGGCGGTGATAGAGAGAGCAGTAGACGAGAGCGCGAACGAGAAGGTGAACGATCCACAGAGCGCTCTGGTCGCGAACCACGGGAAAGCAGTAGACGCGAGCGTGGCTCACGAGACGAAAGTCGAGCATCCGGACGCGATGAGCGTGATAGGCGGAGCCGAGGAGGTGGAGCAGGAGATGATGGAAAGAAAAGGGCACGCGATCCAACGGATCAGGGGCAGGGGCACGGCGACGTGAAGCGCAGACGGTAGAAACGTACGCATAAGCGTTCTTGAAAGTTATACTATATTTGGGACTGCATTGCAAGGCGTTGAGGCATAACGATACCCCGAGTACTTCACTCGAGCGAAAATTTGGGTGGCATTTAGCATGGAGTTTGTTCAGATATGCCCAAGGAATTTTCTTCTTTCTTTTGTTGCGGTTATGCATTGTTTAGGAGGGCCTAATCTCTACCGCTCTTTGTATAGTATAATTATTAGTAAGAGGTGGAAACACCTGGGCAGATCTAGGACGCGAAATCGAAGATGCACATGTCTACCTACTTGCCTTTCTACTTCTATAGACGGACGTAGGGATGGGAAGGGCTGCGAACGGTACTGTGAATGTGTTATAACAGGTTGTCCCAGTTTTCTGGGCAGATCACTAACACGGCATGTGTTGAACTCATGCCCCACCATTGTGGTATGCCTTCGTGGCTTCTAATGTATTAAGCCATGTTTGTCTAACATCTAACAACTGGTGAATAGCAACCCTTGCAATTAAATTGTTTTGACACAAAAACATCGAAAAAGCGCCCACACCCTAGGATTACCTGTTGAGCTATCGCCAATCTGTGCATCGTTTTGGAACATGGCAAATCTATTGGCTTGAACGGTCACAACTAGATACGTGCAAGACGAGATCCTTGTATTCTTACTGTCGTTCGCACTGCCGAGAGAGGGACGAGGCCGAGGCAAAGTGAGAGGCCCTGATTCTAGACGTATCGCAACTGCGCGCAATATGAAGGAAATCTACGCGATATTGTGGCGTAAGCTGAAAAAACGCCCCTGCTTACCTTTTCCGGCAGGTAAACACAAGATTCATGTACCTTTTCTCTATCCTAGTGGATTTAGCCAACTTTTTCTTGATCCGAAGGTATGGTTCTGCCGCATCGGCGGCTATACACCGCGTCACATACATGATTGCCATGCAGGTCTATGAACGCCCTGTCTTACGGGGACATGGAACGATGGCGTTTCGGTCGGAATCTTGAAAATACAAAAGATGTCCATGATCTGCTTCTGCTAGCGCGAAGGTCATAGTGGTTGTTGGATTTCGGATTAACACAATGGTGCACTTCAGTATCGTGGTACCGGCGGTGTTTGGGCTCTTTTTTGCTGGTGTGAATGCACTGAGCAAGAAACAGCTTCTGAACCAGACGTATGATTATATCATCGTCGGCGGTGGGACATCGGGCCTGACAATCGCCAATCGATTGACTGCAAATGGCAAACGTGAGTACCCTATCTCCCACCCTTCAATACCCCCTACCTTATCAATGTATGCTTCTTTGATCATCTTACAAACTGGCAACCACAGGCTCCGTCCTCGTCGTCGAATACGGCGAACTCAACAACGATCCGTCCATTCTCCTCCCCGCAGACACTTTGAATTTCCATCTCGATCGCTTCTACAACTTGACCTCCCTTCCCATCCCTGGCCTCAACAACGTCACCTCTCGAGTCTCGGCAGGTGCACTCGTTGGCGGTGGCTCAGCCGTGAATGGCATGTTCTTCGACCGCGGCTCGGCGTCTGACTACGATGCATGGGAGGCCCTCGGGAACCCGGGATGGTCGTTCAAAGACCTACTGCCATACTTCAAGAAGAGCGTCACATTCACACCTCCAACTCCTGAAGTAGCGGCGAAGTACAACTATACCTGGGATGTGGAAAGCGCGTATGGAGGCCATGGAGAGGTACAAGTCTCCTACCCCCCATACCAGTTTCCAGGGCAAGAGTTCGTCTGGGATGCGTGGAAACAGATTGGTGTAAAGAAGCCGAAGGAATCTGCGAATGGGGAGGCGATTGGTGCCATTCAGGCACCCTCGGCGCTGGATCCAGTGAAGAGAACGAGGAGTTATGCTAGGACCGCGCATTATGACCCTTTCTCGAATCGCTCGAATTATCATCTTTTGACGGGGTATCAAGCCACTGAGCTGTTGTTGAAAGAGGGTGGAGACCTGGAAGCCGTGGGTGTGAACATTGTTAAAAAGGGTACAGCTGAGAAGATTGCTGTCGTCGCCAAGAGAGAAGTCATCGTTGCGGCTGGAGCGGTGTGGACGCCGTGGCTTTTGCAACGATCTGGCATCGGCCCCAAGTGTGTACTGGAGAAAGCTGGTATCAAAGTGAGGAAGCACTTGCCAGGTGTTGGGGCCAACTTTCAGGATCATCCTCTTGGTGGTGGGATTTGGAACTGGACAAAAAGCACGCTGTATCCGACACCAGGTACCTTGGCGGGCAACGCGACCTTTTACGAGGAGGCGAAGAAAGAATACGAACAATTTCGAACGGGACCACTGACTCCGGCACGAGGCAACCAAGCTGCCTTCTTACCTTTGAAGACGGTGGATCCAGAGGGCTGGCAATCCATCGTTGCAGCAATTGCTGCTCAGAATTCGACAGCGTACCTTCCTGATCAATACGATGAGACGCTCGTGAAAGGCTTCAAGGCGCAACAAAAGTTGACCGCAGAATTACTAGCTAGGGGGGACAGCGCAGCGTACGAGTTCCCTTTTGGAGGCGGCCCGCTTGGAAACGCCGTCCTTATTCGACCACTCAGTCGCGGAACAGTCAACATCAACACCACGGACCCGTCCAGCGTCCCCGTTGTCGACTTCCGCACTTTCAGCAATCCCCTCGACATTAAGACGGCGATTCCCATAGTTCACTTCGCTCGACGCTTTAATTCCCTATCTTCCTTTTCCTCCCTGGGGCCCGTTGAGCTCACGCCCGGCCTCAACGTTACAAGCGATGCCGCCATCGAGGCATATCTCCGCACCACATTCAATCCCACTTTTGCCCATCCGTCTGGAACCGCATCGCTGTTACCAGAGGAGTACGGAGGAGTGGTCGGCCCGGATCTCAGCGTTTATGGGGTGGGCAAGTTGAGCGTGGTTGATGCGAGTGTGATTCCGTATTTGCCGGCTACGCATATTTGCACGACGGTGTATGCGGTTGCAGAGAAGGCGGCCGATGCGATCAAAAAGAGGACTGCGTGGGATGACTAACTGGTTGTGGTTGATACTTTCTGGGGGGAAGTCCGCAATCTGACGAGGGGGAAAGGGACTTGATGATTACTTATTGCTACAGGAAAATCCTAGGGAGCTTGTACTACTATGAGTTACCTCCATATTGCTCAGTACTAGTATCTGGGCTTCTTCAAGAGTCTTGTAAGAAATTCCAGAGTTGGACGCATAACCAGTCACCCACTTCAACCGACAAGTACACTTAACGACATGTAAAGGAAGCTACGATCCTGCGTGGATCATCAGCCCCACTTTTTATGTTAGTATGATTTACGAGCGGACGAAAATATCAACGCCACCTCTATGGTTTTGCGATTGCGAATACCTTGAATGTATGACGTCGTCATATAGGATTGAAAATCATGTTGAAATCTAAACTCCTTCCAGTCCGCCGCTAGGGAGAAAGACAGGGATTGAGCAGAAGCCCAACCTGGCCTGATTGGCCAACGAAGCGAATGTCAGCGGATGACTCAGGCTGCTTAGAGAGCACCTGCATTAGCAGGTCTTCCACTCCGCTCCAAATACATTGGTTGATGTTGTATCTCTATTCTACTAAATCCCGTTGAATGCCTGTTTAGTAACGAGCCATACAGATGCGCCAATAGCGAGTTCTCATTCAGCCCTGACTCCGAGCTGTTTGTCCGCCGATTTGTAAACCGAGGACTGATTCGTGAGACGTCTGGCTTACCGATGGAGATACTGCGTGTCAGACGAGTAGAGACTGGCCAGTATCTCCGCTGGTGTTCGTCCAGTGGAATGAGTGTTGGACAAATGGAATCAGTTAAGAATGGCTTGACGTCTGTTGTGAAGTTAATTATCAGCTTACTACTTCTTAACCCTTTACGTACTTGTGCTCCCATCTCACCTATCTTGTCTTGAATAACAAGGAAACCCATCAATTCTCCAGACCAACATAGAAGCACAGCATGGTGGCTGCGTTGATAAGGGATGCCCCGTTTGGGCAAATCATCAGATACATCACTAAGAACCGTGTTCTTCAATATCCAGAGGAACGCGCAGACTTCCAAATACCAGCCGCCTACACAAGACACACCCGGCCGTTACCAAAGCGACTCAGCACTGATGTCACCGAAGTTCCCAAACTTGAGCCAGAAGGCCTAGCAACCGAAGAAGCCGTCTACCCAGACCCAGAAACCCGCGATCTCGAGAAGCTAGACACCATCAGCGAAGTTGAGCAGACAGATCTCGAAAAGATCCAGACGGCACGAACCCAGCACACAACGAGGACGCAGATTTCCCGCGTCGGAACACGGACCGCACTGCAAAAGTCCATTTCTCATGCGGATCTTGAACAGCAGTTCTCACTGGCGTTTGTGGAAAGAGGCCCAAGTCGGCCAATTGAACCTGAAACGCTTGACGATGGCACCATCTTGGTGGATTGGTATGACACTGATGATGCAGATAACCCACAGAACTGGAGCTTCAATAAGAAGAACGTAGTGCTCTCTCTGATTCTCATGTACACCATGGGAGTCTACATGGGTAGCGCAATCTACTCTCCCAGCATCCCAGGTGTAATGGAGCGCTTCGGCGTCGAGATAGGAGCCGCGTCGCTTGGCCTGTCCATGTACGTTCTCGCCTACGGCATTGGACCTTTGCTCTTTTCGCCTTTGAGCGAGATCCCGATTATTGGACGCAATCCGCCCTATATCATCTCCTATGCCATATTTGTCATATTGCTTGTACCAACTGCTCTAGTCGACAACTTCGCTGGCTTGATCGTCCTCCGGTTCCTCCAGGGTTTCTTTGGCAGTCCCTGCCTAGCTACTGGCGGCGCCACTCTGCAAGACGTCTACAGCCTAATTAAGCTTCCTTACGTCCTCTCTCTATGGGCGTTTGCAGCGACATGCGGTCCCGCCCTCGGGCCAATCATTTCTGGATGTAAGTAACGTTGGTGGCGAACTACATGTGAGACATACACTGACTTCGTCTCTCAACCTCTAGTTTCTGTCGCCGCTAAGAACTGGCGCTGGTCTCTCTGGGAGATGCTCTGGATGAACGGACCCATCTTCCTATCTCTCTTCTTCCTCCTCCCCGAGACGTCATCCGCAAACATCCTTCTCCGCCGCGCTCAACGCCTCCGCAAACTCACCGGTGACAATAGCCTCAAGTCCCAGTCTGAGATCGACCAAGCGAATCTCACCCCACGCGACGTCGTTATCGAGGCCCTATGGCGCCCCTTTCAGCTCATGCTGCTTGATCCTAGTATCGCCTTCACAGCCGTGTATACCGCAATCGTCTACGGAATCTTCTACAGCTTCTTCGAAGCTTTCCCCTTGGTCTATAACGAAATGTACCACTTCAGCCTCGGACAACTAGGCCTGACATTCCTTTCCGTCACCGTCGGCGTCATACTGAGTATAACCTGGTACTGGTGGTACATCTACTACCGCGTGGAGCCGTCGATCCGCGCCCATGGTCTTGGCTCGCCGGAGCGCCGTCTCGTTCCTGCGTTATTCGTGACGTTTTTTGTTCCGATCGGCCTGTTCATTTTTGGCTGGACGTCCAACTCGTCTATCCACTGGATCGTGAGTTGTATCGGCATCGTCATTACCACCATCGGCATCTTCCTGATCATCCAATGTGTGTTCTTGTACCTGCCGTTGGTGTATCCTCAATACGCTGCCTCTCTCTTCGCCGGTAACGACTTCACCCGATCTGCTCTCGCTGCTGGAGCTATCCACTTCAGCTATCCCATGTTCCATAACCTTGGTGTCGATCGTGGTGTTTCACTGCTAGCCGGCCTTACGGTCGGTTGTAGTGCGGGAGTTTATGTCCTTTTCTTCTTCGGCGAGAAGTTGAGGGCCAAGTCGAGGTTTGCTGCAAAGTAAAGTCAATATGCTCAAAATTAGGACTAGCAGAGCAAGAAAAGAAGGGTCCGGAAGATGGGCGTCTCAAGCAGCGTAGGAATTCCCTCCAACACTTTGCAGTCCTTAGGAACATTCTCCTTTCTTTGATTAGTTTGGTGTTGCGTGTTTCATTTTTTGATCCAATTCCCTTGGATGTCATCTAGACGCCATGAAAGCAAGGTGTAAAGGCGTCAGGGTCTCAAGGCGATAGTAAGGTTGCAGTAATTAGTAATACCAAAGTCATCACTTCGTACAGTACTCTTCTAGCTCCTGTAGCCATCTCATCATGGCCTACCCATCCTACAACTCGGTCCACATGGTGACTCTCAACGCACGATGGTCAGAGGAGGATGAATGCTATATAGATAGTAGAATAGGAGTTCAATCGGTACTAAATTGATTTAGTACATGTGTCGTTGTAAGTGTTCTGGGGAGGCATGAGCAACGCCTCTTTGGGGTATCATATCCGTAAATCATAACCAACGTGTTCTACTATCATTGCCCCCAGGTTGGATCGTCCTCAAGTGAGCCTATGATCTCTACGCCCTGTTCCTCCTGGAATGTGACCTGCTTGCCCTTTTGACCCCGCTTCTTCTTGCCCTTGCCGTTTTCCTTGTTGGCGTTCTCGCCGTCCCCATTCTCGTCATCCAGCACTCCAGCGGCCGCTTTCTGGAGATTTCGTTGCCTAGTCTCTTCTGCCGCAGCTGTAATCAGTGCCCGCATGCGTGCCTCGTCTTCCGCGAGTTGGCGTTTAATCTCATCGGCATCGGCGAAAGACTCTTCTTGCCTCTGTGACGCTTCAAGGAAGACACCCCAGTGAGACGCAATCTCGCTTTGACCTTGGAGAGCTTCTCGCACTCGTTCAGGATTTTCGCGCTCTTCGCGTGTGAACTTTGTCTTGATGGACCGTCGAGTAGAGCCAGGAAACATCTGGGATACCATCTGGAAATCAGTCCCGAACGACTTTAGGCCTTGGTAGAACAAGTCTGTACTTTCAGTGTTCCAGCGTCTACCCTGACCAGGTAGGATAAAATCATTGGGAAACCGCTTGTTGTTTTTCATGAAACTACGTGACGTTATGCGAGAAGTAATATCTCTATCCTCGATGATTTCATAATCTGCAATCTCGCGGTCTGCGTCGGCCTCTCGATCGACTGTGCCTGTATTGGGCACCAGCTGAATAACACCGTCGACCGTTTGGAAACGAGGGCCCAAATCTTGTGGGGCATTGAGAGCTGCTGCGTTCAAAGCCGTATCGGCTGCCTCCTGCTCTTCTTTAGACTTTATCGGACGAGCATCTTCCTCCTGTCGACGTTGCTTAACAGCTGCCCAGTCAATCTCTCGCATCTGCTTCTCACGACTCGATAGCTTCCCAACCCGGATGTTACGGGAAGCTAGACCATCCATGAAAGTTATTTGCGGGTCGATGATTTGTTCCTCTGCGTCCTCCGGTGTGGGTTCTCGTGGCGGTCGTCCCTTTCGTTTCGGTTGTGCACCTTCCCCATTTTCACCCTCGCCCTCCGTGGTCTGCCTCTTCTTCCTCTTGGGTTGGCGTGGCTTGCGGGGTAGAACGACTTCTTCACCACCATCTTCTTCTGGTTCAGCCTCCTCGTCAGCTGCTTCGGCAGTACCAGTACCTTCGGCTGCTTTGGCTTTCCTGAGTCTCCGCGGTCTCTTCAGGGGTGGTTGTGTCTCGCCGCCGTCCTCTGCACTGGCTGTGACAGCTTTCCTCTTCCCTCGAGCTTTTGCGGTAGGTCGCTTTCGCACGGTTTGAGAGTCGTTCTCCTCGTCGACTTCCTGCTGTTCTGCTTCTCCTGCATCTTCGTCTACTGTGACCTTCTTCTTTCCTCGAGTCCTGGCAAGTCTTCTCTTGGTTGGCGCAGGCGCAACAGCCTCTTCGTTATCATCATCTTGTGGGGGGTTTACAGTTGCCCAGGGCAGTGTCCGTCTTGGTCGGGGCTGCGGAGCCGTCGTCTCCGCTGCCAGACCTGACATTTCAGTAGCTGTTGCCAATGCTTCGGTGCTGATAGATTCTTGATCTTGGGGGAGCTGTTGTGTACTATCATCTTGTTCCTGTTGCATGGGTTGTGTGGGACTCTGGTCTTCTCCTTCGTTCACTGACACCTGCGTAGTTGCGGGGTCCTTCGATGCAGGTAGGTCCACGCGCCGCCTTTTGGGCGCTCTGCCAGTTTCAAGCCCATCTTCAGCAGTGTGGACTGCACCCAACGAGGTCTGGGTGTCAATTTGGGTTTCCTGCTCTTGACGTGGTTGTGTGTCTGCGATGGTGGATGGAGGCGTGGGAAGCGGTTCCGTAGCGATGGGGGATGGTTCGTGAACATGGCCTAGTTCCTCAGTCGCAATTGAGGATTCGTGTATTCTTGAGATGCTTTGAGAAGCAGTCGGGTACTCAGGTTCTTGCGTCGCAGCGGGCGGGGGAACTGGAGCCGCTGGCGCCGCTGCTGCTGCTGCGGCGCCCGGTCTTCGTCGCGCAACAGCCTTGGGCGCAAACTTCTTGCCCGTCGTGTTCTCTGACTATGACTTAGCACATGCGGCGCGCATCTACACGGGCCTGAACTCACTGTTAATGAAGGAACTGAAGGTGGCTGCAGCCTTGGGCGCCGGGGCTTTGTCGTTGCCCGCGGCAGATGGCTGCGCAGAGCCTTCCTCCGCAGACATGATGGCTGCTTGCTTGCTCCAAGCGAAGAATTGGCCGAAAAAGAGGGTGTCGTTTGATTATTATAACATTGGGCGGGGAATTGTACCGGCTTGCTTTAGCCTCTGGATAGTTTGAAGACAACGACCAGGATGCGACGCACAGGACTGACTCGCTGCGCTAGCCTTAAGCACAGGCACGTGACACGTTGGCCTTAGCGTCTTTGTCGACTTCTCAAGCCTTTCTCCTCACCTGCACCCGCTCACACGGCACACGACCCCCCCGCCCACACTCTCTCACTCACTCGCCCGTCGTGCAGCCGCCTTCAATTCACTCCTTCATCTCCCGTTAGCCACCTGAGCGGCGCGCTTGTCCACAGTGCTCCCTCCTCCCTCACAGCCCTCGTTTGCTCGATGAGGCTCGAAGCCAGGACCGTGGCACCCCCATCGCTTGACGCTGTCAAGATGGAGGACCGCAAGCGGCCCATGGCCGATGACTCTGCTCCTCCTGCTAAGAGGCAAGCCGTGACTGTCAACGGTGCCCGATCGCATCCAGACGCTGACTTGCCATGGAAAGATGACCTCGAGGTTCGCCTCCCCGATCACCGCCCTCCTGCCTCCGCACACCGCGAACACATTCGCTAATCTTCCCCAAACAATAGGCTTTCCAGAAAGACGCCATTCTACGGCAGATGCGCGAGTTCAAGCGAGAAAAGGTCACCCTCGAGTCGCAGTTGACCGAGTTGGAGAAGCGCTCGCAGCACCACGACGACCATCTGCGGATAATAGACTCTTGGTTTGATCAGGTCAGTACACACTGGGGTTTTGATTGAGATGATGCTAATAGCTTCTTAGCTTGTCGATGAAATCAAAGTCCGCAGTGCACAAAAACTGCCTGTATCATCAGGTGATCCTGCCTTTAGTCCCTCGATACCCGCTGCCCTCTTCTTCGAGGATAGTCAAACCCTCAAGAAACACTTGTCTAGTCGCAAAGACAAGATACTGGTGTCACTATCTGGACTTTTTGCTAGTTACCCCCCCAGTAGCCCAGAAGTTGCAGATCTGCAGGAGAAGCTATCAAACCTGTTAGCTAATGAGAAGGACCACCTTGTCCGGCTGCAGCGACTCACTACGGAGAAGGAGCAATTGTCAGACCGTTTGGATACGGCTACTCATCGTTATCTGGTTGCCGAGAAGAAGATTGACCGACTAAAGAGTAGCCAAGTTCAGAAGCTTGAACAGCAAGCAGTTGCCAGCAGCGTTGTAAAGGAGGAGATACCATCTGCAACTAACGGTGCCGAGGCTATCAATGGCGCATCACCCGGTCCAGTCAGTGAAGAGGTGGAAGCATCCCGCAACCAGGCAGTGGCCGAAGCACTGAAAAGAAAAGAGCAACTCGAACAGATCGAGCAGGAGAACAAGAAACTGACTGAGGAGGTGTCAGCTCTAAAAGTGAAGCTCACTGGACTATCGGACGACGACTACGCCAAAACGGATCTGTTCAAGGCGTTAAAGAATCAACACGAGGACGTAATCAAACGTATCAACAACCTGGAAGCGACTAATATCCAATTACGGGAAGAAGCGCAGAAATACCAGGCAGAGCGGACAGCTTATCGTATCAAAATCGATGATGAGACCCGTTCGTCTTTGGCAGAGTCTGAGAGTAACGTCTCACAAGCTGAAGCGAACCTCGCCCGCATTCGGAGTGCCCGAGATGAGCTCATGGCCAAGAATAGCGTTCTCGAAACCAGCCACAAAGATACGTATGCGTCTACGGAGCAATCGAAAGAGCTTGTAAGCGCGTGCGAGAGCCGAATTGCAGCTCTAGAGTCCGAATGTGAGCGACTGCGTCTGCAGATTGCCAACGGGCAGATTACCGACAGCCAAGCAACCTCGGAACCCGACGATTTGACGCCAGAGCAATTGCGCACTAAAATCTCCAGCCTGGAGAACCAGTTGAAGCTTCTAAGTAACGAGTTGCCATCAATGGAGGCGGCGTGGAAGAAGGCCCAAGCAATTGCAAGTAAAAAGATTGCCGAGATTGCTACGTGGGAAGATAACGTCGCAAAAGCACACGCCGACAAGGCGAAAGCGGACCAGAAGTTTTTTGCGGCCATGAAGGCCAAAGGAGAGTTGGAACAGCAGATTCGGATCCTCCGTGCTCAGGCCACAAAATCGACCGAGGTTGTTGCACAATTGAAAGAGGCGGACTCACTCAGCCGATCACTGGTGGACAAGCTAGAGAAGCAGACTGCTGAGATGCGTTCGCAGATGGAGGAGCTGTCAGTCCAGCATCGTCAGCTGCAGCAGAAGGTCAGCGAATACGCAATCACATCCGAAGGTCAAGTCAGTCAGATCGTGGAGCTGAAGAAGGTTGTTGAAGCCAAAGATACAACCTGCCTCGCTGCAAGACACGCTCAGCGTGAATCGGAGACCGAGCGAGACAAGTTGACTGCACAGGTCGCAGGACTGGAGAAGCAAGTTCAGATCTGGAAGAAGAAGAGCACCGGAAATCAGAGCGCCGAGACCGCCATCATGGAGTCTATGATCCAGTGCCAGATCTGCAAAAGCAAGTTCAAGAACACAGTCATCAAGACTTGTGGGCACATGTTCTGCGATCAGTGTGTACAAGATCGTCTCACTAACCGCGCGAGGAAGTGTCCAAATTGCGGCAAGGCGTTCGGCAGCAACGATACGATGCGCGTACACCTTTGAGCATACACCCCTCCTTACCTTGTCACACGTTCCTAGTTCACGGTCCAGACTCTTCCAAATGTACAATAGCGTTTTTCAGTTTGTCATGTTTCCCTACCGCTCTTCGACATCGAGTCGGCGGGCATCTTCACCAGTACGGCATGTCTTCGAGCAGTTGGCGTTTTGGCGTCGGAGAGGTTGCATGTTACAATTTTTTTTTCATGGTGTGGCTGCAACCATCTGTACGTTGTAAGTTGCAATGCATGTCGCAAGGCGATATGTGTTGGCATGTTTTAATAGATTCAGCGCCGTTTTCTTTTACCTCTCCGAGTAGTGAGATTTAGGCGGAAGCCAAAATGGGTAGATGTAGCGACATCTTGAGCCTAGCTAAGGCCATGTTACGATTACAGGAGAGAACAAATTAGCTAATTCACGGCCACGCTGCCCCCTGTAAACTATTCCTCATAATCACCCACCCCGCAACACCTAGTGTCCACGAAACACTGAATAGACTGACGTTGAAGTTACCATGGATTTGGTCAATCAGCAGGAGTAGTTGGTGGATGCGGGAAGGAGAGTGCCTAGTTTCAGTGGCGTAGGGCATATTCTGAGGAGGTGGTATGGGTTCAATGATATGAATCGCATGTAAGACATGAAGTGACATCAGGCTTACACCTAGATGTACTGGGTTCTGGAAAGAGATTGATAGAAGGCCTTGGGAGATTTGACCTACAAGAAGTTCTATCGATGGCCGAGGTATTGGCTCGACACTTTTCATCAGATGAAACCCATTGGTGGCTATTCTGTACAGCTAGACATTTGGCAGTGCTGGTGTAATTGCGTCGCTCCCAGCTCATCTCTGGCTCGCACCACCCTTACTTCTCTCCTATATTTCCGTTTTGCCGACTAACCCACAGATATGTTGTTTTCGTGCCCATGTATCGCAAATGGACTTGCTAGGTTCAGTCAAACACTTCAGTCCTCATTCCGTCACCCCAACATGTCGTCAATATATAACTGACTAGCTTAGGCCAGCAGTACTGCTAAATAGCCTGCCTCTACCTGTCTCATTGAAGAAATGAAACCGCTACTGATGCACTTCTCACAACCAGGTCGATCCATGGTAATCTTTAATATGTACTGTGCACACGCCTTGATACAGTCGGTTCTCAAAGTCTCCTCAACGTACGCGTTCAATTTCTTCCGCCTGGGGTAGTCTAGTTGACAGCTCTCAACCATGGTTTCCCAACTAGCCCATTTTAACAAAAATAACGCCAGCCTTAGTTACCTAATTTCCGCTCTTGCATTTAACTAAATACTGCTAAATTTTAAAGTTTTTTTACTTTTTTAAAGACTTTTACTATTGCTTTAGCGCTTATAGCCTATACGGCTTATATAACTATACTTTTAGCATCTTTTTAAAGTTTTTAAAAAAATTTATATAGCTATAGTCTTCTGTAGTTTTAGTTTTAATAACTAATTTTTAAAATAGCTAGTAAAAAGTAGCTATTTTAGCTACTTTAGTAAGCTTAATACTTAGCATAGCTTTTATTATTAGTAAATAAGTATAAAAAAATAAAAGCTTTTTACTTATTATATAGTCCTAATAGAAAAAAGCAAGCTATACTAAAGCTATATTTTTTTTTATTTTTTTAAGCTACTAGGCTTTTTTTATAATAAAATTATTAAAAAAAGGCTTTTAAAGTTCTAGCTAAAGTAAGTTTAAAAAATTAATACTAAAATAGGCAAAAAAAAAAAGAATTTATTTTGCTATTATATAAAAGTGCAGTAGACAGAAGCTAAAAACTATAGAGTAGAAGCTTTATATAAGCTTAAAAAGCAAGTAACTTTTTATATAACTAAATTTTGTATTAGACTTATTAGTAGTTATAAAAAATAGAAAATTAATATTTAGTACTATAAAAAAATAATAATAAGGTTTAGAACTATAGTTAGCAACTATTTTAATTTATTTTAAAAAAATTAATATAATTATAAATATTTCTGCACTTAAAGTACTTTTATAGAACTAGCAATAGCTTAACTAGGGCGTAGGCGCTTTGAAAATCCTCTTGATACAGTCGGGTGTTATAGCTAAGGATGAGTCGATTAGCTCATTGCGTAGGCAGTCTGTTGATTAGGCAAACGCAGTATCACGGCACTCTATCCCTCAACCTAACTCTTCCATCGCATGCCTAGTAGTGCGCTGAAACCTAGCATGTCGAGTAATACCGCCGTCTAGACCTATTGATCACGTATGTGAGAGCGTTATGAAACCCTTGGGGATGCTAGCTCAAAGTGCAAGTTTTTCCGGACGCAGTTGGCTGCGAAGTGCAGGCGAACAGTTGACACATGGATATTCCGACCAGGGCCAACCGATGAGTCAACTGCATAGACACAATATCGAGCGGAGGTATAATTTGGCGTCGCAAGGATGGAAAGGTCCGTGATACAGTCCGATGACGTAGGGGCTCGTTCTTCGCGACGCGTGGTTGCCTGTGCAACCGACAGTCATAAACACTCGGACGTGTACATTTTTTGGAGCCCAAAACCACGACAACCGCACCCTCTCAACTCGTCTCAGAACAGCTCTTGCATCACCTTGCTACATAATACCTTTAGGCTATCGCACTCTCAAATCTTACAGACGACACGATAAACCCTACTCGCCTCAAAATATGTCTTCCAACGTACTCAGCGTCCGCGACAGCAACATCCAACTCAAGCCGAACTCAGCACCCGGAGCGGAGAAGCCAAAGAGTCTCGAGTACCACCGTCAAGTGCTACAATCGCGCATAGACAACGAGCAGTATGTTTGCCCGGCTTTCGTGGCTCTGTGCATAGCTAACGTGCGACCAGGCCCCAGCCGTATGTCTCGCCGTCCGATGAGATCATGTCTCCAGCTACGCAGAAGCTGCAAGCTTTCAAGAACAAGCACGCGATGAAGAAGTACGGACTACCCTGAATTGACGCAGGGATTGCGAGCTAATACATGTCTAGGTCGAAGCCACAGACGCTATTCAAGAAGACGAGCTCTAAGAACTTCGAGTCGTCCAAGGGCACGGCTATGTTCGCGGATATACCCAAGGACAATGGTTCCAAGTAGGCCCTCGCCTGCTATTCTTCGCGCGCATAGGTTTGGTGGAATATAGGTGGTCGGTATCAGGCGCTTTGGTTTGGACAATACCCCACTTCACGCCTGTATGATGGGTCAAGAATCAGGTGGTTCTTGGATCTTTGGCTTGGGACCATGGCATTTAGGGTCACTGTTTAACTATGGTCTTTTCTGGAGTTTGGGGGATTGGTTTGGGCACGACTGACATGACTTTGCGACTGTGGTATACTGAATCGATTTTAATTGCCCAAGATTTGGACCTAAATTCGTGACTATGATGCAACAATGCATGTGTAAAATTGTGGAGCTAATGTCGGAGTCTGGCAATGGATCTGGTCTGCCTGGGGAAATTTCGCCAAGCCTGTATGTCGTACCGTCGTAGCTGCATCCTTCCTAGACGCCCGCGATGACTTCGCCATCTGCGGATCAGCTGTCCCTGAAAGATGAGATAGTAGACCTAGAAAAGCGTTTACAGGATGCCAAAGCCCGATTCAAGCCGAGCGACGCGGGACCAACAAAGTCTACGGTCACAGCCGATGCTGGTTCGTTATCGCTCCATGACGCCTCATCCCACATCTAACAGCATCGTAGCTCTCCACGCCCTGCTCCTCCTCTCGGACTCTGCACTTCCGCTGGGCTCATTTGCGTTTAGCAGCGGCCTAGAGTCTTACCTCGCGCATCATAAGCCGTCCCCGCCGTCCGCGTCGCAATTGCCCAATTTCCACACCTTTCTCCGCCTTTCGTTGTCGACACTCGCCAGTACCGCGCTTCCGTATGTCTTGACTACATACCGACACCCAGAGGAGATCGAGCGACTGGACAATGACTTCGATGCAAGCACCCCATGTACAGTTGCGAGACGGGCAAGCATAGCTCAAGGGCGAGCGTTACTTGCTGTGTGGGACCGCAGCTTCAAGACGCAATACAACGATGCCGCAGCAGACGCAAATCGCCATGATACCAACGGGTCCATGGGAAGCAACGTAGCAGTCAAGGCTCTTGCCGGCTTCTCATCGGCTCTCCGCACGTCAGAATATATCAACGTGCATCTCGCACCTCTTTGGGGCCTCGTAACCAAGGTCCTATCCATTCCACTTCACGAATCTGCGTACATATTTTTGTTCTCGCATGCGCGGGCTGTGGTTAGCGCCGCTGTTCGTGCGAGTGTCATGGGGCCCTATCAAGCACAGGCGGTTTTGGCGAGCAGCGAGTTGCAAAATAGGATACGCGGACTAGTAGATCAAGCATGGCACAAAACGGTAGAGGACGCCGGACAGAGTGTGCCAGTCATGGATCTTTGGGTTGGGAGGCATGAGAAGCTTTATAGTCGAATATTCAACTCGTGAGCACCGAATACGCTGTGAAGAACCCCGGAAACTTTAGGCGTCCAAGTCTACTCACAGGTGCCAAATTGTCTTCGACTACATCGTTTCTGCTCACTAGAGACGTAATGTGCAGATGGAAGTAGAGCCCTCAAACAGCATGCGCCCGTAGTTGCGTTACGCTTATGTCCGGACGCCTGTCTGACCAGTCGCTCGCCTAGTCATCAATCACTCCGTGCCCTATTCACTCGCGGCCGCAACTTAGAACAACGCATGACCACTGATTGCCAAGCCTCCACGCCGCAACAAGGCAACAAAGATAAGCGCTCGTCGTCGCTATGAACGCTTATGCTTCTAACTCATGAACAACATGACTTAGATCATGAGCGTGCTTATATATGTTTGAACCTCTATTCCCTTTGCGCTTAACACCGGTTTCTAACGCCTTACATCTTAATGATTTCTTCGCACTCCACAGTACGGCTATCAACCGCTATAGCCCTGATGATTCCTCTCAGCAACGCGGCTCAGATACCGTTGGGCTCAGCCGTCAAGTTCCCATGGATCCAACGGTTTGCATCCGTGGGTGATTCGTACTCAGCCGGACTAGGCTCTGGAGATCGCCTCGATTGGTCGTGCTCTCGATATACACAATCGTATCCGAACATTTTGCATACTTCTCTCCTCAGTAACAATCCAAATCTAACACACCAGTTCCTGTCCTGTTCAGGAGCTACCAGCACCGAGATTCTTGAGAAGCAAGTGCCAGCCCTGGAGAACGAACTCGATCTTCTCACCATATCTGCTGGTGGAAATGATATTGGTCTAGGGCCCATTTTGAGCAGTTGTGTTTACCAGTTTTACATGTCGACCGAAGATGCATGCCAGAAGTCGATGGATGAAGCGCGAGACAGAATCGTCAACGAAACGCAACTGTACAAGAATGTGACGACCCTCATCGAGGCCACAAGGCACAATATGAATCAACAACACGGTATCATATATTATACAGGATATACAGCCTTCTTCGGCACTGGTGACGAGATCTGCGACAATGTTACCTGGGCCGTCTGGCGCTCGCTTGAATATTCAAAGCAATACCTCACCCTCTCCATGCGCAAAGAACTCAACGCAATGGTTCGCTCCGTCAACGCCATCATTCGTAAAGCAGTCCTAGCAGCCGGGCGCAATGTCCGTTTCATCGACTACGACAGCCAGATTGAAGCTGTGCGCGGCCGATACTGCGAGTCTGGTGTTCTCGAGCCCGATCCGAATCGTCACGGTCTTGCGTTTTACGAATGGAACACCGTAGATAGCGGCGAAAATAAGACGGAGCTTCAGAACCGTACTGGTGGAGATGTACCGAAGGGATCGTTCCAGGGTAACATAGGGGAGCAGATCAATAAGACACTGGGAGAGCATCCTGAGTGGGAGTTTGACCCGCACAAGGGATTTATTAATAGAACCAAGGGGGCGGTAGGCGAGGAGGGAATTATTGAAGATACAGTACACTGGCTACTGCCTGACTCTTATAAGAGAGTATTTCATCTGCGACCTGAGGGGCATAACATTGTTGCGAGGATGCTGATCGAGGATCTTGAGAAGAACGGGCCAGGTATACCTATTGATATGGACGAGATGGACGAGGTGTAGCCTTCTGTAGTTACACTGTTTCGCCTACATAGCGTGGTAGGAGAGGCTCTGATCAAATCACAGGTATATAAAAAGCCTCTATCAGTGCCACAGATTTTAATGTGGATTGTGAGGATCTCACTCTTTGCTCAGTCTACTGCGACCAAGACATGATCGTGTCGGCTGGCGGACTTAATGAACGGGGCCTCTAAGATTGTGGCCACAGCCACGAAGTGAGCTGTACTTAAACGTGCCAAGTGGCGTCCAGTAATTTGCAAGTATGCTTGCAGTCGACAAGGCTGTGTCGTATTCCGTTACGGCATAGCACCTGCCCAGTGTCGAAGGGCTTTACGCAGCCTTGTGGCAAGCTCAGCATCTTAGATGAGGGGCACTCAACCCCATGTTCAGATGCCATTGCCTTTTTTTTTAACTGTCGGCGAAGTAGTCCTTCCCACTGAAACATGATCGCAGTCGAACAATCCCCAAGAACACTTAGATTCCAGTAATGTTCTCATCAAGACCTCCGAACGGACATGCATCGACGCAGCTCAAGCCATGGGAAGAGATCGGCTATCGTGGCTTTTCTGCGTTTCTCGCGTCAGATAATGACTTTCTAATCTTCCGCAGATTTGGGTCTCTGAATGCACGACTACTTTTATACCTGCAAGACGAGATCAGCGTCCTGGAAGCAGACCTCGAGGATCTAGAAGCCAAATACGTGGTAGATGGCGCGAAGGATATCCATAACGGGTCGTTCCGACAAGAGGCATTACCAGAGCGAACAGCATTACTCGCAACACTGAATATAAAGGTCAGACAATACAGTAAGTCTACTCTTGCTTCAGGGTATCCTCACTTACGACGGACAGATGAACTCCTCATCCAGCACTCTACCCTTCGCGCCCGTCCACACGTCCCGAAGCGCAACATAACTAGCATAGCAAACTGGTTCTACAACACGCAGAATGCCATCTGGAAAGACGAAGCAGCATACATTAAGCAAGAAAACGATCTCATCCAGCTCGTACCTAAAACCGCAACGCCATTACGACACTTTCTCGAGAAGTCAACGCACTTTCGGCTGTCCAAGCTGTGGAAGAAGGATCCTCCACCTCTCCCCGTGCACAGCACGCATCCCGAGACGCTGCATTATAGCTCCGATGCGCGCATCGACAACTTCATAGGGATCACGATCACAGCCCTGGGAATGGGCATGTTGATAGCACCGTTGTGGGCTTTGGCGTATGTGGGTGGGATGAAGAAAAGGTTGTGCATCGTCACGGGGTTCATCGTCTTGTTTCTGGGGCTTCTGGCGTTCACGACGGTTGCGAAGCCTTTCGAGAGTCTTGCTGCGGCGGCGGCGTATTCGGCCGTTCTGGCTGTGTTCTTGCAGTCTGCGAGTTGATGTGTTCGCTGCCGATTCTCTGCAATGTGCCAGTACTATGGGAGACTTCTGTCGTTCTGGAGTGTATATAGTGATATTGTTGTAATGGTCGAGTTGGAGACGAAAACACTGAGAAGAAAGATAGTAGAGGAGTCGGTTAGGAAGAGGGTGGCTGTTTCGTTAAGCTGTAGAACGTAGCTGTCTCACTTGAAACCACACAAACTCTTGTTGAACCTTTTTCTTCCCTTTCGCCATGTTGTGATGTTGAGAAGAGAAGTGCTAAGCACGTGCCGAGCCATGACGGTGGGTTGCGGACCCTTGCCTGGAGGATCGACCGCGGCTCAAGGCAATCCCACAGCACCTAAACCTCTAATCTCTCTCAAAGTCTCTCCCCCAATTCGTAACTCGCCAGTCCCTAGAACACTAGTACCAAGTGTCGACAGAATACGGAGCTTTCGCGCATCGACAGTGTTCACCTAACGTCCCCCGAAGCTTCATATCACTCCCGACTAAGATTCAACGCGCAAACACGAACACCCAACGAAGGGCATACCACGTCCCCTGAGCTTACCGACACACACACTTTCTCTCATAATGGCGCAAGCCTCACCCTCCAACCCCACAGAACCTTCCACGTCCTACATCGACCCCACATTCTCCCTCGTAAACACCTCATGTCTCGACCTCCTCCTCATAGAGCTCGTGCCCATGGCCTACCGGATAACAGCCGACCTCGCCGCGCGGGAGGACGAGTGGATACACGGCCCATCATCCAAGGCAAAGCAGAGAAAACTGTCCGGGGCGAGTAATGATGCGTCAAGTACGGCTCCGGGCACACTAAGAGGAGGGGCAGGTGTAGGGACCGAGGGAGGCCCCGTAGGAGGAGGGACAGTAGATGAGGAAGAAGCGAGAGAAGCCGTGTTCCATAGATTAGAGAGTGTGGGGTACAGAGTCGGTTTAGGGGTGGTAGAACGGTACGTAACCTTTCTCCCTCGCTCTCCATTTTACCCTCCCAAACTAAACTCTCGCTGACATTTACATCAACTTAGATTTTCGCGCGACGCTCCCCGCCCCACGACGCCCCTAGACTCCATAAAGTTCCTCTGCAAAGATCTCTGGACACTCCTCTTCCGCAAACAAATCGACAACCTGAAAACAAACCATCGGGGCATCTATGTGCTCACAGACAACACATTTAAGCCCATCACACGCATGTCCTTTGACACTAAAAAATATGATGCCGCGGTACAGGCAGCACTCGTGGCGCAGACAGGCGACCCGGCGTTGGGGCGGGATGCTAATAGCCAGGCGAGAGTGCAGCCATTTTTATACTTTCACGCGGGTGTGATTAGGGGGTGTTTGGACAGTTTGGGCATCAAAGCGACCGTTACGGCCGAGTGTGCGGCCTTGCCAGCGGCGACGTTTCAGATACGCACTGCGGGTGCGAAGAATTGATGATATGTGGTAGACGTTTATGATATTATTTGAGCGGCATTGGGCGGTGTTCAGGAGATTGTGGCTATCACGCGCAGCAGACTTTGTTTAGCATATAAGATTGTCCGCAGCTTGGCTTGGATTTTCAGTTATCCACTAAGGTACTAGTTCCAGCCCGCTCAGATCAAGCATACAGCTATGCACATTTCGAGATGTGTTCCGTATGTCCTCCGTTTCCATCATCCGTCACAGTATGCTACAACCTATCTGCCGACATTCGTGTGAGTGCCCTGCCCCACATAGGGTCGAGTCGTGCCGTGGCAGCGCGCAGGTTGGCTTACTTGGAGGGAGGGTTGTGGACGAACTCGACGCCCTTGGAGATGTTGCCCTTGAGGCCCTCATAACAAGCCTGGAGGAGCTTCTTCTCGTGGTCGTTGGCGCTGCTGACGACGTCGATCGCCTTCTCGGCACCGCTTGGCTATTGTACAGTTAGTGATGGTATGTCTCAGAAGCTGTCGACTTCACTTACACCTAGCTGAATTGGAACGGAGAAGAATTCAGTGCCAGTAGTCTTAGCGATGGCATCACCACCCTCGACACCAGGGAGGTAGACGAAGCTGGGCTCGACAATGCCCTTTTCGCCCTTGGAGGCCTTGATCACCTTCTCGGCGAAACTGGCTTATATTAGCTGATATCTTCATATGATAGGCGTGATACGTACCGGTATCCAGCGTAGGCCATGGAAAGGGTAGCTGAGCCTGCGCCCTCCTTGGCCTTGACAACCTCGTCCCCGCCGAATTGTACGCCTGTTTTGGGTCAGCCGAGATGCACATTGTTGATCTCGGTCTCTCTTACGGTTTACGAGAGCATCCAGCTTGTCAGCGGGGATGTTCACGCTGGGCTTCGCTTGGCTGAACAGAGGAACGATGGTCTCGCCAGAGTGTCCACCGATGACGGGAATGCTCAGCTTGCCCGGGTTGCTCTCGCCGGTGATGCTGGCAACGAAGGTCTCGGCACGGACGACATCGAGAGTGGTGACACCGAACAGCTTCTTGGGGTCGAAGACACCAGCCTTCTTGAGTACCTCTGCGGCAATGGGGACAGTCGAGTTGACAGGGTTGGAGATGACGAGGATGAAGGCCTTCGGGGCATACTTGGCGACGCCCTCGATGAGTCCCTGAACGATGCCAGCGTTGATCTTGAAAAGATCGTCACGGGTCATGCCAGGCTTGCCTGAAGAACATTAGCTCAAGTTGCCTATTCTAGAGAGAACTACCCACGAGGAATACCGGCGGGGATGACGACAATGTCAGCGCCAGTCAAGGCCTGCTGCAGGCCATCCTCCTTGGGTAGGTAGCCAGTTACAGTCTATCCGCGTCAGCATCTTCTCGCATGTACAATGCGGAACCAACTCCTACCGCTGGGGTTGAGATGTGTGACAAGTCGGCAGCGACGCCGGGTGTGTTGACAACATCGTATAGGGCAAGCTCGTCAACGAGCTGGCAGGACTTGAGGAGGAGGGACAGAGGCTACTCAAAGTCAGTCATGGTATGAGGGAGCTACTGCAGTTGTGCATGTACCTGGCCAATGCCTCCAGACGCGCCAGCAACAACCGCCTTGACCATGTTGTGGAGTTGTGGAGTTGTTTGGGGAGTGTTGTGAGAGCGGGGTAGCTAGAAGCTGTGCTTGGAGGTGATGTAGAAGTGAAGAGGAGAGGAGAGCAATTGAAGAACCAAAGCCTGTCTGGTGCAATTGAATAAGAGGAGAGAAGAGGGAGCAGACTGTGAGTGTGTGTGGGAGGCTCTAAGATTATAAAGGAGCACGAGGACTGATCTGTTGGCTCTGCTGGAGGCGTAGGCACGGACCAATTGCGCGGGGTAGTTTTAGATGCGTAAGGGACCGCGATGGTGAATGCGGGGCGGCACGGGGGTCGAGTTTCAGCATCTTCTACGTTGCGCGGCCTTCTATATATCTCTGTAAACTTCAGTGGGGGCATCATATGAAGATGGGAGCTCCCGGAGAGCCTCGGTGACCCGAGACCCGTGCGCGGTTGTCGGAAGGTATCGGACGCGGTTCAGATCGCGTCTTAAGTAAGAAAGCCTTCTATTGCTACTAGCCAAATGTTTGGTATCTGCCTCGTGACGCCTAGCTATTGGCCTCCGCGGCCGTCCCATGTACCATACAAACCAAAACGCCAACCGTTCTCACCCATTGCTAGCTACTTGAGGGATGAGCTTAAACACTTCACATCCCCATTACCCTCTTCGTCGTCGATCTCTATCGGGGCGAATGCGGTACCTAGCTCGTACTACGGGCCAAAGTCCTCTCGCTCGCCTTCAGCGTCGGCATCCGCTTCCTCATGACGGTAACCCTGCGGGTCGCCGACTCCAGGATCGGGCCCTCGCTGGCCGACCGGGTACATCTGGTACTGTAGTCAGCAATATGATCAACGACTAAGAGAACGGTGTAGATGGAGCTTGATAGCATGGTGGTTGCCAGGCCAAGTGATACACAGTCGACCAAAGGGGTTTATCAGATAGGGTGGGTGACTTACCTGCTGCTGCGCCATAGGGTATGCGCCATAGACACCAGTGTCGTACATGGGTTGCTGCCCGTATGCCCTAGGATCACCCTGTACGGGGCCCTGGTACATGGTCGGTTGCTGGAATTCTTCATGCGGGATCTGTTGACCCATTACGTAGTCTGGAGGCGCCATCTGGTGCTGAGTATGCACGGGCTGAGGCATGCCACCTGGGGGGACTACAGCGGCCGATGACTGCACGGCCGCATTCTGTCCAGCGCTCCGTTTGTGAGGATGAGCCTCTTCGCGGGGGACGATGTCGATGAGGAAGTCGAACATGTCGGACTTTGACAGTGCCGAGGCGATGTCAGATCTCTGCAGGGTACGACGCTTATTCTCCTCTGCGTGGATCCAGGCGCGCATGGTAAGCTCTGTGATGAATATGTCGCAGCCCTTTGCAAACAAGATGGGTGCTTCGGCTGAGATCATCTTGACTTCCGGGTCAGCCTTCATGACCTTCTTGATGCGAGCCAGCGGGAGCTGGTGTAGCTTGTAGTCATGCTCGTCCGTCTCCAGCTTTGTGACCTGTTGCTGCCAGTATGTGTTGAGGATGTCGCGGTAGTTGCCCGTTAGCCCTTGGTTGACCTGCTATGATCAGTTTTCTTCCCTTGCCTAAGAGGAGAGGGGAGTGCGTTTTCGTACATTCTGCCACGAGCCGATGAACAGCTGCGGGTCGGGAGCGTGACCTTGTGCGGCAATCTGGACCAAATTATCAGCGACTGGAAGCTGGCAGGGAGCGCGGGCGCGCAGGGAGGACGTACGGATGCAGAGGCGCCTGGGGTTTAGAGTAAGCCTGATGTTCAGAAGAGGTGTATGCGACAACTCGCGACGATAGAGCAGCGCAGGCAGGAGAAGGAGACGGAGAAGGAGGAGCATGTACCATAGTGACCGCCCTGTTGAGGGTCATAGAGCGGATTGCCGGCCTGTCCGTCATAGCGACGAGGGGCGGCAGGGGCCTGGCGCATCTTCTGCTGGCCGTGTTGGAGGTTGACGGCGTCCATGGCTTGGGGCGTGTTGCGCAAGCGTTACGCGATGGCAGGGCGCGCGACGACTCGAGGCGTGTGGGATGGCAGCAAGCAAAGGGGCTGACGGGAGGGTGCAGAAAAGGATTGCGCGACACCCAATGGCTGCTCCCTAGAATCTTGTGGTCGGGTTGTGGATGGAGCGGTCGATGTCGTGGTTGCGTGCAGGAGAGCGTCTAAGTGGCCGGGGAAGCTGTTGCAGAGAGCTGGTGCGGGGGGGAGCCGCAAGCACCGATGGCTGGTACTGGCAGCCAGTGTGTGGCCGCTGCGGTGTGCGGATGCTGTGCTGCCTGCCTGCCATTATGTGTGAGCATCCGAACTATTGCACTCCAGCTCTCTCTCTCTCTCTCTCCGATTCCCAAGCTGGACCCGAAATGCAGCTGACCTGTGCTATCGTCGGACGAATCAAAGTTGGGCGCGATTATATATTTGCGGAAGTTGAAGCTTGGTTGGTGGATGGCTAACACTATTGCTCTAACGAGTCAACGAACCACACGCTGCGCGACTAATAAGAAGCAAGGGCAGCCCAACCTTGGAACGCTCCTCAGGTACGCAGTGGTAAGTGAAGCCTGTTGGAGGAGGGGATGATGAGAGAGAGAATGGCTGCAAGTTTCCACCTCCACCATACACTGTCGATCGACTTGTTATATGCCGCCGACTCACGCCTCGTCGCACCATGCCCTGCTGCTCCCCCAGAGGCCTATCTACTAGCGAGAGGACAAAGTGCCAGCACAACCTGTCACCTTTGGTCGACTCGACGCCCGCCAGACTCGAGCGCATCGTGATCACGACAAGAGACGGGACAGGCTACCCTCGTCACCGAAGCACTCCAACATGCAACCCCCAGATGCGTCCCGTATAACCCGCTGGAGCAGTAGGCGGGATACAAAGGCTATTGGACACCGTCACCGCCAGTGATTGGCTTGCGTTATCCATCAAGCCATGGCTGCTGATGAGTTGTTCGTCTTCGGGACTTCTCCGCCGCGCCAGAGCATGCAGGCAGACATCATAGCTATAAACACCCCAGGCGCTGACGGAACGAGAGCAAAGTGAAGCTGACTTTGGCCGTGGTGGTCGAGTATGGCGTGTATGGGTAGCGAGCGACCTGACGTGGCGGATGAGAACAGCGGCGGTTCATTCTACCGATGTGGCTCGTGCCTGGTCCTCCTCATCAAAAAGCTCCCGACCTAAATTTTCCACGCTTCGTGCATCCCACCCTGCCAACGCCAACATGGACTCGTTGCCAGCGCATCAGCCTCTCTTCGACGACGACGACACCGATGAGGAGCTCTCGGATGTCCAGGTTCGGGAGCTGCTCAAGGAAGCCGCCCAGCGCATGCGGGCAAAGGCAGCTTCCCAGCCCGTGACTACGGCAGATGCGCCCTTCAAGCTTCCCAAGCTGAAGCCTGGCCATATTGCCCACACGCACGAGAAGATGGACGGCAACATTACCCGCTTGGATCATTCACAGCTCGTCGACAAGAAGCAGCAAGCGCTTGCCGACGGCATCAAAAAGATCGAGGACCCGCTTCAAGTGAGGAAGTTGAGGAAGCTCGAGGTACGTACCACTAACACCCACATTCCTCTTCCACTTTCATGTCCGGGATGGGGGATTCGCCCTCGCCGCCATCTCCCATACCCGGGCTTTCTGCCTGTGATGATATCTATCCCAATCTTTTATACTGAGCAGATCTGGGCCCCGTCTTGGGTGCTCTCCTGCATCACTGAGGTCCCATAAGTTCATAGTTACACTGAGGCACTATTTCCACTCAAGCTTGGCTACACAACGTCGTCTTTCTAGAAAGCTAACAGCTGAGTAGGAGAAGAAGGCTACCGCTGGCGCTCAATGGTTCAACATGCCCAAGACTGAGCTCACGCCAGAGTTGCGCCGAGACCTGCAGCTCCTAAAAATGAGGAGTGTTCTCGATCCAAAGCGCCACTACAAGAAAGACAACTCCAAGAACGACGTTCCAGCATTCTCGCAGGTTGGGACCGTCATCGAGGGCGCCACCGAATTCTACAGCAGCCGTTTGAACAAGAAAGATCGCAAGCAGACCATCTTGGAAGAGGTTATTTCTCAAGAACAGGGCAGTGGCCGTTTCAAGAGGAAGTACGCCGACATCGCCAAGACCAAGGCCAGTGGAAAGAAGGCCTTTTACAACGCACTCCAGGCGAAGCGTAGCAAGAACAAGGTCATCAAGCCATGATAGCCGCGGTCCGTTGCGTTTGAGGCACTTCAAGCGCTCTCGATCACGACTCGACATCATCTTCAGAATTGACTGCGACTCTTGTGGCTTGGCTTACTCAGTTCTCATTGCAGCGGTCATATGCTGCTAGTAGTCGCCTTGCTTGTTCTATGTTTCGCCAGTTGCCCTACTCCTCGTGCAAGTCAGACAGGATCTGCTTTACCAGCGCCTGCATGTCTTTGGCAGCCTCTCGGCCTGCTTCCAGCACCTCCTCGTGGTTAGCCTTGCCCTTGCTTAGGTTTTCCACCAGTTCTGTCCTGCTCAACGCCTGGATCTCAGCATCATCCCCGCGAGAGCCGGCTTCAAGGACAGCAACGTTTGTCACCAGACTGAATGCAAGCACGCGAATACCTGCATGTCTTGCCACGATAATCTCCGGAACAGTCGACATTCCTACAACGTCGGCCCCGAGCATGTTAAGCATTCGGCATTCCGCGCGGGTCTCATAGCTTTGAACCGTTAGTGTCGGTTCCTTGAACTTCGGGTAGAGGAATGAAGGATATTCCCACATACGTTGGTCCTGCAACAAATGCGTACACGCCCTCGTGCAGCCGCCTTTGCTGTTGATTGAGCCCCAGTTTCACCCACGCTTGGTGCGTCCGTCTTCGCAGATCAAGGTCGTATGCGTCCGACAGGGGCGGGAACCGCACGCCAAACTCTTCGATATTGGGGCCACGTAGTGGGTGAATCCCGACGAGACCAGCCATATTCAGATGCTACAGAGTGTCAGTGGGAGCTACGTGGACTCGTTTGTAGGGGTAGCACACATCATTCAAGCACACGATGTCGCCGACACGGTAGTTCTGGTTCAAGCCACCGGCTGCGTTAGTGACTATATGTGTCGTTAGAACACAGACTGGCTCAGCGCGTAACACTCTCAACATACCAATGATTGTCTCTACGCCTAGTATCTTGCACACTCGGGTAGCGAATGTGACGAGGTCCATGGTATGACCTTCATAGAAGCTGTAGTTGTCAATACAATATCTATACTAAGCACTCAAGTTGCTGTGATTCATGAACTGACTGTGCTCGTCCGACAAGAAGCGCCACAGGCGTCTTCTGGGGCCCGATGTGACCAAAGACAAACTTTCCTGCATGTCCTTGCACTACGAGATTGATATCAGCCCCTCGACTCACGTGACTATATCATTCCGACTCTTGACTTACCAGTACTTTGAGGAAAATTAGGAATCGTTCCATACGCGAGTTCTACCTTGGGTTCTGGCTCAATCGTATCTGCCAGTCCGCCTAGACCAGAGCCACATACAATGGCTACCTTTGGGTTCTGCAGGGACACGGGTAGTTGCGAGCGCACATATTGTGCGGTTTCGGTGGCTCGAGTATAGGCGCTGGGTGCAGCTTGGGCATCCAGAGTCTTATCCATGTTGAGTATTGTATATGCAGTACTGCAGGATACACACTTAACAGAAGAAAAGAGTGAATATGTATTTCTAGCGATTGCCAGGTGACATTTTCCACTCTAGGGTGGAGAGGGAAGGCGCGGGCAATTCCGACGGAGCCATTGTGCCAGGGCGGTAAGTGAATCCGCGCTAGCGCCATCGATTTGCACAAGTTCACGCGCAGACGACTTGAACGCAGCATCATCAATTATGGCGGCGCCACGGTGTATGCGCTCCTTTTTGGGGCCAGTCAAGAGGGCAAAGGTGCGCATCTATCAATTGGGAAATCTTAGAGTTGAACATGGGAACGCTGACGCGCAAACAGATAATACAAGCTGCCCGACCGTACACCCACACTTTGTCGCGGACAAAGAGCTCCAAGGCAGAAGCGGATGAGGACAGGGAGATCAGAGAGGATAGAGATGGAAAGCTCATGGATCAGCTGCGGACAGACATGGAGAATGGAGACATGACACTTGATCAGCGGTTGCAGGACATGGGATTGGATCCGAACGAATACAAGCGGTACGCTCTGTCACCAACCTCGAGCGCAGAGGCAAAAGCAATGCTAATTCGGAGGCAGTTTATGGAAAAGCCAACAAGCTGCAAATGAGAGATTGGAAGCATGGGAGCCACGGACCCGCGAGGAAGCACAGCAGCGGTGGAAAGACATGCAGAACACGCCCGATCATCTCACGCTGCTGCACATGTACAAGAGAGCAGGTGTTGAGCCGATCAAAGTCGCAAAGTGCGTCTCCCTACACCCACCCCCTCGTAGACTATCTAACAACGGATAGGGAACGAGGCATCACCCTCCCCACCGACGAGCCCCCCCTCGACCCAAAGACCCAAGCAGCCCTGGATGAACTGCGCGCCCCCATCAACGTACGTGCCGTGCACCTGCGTCCCCTACGCCGCACCCCCGAACACGGCGTCCCCGTCTGCGATCTTCAGCTGCGCACCTACTCGATACGCAACCTACTCCTCTTCGCCGACTTTGCCGTGCGCGCCGCATACTACATGGGACTCGCGGCACGGGGACCCATCCCCCTACCCCGAATTACAGAGCGCTGGACCGTACCCCGGGCTAATTTCATCTTCAAGAAATCCCAGGAGAACTTTGAACGTGTCACCATGCGTCGGTTGATTCAGATCCAGGACGGCCACCCAGACGTGGTCAAGGCGTGGTTGGCGTTTTTGCAGAAACATCAGTACCATGGTGTGGGTATGAAGGCGAACATTTGGGAATATGAGAGCCTGGATGCGGCGACTAGGGCGGGATATGAGCTCAAGGAGGGCGATCATACGAGGAGGAGAGAGGGCTCGGTATTACAAAAGGTGGATGAGATTTTGGGCAGCAAGGGATTCAAGGAGGCGATGAAGGGGCATAAGAATGAGGTGGAGTCGAGACCATAAGAGTCTGCTTTGTACGATAAATCGACGCTTTGCATGCATGGGAGTTGGCCTGTGTAAATATAGGGAATGTATGACATTGGTTTATATCTGAGCTATATATGCACATTTAGCAATATTCAATTGTAGGCCACCCACCTCTAGCCACTTTCAAGTTCTCTCCTATATACAACAAACCCCATCCGCCTGTTCCCCGGCATATCGTTCATCCGCAAGCAACAACTCCAAAATCGCATCGAGAAGCTCTTGCTGAAGTCCCCTATTCTGCAACGCCCGAACCTTGTTTAGCACCGGCTCGCCATTGTTCACACAATTCCAGATATCCCACTTGCGATCCATGTCAATCCACGCTTGATCGATGATATCCCAGATCTTCGGGTTCGGATCAATGACATCTAGTTGAGGACCAGCGCCAAGCTCAATGTAGCAGGTATGCCCGCTGGGCACGCCCTCTAGAGTGATGAGTGTGCCGTTGGTTTCTTTAGTAATGGTGTGTGAGAGCGTCTTTGCGTGCCGTTTCGTGCTCGGGGATGTGGTCATGCAGCGGACCTCAGCTGTGCTGGAGGGCGTATGGGCGAGGAGACGGACTTTCCAGGTTCGAGATTTTGGTATCGAAGGGTCGACCGGGCTTGTTGGACCGATTTTGATGACGCCCGTGGATTGCTTGTAAGTAATAGGGGTGTGACTGAATCGCACATTCTCATTCGTTGACTCGACGCCTTCGTCGTCAATCATGCTGAAACCACCGTCGTCGACGTGTGTTCCCGTGCCATCGTCTTCTATAAGAGTGAATGCACCGTCTGCGCCGACGGCGAGAAGGACTTCAAGACCTTCGGGGTTCGGTGAGCCGCTCTTGGGTCGCCATGCGCCATCTAGAGGGACGATTGAGCCCTCGGGTGCGAGGACGGGGGTGTAGTGAAGGGGACGGTGGACCTGTAGTTCGCCTTTGCGGTCGTAGACAATGCCAGTGAAAATGTCGACGTAGCGGCCAGAAGGCAGCCATACTTTCGCTGCACCGTGATGCGTGACCTTGTCACGGGGTTGAGTAATAGGGGCGACGATCAGCTCACTGCCGAAGCGGAACTGATTGGGGACATTGTACGCTTCGTCGTCTTCCGGGTAGTCCCAATACATTGGCTGAATGAGCGGTTCATCATCAGACGCCGATCGTGCATTCATGGTGTACAGATATGGAATCAGGCGGTGGCGGAAACGGAGCGTATCTTCAACAATGATGCGTGCTTCATCGTTGAAGCGCCACGGCTCTCGTGTGTTGAAAGGATTGTTATCCGAATGCAATCGGAGAATAGGAGACCAGCAACCGAGCTGTACCCATCGAGTATACAGTTCATCGTTCTTGTAGCCATGCGTGTGCCCACCGATGTCGTTGCTCCACCAGCCATACCCTATGTTCGATGCGGTTGCTGTGAACTCAGGCTGAAAGTGCAGTGAGTCCCAAGTGATGATGGCATCGCCCGAGAAACCGATCTGATACCGCTGCGCACCTGGTCCACCAAAGCGGGAAAAGGTCAAGGGTCTCTGACTTCCTCTGCCGCTATCCAAAAAGTGGAAATGATTGAGCACCCAGAGGGGATCAACGCCTGGGATCTTGGACTGGTTACCCTGCTGCCAGTCCACCCACCAGAAGTCAACACCGCGGTCTTCATGCTCGTGATGTACAATGTCAAAATACGCATCCATAAACTTCTTGTTGGTGCAGTCAAAAGGCACTGTTTGTTTTGTTGCAGGGTCAATTCCAAGGTATCTTGCAACTTCTGGGTACTGGTCCTCGTGGTGCCTGAAGCCGTCCGCGGGGTGCAGATTCAGTGTCAACTTCATACCGCGATCGTGCAGCTTCTTCATGAAGGCGTCTGGATCGGGAAAGAGGGCTTTGTTCCATGTGTAGCCGGTCCAGCCGTTCATACCGTCAGGCAGGTTCCATACCAAGTGCCAGTCCATATCTACAACAGCAACGTTCATGGGCACGTCGTCTTTGTCGAAGTGATCGTGGAGGTCTAGGTATTCCTTCTCATCGTATGCGTGGTAGCGACTCCACCAGTTGCCCATGGCATACCGTGGCAGCAGAGGCTGGCTTCCTGAGAGGGCATAGAAGGCGCGCATAGCTTCGCGATAGTCTCGTCCGTACATGAAGATGTACTGGTCGCTTCGTTCGCCATCTCTGCGGCCTGCAATCCACCCATCGTTCTCGAAGAGCATGGACTTGGTGTCATCCAAAAGCGCCATGCCATCCCTTGACAGGACTCCGGGTCCAAGGTTAGTCCTTCCATTCACGCCGTCCAAGGTGCGTGTGGTTCCGCCCAGATTCGAGACTTGCTGCCCGTATGTCCATGTTCCCGTCACAGAGCCTTTCAGGTGTATCTTGAGGCCCTCGGGGCTAAACTTGCGCTTGTCATAGACAACGTGGAAGCGCTTCGTCACGATTTCGATGCCATGACCGCGATCCCAGACATAGAAGTCAGGAACAGCCAATTTGCGATTGACGGCAAAGGTGGATGCTCGATCCTCGAATCGTCCGTCGGCAGCCCACTCGAAGCGCAGCAGGCCATCGGTCAGGATGGTGAAGCGGTACTTGTCGCCCGCGACAATGGCATCGGGATGCGCGACGGGGCGCGTCTTGAAGTCGTAACGCGCAGGCTTCGTCATGGTTGTGTAGCAGAAGTGGCAGAAGGGCAGCGTCAAGTTCTGCCTCGTCAATGTGTCCCCGACGAGTGTCTTAGCATGGCGGGGCGCAACCCAGCGGCGCGACGATCATAGTTAAAGGAGTCCGGGAAGGAAGCTTGGCCGTTGACCCAAGCCATGATGGCTTGACGCGTGACCTCGGTTCACGTCCGAAGGCCATGCAGGCCGTGTCAGACGACATGAGTAGTACTACTCCATACGACCATAGCGAACTACTGGGGAAACATGGAGCGTGGCACACTTGGGATCGTATTACGGAAGACATGTGTTTAGTGTCCACGCGACGACGTCACTTGAGCGTGCGCTAGAGATGAAGGTAATGCAGGCAACATGGCTCACCTGCAGGAGATGACAAGACCCTTTTGGATAACCAGGACGCCAAATGAGTCTAGCCCAGCCCTCAGCAGCTAACAGCTGTCAACCAGAAAATAAATCTCCCCAATCATCGCCGCCGCAGTCTCCCCGAACGCTGCTTCCCAGACATACTCTCATCGTCGACGTCCGCATATGAGCAGGCTTTCCATCGCAACCACAAGGACACCATCATGAAAATATAGGACGTGAGCGACGGTGGACAGCTGGCTTCAAACTTGTCAGATGCCTTCTTCATGCATGATGGACCTTCCTTTCTGGACTTCAATCACCCATCTCCTGTCGTCTTATGGCCATCTTCTCCCAATGCCTGACCATTACGACTGATATGGGAAAGTAGAGTTACGATCCAGCCATCTTGGCATACAGACTGGGAGCACATCAGGGTCGTCCACTTTCCCTCTCAAAATGACTATGGCCTTTGCCCACTGATCCCTGTCCCAGCTAGATGCAGCAGCGGGAGGTACAACCCTTCGTTGCGCGTCTAAGCTCGTATGAGCTCACACGTGATGACTGTAGGTGCAGTAGCTCTAGAGATCGTTATATGACTTCCCGCTTCAAGGATCCCAGGGACTCTTCGCGAACCCTCCACTAATGATTTCTGCTTCTCCATCTTCCCTCACCACCAGAATATCCTCATGTCGGACGCCAAACTTATCCACTACGTATACCCCTGGCTCGGCTGTGAAAACCATTCCCGGGCGCAAAAGTGCCCCGAAGTTGGCTTTGTTGAGGTATGGGCTATCGTGCGCCTTGATGCCAATGCTGTGGCCCAGCCGATGAGTGAAGTACTTCCCATACCCAGCAGCTTCGATAACTTCGCGTGCCGCTATATCCACTGCTGCCGCTGTGCCATTTGGTACCATGGCTTTCACGGCAGCAGTTTGGGCATCAAGCACAAGCTGCCATACGTCCAATTGTTCGGTCATGTTGTGAGGTGGGTTCGGCGTGAACGGAGGAAAAAAGGTGCGGCAAACATCACTCGAGTAACCGTACAAATGCGCGCCGACGTCTATGAGCACGAACATTTCCGGCTCAAGCTTCCTAGTCCCGTCGTAGCCGCCATGCGGTAAAGCTGCTGACTTGCCAAACTCTACAATGTTGAAAAACGGCTCCAGGCCGGCTGCTCTCATCGTATCGTCTAGTACTTCTGCAACTTCTTTCTCTGTGACGTATGGGTATAGACACTGTCTCATGGCACGGATAGCCTCCACGGTGCCGGTGTTGACTGCCTTGAGAATCCCAATCTCACGCCCACTCTTGACTTGTCGCACAACTTCGGCCTCCCCAGCAAGACCAGTGACCGTGAAGCCATTGGAGGCTAGACCACGCTGAATGAAGTCGCGCAACTCTTCATCGACCATGACAGTCGGTGAGAGGGTGTCGCCCCATATCTCAGATAGGTAGAGCGTGGTGTAGTAATTCCAGTGCTCCTCGTATGTGACAGTGTGCAGGTCTTCCTCGAACGGCATATTGAGTAGCCGAGCGCGCGTCTCTTCGAAATGCGGAACCAGAAATGACGTGTTGGCGACTATCTTGCCATCCGAGAGCGTCTCTGGTCTGATTATCATAAGAAATGGTCGCTCTTCTGGTTCCCACGGTTCCCATCCTGGCTGCGTGACATTTGCATAGTAGCTGAACGTGTAGCCAGGTTCCACGACGAAGGCATCAACGCCTTCCACTAGAAGAGCTTTGGCGAGATTATTGCGTCGAAGTATGTAGTCCTCTAAAGTTGGTCGATTGGCCGTTTCTAGAAACCCGAGGCCTGTGGCAAGATAGGTATTGATCGAGCATCTTCGAAAGTGTTCTTTCTTTGTGTGTAGTATATTTGAGCCATAGGTTTGAAACGACATTAGATTCTTAGAACTCTTAGCGTCGTCCTGCATGCCACGCGCCAACAGGGGATGAACGTACCCATGTGAACAGCACTGCGCAAAGAAAAATACACAACGATCGACGCGCTGACAGATTTGCTCTAGTCTGCGACAAGCGTCTCGTGGACTGATATGGTAGCAGCGGCTCTTTCATTTTGTGAGTGATAGGTGGCGACGATATGGTCAAGATACCTTCGTCTAAACAGTCGAGATAGCCCAGAGGGCGCGGTTGAAAGCGGACTAGTCTACTGGAGCTGCATGTGCCCCTCAGTGATCAACCGCAACCTCGCCCCTATCCGTTCAATGCAATTCTCATCAGTCTCTAGAGATGGAAGCACGTATAAAGTTCCGCAGCGCAACAACACACTAGTATAGAGGGAATGGTAATTGCATTGAACGCAACAAGCACTAAAGAACCTATACTCAGCCAAGGACGCCAAACGTTCAATACCAATTGCCGTCGTCAATGGAAGCTCGCAAGAATCTGCACAAGTACTCAACGGAGACGACCGAATACAAAAATCTCGGCGGTAACACAGCAAAGAATGGCCCTGTCAACTAACGGAGAGGTTCAAGCCCATATAACCTCGGGCCAAAAGAAGTTTCATGTCGATACGCGTTCGGATGTAACAAGACTTAGCGGTCGGCTTGATCGACAGAGTACAGCGGTAGAGGCTCTGAACGGATGGTGTTCATTGACGACATGGAACGCTCATGAGTGCTGGTATGTATGGCCTTTAGGACTCCAGCGGGTGTAGTCTCTCGATGGGCCGAGATGAAATCGGTGATGCATTGCGATGTGATCGAACTCAGTTCAACATTCTCCACGTCTTTGGTGGTGTCCAACATTGGCTGGTCACTGTCCTTCGCGCAGTGATGGACTAAAACCAGCAGCAGGAGGAACGCCAGGAAGCCAGATGAGTAGCCGAGAATAATGGTGCTGAGCTCATACACGTCTCCAGCAGGTTGGTTACGCTCTAGTATACGGCTGATCGAGTCCACGGTCTCGTTGCTGGGGAGTTGACCTTTTACCGGCGGGATATGATCGTCCGCGACCGCTTTCCACTGCGAAGTAATGCTGGAGTTGTTGGGGGAGCTCTTTAAGCGAAGGTCGCTATACTTCTAGTATATGTCGCCGCGATGGTTGTGGGCTTCGAGGCCTAAGGGCCCGTATACCGAACGTGCTTTGTGCCAGCCACACTCAGTGTCCTTGCCGAGCCGGGAGATTTGCCAGGCCTCGACCTGTAAAGCGTATCTGAGGATATCAGGATAGAATGTTCGGTACTTGGTGATGACGGCAAAGTCAAACTCGAATAGGTCTTTGCGGTTGAAGGTGATCATTGCATTGATGCGACTGTGTTGACTGTGGCAGCTAGTGTGTTTGCGGGATGAGTCAATCCGTTCGGAGGGTGGAAGAGTCTTCGCGAATAGTAGGGTGGAGAAGAGCAGCAAGAAGAGGGTGATTTTTGCAAACATGACTATGTTGCGGAGATGAGAGCGAATGGATACTGTCTGTGTTTCGATGCGTTCATGGAACAATGGGCGGTGCTTAGAGATGTCGTGCGGGGGGTTTTTAGAACTATGTTACTGGCAGTAGTGCTATAAGGTGCTTCCTACAGAGGGCAACGGCGTACGTAGCAGCAGGGAGGATGGAACAGTACGGCATGTTTGTGTAGCAGCTGCGATCATAGAAAAAGGTAACGACTGTTAAGGTTGTCGAATCCACTGCCCAGTGGAGCAATGACCTCGGGAGATACAGTGCTACTAGCTTTATGAGGACCCGTCTCGTTTATGGAAATTCTGCATTAGCCACATGGTAAGGAAGGGCGCGGCGCGGACTATATCGAAAACTTGCAGGTGGTATACCTGCTGATAAGGAGGCAGTTGGTATAAGGCGATTGTACGTTATAGGTGAGCAGCTTACTATCACAAAAATCGCATGCTCGCTGTTTGACACATCGAGATGGATTTCACCTTGCTTACTGACAAATTCTTCGAGGCGATCAGGTCTTCTCTGAGCACTGGGCGTGCGGTAGATGGTCGTCCTCAGTAACCAGTCCACACTAGGGATATCGATCACTAGCTTTCGGGGCGTCTCGTACGTACAGTCAAGCAGCTCCCGAGGCCCTGAACATATTCAGGCAACGGCAAGTCGTCTATGCCACCATCAAAGGTTCAGCTTCTAGAGATCGCGGACTACTATCCCCATTTCGATCCATTTTGCGCTAGACTGTACATGGAGAAGCCGATGATGCTTGCAAAATAAGTTGAAGCTCCCTGCCCCACCACCCCGCCACGATAACAGATAAATACATGCAGGTAACCAATACCAAAAATATAATCGACCAAGCTTCCAAATCGAACAATAAGCCACCATGGAGTACGACACCTTCGCGGCATGTATGGATATCGTTATGTGATCTACCAAACACAATACTCACCACTGCCAGCGCAATACAAGACCAGCGACGCAACTTCATTCGCCCATACATCTGCGCGCGAGCGATGGCCCATCATCATCACGCAGGGCATTGACGACGTCCATCGCTCTTTGCATGGCACTCAAGACGAACAGGCGCTGAGCGAAGGCAAATGGGTTGTTTCCGAGCTGGCCAAGCTGAAGTACGAGGTGCAACACGACCGCGAATTGACACCCATTCCTGACGATGGCGAGAGAGACATCGAGGCATACAACAACGAATTGAAAGCAAGAGGGAATCTCAAGTGGCATAGCGTAGCATGGCTTTACGCGGAGTGCTACCTGTACCGGTATGCACCATGATAACCTGGGCCTGCAGTGAGGTGAATGCTGACGGCCATAGCAAGACGTATATCGAGCATCTTCAAACAGACTTCAAAGTGGAGGTCATATGACCTCTTCGCCCGCCAGAAAATGTCGACGTTCAAATCATCGCGGCCCGCCGTTCTCGAACTTGCCGCCCGCTACAAAGACATTGTCACCGAGCTCGAACAGAAGCACACAATACAAGGCGCTAAGACACAGGAGCAGCTCGAAGAGGCAGAGAAGGTTTTATTTCTAGAAATGTGCGAGATCTGTCTTTGGGGTAATGCGACGGATCTCTCGCTCTTGACGAACCTCTCATACGAAGATATTCAGAAGCTGCAAGGCTCCGAGGCGCGCAAGGCATCAGAGAAGAACATTTTGGTGAACGACTTAAGCAAGGCATTCTCCATCTTGAAAGCCGCGCAGAAGCAAGGCAAGAAGGAGCGACGCGTCGACATAGTCCTGGATAACGCGGGCTTCGAGCTCTTCGTCGACCTCATCCTCGCAGGCTACCTACTCGCGTCGGGCCTTGCTACGAACGTCGTTTTCCACCCCAAATCAATACCCTGGTTCGTGTCCGACGTGCTACCAGCCGACTTTGGCGCCCTTCTCTCTGCGCTCGCCGCTCCACAGGGTTTTTACGGTACTCTGTCTGACGAGGACAAACATGCCGGGAAGGAGGCTGCGCCACTGTCTGACACGGAGAACGCGAGTTTACAGTTCCTTTTTGAGAACTGGAGCGGCATGCATGCTGAAGGCCAGCTGGTGCTTCGACCGAACGACTTCTGGACCGCTGGCGGCAGCTACTGGAGACTTCCCAAGACCGAACCCGAGTTGTATGAGGATCTAAAGGAGAGCGAGTTGGTAATCTTCAAGGGCGATCTGAACTACCGGAAACTAACGGCTGATGTATACTTGAACGCTACTTCACATGTTCGGTCTAATTTGCTGACTTATAATAGGCGGCGTGGTCGCCCACTACACCCTTCACCGACGCTATCGGTCCCATGGGTCCTGGCTCCGGTATCCGCGTCCTCGCACTCCGGACCTGCAAGGCGGATGTTGTTGTCGGGCTGCCAGAGGGAGAAGACGAGAGGATCAAAGCGACTGCAGGTGGCGGTGGAGATAGCGGAGCAAGAAAGTGGGCATGGAGCGGCAAATGGGCCGTGGTGCAGTTCTCTGACGGTAAGGCTTAGACTCAAGCGACAGACCGCCGCCCACCTTCGAACTAAACGGAAATGTGGACATAACAGTATTATACACATGCTTTTGAACGTGAAACCAGCACAGCTCATTCCAGATGCCCCCCAACCCCCTACAACACCTTCACAGTCGATGGCTCCCCAGTACATTTAGTCACTGCTCCGCAGCCTTTAACCTATGTAGACACTATTAAAAAACCAATCAACATTGTTTAACTACTGTCACGTGAACGCCAAGGAAGGATGGTCCGTGCCGGGATAGGGTATATCATTCACCCAGCAGCTAGTTTAGCTCGATAGAACCTATGAATACAGATCATCACCCATATCATGACAACTACTCCCTATATCCCCATGTAGAGGAGGCATGTTATCCATTACAGCATAGACTTTCTCACGTCAGTCTCATGCTCTGAGAGATCATTCGGCTAAACAACTGCACCTAGCCCTGCTATATCACATTACTACACGTCGTTCTTGTGACAAGAACGGCTCAACTGGTCGGGTCGACAGCATCCGGCATCTCGTCATCAGTATCATCATCATCATCTTCGTCATCATCATCCTCATCATCCTCACTCCACTCATCAACGCTCTCATCCTCAAGGTACGTAGCTGCCAAATTCTTCCTAGATCCCTCTGTTTGGCAAAAAGTATAAGCTTCTATGTCTGCTTCCACCGATAAAGCCCACCAGATTGGATCAACTTCCATTGCGAAGTAGTGCGCGGGCGTGCCTAAACATGGCAAGTTAGCACAACTAAGAGAAGGAATTTGAATGCGATCGTACGTACCGACTTCATCACGACAAGTCAGTGTAAGCTCCTTGACACTAGAAGCATCTGGAGGCAGAAAACCACCAACCCAGAACTCCACGTCTGGGTGCGGATATAGTATCTCCAGATACTTGAGGTTCGACGGTAGATCGTTCGGATGGCAAGACTCTGGACCGAGCGACTCTGGGGTAAAGAGGAATGGCTGGGGCAAGACAAGTCGTTTGAGAATAGTGAAGTCCTTGAGGGACCCCTTTGGTCGTGCGCACATCTCTAACATCCACTCTAGCTCTGTCTCGTCTTCCGTGCTTTCGAATGTGATTGCGAGAGTCTCAAGGGTAGTCTGTACGCTGCGTAGTTGGTCTATGAAGTAGCCAGCGTCAAGTTCTGTCATCAGGTCGTCGCCAATCTGATACCCATCATTGATGTGAAATATCTTGAGGCTGACTAGACTATCGCAACCGAGCGCCTCGAAAAGGTCACCGAACTGGATCTCTGCTTTCTCGACCTGCGCCGCTAGTCAGTCATTGTTCTGTCAAGGACATTGAAACCAAATGAGAGCCAAGGGACCGAAATCTAGATACGATGATACCTAGGCTAGGATAGTCGTTAGGCCATACAATACAAGCCCGTTGGTAACTGTTTCCGTCTCAATTACACGCTTGACAATACGTACCAGGGGGCGATCTGCAAATTGAATCGAAACCGTCAATAGCAGTTCTCGCAGGTTTTTCGTGCCCTGGAGGCTTCCAGGCCCATTCAAGCGGAGCACGGTGCCGATGGAAATAGTCTTCAGGTCCAAGGTAGTGAGGCCATCGAACTCGATGTCACATTTCAGCATATGAGTATCACCGCTTGTAAGATGCCGGACGCTCTTCCACCCCTGCCTGATCGCCTCAGGAGCGGTCATGCCTCCGAAAAGACCAGAAATGCACTCGCTTGATGGCGGACCGCGATGGTGATCCTTGACCCAGAAATCGAGATGGATGAGATTTGGTAGAAGGACTAGCACCACACCAGCAAAAGCAGATTCGACAGAATTGTTGATTGAGGACCACCATGGATGCGTATTCGTGTATCCTAGCTCTTTCAACTTCGATAGGCATCGTATGCGCAAAGCAGTCAAGTCGAAGCTCTGCTCATGATATAGCTTGGCGATGTTCTTGCGGACCGTCCTAAAGCGTAGCGTCCTGATTTTAGAAGCGAGATCCGGTCGATTAAATAGTGTGCGGAGCAGCTTTACGACAGTGTTTACCGTTGGGTGGCAGCCACATGAGACATGCAGCCTCGCAACATTATGAAGGGCTTCCTGTGCAGCCGGCCGAAATTTGCTTGACACTAGGCACATGTTTTTGAGATGCTCAGGCGTGGCTGAATCGGGCAGCTGCGACGCGATCTGCAGTAGCAACTCCTCTGGCAGCCGATAGATCGCAGGTTGAGACGCCATACCTAGTCTAAGAAGCATTGTCAGTTCAAGTTCAACACAGCTCGGGCTGGAAAGCTTCAAACACTGATGTCCGTGCCATCAACTGCATACTCACTCCGAGTTCAGGTAACTAAGTGAAAGCTGCCCACGAGCGGGATGAAGGTATTAGTTGTTGAGGATTCGAGGTTGTGGAGCATTGGTTGCGGCGAGGAAGCATGAAACAGGGTAGCGTGATGATGTAATCACACACGAGAGCACCTGACAGCGCGCCTCTAAAACAATTATACCCGACTTTGCAGCTGCTGAATTTCGTCTAATACGCCACTGCTACAAACAAGCAAAAAAAAAAATAGCTTTACATAACCAACAGGAACGTCGAGATCTAGCGGTGGTAATAAAGCAAAGGATGTACGGAAGTCCGACCCCGCCTATGCACCCCTTTCGGCGTTAACACACTTCTCCTAGCAGCAACGCCTGATCTTTTAATATCGCCCTCAGTAAAGCCCAATCCGCAAGATACCTTTCTCTCTGCTACACCTTGGTTAAGGCCCCCAATGGGAAGCATCCTGGAATTCTACAGAAGCCACTCAATTGCATAGAGCCTAATCTAGCTGCGCATGGTGACCTTGCACATGTTCCCCAACTACACCAATTATCATATGTTCTGGTTCACTAGCTTCCACTCTGCCATACTGCAGGATATCTACAAACCATTGTAGCCGTTTGCTTCACACTTCGAGCTAGAAGCTTTTTGTTTACGGTCAGGAGATGCTGGTGCTTTTCTGATCATGAAGAAGCTTCCCTATGTTTAATACTCAATGGTACGAGAATAAAGGCACTATGGAGACATCTATGCGAGGCCCTGCTAACTGCCTTGAAGCCACGAGCTTTTAATGTCACACCCCCGCTGCTTTCGTATTCCTCTGAACGTGCCTTTCATGCATGCGCATTTTCAAGAGGAATAAGACGCTTGTCAATACACCCATCGCACTCAGCCCTATGCCTACGTACATGGCACCACGATACCCTCTTAGCTCATCTTCCACCGTCTGGGCACCATTGTTAACGTGTATATCCACCGTTCCCGCTATACCAACCCCAATACTGATACTGTAATTCACCACTGTATTGACCAAACTTGCCGCCATGCCTTGATGTGCCTTCTCCACTGCATTACTCATAATCAGGGTGCCGGCTGGAAAACTCATATCCATACCCCACGGTATAATCAAAGTAACTACAAAAGCCTGTGCCCAGTAGATTTGGTGGGCTGGCATCGTGGCGACGATGATGCTTCCCGTGAGGAAGGCGAGCATGCTGATGAGCATCACCCAACCTGGACCAATGCGCGAAATGACGTGGCCCGTAGTGATAGCGGCGATGAAGCCAGAAATTGCGACGGGGCTGAGTTGCGCCATGGTAAGGAGTGGTGATGTATGTCGGAGCTGTTGGAGGATCTGGATGAAGTAGTACACGAAGATACCTGGTGTGATTAGCTTATTGCCTTGAGCACGAGTAAAAAACGCTGAACGCGCTGATAAACTTACCAAACGAAGCCCAACCACACATCTCGCATAGCATGACAAAGGTCACATCCGTGCTAAGAACGTCGAAGGGTATCAAGGGCTTTTCCGCAACTCTCAACTCAATCCAGAAGAAGATCGGGAAGAGCAAGATCCCAACAATCAATAGTGCGTAAATATACGGCTGCTCCCATCCAAATCCCGGAGCTTGGTTCCAAGCGAAGTTGAAAAGAATCATTGCTGTGATCCCCACTGATGCGCCGAGTAGGTCTAGGTCTCTTATTCTTTCCTTTGTTGAGAGGTTCCGCAGTTCGGGGTCTAACGGGACAGATGGCAGGATGAAAGTCGAAAGAACTGCGAGAACGACAAGGGCGATGCCAAAGGTCCAGAATGTCCAGGGCCACCAGAGGAGCGCCCAAAGGCCGGCAAATGTTCCACCTACAACAGCGCCGCCTACAAACCGTCAGTATACCGCTTTGGAACAAATTAGGAAAGTAACATACCGGGTGCACAAGCTCCGAAAAGTGAGAAAACCATATCTTTCTTCCGGCCTTCGTTGTACGTCGCCCCTAGCAATCCCAGCGCATTCGGTAGTAAAATCGCTGGTCCAATTCCTCCCATCACTCTTGCGAATATGAATAGCACCTGCGCACCGTTCCCATGAACATATACGCTGCACCCTGCCACCACGTTCCAAATCGCAAACCAAATGAAGCCCAGCACCACCATATTCTTGTAGCCAAACAAATCACCGCATCGCCCGGAAAGCAAAATGAAGGTGCCGACGGTGAGCGAGTAGCCTGCAATCAACCATGACAAAACACCCGGATCGTTGATGCCAAGGTCCGATCCAATGATATGAAGAATGTTAAGCGTGTTGAGAAGGCCAGCCTGTGTTACGAATTGTGCGGAACAGAGCAGACCAACAAAGAAGAACTCGCGAATTGGGGACATGGTCTCCGCAATGGATTTTGTTCGTGCCAGCTCGAGATCTCCATGATGCAATGACGGCTGCGTGGCGTGGTGTGTGGATTGGTAAACGCGATTCTGAGGGCGTGTATCCTCATCGAGGCTGGAGTCGGATTCCGACGACCTCAATGATGGTATTTCGTTCTTTGGCTCTGCTGTATTAGCGTGGCCGTCCATGGCGAAATAGGGGCTGCTATGGTGCTGTGAAATCCAGGCAGGTATGCGAACAATGCTCTCCTCTCCTCTCCTCTGAAGCGGCGGGGACCTGCAGTGTTTGAGACAGTCAATTGCCGATTGATGTATAGTTTTTGTTGTAACTCTGAGCTTGAGCACCAAAATCCGAATTAATGCCGTAACGGCGCGATTAGAGTTAGACCTTCCACGATGCTGAATGTTGACACCGTCCAAGCGGCTTGTCACGTTTTGCTCGTTTGGTCCGTAAGGGTGATAATCTCGAAGATAGAAAGTTGTTTTGGTAAACCGTCTGAAACTACAAACATGTTTAAATTTTGTTTTGGTGTCATTTTTTCGAAAAATGCTTTCGGATCATTGTTACGTGAGCGCGGAATTGCGTTGAGAAAAGCGGGTCCTATATCCGCCGATGTTCGCCATGAATCAGATATCATTAAAACTGATAAGCGATCAGTCTGAAACTATGTGGAGACACTTAATAAGTGATTCCCAATCTTAGATGCCGGGACTGCGCACTGCTGCGAAGTAGTCCAAACGCGCATCAATGCACGTGGTCTCGACTCCTCATTGCTGCTTGACCTCGTATACCCTCACACCGATCAACTTTTTCATAGCCCAACTATGCCCTCCCGCCCAAATCGGCCCGCCTCGCCATAACGGTATTACATCATCCCGTCCTTGCCTCCTCGTGGCGACCGGCACTTCCCACTCCCCTTGCTGAAAACGCCGCACATCCTCCCTACTGACCGTGTGCGTGCGCGCATTAGCCGTCATAGTCCAAAAACCAACGATATGACCCTGATCGATTAAGCGCTTTACCAGGCCATGTCCAGCTTCAGAAGAACCGAGTAATTGGAGGAGTTCCGAGCAGGTGTACTCTGATTTGTCTTTGGAAAGAGAAGCAGAGGTAAGTTGGGTGCGGTGCGCTGAATGTGGGATCTTGTCAACGATGATGGGCGACCATATGTATGGTAATGGCGCATATAGTAGTCGCAAAGAGAAGCTCAGGACTACTGCCACAGGGAAATCGAGACCTAGTGAGACGGCTGCTCGCAAGGCAGATAGGAAGGTGAGTCTTGGTGGAGTCGTAGGAGTAGAGAAGAAGAGGAGGTGCCTTTGAAAAGCCGTGTACCTGCTTTGAGACATGATAAGCTGGTGGGTGAATATTCCGTGAACTGTAGGGATAGCTATGTGTAGTTGTGTGTTCTATGGCAAATACTACGTACAGTGAGAGAAGTCATGACGTCAACTCTACCCAATGCATACGCAAACCGTGAACTCAGCAGTCAACACCATTTGTCGTACAACTCTTATTTATCGCGGAACGGGTAGAATCTAGGCACGTCAGAGATAGCTTTACGATTTTCGGACCTTAATCAGGGACCTATGTTATAATATGCTGACTGAGGTGGTACAAATAGATGCCTTATTCACCCCGATCGGCTAGCTTTCGTATAATGGTGTAATTGAAGAGTAGTCAATTAGAACAGGTGAAAAAGCACAGACATTCAGGGACAATGTGCGCTGGCTCAACTATTACGATTTGCAGAGAGCTCTTAATCTAGTCAAAAGCACGAAGGCATCCTACTTGAGATGATAATTCAACCCCAGCTGAAGGATCTTACAAGCGGCTCTCCCCAGACTTATTCCTCTTATCTCCTTACAGACCACAAGGGAGTTGGCGTGCTTTCGTGTTGTATTTGCTTTTATGGTTGACAATTCCAATGCGACTATCGATCAAAACAATATCAAACTCACTAAACTTGCAGTAAGTATCAAGCTGCCGAAAATATTAACATGTAGATGGCCAGGTGCAGCACCCGTCGACTCTGGTGCCACTCCACTTCCAGTTGCGCTGGGCACCGGTGGCCTTGTACCAGACGGCCTTGTACCATTCGCAGGGCTTGTTCCATTGCCCACCAGGTCTGGGAACAAGGAGCTCGTGTTCGCATCGACTACGATCCAATTTTTTACCAGAGCAGTTCCATTCATAACCGTTTCCCACTGCTCCTCTGTGCACTGGTCGCGATCTAAAACATAGCACTGCGAGCCCGGATCGATGATGGGCTCATTCGTGATATTGAACACGGTACTGGGGCCTTTGGTAGCGTAACCCGGATTATCTATGGTGGAGATATTCCCAGTTGCAATGTCGAAGTTGAATAGAGCCCTTTGAAATATTTTATATGCTGTTTCTGGTTGGTAGGCGGGGACTTCGTGACCTGCTTGATAGATGCGCGTGAAAGACAAATTGCCGAATTGCCGTACTTGCCCACCGATGTAGGTATCGTTGACAACAACGTTGGAGTAGCCTGCCTCTGCAAAGGACGACGCGTTGGGGTATGGGATCGCAAGAGAGAGCAGTTCACCTCCGTACCAGTTACAGGCATAATCGCGATCGCCATACACCAGCGTCACCTTTATGCCCTCTTCAAGCAAGTATGCCAAATCTTCTTTCCATCCCGGACGTGGATAATCGCCAATGCCTCGAAATGCGCGAGACACAGCTGAATTGGATTGTGTCCAATTGATCGGGATGCCCAGTCCCTGTTGCACATGCGGCTGATTCAACCAACCCGCATACCACGGCGGTGGAAATGATGCTGCGGTTGGAACAGATATATCGTAATAGTTGCGATCAGCATCAAAATACGGATCACGGATCTTTTGCGAACAGAAGGTCTCTGCCTCTTCGCAAACGTCGTTGACAGACTCGTTAAAACCCTGATTCGAGGGATCATATACTAGACTCAGATTTCGGCATACTTCAATCTGGTCGAGACAGCCTCCCTTGCGATACAAGCTATCGATGACTTCTGCATGTCGTGACTCATTGATGGTTTTTATACCATATGAGTTGTTGAACGCCATTGTGGGGTAGGCTGGCCACTGGACGTAGCGATCTATGCAGCCATTGATAATAAGGAGAGTGTCAAGATGAAGCAAATGAGTTTGACCCTGCTCATCCCAGGTTCCGTTCTCAATTCTCTCATTCTGCTCTTGGAAGTAGGCTGCAAAAGCGGGCCCGTAGCGGCCTCCATAGGATTCAGTGGCGATGGAAATCCTGTTATCGTTTGGCTTGTGTTGAGGGAACTCCTGAAACCAGACTTGTGCAAAGTGCCACAGAGCTCGTGCAGAGTTCTCAGTGCCTCGTGTGGTAAGGTTGAAGTTCTGGCTAGCATAGGTTCCGACATAAAACGAGTTGTTTTGCGCTGGAACACCGCTAGAGAAGTCTGCGACTTTGACAGCGCCAGTGTCAATGTTGGTTGTGATATTGGTCAAAGTGTCATAACTCATCCCGACTTGAACGGGCTGATCAAGATACAGCATATTGACCTCATTATTCCACGCCCAATCGTTGTTCAAGTACGTAGAATTCGAATCAGCGTTGACGTAGCAGGGCCCGTTCTCGCGAAGCAGTCCTAGCATGGAGCTACTTCCCGGGCCCCCGTTCATCCAAATTCCGAGTGGGGCGTTCGCTGGGTCTTTTCTTGACTCGAAAAACCAGAAGAACGTGTTGATCTCATACGTCTGGTTTTGTACACCAAGGTCGGCGAGGGCGTTGGCCGGTAGGTGTACGTAGCCAGAGTAGCTTCGTACGCCTTCTGTGGTCTCGCAAAGGTCGTTCTGGTGTAGATATTAGTACAATAGTGATATAGTGTTGGTGTTCATGACAACTTACCTCTTTATATGAGATCCTGATACCATCTTCGATTTGAGAGTTGAGTATTGTCACGCCCTCGAGCGGGGCAGGAAATTGAGCATCGACAATTCCGATTAATGCTCCAGTAGCTGCGAACAATGATAAGAGCTTGTTAGACAACATCGCAACAATTGTTGTTGACTTAAAAGCTGGGATTGTGCGTGGCTGCTATCAACCACATGGACTGTGAGCGACGAACAGCTCTTTATAGTATCTTCGGTGTCTTCGGGTACAACATTGGCTGTGTGCCCATCATATACATATCCGATGTAATACCATGTATCGCGTTACAGAGCTTCCTGCTTGAGCTATAGCGTTGATGTGATGGCAGGAATAAGTCGTTGAGGCAACCAATTAATGACGTCGATCCCTCACTAGACAGGCAATATGGGCGGGGAAAGTTGCAGGGCCAAGTCCACTAAGGTATCTTCCTGTCACTTGGATATAGCCGGCGTAGCTTCGGTTCCATCATCACTGATATGGAGGATTCCTCCGTGAGCATCGATGGATCGTGAAGACATGGGTTGAGGCGTATCGCGATGAGCCTTCAGACGCAGCTCGGATCGCGCAGCTACTACTAGGCAGTTCCAACATCGTGATCATAGCTAAAGTCTACTCGAACCATGTGCCGTAGCTCAAACCACAGGTAGCGACTGAGGCGTAAATCAAGCAGATCAAGCAACGGAAGTGGCGGGTCGGATGAGGTCGGCTGTGAGAGGGCGGGCTTCGTCACGCCGCATCGCGCCTAGGGCTAGACAATAGTTGGATGCATGCTCATGTTGTGAGATAAGTACTAGTAGAAGTCCTGCGGCTGGTTGCCCAATGTTGTTTCCTTTTCATTTGTCAGATACGTGCGATCCTCAGGCATGAAAAAGGCTGTGTTCGCTTTGGGGGGTAAAGTAATTCAGCTTCCTAGCACGCAAAAGAGGAAGAGGAAGCAGAAAAGGTTGCCTCAAGGACTGATATCGCTTTGTGTTGCGGATGATAATTAAGGATGCACGTGGAGAGACTTTGAAACTGAAGGTAGTAGTGATTGTTACGCCACTTATTGCTCGTTCCAGTAATGCGCTATCTTAAACGACAACCCTACTCCAGAAACGGAAGCATTGTACGCTAACGTACACATGGAACACCTGCACTTTATAATGCGGATGCTAGCTCGCGGGAAAGCCGGGAAAGAACGTTACAATATATACAGCCGGTGACACGCTCATATCTACGGATCAACTTGTTAGCCTAAGGTTAAGGTTGCAATCACGGTCAGATGTTTGTTCGAGCATCATCGATGTCCATCCTCCTGGCAATACTCGATGCACTTGCCGTGCTCGCCAGTCTCACTTGGTCTATGTGTTTAGATCATAGAGAAGGAGGGGGGGGGGGCGGAAAATGCTTAGCATGCCTATCAACACGCCAAGCAAGTCGGGACAAGTTTAGGTGAAGTAAGAATTGCTTGGTTCTCTTACGCAGGACAAGCCACGGCCAAGATAATGTCACAAGCTGTGAAAACAACATCCCAAGAAAGCAGCACCCAGGACCATTGCGAACGCCATAACCATTATGCGCCGTGAAACGCCAATCACTACTGTCAATTCCTATAGCCACCTCTCCAAAGGACCAAAATGGCGTTCCAAATCTCTTGGCCCAAAATATCAGGCTTTTCAGTAGAATAGAACATGGGGTATATCTGCCAACAACTAGACGCGCCGCTTTCACACAGGAGGTCCCCAGGTTGCGCGTAGTCGGCGGGCAAGCTGTATGTCCTTTTGCTGGATGGTGACGCGTTTCGCGTGGATGGCGCAGAGGTTTGCATCGTGGAAGAGATTGACGAGAAAGGCCTCGGTGGCTTCTTGCAGGGCCATGATGGCTTGACTTTGCCATCTGTTGGGCCCGTCCTCTGTGGTGACTGTCTGCGCGATTTCTCGTACCTGTACTCGTGTTAGACTCGGGCGACGCGGTCGCTGTGAAAATTGAGGCTCACAAGTCGCTGGAAAGGGAGTCTTAGGAGCAGCAGGTCTGTTGTCTTCTGGTACCGGCGGATTTCACGTAGTGCCACGGTTCCAGGTTTGTAGCGCTTCTTGGCCCGGTCTGGCGCTGGACCTGGTTGGCCAACTGTGTCGCCAGTTAGCTTACGGGAGGTAGCTCTCGTTTGCGTCGTCGTCACATACGTCGTTTGCCAGAATCTCTTCTCGGTCCTGTGCTAACCCTTCCTCCGCGCGACGGGCGCGCCTTGTTGCGCCTGGCAGGTGACTTCGGTGGCATTGCGACGGCGGGTTCAATTCAATTTGACGGCGACACCAAAGACGAGATTCGAGCAAACGGGGTGAGACCAGGAGCGTGCTGGTCCCGATGGATTGTTTGGGTTTCGGGAGAGGCGGCGCGCTTGGGCACGAAAAGTCGCGATAGCTGGGAAGCGCGTCAAGACGTCAACACTCGGAACTGGTGAGCAATTGGGCGGCTTTGGATGGCGACAGCTCGTGTGCAAGAATAGTGGTGAGAGGTTGCAGGTGAAAGCGGGGAGCAGTGCGCAGGCGGCTGGGGCGCATTCTTCTGGTGTTGATGGGGATGCCCGCGTTGAGCCAACGCTCAAGTGCTCGAGGGGCTGGGAATGTGGCTGGTGCTGGAGCTTGGGCCGCCCGTCATGCTCACTTTGGATCTGCACCAACATCACGTGCAGATTAGATAGCGACTATGGTTACGTAGCCACATGCTTCCCTCTCTTCCTTCAACACTGCCTATTCCTCGGCTTGGCTCCATTCTTCACGCATTCCTGCAGCCCTAGACAGTCTGCCCTACGTCTCCGGCCGCCCGACAGCTCAACACACCATGGCGAACGTGCTGGCAGGCGGGAATGGCATGATGGGAGGGGCAGGAGGGTTCCCGCTGGAGCAGTGGTTCTATGAGATGCCTGTGTGCACGCGCTGGTGGATGACGGCTGCGCTGAGTGCGAGTGTGCTGGTCCAGTGTCGCATCGTCTCGCCCTACCAGCTCTTCTATAGCGTCCGCACCGTCTTCTTCCGGAGTCAGTACTGGCGACTTCTCACCACCTTCTTCTACTTCGGCCCGCTCAGCCTCGATCTCCTCTACCACATCTTCTTCCTCCAGCGTTACTCGCGCCTTCTTGAAGAGTCGTCCGGTCGCTCGCCCGCCCACTTTTCATGGCTCCTCACATTTGCTTCGACCCTTCTCCTCTGCATCGCGCCCGTCTTCTCCATGGCCTTCCTCGGCTCCGCCCTGTCGAGCACCCTCATCTACATCTGGAGCCGGAAGAACCCTGATACTATGCTTAGCTTCCTCGGACTGCTTGTCTTCAAGGCGCCTTACTTGCCCTGGGTCCTGTTGGCTTTCTCGCTGATCATGCATGGGACGGTGCCAAAAGACGAAATGTGCGGCATCGTCGTCGGCCACAGTAGGTTTCCTTCGTCGTTTATACAACCCTAGGCTAACTGTTCATAGTCTGGTACTACTTCAACGACATCTACCCGCCGCTCCACAACAACCATAGTCCGCTCGACCCGCCCGCGTGGTGGATACGTCTAATAGAGGGCCGCCCTGCACCCGTGGATGAGCCCTCTGAAGACGAGCCAACAGAGCCTGCGAACGATGATAACAACCCCCCGGAAGCCATGCCAACACAATAGATTGTTCCAGAATGCATTGGAGTTTGGCGCATGTTCCCACCCCTTGAGATACCCTGGTTTCCTAGACGTGATAGACACTGGCATGCATTAGCGACAAATACGACGCTAGATATGTACAAACAGCGTTCAAGATTATTTTCACCACTCCTTTTTTCATACCCGATTCAGCGATCCCGCTTTACCCGTCCCGATGTCGATGTCATCCAACCAGAGCACGAAACGCGAGGTTCACATTTCGCCATCGCGTGGACCCCCTGCCAATTCGGGTTAGCACTCCCGCGGACCTGTATATCATGATGCCTTTTGAGTTACAGCCGATTCATTCGATGACCCAGCCAATAGACTCACTAATAAGTTCTACATCTTCTGCCCATGCCCCAACCGAAGACCTCCATTACCCTTTACAAGCCGCGGAAGGACGAGGCAAGGCAAGCGAGGAAAGATTACACAAGGGCTTGCGGATGTAATGCTGAGGGTCGTTCTCGTAAATGAACGAAACATCCGATGACGATAGTATAGCCGAGTGACAGGCTACAAGCCGTGAGATGAAGTCAATTGCATTCGACAATGCCGATGTCTTTTCACGGAACATGTATAGAAATGAACAGCTACGTGTGTATATTTTATTTCGTCTCCGACCCTTTCTTAGTGCATCAGATACAACACCTACAATCTTTGCACTCTTCCCATCCGGTGCTACCCTGAAGACGTCACCACCTTTGAGACTCATGATGAATACGGTCCCTCGATGTGTTTACTTTAGCCTAGACTTTGAATTGAATTCACAGTAGGCTCTCTTGGGATTATTGAAGACTGCCATATTGTGAAGGTTTCACGCTAGAACTCTGTGTTGCTGACTGCTATGGTGCCACAAGTCGTATGACCAACTCTTTCACTATGCCTATTCGATCACCTAGAACCCCGATGCACTTTTACAGAGTTCGTCATACCAGTCACCTCAAAACACACGAGCCGTACTTCATGTTTAAGCGATAGGACCTGCGCTTACAGACACTCAAAGCAGTACTTGGTTGTCGATCATGAAGGGTTGTTGAGTGAGATTGCTAATCACAGCTGAACGCTTCCAGGATATTTCATTATGTGGTTCTTCATTCTTCCAAAGCTTCCTTTTGTATGTAAAAAGCATTGAGGACTTGGACCACCAGTCAGATTAACCAGGTGAGTCCGAGACTAGGCATATTAAACCAAGAACTCCGTTCGCCTTGTCAAAGAAGCCGTAAACTCGCGGCTTCTACTCATCGATGAAACCAGAGGTCATGAGCCGACTCGGATACAACCGCGAATTCCCGATCCCGTGTATCATAGCGTCCTTCAAACCGGACATCAGGCATGCGCGAACTTCCGTCTTCGATAAACAATCGTTGCGCAAGTTGTTCTAAGGAACCCCGGGGCTACTCAGACATACTCCTCAGCAGCATCGTCGCCCGAACCAAAGTCGTTATCATTGCTGGAAACGGGGTCAAGAAGCATGTCATCTTCGACGAGAGCCTCACTCTTGACCTTCGCAGACAGAGCCTTCTTCTTCGTGACACGTCCTGTCTTGACTCCTACCAAATTCAACGTTAGCCTGTGATTGGTGTGCTAAATAATATCTACTGACCATCGCTGTTCTTCTTCCTACCCGTGCCCTTCTTTGCCGGTTTAGGCGCCGGGGGTGCAAGTCCATCAGCCTCAGCCTTCATCTCGATAGCCTTGTGCCTGATCTTGCGAAGATACCACTCCATGGCGTTGAACTTGACGGAGTCGCCGTACATGCGGGAGATCTCCTTCGTGGTGACCTAAATGACTCTTAGCGTATGCTAGTAAAAAATGATGCGGACTAGAGAGGAGTGCTGGAATGTGCGATAAAGGTTGGCTTTAGGAAGGGTGTCTAGTGACGTACCTTGTTGTCGGTAGCCGCAATGATGGCAGCGATGAGCCGGTCGTTCGTCTCCTTATCGAGGAAGTTGACAGTCATCTTGAATGGTAGCTGGCAGTTGTTAGCTAGGTCTGATTGAGTGCGAAAGCGCAGCTTCCAGGCCTTGCATGCTTGATGTTGAGGGTGGTGATGGACAATGCAAGGCTACCAAGTGCCGAAACGTATTAAAATATATAATAGCAGAACAAGAACAATGTAAAACAGGGATAATTTTAGAAGATGTTTGGGAGGAGGCGTGGGGCTCCGTGTGGTAATGGGACTGAGCCTCTCCACAAATCTTGCCTACTGAGCAGGCACATAAACAACAAAAGCAAACCTACATATATGGACGATTGTCGAGATGCTGGTGCAGTAAAGTAAATGAACTAGCTGTAAAGCTGAAAGAAAGACTATCGTGAGAGGCGGATTAGATTGGTGTCGTGGAAATAAAGTTGGGAGTTGGAGGGCGAGGTTAAAGATACGAAATGGTGAGAGGAGTAGATCCGTGGTGAAGGTGAGAGCCTGGCCCAGTCCAACACAGAGCACACTAATGCAGGCCTAAGCTATTCTTTACTTTTATACTGCTTACATACCTACTATTTCTTGCACATATGTTAGAACTAGCACAGGCATAATCGCTCTTAAGTGCCTTGAAATTGGCTGTGCAAGTACTTCTTATATGCCAAGGTAAAGAAGACTCGTCTCTTATGCAATTGTCACGCTTATCATTGCATCGACGGATCCAGGCCAGCATAGGATTAGTGATAGGAAGTCGGAATAATTTGGTTCCACGAAAACTCGGCATATCTAGCCCAGCCTCGTCCTGAGGTGTCCAAACGGATCCAGAAGCTAGGGCATCATATGCCTACAATTAAATGTTAAGTGCGCTTTGCCTATGCCTTGGTAGGGTTCTTCTTTCCTTTAGCATCGTCCCACTCCCTCTTCCCTTTCACTTCAGCTTTGTGGCGCTTTGCCTCCTCCCGGGGGTCGATGACGAGCAAATCCTCTTCGTTTTTCCGTTTCCACTCCAAGTCTTTGCCTAATCTATCTTTTGCGAAGCTTAGTGAATGCGCCATCCAACCAGCATCGTCGTCTGACTCCTCTTCATCCTGCCTATCCCAGGCCTTACATGACTGACAGCCTACTATGAAGTGAAGATCGCAAGCCTCCTCCTCCTCACTTGGTTTGCTGGGATTCGTGTCGCTATTACCATTGCTATTCGAGATATCTGCCGGCGGGGCTGGTGATTTGGCCTTTTGTGCTGTGGGTGGTTCTGCTGAATCCAGTTTCGACTTGAATTTGGACAAAATATCTAGCGTTGCCTGTTCTTGGGCGGTGTTGCCACCCGCACCTCGTTTCCGCCCCCGCGTTGTGGACGTCGGTACCATAGACTCTAGCAAAGACTTCTTTTTGGTTGGTTCTGTATCCTGAGCTGCTGTGTTCCGCTTCATGGATGCCTTGAGTTCTGCAATTTGTGCGTTCACACGGTCCAGCTTCAATCGCTTCTCAGACTCTGGAGATAACTCCCGCGGAGGTGGGGGGCGTGCTTTCTCCTGCGGCGGTGATTTTGGTGCTGAATTCTGTGCCGGTTTGGGTGATGGAGACCTTGACGGAGATTTTCTGGATTGTTTGCGGATTGGAATAGCCTTGGCCTGCTCCGGTGCTTTGGGTTTTGGCGGCTCTTGATCCGCGCTAACAAGTTTAGTATTGTATTTTGCTTTCTTTGCAACAGGCGCCGACTCGGCCTCTTCCTCGTCTCCAAAGCTGAGTACGTTCTTGCCAGCCTTCCGCTTGGGCTTCTTGGGCTTCCTGGCCTCTGGTTCTGTCCGCTCGGCCACCCTTGCTCTCTTGACCATATCCTCGAATGGGTTGATGATGATGTCGGCGCCAGTAATCCTCGTTGGATACATGGGCTGGTCCTCGCTACCCTCGCGAAGCTCTGCCTCTGCCATTTTCATCAAGTTGTAGATAGTGTCGCCGGCGATCCTTCCAAACATGGTGTTTCTCTCCTGTAGCTCCGGAGTAGCGGCCAGAGTGAAGAAGAACTGGCTGCCATTGTCGTCCTTCCCCGTGTTCGCCATGCCGAGCAGGCCTCTCCTCGTGTACTTCAGCCTAGTGTGGAACTCGTCGGCGAAGGGCTCGCCATTATAGCTGCTCTCGCCGCCTTGCCCCGAACCTGTCGGGTCTCCTCCCTGTAGAATAAAGCCCTTGACTAGGCGGTGGAAGACGGTGTTGTCGTAGTATCCGTCGAGACATAGCTGCAGGAAGTTGCGCGATGTGACGGGTGTTTGCTTTGCGAAGAGCTCGAGCTCAAGGTCGCCTGTGGTGGTGTGGAGGACCACTTTGGCCGTCGGATTCGGCTCGAGGTTGTACGTTGTGCTCATATTTGCGTCTGTCCTGGGCTATCGTAATTGTTCGTCTACCCTCATGTCTCGTGTCGACGTCGTCAAGGTCATCCATGGCCGGCGAATCGAATTCTAGCTTTGCGCACGCGCCTCGGCCCATGTGGCCCGACGTCATGCTGCCATTCCACAAACTCGACGTTGCGCCAGGTACTGTCGACTTTTACTTCACTTCTTCACACTTTCGCAGCCTTGAAGATGCCAACATCTCGCGTATAACCAGTCCGCGCCCCTCCCACACTTCAACGTCCACTGTGTTACAGGCATTACCCCACAGCGACGCTCCATACCACCAAAATGCCACTACCCTATATCAATGCGCGTACGTGCTAGACTTGCACAACATGTGGCTGCACGCTGACGCTTTATCTAAGCATTTGAATATGTCGCCAGTGTCCTTGGGAACTCGGCAGACGAGCGTAAGGCCTCTCAATGCCGGCCGTGTGCTTTACTGATTCATATACGTAGTCAAGCTGGTCACCACCTTCTACCTATCCTTCCCCTTGGCTGCTGCTCTTAAGAGGTTACCAGACAAGGAACCATGGAAGAAGAACTTGTTCATAATAAGGTAAATTGTATTGCCATTCCGTAAGCGCACAATACAATGCTGAGAACCGCAGCGTGTCTATGTTCTACTTGATCGGTCTATTTGACTTGTGGAGCGGTCTTCGCACTATACTCATCAGCGCTGCTGGGGCATACACCATCTCTTCGCAGATAAACTCGCCGTATATGCCATGGATCGGGTTTGTCTTCCTCATGGGTCACTTATCTGTCAATCACCTCTACCGTCAGACGATCGACGACTCCTCTCTTTTCGACATTACGGGCGCTCAGATGGTTCTGGTGATGAAACTCACGGCTTTCTGCTGGAATGTACAAGACGGTCGTCTTCCGGAGGCCGATCTATCTGACTTCCAGAAAGAGCACGCTATTCGCACTATGCCTGGTATCATTGACTACGCCGGCTATGTCTTCTTTTTCCCGGCAATCATGGCAGGTCCAGCCTTTGACTACTGCGACTACAGTCAATATATCACCACCACCATGTTTACGCTTCCACCGGGTACTGATCCTTCCAAAGCGCCACCAACCCGCAAGAAGCACAAGATCCCACGTAGCGGCACACCGGCCACCATCAAAGGCGTCTACGGCACTCTGTGGTTGATAGCCTTTTTGAAGTTCTCCGGATGGTACTATCCGGCCTTCTTTCTAGGTGACGAGTACATGAAGTACGGGTTTCTCCGCAGGGTTTGGCAGCTGTACATGTTTGGACTCACTACTCGTATGAAGTATTACGCCATCTGGAGCTTGTCTGAAGGCGCATGTATCCTGTCTGGAATTGGATACAATGGAATCGATCCGGTTACCAACCGCGCCAAATGGGACCGCCTTACAAATATCAAGCCCTGGGAGATCGAGACGGCCCAGAATGCCCGCGCTTATCTGGGATTTTGGAACATAAACACAAACCACTGGCTAAGGAATTACATGTATCTCCGTGTTACACCAAAGGGTAAGAAGCCGGGTTTCAGGGCAACTTTAGCCACGTTTGTCACGAGTGCGTTTTGGCATGGTTTCTATCCGGGCTATTACCTCACATTCGTTCTCGCATCCTTTGTGCAGACGGTTGCGAAAAGTAAGTACTTGTGATGATGGAATTCTCACTCGTTTGCGACACTGACCAGGCATCAGATGGCCGCCGCATGATTCGTCCACTTTTCCTGACACCAGATGGCAAATCACCCCTCCCATCCAAACGATACTACGACATCTTCACCACGATCCTCACTCAAGTAGTCTTCGCCTACACCGTGGCCCCTTTTGTTCTACTTGGCTTTTCCGACACCTTGATAGTCTGGGCCCGCGTCTACTTCTATACTATCGTTGGCATCGGTGCATCATTCGCTCTCTTTTCGAAATCCTTACCCTTCCGCAAACAAATCTTGCAACTTCAATCTTCTCGCGCGCCCACACCGGCCACCTTCACTTCTGTCGATGAATCTACTGTCGAGAAGACTGCGAGAGAAGAAGTTCGGAAAGAGAGACTGCTGGCGACTGATGCCCAGAGCAGTGATCCTGGGCACAAGGTGCCTCTTTTCGGGATTGCGGATGACCCTGAGGCGGAAATAGATGATATTGTTAGGGAAGTCAAAGCAGAAATCGAGCAGAGGCGTCGAAGGGGAAGTGCGCTGCAGGGATTTGATATCAAGAAAGCGGTACAGGAGAAGTTGATGGAGTTCAAGAAAGCATAGGTTCTCCTGGGGTTTGCATTACTGTCAAGTTGGAGTTATGACAGTGGCAAGCCAAGCGCAAACCTAGTAAACAAAGTACCTAGGCATGCCTAGTTCTTCCTAGCAAGACTTAGACTACAGTTGTGCAGGGACTACACGAATTGCCGCGGTCGATATTGCTACCTTCCTCATATTACGCATCTTCCCAACATCAACCAGGATCTTTGTGCTCCGCATCGTTGCCCGCTCAGCTTTAATATTATATTTAATGAAGCTTCACCGTTCCTTCAACTGAATATGGCCTTCGCTCAGCTGTGCCCCAGTTGCCCCACTTCATCCACGTCAAATGGACAAGAGAGAACACTGGCGCTCCAGCAGCAAAGCTACATCAGAAAATATCGCTAGCTCGCAGTAATGGGGTTACTCATCTCGAGATACCAAGAATTCTAGCCCGCGCTAATATTCACCGTAAATAACGCCGTACAGGCAGCGCGGATGTCATGTGCTTCCGTGGGCACTAATGTTGAGCTCTATAGCTTTTATACTTTCCAAATACCCTTGCGAACGGCTGTTTCCATAGACTGCACCGGTCCTGTAGCCGGTCATGTACATAACCTATTGCCATTAGGTATGCAGCAATTTCACCGCACAGTCAGCTAGCGTCGCTGATTGGATTACGGCGTGACTACCGGAGTAGCGACGACCGGGGAGTAAATACGAGCAATCTATACGAACAAAACATCCATGCCAATATCCTATCGGATTCAAACATGGGTCTAAAATCTCGGTCCTATATGTTCGCCCAGGCGAATCGCTTAACCCCCTACATGGATCTGACTCCGTGCATCCATCCCCAGAAAAGGTGGACAGATGGGCAGACATTGGCTTCCCCACTGCGGAAAGAGAGAAAGTATTTGAGTTGAACCCGGGCCACTATACAGTTCTCAATAGCAGTACTTTCAATCGTTGAGCTAGCTCGTCTACTATGACACCTCTTTTTACTCTGGCTTCGGCCCTCGCACTACTGAGCCTTAAGGCTGTTACGGCAGCATCTGTCGATAACAAGACCTACGAGTACATAGTTGTTGGCTCTGGCCCTGGTGGTGCGCCTCTCGCTGCCAACCTTGCTCGTGCCGGCCATTCAGTGCTACTACTGGAAGCTGGAGATGACCAGACAGAGAATGTCAATGTCTCCCAATGGCAAAACTTCAATGCTGCTGGAAATGATCCCGCGACTCGCTGGGACTTCTTCGTGAGACACTCTGGCGATAGCTACCAGGATGCAAGGTTCAAGCACAGGACGTGGCGTAAGCCTGATGGAACCTTCTACGTGGGAACAGAGGCTCCACCGGGCTCTGCACCTTTGGGTATCGTACGTTGTCCCTAGCAGATCTGCGAAACTACTTCCTAAATTCCTGTCTTCTAGTACTACCCTCGCGCCGGCACTCTAGGCGGGTGCGCCATGCACAATGGCTGTAAGCTAGTCCTTTCATAGAAGAGAACAACGTCTAACACACAAAAGGCTTAACGATGTTGCCCAATGATGCCGACTGGGATGACATCGCCAAGATTACCGGTGACAACTCATGGTCGCATGAGAAAATGAGGAAGTACCTCGTGAAACTCGAAAAGGTACATTACAACAGCACTTCTCCTCACGGCCATGATGGGTACCTGGATATGACGATGCTTGATCCTGGGTATACCACCAGTGCAGACGCCAAACTGCTCAGTGAACTCGCTGCTCAGGCGGCTGGCTACGAGGCTTCTTCCGCATCAAGCCTACTACAACGCGACATGAATGGCAACCAACCTGACCGCGACAATCTTGTGGGTCCATTTGGAGGCGTCAGCCATATTAATCCCAATGGCCGACGATCATCTCCTGGATATTATGTTCGCGACACAGCCAATGCGGGCAAATATCCCCTTACCATCTCCTTAGACACTCTCGCTACGAAGATCATCTTCGACAAGTCTGGTCCAAAGCCCAAAGCGGTTGGTATCGAATACCTACAGGGCAAAAGTCTGTATGGCGCTGATCCTCGCTACAATGCCGCTGACAAGGGAACTCCTGGCAAGGCCTTCGCGTCCAAGGAGGTCATCATTTCAGGAGGTACCTTCAACTCCCCACAGCTGCTCCTCCTTTCCGGTATCGGCCCACGCGAGGAACTCAACACGTACGGGATTCCCCTCGTTCTAGACCTGCCAGGCGTGGGAAAGTCCGTGGCCGATAACTACGAGATCGGTATTCTGTCGCTGGGTAAGCGTGCTGTGACTGGCAAGTCGGAGATCTTTCCCAATTTCTATAAGACCACTCAAGGTGCGATCCGTGACATCTACATGTGGTGTGGCTCATTTGCGTTTGAGGGTTTCTGGCCCGGGTGAGCAGTTGCTTCCATATTCCTCCTCACTGTACCTACTCTGACGATCGTCACAGCTTCCCCAACAGGCCTCCCAACTTCAATGAGACCTATGGTCCCAACCAGTACGAGTGTGCCCTCGTCCACATGAACCCCCGCTCCCAAGCCGGTGTCGTGCAGCTCCAGTCACCCAACCCACGCGAAGTCCCAGTCATCAATCTGAATTTCTTCGAGCAGGCGGGCTCCGACAAGGATCTTCAGGCTCTATACGAAGGCGTGAATTGGGTTCGCTCGTGGCTTTCCAAGGTCGACCCCTCGGCGCCAAACTCTCTCGCTCCCTTCACGGAACTACACCCATGCCAGGGCGAGATTGGTAAGCAGGACTGCACTGTTGACACGCAGAAAGTCTATATCAAAGAGCAATCATACAGTCACCATGCCACCAGCAGCTGCAAGATTGGTGCCGACAGCGACAGGCTTGCAGTTTTGGATAGCAAGTTCCGTGTTCGAGGTGTTACGAACTTGAGGGTTGTCGATGCGAGCAGTTTCCCCAAGGTACGTTAAAAGCTCTTTATTACTAGCTTGTGTGCTGACTCTAATGAACAGGTTCCGGGTGGTTTCCCCGTGTTGCCTACTATGATGTTGAGTGAGAAGGCGACAGAGGACATTCTTGCAGAAAATAATTAGTTAGAGTGACAACCTCTTGGGTTGTGTACTGTGTAGCCTGGATACATTCGCCAGGTTATATGCTTGCTATTGGCTTACCACAAGTACTGTGAATACATTCAGCCTAGTAAATTGCTGGTCTCCTGCCTTCTAGGCCCCGACTAATCTGACTTCTAACTGCGATCCAACCCCATGCATCCCTCGAGTTTACTCAGGTAAGAGTTCTACCCTTAATTAACTAGTTCTTGATTGGCCCATACTTCCTATCTCTTATACTTTATTCTGTACATACTTGCTGCATTGAACCTTCTCAGTTTTGCACCTCGGTCCTACGAGGTATCACTTCTGCAAATCTTGCCCCACGATATCTTTCACATACCCAGCCGCTTTCTCCGCAACTGGAACACCATGTCTGATACAAAACCCATGCGGCCAACCCTCCCTCTCATCAATCTCCATTACAGGCTTCCAGCTCTCACCCATACCCCCAACTTCCTCAACAGCTCCCTGGTACCTACCACGACTGCTAATAAGTGCATCTCTTGTTGAGTCAGCAACCCAGTGATCCTGTCGAGCAAACAAAAAACGCAGCAGAGGGCGGGGGTGTGGGTGCTGGGACGGAGTGGTGGCGCCCCAGATATCTTCATCCCAGATGTCGGTGTCGATTTGGAACATCTCATCCCGTGCCATGTGGAGGGCTTGCTGTATGCCGAAGGGTGATTTGACGAAAGAGGCTGTCGTGTGCGCTGCATCTTCTGGGAAGTCCATGAATTTTGCGACAAGCATCGCAATGAGTGATACCGGGAGAAAGCAGGTCAAAAAGCTAACTAATATGGAGGCAAAAGTAGCGAAGTTGGAGTTTTTGAGGAAGGGCTGCATCTCATGTGATTAGCATCTTCATTCAGTACCACGAGTTTTGTTTGGGGGCGCAACTTACACTCGCTTTCATCCCACTCTCGCTTCTCGCGATATCCACAACGGTAGGAAACAAGCCCACTGCTCCCACAATCTTGGTGTCGAAATCTTCTCCCGCCATGCCATGCGCTCTTAACCTGCGAATAATCTCCAGCGAAATGTACGACCCGACTGAATGACCCACCAACACCACCCTCACATCTCTTGCTCCCTGCTCTTTGGCTTCCTCTACTACCTCTACAACATCCTCTTCCGCATGTCTAATTTGATCTTGCAGACCATACGGCGGCTGTTTGCGCCACTTCATCGTTTTGATATCCGATGTGTTCATCTCGAAACCCGAGAAACTCCTTCCGTACACCTGAAACTCAACATCGCGACTGGATGCCGTGTCGCGGCTTAGCAAGCCATACAAGTGGGTCAGGAATGTGCGGTAGTACTCCACCAGGCCGGGATTTCCGGTCAGGAAGTAGATGATGTACGTTCTAGATGCAGCTTTTTTGCCTGGCTCTGGAGGGGTGAGCAGATGGATCTTTGACGAAGGTGGAGAGGGCATATTCGCGGATGAATGTGGTTGTTGGAGGGATTTGGTGAAGTAGCACTTCGTGTTTTTAGCACTGGGAGATTCGATATCTCGGTTGCGCTAAACTGGATAAGGCGGTAGCGCTTTCCCCTGCTTCCCAAGGTTGGTAACGCCTGCCAGTCGCAACCTTAGATCGTCCGAACTCTTTTAATCGCTGTAGAGTAACGAGATTGTGGTAGGTGTATTAGTTCGGGTGTGATTATCTTGAGCAAAATCGTACTAGATGTACCCGGGGCATGATTGTTTCAACCAGTATCATATTAAACGCTTTCTACGCGCCTCTACCTAGCCGGTCCATCTTTGATCTCATTCCAACAAAACTGGACGTGGTGTTCTTTTTCAAGCTACGCTTTGTCCAGATCAACAGTCGAACCCCGTCCAATGTGGCCTAGCTATCACCACCTATGAACAACTCAATCACCCTGACCATCCTTTCCTTCCTGATCGCCTTTTCCTTCTCTCTTATCTTCGCCTCCTCTTTACATCTAAACAAAACATCCGCGAACGCAACGGCATAGTTTTTCACAATGAGCTGCCGTATCGCAACCTCAGGCACCTTGCTCAATGTGCGCCTCCGTACTTTTGCCTGTGGCGAAGCCGGAAGTTCAGTGCTAGTACGGGGCGTGTGCGGTTTGGGTTTGAAGACTTCGGTAACTTGATTTGCAATGTTCTGCAAGAAAGATATGATGAGGAAGAACGAAGCGTTATGGTTGGGAGCTGTAGTCAAGATCTCGAGAACCGCCATTTTCTCATCGTCCGAAGAGATGTGCTGTTTAGACTTCTCGCGTGTCGTGATGCTTTCCTCGAGCTTCTCCCAGAGGCTTTTGGTGATGATTCCATCTACTAGGCTTGACAGGAACGTCAGCAGAACTTCCGCTAACATCTCGACTTTCTCTTTGGACCGCGTCTCTTGATTAAAAGCGTCAGCGAAGGGTGTATCGCAGTCTAATGCATCGTAGAGGTCAGCGAGCTCGTCTTCACGGTCATCTGCATCAACCACGGTTTTAGAGTGGGATCTGACGAAGGGCCATCCAGCATTATCTTGCCATGGCCCTTTCTCGCCCTCGCTCTTCGTCATCTCCCATTCAGCTAGTGTGCGTTCCGTCAAATCTTCTATCGCGTCCGTCAGCCGGAACAGTTCGCGAGGCGCGCTCCATTTTACCTCTTCGCGACTCGGTATCTGGTGCTGAAGCTTCCTGATACCACCCTCTGGGATCCTGATCAATTTATCGACAGTGCGAGCAAGCGTAGATTGCAGCCAATGTGCGCGAAGTGGTAGGAAGTGGTCTCGGCCGTTTTCGACACGAAGAACTAGGACTTCGTCCAATACGGAATCGCCTTCGTTAAAATTGCGTACTGCGTCCAGACTTTCGATTTTGAGCTTGAGTTCCACATTGACGACATCAGCAGGCTCAAGTGTGAAGTGCTGATGTATGTCATCTGGCTGAGGTTTGTCGAGCTTGTCTGGTTCTCTGTCAAATGTAACGCTCAGCCAGGGCGGGAACGCGCCCGCCTGTTGCTCATGGTCGACTGGGCGATCTGCGAAGCCGAAGGTTGCCGGTACTCGACCTGTATTAGCAATTGTGATGTTACGTTTCTTCGATTTTGTGAATTTGACATCGCCAAAGTCTACTCCTTCGAAAGAGCTGTCTGTTTTGTTGGTGTCCTCCGCAGATGAAGATCCTGTGGCACGATCCACAACCACTGCTATTGAGGGTCTGCCTTCGTTCTCTTGACGGTCAAGCTCGCGAGCTACTTCACCATGGATCGCAGTCTTCAAGTCAGGAACTACAGCATCGTACTTCAACGAAAACACTGCGTCGAGGGGTTTATGGTCTGAGCTGAGTATGCGCATATGGGTTGTATAATACTCAAGAAGGATCTCAGCAGACAGGTCATCCTTGGTTGTAATTGGTTCGGGCTCTGGGTCTTCGTTCTCATCGTAGTCGTCATAAGTATCACCATCGGTGTCGGGGTCATAGTCGTACAAAACATCATCGTCTCCAGGTAAATCCATGCCCTTCGCCTTCATCTCCTGGTCTCTCTTGCGAGCCTCTTCTTGCTCCTTAACTTTGGCATCGTATCGCTGTTTGGATGCACGAGTTCGGTAGAGAATACGATCACACCAACTGGGACAGCGGCGCTTCTCGCTGGAATCGAAGACCCCGACTTTGCCAACATCATACTTGTAGGATGGTAAGAAGCGTATGGGGCCTTCCTGCCAACCGTCGTGGAATGCTTTCCCGGCTTTCATCTGCTGGTGTAGTTCGTCGTGTGGTAGTAAAGACGTGATCGTCGTCTGCAGTGAGGCAGGATCGAGCTCAGGAGGCAGGGGTACTGCGTCATGGGTATCTTCGCCGTATCCGGAGTCAGCAGAAGTAGAAGCTCTGCCTTCCTCTTCGTGATCCATGTCCTTGGTATGCACCGTGAGAAGTCGTCTCACATCATCTCCAGGCATACCCTCCAGGCGGTAATTCAGGTCACCAAACCAAAAGGCAAACTCCTCTTCGCCCAGACCTTCACCCGTGGTCTGCGATGAGCCCAAGGAGTCGACGATTGGGTCAAAGCGAGTGCGAGAATTGATTTGTGCCGTGTCCCAGATTCTTCGATCGAGTGATGCTTTGTCAGCGCCAGCTGCCAGGTGAGAATTGATGAAGACAAGGCGCGTCGTCTCGCCCAGGACTATGCGCGTTGTGACAGCGCCCTTGTTCCCCATATAACCCATCAGGCCAGTTCCGACGCTGGTCGTACTGACGTTCTTGATCTGCGGGAACACGTCTGGTGAGGCGTAGATGACGAGCCATAGTCCAATCAGTTGCTGCTCTGAGACCAGTTGGTATCCTTGGGGCAGGGCGGCCGCGAGCGATGCTTTCCACTTGTTCGCATTGCTCGGGTCACTGTATGGTCTGAGGGCTTCTGAAGCAGACGTGATGTCGACAATCTCCTGGAGACCTAGCGCATAGATATCAATCTCGTCCGCGCCCGGTACTGCTCCTGCATCGTTGTGTGGAATCGTGGGTGTGTGTTTCGCATGTCTCGCCTCTTGCGATGCCACGCTCTCTCTGCTGCCCTCGGAATGCGGTCCAGGGTCTGCCACTCCATAGCCTGCGATAGCCTCTTCCACGCCTTTTCCGCTTATGAACCACTCGCCCACATCTTGTTCAGTCCCTTTCTGGGCGGCCGTGTTCCATGTTCCCACCTTGATGCGGACGTTGCGGGGTCGCGTGTACTCTGCTCTGCGTTCGTATAGGGTCTGCGAAAGGGATGTCTGGTGGGTCGTGATGGATGCCTGACTGGGTGCCAGTAGGTTAGGGAAAGCGCCCGGTATATTTGCGTCCAGGCGTTCCGTAGAGCGCACAGAGGATGCGTCGGGGGCCATGGCGGGGCAACGGCGGGGTGAGGGATTGGAATTGAAAGGGCAAGCTTTGTCAACCCATGTTGACGGCTGTGTGTGGTGGGAGTGGTGGCGATTAAGCGGGCGTGGGTTTGACCCACAGCTAGCTTTCACAGCAATGACGAATGTGAATACCGCAGCGTCGATGACGGAGGGCGAGGCCGGGCGAATGCGAGGCTGTGCCTTGGCCCAAGCTCCCTCTCCGAGCGTCTGCAGGCACAGCGACGATCCATTCCACCTCCTCTTCAACCTTGCTTTTGGAAGACTCCAACCCAGGGCCTGAGGCTGTATCCATATCCATAGTACAACCCCAACACCAACATCGATAATGGCACCCCCCAGAGCCAAAGCCCGCGCTAGTCACCCGCAGCCACCGCCTCAGCCGTCCGACTACGAGACGGACGCACCACCGGCCGCTGTCGACGTGCCCCTCCCACCCCCGCGCTCCAACGAGGAGCTCAACTTCTCGGTCCTCGGGCGCATCTACCCACATCTCGTCGCCATCGAGCATGTCACGCCGTATGCAGCCCTCTATACATTCAACCTCGACACGCAGCAATGGGAGAAGGTCGGCATCGAGGGCACGCTCTTCATCTGCCAGCTGACGCCCTCCCCCATGGGCGTCGAACGCTACTGTGTCATCATATACAACCGCCGCGGCCTCGACAACTTCTACCTCGACCTCACTAGCAGTGACGACATGGAGATTACGGACCCCTATGTCATTCTTCAGGGCGACGAGGTAGTCTACGGCATCTGGATCTTCGCCGACCCGCCGCCTGCCTCGACGGCCAACTGTCGCGTTGAGACTGGCAACAAGATGATGGAGATTGCCGACAAGGCACGAGCCAGCCGCGAGTCCAAGGAAAGAGAACACAGGCACGACATCAAGGAAGCGACCGACCACGTCGAGGCCCCGTCTTCCGCTCCCATGGGTCGCCAGCTGTCGCTGCGGGAGCTGTTCGGCCAGCAACGGGAACAGGATGCAGGCTTCAGCGTACACAACCATCACAGCCACCCAATACCCCACCAGTATCCACAACAAGGGTACCTGCCAACGCAGGCACCTGGACCAGCACAGCAAGACGTGCTAGGTCAGCTTTTCATGAAAGCAAAGCAGGACTACAATGGCCTTGGCTGATATGGTGCTCAATTAGGTAGTGTCGAGAAAACCTATGGGCAGTCGAAATCAGATGCCCAGGATGCAAAGCAACTCATCGATGACGGACAAGGAGATGAGACACCACAGCAGTCGGAATCGTGCCGACTCGCTCGCACAAGAGAGGTCTTCATTACGAGCTGCACCGGCTTGCCCAGCTCGAAACAAACGCAGCATCAGCAAGAAGCTCGACGGCCGTCCCTCATGGGATACTTCATTTATGATATCTGCTACGGTCTGATTCGATGCATTGCGATGTTCACCGCGGTCTGGCTGGCTGCACATGAGGAGAATGTCGAAACTTGGAAAGTTTACATGCTCCTCTGCATCAATATCTTGTTCCTCGATGCAGCTATCAAGGATTTCTGGTATGGCTCGTTGAAGAGGGGGTGCAAGTGCACTTCCCGTTATTCCTCGGCACAGATGCATGAAGGGCGAAGTATCGTTGTCTAAGGGCGGAAGGTTACAGGATCCAAGTGCTCTTATCATCATTAGCCATTGACAGAAAAGTAGCCTTAATACAAGGTCACTTTTGCTCGCAACAACCCCTCCTCAGTGTCTCCGTTGGCAATAGACGTGGAGAGAGATCTGCCGAATTTGTTCTTACTTTCCCTACACCTCTTTAAATTGCAACTAGTGAACGTAGCGACACGTCAATGTTGAACGACATTGGCATCTTTCAGGTCCCGCGTTCTGCAGGGCTGAAGATGACCTCACAAGAGGATCCCTGCATTCTACCCCACGGCGGGGCAACATGTAGCCCAAAAATTTCCAGCGACACCGCAGCGGAGCTTCAAAACACTCACAAGCTGCAACTGATTCTCGCCACATACAATGACAGGCAAACTCCGTGTTCTTCTCGTCGGCAATGGCGGCCGCGAACACGCTCTCGCGTGGAAACTCGTCCAATCGCCATCTGTCGAGCACATCTACGTCGTTCCCGGCAACGGCGGGACTGCGACCCTCGACAAGAAAGTCACAAACGTTTCAGACGTCAAGGATTCGGACTTCGCTGGCCTCGTCACCTTTGCCAAAGAGAAAGATATCAACCTTTTAATCCCAGGCCCTGAAGCACCGCTGGTGGCTGGCATCGTCGACTACTTTGCGAAGAATGTCGGCGATAGCATCAGGGCCTTTGGTCCGTCAGAGGCGGCTGCGGCAATGGAAGGCAGCAAGACATTTAGCAAAGACTTCATGAGACGACACAATATTCCCACCGCCGCATACGAGAACTTCAGCTCCTACGACGCTGCCAAGTCATACCTCGACACCATCTCCCACAACATCGTCATAAAAGCGTCAGGTCTCGCAGCAGGGAAAGGCGTCATCATACCACAAAGCAAAGAAGAAGCACACGCTGCGCTCAAGGATATAATGCTGGACAGGGAGTTTGGGGCCGCGGGCGACGAGGTCGTGATTGAAGAGTTCATGGAAGGTGACGAGCTCTCCATTCTCTCCTTCAGCGACGGCAACACAATTAAGAGCCTACCTCCCGCTCAGGACCACAAGCGCATCTTCGACAATGACGAGGGGCCCAACACAGGAGGCATGGGCACGTACGCACCAACGCGTATCGCACCCCAAGACGTACTCGACCATGTAGACAGGGAGATTCTACAACCGACAATCGATGGCATGCGCTCCGAGGGCATGCCGTTCAAGGGCGTGCTCTTCACAGGGCTTATGATGACGAAAAATGGGCCAAAGGTGTTGGAGTATAATGTGCGATTTGGAGACCCAGAGACACAGAGTTTGCTGGCACTGATGTCGAGTGACCTTGCTGAAGTGATGATTGCGTGTGCGGAGGGTAGACTAAAAGATGTAGACGTCAAGGTGTCAGCTCGTTCGGCTGCTACTGTTGTGGTTGCAGCTGGAGGATATCCTGGCAGCTATGCTAAGGGCACCCCTATGACACTGGATGCTGTGCCGGAAGGTAGGTTTACATCATCTTCCAATGTTGAAGGCAAGCGCTAACTCATACCCAGATGTCGTTCTGTTCCATGCCGGAACATCCTTCTCAGACAACACACTCAAGACGTCCGGTGGTCGCGTTATCGCGTCAACAGCCACCGCATCCACACTTGAAGAAGCCGTCGCCAAAGCATACAAGGGCGTGGAATGCATACACTTCGAAGGGATGCAATACCGGAAGGACATTGCAGGCCGCGCCTTGAGGAAGTGAGCGGCATCATAAAAGTCAAGTCTACATGAGGATAATTGCATGGTAGGGCGGCGTTCAAGGTGTCTGGGGCGAATTCAGCCTAGGAGTAGCGTTGCTAGCGAAGAAAGGATTTGGAAGAGTATATTTGGAAATATGCTGATCGATCGATGTCATGTCGCATGTCACAGTAGGGATTGGCTTTCCAGGGCGGCGAGAAACATCACGTATGAATTCCAGTCAGCTCTCGTATCGCGTTTGGTGTTGCAATGATTGGAGTGTTTTCAAGTGGGAGTTATGAGTGACAATCTAGTCCGTTATTGAGTTTATATGTTACCTGTCACGCCAGCTAGCCGCCAGCTTGTCGTCCCTCCTTAAAAACGCAAATGCGGAAAAGGGTTGACGTTTATTTGATGGTAGACCATGCTGAGCACTTAGTGCACTTAGCTTTGCAGAGGTAGTGCTACTAGCCAGATGCCATAAGATAGAGGAGATGTATGCACCTACTGTTTGATACCTACCTAATATCTGCGTACAGTGGACTCGGCCTTTTAGATCAACTAAATATACCTCTACATTAACTAGAGCATAGTTTATCCGAGCCGAACAGTTCCGAACTACCCTCTCGAGAGAGCGTGCTTGTAAGGACACTGGCACTGCCTGCCTAACAATACCTTGGAGTACTTCAGGAACTATCATCGTCAGTTGAGGCCTTGCATTTCTTTTCTTTCTTCTCTTTCTTGCTATGCTTTTTCTTCCTCTCAGGAGAAGGCCCTTGTGCGTCGCCCTTCCGTTCTTTGCGTTTAGTGTCGCCGCCACTGTCCAACTTCGCATTGCTGTTCTTGTCCTCATTGCCGTGCGTAGCCTCCCTGGCGATCAAGTCTTCCTGCTTCTCGGCTTCCTCCCTCTCAAGTCTCTTGACCTCCATTAGCTCTGCCTTCTGTCGCGCAACATTCTTCACCACTGGACTGTTGTTGATTGCAGCACTAGCTGCAGAGACAGCTGCCTGGTTCTTGTTCTGACCTTCTCCACTGCCCAGCCACTCGTCCTGGTAGCCCCAGCCGGTCAAGTAGACACCAATGAAAAAACGTTGCACACTACCCGAATCGTATGTCATACGTTTTTCCTCTCGGTAATTGAGCTTAACATCCTTGACAAGGACGAGCTTATTTAACTCGTTTCTGGCCTGCGGGTTCTCAATGATCTTCTCCCTGAAGCCAAGTAGCTGTGGGGCCCAGAGTTCGGTCAGCCAGTTCTCGGCGATTTCGAACCCATTTTCTGGATTTGAGAGCACGAGTCCGGCAATGTAAGCTTCAAACATATCGGCAACGACTTTCTGCCACGCCTTCGAGCCTACGTCCCAGTGCGCCCGGTGCTTCAACCGGTCTGGGAAGCCATATGCTTCCGAAAACTTGCTAAGATTCGAGTTTTCCACAAGCCTCTCTCGCCAGGAGCAAAGTTCCGGAACGTCGACTTGGGGAAAGCGGTTGTACAGTGCACGAGAGGCTATCAACTCGATATAAGCATCGCCAAGCAATTCGAGGCGCTCGTAGTCTAGCTCGAGGGATATGTTATTACTCTGCTTTGGATCGTCTGGGTTGACATGAGCTGTGCGATGGGTGAAGACGGCTTCGTGGAGGTGAGGTTCAGCGATAGGTGGCAGAGGAGGGAGGTCTTTCGCTGCTTGGACCTTGCGCTCAATGTATTCGGGTATGTAGACACTGGCAGCGTTGTCAGGGCGTTTCTCATCGAGTTCACGCATGATCTGAGATTTTGCGTCGGTACGTGTGCATAGAAGGCGGCGCAGCTCTCGGGCATGGTGAAGTATGTCTTTATTTGCGTTTGGTGTAGTCTCGTTTGCTACAAATCTGTCGAGCAAGGCTACAAGGCCCGACTCCATGTCCCTTGCCGAGAGCGTAAGCTTGGGTGGAGGAGCAATGCTGCGCTGTACAGGCTTGTCCGGTCCACGATCATTTGGTAAGTCGCCGTAAGCTGCAGAGCTATAGACTGGCTGCCCGCTTCTCTGTTTCTTGTTGATATGCGAATTACGATCACCGTAATGAGGGAAAGCGCCTCCTCGCTTGGGTGGCGGCATGATTGCTATGTAGAAATATGAGTAGAGACAGTCAGCGAATATTGGGCAGTGGTGTTTCCTAGGCTGCGATATGGGAGCTCGAAAAAGTCCCTAATGACGATAGGTCCGGGCTCTAGCGCGCCAAGAGCGAAATCGACATCAATGGATTGGAGATGCCATTTCACTCGGCGACAGCAGGCCATCACCATCCATTGCACTCACGATGGCGGTCCCACGACAGCGGATATTGGACCTCATGAGGGTATGTCCGTTGGAGAAAGCCCCAATTGCACGCTCACTAATAACACTAGGTTCAATGCCGCGTCTTCAATACCACTTACAACCCCGAGCGCCTCCGTATCGGCTCGCGCATTTTACACCAGCGCCTCAAAGGTCCCTCGGTCGCATCGTACTACCCACCCCGAATAGGCACAATCAGCCAACTGCGAAGTCTCTACCCTGAGCAACAAATCATAGACGAAGAGGAGGAAGATTGGCTCGAGCATATGAACGTTGCCAAGTCAAGAGGAAAGAGCGCACCTAAGAAGAAGAGAACGGCCGCGGGTGAGTGCAAAAGTCGCAGGATAAGAAGCGAAGGTACTAACATATGGCAGAATCGAAGAAGTTCAACAAGAAGAGATAGGCGGGCGCAATACGACCAGGCGACTCGCGCTATCACGGGACATTGTATATCTACTGTACGTGAAGCATTTGACGGCGTTATGTTATATTTGCATGGCCGGTATGTTGTGTGTATGGGTATCAGAGGGTATATAGCAAGCCATCCATCACCATCTATCACCCTCTACATCTTACTCTTTACCTGTTTTTCTGTCTTGTCTTTCCACTCCTTGTCGAACTCGTCGTCCCAGGATATTCTTGCGCTCAAATGCTCTGGTAATGTAGGCACGTTCACCTTGTGATGCTCCACCGTACAATATGTCGTCTTCCCATCAAGGCTGGTCATATCGCCTCGGATCATGGCCATCTGTTTTCCCACGCTCACCACTTTACTGTTGAGTCGGACTTTGATGCCGATTGGGACCGCTTTGAGATAGGAGATATTGAGTGAGCGTGTCACACCTGCCATGAACTCCCAGAAGCCTGGCCGCGCAATGGGACACAGAGCTGTCGTTGTCGACATGTCGAAAATGACACCCGCGGCACCACCATGCATGACATCTGCAAAGCTTAGCTGGCAGTGAGTGCGAATAGATCTCAATCATACTGTTCAAGTTGGAGAAGTTTGGTGCCATGTACAGCTCGTAGGTAACAGACCCGTCAAGGCCCGCATCTATAATCTTGAAATTCTCCATAACCTCACGGTCGAAGTCCTAGTGGGCTTTAGTCATAGGGAATGGAGTTGGCCTGTGGATTTACTTACGATGTGATCCTTGGGTCTTCGAGCTGCGAGTAGCGTGTACCTGTCGAACATGGCCTGTACAGCCGCTATGGCCTTCTTTCGGTCTGCTTCCGGGTCGCCCATGATGGGAGGAAACTTCTTACGTGAAAAGAAACCTCAGCTCCAGCACCTCTAGTGGCCAGTAGATTATCAAAATGAAGTAGCACTTCTTTCATGAACATCGAGGCGGCATTACTATTGCCAGGGCTGTAGTTGGCGGGGAGAGAAGCTTATAATTGCCTCGGCTTCGCCACTACATGCAGCAGCAGCACCTCGACATGGGAAGACCAACGCGTCGCGTGCTCAGTTCTGAATGAAACCACAATTGAAGCCCTCAAATTACACGAAATACTAACTTATGTTTCTCGAACCATAGTTACATAACTGCCCTAACAGCCTCAGAATGGACCTCATTGTTTCATCGTCGTCCGCGCTCTCCTGACAAGCCGCCGCTCCGCCACGGCCCTGCTCCACCTTTGGGCTGTTTCACGACCAGCCAAACGGCCATACTTCGTCATGACCCGACGCACAGCTCGCACGCCACCAATGAATGTCTTGCGCACCCCTTTCTATTTCTATTTCTAGGCTGTAGATGGAGTTGAGAGTCCGAGCTGAACCATATCTTCCCCTCTATCCGATCGCTTTGTTCCATTTAACCTGACGGCTAGCCGTCCAGCTGTCCACATCGACTTTGGCTCTTCACAGCCATCTGTGACCTCCGAACACTATTGCACAATGGGCTTGGAAGCACCGCCAGTGTCTGCGACACTGCGGAAAAGAGTCTTGAAGGTGCTTTTCATATCACTACTTCTCGACCTAGTACGTCGTCATCCCTTCTGTATCACTTACCTTCAACTCTGACCGTATGCCAGATATCCTTTACATTCATCCTCCCACTTTTCCCCAAACTCATCGAATTCTACCGCAACCACGAAACAGGGCAACCGAACACGATACTGTCCAAGATCCTCGCCGGCCTGAATGCGTACAAGAACTCGTTTGCGAAGCCCATCAACTCACGCTACGACATTGTCTTACTGGGTGGCGCACTCGGCTCCCTCTTCTCCCTCTGCCAGGCAATTGCGTCGCCCTTCATCGGCACCCTTTCTGACAAGCATGGCAGGCGCACGGCGCTTCTGTGGTCAATGGCGGGAAACATTCTCAGCGTTGCGCTCTGGGTCGCAGCAACAGACTTCCGGACATTCCTCGCAAGTCGAGTTGTTGGTGGGCTGAGTGAGGGCAATGTGCAGCTCGCAATGGCGATAGCAACGGACATTAGCGATGAAAGCCAGAGAGGCGCAACAATGGCGCTTGTGGGCGTATGCTTCAGCATCGCATTCACGTTTGGACCAGCGTTGGGCGCATACCTTTCGACACTACAAGTCATGGACAAGAACCCCTTCGCAATGGCTGCTGGGTTTTCGCTATTTTTGGTTCTTACAGAGACCATCTATCTCTACTTCTGCCTCCCAGAAACTCTACCTACGGCTACTGCGAACCAGAACACAACTGCAAATGACAAGGCCAGCGGACACACCAACCCAACCAAAGAGCAGAAACCTCGCATACGAACCAATTCGCATACGCTGCTCAACGCCACGCACTTTACCTTTATCCTCTTCTTCAGCGGCATGGAGTTTTCGCTTCCCTTTATGACATATGATCTCTTCTCTTATCAAGCCAAAGATTCTGGTCGATTACTTGGTTTCATCGGGCTCGTCGCATCAATACTGCAGGGTTCTGTGGTTCGACGCATGCATCCTCTCAAAGTTGTTCAGCTCGGTGTAGCCAGCTGCACGATCGCGTTCCTCATACTGGGTAGAGTAGAGACGCAGGGTGCACTATACGGAGCTGCCGCACTCCTGGCTGTGACAAGTGCCACTGTCGTCACCGGTCTAAACAGTCTCTCTTCATTCGAAGCCAGCGCTGACGAACGGGGGAATAAGTTAGGGAACCATAGAAGCTTCGGTGAGTTCTTATCTGTATCGCCCCTACGCAACGTACTAACAATTCAACAGGCCAGATCGGTCGATCCCTCGGGCCCCTTATCTTTTGCACACTCTACTGGTGGGCAGGTCGTGAGACAGCATATGCAGCAGGTGCCGCAGGCATGGTCGGAGTATGTGCGTTGGCGTTTGGAGGACTGAAAGTCCCACCTGGAACGGAGAATGTCGGTAGGAAAGAGAAGAAAACAGCCAAGTAGGATAGTGATCGCTTCTGGATGTCCGATGGAGGCAACAATCTTTTCTGTCCGACACAAGCAACAGTACACTGTTACAAGGTTAGAGCTCAGGTCTCAGCAGCAGGGCATAATCTGTCTAGTACGGCACCTGTGTACTGAAATATAGATACACATACCCAATCGCATGAGAGTGGATCTGTTCCTTCGACCCTGCATCGCACATTAATCCGCAAATGGCAGTTCACGCTGTGGTGTTGCCCCCTTCCACAGCGTCAGGATGTTCATATACAATCTTTCATATCCAAACGCGCTAGGGCCAAGAGTACATCGGAATTCGTTCAGGCTCCTCAGACGGCGTTTCCACGTAAGAAGGCTTTGCCCAATTGCTTTTGAAAGGGGTCGGGAAGCGGTAAACAGGTACGGGTGATCGACAAGGCGCCCCACCCCCGCCTTTGCCGCGTCAAGCTACCACTCTGCTTACTCGAACCTCGGCATCTCTTGGAGCGAACGGGCTGCTACTCATTACGCCCGCCAGCCATCCGCTGTTTGTTATCTACTCGTATTATCTAGACCCTCCCATAAATACCCACAACCCCAATTGCTACAGCATCTCAGCTCCAGGTAAGCACTGAAGCAATATGAGTGCATCCGCTGCTGCCGCTTCGGTAGTAGCCATCTCCGGTCTGGCGGCATATCTGAACGGGAAATACCAGATAAGACAAGACTTGGGGGTGCTGAGATTTAAGGGCGATGCGGAGAAATATTATGCTCATCTTGGTAAGTTACTACCGAGTCCAAAATCCCTTGCTCTACTTTAAGACCCGTCCCATCTAACGTTGGTGTCAAATAGTAAACACCAAACGCCAATCCATCTGGTACCCATTCACTCTACACGTGCCAAAGTATAGCAACAACCTCTGTATCTGGTCTCGGGAGAAAACTTACACTTGGCAACAAGTCCACGATAAGGCAGTCCAGTGGGCTCAATTCTTCCTTGCCAATGGCATCAAGCCCGGAGACCTGGTGGCCACCTACCTCACAAACAGCGCGGACTTCATGGTCATCTGGTTAGGCCTTTTCTGCATAGGCTGCGCTCCAGCTCATTTGAACTACAATCTCAAGGCCGATAGCCTGGTTCATTGTTTAAAAGTGGCGGGTGCCAAGATGGTGCTTGTGGACTCGGAGCCCGATTGTGCAGCGCGCTTCGAGGCCTGTAGAGGGCAGGTGGAGAACGAGCTTAGAGTCAAACCGTTCACCATTGATGATGGGCTTCTGGAGAAGGTGTACGCCGGACCAGTTATTGTACCTGGCGACGAATATCGAGAACACGTTGCTGGCTCGGATCCAGTTTGCTTACTATACACGTCCGGAACGACTGGACTTCCGAAAGCGGCCAAATTCATGGTGAACAGATACCATCAGCGAGGAAATCCGGAGAAACTCGCCTTCGATCAGAAACCAGGGCCCAACGGCGATCGGTGGTATACTTGTATGCCTTTGTTTCATGGTACAGGGGGCATGTCGAGTATGGCTGCGCTTACGAGTGGTATGAGTATAGCCATCGGACGCAAGTTCTCTGTCAGTACGTTTTGGGACGACATCCACGATTCGCAAGCGACTATGTTTGTATACGTGGGCGAAGCGGCGAGATACTTGCTCATGGCACCTCCACATCCACGAGAACGGGACCATCGGTTACGCGGCATGTATGGCAACGGACTGCGACCCGATGTTTGGAACCGGTTCAAGGAGCGCTTCAACGTGCCTGAAGTCATCGAGTTCTTCAACTCTACCGAAGGTGTGCTGAGCATGGCAATACACTCAAAGGGAGACTTTACAGCGACCTCTATTGGCCAGCATGGTGCTCTCATCAGGCGAGCGCTCTATGATGTTTATGTGCCTGTGCCTGTTGACGTAGAAACCGGCGAGCTCGTCCGCGACCCTGAAACAGGTTTCGTAAAGCGAAACTCGTACAACGAAGGCGGAGAAATCTTGGTTGCTGTCCCGAGCGAGGAAGCTTTCGCAGGTTATCACAACAATCCCAAAGCAACAGCGCAGAAGTTCGAAAGAAATGTTTTCAAGCACGGCGACTTGTATTATAGATCAGGCGATTCACTTCGTAGAGATGATGATGGGCGCTGGTTCTTCCTCGACAGACTAGGCGATACATTCCGCTGGAAATCCGAAAATGTCTCCACCGCTGAAGTCGCTGAAGTTCTCGGAAAGTACCCCGGCGTAGGGGAAGCCATTGTCTATGGAACGCTCGTACCCGGCCACGACGGTCGCGCTGGTTGCGTTGCGCTGCGCCTCACTGAAAATACCAACTCTGAGTCGTTTGACTGGAAGGCATTCCTTGAGTATACACGCAGTAAGCTGCCAAAGTATGCGGTGCCAGTATTTCTGAGGCTCGTGAGGGAAGGGAGCACTACAGACAATCAGAAGCAGAACAAAGGGCCTCTGCGGGCAGAGGGTATTGAGATTGACAAATATGGAAGTAAGGTTGTAGGAGGAACAGATGATGTAGTTTTGTGGACGAAGCCGGGCGCGGATGCATATGTGAGGTTCACAATGGATGACCTGGCGTTGCTAAGAGGTGGGAAGACGTTGCTATAAACTGTCAGTATAGGTTACACGCAAGAATTAGATGGCGAACCTCGATAGATCTCTGAGAAACAACGTTCATTTGGTAGAACTCTTTCCACGCTCCATGACCTCTTCGATGAACCGCACAATTCCATCCATTCCCCTTGGTTCATTCAGCCAATGGCCCCCATTCTCAAAGCTCTCCCACTTCACTTGCATACCCATGCTCCTCAACCTTTCCACAAGATCCTCGCCATTCTGAACAGGCACGACTCCATCATCCCGACAGTGCTGTAGCAAAACCGGCATTGCAAGAACATCAATCGATCTCCCCGGTACCCGCATAATTTGTTCCATCTCTTCCGCCAAAGGCAGCCATCCACAAAGTCCAAAGAACCCACCCACCCGGGCGTCACTTGTGAGCAGAGAAAAGATAGCCGTAGCACAGCCCTGGCTTATGCCAGCAAGAATCACATTCTCTGAGCCCCGAACAAGCTCCTTTTCCGCTCTCAGCACCTCCAGCACCTGACTCACACTCTCCCACAACCCCATTTTTTGCTCTACGACTTCTTCCTGTGGTCTCTGAACGGAAGACATGTCAAACCACTGATGCATTTCTTCTTCCTCTGTCTTGGCCCATCTCTTCTTTGCGCAGGGAAATACCCATTTGACCGACGGGAACATGTCCGTGAAGAAGCGATTTGAGCTATCTTGGCTTTCAAAGATTTCGTTGCAGAAGGTGGTTGCGTCGCTACCGCGGCCGTGTAAAAAGATTATTGTATAGGTGTGAGGCGCTGTTGGCGGGATGATGTGGAGCGCGGGGTTGAGGGACATATTGTTTAGTTTGTTCTGTGATGGGGAAGAAGAGTTTTGGTTGAGAACTGTAGTGAATTGGTGATGTTTAGTGTACTGCGTGAAGTTTGTGTCAAGTACGGGCTCTGCTTCCTGGATGTGCTTGGCGGGCTGTGACTGCCTCCCGTACCGTTCCGGGCCTTTGTTCACGATATCGCCTTGCTTGGTCGCAGAAGAACATCGAAGCGAAAGTAGTGCGTTTGTAAAGACACAACTGGAATGAGAACAACCCTTGTCAAGAATTGAACGCTAGCACTTTTCTCGCAGACAATTTTACCAGTTAGAATCTTCGCTTACACTGTACTGAATTTATGACGGTATTGCAACTTCGCTTTTTATACACTTTCCGCTGCTTAGAAAATGGCACCCTTTAATTGGTTGCCTTTGGCCCAGCAACTAGTGCTTGAATTGCTCCACAATGCCGCCATTGGCAGCCCTGGGCGTTATCTTCATGCCAAAGTGTTATCATTTCTTTCCACTATCGTCAATGTGGTTACACGCGCGCAAGCAACATGTCAGGCCTGGAAAAGCGACTCGTTCGTAAACTTGGTATGTGATATTCTGCGCCCTACTCGAATGTAGTCGATCAACTAACGGGTTATGAGACTTCTTCATCCTGGTTTGTACTCATGCTGACAGAATTTGTTTTGGGAGTTGACATGATGTTAGTTGTATTGCTGCGCGGCGTACTTTTTCAATTATCTTGGTGAGTTTTATCCGATCCTTCTATCTTTCTCCCCATAAGCTCATCAACACTAGATCGCTCTGCTTTCGCAAATGCTTATGTACGCCGCAATCTTCCATGCATGGAACCATGAGACATTAATGCTCAGTGGATAGGTTTCTGGGCTAAAAGAGTCCCTTAACCTCGAGGGCAATCAATACAGCGTTCTTCTTTCAATGTTCACCGCAGGGTGGGATCCCCAAAACTTATGTTATACTTCCGAATGCAATCTGACTCTTCGTAGAAGCTGTGTTGGTCAGATACCTCATGCACTAATTATCCAGAAGGTCGCCCCTGGCTTCTGGCTGCCTTTTACACTATTGATATGGTCTGGTTTGACCATGTGCTCTGCGGCTTGCAAGACCTATGCTCAGCTATGCGTTGTCCGATTCTTCCAGGGCTTCTTCGAATCGAGTCTATATAGTGGCACAATCTACGTTCTTGGTTCATGGTAGTACGTTATTCCGACCGTCGAGTAGACGTCATTTAATAGCAGTGTAGCAAGCCCCTTGAGATAGCGAAGCGGACGGCCATCTTTACCGCTATCGGTCAAATCGGCAGTATGTTTGCTGGAGTCATGATGACAGCAATGAATGAGAGTTTGAACGGGCAGACCTCATTACGAGGTTGGCAGTGGGTTTTCATTATCAGTATGGTACTTGCGCTCTTCTTTCACAATTTGATGCTGATAAGTTCAAGACGGAGCCATGGGCATTCCATTTGGAATCTTCGGCCTCATGTTCTTCCCTAATCTCCCCGAATCGACCAAAGCGTCCTACCTCAGTAAAGAAGAGATTCAGCTAGCACTCGATCGTCTGCCGCAGAAGAAGGACTGGGGTCACACCATTGGTCTTTTATCGCTTGCTAAGCGCCTCTTCGCAGCACCGGAACTGTACATACTTACCGCTTACTCCATGATTGGTTGCGCGCTAGAGGCGATTGTACTGCAAGGACTCTTCCTTCTCTGGATGAAGGTCCATATCACACAGTTTCCATCTTATGCCACGACAACTTACCCGTTAGGTATTCAAGCTGTCTCAATTGTATCAAACATCGGCGCCGGCTACATTATCGATTTGACTAATCGGCGCATACCAATGGTCATTCTCGCCGGAGTTCTCCAGGTTCTTGGTGCCATTCTTCTGCTGCTTCCAAATTTGTCGACTGCCGGGACCTTCTTTGCGTTCTATCTATCCGGCACATCGTATATCGTAAACCCCATTTTGTACGGCTGGGCAAACGTCATCTGCCAGCGGGGTGGCGATGATGCTGCACGATCACTTATCCTCTATATTATGAGCCTGGTGCAATCAGTGCTCTACACTTTCTGGGGTATTGCACTGTATCCCGCAACCGATGCGCCGTACTGGAAGAAAGGCTACATCACAATGATTGTGGTTGTTGTTGCGTTCTTTGGGGCGACAGCTGCAGTGCAATGGGTGAGTGTATACCTCTTTAACTGTGAGTATGACGAATGTAACGCTGACTCGGCTTCTAGCTGGATCGAAGGTCGCAACGGGTTAACATTGAGGCGGAGGAACGTGTCTCGAACGTGGACGAGAGGCCACAGGGTTGTTACGAAAAAGACTGACCGTAACGCAGCTAGGGCAGCTAGGAAGTGTAGAAGACAGCGATAGCTGATAAGAATAGAACGTGATGTCGCTCATCAAGATAGGTCGACATTTGTTGCCTCCTCTATTCTTCTACCTCATCGGTTGATGATGAAAAGCTCCGTATCGAGACCTAACATTGCGTTAGGCTGGGATGTGCGACTTCGCGATAACTGTATTGTGCTTTGGATGCAGAAGATAGGATTGAGACAAGCAACTGCAGCAGTTCAGCGTAAAGAAAGTAATGGATGATCTGGGTCGTTGCGAACTTGTCGAGGCAAGGTCTTGGGAGGTAAACATGAGATTGTCTAATGTTCTCAGGTTCTCTCTTATAAGGTCCCAGGTTTCTAATGTGCACGTCAGCACGACCTGACGGGCAGCGGAGCGGGAACTAAAATGGGCGTGGTACGCGCAGCGGGACAAGGATGCAGCGCGACACATCGTCACCACTCCTCCCCCTAAACGTGGAGACTTCCTCCTAGCATAATAACAGGCATACATGCTTTATTTTTACGGGTTGTGGAGCTTGGCGACGGGTTGCCTGGCGTGCAGTGCTGGGTGGCCTAAGCTATATAGCACTGTTGTGTGTGGGGCTGAGCAGATTGCGCTACAAAGGATGAACGCCGACAAACATGGAATGTCATTGGTAGGCTCGTACCACACAGTCACGATTTAGGGCCCGTGTTTGATCTCAAGATCTACAGTAGCGTTGTGCTGAACGCACTGACAACACACCTGTCTCCTCGTCGCAACCCCCGCCGTCGCCCTGTAAACGCGCCGAGATGCTGAGTCTCTTCTGAAAAGTATAATATGCCTGCATACCGGCGCCAGAGAACTCTGCTGACGACGCGAGCCTATCAGCGGTGGGACAGGACACACTGAGTTCCATCGCTAACTGGAGAAAACGTTGTCACCTGGCGTCTCATGGCCTATATATGGCAGTACATGTTGATCATGTAAGCTTGTAGACAAGACGGCCTGAATCGCGGCATCTTGCACCGCCCCGGATCAACCCCTGTCCGTGTCAACTTGAACGAACCGACCAATCATAGCCGATGTCGTACAGTGACTAGATCATTAAGCTTTGGGTATAAAGACATGAATTGCTCGTCTCGCAACAGAAGTCAGACACCATCTCAACTCGCACCTTGCTCTCGAGCTCAATCCCCAGGTGTTGCCGTTCAAGATAGCTTCCTCGCCCTTTCATTCAACTCCTCCGACCATCTCATCTCGCATAAATATTCGCCTTCTGCACAGCATCAAATATGATGGACACACTCTTCCATCTAGCCATAAGAGCACTCGACCAAAATGGCATCGACCCTGACAACATTGATGTCAACTCCACCGACCCTCTCAAGATCGCCATGTCAAAAAAGTATTGTAAGGTCGGCAAGTGCCCCAAAGCATGGCAGAGCATCCAGTACCGACCCACTATTGCCGGAAATGTCATCTACGCGCTCTGTCTCTTTGCACTGCTTGGCGGGCAGATGTGGTTAGGTATTCGTAAGAAGACATGGACATATATGGGCACTATGTGTGCCGGCATCCTTGGAGAGATCATTGGTTACATTGGTCGCATCATGTTGAACCAGAACCCTTTTCTTATGGATAACTTTCTTGTGTAAGTGCTTGGCGAGGCACCATATCCTGAATGGCAACTAACATCTCTCTAGTAACCTCGTCCCGCTCACAATCTCTCCTGCACTACTCACGGCAGGCATCTACCTCTGCGTCGGTCGCGCCATCGTCGCCATCGGTAGTGAAAACTCCCGCCTCAAGCCTAAGATGTACACTTATGTCTTCGTCGGCTGCGACTTGCTCGCTCTCGTCCTTCAATCCATTGGTGGTGGCATGGCTGCCACAGCAAGGGATGCTAAGGGCTCAAGGCGCGGTGTCAACATTATGATCGCTGGTCTGGTCTCTCAGGTCATCACCATGATTCTGTTTTTGGCCGTCTGGGGTGACTTCGTCCTGCGCACTCGCCGCGCTAAGTTCAGTGGATCGTTGTCGCGCTCCCAACCACCGCTATACGACAATCTGCGATCCACTAAGAACTTTACTTTGTTCCAGTGGAGTAAGTCTATCCGCCATCGGTCCCACAGAATATGTAACTAATAGTCAAAAGGTCTCTTCGCGGCCACACTCCTCATTTTTGTCCGCTGCGTTTACCGTGTTGCCGAGCTTTGGAACGGCTTCAATAGCCACCTCGCCAATGACGAAGTCACCTTCATGATTTTCGAAGGCCCCTTGATCATTCTTGCTGTATCCGCAATGACAGTCTTTCATCCTGGCCGTATCTTCGGGGATCTCTGGGTTCCTGCTGGCAAAGGTGTCAGGTCCATGAACAAGCCTACCGAGGACTCGGTCCACCTTACTGAGGCTGAATGGAATGACACAGCTTACCAGCGGGTTTAGTAGCCTGCCAATCTTGTTTAGACAATCTATAGTAAAATTGTCATTGTTAGAAATCATTAGGTTGCTAGGCGTAGACTTTAGGCGCAGCATGCAGGAAGAGGCGTTGAAGCGACACGTAAGGGCCTGGAGTATCACGCCTGTTACGATAATGTGGCATAACATCTATATTTACGGCGTTCTGGTGGAAAATTTCCAACTTTGGGTGGCCCACGGCCAAACCCTACTATAACCCTACATAGAGTCTGAAAAGAATCAAGCGATACGACACAAATTACCTGCAGGCTCCAGTAAGCATGTTTACTACGTGTGGTAATAAATTACGCCTGGCGAAGCATAATGATGAGCTGCATGTTTATATGTCTACGTAACCAGATCATTAACACTACGACACAATGTTTCATATGGCTCAGCAAATTGAAGTATCAAGTACTATCAATACGCAAAAGATATAAAATAGATTAACGAGTCAGATTATCGACTAGGATTATAGTCAGAAGAGATTTTTAAGGCAACTAATTTGTAACTATATCCCTCAACGGAACGCAGCAATAACCTAAATAGCCAAGACAAAATACAATATATCGATATCGTATACATGATTAAAACTCTTTTACCTCCACAATCCGCCAAGAGAGCCCTTAGATAAACGAGTTCAGTCACGGAATCCATATACATTAAATATACCCGCATTTATATCAGGAAAGAGAAGTAGAAGTTAAGCTAGACGTTTACACTCAAAGCGGCTTCATTACCACACTCAAGCGAGGTCAACGACATAATGTGAGCTCGGAGACCGCACTGATCCGCATAAATATGTGTGGGAAACAATCAAAAACAAAGCGTACATTAATGCTATATAATCGTAAATCATACAAGTTCAGCCTTCCATACATAACTCAGCACGTTTCCAACAACACCGAATACAACCGAACCACTACATTTCCATCTCCCTCCACTATCGCAGATCGCTAATGTTCCATGTCACCGAACACTTTCAGATCCGTTGTTTTCCCTCCTAGCTACCACTTGCTACTCACCCCTCTGCAGCCTCTCGACTCTCTCATCAGGACTCTCAACATACTCGTTCTGTCCCTTTTTACCCATCACAAAGGTCGCAACACCTAAGCCAAACATCAACACGCTCGCCACGAAAAGCGGTGCTACCAAGTGCCGTCCGGTCTGTGTCTGGCCACACGCGCCCTGAAGAGCCCACCAAGGTGAGTTTTGAAAGTATGTTCCGATATTGCAAGCTGCCTGCTCCCGTGTGCAGGTGAATGTGGTCTTTGGGTTGTATCCATCCTCCCAGAAGCAGTTACCATTGTTGTTGTTGAAGAATATAACAGTGGTGAAGATGAGTGCGATGAAGGTAATGATAAAGGTCAAGGCTCCTGGGAGGATGCGGAGGGAGAGGATGAGCTTTTGGGAGGTGGCTTTAGACTTCTATGGTGCGCCTGTTAGAGGACTATCCTCCAGATCGTGTTAGAGGGATTAGAGAACAAAAGCTCACCTCTTGAGTAAGGAAAATGGCCACCGCGCCACCCATTCCAACCAGCCCGGCCAAGCAACTCACAACGCCTGCCGCAAGAATCATGCCTTCGTTTGCGGAGTCATATTGAAGAAGAACCGTGTGCTTTGAATCCATATCCCAGCTTGGGCCCCGATACCATGTATATCTGCCTGGTGGATATGCGTTGTCCATCAGCTGCATGCCATGGCCCGTAAGATAGAAGATAGCAGTGGAGAGGGCGATTAGCGTAAGAGATAAGGTCAACGCAACGCTGTTGAGGATGGTAGGGAGGCGGATAGTAGGAAGGCGTGGCATGGTGAACGGCAATTTGTGGTAGTTGTCGCTTGAGTGGAATGTAAAGAGTTGTGGTGGGTGGTTGAAGTCGGCTTGTACCGAAAGTGAAATTCTGTGAGAGAAGTATGGGAGCAACTATATAGTACGCATCACAGTAGCGTCGTGGCAGGCCAAAGGTCGACGCTTTGCCAAGTCCACAGGATGCGCTGCGCCCCCTCGTCCTGTAAACCCCCACCACACTTCTGAGCTCTGGAACCGCGGTAAAGCGCCGGGTGGGTTTCTGGGATAGCCTTTGTTGCACGAGGCAGATTCAAGGCTCAAACTCGAGATTTTGGAACGTGTGTTCACAGGGCCAGTCGACATCGAATTTCATCTCCAAGATTAACACCAAATCTATCAATGCTCCCAATCATCGCAAACATGATGTCGCCTACTTTGTGCAATCTCTACTCACAAATAATTTACTCAGGGAAAGAATTATTTGTCGAAGGAAGAAGCAATAGCAGCCATGACACAGGTCACACCAAGTCAATCATGTTGTTCGCTTAAAGGGCCGTTTTAGGTATCTTGTTGTGACGTTGGCGAAGCAACAGCGCGGACCGGAGTTCCTTAGCGCGGACTGGAGTACAACGCTGTGTCCTGAAACGAAGTTGTGGTCCAATTGTGTCACGCCGGTTGCGCTGGCGATAATGTGAATTTCCAATGAGGATTCCGCCTCATAGCCATCCTTTTAATTGAAAAACGTCACTCAGCTGCCTAACTCTTTTTACATCAATGGGTCGCAACTAGTATACCTCGATTTTATGCAGGTTAGCTTTGGTAATGCGATAGGTAAACTTTTTTCACCTACTTCACTGCACGCATGTGCCAGTGGTCATGTCAAGAATGTGAGAAACAGAGACTGAAAGCGCGCATACGCTTCAGTATTACCTGTTGGGCTATCATCAATCTGTGGAGGCAACTTGAGGGCGAAGATTTTCGGTTGTCAGAGAATATCTTCGAAGCCTTACGCCTTGCGCCTTACGCCAAACTGACAAGTGTTGTGGGTCCTGATGCCTTGACACGAGAGTGAGGTTATTCCGGCGTTCAAAATTCTTGGCCTAGCCGTTTTGCAGGAAATGTGGCCGTGTTAGATGCACTGTCTGAACAAGTAATGAGCACATTTACGCGTGTCAAATTGCTTATGGATACATTGAGGCTACAAGCAGGGGACACGGCTAGATTTGATCCACCATAGTACACAATAAACAGAAAAAAAGGTTGATCACGATAATAGAACAACACACTTGTATGATGAAGCTAAAGGATACTAGTAACACACCTAACTGAACTTACTCAAGCCGTATTACTGGGAATAAAGTATTCTGAACGAGGAATAATGTGGAAGTCCGAGCGACCGCCAACACCTCAAAGAAACCGAGGAGACAAGTATGTAACGCTAAATACAAGATAAATGGGGGGTAGGATAAGAAAGAGGGTAATATAGTGGAGGAAGCTGATATGTATAATGACTGTAGCCGGTCGGTCGGCCACACTGGTCTGGATAATCTTCGCGAGCGTCAAATCCGCAGTCTTATTATCGGTCGAATGCCGAATGTATAGTTGCAAATCTTGAAGCTGGATGCGTGCGACTTGCTCAACCCAGGCACAACAAATTTGATCCCAGTGCCGTCGTGCTGCTGCTAGGATTCAGCATTTCATCCCACCAACCGTTGCGCCTCTGGCAAGCGGAGTCCTGATTAGCAAGCCATATTCTCATCCCAGAAATTCGGTTTAGTACAGCTGGGAGGGTATTCTTGTCGCCTTCGCGAATGGGGTCGACACGTTGGTAGAGGCAGTCGCGCTTATCTGAACTAGTAGTCACGGCGGCGATGAAGAGCGGCCAGACGGGGTAGATGGCGGTGTAGAGGGCACCTTTAACTGGTAAGGATAGGAGGACGATGTGGAGAGCTTCAGAGAGCTCGAGGATCGAGGGATGGAAGCGTGTAAAACTGAAAAGTTTTTGAGTGAGAGTTCAGTACTAAGTATCATATTGGACTTACCCAAAGAGTCGGCAGCGTAGGTAGATGAGAGCTGCAAGACGGAAAGCTTCAGCCGTGGCGAGGAGAACTTCTTGCTCAGGACCTTGCAGCTCAACTGTCCACTGCCTCAAGTGTTGAAGCTGTGTCTCGCAACTTTGCCCATGAATGATTTTGTTGGGACCGTTGTCTATCGCCAGAGATGTAATGGACGAAATCAAAGACAAGAGTTGAGGCGAAAGGCCAATAGAACCGCAGACTTTCTGCGCTTCAGCTGGCGGCGTATCCTCGTACCAGTTCTTGGTATCGGGCGAATGTATTTGGGTATTTTGTAGCTTGTATGCCGTTTGTGCCGTACGAGCGAGGATTAACTGAGTATGGATGAACAGAGCTGGGTCAGAATGGTGATCGATGGAGTCAGACGGTATGGTGTCGAAGATGTTGGCGTGGCATGACCAGCACAAGGGTGAATCATCTTGATTTATCGCACCGTGATGCATCAGTAGCATGCTAGTCGCAAGTGCACCATCGTAATCCTCTCCACTACTGATTTGCGTCGCCAGAGCTTTGAGTGCTTGGGTGGAGTAGTACAGTTCCGCTCGGTGATAGGCCTCTTTTTGTTCAGAGCGGTACTCGCAGATGTACGATGCTGCAAGGCTTAGAAGCGCGCATTTTGTGCTCAAACAGGTATTTGCTATATGTAACATCGAGATATAAGTATTTGACTGCGTCGCAACTGTGCGACCCGGACAAATACCGTTGATGTAGAAGTCGGTGAGGGTCTGCTCCATATCGCTTTCGCACGTTGTGCTCGACGGAACATACTTGATAAGGCTCACGAAGCTAGACTCCTGCGATGAGCTGCTGTCGAACGAGTGACCTGATTGAGGGGTGGAGGGCGTGCTCGAGCTCGATCGTAGGGCGTCCATCTCTGCCATCGGCAAGTCTAATAGCTGAGTTAACATTCTGTACTAGTTCGTGGTTGCAGAGGCTTACCGTTCATGCCTGTGAGATCGGACAGCTCGTATAAGAAATCCTGACACGCATCTGCCTTTAACCTTTGAATGTGTCGAATCCTTTGAATCACCAGCGTGGCTGCACCAGTATCCTGGATAAGTGAAAGGTATGGCTGTTGTTGTCGAAGAGCTGATTTGAGCTTCTCAAACTGCTTGCTGTTAAGCTCGCCTAACCGCCAGTAGAGCTGTCCAAGAACCTCCAATAACACCACGCCTGGTCCTTCTGTGATCATCCATTGTCGTATCACCAGTAGGTTCCTCCTACTGTTCCTCTGGTTACTCTCGGTCGGTAGGTCTACCACACGACCGAGCAATCTGTCGATGTGTGTGCAGTCTATACATCCAGAGTCAGGTGACATGGATAGGTGCTGGAGAGCATCGTTGGCTGCACCCAAAGCCTTCGTAAGTCTCCTATCTGTGTCCATTGTGGGATGCGAAAGGAGATTACGTGGTAGTTCTGGTACAAGGTGGTATCCGAATCTGTAGTGCAAGAAAACGAAGCTGAGCCAGAGTGGTCTTATTCTCCAAGTGGCTGAGAATTATCTGACTTGTATGGCAGATGATAGAGTCACTCGTTGGTGTATATTGTATTCTGTCTAGAAAGGACGTGGGGAAGGGCACCAGTAAGACCATTTGCAAGTTGCCCAAGAATAGAGAAGGCTGTGATTGAACGGAGGACACAATGAGACTCGTGTACTGTCGATGCAATTTCTGAAACGTTTGGGATCGCGCAGTATAAACAGGTGATGCTCCGCCGTGTTGGCCATCCTGCAGAGCTTACGCCGAAGGAATTGAGCCAGTTGCCGATTAGGTCCCCGAATTAATCCCCATGCCCATATTAGGCTTCCCCGCTTATGTAAAGAGGAAACGAGAAATCGGCTTCGGTTCTAAGATCGCTCATAGGATTGATGCTGGTGAAAGTCTGACAGGAGGCGGCGCATTGCAATTGGATCAAAGCCAGGGTAAGGCTGGAAGTCGGGGGCTATTCACTGCCAAAGTCAGCATTTCGCGTGTGCGCCAGCCCCAAACATGGTCTGGCGCCTACGAAGGCCGGTTAGTCGCAGTGGGTTAAACCAAAGGCCTGATCCATGGGCCGTCATAAGTATCAGAGACGGTGATATTTGGTGCTTCAATGAACCTTAGAGGCCGGATCGTGGAAGCCAGCACAATGTTACGGAGGAGCAATGGATCTTGACCTAAAAATAGCAAGGCGCTTCGCTACCAGATCGCCTACATACAGGGATCACCATCCTCATGCGGTCAAGACTCAGGGTCACCTCCTGACTCCGGCATCCACCCGGGGACCACCAACTCATGATCCGCTTTGATCGCCAGATTGCATGCTCTCGTCATTAAACGCCTGTGTATCGGGTCCGAGATCCGCTCAGTCCTTGATTTCTGTTGGTATTTTGATCGTCATTGTGGAGGTCATAGGCTCATTGCCAGTCTGCAGAGTGACATGAAGCCCTGCCCGGCACAACTCTTATCAGTTTAGGACTCTTGGTGGTCATGTTCATGAGCAACGCCGAAGTAGCCTCTTCGTGGCCACATAACGCCCCCTTTCGTTACTCCTCAACTAAAGCTCAACAGCCAGGGTGTATTTACCTCTACGGTGATCTCAGACAGCAGGAATGGTGAAGAGTCGCTCTTTCCCCCAGTCACTACGTCTCGATGCACTCCTCTCACTAATTTCGACTACATTCTTCACAATCTCGACGACAACCCAACCTCGCCGAACAACTTGAGATGGCACAGGCGTTCGTGTCTCTGCAAGCTTCATACCACGAGTTCTGGTTGTCTCGGTTAATCGAATACAACTACTAGGGAAGAAGTGGCCATGGCGTATTTGTCTGGTTCCCCGTTTGCTGAAGTTACATTGGACGCTCCCCATGTCTAGGCTATTTCGGTTCTTCAACAACACCTGCACCACAACTTGTGCATATCTTCATAACTCAGTCACAATTAGAAAGCGATGCACTTAGCATGCCGAATTAACGCACATCTTTAAACAGCAGACTATGCGCATAAAATGCAGGCGATCCTGCATGAACGATTGTAAGCGCCTGTCCTATAATTGTTGCATTGCGGCGCTAGGCAGTCGCGATATGTCAAGATTATAGCCGACCTTCCCTCTTCCCTCGTTCAACGTCCTCTCTCTTTCTCTCTCCGAGCTGCATTTCAACTGCATCTCATTGGAATTATACAATGCTGCCATATACTTACCACCTTAGGATTGAGACGGGACGCATTGTGCTCAAGCTGACTCGCCGTCCTTTCTGACAACATGCCACATAGCTTTACCAACGCCACACACGGGCGCAAGGCAAATTCCGCGATTCCATGAAACAGAGATCCTTTCCCTGTCAAGCACAACTCTCTGACCCGCCTCCAGCGTTGAGGGTAACGCCTCGCTGACATGGTTGCTGATTGGCGGACACCACCAATGAAACTCATATTACCCGACGCTCGAGGCGTATAGTAGCATCGCGGTTGTTTGAAAATACCTTCAAGAAGAATATATGCTCAACTGACACCGTGGGTTGGTGCCACCAATGTATCCAACTACCCAGTACCTCGCTGTCGGTGTCGCACCTGGGACCTTTGCCTGCTCACTATTTCCGCAGTACTTCGCGAAAGCACATCTATCCACACGTATCTCTCTCCTCAGCCTCAAGTTGTCGCTTTGATCCCTTCTAGTTGGCTTTTACGGTTCCCGGCGTGTCAAAACGATCTACGCTCTGGTGTTCATCGTGCCCCAGCGCTCGATGCATTGTGACAGGGCGTAAGTTAGTGGCGTGGACTTTGCCTACATGAATATTCCGCTATGCCCATAGTGTTGCTACTCTTTTCTTCAGGCCAATAGAACACAGCCAAGGTAAAGCGGGACTTAGTCTATTCTTAGGTCGGCCGCCGGGGTGTGTTGGTACGGCTGGGGCCTGTACTACTAACTTCAAGTCCCTCGGGTTGAACTAATTCACCCAGTAACTTCATGGGGAAGCACACTGTAAAATACGGTCAGGGAATAGGATTGCGTAACGGTAAATCTTGGGAGCCCGTTATTGGTGAGTGGCTGGCATCAGTAGTGAGGGACACCAACTGCATCACATCCTTTCTTAAAAGTTTTGACCGCCTTTCACTAATATATGATTTCCCCACTGGCAAGCAACCAAGATGGGTCTCGTTCATAAGTTCCTTCGTTCCAAAACAGTTTCAGTCATCGATCATCTTTATATTTTCACTGCCTTTCTAAATACATGCTTCATTACTCGACACATGACTGGATCAGGAGTAGTGTTTTGTGGAAAACAAAGATGCAGAATCGAAGATCCTGAACCGGATTGCCTCATAGACTCTAGGTAGGACTTACGAGGGGGTATGACTAATATTTTTCAATTCGTACTGCACATGTATCGGGTTGGGCCCAAGGCTTCATCAAACTTTCCTATTATTTATGAGAATTACTACCTAATTCATAAACTAACCCAAGTTCGCAATATTCAATTTCTTAAGCACGCTATCAATCTTGAAAAAAGGGAATGCTTCAAGCCAGTAATGGCTCACTGGTGCTCGTACGCAGAGTAGCGTCAAGTCATCCATAGAGCAGTTACACAATGAGGGGTTTTACTGCAGCCATTTAAGATGTTGTAAAAGGCGTCACGCCATGTTTTTCGAATTCCCCAGCACAATCTTGTGTTTGACAAGGAAGCGGGCTCAGCGAGCCCGGCGGGCCAGGCGGATTTTGCGACCAACAGCGCCTACAAACCCAGGCCGTTGATAAACTTCTCTTAGTTAACAAGATTGTGGCGCTTGGGAAGTGCATACTCGGTGGTGTCGCGTTGTTTGGAAATTGGCGGTTACATTTCGGGTTTACGCATGTTTTGTTGGTGACCTGATTTATGTTGCCGCATCGCCGACCACTCCCAGGCAAAACTCGTAAACAGAGCATGTGTGTGATTGGTTTATCGACCAGGACAACACTACAGCGCAGGCATTTTAAGGGGTATCCTTCAGGACATCCCAGGAGCCGGAACTTGGGCCGTTTATAATCTTTTCTGACGCACTCGCTACATAACTGAAGATCGGTGTAAACAATTGCTTGTTCGGGATTGTTGTAGCACCGCCCGAGTGGCAGCAAAGCTGGATAATCAATGGAAGAGCAGTACTCTGTTGTCATTGGCATGTCAAGTCCATGGCGTCTGCAACGCCAATACTAAGCAATGAGTAAGCAGGTTGGGTTAACAACGTTTTAATACATCATACATTTTCTTTGTGATATTCCCTTTCAACTCGTGATCCATCGGCTTCGAAGTCTGGTTGTATCATTTGAAGAGGGATTCCTAGGCTTGTGTTAGACGGCAGGATGACCTGTTCTGGGGTTTCGGCCATATCGGCCATATTGATACGATTTTTGTGGAGGACGGAGTATTGAAGTGAATGTCGGATACTAATAGTAGAAGGAGAAGAAAAGAAGCTGTATATTTCTTATATACTTTGCTATGAGTCTTAAAAGATTACTGTTCGCGTGTTGATTCATCCCTTGATTGAGTCACATCTCTGGAACTTGGAATAACAGTCAGACAAACTTGCCGGTAAAAGAGTGTGCGGCGAGAGAAGTAGCGTTAAGATGCGCCTACGGCCCGTGTGTTTGTGCATTGATGGTGCTTAGACTTGTATACACGGTAACAATGACTAAAAAGATATTTGTATATGTGGAACTCCCATATGATTGATACTAATAACGGGGACGTGGCCATTATTTGTACTTGGAAGAAGAAGTATAGAACCCACAGTAAGGAGCGAGCACATTTTCGAACCTATCCCAAAGAATTTCCACGGGCAACAAAAATGTACAGCTCAAAGTAAATAGACCTGAGAAGATTTGTCAAGAACATTAGGTTGGGGAATATCTTCAGTGATCTCGCGATGAATAAAACCCGTACATCGATTATCGGTATCATTACAAATAATCTACCCACAGCCTTCTTCTCCCCGGCACCCTCATACACCTCCTCGAACTCCTCAAGCTCCCTATCAACCTCCACGCTCGTTTTCCGATTCCCCACCCCGCCCGCGCGCATCTATGAACCTAGGAACTCTGCCCACGATGAATCGATTCTCCCCAAGGTCTCGTTTCGAACGCACATAAACCCTTTTCTTTCCAGGTTCAACACAGTCAGCAGATTCCTGTTCGCCAGCAAAGGCCCCGTGGCAAACCGCAGCTCCTTTGAGATTTAACTTCTTGCACCTAGTACACCGAACTATCTTATCCCATTCAATACCGCAACCACATTTGTTGGAACCTACTACCATGATACCGGCAGTCTCAGAGCTCTTGCATCCTTTGTTTTCGTATCCTGGACAGTACAACATCTCCTTGTCGGTAATGGGTTTGGGATCTATAGGGGCATTGGCGGGCATGTTGACTGGAAGGTTCAAGGAGGATGTCGTTGTTTAGGTGGTTGGTATAGAAGATGAGGTGACTCGTTTTCGAATGTAATCGCTTGGGTGAGGTTGCTTGCTTGTTTGGTTTTCTGCGAGATTCTGATGTTGTAGCTTATTGAAAGGGTCAAGGTTGACCGATGGCGATAACGGGTTATACTTATGGATGAATCCTACGTTAATATAATCAGCATGCGCGACTCGATACCAGCTGACTCTCACTATGTCTTATACGTGGCTCATGGCGTAACACTGGCCACGAGTTGATCGAAGAGTATTGTTCATATCTCCCAGACCATGTCTCTTACTTTTGTACACGTACTCCTTATACTCTTACATGTCTCATAATACACTACTTTCTCATACAAAAACGGCTAATTGGTCATACGTATACTCACCAACCGATCCCTATTGCACCTCTCACCCTTTTCATTGTCTCTTCAGCAATCTCTTCCGCCCTACTCGCCCCATCTTCCGCGTATCCCACAAGCTCCTTATGATTCCCGCCCATCAACTCCTCGTACCTTTCCCTAATATCCTTGATCCCATCATCGACAGTATCCGCAACTCTCTCTTTCAGCGCCCGCATACTCAGATCTCTCATATCATTCGCTAGCTCCTCTGGTGACGCAGCTACCGACTGATTGAAATGGAACATGAGATCCACAAGATTCGACACACCAGGCCGCATTTCTCGGTCGTAGCTCACACCCTCAATCGAGTCTGTCAAGGCGGTCTTCAACTTGTTGTGAATCTCCTCCCCTGAGTCCGTGATCAGTATCCGACTCTTCGGCTTCGGATCACTCTTGCTCATCTTCTTGGCCGGGTCGGTCAGACTCATGACTCGTTTGGCGGGGCTCAGCAGCGTTTGCGGGATAGTCAAGAGGGGGTCTGATGACGACTTTGGGGTATAGAGGTGGTTGAAGCCGATGGCGAGCTCGCGTGAGAATTCAAGGTGCTGCGCTTGGTCTTCACCAACAGGGACGTGGGTGGTGTTGTACAAAAGCACGTCCGCTGCTTGGAGAACGGGATAGGAAAAGAGGCCGAGCTTGAGTGCGTCTTTGTTTGAGGGAGAAGGGTCGAGGGGTGAGGCATTGGAGGGAAGGGAGAGTTTGCTCTGCTATGCCATCAGCGTCTCCAATCAGCCAAATGAGAGCAAAGTTCATGTGCGCATACCTTCCACTGTGTCATGCGTCCTAGATATCCCATGCTAGCACCACAGCTCAATATCCACATCAATTCGGCATGCTGCTTCACGCTACTTTGCGCAAAGATTATACACCTCTTCGGATCTAAGCCCACTGCCAGCAGACTAGCTAGCATCTCTTTCCGCCATAATGCCAATTGAGTTGGGTTTTGCTTTATGGTGATCGCATGTAGGTCCACGATAGAGAACAGCAGTGTAGTGTCTGGCGACGCCTCATCCTGTAGCTTGACCCATTGTCGAAGGGCCCCAAGGTAATTCCCTAGGTGTGGTACGCCGGTGGGTTGAATGCCCGAGAATATCACCTGCTTCTTCCCAGGCTGCTCTCTGGGCGGCAATGCAACTGAATAGTTCCGCAAACAACTAGAACTAATGCGCAAGGAAGAAGGGGCTGCTCGATGCAGCGTCCGGAGAGAAAACATTGAAGTCGGAGAAAAGCATAAGCATTCACGTTCGGAGCATCGGTCGAGCTCAGCCACGGGGCGCTTCGTCATTGTGGCACTGCCGCCCGCCAACCACCACTGGACTGGCCGCCCGCAGTCCAGGAACAGAAACACCCGCTTCATTGACGACCCCGAATTATTCTCCACTCCACATACTTCACGACGAGACACCTCCTACCACACTAATAGCCGCAGAAAGGCTTTACGAACCTCTACACTGCAAAACGACACGCTACAAAGACCGCAGCCATGTCGTGGACCGGTAAGATGCTGCCCAAACGCTACCCGGGAACGACGGAGACTAATGGCTCGTAGGCTTCAAGAAAGGCGTCAACCGCGCGACGACGCAGGTCCTCATGAAGACAGGACAGGTCGAGCGCACAAATGACCGCGACTTTGAGACTGAGCAGCGGTACGCTCCCCTCACCCCGCTATCACGCACTGCACAACCCACATGGCATACTTCCCCCAACTACACTATGCTCACACACATCCAGCCGCTACCGTACCATGGAAACCGCCGCCAACAAGCTCCAAAAAGAAGCAAAAGGCTACCTCGACTCGCTGCGCGCCATGACAGCGTCCCAAATGCGCATCGCCGAAACGATTGACGCCTTCTACGGCGACGCCGGCACAAAGGACGGCGTCTCGCGCTCCTACAAGCAAGCCGTCACAGACCTGGACGCCGAAACAATAAAAGCCCTGGACGGACCTTACCGGACGACAGTCCTCGACCCAATACAGCGTTTTTGCAGTTACTTCCCTGATATCAACTCGTGCATCACCAAGCGCGAGCACAAGCAGATGGACTACGACCGCATGCGCGCACAAGTCAAGAAACTCACAGACAAGCCCGACAAGGACGTCACCAAGCTTCCCCGAGCCGAGAAGGATGAGCAGCTCGCCAAAGCCGCTTATGATCAACTGAACGAGACGCTCACGACGGAACTGCCCCAACTCATTGATCTTAGAGTGCCGTATCTGGACCCGAGTTTCGAGGCGCTGGTCAAGATCCAATTGCGTTTTTGCGCAGAAGCCTACTCGCGCATGGCGCAGGTGCAGCAATATCTCGACGCGAATACGCGGGACCAGTATGCGCAGGGCGAGCTGGATGCGCGGGTGGAGGAAGTGCTACAGGAGATTCGAGATCTGAGTATTGCGGGTACTGTTTAATGTCAAAGAAACCGAGCTGGGGAGGTTAAGGGGTTTCGAAATTTTGAGGTGATTGTAATTTTGGGGGGGCGTTCAAGATATCAATATCTGCGGCATTGAATCTTTCGAGAGACAGAAGATTGGTGGGGAGGGAACCTAGAGTGTCTGTCATGCTCGTGCACTAGCGGAGAGATTCATGATATAGTATGTATGCATTGAGTTGAAAGTTCACGTCCGAAAGACGCAAGTGACGTGTATATATAGAGAGATATGCCATGCGCCAAGACGTGCGAAGTGGGTAGAGTGATGATTGAAACGTGATGATGATGATGATCCCATAATGAACTCCGAACCCATGCTAATGCCGCCGTCGTAATCATGACCACACGGCCTGAACCAAACGCCTCGCTGATGATGAAGATATGAAAGAACCGAGGGGAATTCGCTAATGAACAGACAGGAAGGGGGAGCGGGTCATGCGCACCACCACCACTGCCTAGGTAGTGTGTGGTTGTGCACAGAATGAGTAGTAGCGCTCACTTGTCGTCCTCATCCTCGTCTTCTGCGTCATCATCGACACCCTCAGAGTCCGAATCCATATCCTCATCATCAAGATCGCTCTCGCTACCCCCAAAGCTCTCGACATCACTATCTTCCCAGCTCATGTCAAAGTCGCCGTCATCTTCCTTCTTCTTCCGCCACGCCGTCTCGTGTGTGGGCATGACGAAGCCAGCAGGGATATCCGCCTTTGAGAACTCTAGATCCTTCTTCACTATCTCCATATACTCTAAGCGCTCGTTACGCAGCATGACGCTCGCATCGACGTTGGCAGGAGACGACACTTCGGCGTCGTCGAGCAGGGAGAGGATAGAAATCAGGACCGTCTCAACGCGCTGTACGGGGGACCAGCGTTCCGCAGCTGTCTCGCCGGACATTTCGTCATCGCCCGGCGGGTGCAGGATGGAGATGCATAGGCGGCCGTCTGGGTAGATGTTGGGGTGGTATAGTGGGCGGATGAACTTGAAGTCTGTCATGGTATTAGACCATACACCCTTGACTTCTGAAGTGATTAATGTGTATGGCGGGACCATTGACGCCTGGTTTTGGACTGTGACATACCTGGTGGACTATGGGGATAGTTGCGAGGGAAGGTCATCCTCGCTTTGAAATAACCGCCGTAGTACATGGATTCCTCATTCAGGACGATGAGCGCGACGCTCCACTCGAATACGTTATCGTTGACGAGCTGGAGGGCGGTTAGCTGGGTCCTGTATGCGGTCGCCACTCCATGAGCGGCTCCAGGAGACGAGGCATGAAAGACTTGCCTCGATGTTGGTCCATTTCTCTTTGCTCAGCTGCTTGAACTCATTCATAAGCACGCGCTGCGCTGCTTCCGCCATTTTGCCTGCTCGTTCCGAAATTCCGGTTTAAGCCTTGAGTCGCCGTGGTGGTGGAGGGCGGGGGGAGAGTAGAGCAGCGTGGGCGGTCGGTAGAGTTGAACTGGTGTGTAGTAGAGAGTGTATGTCTGGGAGAGAGAGTGTGAACTTGTACGCGAGAGAGAGAGAGAGCGTGGGTGAGTGAGACGTGAGTGTTTTAAGGGTTGGGCGCACGTTGAGGCGAACCCTGCATGACCGCGCTCGCCGGGTTTACAGTTGTCTAGCTCGGTCATTCGGAAGTAACCCAATTCACCCCTTCTGACCCTGCAGACAGCCATGGGCGACCGAGCAGGCTTCACCCTCGCTTTTGCTCTAGTAGCCCACCCATTATTGTCGCCCTCAGCACATATCGTTGACTCGGGAATGTTGCCTAGAAGTTTGGAAGCGGCGGGCTCAGCTGTCACGGACAAAGGAAAGCACGCTATCTTCACTGCACCTTCCGAATCCGAACTCGGAACCTAGGAACGTTACGGGACATGGCCTCCAGGGCTGCTTCGTTGTTCCTGTGCCGTCTAAGACATGATCGCCTAGGGTATACTCTTCATCACCATCTGTACGTGTTTGACCTAGAGCAGCTGAGTCGGTCATTACTCAGGTGATCCGCCGGGCATCATGTGTTGTCATGGCGCACTAATGCGTCAGCCTCACATGAGCATCGGTACTTAACTAGACGAGAATGGCGAACTTTAATCTTCAAAATGACAGAGTTTGTAAAGGGCACAGTGGCGATGATGCTCAACGTCGTGATGTAACATAATTAAAGTTTCAAGGACCATGAGTTGGCGCTTTACTAATTGGAAACATGTAGCAAACGTCTAGAATAACAACAACTTTTCTTCTATCATCATATACCGATAAACAAAATTATGTGCAAGTAGGACAGTAGTCCTCCTTCGCCTTGCTGCATGTACAGATACCAACATCTAGGGAAAACGCTCCCAGTAACTCGACGCTTCCTCTAAAACAACTCTGACCAAAATTGAAACATGGTAAACAAATAAAAGAAATAGAATCTATAAAGACAGCAGATCAGCAAACGAAAAGTCCAACGAGTCAAATGAAACGCATCTTCCTCGCAATGCCCAAGCAGCATGCAACGAAGAGGCAGATGGTCCCCAGGATACCAAAGAACCACGCAAGACTGCCATCCTGGCCTGGAACGCGCACGTTCATGCCGAACAAACCACAAATCAAGTTCAGTGGAACGAGAATGGTGGCAATGACAGTGACCTTCTGAAGCGTGTCGTTGCTCGAGTTCCCCTGGATGACCTGGTCGACCGAAATCTGCGCAAGATAGTTGGAATGGGCTCGGCTCAACATCTTCTCGAAATGGGCCAAGTTGGACATCATGGTAACGACGTGATCCTGGATATCGCTAAGATACAAGCCTACATCGCCCCGCGGTGCAACGCTGTAAGATTCATTGCAACGCTTGGCAAAGCCCTTGATAACGTCGGCTTTGCCACCGAGGAGCCGCAGCAATTGCATGACGCGCTTACGACACTCGCCAATGGCGCGCAGGATGGCGCGCGAGTCTTCGATACGTGCGGTGAAGACTTGGTCTTCAATCGCTTCGGCTTCGTCTTCGATACCGCGGATGACAGGCGCGAAGCTGTCGACAATGTCGTCGATGAGGGCGTAACAGATCCAGTCGGCGTTGAGATTGATATAGTCGCGGAGACGGCTGATGCGCTTGCGAACGTTGAGCGTGTGTGGACTCTCGCAGAAAGTGAAGGTAAGGAGGCCCTCCTTGAACACGACCGCATAAAAGTTGACAGGCTCCAGATAATCCTCGGAATCCTTGTCGGCCTGGTAAAAGGAACGGAACGATACGAAATAATACTGATGGAAGAGCTCCACCTTCTCGCGCGGCTCCTGAATGCAGATATCCTCCCGTGTAAGGGGATGCACACCAAAGGCCTTTGAGATGGCGAATACCTCCTCTTCGGTAGGGTTAACCATGTCCAGCCACCAGACGCCACCATCTGGTGGGGTCTCAAAAAGGTCGCGGAAGCGTTCACCGGGCATCAGAAGACCACCGAGCTCCGCAGCGTGGATCGTATCGTCCAGCTCGGACGAGAAAAACGTCCATCGATTCAACTGGACATCCGCTACCGTCTTGCTGTCACTGAACATATGCGCCAGCCCTTCCTCCGCGAGCTTTTCCTGGATGGCTGGATCAACATCTTCCTTTGTTATGTCAGCCTCCATCTTGGGCGTGGTCGAATTGCTCGACTTTGGGCGAAGGTCTGCGAAGACCTTGGGCTTTGTAGAAAGATGTGAAGCTACACTGGTCTTGTGGCGCAGAGGCTGACCGATTGGGGTCTTTGCTTGGGCCTCTGCAACGAATTCCTCGAGTTCCTCGTAGTCGAACCTGGTGGTCTTTCCAGGGTCCTCAGACACAGGGAAGCATACATCCTCTTCCGCAGAACTGTGTGCGGATGCAACCTCGATGTTATGCAGCTCTTCGGGTCGCTCGTCGCTGATAGTCGGGCGCCGTGCAGTAGCTCGAGAATGCGTCCTATGCAGACTCAGGTTGAGTTCCGAGCCTGGTTGACTCTGTAGGGTGTTTGCTCGATCACGGCGCCTGGGGCCAGCAAAGGCGTCAACTGAATTGGGAGGAGAGACCGACCGTGAACTGGTGGATGAAGCTCTGCTTTTAGACAGGCGTTCGACTGCCGGATCGCGGGGGCGCCTGAAGGTGTCTCGACGAGCATGTGGACTGTGGGCCAACGAGGGACGTCGGGCGTAGGCCTCGGGGGACAGGAGCTGGTCATCATCCACCACAGCGCTCTCGAAGTCGCGGCGAGTGATTCCCTCGAGTGCTTCGTTGACCTGGTGAAGGAGATGTGGTTGTGGGCGTTCTTGGATGCTCGCAAAGGTGGGTCGACGAGATCGAACAGGGGAGCCATGGTCTACTCGTGGGAGGGACGCAGGCTGGTGGCGGTGGTCATCGAGGTCAGACACCGGGGTGCTGAACCTCGTCTGGGACTTCTCGGATCGCGGAGTGTCAGTCATTTTGTCGACTCAGGTGGCGATGAGTGGGACTCCGTTCTTTTCTTGTTCCTTGATTAAGCCAGCTTCTTGGTTTGTGGAGCGACCTCTTGCAGCGCAAGGGCCACGGGTCCGGGTGAGTCGCTTGTGAGCGCCCACCTCTAAGGCGCGCTCAACTTGACGATAGGCTTCGCGTAGGGTCCTCCCCTACACTCCGCCGTTGGGAAGAAGTGTCCGGTAGCCAGACTTCCACACCCAATACGGGAATAGGAAGGGTTTTTGTGAAAAGACAATTACAGTAGCGAGTGTTGTTGAATGCCGTTAAAGCCCAGTTATGGGGGCTTCTGGTAGTCGCCTCCGTAGACCCACGCCTTTGGGCCGAGAAGGGGACGGATCGAGGAGAACTTGTGAAGGTAGAGGCCCGCCAACTTGATGGTTTGTCTATAACAAGACGCCGTGGCGACAGTGGAGTGAAGAGGGGTTGGAGCTGGAAACGGGAACCCCTGATTCGATCGAGTGCAGGCGGTGGATGTCGAAGTCTACGGGTTGTAATTCGGGTTCTTCTCCTTTGTCAGGATCCGTGAAACCGCTCGGTGGTGGGGAGTCGCTGGTGCCGCTATCGTCGGCAGATTGTTGTGCGTACAGTAGGGAACAGTTTGTAGATGGTGCAAATTTGCAGAGTCCAGGTGGACGATGTGTGAGGAGCAATGAATGGGGGGGGAGCAAAGGTTAAGTAGGTCGGTGGGTCGGCACAAGCTTTTCTTGCCCTTCACGGACCCTCGCGTGGCAAGCTGATTGGGCTGAGAGGCAGAGTTGATGATGCACGCCTGCAAATAGTCGCATTCCAGAACGTCGCTACTATGGGACTCGGTTGAGACAGCTGAACGACTTGCCGTTGTTTCCGCGGCCTAAGTTGAACCAAGTTTCCACTGGAGAAATGGGCCACACATTGTGGTTGGCGTGTGTCAACGTTAGCTTCTGCTCCAGGGCTTGGCTGCGGCTCCAGACCCCCCTGTCGTCCAACATCGCATGTGTGTGCATCAACATTGAACAAGCCACATCGACCATCCTCCAAAGACCGACCACACCAGCTAGCCGCCAACAACACACCAAACAAACGCAGCTCGAAGCCTGCCAAATATTTACCACGCCGACGGCCACAATGGCAGATCAGCTACTCGAGCAAGTGCGCGACGCCGTCGAGGGCCAGATTGTACGTAGTAGTAGCCTGGTTGCTTTTATACTCAAGTACATGTCACTTATGCATGCGTACAGGACTTCGAGGGACAACGCCTTGCTGAGCTGCTCACTACAGTCCTACTCGGCGCAGCTGGCGTACGCTTCCACACTCTCTTCCCTTGACAACATGGTGAAGCTCACCACTGCAGATCATCGCCTTCCTCGTTGGCTTCATGACGCAAGATATCCGACTGTCGCTCTACGTTGGCCTCGCCGGCACCGCGCTCACCTTTCTCGTCGTCGTACCACCGTGGCCATTCTACAACAAGAACCCCGAGGGCTGGTTACCGCCGCACAACGCGACATCAGGGTTCAGCATCGACGTGGACGGGCAGAAGGTGGGTTAGACTACGTGAGAAAGAGGGTAGGCAATTGCACAGCCACTCTGGGCTCCTGAGATAACCGGGAGATAATGGCAAAGCCTTGTGACGATGAAGAGCATCTATGCTATTGCTTCATGCTATCGTGACCTATTTGTAAAGCCCCCACTGACGCCAGACGTCCGAATGAAACCAAGACCCAAATGCGTCCCTGCAGAAATCATGTCTTTGTGCTATTCCTTGGAGGCGTTTATCGACCGTATTTCTGGAACTCCCAGTCTCGGTTGTCGAGCGGGCAGACCTGTCGCGTCTTGAGCCATCGGGAGATGCAGTGGAAGTGGAATGCGTGCTGCGACACGTTAGCTTGGTCGTTGATGAGTTTGAGAGTGCAAAAGGTACATTGCAGATGCCCCAGGCGACAGTGCACTCTTCGCTCGTGGCGGACGCTTGATTTGCCTGGCACTCGATGCAGAGGTCCATGATGTGGTTACGGCAGATGGCGCAGTTGTCGACGACAATGTCCCACGCCCAGAGAGCTACAGCATTCCACTTTGTCGCGTTAGCCTTGAACTTTGATACAGCCTCTTGCCCTGCCTACCTTTTTGACCTCGAAGCGCTTCTTTTCGCCGTCGGCCGTGGCACTGGCCTTGGCCGTCTTGGTCTTTGCCGGCGGAGCATCAGCCATGTCGACGTCCGCCATGATGGTGGTGTATAGCTAGTGGGGTTGCGGGGAGCTGGTTCAAGCTGCTGGCTGAGGCGGACGGCGGTTGCAGGTCGTGTCCGAGTAACGTCAGATGTTCGGAAAGACGCGGTGCAGCTCCAGATACGGTATAAGAGTGGCGGCGGTTAGGTCAAGTAGTGCGGCGGTGTTTGTTCTGTCAACGTGCAAGGCGCCAGCAACAGCAACAAGCGGATCACCCATGCCAAGCCTCGTGCCTGCCCAAATCTTGGGACAACTGGTGAAGGGGAATGTCCATCTTCCCCCCAGAAAAGGTGGAAATACCAACTAAATCCCACATCACATTTTGTTTGGTCTTGCAGCGATAATCTAATAGACAATCCATAACGCCCACTGTCGTGCCTTCACTCAATCATGCTTCGCCCGCCGCTCAGCCCTACGCCGCAATCGTCAGTGCGCCCAGGCTGGGTTCAGCCTTGTTTGGGTCTCACAGCCCGGCTAGCCACCTCAGTCACCGTTCATGCGCCCAACTCTCTCTCACAACACTCCTCGTCCATCACTCGTCCCATATTACCCGCCGGCCTGTGCCTATCTCTACCCTTCGAATCTGGATATGAACACTTCAACTTCTCGCTCCCCCACAATTCCGCTTTCTCAAACCCAGACAGACACAGACGCGCCCTTCCGATCCACCCAACCCACCTCCACAGCCCGAAACAAGATCGCTCGCCGACCACTATCCAGATAACCCTAGTCGCATCACACCTCCCCAGTAACTGCGCCTTACATGTCGACAACTCAAACCACAGCGTCTCCGCGACCGCCCCGGGGCAATCCCCAGCACCCGCAAAGCGCAACCCAACCGCTGCAGAACAACACCACCACCAACGGAAGACAATCACATCGAAAGCCCAGAGGGAATCGCGCGTACAATGGCCGTACCCAGCTCAATGCGGCAGCCGGGGCCCCGAATCAATTGCCAACAAATGTCGACCCCGCCTTTGCGCCAACCGCCGGCTTCTCCAGCGAGGAGGCTCAGATATCTACAGGACCACGCAACCCAAAGAAGCACACACAGTCCCGCCCCCAAAGCGACCGTGTATCGTCGCCAAATCGCGCCCAGGCCTCCCTGACCGACACGGACGCTGCTTCGAACAATTCCTCTGCAACACCGCTCAAAATTCATGGCGCATATGCTGGCCCTACCTTCCATGCCTCTCCTGCACCATCAGCCCTTCCTATTCCCAAGTTTTTGTCCAGATCTGTGCCAGCCAAGACCCGGGCAGGCCCGTTGACCCCACCCCCGGAGGACAGTTCAGACTCTGCGGGTTCTCCGAGTCCTTCCCCATCCCCTTCTCGCGCTCCCATTTCCGTTCCCTCGCGCCATCAAGACTCGCCGCTCGACATGCTATTCAAAGCCGACAAAGCAGAGAGGGCGAAGAATGTCCATGGTAGTCCAGCTTCTGCCAACTTCGCCAAACCATCATTCCCTGTGAGGCCTCAGCACTATAAGCAGGATTCGTTCAACTCTTCCCATGGTGTTTTCCCCATCGAACTCGATGGCGCAAGCAATAATGCTCCCTTGTCTCCTCCGTCGGTAGCATCGCCAGTGGCTCATCGTTCTGTCACAGAACCTCCCCCAGCTCCGCAAGGCATCGATTCCCCCCAAGCCAACAATGGAAACGACGTGATGCAGGATCTCTTCAAGAGGCTTTCCATGTCGCAGAAGAACCCGGCCGTTGGTACTCCGCCAAGGCCGGAAGGACAGGCTCCTTCGGATCCTCAATCTCGCAATTTGACACCGTCCCCCTTCCACAGTGGCCGGCCTACTACCGTCCGAAGTGTTTCAGGGCCCTCCACTCCAGCACCAGCAGCCCAAGAGCCTGCTGACTTCTTTTACGGTAATCGGAACCTTTCTCCGTTGTTCAAAGCAGCCAAGGGCGATACTCCGAAGCGTAATTCCGGCCTTCGCACCGAGATTACTGCCGATTCTCCTGTGGTGGCACAGGGCTTGTTCCAAGGATTTTCCTCTGTTCAGCCGCCTACAGTGGTAGATCCCAACACTTTTACTCGCAGTCAGCCAGGAGGCAGCAACGAAGGCTCCATGGGACCGCGTCGTGGATCAGCACCGTTCGTTCAGCCTTACCAACAGAGCCCAAATAACCGCAGGAGAACGCCCGGTAAACAACCCTTCCAACCTCGTCCCGATTCTTATCCAGTGAGAGCCAAACCCAATGGCTCTAGCCCTAGGCCCGGAAAAGCGACTAGCAATGGCCCTTCTGTTCCTGCGCCGAAGCCTTCCACTTCGATGATGTCTTTTGTCCCTGCTTCTGTATCGGCAAAGCCAAGGCAACAATCTACTTCTACACCCCCTTCTACCGGCCCCCCTCCGCCGTTGAAAACTTCTACTCCTTCCGATACGATGGCGTTAGAGCAGGACTTGAAGCGCTTGCTTAATCTTAAAGATACGCCCAGTGTCCGGTAGTCATGGCGTTTGTTCACGTTTGCGATATCCTGCATAGCTTGCGACTGGGCCTTGCTTTCCGTGTTCCATATCACTCCATCACCTTCGTTTGTTTATATGGCTTTTTAGTTTTTCTATGTAGTCATGTTTCATGGCATTCTGTCATTTCCTATATTTCATGGCGTTTCTCGGCGTATAGACGACCAACAATGACTGGTATGTCATTTGGTCGTGGGAAGATGTAGCGTGGCATCGTTGGGATCGTCTGCTTAGGTTTCCGGTTCAGTGGAACCATCTTGTTTGGCATTGTTCATGGACGGCTGCATGATATTCCGAGGGCTGGAAAGCATCCGGTTCTGGGACTATGGTTTGGTTCAATTGGAACCCTTTTGACATGTTTCTGGGGACGTTTCGGCTGGCTTTGGGAAGCGAGCTCCCCCTCGACCACTCTGCCATCCACATTCTGGATCCAGGCACGACTACTCTCAACACTGCGACAACATCACAGATAAAAATCAAGAAAGAAAAAAAATATAAGGGCATGATGCTCGGCTCTGGTGTGCTTCCTCTTGGAAGTACATCGAGTTTTCATGTCCAAATTCGGCTTTCCAAACTCAAAATGGTGATGGTGATGGTGTACAGCTCGATGACCCTTTACAACCACAGACAGATCGTGTGGCCTCTGCGCACTAGTACAAGACGAGACCAGAGCCTTGAGCGCGACTCTTTGAGCTCGTTTCACTGTATTTGGTGATTTGATCCGGCATTGCGTGTTCACTTTTGTGAGTTTCCGCCCATAGCTCGACGTCATGACCAAAATAGTGACTGACTCTTTGAACACGACTTCACCAACGACTTCACAGGGCGCTCCAGGCATGTGAACTGCTCTCACTTTCTGATCATTGGTACTAAATGGTTCGGCCGGCATGTTACCGATGGCAGTGTTTCTCGCTGCGAGTGTTTGCCCCAGCCTACTTTCACTTCACTTCACCGTTAGCAATTGGGCGCCCGCCACTGGAGAAGATGGTCCTAGTGTGACGCGACGCGCCTTCCCCTCTGGATATAATGCGCACTAACGAGGCCCTATCCCACAAGTACCCGCCCGCATAACTCAACTGCAGCCGCGCTATTATCAATTGCCCATCGCCACAGCTATCGAGGATGAAGAGCCTCAAGACAAAAGGTAAGCACTGATTTCTTGCATTTGCAGTCTGTTCCAGAAATACCACCTCGCTCCTTCGCACTTTACGTCCCTAACGTGCGCTTCTTGAACCCCGACTCTGACCCCACAGCAGCCTCGCGCTTCTTCAGAGATGGCCCTAGTCAAGACGAGAAGGCTGCCAACGCCGAGTTTGGCTCTGATGCAGACTTTGACGCTGGCATCCAAGGCCGCAGTCTGAGAAAGAAATGTAAAGTCATTACCTACCATATGCTGGTGGGCTGCAAGCTAAGCTCTGTAGCATCCCTCTTCGCTCTGTACAAGAATGGCAAGCTAGACAAGTCCCTGCCCACTCCGCCACCAAACGCTTCGCCGTTCACTCTAGTCTCGCCTAGTCTACCTGGAGATGCTACCTCGCCAGAGGCTGAACTCGAGAAGCCGCTCCCGTTCCCACCGACTCCGCAGGACTTCTTCGAGACACCTGAGCGCGCGAGCGTCGTTGGCAGTGCAGACGCACCCAAGCTCAAGCCACGCCCTAGCTTCGGGACGCTGAGGAGTAGGAGTACGTTGTCCGCTTCCTGTCTTTTTCTGGCCATGCACGCGTAGTGAATTCCATACCAACGCTATCCAGGCTCGCGTTTCTTCCGCAACACCAGCTCGGCCACGCATTCTCCACCAGCTCCGCCCGTTCCACAAATCCCAGTCGAGCCTCCAGCACCTAAGGCATACCGACCCTCCATACGCGACTCGCGTTCATCCATCATCAACTCACAGGGTCGAAGCATCTCCATCTCACGCCCTACTCTCATCGCCCAGCTGTCAAGCGCACCCATCTCAGTGCGCCCAGCTACAGTGCCTTTCACGAAGCCAGTCGGTACGCCGCCGTCACGCCCTCCTCGTCCAGATAGCCTCAGTGAAGAGACATTGGCATTTATGCAGGAAGGTACTCGTATGTGTCTTTCTATGGGGAACCGAGTCAGTGCAAGCACAGCCACGTGTTCAACGCCTCGTAGTCAAGCCAGCTCCATCGAAGCGCGGCTCGGCTTTCCATCTGGCCACGGCACACCTCGCAGCTACTCCATTGATTCACCTCTTGCAGCGCGCTTTCCTCTTGACCCGTCGCAGCCACTTCCAGTTCGTGATAGCACCGGCAGCATCACGGGCTACAGCCGGTTTAGTGGGTACATCAAGGCTCACCAGGCTGGGTATGCGGTCGATGGTGTTGATTCCGAAGACCGGGAGTTGGGACCCATCGAGCAGTATCAGAATAGCAAGGAGGGTGACTGGACGCTAGAGAGGCGTATCAGCAAAGGTCCCAACGGCAACCCAGGCATGCTGTTCCGCGATAGATGGGGCGGCTTCCACTTCGTTGCCGACATCTAGGCGTTGCGGTGTGAGGTGTGCCGGATGCGAGTGTCGCAGTTCATCTACGTGGTCTAGAGTTAAGGCTAATTTAACGCTCCGTAAAGCATGGCATAAGGGGATATAGACAGAACCTCCATAGTACAGTGAGCTATGAAATTTTCGAGGGCAACAGGTATTTCCTGGTGAATCTAGCTGTTCAGTCTTCCCTAAAAGTATCTTACCTACTACCACCGTATCGTTGACTTGATACATTTCCTTCCTCTGACACGAATGTCTGACGGCTACTATGTTTCGGTGGAATACACGGAAGCGGGCCGATATATGATGTGAGACATCCGACTTGAGTAGGCTAGTCATTATTGAGTACTAACAGTATCCTCGATAGTTTTCTGGGGCTTTCACACTAAATCCTGGGTGCGCTATTGATGTATCTTTAGTCTAACGCGATTCGATATTCAGCCCTTTCACCACTAGTGCCGCGGGGAAGCCGAGTGTGGAGATTTAAGGACCTGCTGATGTTCCGCTTCGATCCGTCCTTTGGTAAAACAAAACACGTCGCAAGAGCAATAGAGTTTCAGCAGATGAAGTATATTGCTTTTTCAATCCCTGGTCGTAGACGACGATGCAAGGAATTAATAGGGGCTCAGAGGGGGAAGATCGAATGATATTAGCTACAAACGGGCTTGGTATATAACGTGATTCGTCCGTGACTCTTTTTATCTCCGGTCACTTCCGTCGTAACTGACAACCCGCTGCCAGGGGTAATCAAATGTAAGGCAAGCCTCATCACGCTAAGAATGTGATACGGGCCAGCCCATTTTATAACAAGGACGCGCGCCGCCTACATTCCAAAACTCTCCGCAAATCTCATAACTAACGCGACACTCTTTGACGCGCCGTACCAGAGCGTGTACTCAGAAAGTATGCCGCCCATTCGCACCGCAAAGCAGAACAGCACTGCAACAAAGGGTGTTGACGCGTACTTCAAGAAGGTTTCTAAAGCCGAAGCCCAAGCTGAAGCAGTTGCATACAATGCCCCACAACCCGCCCCCGCTATACCGATACCAGCCCCGAAGCCAAAGGTTGCAAAAGTTATGCGTCTGCTGCCGCCTGCAGGAAGAGGTGTAAAGGATGCATCTTTCAGAGATTCTCGATATGATTGGGATGGCAAATTCAGTAAGTAATGTGCGTGTACGAATTGCATGTGAGACCATACATTGACTTTAGACCTCAACCTTTAGACAAGCTAGTCGGTATAGCGACTAAGAAATTGGAATTTCGCTCTTCCTTCAAGTTGACCGAGTACGTCCTCATCACCCTCTGTGTTAGGTTGATGGCCTTGTACTGACCCGCTACCCTAATAGTCAACACATCGAGGACATCCTGGCCATGAGACCGAAGATTTGCAGAGATCTTACAGAGTTCAAATTCGTGTACGGTGATGTTAGCTACGACGCCAATAACGGTCAGATAGCACTTGTTTACTATCCATGCTCGCATTCTTCTCTCGAAAGGAACAACTACTGATTCCATGCGCTCAGGTGCCAAAGGTCTGACCGATACCGCCGTCATAAACTTAGCAAAACACTGTCCCAAGTTGAGGAAGATTTACTTACCAGACACAACCAGTCTCAGCGGCGAAGCACTTCTCCGTCTCCTAGCGTCCTGCCCTGCCCTGACTTATGTGGAGATGACTGGATCGAGAATGACAGCAACACTATTTGAAATCTTCCAGCAGCATCCGGAATGGGTGCCTAAGCTCAAAACCCTACGTCTTACAGATCCGCACCAGGACACCAAATTCATGAAAGCTATGCGGGAGCTGGGAAGAGACAGGCCGAATCTCAAAGTAGAGTTGGTGTCTACGAGCCAGGAAAAGAATTGGGGTGACTGGGATCTCAAGGTCTACCACACTACGTACATGAACGGGAGGAAGGTGGGGACATCGTATTGATTCTTTTTCATCTAGGCGGAATAAACACTTACTTGGGGCTTGGCCTGTCCTTTTCTGGTGAGCTATAAAGATCCATGGCAAAACGATATAGTTCTACTCGTCCAGGTCTCTTTATTATAAGACATTACAGATATCGTACACGACTGGTATAGAAAAAGCCTAGTATCCCCCTCTGGCGATCTCACTTAGGGCTGACACATCGCTTATAACCGCTCCGTATGTTCTGTCTTCTGCTTCTCAGCGTGCGGCCCTGCTTCCAGGCCCGCAAGACTACTCTTCCTACGCTTCTCCGTCCTCTCTTGTCTTGACTTGTCCAAGCTCTGCGCAAAATTCGACTTGGCCCGGATGTCTGGACCTTTCCAGTACACAATGTAGATTGGAATGGTGACCACGAAAGCAAGGCAAGCGAGGATGGTGGATGCATATTGCACAGGTCGGCCTGGGATGTTCTTGTAGAGGGGTGTCGAGTACATGGCTGCTACGCCGGCCATAAAGTCACGAGCGAGATCGTTGCCACCGGTTGCGGATGCAGCGTACGGGCCGTACGCGGCAGTTTGGTAGTCTATTGAAGACTGATAGATGGCGTACTGAGGGGTCCGTCAGTTTCGAGGGATAGCACTTGCTCGCTACGAAAACTTACGTTTGCCATGGCGATCAACGTCGAGAAGATCATCGGCGCAATCCAGGGAATACCATAGCTCGGCCCTAACGATGTCCACGCAAAGCCAAACAGTCCCACAGTCTCCAGTGGCGCAAGGAAGAGGAGCCACCATAGTCGAGCTTCTGGCGCTACGGAGCCAGGGTTCTGTCGGCGTTTGCGTCGGAAGGTGATGATTGAAGGCATGTACGAGGCGTATGCTAGGAAGTATCCGATCAATATGCTGGAACAACGTTAGTATTATATCTATTGGATAGGATCAAGTACCACTCACGGTATGAATGCAAGACCGATTCCAACTGTGCCGAATCCCCACTGGGAGTAGACCGGCTTGAAGGATTCGAGGAAAGTGAATATCAATGCATCGCTAAAGCCGCTAAGCAAAGACAGCCAGAGGACGATCGGTTCAGTGAAGAACATGTAAAAAGGTCTGTGGATGTGTCAGTCTTGTCCTGAATAAGTCCAGAACACATATCCACATACCTCCAAAAGATAGTCCCAATCTCCTTCAAGGTTATCTTGTGACCGCCTCGTATCTCATTCGGTCCATAGATATTTGGATCCTCGCCAGTCTTGCGCCTCCGCTTCGCCTCACGATCAAGCAGAATAGTCGATCGCGTTTCCGGGTTACAGAGGAGGTGAACGGCCTGCACGAAGCAACCGATGATGAGCTGGACCCAGAAGATCCAAGGCAGAGAAAGATGTGCCTCAACAAACGCACCAATGATGGCTCCAACTACCGAGCCCCCGACGGACGACAGAACAAGGAACGCTACGGCAAACTCCTGCTCGTCCGGCTCCCACATATCTGCCAAAACACCGAGTGTGACCGACCCACCCGCTGTCGACAGGCCACCCAGTGTCCTGCACACAACGTATGTAGCGTAGTTGTTGGCTAGGCCGCACGGTATCTGCCAGATGTTGACTAGGAACAGACTGAGCTGCTGGATGGGCCATCGCCCAAACTCCTCGGACCACGGAGCCCACAGTTCGCAGCCGAATGCGTATGCGATGAGGAACGCCATCTGCGGAAGGCGGGCTACTTGTTCGCTTACGTCGTACTTCTTGTGGACAGCGCTGACTGCGTGCGAGTACATGGATGCATTGGTGTTGATGCTAATTTGGATGAAGAAGACTACGATGAGGATTTGCCTGGTGGAGCGAACGTGTTAGCCTCACGCCTCGTATTGATTCTCCGAGTCTCTGGTATTGGGCTCGACTCACCACTTCCGCCAAGTAGGAAAGCTATATCCAAGCTTGTCCCAAGCATCGGAATCTTGGAGTTCGACCTTGTCGCCCTTGACGACGCGATCTGTCTTCTCTTGGTTCATTCCTTTTCCTTGGCCATAGTTTGGGTCGCGTTCTGTTTCGGGAACAGCAGTAGGCTGTTGCTCTTCCACGGTCGCCATGATCAAGTCATAAGCAGAAAAGTGAAGCAAGAAAAAAAGGTGAGATTCAAAACAGAACGGAGTCAAGTCTACTTATTACTTGACTTATTTTCTCCACAAGGGCAAAAGCCTCCCTTTCACTCTCACACATTAGATTCAGGTTCCCAACTCCATCCCTGCCTCTGATGTCAACGTTGCCAGACCAGGCGGGTGGCTTTGTTTGTGGTAGGCCTTTCCCGCCAATCTTGTGCTTGTTCTTGCAGCCAAGGCTTGGATCTCATTGCAGCCAAGACAAGCAACTGAACGCGGGGTAAATGAGGGCGCACATCGACCGATTCCACGGGGGCGGATTTGCAAGATATCTCCACATGTGTACGCTTTTGTGGTTGATGGTCGTGAGGAAGGATGAGACATTGCGTCATGGGCGCTCGCTCGGGCCGTGTGAGACGCTGTGGACGCAACCACAACAGCCTGAAGGCGCCCCTGGCGATGCGATTGCGACAGGTGATGTCATATAACGAAACGTATGGAGATGTAAAGCACGTTTGTCGTTCAGAGTGGTCCATCTTTGCGGTCTGCGACCCACTTCTCCCGCATGCGTTCGTGGAGATGGTGCTAACCGCATGGATTCGGCAAGGCTATATGCACTCGCCAACATCCCCAACCGATAGCCTCTAATCGAAGCCTACTTCGAGCGCAATAGATGCTCCTTAAGTTACCATTTTTTAGACACCAGCATCAAGTAGACCTAGTCTATCACCGTACCAGCCGCTGATCATCAATATGCTTTTCATTCCTGATCCCTTCACAAACTAGGTCACCTGCCTCGTTACGCATCCTGATGCCGCCCCGGTCGTCCCAGCAATAGTTGTGCAATGGCATCCACACAAGCATAAAACTTTTCTCCAACTTCCGGCTGCGCTAGGTACGCCGACGTCTTCTCCTTGATCAAGTCCTCATGGCACCACTCCTCGAGTGGCACATCCTCCAGGCCCGGGACGTTGAATCTGAAGTACTTCATCCAGTTCCTTCCCATCAAAGCCTCGTGTTCCACTTCAAACCTCTGACCGCATACTCTTGCCTCCTTATTCCTATCTTCGATGCTATTCGCCATCTCAAGAATTTCGTTCTCTTGATCAAGCCCAATGCCGGTGCCGATGGAAATGATGATCGTCATATCATTGCTGTAACGGAACAGCTTGCGGCACTCGTAGAGAATGTCGCGAACGGGGTTATTCTTCGCTGTGCCATGGTCCACCAGACCTGGCTCGATGACCAGCCGATGATTGACATACCGTGGAGCTATCGATGTAGCTTTCATCGCTTGCCAGATGGGCATGTTTGCATCAAGCTCAGGGCCAGTGATACGTCGGGTCTGGTAGGAACGCATCAAGGCAGCTCTGTTCGCACCAATCTCAATGTGGGTCGCAATGACAAATCTGACTAACGCATCAGTACCTCTTCCACGGACAGCAGGTAGACCGAGCTCTCTTACACATCGCCAGATTCTTCGCTTAAATCCAAGAGTAACTCATCTTGATTGCCTAGCTCTTGTTGTATAACCCTCTTGATTTCAGCCTCGAGAGCCTTACCATCAACGTTCAGTGACTGACTGTAAGGATGTAGGGAGATAAAAAAGTCTCTTTTGTTCAAGTATACCTGTCTCGAAATCTGCTTGTAGGCTTCCCTAGCTCGGTGTGCTTGCATACGGAGTCGACACAGCAATATAGCGATCACTCCGCCCAGGGAGTTGCCACCTGTCAGATCAAAGATCTGGTGCGGATCAAGTCGCTGACCAACTTTGACACATACTGCATTGACGAGCGATTCTATCAGCAGGAGAGCTGAAAGCCCGCGGATGCCATCGCCATCAATCGAAAGCATAACCTTCGTTTCGCGTTTTCGTGATAAGACTACTCCCACAGGTGCAGCTGGTTGGATATAAGGGCCTGGGGGTGGGGTCACATGTTGTAGATCCTGTGGTTGCTGTGGTTGCCGGAAGTTCGTACTCGAGCTAGCTTCGTTGGTAGGAACTGTCGGGGCCAGTGTCGTAATTACTGCTGGCGCTTGCACCGAATTGGAATTTGGGAAAGGTGGACCATATGGGGAAGAATAAGGAATCACATCCGAGGTGGACAAAGAGGAGCCGCGTTCAAGAGGCCACACCGGATTGGGGCTTGGAGCCGACGGATTGTGATCGGGAGAAGGCGACAGAGGTATCAGGTCTGCTACCGGTGGTGAAGGTGTATACTCAGTAGATGGTTGAGGGGGCGCACGGCCGTAGTCCGGAGCAGGTGGGGGGCCTGGAGGAGGTGGTGATGGCCACGGTTGGTAGCCAGATTCTGGGTCTTGAACAAGGCGAGCCTCAGCTTCTTCTGCCATGCGTCTGATTTCCGGATCTTGAGCTTTGCTGAAGCGTGTTGGTGAGATTTAGCGGCTAAGCCATGTGCGACAGAGGTTTCGACTTACTATCTGACCCAGCCTACGTCCCACGACTCCCAATTTCCCGATAACAAGAATTGAATAGTCGAGGGATATGCAGGATCGTGAAAATAATGCGTGCCTTCGACTGGCGAGTACCGGACGAGCCTAAAATCCAGTGACTTGCTAGCCATGCTGCTATTGCTATTGAAACGTAGCGTGAATGCCTAAGAGTACGACATCCACACGCGAAAGCTTCCAGTGGATGCAATGGTCGACGGTCGACAGCGACGCCCTAGAAGATAGGCGCTGAAACACTCGCTGCCGGTCCCCACGAGCTGTCAGTCCGGGAGAAAGGGCATCCATACACTATCTTCGGGGAGCCAATGGCAATGCGCCAGCCGGCCCGCTGCACGACGTCTGCGGCACCCGGCCGTTAAAAGTGGTCCACATGAGTAGTGCATCCCCTCGCTACGGTCGCCGTTCGACCAGCAGCGTCCATGTTTGTGCTACCTTTGAACTAGCATGACTGGACCAACGCTCGTTTCAATAGATTTGTCAGGCGGAAGCGGTGTATGCCCCCGCGAAGTATGATCAAATGGTACGGAGCGTGCCTTCCCGCTGTGGGGGATCTGCCGACAAAGGACAAAGCCGGAAGGACCCCTCAGCCTATAAAAGATGTATCGAGTGAATGATATATGCTCGCCATGTTGAGGAGAGGACGAATCTCGGGGTTACCGCTCCCTACGCTGTTGTGAGCTTGGGCAGAGAATAGCAGCGGCCCGTGCCGTTCAAGCTCGGTTAAACCCTTTCCAACTTGGCGCTATCCTCCATCACGACCGTCATGTCAATACCACGGTGTTGCTTGATTAACAATAAATTCAAGTAATACTAAATCGTTGCTAAACCGGCTTATCATCCGCCGGATTAAAACTCCGCGATTCAATGGTCTTTCCTACACGCTGACTGATGGTTCCGAACCGCCCGCTACCGTTCGGTATCCAATCTATCCCAACTGGCACTGTTCTTACGACATCAATGGCCGATCATAGCACCCATTTTGACCAAATCGCTAGGAGCATTATTTTCGCGATTGTTCTAATTTACACCCTTTAAATCCGGCAGTTCAATCATACTCCTCTGCATCTCCTTGACCATTTCCAAAAACTCCTTTTTCTCCATGTCGCTCGCAAATTCAATCTTCGCTCCACTGATCACCTTCTCCTTCTCCACTCTCCCCGTCTTCTTGCCTGCCCCGGGTTCCTTTCCTTTGCCTTTGCTCCCCTCCACAACAACACTGTCTTTCCGCATTGCCCGGTCACCTCCGTCAATCGGCACCCGTAGCCCCTTGATTTTCACCTCCCTGTTCCCAACATCTTTCGTCTGTATCGGTTTCGCGCTTGAGTTGATGTAGAATGCGAGATAACCGTTTCGAAAGTCGGCGGAGAAGTGGATCATTGCGATGACAGCGCCTGTGTCATTGTCCTCCCAGACGCGCAGGTTTTCGAGGCCGCACATCTGCTCGGCGTAGGAGAATGATTTGCCCAAGCCTTCGTGGATGCGCATCGTCTTCTCGGTGCGGAAGGTGGCTAGGAGGGTGCGACCCATTAGTTCGTTTTGGAACAGTGCTGCCCCTAATATACAGTCAGGTATTATTTTTGAAACCCATTATCCCATCTGCTTACCCTGTGGCGTCTCGAAGACAAAGTTTACCCAGCTCGTCTGTGCAATCTTCGCAGCTCGGTTTCCAACCTTCACGTCATGAAACTTGAGCTCGCATGAAACTGTGATCGAGACCTTCTTCGGAGAAAAGTAACTCGAATATGGAATATACATCTGGTCGTCGTCCATCCGGAGTTCTATTCTTACAGTGCCGTCGTCGCTGAAAACCCATACTGACGTTACGAGTCGCATTGATTTCGTTTCTAGGTTGTGTACCCGTTTCCGTACCACCGCGATACGGCACTCATCAGAAGCCTGGATCATCTCGACATCTTTGGGGTCATCTTCATTGATTTGATGTGAGTATTCAACTAGCTTTCCCCGACTATGTAGAGTCAGTAAAGATGCTGCAAACACTAGTGGTTGAGGGACCAAATATCAGCTTACATATCACATAAAATAGCCGAGTTCCTGAATGCTTCTTTCTCAAAAGCTGCTTTCTGGCTTGCTGTTGTTGAGCTTCGGTGAAGTTTCATAATTTCTGGCTTTGTGAATGGGTAAGGGCTCAGCTTGGTGTGCGAGCTTCGTAACGCAGCACTTTCGAGCTCGTACGGTGTCGATAATCCCATCGCCGGTGGCGGGAGTAATGACAACTGCCCATCATCTACTTTATCACCCGGTTCGTATACTTCCGGAGTCCGTGGTAACGATGAAGTCTTCTTTGTAGATGTCGAAGGGTGGCGGCTAACGAATGAGTCTCTCAATGGCCCTGGGCTGGGCCACCCAGCAGAATTTGTCCCGGTATCCGAGGAAGCATAGCTGCTGCTAGAGTAGCGAAGCGAGGAGCCGCCTAAGCTGAATTCAGATATATTTTTGAGGGTAGGTGACGTTCCTCTTGACGAGACTACAGTCTCTGTTGGGGAGGAAGGAGTGGTAATGCTACTGCTTGGACCAGGTGACGAAGGCTGCTGAGGAGACTTTGGACGCCGGGGAGCTCGAGGTAGCGAGATCGTGGTGGTTTGGCGGCGAAGCGGAGAGCCCGGAGGCGAGCGTGGAGCAAGAGTCGGACTCCAGGGATTTGGTTCTTCCGCAGTCGGGGACCTAGCCGGATTCTGTACTGGGACAGGTGGTACTTGTGTATCTGGGGATGTTATGGTAAGGTCTTGTACAATGCGATGGACTTCGTCCAGCTGCTGGTCTAGGTTCTTAGAGGTATGATACATGCTATCGACACGCTCGGCCATTGGGGCTACAACGCTTTCTAGACGTGATAGCGACTTGCTACACAGTGTTAGCCGTCGTTCTTTTTCAAATTATCACTATCACTAGCCTTTGCAGTGCTTGCGTTAGGAGGGTGATGGAGCGTGTATGCAACTGGAGTAAATCCTTCAGGTTCTGGAGATTTCCACCATCTGTAGTCCACATCACTGTCTTGTATTCGGCCAACACAAGGTCGCTCCATGACCGTTCAATTGCGAAGCCACCGATAGTTCGATGTTTCCTGATAACCTGATATTGATCTATCAATGAGTCCAAATCGTTGATAGTCCTTTGACAAGAGGATAGTATTGTGCCAATACCATCCTGAATTTCCCTGTCGGCACTTTGAAAGAAGCTTATTTCAGAGTCAGCGTGAATGGACTCGGCTAGAAGCTTCAAGACTTTCGCTAGCCCGTTGATCTCCGCCTCGATTTCCTGAAATTCGGCTGGTGCATTGATCCGACCTGCGGAAAAGGCTCGACCGATTTTCCACGCAACTTGTGAAACCATCAAGATGTCCCCAATGCTGGGGACGGCCATAGTATCAGGCGAAAACGGGTCATGTAGCGACGTTGAAGCTGTAGTGATGAACTAAAACACACAGATCCAGGTACAGTATACGACAGTGATGATGAGGCAAGTCCATGAGTGCGAGAAGGAGAGAGGAGATGAGATGAGATCTGGGGAAGGCCTGCGATATACAGATGACGCTGGAGACGTGGGGGCTGTGAGGAGAGAGCTTTCGACTGAGCCTAGAGCGGACCTGACGGCATGCGGCTGGGTAAAAGGCGTCTGACATTTCAGTTCGCTGAAAGGTGAGAGCGGAGGATAATGGAGCGCGATACTCGAGTAGGCGAGCAGGGGTGACACGTGGGGTCTCTAGCGTACCATCATTGGCGTCTGTAGATCTATCGGCGAACTGACGACTGCCCTACCAAGATGGAAATCTCCGTCAGGCGTGCGTGGCTGAGCTCAACTGAATCGATACGAGACCAAGCCTAGGTTCTTTAGTTTCCAGCGAATGTGGCACGCTCATGCAAGGCATTTATGTATGGTGCAGAATGCGGCCTGCATGATCGTGGAGAGACACCATACCGCATTCGTGCTGCAGGGTACTATTTATCTGTCTTAAGATGTCTGTTGTACATGATACAGATCCCACTCCGTGGAGGGTTCTCGCCTGCCGACTACCGATCTGTGGTGTGGAGAAGTATGCCAAAGCCCGGCAGGATGTTCAGAGGCCGTAGTGCCGTCCGTTCCAACCATTCTCAACCAGTGAACCCATACGCCTGATCCCTGTAGTATTGTACAATGAAGTGTAGTCATTCGTCAAAGCATCCGGTAAAAGTCTTCGTCATGTTTACGCGAGTGGAGAGAAGAGTCTAGGACTGTTAGCGAATCATATACGATGGAGTGGTATGTATATGGCATCTGTTGATTGAACGCCATGGCATTCTATGTTGGAAATTTCCACGGCACCGATGTCCATAAGACGGACGAGCGTCCCATGATAGAGAGATGGCTGCTGTGGGCTTGCGTAGGATCGTTATAACATCTTGACTCACCGGATGAGCGACGGCTTAGGTTGGCTTTGGGAGTAACCAAGGTAGAGAATTAGAGGAAGGTAGCCGTAGTGAATGGCGACGCGGGAGACATCGATGATGCGGGCGATGCGCTCCTGACATAGTGTTAGATTGCGGTCGAAACGTCTGCTATAGTGATTGATGGCGCACTTTTGATTCTTCTGATAGCTGGTACATGCTGACTGTGTGGATTCGCTTCTCGGAACGGAGACTTGAGATGGGTAGAGACGAGGTGGAGGGCGGTTAGCGATGAGGTTGTCTTCGATGAAGGCAATGCTGCAAGCCAAAATCTTGGAGCCGGGGACTTTGGGTATATTAACCACGTTCAGGCTAGCGTGACGTCAAAGCTTCAAAACTTCGAGCTTCCGCATCACCTACTGCCCGTGACTTCGACGCCGCACGACAAGCACCGCGCCCCGCAGAGGTACGGTAACTCGATCATCTAATAGTGAGAACGTCAGCTTGCTGCTTTCGGTCAAACCTCATCTCGAACCTCGATAGCCCACCATGTCAGCTCCAAGCGCCCGTCACTGGTAAGTCAACTTGAATACAAAAGTAGTGCGCTGATGCTAATCATGTTAACAGGGAGCAAAACAAGGAGGCCACGGTCTACGTGGGAAACCTCCACGAGCGTATCACACCGAGAATCCTCCATGAGTTAATGCTCAATGCCGGCCGTGTGCGCAACGTCAACATGCCCGTCGACCGTGTCAACGGCCAACACCAAGGCTTCGGCTTCGTCGAATTCCACACCGAGTCCGAGGCCGACTATGCGCCCAAGATCATGAACAACGTCGCGCTATATGGGAGCAGAATCCGCGTCAACAAAGCATCAGCCGATAAGCAACGGAATGTCGAGATTGGCGCAGAGCTTTTCATTGGCAATCTCGATGCCATGGTGGATGAGAAGACGCTATACGACACATTTGGCCAGTTTGGACCGCTCGTCAACGCTCCAAAGATTGCCCGCGACGAGACGAACCTTTCCAAGGGTTACGGCTTCATCTCATTTGGCGACTTCGAATCCTCAGACGGTGCCATCGCCAGCATGCACGGTCAATACATCATGAATAAGCAGATTACGGTCCAGTATGCATACAAAAAGGATGGCAAGGGTGATCGGCATGGAGACGAAGCAGAGCGCATGCTTGCAAAACAGGCCAAGGCCCACGGCGTCGCAGCCGCTGTTCAACCCCTACCAGCACACCTTTTCCAACTTCCACCAGGTGCTGCCGTTCCTACAGGACCCGCTATGGGTGCAGATGGTCGAGGTATAGGTGGTGGACCTAACGGACCTTCAGGCTTCGGACCGCCTAACGGAGCCCCAGGCTTCGGCGCACCTCATGCGCCTCCAGGCTATGGCCGGCCAGGACCTCCAGTAGGGCCTCCTTCTCTTCCGCCAGCCCCATCTGGCTTACCAGCTCGTCCGCCGAGTGGAGCGCCTGCAAACTTCTTTCCTCCGCCCCCTGGGTTTGGTAACGCGCCGCCCAACGGACCACCTGGATTTAATGGACCACCCGGATTTAATGCTCCACCTGGGTTCAATGCCCCACCAGGTTATGGACCTCCAGGTTTCGCTCCCAGATGATTGCATCCCTAGATGAGGTGGAATGCAACAATGCAGCGACGAGTTATGAGAGCTCTCCAAGAACCAGCGTCGCCCACCAAGGCTATTCGAGCAGGCCTGAGGAGGCCTCCGCGGTAGACTAAAGGCCAATCACCAAGAGCCATGTCGACCCCACTGAGCAATCCATGGCGTGTCCATCACTGTCTGTCGCAACTCGGGGCTTCACTCGTCACGACTGGAGGCACGGGTGGAGTAAGAGTGTGGCGCATTTGCTGAGAAGGTGAAGTCGTCGATTGGTATCAGGAATACAAGACTACGAAATAATGGACGCTGTGAACCCGAAGAAGATACGCGAGTAGACATAATAAAGTCAAACGGATAAGAGCTGCAAATGTAACATCTCTGTCATCCCAATGTGCATCGAAGTTGCCCATGAAATGTCTGTGCAAATGAAATATAACATGACCCAGTCCTCTCAACCTTCCCAGACAACCTTCCCAGGTGTGAACAAAAGAAATGATTAGTGGTGGTGAGATGAGATGGCTGTCGTCAAACGATGCGTAGCACTACCTCATGAAAAGCTGACAAACTTCGGATCGCGTGGTACTCCATCCGCCCCGATTCCGTTCTTCTTGAACCTGTCTTGCATGTATATCCTTCTTGCCTCGTCAAAGTCTACCCCTCTCCGTTTCATTATGCGCATGACATCCTTCTTCCCCGCATCATCCAGGCCCTGTCGTGAATCTCCGGCTTCTACGTTCCCGCTGAGATCGAAAGCAGAGGACGAGAGTCCGGCTTCGATGTCATCGCGGAAGGAGGTCGGAAGGCGCGTATAGATTGGTTCGGGAATAGGAAGGAGGTGTATCCAGCGGTGCCGGGTGAAGTATGCGGCTGCGGACTGTTAGTTGATGGGTGGGAGGGGTATAGCTCTTGGAAGAGACCGTACCGGTAGCAAGGACAAGGACGCAAAACAAGGAGACGGAATAGAACATGTAGGCCATTCTGGCGGTGGGTATGAAGCTCTCGAGGGGTACCGTTGCGTATGCGACAGCTCGGGGTCCTCGGGAGTGCTTATTCGAGCTGCTGAGGGCGCGAAGGAGGCTCAACGAAGGGTAACAAAGGAAAAGGCGCTATATAGCGAACTCTCGTCGCAGCACGTAGCCGGGGAAGCCCTCGCACCGAAGATGTATCAAAAGTCCGATGAGGTAACGCCTAAGCAAGCAGGCAGTCCAAGGAGACGCGGACAAGTCGTCTCAGCTGCACCGCCCCATCCACTAGCCCGGGCACGCGTCGTCACTTCCCGTTGTGGCGTCGGCAGCCATGATAATCCATCCCCGACGCGCACTAACCGCGATTCGGTAATGCAGACGAGCTGCAATATTCACGCCCGAACTTCCAACCGTCAACACCAAGCAGTCCGTATCCACACTCCATACAGACGAAATGGCCGCCACTATTCCTCACGATCTTGCCTGGGAGGTCACCAGTGAGTTTGCCAGGGTTTTATCATGAAAGAGGGCGGGGTTGACAAGATACAGAGGGACACAGCGCAACGCTGGTCAAGAGGGCGAATGGTGTGCAGTTCTCGCGCGATCCTCTTAACCTGAGGAACTTGTACAGCCGCAAGGTACGGATCTCCATGCAGTGCTTGAAGATAATTGCTAATTGTGCGCAGAACGAGGGCCAGATCGCCAACAAGGTACGGCTACCCTGAACCGCGAATACGACGACGTGATTGGAATTAATGAGGGATATGTGTTGACAACGTGGAAACAGGCCATCGGTATCATTGCCGGCAAGGATGGCGGCGTCACCCTTTTGACCAAGAAGTCCGACAAGCACCACCAGCCCGCTACCTCCACCCAGACCACCACCTTCGGTGCCCAGCGATCAACCCGCAAGTACGTCTTCCTCGAACTATGACTATCCTAGTCCGCCTATGTCTTTGCGGGATCCTGATTGCAACAATTCACTAATGCCACATAGGACCTACTCCGCCATTGTCAACTCCACCGTCAAGCGCAACTACCGCCCCGATCTCCGCAAGGACGCTGTCGCCCGCGCTTCCGCGATCCGCAAGAGCCAGAGGCCAGTCAAGGCTGACAAGCCATCGAAGCTCAGGGGTGCTAAGGCCAAGGCTGCCGCTGAGAAGGCATAGATGCTAAAATGAGAAGAGAAGAAAGCGGTATTTACTTCATTCGGGTTCATTTGGGTCTCGGAGCTCAATCACGAATGCACTGGAATGACTAGATGAGATGGAATGCATAATCAGCTAGGACTTCATAGCGAAAGGACTGGCGAAAATGAAATGCTTCGAAACTTCAACCTTGGCGTTCAATGAGGTGGTGATGTTTGTTTGGGACCGATTGGTGTGTGCTAAATCTATTACAGCCGATTTCGCATACATGGCAGGGTTTCCAAAACTCAGATTCTGAGTCACAAATAGGCCTACAAGCGGACCGCCCTCCGCCTCCGGGAAGCTGATTTAAATACACATGTCCACTACTATACTCCAAGCAGCCGAGCCCCCGCCACATCTAAACTTACGCACCGTGATACAGCACATATTCGACAACAGTAAAGATCATGATTGGTCAACATGGGACTAACCTCGCCGTCGCCGACGTGTGTGCTACTTCTTCATATTCAAGGCACCACCCCGACAAGATATTTTAGTTCCTTCAAAAGCACGCTATTTCGCAGATGTAGACTCATTAGACTGCCCGCGAAGCAAATCAAGAGTCTGGTACTTCGGTCGCTGAACAGCGCATAGGATGAATAGAGAGGTAAACAGACAAGGAATGAGTATAGGGTAGGATAAAGTCCATGTTAGGATCTGCTGTCCTACTCGCAATCATCTTTAACAGGTCGGTAAGTCTTTGGTTACATAGTATCAATCCTGAAAGAATAACAAATTCACACCTCAACCTCATATTCCAACGCACAAACGCGCGTAACCTCCAATCCACTCCCAGTCTGCTTCTTACTATTCTGCCCAAACACAATACTGCCACACTTAATCCTATCCAGACCCTCCTCTCTTACGACCTCCATCGTCCTGTTCAAGACATGTGTGAGCTTCGTATTCGTGCTAATGGTGTATATCGGCGGCGCGCTGAGTGTACTGGGTACAGTGTACGTCTTCTGCGCTTTGCAGAATGGGGAAGTGGGACAAGGCGTGTGTGGTGGTAGACCGCAGTGGCCATCGAAAAGGCTAGGAGTAGTAGGAGGTAGATTAAAAGGCCGGGTTTTGCGTATGTGTAGGAGGAGGCGGACTTGTGGGTATGCTGAAGCGCCGGATGGGTTTGAGGGGCGAGAGGGAGATGCTTGTGCGAGCATTTTTGCGGCGGTTTGTGAGACCCATGTTTGCTTTGTGGTGGCGGGTGAGATGTCGGGTTGCTGTTGTTCTCGCTTTGAGGATTCGGCGTGGGAGCCGTCGATGATTGAAGGCCTGCAGTGAGCGTTCAGGGACGCGAGCAGTGCGCTGAGAAAACTATCTAGTCCGTAAAGCAGAGGGTCGTGTAAACAATCTACATTTACAGTGAGTGTTGGAACTTGGCGTTTTAGTTTCGTGAGGAGTGGTCGGAGGATTGGTGTTGCTCCGATGTTTATGAAGCGACAGGCCGCGAGGATCTGGACAGGGAGGGTGTATGTAGTCAGGGTTATAGACGGCATATCCCTGACCGGAGCATGTTGACAAAAGATTGACTGCTTGTCTTGCGCCACTTCGATGGAGAGAAGCGTGAAGCCATTGGCTAGGTCTCGGCTGAGCTCATAGTGTTTAGTTGAAATGTCGAGGTGTTCATATATAATCAATCGTAGTTCCCTAGGCAGGTTTAGGAACCGGGATGGAAGAGTGTCTATCGTCATAACTATTCAGTGAGTAGTTATCTGCAATGATCCGTACAAGGTAGTGTGAGGGTTTGAGAGTGCCTATCTAGACTATTGAAGTCGGGCGTGCAATTCTGACGCTCGAGTGGACATCTATTCAACTACATATGCTAACAGTGTCGTAGTACGATTAGGTCGCATAGTGTAAGGGGGCCCTAGGGAAAGGCTCCAGCACGGATTGCGTTGAGTGATGCAGCGAGGGACCAAGGGGATTGCTTGATGTAACTTGTGATGACAATTCAGCGAACTCTCACATGTATGTTTCTTTTTCAAGACGCCGCTACGTAGTTTAGCAGCTTTCATGAACGTGGATAGTTGCTTTGGTAAGCCAGTGTCCTATTGTTTCGCCCACGTTCTTACTTTCAGCCGTTAACCCGTTCAGTTACTATAGCCGATCCTACTCCCAAGAGGAGGTAGATACTGCTTAGCGATTTGATTACCCACGATGTAATGGAGCAAAGAGAACTACTCCAGCTTCTCATCGCGTATCACAAATTGCGCGTGCCCTTGTGCAATGTCGTCATCACGCCGCTCTCCCTTCACCTGCACAACAAAAAAGCAAAAAAGAAGCCAAAAGTTAAATCACTCACGACAACAAAAAGAATCGAACATACGACTAGTGGGTGTTCCCCTCTCTTCCAACTTCCGCTCAGATGTTGCCGTATGATGAGAGCTCACCTCACTTCCGCCTTGGAGAGAGTACTAATCCACGTGATTGCGAGGGGCCAGTTCGCAACCCAGTCAACTTCCCACTGAGCCAGGTAGGACGAGTGTTTTTCGCACTGGGGTCCGTGGCATGGGTTGACCTATGATCGTATGTGGAAGACTTGGGAAGTTTAAATTATATATAGGCGCGTAATTTGGGGGCTTTCACCTAGCAGGTGGAAATTGGTCGTGGGTGAGAGGCGGGTGACGCGAGGCCCGTGGGATCGTAGGCGAGGGGGTTGCTTTCACCTCGGGATCTACTTGATCTGTGGCTTGAGATGTTTGTGGTCGCTCAGGAAGACGTACGTACTAGCAATGTCGTATCGTTGTATCACCTTCTTCTCTTTATATGCTGACGAGCGTCGACAACACCGAAGACAGCTCATCGAATCACAGCAAGAACACGATAGTGAGAAGAAAATGAACAATAGACATATTATGGAAGTTCAGTAATAGACAATGAGACGAAAGGCAATGGTCACGAACGATAGGAAAGAAATCGTCAGACTAATAGGTGAGAGCGTAAAGAGCCCCTTCGCCATCTTCCCAAGTTTGTATCTCACGTTAAAAGTAAAGGGAGAGAATTGACATAGTGAGGGAAAAGAGACATAACGCAAAAGCAGAAACTGAAGTTTAGAAGAAATAGAAACATCTTTCACGGACTATGTTCAAGCGCAAAGGAAGTAGAGAGGATAGATGTGCCTACTCATCCTGGGGTTGAAAGGCGATTTTTTACACACAGCCATGTGTTGAGTTTGCACTATAGGTGTGAGTGTTGATATGAAGAATGGTGGTCGATCATCCAACGTCTGATCACTGGAAGATCTTCGCGCTACTTGCTAGCGTCGATGTCGGCTTGCCGATCTCAATGGCTTCCCAAGGTCCACTCACATTACCTTTAGCTACTTCTGTGTTCTCACTACATACATAGTAAGATGGAGACGCTGAAATTGCAGCGAGTCAAGACTACAATGCCTACGTACCAAGTCTTAGCTCCCTCTTTGTAAGGTCAGACAACTTATATGCATGCGCATGAGAAGGGAGGGAAGAAGAATATGCACCGCACAAGACGGCATGGCATTTGATTAAAAGAGCGGGTATTTCGTGGCAATCTAGCTACATTGGTATCCAAGAACAAAACAAAGGCCCTACTCCAAAACCAGACCTCCGTCGTGTCGTCAGGGTGCGTATATCCAACACGGGACGCCGAGGACCCCGCTATGCAAAAGTAACCCAAACTCAAAGCGCGCTAAGCAGACGAAAAAAAGAAGCTGGCGTTCAATGCAGCCTTGCAAATGCATCAATGCTGTCAAAGCTGGTGCTATCAAACAAACGCCGGCGTAAGCGTGTTCCGAGGCCAAGGATTGAACGAATTCTATTCGCCGTTTACCTGGCCGTTTCCAGTACTGCGGTCTGCGCCCATGTACCGCTGCATGTAGGTGATGTAGTCGAATTTTGCCAAGTCGCGGTCTTCTTGCATGTCAGGCCCCTTGTGTTCGGGCATCGAGGACATGAGGTCTTCGATGACTTCGTCAGGAACGAGAGAGTGCCGCAGGTCCAGTTCTGTAACGTACGGCTGCGGGTTGTTAGACATGGTGGGTAAAAGGGCATCCGGAACGAAGTTGTACTTACTTTACCATCGGCTACTTCCTTGAACGATTCGAAAACCTGCTCGGCCGTGTTCTGATCTTCTGTCTCGTCGACCATAAAGCGGATGAACTGCTCGAAGGTGACGTAATCCTTGCCGCCGCTGGTCTCGCGGAATCGCTGATGCATCTCTTCTTCGTCATAGACTAGACCCAGACTTGCTAATGCCGCAGAAAACTCCAATTCTGCCAATGAATTTGACAGGTCGCGATCAAAGTGCCTGAATACCGACTCAAACTCTTCCAGTTGTATAGGTGTAAGATTTGTCATGTTGCGTGCCACCATCTGGTTTTCAAGGAAAGCAAGCTTCTTCGACACAGAGTTTCGCACCAGGCCGAGTTCGTACTCCAGTTCATCGTATGTGTATGTGGTGAAATCATTCTCTTCGATGTTTGCCTCGGCGCACTGTTCGTCGATGGAAGCAATGAGATTGAGGTATTCGTCTAGGGGAGAAAGCGACTTGCTAATCTCCTTTGTGTGCTCCAGTTGGTCTTCGACTTCACCTTCCAGAGCAGATATCGAGGTAGACAGCGTATTGAGAGCTAGGGCAAAGTCGTTCGCTTTGTCGGCGAAGGATTTCCTCAGTGCATTCTTGATATCTCGGATTGTTTCGTTGATGACTTGAGAGCGTTGTCGCTCAGCTTTCATCAAGCCGGTCCATGCTGCATCCAGTGCCTCTAGACTTAGTTCTGCAGGAGGATCGTATGGCCGGAGACGATATGTGGCCAGCTTTGTCCTGATGTTGCCCAACAGTCCCACCAAGTCTGACTTTTCCGCTACCCATGTCCGCTTGCTCTTTCGCTTCCATGCTGTGAACTCTGTTGACTGGTTCCTAGCATCTGTGTATGATCCGTCAAACCTGGCCTCCACCCACTCTGTCCGCTGCTTCGCAACCTGGCCGAGCAGCTCGCGCATGCGCCGCTCGAAGTCATTCTGCATCTGCCATGCTCCTTGCATGTTGTTCACAAACTTCTCCACTCGTCGGCCGGCGTTCTCCACACGCTCCATCTGCGAGAAAGCATGGAACCAGTAGGCAATGTAGGTCATGAGTGAGCGCTCGTCGGGCTTCGCAACGTCGCAAACGTCCTCCACATCGAGGAGGTCGGGAATACCGATTTCTTTCGAGGCTATGTCGAAGGCAAGTTGCATGTTTCCACGGTGGTCGCTCTTGTCGAGGCTATCGTAGTCGATCAGGTCAGGGCGGTGGATGTCGAGGAGTGCGCAGCTGTTCATGTATTAGTTTGTTACCTGGTGAAGGCTGCTGGTACTCACAATGCTAGTCCATCGTTCCAGCTTGTCGAGAAGTCACGCACTTCGATCTCATCGTAGCAGGCCGTCTTCCTTTGGCACCACAACAGGAGACCCTCTTTGGCGCTCAGGCCCTCCTCGTTGATGTCGCTAATGGTGAAGCGTAGAATCAATGTCCATATTAACCCGAGTATGATCTTGCTATTTCCGTCGACGACGTCCTCTGCACCAATATTGGTCATCTGAATTCCCCTACTCCGGATATAATCCAGCGACTTGTTGACATTCTCAAACTTCTGGACCCGCAGCTTCGGCCGGGAGGCATAGCGGCCGAGGGATTCATTGCTGAGGATCTCAAGAAGGTGTATAAGGACAATCTAGAGAGGTTGTTAATATGGGTTGCTGCGGTATCGGGGGGAGGGGTCCGTCTTCAGGGCCAGGAGGGGGACACGCACGCCGTCAGCGAGGTCTGTAATAAGGTCTTGAATCTCGACCTGGCGAGTCTTTATTTTGCTGTTCAGCCTGCAGCCATGCGGTTAGCAGTGTGTAGAGCGAGCATGTGGTGCCAATGGCGGGGAAGGATGCGCACCACTTTGTGAATGTTTTCTGCTGGACCTTGACCCATTGCTGCTCAAGCGGCGCCATTTTTCTGGACTGTGTGCATCAGGGCTGCGTCGAAATATGGCCGCATGCGGGTAGGAATAGGATGTGGGTATCGAATGGTTGCTGTGTGGTTGTCTTCGCTGGCCAAAACAATGAATGGCTGACTGCGGGCGCGGACTCGGCTGTCGTTGCGGGGCCCCTGGGAGCAGCGCTTGTCAGGCGTCGTAGTCGGTCAAAGTCAGCCTCTTTCTCCTTGGGCCAATCCTTACTGCAATATCAAGCTTTTCGCCCAATCTTTGTCACAATGGACAGTACCTGGCAAGGGCGTGCATTGGAGTCATTGGGTGCGCCCGTCATCTGCCATTGCCTGGCGGGGCGCATGCCGCTGGAGTAAGCAGTCACTGCACGTATATTGGTTGGCTATTTACAGTATTCATTCATTCGCCCACGCCCTTGCCTGCATTATGGCCAAAGGGACAGCTGAGACGGCTGCATCTTTGCCCTACCATGAGCCGGACATCGTAATCATCCTGGTCCAGACGTCCTTTCTTCTGCTGCTCAACATCGTCAACACTGCACTCGACCGCATTTTATACTGCGGCCTGTTGGGACAAATCTTGCTAGGCATTGCTTGGGGCACCCCAGGCGCAAAATGGCTGTCCGTAGGCGTAGAAGAGACATTGGTACAGCTAGGCTACCTGGGCCTGATATTGCTTGTATATGAAGGTTTGTCTACTTCTCCAATTGTCGACTCTCGACAGTCTATGCTATCTTGCCGACGCGGAAGCTGACGACATCTTGCTAACATTCTACAGGTGGTCTACATACTTCGTTTCAATCCATGAAAGCAAACCTGCTTCTCTCTTCTGGCGTGGCCCTCACTGGGATTACTACCCCCATCGCTCTGTCGTACACCCTTCAGGGACTTCTCAATGCCACTCCGGTTCAAGCCTTTGCTGCCGGCGCTGCCTTGTGCTCGACCAGTCTCGGAACAACATTCGCAGTCCTGAGCGCAAGTGGCCTTTCAGCCTCGCGTCTCAGCGTAGTCTTGACGAGCGCAGCTATGATGGACGATGTTGTTGGTCTTGTCATGGTTCAAGTCATCTCGAACTTGGGTAGTGATGATTTCAGTTGGGTCACTGTTGTCCGTCCTATTCTCGTTTCAGTTGCATTTGCTGTCCTTGTTCCCCTGGTCTGTCTCTTCATCGTAAAGCCCTTCACCCTATGGCTAAACCAGCACCGCGAGGTCCATCCGGCCGCACGTTCTAATGCCATCTTACACAAGACGCAGACTGTTTTCGCAGTCCACACGCTGCTTCTGGTAGGTCTTGTGGCTGGCGCTACCTATGCGGGAACGTCAAATCTGTTCGCTGCTTACATTGCAGGCGCTACTATCAGCTGGTGGGACTCTGAAGTGCCTCATCCTGCGACAAATCACTCGGACGGTATCGCGCCTACTGCGCCCAGCACCCAGCCAGACAAGACAGACAATGGCAATGCAGAGGCACGGTCTTCGCAGGCATCGGGCCAGGAGACATGCGGATCGGCCATATATCAGCGATACTATCATGCGGCTGTATCTAGGATCCTCCAGCCTCTCTTCTTCGCGTCTGTTGGCTTCTCGATTCCGATTACTCGCATGTTTAGGGGGGCTATCGTCTGGCGAGGCATCATTTACACGGTTCTTATGGCTTTTGCAAAGCTGGCATGCGGTCTTTGGCTCGTCAAATGGTCGACACTACCGGGCAAGGAGATGATCAATCAGTTATTGGCAAAGGTGAAGTTCCCGCCAGCTGCACATCAAGTAGGAAAGAGCGACCGTGCTGCACCGTCGCCTCGGGCAAGTGCGTCTAATGCAGCAGCAACCACCTCCCCGTCGAATGCCGGAACTCAGGCGTCATGCAGCTCGCCCAGCCCAGCGAAACCCTTCTCGCTCCATCCACCTCTTATTCTTGCTCTCGCCATGTGTGCTCGCGGGGAAATAGGCTTCTTGATCTCTGGAATTGCAGAATCGCAGGGCATCTTCTCACCTACTGGCAAAAGATTGAGTGAGCCATCTGACCTCTTCCTTGTCGTTACCTGGGCGATCGTTCTCTGCACTGCCGTCGGCCCGCTAGGTGTTGGCCTATCGGTCAGCAGAGTCAGGAAGCTCCAGGAGGAGAAAAACAAGCAGCAGGAGGGCGCTGGAAGAGACGTGCTGGGTGTTTGGGGGGTGGAGTAAGATGCCCGACTGAGCGGGTCCGTAGCCGTCTCTGGAAGACATTTGCAGGCCAACCCTATACCATATATATGACGTGCAGTGACGAGGGGTTGCAATACAGGGGTGCCCATCTTGTTCGTAGAATCGGCTACGGGCACTGATGATGGGATTGAAACATGGTGAAGGTCGTGTAGGAAGGATGTAGCAGTGCATGAAACGAGATATTACATCGTGTTGTGTCACGCGCTGTATTTCAGTCGATCGCAAAAGTTGTCCCGCAGTGTTGAAACGCATGAACCAACGGGAGGCGCTGCATTTGGCATCATCCGTCTTCACGTCAGGCAGAGTTTCTTAATTTTAAACAGCCAAGCCATGTGAGAGGCGGTGGAGCGGAGCAGTTCCCGGCAAGCAATGGTGGTGGTGGTGGCGGCGGCTATGGAAGTTTTCTGGTGCAACTTGGAAGCGTTTCAGACGCACGCTTGATTCAACGGATAGCCTCCTCTGAAACGCTGGACGCGCTGGGGGGCCGTCTGGTACGGCGCCGTTATAGACATGCGGAAAATTCTGTACGCGCTGGGCCTGATCGCTGTGCTTGCTTCGTGCCAACCTTCCTGCTGACAGCCCCTTCACCTCCTTCCTCTTTCAAGAGCCAATGACAGGCTGACACGGGCGCCATTGGTCCAGAGCCCGCATCACGTGCCAGACTTGTCGCTGCTGCTCTAGTAGCGCGCAGTCATTGGGGGAGAGACCCTCGAAGACTAGCCAGGAAGACGGCTCCACCAAAGTAACCACTCCAGCCAACACTACCATACGCTCCCCAGCGCGCTCTCCCATCCCTTTTGCTGCGAGCACTTCTATTCGCATACCACCTCTGAAGTTCTTCCACGCGGATATTGCACCCAAATATCCCTGTTTGGTACATTACCGCGGCTTCGACTGGTAGCGGCCCTCGCTCGCTGTCTGGACCACCAACTGCTCCTCCGCCTGTACTGCAGCCCGACCTCGCACTGCTGCTTACTCTACACGACCGCCCCCTCCTGAATCGTTCCCCCCCTCCTCGATACGACTTCTACGGCCCCTTCACAGCGAACATCGCCCCCATATCGTAGCCTAAACTCGGCCCGCCACCTGCTCACTTCACGGCCACCGCCCACCCCGCCATTCACCGCATCCACCGAGGGTTAGGCTGCATTGGAGGCAGCAACGCGTCCGCAGCGGACTGTAGCCGTGTAATACCCCTTGTAGCTATTGTTTGAATTTCTGTATCGCCAAGTGAGTATTTCTCGACTCCCTGCCCAGCCTCGCTCACGCAATTCGCGTTGCACCCGCACACAATCGAACCTGGCCACAACACCAGTATCCAGCCAACTTACGACCGCCACCGTCACTTGCCGGCCACTCCACTAACACGGCACGCAGCATGTATTCCCGCGAACAGTTCATGAACCCCGGTCCTGCACCACGGCCACCCACCGATCGTCCTCGTCTCGCCCTTACCCCAAACACTAGCAATACCCTACCAGGCAACATGGCAGGCCTCAGTCTACAGTCGCCGGCTTTTAACAGCTCGCAAACGTCCCTTGTACGAACACAAACCGAGAAGAGTGTTTCGTCTACAGCCGTCGTCAAGGAGGGCATGGTCAAGGTCAAGGATGAGGGTCTCTTCAAGTCGTTTGTCTGGGCAGACCGGTGGCTGGTCTTGCGCGAGTTCGAGCTGAACTTCTTCAAGAGCGCGAATGCGTCCAAAGTGTCGAACACGATACAGTTGCGAGACATTCTTGGCGTGGAGCGTTCAGACACGCAGCCGCTGTCCTTTGAGATTACAAGAGCACTCAATTCGAGCAAGGGCTCCTCTCCGCCTCGCGATGGACCCACCAAGATCATCACTTGTAAGGTCGAAACCGACGACGATGTTTACTCGTGGATAGACAGCATCTACCAGCGCTGCCCCAGCATGGGCGGCGTCAGCAACCCCACTAACTTCACCCACAGAGTGCATGTTGGCTTTGATCCCAACAGTGGGGCTTTTGTTGGCTTGCCAGTTGAATGGGAAAAGCTTCTTACAGCTTCTGCACTCACTAAAGATGACTACGCAAAGAATCCCAAAGCCGTGCTCGAGGTCCTGGAGTTTTACACCGAGAAGCTCGTCAAGCGATCTGAGGACCCCCAACAATACTCCAGTCTTACCCCAACCCCGCCTGTGAACGCTGGAATGGAAAAGCAGCTCGGTTATGGCGGTAGCGGCAACTCTGTCGCGCCTCCACGTCCTGCTCCCCCAGGCGCCTACCAACGCAAGGATAGCTATAGCCTTGGACGCCAGGATACCCCTCCAGGTTCTGGCTATCAGACTCCACAGAACTCTTCGCAGCAGGATCGCTACGAACAGGAAAAGCGAAGGCAGGAGGAACAGGTACGGATGCAGCGCGAGCGTGAGCGAGATAGGCAAAGACAGGAGTATGAGCGACAACAGCGCGAAGAGCTGGCTGCATACAATGCCTCGTTACCACAGAAGAAACTTCCGCTTGCACAACAGGAAATCGGTGGTGGTGGCATTGATTCGCGAGATGCGAGTCCTTCAGGCCAGCAGCGTTATAATCCAAGTCGCCCAGCTCCATCTACGCCGGGGGCGCCTAGGAACCAGCAGCAGCAGCAACAGCAGCCTCCAGGGTCTTTGCGCCAGATGGCCGCGCAACGTCCAGCACCTCCAGCACCACAACAACAAAATGGCAGTTACAATACTTCTCCGTCGTCCAAAATACCGTCTACTCAACAACAGCGCCCTCCTATTCAGCCGAATAATAGTTACAAAGGTTCGCAAAACCAGGTACCACAGGTGCGACCCACCAATGGCCAGACACAACAACAAAAGCAATATCAAGGCTCATCCGCGGCACCGAAGCCATTGAACGTGGCTAAGCCTACCGGCGCTCCCGCCAATGATGCTGTGAAGAAGGCTGAGCAAGCACTTACCAGCAAGCCTAAAGAGGAGGCTCCACGCAAGGATGTACGCATGTCTAGCATGTCTGAGAGTGAGGTCATGGCCAAGCTTCGAGAGGTCGTATCCAAGGAGAAGCCGCTGGACTCATACAATAAGCAAAAGAAGATTGGTCAAGGTGCCAGTGGTTCTGTCTATGTCGCTCGTATCCGAGAGGGCGCGACCTCACCAACGGCAAGGCGGGTTATGCAGGAGAATGGGCCTCGCGCCCAAGTTGCCATTAAACAAATGGACCTCCGCAATCAGCCCCGTAAAGAGCTCATCGTGAACGAGATCATTGTCATGAAGGACAGCAAGCATCCCAACATTGTCAACTTCTTGGATGCTTTCTTACAAGAAGAGCAATCAGAGCTCTGGGTAGTCATGGAGTTCATGGAGGGAGGTGCTTTAACTGATGTCATCGACAACAACCCTTCTATTAGTGAAGATCAGATTGCTACTATAAGCTTTGAGGTGAGTGACTTTGAGTCTAAAATCGGAAGACTGAAACTAATTCCGGGTAGACTTGCAAGGGTCTGGAGCATCTGCACAACCAGAACATTATTCATCGAGACATCAAGAGTGACAATGTCCTGCTCGATGGACGCGGCAATGTCAAGATTAGTACGTCCAGATCTTCCATTCTATTTGTCATCATTCCTGCTAACTTTAAGTAGCTGATTTTGGCTTCTGTGCCAAGCTCACTGAACAACGCAGCAAGCGTGCAACCATGGTCGGAACCCCATACTGGATGGCACCCGAAGTTGTCAAGCAGAAGGAGTATGGCAATAAAGTCGATATCTGGTCTCTAGGCATCATGGCTATTGAGATGATCGAGTCCGAACCTCCTTATCTGAACGAAGAACCGCTCAAGGCCTTGTACCTCATCGCCACTAACGGCACACCTCGTTTGAAGAAGCCGGATAAGCTATCAAAGGAGCTCAAGGCGTTCTTGTCAGTCTGCCTCTGTGTTGACGTCAAGTCCCGCGCTAGCGCGTCGGAGTTGATGAGCCATGACTTCTTGAAGAGCGGTTGCAGCTTGGCGAGCCTGTCTCAGCTGCTGAACTTCCGAAAAAACGGCAGCCACTAGAACAAGGCATACTACACGACGAACGAGGAGGATGAGGTGATATTACTGAAGAGTCTTTTCCATGTTTTTCGTCATGCGTTCTGGACTCTCGATCGATACCCTTTCCATGTACATTTTCGCATCCTATATCCATGCCTCGGTCGGAATTCACCACATACCGGCAGAATAAGCGATACAAAGCAAACATGCAAGCGAAGGAGCCAGTTAATCCGTGCCTTCATCGACCTTTAAAACTTCTTGACCCCGGTCATTTTCAGTCTCTTCTACGGGTGCGCGGTCGCGCTCCTGCTTTGCGTGCGTCTTTTCTCAGCTGTGTGTTTTACTGCGCCACGGGGTAATGAATCTTGAAGGAACGACGTTTTGCGAATGCAGCCAACGAAACTGGGGACATTGGGAAAATCGACTCTTAGCTTGTTTTCAAGGCGTGGCATGGCCTCTTTTGGCACAACCGTCCATGATTCGCCCCAGCTGCGAACGAAAAAGGAGGCCGCGCGGTTTGGGCTTTGGATATAGGCCATCATCCACTACCTTGAAGCGAGGTCATTTGAATTTATTAGATCCATGTCCTGCGGTGGATAAACATTACGGTATCTTGCTAGGCTCTCCTCGCAACGTGCTCCACGGTTTTCGGGAATGTTCTCTGCGCAGCGATATCAGTGGGTTTGCGTACTTGAATACACTTGAGCATACAGGCGCTTATGGAGTTACTGTAATGACTTGATTGCACACACGGATAGATTAATGAAGACGGTTCAAATGGATTCACATCGTATCATATTAAATTCGGCGGGCATTTGAATTCGCCTTCTCGGAGAATTTCACCTTTGCATCTAATATCGTATTGGCGGTACAGAGTTGCCGGGGCTGCAACGCAGACCAAGCTACGTGAATATACGCTTCTTCTACTTTGCTATTGCTTTTGGCATTCTACGTAAAATTGGGTATTTTTACCTGGTATTCTTGAGTATTTATCTAAGATTTACCGCCGTCGGTAACTTTATGTGTTTGCCCATACCATCTATCTCTATAAAGCTTTGCGCGAACTGCTGATGCAGTATTTGAGCTTCACCAGTCTCATCTCGTGGTCGACTAGTCGCTAACGCGGTAGCCAAACTTGAGAAGGTCCTGCTCCTCAATCTCATTCTTCTTTTCCAACAACTCACTAACATCCCACGTTGCACTCAACAGCCTACCGTTCAGCCACATCTTCTTCTCGCGACTCAGCCAAACGCAGAAAGCGCCACATAAACCGACATCGTCCGTGAGATCTATCAAGTTCAGCTAATACAAACTAAGAAGTGACTTTGAGGGGGAGACAAACAAGGCCGAAAGCTGTCCGGGGTAGTCTTATTCGCCATCTCAGTATTAACAGCACCAGGATGCACAGCAACAGCCAACACACCCTCTTGACCATACTGTTCCGACAAAAACTCGACAAGACGCGCTTGCGCAAACTTCGAGATGCAGTACGCTGTATTCGCAATATGCCCGTTCATTATACACGCAGCGAACGAGCCAACCGCAATGAACGTCTTCGCTCCATCGCTCTCCTTCAACAGCGGAATAAAATGGTGCGCAACAAGATATGTCCCCTGCACATTGACGTCAAATACATCCTGGAAGTCCTGCGGGTTGCCCTCGTCGACTTTCAGCACTACAGGGCCAGAGTAGCCTGAATTGAGGACCACGATGTCTAGTCTGCTGACTGTTTCTTTCACACGCTGGGCTAGCGATGCGACGCTTTCAGACGATGTTATATCGACTGCGAAACATGTGGTGGAAATGGTGGGATTTAGTTTTTTGGCGCGCTGCTCTACTGCGGAGAGTTCTTGCGCGGAAGATGGGCGGGCGGCGAGGAAGAGGGAGCATGCGCCTGCGCGAGCATATGCGTGAGCTATGCCTTCTCCTATGCCCCGTGATGCGCCGATGATGAGGACATTGAGGGGCTTTGGTAGTTTGTTGGTTTGCGGGTCTAGAGCGCGGGTAGGTTGTCTGTGTTTTGTCTGGGTAAAGTTGCTAGCTAGCGTAGTGTCTCTCTGTCGTTGGGACATGATAGTTTTATGATGAATAATCTCTTTTACCCTAGACTTTATGGTGCTGTTTTGCCCTGGTTTCTTATACTACTTTGACGTTGATCGCTCAGTATGAGTCATGATTAGCGTCATCCTCATGCTGTTCATGTATTCAAGCCGTAGTGTGGCGCTAAAGACCTGGATTATCGGAGTGCATGTCTATGTATTCTCTGAAAACAATCACCGTCTGCCTTTTATACACACCTTCTGTGTCCGAGTATGACAAGCTGCAAGACTCAACTATTCATGGCCTAGAACTCTATACTGGTTGTTTGTAGAACAGTAGAAAGTGGGATCCAAACCAACATTGTTGTACAGTAGGTCCTACCTGCTAGAAGCGAGGAGTTATTCGCAGCATCGAGCCATATTCACGGGGAACATCAATTGCACCATGATCCTTTCGGGATGGAGATTCATCCGCGGATATATCCTTCCAACATTCGCAGTCATTGTCGAATACGTGATTAATGACAAGCCGTTGCAGAACATCAGCCGCAGTTGGCCGCTGATTGCGATCTGATTGCAGCATGAACGAGACATTGTCGATGAAGATTCTCGATATAGAAAACCAGCTGCTGATAGATTCTATCTTTCGGCTATAATGCAACGGACCTCGCTCGTAGCTCGTATCTTCTCTATCTGCAGGCCAGTCCACCAAGAATTGATGGAAGGAAAAAATTGTTCGTTCCTTCATAACCGTCAACATATCGCAGAAGACACAGCCAAGAGCGAAGATATCCGATGCGCGACCATGCCTTGCGAGGCTTCCGGTATATCTATCCGTGATCTCAGGGGCAGCGTACATGGGGGATGAGCGTGATGGGTTCTCAGTGGACGTGGTATGGCCGACTTCGAACGCGCAGGAGGAGCTAAAGTCTGTGAAATACACTCGATTGCCTTTGTGTATGATGTTCGACGGCTTTATATCTTGATGTCGGATTCCCTTCTCGTGCATATAGGCTAACGCAGATGCGAGGCAGGGGAACCAGGACCAGATCCAGTCTCTCCATGTACTCGATAGTGTGGATAATGGGTCCTGCTCAATTTGGTCTCCTGCAATATCGAGAAAATTCTTTAGGTCATTGTCACCCACTGGGCACATGAGGAGGAAGTAGAAATGTCGGTTGCTTTGCTTCATTTCCTCGTAGGACCCAATCAAAGTAACGATATGCGGATGAACCAGGGATTTCAGGTTTCTCGCTTCTTCTTGGATGATTCGCAAGGTGGCTTTGGCCTGCTGCTTGCGAGCTGACAATTGCACCCGTTTTCGAACAAATGTGGGCAGCTGGGTGTTTCTGCGGCGTACTTCTTCGACTATTCCAAGCGTCCCGTGCCCAAGGACATTGCACACTACGATGGGATCTTCGTCTTGCGATCCAAACAATCGGTGTTCAAAGTCCAATCCATAAACATTCGGATCCCGCTCGTGCTGCATAGCCTTCTCGAACGCTTCTTGCTTTGGCGGCTTTGATGGCATTGCTTCGAGCTCGGGTTCAAGGTCTGCACTACGGTTCTCCTTAGCGTCGCAATACTCTTATCGATTCCGACTTGTCGAGCCATGTGTTCTGGAGTTACTGTTCTCGTGTATCGATTAGCTGTTAATGGCGTAGGTAGCGAGCGCTTCTGAGAACCCAGTGATGTTGCATTCTTCTGCGACCGAGGGGTAATGTACTCAACCTCCACCATCCGACGTTTTGGGGAACTGTTGAGATTGGCCATGGCCGGAGATAAAGGACTAGAATCACGCACCGTCGGCACCTGATGCGCAACGTGTTCGACATGAGCTACCCGATGTTTGTTGACCCTACTGGCCTCCAACTGATCTTCTATCTCGCCACTTACCGAGACTTCATCGAATGAGAGTTCAGCATCCGGTTTTGCGACTGCTTGTATTAGTAATAATGCTAATGGATGTTATGTAGGAAGCTGGCTATCTTACTGTCCGCGAGCCTTTTATATCTCTGAGCGTACGTGCGCTGATTCAAATACGATACCGGTGGAGGTCTCCTTCCCCGGCGAGGTTTTGACCTTTCGCGCTGTGGTGCCCTTTCCATCTCATGGACGGATTCGCTTGGGTCATCATTGACATTGATCGAAGAGTGCCCAGTCTGTGCGTCTTTGGGAGTATCAGGTAGAATGGCTCTATCGAAGGCCGTACTCTGTATCTCCTCACTCGATCGTGTAAATTGACTGGCTATAGGAAGCCCATCCATTGGCGTACTATTTCCAGACTCAGAGCCAGAGGCATAGCCATCACTGTCTATGTGTCGAGTAGTCATCACATCTAGAGATGATTGATACGGCACGTGAGCGACGAAGGTTTCGTTTGACCTTTGAGTAGAGTCACTCCGAGGTTTTGTATGTTTAGGCTTGGGACGAAAAAGACCGGAGAACGAGAAGCCGCGTTTCTCTTCGCTGTTCCCCTCCACTGGTGTTTGGATCTGCGGAGGAACTGTGGACTTAGGCAACCTCTCATCTCGATTCAGTCCTTGCTCTCGGTCGTCCAGGGCGAAGTTTTCGGACGACTGGGACTTCTTCTGTGAAACGTACGAATTTTGTCGATAGCCAGATAGTCTAGACATCGCGGCGACGGTGGATATAGTGTATCCACCGTTATGTAGGAGAAGAGAGGCGTAGGATGTAGCTTATATATCGAGAAGGCTGCGGGGTCTCAGCCCCAACGCCCCGCATACGACTGGCCCGAGGCGCTCATCCCGAAGCATCCAGTAGGGGAAAAGTCTAGATAACAAGCACATGCTGGGAGCAGTATGAATCTATTGTTCGTATAGTATACTATGACCATGGGAAACTTCATCAATATGTCGTGGTAGAACGAAAGTGGAGGGCTGTGCTTACTCAGCCTTCGATATGAGGCATTTAGTGCGCCCGTCATCCCGAGATTCCCTGTACGCGATCAACAGGCTTAAGACCTAAGTGTAAAGCAGTAATTAAGAACCATGATCCAATAATGTTGACTTGTTGACTTACTTCATCTTGTACATTAAGCTCTTGGTATAGTATTAACACCGGTTAGATACGAACAACCTTTCTCTACACTATGACGACCGACGCTTCACCTAGTACCCTCATTGTGGGCGCCGGTGTCTTTGGAACCAGCACCGCCTACCACCTTTCCCTCTCACATAACTCGCCTACTAACATTACCGTCCTCGATCGCTCGCCATACCCGCCACACCATGCCGCCTCGACCGATATCAACAAGATTGTGCGCACCGACTACACATCGCGCTTTTACATGGAGCTCGCATACGAAGCGCTTGACGCTTGGAAGACGTCGCCGGTACTGAAAGACCATGACGGTCGTCGCTTCTTTCATGAGAGTGGCTGGATAATGTTGGGTAACGAGGACAGCGACCTGGCAGAGCGGATACGGAAGAACTTCAGCAACAGAGGGAGTGATCTTACGCGTGACATCGCGATTGACGATGAGATTAGGAACAAATGGAACGGCATACTAAAAGATGCGGATTTTAGAGATCCCAAGATTGGAAAGGGATACTGGAATCCGGACGCAGGATGGGCGGATGCTGGGGACGCAGTGCAGAAGATGATGGATGTCGCCGTGACCCGAGGCGTGAAGTACGAATGTGGAGACGTTCAGAGTATCATTGTAGGTGAACAGGGCGTAAGAGGTGTCAGGACGACGGATGGCCGCATCTACAACGCTGAACAGGTATTGCTCGCCACTGGGGCGTGGACAAGCAAGCTTCTGTCGTCCGTTGAGGACGAGCTTGGTATTCTTGACGAGGGCCGGATTGAGAAGCAGGTCACAGCAGCAGGTGTATGTGTTGTGCACTATAAGCTTACCGATGATGAGTACGACAAGCTGAAGGAGATGCCTGTGGTTATTTATGGCGACAGGGGCGAAGTACTCCCACCAGCTGCAAGCACCCGTCTCCTGAAGTTTACGAACGCTAGGTCTTTCACTAGTACTTCAACAACGATCTCTGGTCACAAGCTCTCTGCTCCGCCGACTAGGCCTCAGACTACTGTTAGTCGAACACTCATGCAGGAAACTTTGGAACGCATGGCCCTGAAGACAATGCCGGATTTTGCGAGTCGGACTCCAGATTACTGGCGTCTATGTTGGGATGCCATTACGCCATCGCAAGATCAGTTAATCACAAAACATCCACACCCTCGACTAAGCAATCTGTATCTTGCTGTAGGTGGGAGCTTTCACAGTTGGAAGTTTCTGCCCACGATAGGGAAGTACGTTGTCAATGTGTTGCAAGGCGTGAGCAATGGCGAGGAAAAGGATAAGCGGTGGGAGTGGAAGACTGGCCCCTTTGAGGGCAGAGGTGCCCATGAGAAAGTCGTTCCGAAGCGAGAGTTGAGCAGTCTCGATGATATTTGACGGCAACCGGCGCGTTTCCTCTAAACCATTCTGCACGCGGTATGCACAGAAGTGGTCGGAAGTCATCTGGTCGGTAGTAGCAACTTCACCTCGGTAAATCTGCCTCTCTTTCTGCCTCGTTTGGATAGTATGCCGACCAAAATGTCGATGAATGTTGCGTGTCCAAAAGATGGCGTCAAGGGGGCGCAGCGAGCACCAGTGGCTGAATCGTCCCACCACACAAAAGCTCCGCCTATGATCTTAACCGTCGCTGTCGGAACGGGCCCTAGACCCCCCGTACCCCGAGTTTTCCGCTCAATTACCACTCCCTAGTTCAACAATGTGATTGTAGGACATGGGAAGTGCGTGTGTCTGAACCAGTCGGAACAAACGGAACGAACGGAACAGACGGAGACGTCCAAGACCCCGGCGTCTCAACACTACAACACCATCGACCATTCTTAGCGACCTCTTCGCACCTATTATTTACTCAGCCGCGACACGTAATTTGACATTGGTGAAGGTATCGTGTTGCTTGGCAATATTTCGACCCTGAGCATAAAGCACCACTCCTCCCTGTTCCTCACCAGCACCCAACACTCAATTATTCTCCACATATACCATCAGTGGATAATGTACCTCATCGAATCTCTTCACAGAATCATTCAAATATCACAAATCCTTCGGGAACGATTTCTACCATGCCGTTCCACCACCCCGGAACCTATGTCCACCACCACGCCGGCCTAACCAATGTCCCCTGGGTGCTCACAACACATCTACTCTCCATCAACTACGAACAGCTGCTACGCGCAACAAGGCATCCCTTTCTCTCACGCGCCGCCAATGGCACACTTCCAAAATCCCTAGTCGCTTCATGGCTCGCGAATGATCTGATGTATTTGGAGGGCTACACGAAACTTAATAGCGATCTCCTCAATCAAGTCCGGCTCAAGACCCAAGCAAGTGTAGAGTCAGACATCGAAACGCGATTATTGGCCTGGCTGGAAGCTGGGGTACAGAATGGAAAGAGGGAAATCAATCTCTTCCACGAAGTCGCTGAGATATACCAAATCGACGTGTCCACCTCTGCGTTGCCTGAACATCTCAAATTAGAAGGTCTGCGCAGGTACGAAGTATTGTTCGCAAACGCTGCAGCACAGCAGCCAAATGCGTTCATACCGTGGTTGGAAGGGGTGACTTTGCTATGGGCGACGGAGAAAGTGTATTACGAGGCTTGGAGGTGGGCGAGACGACAAGACGCTCAGTCTTCACCACGGACATTCGAGAACGACGAAGATGGTGGCGCGATGCGGAGGGAGTTCATTCCCAACTGGTCGAACCGTGACTTCCTCGTCTTTATCGAGCAACTTGAGCGCATTCTGAATGAAGGGGTTAGTCAGGCGGTAAATAAGGATGAAGCGAGATGGGCGGAGGTCAAGGCACGGACGCAAGCAATCTGGACGACTGTGTTGGATGCTGAAGTGGCATTTTGGCCGGATGTCCCAGAAACTACAAGTCAGCCAAAGGCAACGGGTGACGGAGTGAAGGGAGAGGTTCAGAATGGGCATATCCTGGCGTAGACTGAGTCTCGGCCAAGATTGGTTCTCCGTGATATCAGCTGAATATAATTATACCGCAACTTTATTACATCCCCATGAAATTTGCCTCAATACAACCCAATCAAGCATATTTAGAATGCTGCCTTGGAAGAAAACCCAGGCTCATAGGGCGGTCCCATGTTATTCCGACCCCGACGCTTGGACTACTCCTAGTCCTTGGCAGGCGTCTAGCTTGGGTGCGAAATTTCATTAGCCCAGCGAAAAGTTCGAGCTCTGCAGCATCGCCAATTGCAACACCAAACCACACCGCACTCTCCGCCATGGCTCTCGTGCAGACCGACCCCGACGCGTACGTCATCAAGCCAGCGGCTTCCGCGCCAGCCATCGATACCAGCGACTGGCCGCTGCTGCTGAAGAACTATAGCGATTGTATGCTGCAGCTTTCCACATAGCTTCAGAATGCCCAACTGACGTGCAAATAGTGCTGGTTCGCACATCACACTACACCCCCATTCCTAATGGATGTGCGCCCCTGTCGCGAGACCTTAAGCAGTACATCAGCTCTGGTGTGATCAACCTCGACAAGCCCTCGAACCCGTCCAGCCACGAAGTCGTGTCATGGATCAAGCGAATGCTAAGGTACGATTGATGGTCGCAATTGGTCTCAAGTACATGCATGCTAACGTCAACACCAGAGTTGAGAAGACTGGCCACAGCGGTACCCTTGATCCCAAGGTCACCGGCTGCCTCATTGTCTGCATCGATCGCGCCACTCGTCTCGTCAAGTCCCAGCAGGGTGCTGGAAAGGAGTATGTGTGCGTCATTCGCCTGCACGACAAGCTTCCTGGAGGAGAGGCTCAATTTGCCCGCGCCCTTGAGACGCTCACCGGTGCTCTCTTCCAGCGACCTCCGCTTATTTCTGCCGTCAAGCGTCAACTGCGTATCCGAACGATCCACGAGAGCACGCTGTACGAGTTTGACAACGAGAGGCAGCTGGGTGTCTTCTGGGTGAGCTGCGAGGCCGGAACCTATATCCGTACGCTTTGCGTGCATTTGGGTCTGTTGCTCGGTGTTGGTGCCCACATGCAGGAGCTTCGACGAGTTAGGAGTGGAGCTATGGACGAGACGAAGGATCTAGTCACCCTGCACGATGTACTCGACGCACAATGGCTCCACGACAACAACCGCGATGAGTCGTACCTGCGCAAGGTCATCGCACCCTTGGAGAGTCTGTTGCTAAGCTATAAGCGCATCGTTGTCAAGGATAGCTCAGTAAACGCTATCTGCTACGGTGCCAAGCTCATGCTTCCGGGTCTGCTGCGATTTGAGAAGGGCATAGAGATTCACGAGGAGGTCGTTCTCATGACCACCAAGGGCGAGGCGATTGCGCTTGCATATGCGCAAATGTCAGCGGTTGAAATGTCATCGTGCGATCACGGCGTTGTTGCGAAGATCAAGCGTGTCATCATGGAGCGCGACCTTTACCCTAGGAGGTGGGGCATGGGCCCAGTCGCAACTGAGAAGAAGAAGATGAAGGAGGCTGGCACACTCGATGTAAGTTCTGGATTCCTCCATTTCTAAATAAAGCTAACAATTTCAGAAATTTGGCCGACCCAACGAGAATACTCCCGCCAAGTGGAACACTGAGTACAAGGACTTCAACAGGAATGACGTTGATGGATCCTCTGTGCCCGTCGCTCAGACCACATCGACATCCGACGTACTGTCCGCTCCTCCCGTCCCACCAACAGGTGCCACTTCAGGAGATGAGGCCGAAGCGGTGGAAGCTGACAGCAAGAGCAAGAAGCGCAAGAGCCGGGGCGATGACGACGACGAGGATGCAGAAGATAAAGCAGAGCGCAAGCGCAAGAAGAAGGAAGAGAAGGAGAAGAAGAAGGCCGAGAAGGCTGCGAAGAAAGAAAAGAGGAAGAGCAAGGGCGGTGACGACAGCGACTCGGACTGAACCACATAACGTGGTCGATGGCTGTTCCGGCATGCAAACCACATTCAATTAATTTTGATTGTACAAGCGAAGTACACTAGTGTCGCGTACATGTCACAGCAACTCTTTTATCCTTGGATACTTGTCCTTCAAATGTAGCATACGAAAATAGCGTATGGGAACGGCGTTATGGACTGGCATGGCGGAGTTTGGCGCGTCATAGCTTTCTGCGACAAGGGTGGTCGACTCAGTGTTAAAATGCGACATAGCCCAATGCTAGTCAAGTCAATGCAATTCTTGAAATTTTACCGTTGTCTCAGAACCGAATCGAATACAGCTGTGAGCCCTTTGTTCCTCGAAAGGCTATCTATCTGTTGTGAGACAGCGTTGTGCTGAAGCTTCTCGAAGCTTCTTTTGAGCAAGAAAGGCCCGACGTCAGGTGGCTCGAGCGCGCCGTTTGGTGGGTGGAGAGACATGGAACTCGGGCGATAAAAGCAACAACCACTCCTCTTGCACCACAAAGACGACTGCCGAGAATCCTGACGTACATACAAGATAGCTGCCCTATTCTAAACATATATCAACATGGTCAAAGAAACTAAGCTCTACGATTCATTAGGTACGTCTGTTTGATATACCCCTCCTCCGCCTTGCTGCTGCGAAGCTTGACGGGTAAGCACATATTCGCCGGAGACATGTATTGACAGCTGTCTGTAGGCATAAAATCCTCCGCAACTCAAGATGAGATTAAAAAAGCATACCGCAAGTCGGCGCTGAAATGGCATCCCGACAAGAACAAGGACAACCCACAGGCCGCCGAGAAGTTCAAAGGTTCGTACATCTACCCTCACCTTTCCTGTTATTTCCTATTCGCAGGCTAACACAACCATGCAGAGTGTTCACAAGCCTACGAAATTCTCTCCGACCCCGAAAAGCGCAAAACATACGACCAGTATGGTCTCGAATTCCTACTCCGCGGCGGCGTTCCACAACCCGAAGGCGGCGCAGGGCCGGGGGGCAATCCCTTTGAAGGCATGGGCGGAGGCGGCGGCGGTGGTTTCCCCTTCGCACAGCAGTCTGGCGGCATGCCCGGCGGTGCTCGAACGTTCCATTTTTCAACCGGCGGCGGCGGCAACGGCTTCAACTTCTCCAATGCAGACGACATATTCTCAGAGTTTGTACGCAATAGCGGCGGAGGCGGCGACGACTTCGATTTTGGCAACTTCGGCATGGGCGGGAAGCGTGGTGGCAGATTTTCTGGTGGCAGGAGAGCGCCTGAGCCGGAAGTCACAGTTGTGGAGAAGCCGCTCGCTGTTAGCCTGGAGGAGTTGTACAATGGCACAACGAAGAAGTTGAAGATCAAACGCAAAACGTATGACCAGTCAACCGGCAAACAGAGTACGCAAGATCGGATCCTGGAGGTCCCGATCAAGAAGGGCTTGAAGGCAGGCAGCAAGATTAAGTTCTCGGACGTGGGTGACCAGGTCGAAGGCGGGACGCAGGATTTGCATTTTGTTGTATCCGAGGTATGTTCATTTCCTTCGTTAGTTTATATGCAATGAGAGTTGCATGCTGACTTTGCCATGTAGAAACCGCACGCCATGTTCACTCGCGAAGGCGACGACATCAAACACATCATCGAACTCGATCTCAAAGAAGCCCTTACCGGCTGGCGCCGCACGGTAGCGACCATCGACGGCAAGCAACTCAGCGTTGGCAGCGGCGGACCCTCAGGACCTACCTGGACAGAACGATATCCCAATCTGGGCATGCCTAAGAGCAAGAAGCCTAACGAGCGGGGTGATTTCATCGTTGGTGTTAAGATCAAGTTCCCCACGAGCTTGACGAGTCAACAGAAGGAGGCACTGGGGAAGATACTATAGGCGGCATATTTTTTATTTCTTTCAAGTATATTCTTTCAGGGATTACATACGGCTCGGGCGAGCGAAATGGCGTTGGTGGTGTTATGATTTAAAATTTCCCCTCATAGCGAATGGAGGAAGGAATTCATTCAGCAAAGCGAGGAAGAAGTCCTCCCATTCGAGGATTTGGAGCATGATCGGGGATGAAATATGAAGAGATGAGCAAAGACGAGCCTACGAGAGACGAAATGATGAATCCAAAATGTTTGCGCAATCCTGCAACTTTGCCTGATTTCTTGTCAGTGAATCTTTTGGGTTGCTTGAATGTCGCTGATCACGTAAGGTGCTGACAACATCTTTGAGACTGGAATCCGGTGTGCCCTCTTCAGACATATTGTCAAGTATGAGTTTTACAGCACGAGTTCGCGTGGTCTCAGAAGTGTGTTTGATCTTGAGCAATAAGAGGGAGCACAATGGAGACGTAGTGACCAAGGTCCACTCATAAGTTTCGTAGCCACGCCATGCCATGCCTTGTTTTTGAACCGAGTAGCCTATAACATACACCATCTTTCCTTACCTGTGGTCTTTTCTTGTTTCAGCTCTGTACCTACTTTAACTACTTTAATTGCCAATTTGGCATAATTCCACCGCCAGCTGTGGCGAAGTGCAAGAAGTCTGCCTTGGGCTTAAACCTAATCTATTACACAAACGATATCCTCTCCCACGGGCTTCTAGACGTGGAAGTCGATCTCTAAAGCTTGCACGGCTTGATAACTAGCGAGTTTATCCCTCGAGCTCTAGATCATCATGTCTAGTGCTCATTTGAAGCCGGCTTCGTTTGTCAATTCTTTTTATAGAGTTTTATATGGACAACAAGATAGGGTATCACAAAATAGACACAAATAGTAGTCAATAATATTATGAGAGCAAAAGAGTTGGACGTGAGAGGAAATTGCGTGACCTGTTCGGGAGCTTTCTAGCTATCTTGAAACAACAGGGCAACAGTTGCTTAATTTGTCTCATACAATAAGGTGGAGACAGTTGCTTGTTGTATCTGAAATGTAAACTGAATAGTCAAAAACTTGCCGTTTCTCAGACCTCACGATTCCTATTGAGCATTTCAAAGTGACCGTAGGAACGCGTCATCACTTACATGACTAGATTTCATATATCATAGCTCAAGAGGCTCATAGGACTGACTTGGGGGAGCCTAAGAACGATTGATCGCTGTCACGCTACACCATTGCGAGACTGAGAAATCGTAGAATTTTCGTTCTATCTTGTTCATATTAAATATGCATTCCCATGAAATCATGGAAAAAACCCAGTAAATACAGACTAGTAGACTACAGACTAATCACAATGAAATTTGTACTAGGCAACGCCTTTTCTCGGCGGGCAGCAATTACTGTATTACGTATCATCTATGCGTACTCTGCGGCCAATATGTTATCTGGGTAAGAGAATGCTTACCAGATCCGCTAACCACCTCAAATCATGCGTCGCTCTCATCTGCGACCTGTGCTTATCTTCTAGAAGCTCGAACTGCATTCGACTAGCAAAATTGTGCTTAGGGTCCAGACCACCAGTTGTCAGGAAATCCAGCCGCGATTTCAGCTGTACCTATTGCCAGTCCCTCCAGCCAGAGGCCCTCAACATCTTTCTTCAACTGAGCGAGGTCTGTAGTGTGGCTCAATAGTCGCCGGCTACGGTCATCCTTGCCAAACTCTGCGTCGATCTTGCTTCGGTCAAGGACGTGTCCTGCAGCGGAAAGAAAAAGTCTAGTGTTCGTGTCTCGAGTTTGGGCTACCGAAGAAGATCGTTCACAGTTCAGCACGGTGAGGAGGTCGCGAATGTCTTTGATCTTATAGATGGGTGTGGTCCCACACTTTTGAGCTCGATGAATGGCCATGAGGTAAAGGAAGAGATACAACACCTGCCACTGGTTGCCGGTAGCGCGACCATCAGTATGACACTGTTGTAAGCGCCAAGCCGCGTCGCGAATATCGCCCCAATCGAGGAGTGCATTCCCAGCTTCGGCGTGGAAGAGGAGGAAGGCTCGCCATACGGCGTTCGAGGGGCGGAAATCGCTATCGCAGCACGCCGTGAAATGGATTAGGGTATGTATAAGGCTCGTAACGATGCAAGTACCCCAAGTGCGAGAGATCCCGAGGCGTCGTATACGGCGTATGTAGGGGTAAAGGGCGTCATGCTCCGGCCCTGATAGGCTATCAAACGCTTGCATAGTAGCTCTAGATAGATGGACTTCCCCGTCCGCATACATGCGATATAGATTGGACCAAAGCCTCGCTAAGAACCCGCTATGAGCGGAAGCCACCACATTGTCGACCTGGTTATAGTATTCGCAGAACCGTGTCGGAGAAACCGGTGCTATTGTGATCAATTTGTGCTTCGGCCTCGGAACGCTGAACAGCACATCGCGGCACATTGGACATGTGCCTTGAGTCTTGTTCTGTTCCAGCCACTTCTCCAAACATATCTGCCCGAATTGGTGACCACAATCTTTGATTTCAACGACGACATGTTTCTCATCGAATGGCTCAGTGCAGATACTGCATACTACCGTCTCAATGCCATTCTCGAGAAATTCCTTTAGCGAGGACGGCACTGTCTTGCTAGCACCCATTGTGGGTAGTCGGAGAGATGATGAGAACTCGTGGAATGAAGCTGCACTGAGGTGAGGGAAACTTACAGTTATCGAAGTGACCGCGGTTCGATGATCCAAACCGTGGCTTGTTGGCCTGTCAGTCTGTGTATGTGAGAGCCGAAGTTGTACGCCTTCTTCGCGTGTGTGGCCCACTGGCAGAGAGCTGAACTAAATAGTCAGTAGTGAGTAGTCGCTAGAGAGCGCTCTGGTCTATCCAAGTCGAAGGTGCACTATGGAACCTTGATTGCCTCTTACCACACAGTAGAACTGTGAATTATGCCCGTCGATATTCTCGGCGACAGTTGAGGCGAAGGTCGAGTGCGGTCAAAACAAATTGGGAGATGCACCTCAAGTTATCTTATAGTCGCCTGACGTCATATGCAAACGAGGAGCCATGTGCGCCGTGTCCCAGTGTTGTTTCACTCTGATCAATCCAGTCGCCCAGGCACACAACACAACCCTTTCACATGGACAAAACTGCTGTGTACGCCATCAGGCTCTTCCCGCATCGATACTTGGTGAGACCGGAGACACTGTTGCGAAATTACGTATGGTAGACGCGTATGATTTGGTATGAGCCGCAGCTGTGAGTAGAGAGCCATCGATTGCTCAGGGACCATAAGATCTATCTACTAAAAATTCAACGAGCGCCAATATCTGAATGTTACTGTTGATGTAATTAGTGTTGGTTTAAATTTACCCAGCGATCTGACCTCTTCCGCTAATACATCTAGTTGGCTGCTGCAAAGCAGTTGAAGCGGGTTGGTCTGCAGCTCCTCAAGTAGAGAATCAATATGGAATCTTAGATATTTCACTTTCGACGCATTCGTAACCTATTATAGTTGTTAAAAGTTCGATGATCTAATAGCGCAAGGGATTCCTCGAGTTGGAAATGGTCGTCCGCGATCCACCGTTTGCTCCTTGGGACACTAGGTGGGGATCTTCACAAACTCTGGTTCCGTATCGCGATTGCTGCGCTCGTTGACCGACATGTATCTCTGTTTTTGGTGGAAGGTGAATACTGAAGGAAATGATACTTAGGAGGGAGGGTTGGCATTGTGCATCTAGCTGCGCACTGATATGAAGTAGCGCTTACACAATGGTAGGAGGAAAACCGACAATATCATGCCAAATTGAAACGGGCGTAATGACGCCGAAGGGTTATGAGATGTGTACAATTGGACATTAGAATGCGGTCTTTGACTTTGGCGCAACTGCAAATTCTGCTGACTGCAATCGTCTGCGTGTGTTGGAGGGGTTGCTCGCTGTTTCATGGCTTACTACAATCTTCTATCTCATTTTCGAGTACGGAGTACGTGGAGGAAGGGGTGGTGAAAGCATCATCTTTGCCTTGCCCCCTAAACGACATCAGCAACTCGCTACCTTGTGGATTTGGCACCTGCTTCCTGCTTCGCCCCCTCTAGGCTTCGACCCATCAACCTGACCTCTAGCTTCTCAACCTTACGTGCGCCTTCACGTCTGAATCTACTATGTCTGGCTGCTGTTCGAGCTGCATCGTGCTTGTACGATATGGCGTCGTATTTACGCAACAGTGGTATCGGCTTGATATAGGTTTTCGGTGGCTGCTCGCGGAGGCGGCGGCGCATGATATTGACGGAGAGAGGTGACATGGTCGGCCTTACAGGCTTGGGACTTGCTTCGACACGACGAACTAAGGTTGAGGAGCTGGGCATAGTGATGAATTGATGGGAGATAGTCCGGGTGGGTCGAAGCTGACGATATGGCTTGCTGGCCAGGTGATTAAGTGAGGCTTCGGCGATTTGCGAAAAAGCGTTGCCCGGTAAGATATCGGGAGTAGCTAGTGGTACAAATCTTGGGAAATTTGGCGGAATCGGGACGTCTCCTGCTGGCGCCTGTTCGCTCAGCCGGCTTTCCTTCATGTGCCTACTTGTTCCGCGCGGCTTGCTCAGCTTCTGATTCTCGCTTGGTGTTGAAATCTTGCCTGTGGGCGGTATGGCCAACGTTGGCGTAGTCGGTCTTTTCACTACTGTACGCACTATACCCTTGACAGCCATGCCACCCGTCGGACCTTCAATCCAGATTTCAAACGTACTGCCAGTGTCTGATTTATTCTTCTCCATGCCGCATATGCTCATCTGCTCGTCGCAGTACAGCGGTGCAAGGTTTCGGTATTCAATAGACTCTATGACTTGCTTCCCCTCCGTATGAGTGTTCACATAACCCGATACAGCTTGTAGGATGAGCGTCAGAGAGAGTGGGCCGTGGACAAGCAAGTTGCGATGGCCTTCGACATTGCGGGCGTAGTCTCGATCAAGGTGGATGAGATGGGCATTGAATGTAAGGGCGGAGTATCGGAAGAGGAGGGAACGGGTAGGAGTAAGTGTATGCGAGAAGTCAGGTTTGCCGGGAGCTACACATTGTTAGTAGTGGATAGAACTAGGTTTCAAAACACTAACGATCCAAATATCTAACGGGAGCCATCTGACCAGATTTGATAACGTCCAATTGTGCGGCTGTCCTTTCTTTGAAAAACACGAGGTTGCGCTCCTCCTTGAGTATTGCACTACCCCATTCCTCGTCATTGCGCAGCTGTTCCTTGAAATACCTCTGCACGTTCGGTACATTGGATTTCTCCGAGTTTTGGTATGCTTTCTGATGGCTTTCGTACAGCTGGTCTAGCCTGGCGAATCGGCGCTCGATCGTGACGAACACTTTGGCCGCGTCGTCTTTCCCACGCAGTTGCACGTCCTTGATGCGCTCCGCACCAGCGATTGCCGTGGCTAATGTAAAGCCGCTTTTCTTGTGGAAGTACTCATCAGGTTTGAGTCGCACTGAACCACCCGCCCACATGCGCCGCACCCATGGCGCCGCTGGACTGTGGAAGTCATCTGTTCCATCCGGTAGAAGTTTGTGGGATGGTGTCACCAAGTTGAACCATATCAAATGATGACCGACGGGAAGTACGGGTTTCCTGGAGGATGGTGGTCGGCACCACTCATCAGGGAGGAAGCCTGATAGCGTTCTGCTGAGCCTATGTTCAGGCTGAGCGGTGATATCTTCGAGAAGCCAAGTGATGTCTCGATGGAGCATCTCGGCGCGCAACTGCTGAAACCATGGCGGGTCGTCGGTACTGGTGGAATAGTAGCAACCTGGAGTCCGACGCCATGTTGTGCCATGTGCTGGTGTCCTAGCGATACGAGAGATATATGGCGTGCGGAGTAGCATTGAGACGAAAGGCTGACAGCGTTCCATGTCGCATTTCCGAGGTTGCTCTTATCGATCTTGGCGCTCCCGTTAGCCACCACCGACAATGACGTACGGCATCAATCCTTCTTTCATCATTTGCTAATGGAGGTACACCTTAGTAGTATTATATAAGGTTCTGAAGGGTGTATATAGCTGCCTACAAAATTTTCTAAGTATGCTCTCGAAAATCTATCTGAATGTTGTTGGTGGCATTTGTCCCCGACGATCCCAGGGCCTGTATTTCCTCTCCAGGGTCTTGAAGTTGACCCATTTGTGCCCCCTTTCCTTTGATTCCGCTCGATAATTCACTGCCTTCACCGTCTTCACTGCCTTTACTACCTTCAAGTCTAGGGAGTCCAGCAAATGATGAAGGTCACATGTCTTGGCGCGTGTGGACAATTACCTCTTCTGGCGCACTGCACCTTCTTCACATCAGCCTCTCACATTCTATCACCAGCACCATCACTGCCACGCAAACGAACAGGAAGCTGTTCTTCGCTATTTAGCTTCGTTCTCAGTATGCGTCGTCGTCCCCAGGAAAGTGCGTTGCTGCTATCAGTCTACGTCTGAAGAGTGTTCGTCATGCTAAGCCACGGCAGCTCACAGCAACAGCGACAACAAGGTCAGCCACTCGCGCACGAGGTGACGATTGCGGTGAGATTAGGCAACTTCCATCCTGATATCGTCTCCAACAGTACACATCTGGGTCAAGAGAGTGTTTGCGAACGTATTCCTCAACAGAACTTCACCTCCGCGGCCATGGCGAGCAACATGGAGCTTCTGGAATGTCCAATGTGCGACTTCACAGTGCTTCCGAGTGATGACTATGTCCTTCAACTTCACTTTGAGCAAGCGCACACCACGGACTCTCCTTTCGTGGTCGACGATGACCCGGAATCGCAACCACCCGTATTGCCACCAAGACCCTCCTCGAAACGCAAGCACGTAGGAGACACGCCTTCCTCTGACGAAGAGGACAACACAGTCGTGTGCCCTGAACCTGGCTGCAGCGAGCTTGTTCTTCTTTCCGACTTCAACGATCATCTTGACTATCACGCCGCAGAAACATTATCATTTGACGAGACTACCGGGAAGTATCGTTCTCATCATTCATCCGCTACTATGCAGAGCTTAGTCGCTGCCCAAAATCCACATGCGGGCCCCTCGAAGTCACTTCTAGAGCACACCTTCAGCACGGATATGCCAGACACCCTGAAAAAGAATGAAGGCCATGGGCGCAAGATCAAGAAGCACGCCCACCGTAACAGGAGCGACACCAACAGCAGCGAGAAAAGTACCTTATCCAGGAGCATTCTCAGCTTCAACCCGTTTGCGAAGCTAGACAAAACAGTCAAGCCGCCTAACAAGAGTGCTCGTCTTGGTGTAAGTATACCTTGCGCCATCCTAAGCGTTGTATGAGCTGATATCTCCAGAAATCTGAACTCGGCCCTTATGCTTGGGAAGATCGCATGCCCAATTGGCTGCACGATCAGCTTGATGCCGGTCCCAAGACTACAGTCGTCAACCGTATCGGTCGAGACGGCCGCCTCATCAAACAAGAGCAAGTGCAAAACGAGACACCCGGTATTATACCCATCCTCGCCCAGTTATCCGCCCTAGATCATTCTGTCAAGAACGCCTATTACTGTCACCCTTCTACCCTTCACATCGGAAAGACCCCTAAGGAGGGTGCTTTTTGTGGTTACAGGAACATCCAGATGCTCCTTTCCTACATTCAGGGCGCTAAAGCTCAAGGCCACGAAGAGTTTCCTGGGCGAACACCAGGTGTGCTCAAACTCCAAGATCTCATCGAAAGGGCCTGGGACAAAGGCATCAACACGATTGGTCGGGTCCAGACAGGCGGTATCCGGGATTCTAGGAAGTATATTGGAACTCCAGAGGTATGTTCGCCATTCCCTGGACCACTTTTTGCTAATCATGTCATAGGCTCAAGCCTTCTTCCTTAGCTCAGAGATCAACTGCGCCGTCGAAATGTTTAGTGACGATAAAGACCGCAAAAAAGAAGCCCACGAATTACTTCTCGCTGCCATCGAGCGATATTTTGCTCAGGCTGCGGTCAGCGACGGCTCGAATATTTACAAAACCCTTCTTCCGCCTATATATCTTCAACAGCCCGGCCACTCTCTCACCATCGTCGGTTTTGAACGACGTCGAGACGGCTACTGCAATCTCATGATATTCGACCCCGTGTATTCTACTAGCCCGGCTATGCAAAAGCTGGTTGGCCGGAAGAACATTCAGACTGCTCGTCCGGAGGTCTTGCATGCATATCGGCGCGGTACTAGGCAGCTCAAGAAGCACGCTGCTTTCGAGGTCCTTATGTAGGTCGATGCCTTATGTTCCATTCTAAAATGCTCACACTTTAACAGGCTTACGGCGACGCCGCCTCGGTTCCCCGCTTGGGATGTATGAATGTCCAACTTGGAGCATTTCATTACCTTGACTGCACTTCCACATATATCCTGCGACATCATGCCATCTAGACATACATAGCAGCAATGCCACTCACAGAGTCATGATCTTTCCCACCTCGCTTACTTCCGTCATAGCCTTCTCGTGTCTCTCACAGCTTTCCAACGCCTGCTAAATTCGCATGTGCTAGGTTCTACGCCAATTCCCCGATTGTCGCTTCGTGTACGCATTCTTCCGCTCTCGTACCCTTGGCTACGATGTCTATCCCGAAGATTACTTCCTTCAAAACTTTCCTTGGCAGCAATACGGCGGACTCTGGATTTGCGACGAAGCTCGTTTTGCCCGGGCAGAGCCAATGCACTCTCTTTCTGCGCAAGCTCTTCGTCGTATGACCAGTGATGGGGCTTCGCGACGGTCTAGCAACAGCAACAGCCCGACTAGCCCTTTTACCAGTAGCTCATTCCAGCACTTACCCGCTGCAAACGCGCACATGCGAGTCGAAGCACATAGTAATCTTCCAGCGTTTGTCTCTTCTCTTGATGGATGCACGAGCGGTCTTTTCAACACCGTACAGTGTCATGAAAGCAGTCCAGTGTTCAACATGGGCGGTCTGCGTACCGCGCTACCTCAACCTGAGGCTGTCAGACCGAATCTTTCTCTCTTGACGGACATAGGACGAAAGTACCCGGGCTTTCCAACGCCACTCTCACCAACACTGAGCGCGAAGGAACTATTTCCGTCGCCTGTGTCCGAAGCCGGAAGTGTCGCTGCGACTCCACGTTGTATTAGCCCTGCTATTCGTTCCACTAGCCCCATGAGCATCGACGGTTCTGAGATGTGTGGGCCGTCTCGTCGCTGCCAGTCTCATGGTTACGAGCATTATGCCTCGCAGATGAGCCTCATCGACAACGTTCTTTCCGGAAACAACTATAAATCCGGCATTCTTGGTCCGTCACCGATACACTCCCCTCCACGTGCTCCATCAATATCGTCTCTTAGCATCACAAGCCCTTTGAGCCCTAGCAGTCCGTCACGCTGCGTTTCCCCTCGCACAGCCATGCTGAAGAACATGGTTGGGAAGCAAGCCCTCCAAAGCCTATCACACGATCCGACACTCTACCCAGCTTCCGGCTTGCAAGTCCACCCAAGTACCGTCAACGCATACTGTCCTACGGCATCCTCGTCTGTACGATCTCTTTCGCCTCGCCCTGCGACCAAGTGTCTCGCTCCGGCTCCGGCGTCAATCAACATCGCCAACGGTACAGAGACGAATCCTACGTCTCCCATTGATCCATCCGGTACTATTCTGCTGTACACATCGAATCGCAGCGTCGACTCAGGCCTTCTCGGTGTCCGTCCGCTCTCTGAAATCCAGGTTGCAGAGTATCGCTTCTGGCGACCTTGTGGGCGTAGGGTTTGCGCGTTTGGATGTAGTAGTGCTCATGAGGGTGAGTGGGCAGCTGCCAAGCGCCTTTTCCAAGATGTCAAGGAAGTCAAACTCGACGATGAAGCCTATAGTGCAGGAGAAGAGAAGGAACAGGACCCAGGAACGCGTGCAACTTTTGGATATGACGGCGAGTCCGAGGATGGCAATGTGGATGAGGGCTACGGAAGCCAAGAGCTGCTCAAGTTCAGCGCGAGTACATGGGCTGGCAGGAGGATGGTGACGGATTGGAATCAGTTCCTCATGGGCTGCGAGAGGGAGGGTGTTGCGAGGCTTTGAACGGTTACACACTTGATGATGTGGCACGCCATTCTTGTGAAAGACGAGGTTCATCGCGTTAGGATAAACGAATGAACGAAGACCACCTCGCATTGCTAACCGACATTGTCATACTCTGCAAGGAAGGCACGAAGGAATTTATTGGACAGTATTGGTGTTTACTTCTGAACCAGCTTGTTCTTGGATTCTTCATATACAACCTTTTTTTATCCAACTCTATTGTCTCTGTGAAATGGATGCCTCTACCGTGATAATGTTTAAATGACCGTGTTGAAGTCTAATAGATAAACCTCACTATTCATAGACTGCAATACGCAAAGGGTTTAAATAAGAAGATTGGCTAAGAGTATGAACGGGTATCAAGTAGACCTACGCCGGATCATGCGGTTTTTTACAAACATGTTACACTACATCCTTGGCTCTGCCCAGGACTCGTCATCATGAATCTGAGCTCAGTCGCTATCATCGTCGCTACCGTATCCAACCAATGGGCCTGCTACGGGCGCTGCCCGTTTGTTCGATGGCGTAGCTGTATAACCCCTGAGCGCTGCAAGTGTAGAGCTCGATAGTATACCATTCCCTCCTTGTTGTGCCGGTACCAGCGCGCCCGATGCATACTCTTCTTCCGCATCCCCAGCCTCAATCATTTGTCTCCGTGTAATCCCACCTGCCTCGATTTCCCGAGCAGCCTCCCATTCGCTCTTCTCCTTCGCAAACCACACATCGTCTGGCGCCTCATAACCTTGTAACCCAAAGTTCCCTTCGATCTTCCTTCTCTTCTTCGCCTCTCCTCCATCACGGCCCTCAATCTCCGCTACATACGCCGCCGGCAGCGCCTTTCTAATCGCCTCGGCAGCCTGTTCCTCAATGCGCGCAGCCTCTCTCTTAGCTGCTGCAGGATTTGGATCGACAGTTGCCCAGCGCACATTAAGGATCTCATTGTTGTCAAGCGACTGGTGCGCCATTGCTTCTTTTGCGAACTGCGAGTTCGCTTCGTTGAGGTAGGTTACGAAGGCAACGCCGCGGGCGGTAAGGACGCGAGTCCGTTCTATTTGGCCCCATTCTTGGAAATGGCGGGCTACGACTTCTTCGATGTCGTCGTTGGGGTGGATGCGACCAATGTACAGTGTGCGGTTTTGGCGTTGGAAAGAGCCGACGCCGCCCATGTCGTCTCTGTAGTCGGAGTGCTTGTCGCGACTAAAGCGCTAGTCAGTACGTAACATTACGATTGTATAAGTTAAGACTCACCCGAAGCAGTCGATGTTGGAGGGGAAGATATCGGTAACAGTGGGCAGGCGGTGCAGGTATTCGCAGTCGACGCCCTTGGGGCAGATACCGCGCGCGAAGAAGAGACAGAAGTAGGAGCCAGGCGTTCTATCAGCCTTGGTATATCCGCTGTCCTTTGCGACATTGCAGCGCCCCTGGGCGGCAGTTTTGCTGAGGTATTTGTCTTCTCTGTCGCCGCCACTCCATTTATTGTACCAGATGTTGAATATTGTGCCTGTTGCGGGTGGCGCTTCGGTTTTGAACGTTGCAGGATCTACTTGGGGCCGCGCCGGCCGTCGCTTGCGTCGTATGATCTTTTTGACTTTCTTGCCCTCGGCATTTGTGGTGATAATGGTCTGTTCGCTGATGATGGGAGCGAGCTCTGTAGACGTAGATGGTTCAAGACTGGTCGAGGGATCTAGAGAAGCCTCGGGGGTCGCAAGCGAGGTTTGCGCGGGTGGTGATTGTACTTCGGCCATGGTGTGGAGTGTGGTGAATATAGGATGAGAAGGCTGGCCATCATGTCGCGGTTGAACTTTTGGAGTTGCGGCTTGCTGCTAGCGCGGCCGCGTCGATCACACGTGACTACGTATCTTCACAGATTCAACCGAATACCTCCTACATCTTCACTCGAACACACACAGTGAGATCCGGAAACCGATAGAGGTTATTTCTCGAAAAATCTGAATTGCGCCGCTCTCTCACCAACTAACGTTAGATTCGCTCAATTACGTACATTGATCAACGCAACTCTTCAACAGCCTGCTTCAAGATTATAGCTTACTCGTAGTGCTACTCATCTTGAGCCCTCCATCAATCTCCACCACCGCTCCATTGACGTATCTACTCTCCTCTCCAAACAAAAAGGCCACAACATCCGCAACCTCCTCGGGCGTGCCCAATCGCTCCAGCGCATTCCCTGTCCTCATCCTCTCCACCGCCTCCCCACCCTTGACGATGCCCGCATTGCTTGGCGTATCAATGTAGCCTGGGGCTACGCAGTTGACGCGGATGCCGCGTGGACCGAGTTCGAGTGAGAGAGACTTGCTCATCCCAATGAGTCCGAATTTCGTAGTGCAGTACACAGATTGCAGGGCAGCGCCGCGGATCCCAGAGATACTGGAGACATTCACAATGCTGGCGCCCCTCTTCAAGTGAGGCAAGCACGCTCGGGTGACTAGGAAGACGCCTTTAAGGTTGGTGTTAACTAGCTTGTCCCAATATGCATCGCTCGTCTCCTCCAATGGTATGCTGGTCGGATTCACGCCCGCACAGTTGAAGATATGGTCAATCTTGCCAAACTTTTCCATTGTGGCGGCTACGAACGACTGCACGTCTGGAGTAGAGCAGACGTCGACTGTCTGCGTAAGCGAGGGTGTTGGGCATTCCGAAGCTACGGATTCGAGGTTTGAAAGGTTGATGTCGCCGAGCGCTACGGAGGCGCCTAGAGAGGCCATTTTGAGTGCTGTCGCGCGACTATTATCACCATCATTATCATTAGTGCTGATTTCATAACGATGTTGGTTCGAAAAAGAGGGTTGTGCCGCACCCGATGCCGCTTCCGCCTCCTGTTACAAGGACGACTTTGTCCTGGAATAGCTTTGCCATGTTGTCTTTGTTCATTTGCTACGTCTTGAAAGTCTGGAAGCGTTCAAGGAGGATAGAGCTTGAAGTGCTACGTGCAATCATAGTCGAAGAGGGAATGGTAGATCATTGTGATGCGGAAGTGATATGGCATGTTTGCGGAGTAAGTGGGGTGAAGTCGGATGTGTGAAGCATGACTCGCGCATCACTCTTATCGGTTATAAAAATTAACATCGCTCATAAATTGTGTAGTAGTGTGTAACCACCTCCTGTCACGCTCCTCTTACTAAAACAGTTTTCGTTCTATCAGCATTATGATCCGACTTTGCAAGCATTTGCATTGAAGTGAAACCATGCAGATCTTTCGCTAACAACCCTTGCAGATGCAGTCGAGACAGTCATTCACTCATTCAGTCGTTCTTGTCGTTTCAATCCCAACCCTAAGCCATCCGAAACGCCATGCAATGCTAACTAAACCGTGGCAAAGAACTAGAGGCTCTACTGGTGCGCAGCTGCTCATTGTCGAGCGTCGGCCTATCGGCTCTTATCGTCCTCTGTCTTGCTTGCGGGAACTACCCCTTCTGATGGCTAGGGTCAGCTTATGCACTAACTCATCATCATCCACCTTCCCTTTGGCAATCCTCATCTCACTCTCATGGCCAATGCCTTCTTTCTTCTCGAGCTCCTTCCCTGCTGATTCTTTCTGCTCTTGCGCGTTATCATCATCCAATCTCTTTTGCCCATCGCCATTATCAGAAATCATGCCTGTGATCTTTCTCACTAGATCGTCCACTTTGAACGGCTTACTAATGACTTCATCCATACCCGCATCCCGCATTCCTTCGGTCTGCGCATCACGTACATTGGCCGACACGCCCAAGATGTGACTGTACCCAGCCTTGCCCGCTCTTTGTAGCGCTCGAATCGCCTGTGTCGCTGCATTACCATCCATGACCGGCATTTCCTGATCCATAAGTATGCAGTCGAAATGGTCGCTGTGATTGGGGTTGCCGCTGGCAATTTTGCCGCGCTCTGCAACGGAATCAACAGCTTCTTGTCCGTTGTTCGCAATGAACACTTCGAATCCCCTAGATTGAAGCTGACGGCGAAGAACCTTTTGGTTGATGAGATTGTCTTCTACGAGGAGGAGGCTTTTCTTGCTTTCGCTGCGTTGAGAGCTCTGCGTGTGTGATATCTCTTCAGCGGCGTTCTCCTGTCGTTGTGTCTCTCCCTTCTCCAGCTCCTCGCTTTTTTGTTCGGGGGCAGAGCTTCCTGGAGCGATGGATTCGGCAATACGCTCCGTCTCCTTGTAGCGGCGGTCTCCAGAGGCAGCGGGATGTGATTCAGCTACGTATTCTGTCGGTGGATTCTCGAGAGACTCGATGACGTTGCGTCTGTCCACTCCTTCATGACTTGTGAGTGTTTGGATGGCTGGGCGCTCGTGGTTTTCTTTGATGCTCTGAAGATTCGAGTTTGCGCGGCTGTAGCTGGGTCGAGGTGGTCGAAGGACTGGTATATCTGTGCGATTGGAGGAGGTATTCGAGTTTTCAGAATTACTTCGAGACTGAATTGGCGGCCGACCGTCCTCGCTCGTTTCATCTGATTGTCGTACCTTGAAGAAGAACCCGAAAGTTGAGCCTTCGCCTTCTACAGCGCTAACACCGATATCACCTCCATGCAACTGGCATACTGTCGGGCGTTGTTAGCGAATAACGGGCTGAACAGAAAGTGATAGTTACATTTACGTGATATGAACAGGCCTAGTCCTGAGCCACCATATCTTTCTTGTGTCTTTGGTGTGGCTTGTCTATAGGTTTGGTTAGTCCGACTTGGTGCGATTAGCTTACCGACTCAGCTTTTCATACCTGAATCGTTCGAATAACTTTTCTTGACCATTTCGATCAATGCCTATGCCAGTATCTTTGACAGCCACCATAAGGTATAATGGCTTTCCCTTGCCCCAACCAGAAGTCACTGTTGCATCAGTGTGTAAAGAATCCTCCTCCGTGCTGAAGAATATTACGTTTGGAGGATAAGAAGTTGGCCGCTCTGTGGAGGCGCCCATAGAAACTACTATCTTCCTTTCGCCGTTCTTTTTTGATGTGAACTTGATGGCGTTGGTGATCAAATTGACCAAAACTATGGAAATTTAGCGTATTCCCGCGCATGTTTGGATGTGCCCTTACCTTGCTTCATCCGGTTCATATCCGCAATAACATGGTCGACTCTTTGTTCATCATACGAAATATCCATTGCGTAGTGGAAATCAATGCTCTTGGCCCTGAACTCGGAGCTGAACACCTTGAGCGCTTTGGAGAAGTCCCATTTGGGCCTCACATCTGATTCTAATTAGACAAGTACAAGGGACGCTCCTGAATAACCTACCGCGCGGGACAAGCGTAAGCATCATGGAGTCGAGCTTCGAAAAAGAAAGAATGTCGTCCACTAGCGTGTTTTGATGAGTTACACAGAGAAGTATCGTGTCTGCAGCATCCAGAATGTCTGCAATCTGACCGCTTATATCTGCGTGACCTGGTCCAATCTTCTTCGTGATCTCCCTAGTAATCTCCATGACTTCCTCTGCGAGATGTAAAACAGCGCTAAGCGGATTACGAATTTCGTGCGAGACCATGTCAATAAACCTCTCCTGCTGTTCTTTCCGTTCTTGGGCTTCGCGCGCCGCCCTCTCCTGCGTAAGCTGGGCCTCCTTGATTTCGGTAATGTCTACAACAGCGCAAATGAACCCAACCTCGGGATCGTCACCAAGAGGTTTCAGAAGAAACATCCTCCACGCGCCCCCGGCTGTGTCATTGGCAGCGTCAGTGGCGCATCGAAACTCGATTCGTAGTTCTTGCTGGCCTTCAAATGCTTCGCGATAGGCAGCCATGACTCGGTCGTAGTCCTCACGGTGGATGCTCTCCGGCCAGGCACGAAACTCGTTTTGGCCTTTGTTTGTAGTGAGCTCGAAGAAGCCATCGTTTACAAAGATGGCCTCTGCGTTCTTGTCGAGGATAGCCAAGCCGTTGGGAAGCAGTTCGGCGAATCTCTGAAATAACTGGGTCTGCATGGAGTCGGCCTGCTGACTCTTGGTTTTACCGTCTTTACTGTCTGGGTGGGGCTCCGAGTCCCTTCGTTGTGTTGGCTGGCTCTTGCGCGACATCTCGTCCAAGCCTTCGATTGGCATATATCTCTCCACAGTGTGATTCTCCAGAAGCTGGGCCAAGATGCCCTGTCGTTTACCATGCTCATCGAGGATGGTGCTCAGGAGGAGCTGTGACTCTCGACTGTCGATGACGTGGGTGAGGAAGAACCTAGCGACTGGAACTTTTAAGCCGAAGCCCTGCGACGACTGAACGGAAAAGGCATGATGCTTACCTACCTTGACCGTTCTTCCCCTCAGCACTGCGCGCAGCGTGCTGAGCGCGCTACTGCCGTGGCTCTCGTGGGCATTTGAACCCTGGTCATCCAGATCGCCGCGTGCCTTGGCCCAGGCGAGGTTATTGATTACGGTCAGGTCGCTTCCCCAGAAGATGGCGGCACAATGGGGCATAGGCAGGATGCACGAGTTTACGAGGCACTTGAGCGCCGACGGCCAGGACTCGCGAGGGCCGAGTGATGTCTGAGACCTGCTGCGTATCAACACTGGAGCAGCATGACTGCGATGGCACAGGTCTCACCAGTCTTTCTGACCCAAATGCTCTTGGTTGAGATCGAAGATGGGCAAGCCCGCGGCGGTGAGCTTGTCAAGATTTTCCATGGCGCTGGTGCAGGGCGCCAGGAAGGGTCGTGGATGCTTGCAGGCGGTAGTCGAACAATTAGGGTGGCGCGAAGGAGGTGCGCACAGTGGGATGAAGTCTGCCCTACGGGCAAGCTTGACGTCATGTCGAACTGCGTGCCTGACTGGCAGTTCAGGTGAGACGTTGCGTCGGGGGGACCACCCACGACGGCGTCAATGAGGCACGGGAAGAAGACTGGACGGTGGTCTAGATGCGCCATGGACCGCCGAGGATCGTCTGTGGCGTTGACGTCAGATGCCGGGGGGTTCTTCGCTTCTATTTGCCCCTACCCTCATAGCACCCGCACCCACTAACGTTACCTGGCCGACTCTCCACATAGCTTCACCGTCTAGCACGATTACGATGTGGAGCGCGCATCATCGAACAAATTCTGTTTCCTTACAGCGTTGATGAGCGACGGATCATCTACTAACCCTTTGCTATACAACGTTACATCTGGTTAGGAGGGCCCCCACACTCTAGATAGAGACCTACTAGGGAGTTTGTGCCGACCACAAACCAATGTGATATCACTACCTACCGCTTTATCACGATACATGCATCCATGACATGTGTACTCTTACATGTCATCCTCGTCCATACTATCCTCCTCGTATATATAGTCACCATCTCTCATGTCATCATCCTCGTCTGTACTATCTTCCTCTTCCACAGTATAATCCTCCTTCTTGTCACCACCCTCTTCCATGTCCTCTTCCTCTTGCTCTTCTACTTCTTCCATGTCGTCTTCCTCTTCCTGATCCGCGTACTCTCTAGTAGGAAGCTTGTCCCACACCATAGGCGCTGCCTCCAGACTTATATCCGTCTGCGTGCACTCCTGCTCTTCTGCATCTTCCATGTCATTTTCCTCTTCCTCGTCCTCGTCCTCGTCCTCGTCATAGTCATTTTCCTCCTCCCACGCCATGTCAGCTTCCTTCTTCTCCTCCAACGCCAAGTCAGCTTCCTCCAATATCGTATCCGTCTCCGGCGCGCGGATCGAGCGCGACTGCCCAGCGCTCTTCTTCTCCAGCCACGCGCTCACCATGGTCATGGCATAATCGTCAATTTCGTCCTCCGCCCTATACTCACCCGGCTGTATCCAACCAGGCGTACCCACCTTCAAATCCATTATAGCGCCCTCCTCGTGCATCGAGTCGAAGTCGCCTATAACGAACCGCTTTTCCCTCAGTCGCACGAAAATATTATCTGGCTTAATATCGCAGTGTACGAATCCCAGGTAGTGTAGGTGTTCAATGCCCTTTTTCAAGTGATCGAGGCATGTGGCCACGTCAAAGCGGCAACCCGCATGCACCAGTTCGCTCAAAGTGCCATCGTAACGATCGAAGACCAGGCCAGATACCAGACCCGCCTCATTGACACGAACACCCTGATAGAAGCAGATATTTGGATGCGGGCTTGTGTGGAGAACTTCGCATGTTTCTATCTCGCGCAGCGTTATATCCCTCTCCCAGGGCGGACGAAAGAGATTTCTACCCTTCCGCAGAAAATCAATCTTCTTCTCAAAGAACGATCCATTTCGTGGGGCCAGTGTCATACTCGCAGGATCGTATCGAGGCATTACATAATGCATATCGATCTTGCGAGGCTGGAAGTCCCAGCGCCATGGGTCTACTTTCTGCTCGGGACTGCTAGGCAGTTCTGTCTCTGCGTACCATAGCCCATCCAGATTTTCCGAGTGGAAGAGAGCTCGCTTGAAGTCCCCGTAAACACGCCTCGAGACCATGATCAGCGAGGGTTCGGATTCGTTCGAGACCGCATCAGATATGATTTGTCGTGTCCTTGCTTGACGCTTGGGGCGAGGCATGATTGAAGGGTAAATGCAATGATCGCAGTGGAGTTGATTTGTTTGTGGGGAATAGTACGGGCAAAGAGGATAGCTTTATCGATGGATGGGGTTGCAAAGCTGGTAGGCATTGTGAAAGTACAGTAACTCAACAAAATTCAGTCGGCCTTCATTCCAGTGTGAAAGAACGACCAAAGATAAATTTCCCACTGGAAAGACTTCTAATACACGCCGCACTCTAGCAACGAGGCATCTATCTTTCATTCTGACCAGGTACCTCGACTCAAAACAGCAATTGGTTTGCATTAGTTAGTGAATCTGAGGGCCATAAGCTACCTTTGAAGCAGGCCCTTCAATTCACTTGGCTACTAACCTGCACCAGGGCAACTATTTCTCCAAGATCAAACCCCGCTCACGATACTCTGTCGGGGCAGTGCACACAGAGTTTCCTTCTATTTGCCCCCTCCCCCCTTTTAATGGTCAATTAATTTGCCTCTAGTAGAGTTTAATCCAGCGAAGAGCCTCAACCCCCTAGCCGACAGTAACTAACTCGAAAGTTGCTCAAATTCCCAACACTATGTTGAAGTACCTCAGCGAATTCGGTGGCAAGGCCACTAACGACAGACCAGTCCCCAAGATGCAGATCCTAGATTGGCACATGATCTCTAAAGGCGGCAACTCCGAGACATGGGTTCTCGCCCATCAAGATTCGAAGCTACACATTGCAATCAAAAAGGGCGGCGTACCAGCCTCAGCAGTCGACCGCCTCGATCCATCGACATGGACAGACACGAAGATCTGCAAGTCTCCTGAAGTTGTAGATCCCACAAACTTCTATCCCGAGTTCAAGCCCGAGTACACTCGATTCCGTTATCGCAAAGATGAGACTGCGGACGATGTCTTCAAGAAATATCAGTCATTTCTGAGTGTGGGCCCTCGAAGTGGGTTTTCAGCGTACCGTTCCGACCGCGTTGCGCGGATCACAGCGCGAGAAGTACAGACATGTGAGCGCCTCCGCGCTCATCCACACGCTAACGTAGCTGAGTACCGTGGTGTGCAGACTGGACGCAAGCTCATGTACGAGTACTGCGGTGCCCCGGTTGAAATCCCCATGGCCTCAGAGCGCGTGGTAAACCTTGTATTCAAGCGCTACGACTGCAATCTCTACGAGGCTGTGAGCCGTCGACAGAACCTAGATGTGCAGTGCTGCCTCGAGTCTATTGTTGCAGGTATCCAGCACTTGCATAGCCTTGGAATCGTGCATGGAGATATCAAGCACCAAAACATCTTTGTCCAGTATGCTGATGAGAAGTCTAATCTTCAGCCCAAGCGCTTCGTTGTAGGAGATTTCGACAGCGCACATGTGAAGGGTAGTGTGATTGGTCTGAAGTTAGGAACAAAGGTTTGGACGCGGCCCAAGGTACCAGGTAAAGATGTTGCAGAGGAAGAGGATGACTGGTATGCGTTTCAGAAGCTGAAGGAGTGGTTAGTTACGGCGACGGATGCAAGCCAGTTGTTGGGTTACGAAGGACTTGGCATGAATTAACTGTCACGACATGGATTAGACACCAGAATCTTGAGGATGTGGAAAGCTTTCTAATATTTGCCAATCTCTACCAAAGGGCTGTGCAGGATTTATGTCGTCACAAATCTCTCTGCACCCGTAGTACCTTCACAGATCCAGCGCTAGCCCAACTAGGGCGTATGCGCTTTTGAAATCATTTCTGCTTCAGGATGTTGCCCGAAGAAAGCCTCGCCGCTCACCAAGCTCACAAAGAAGGATACTACCCTTTCTCCTCTCCAAACTCTGCCCTCTTTCGTGCGCATCTGTTTGAATGTCTCAGGTGTAGCAAGAAATACTGTGATTATATATTTAGCAGCTTTCTTAGAATTGTCCGAGTTTCTTCTTTACCAGAATATTGGACATCAGCAGAGTCGGCACTGGGCGGCGACCTGCGGTGCCTGGACGATGTGTCGTGGTGCCGGAGACTTGCAGAAACCAGATTTACCAGTTGGAACAGTCGTCCTGCCACATCGGTGCGGCACATCCTGGTAAGGATGACCGCAGACGTTCGAGTAGTATATATACCAACCGCAAGTACAGTTGCTTGGATTGGTGGGACTGTTGACAAGCCGGTTTATGACATCTTGTCCTAGCTGAGCTGATGTAATTGGTGCTGCTGCCATATTGATATCGTACAAGCAGACTATCGACAGGATTCCTCCTAAGGTAGTGATCTAAACTTCAGTTTCAATCAGAGCCTGATCATAATCATAATCAGCATCTAACAGCAAGAGCACGAGGGGAGGATAGCACGCGTAGAGTAGACGCGACGTACCTAGAGCAAGCTTTTGATTCTGCAGCGAGTGGTTGCAGCCAGTGTGGTATTGACAGTGGCGCCGTGAGAAGTTTACCGGGTCGGGCGGACTCTGCCAAGTCTACTGAATGCTGCTCAAGATCGAATCTAGTGGGAGAGTCAATAAGCTGTAATTACTCTTGGAAAAATAGTAGAAGTCCTGGTAGATTGCATAGAGATCTAGTGCTGTATAGAGATAGAATACTAACCGGAAACTGGGTTTGGGCGGGCGATCAATAGGCTGTTCAGGAAAGCACCGGGGCGTCGTATGGTATTGTAAGGAAACTAAAAGGTAAGGGTACGGTGGTAGCCTGGGCTGTCACGCTACTCCACTATCACGGGACTGTCCTGCAGGAGTCACCTGCAGCATTGTCGCACAGCATCAAGCCCCTGACCAATCATAGTCCAGGAGCTTTCAGGCGTTTGCAAGACTTTCCAAGGTCAAGCCCACGGTTATTACTTTCCAAGGTAATTCCCGAATTACGATTGGCCTAGAAGGTGAGAGGACTTCGTTAGCGCCGCGCTAGTTCTGTATAGGCTGCCCAGCCTAAAATTACTGAGTCATACCTAGCTACCTGGGTAAGATAACGGCAGCATCGGAGTCCTTACCCTGCTCCGAACCTCACTTTAATAAACCTAGTCTTTTCGCGCGCGCCAGTCGGACTCTCGGTAAGGTAAACGGCGAGAAACAAACAAGTGGACAATAATTTCCCACAGGTCTCTAAAGGTTTCTAAAAGTGAGTCGCTTTGGTTTATTAGACGCTCAGAAATCTGGAACAATACATGCTACCCTTCAAACGCTCGGTTCCACAAGCCGCCGCGCAACTATAGCTAATTGTCTCGACGCTTGCAGTCCTAGACCTCAACTCTCCGCCACTTCCAAAACTTGCTTCCAAAAGCAGCGGCACAGAGATTTTGTCCCTCTCTCACTCGAACCACCTTCGCAGAACCAGCGATAGCTCAACTAGGGCGCAAGCGCTTTGAATATCCTCTTCTCCTACTGCTGAGGCAAGATTACAACGGCTTTTTTGAGTCTCCTTTCACCATGATCAAACCTGAACACCGGTTCATATCTGAAGGTCAGGGCTACTTTGGCTCGCACGAAAACCCCAAAACCGAAACCCATTGCAATGTCTGGGACTGGGACCAACTGCGTATGATTAAGATCAAAGGCACCGCCAAGCTCTTTCCGCCTGAAGTGGACAGAGAGGCTCCAATTCTGGCGCAGTTTGCTGATTACCTGTCGCCGGAAGTTCGCGCAGTCACAGTTGATGAGGACGGCCTCCTTTCTGGAATCTCTACGGATCCGATAGAGGATGACACTATGTTTGTTCCATATCTTCATGTCTCGACCTTTGGATCACTCGCCGCATGTCGTACAATCCAGTACTCCAAACTTCAAGAGCTCGATCGACTTGGGCCAGGTGTGGATCTCTCGTCATACAAAGATGAGTCCGGAATCCCCAAAATGGTTGCCTTCAAATTCAATCCCTGGGGGAAGACTGTTAGACTCCACATGAGTTGGGATGAGATTAACCTTCTCGAACGTCTGCCGCCGCATCCTAACATATTACCATTTGATCGCGTTGTCCTGGATGACGTGGAGTCTCGGGTGATTGGATTCACAACAAAGTACATTCCGGGTGGAACTCTCGAAAATCTAAAGGTCCCTTTTCGACTGGAATGGATGCGACAGCTCCTTCAAGTCGTGGACTTCCTGAACTTAGAATTGGGAATTATGCATCAAGACATTGCACCCCGAAATCTACTCGTCGACCCTGACACACATGAGGTCCTTCTCTTCGACTTCGATATGGCCGCATGCGGAAAGAAAGGCTTGCGAGATGGTCGAGATGACGTGGCCGGTGTCGTTTTCACCCTTTATGAAATCATCACGAACGATACACACTTTACGAGTATCCCCCACTGGGAACGAACAATGGACACAGTGCAAAACATCCCAGTGTGGACCTGTAATCGCGAACTGGACTCTGATGTATCAGCTTTCCGCAACTTATTGAATGAATGGGTAGCGACACGAAAATCCAAAGGGGACATAGAACGATATCTCAATGCACCCAACCGGCTTACATGGCCGGACCTACCAACATCGCCCGACTATAATGTGCGATTCGAGCATGGCAAAACTGTGGATGGAGAATCGATTTGGGTAACGGGTCCGCGGATGAGACGCACTGCACTGGAGATAGGTCAGTACTGCTTTCGCTGGGAGAGGCCACCACAGAGCAGACTATTGAAGGGTGAAAGTAGCGTGCGATAGGTTGTTTAAGGAAGGCAGCTTCAACCATACCGAATCAAGATTAGATTTAGTAGGCTGCGTCTGCTTCAATCCTCTCTCCGCCATCGTCAGCACTTTCTTTTTCAACAATGCTTGTATACTGTCCATATAGTTGGGTAGGAAATCGAGCTGTCTAAGTACTGTGACAGCTGATTCTGGAATACGAACTGCACGCAAGCACAAAGGCTAGACTTCTCGAACAGAGAAATATTGGTGCAGCTTGATAAGTTCGTCAGAGTCGTAGCTTTGGAGTTTCTCTAGATGTCGTGTCAAGGCTGGCCTACAAGAAGTTCGACATTGTGTCGCTGTAGACATAGCGTATACAATATCTATTTGGCCAGTTTGTGTGCTCCGAACCTCTTCGATGTTTTGCGCAATACCTACAAAAGATAGTGTTCGCCCAGTAATCAATAGACAAAGAATGACATCCCTGACAATCTGCGAGTTTGAGATGAGCGAGAGTTATGTTTCGAGTAGAAATATCTGTAAATGATTTACTGTCTGGTTACCTTCAACTATCTCAGATTCGGGTCCCCCATTCTCGATGGTGAATAATAGATTGATCACACCAATTCAATTGTCGAAGCCGGGTATATTTAGAAATTGTGCTAGTCCATTCTCTTCAAGGCAGGTAATTTCCGAGAAATGACTGACATACTAAAGCGGCTGGCACATATATCGGGGGAATGGAGCCGCTCTTGTTCGTTGCTCGAATAATTCCCCGTGTATGCTGGATGACTCCCGTCCAACACTTAGGGATACGTAGCTATACTATCGTTGTAGTATCTGCTAAATGCAAGCGAAGCCTTTTACATCATGGGGCGATAGGGGTTTTGACGTCTTGGAGGATATTTTGGCGGCATGTTTGGGTCAGGGGCACCCTAGATGTTGCTAGGAATTAGGTTTAGATCAGTACGCTTGGGTTTGAGGTGGGGTCATCTTCTGCGGAACAATGACGTGTTGAACAGATGCATGTTCATCCAGAGGAAATGATGTTTGAGCAGAATACCTGTAAGTGAAATGTGTGCGTGTCAGAATATATGGTCTTGACGGCGAGTAAAGGGAATGCTCAGCAGTGGAGTTCCAGCCTCGCTCTCAGAAGGTACAAGTGGGGTTGCGGCACGACCCACACCACACGACCGGGGAGTTGTTTCATCCCGGCATCAAATCTTACGCTACTGCCGTTATATTGCGCGTTTGGCGTTCTCCTTTATCCCACATGTCTGATTGTATATATTCGCTGTTTCGCCCTATATGTGACGTCCCCCGCCTATAACTCTACCCCATCACGCGACCATGTCCACCTCATCGTCCCAGTCCTCGAACAAGATGCTCGATAGCTTGCCAACACCCACAAATAACCTTGCGGAGCTTGCGAAAGAGGAGAAAAGCTTCACATTTGCTCATTTTACTTGCGAACATGCCTGGGTCATAGGAAATATCCTCCGCAACGCACTCCGGACTGCCGAATGCCCCGCTATCATCCATATCGCGCTTGCAAATCAGACGCTATTCCATGCGCCCAGTTTACCTGGCATAATGCCCGACCATGAGACGTGGGCGCAGCGGAAGCGCAACACGGTGTTGAGATGGGGACATAGTACATGGTTCATGAACTGCCAGTTCGATGGAGACTACAAAACATTTGCGGAACATCATGCCATGAGTGGGGAGGAATGGACAAAATACACAGTTGAGGGAGGAGGGTTTCCGGTGTTTGTTAAGGGCGTGGAGGGAGTGGTGGGCGCAATAGTTGTGGCGGGACTGGACGGGTTAGAGGGGGCCAAGGCGCACGTGGTTATTGTGAAGGCGGTGGAAGAGTACAAAGATTTGAGGGAAGGTTTCAAGAGTCCCATGAGGAGTATGACACTTAAATAACCAGATGGCCTGGGCATAAGGTATGGACTCGGTATTACCGTTGGGATCAAGGAGGGGTTGGAATTGAATCCTAGAGTAAAGAGGAGGAGCTAGGATTGCTCACGGACCGGAGGCCGAATCGCCCGCCGATCGCGTCAAAGGCTGTTGAGTAGCCCAAGATGAAGTTTCGTCCTGTGTTGATATAGGGCGGCGATGCGTGCTTTGCAGGGACAACGTAGCTGGGTTCGATGCATGAACCCTCGCCAAGGACGAAAGAGTACGAGACCACTGGCGCGCCCAAAGATGGGAAGTTGACAGCGATACAGGTTCCTGGCTTCACACGCTTCACCAGCTTAGCATGACCTCGCTTGTTGGGGTTGCGAATAAGCACAGTCGGTATCGATACACCTGCCTCCGCTCTAATGTACATCTGCGGTATCCCAGTATCGATGAGGATCGGACCGCAGTTAGCTCCCTCGCCATCGATGCTGAAGCACATCTTCGCCATTGCCCAGTCTCTTGGATCCTCCGCATGAGCCAACCCTGGCTCTAGGCCGTCAAACGCGAAGCCTCGTGTGTTTTCCTTAGTCAGCCCCAGATGCACGCCGTCCGCGGAAACGACATAGCCAGCCCGCATTGACACTGTCGATATTGGCTGTCCGTTGATCGCAATGACATTCAGGAACGGATTGACTTTTGGCGTACCGTTTGGCATGCCATCCCTTGGTTGATTCCTACCGAATCCCACCCCCATATAGGTTATAGAGCTCGTATCGCGTTCCACCGCCTTCTCCCCCTCCGGGCCCAGCGGGCACGTAAACCCGTCTTTACTGGGATTGTACCATGGGCATCTCCAACTCTTATCTACAATCAGTACAGGTACTATCGTAGTCGCGTACGAGCCGGCTTCGCCATGAAAGCCGATGGGTAACTCGACGAGTCGGCCTACGTAGAGGATCAAGCTACTGGTGAAGTAGTGGTGTGCTGGCGTGCCTACTGTTGCGCTGATGTTGGGCAGTATGGGAGCTCCAATAAGCAGGCATGTGGAGCCAGTATCTACAGGCATCCTAATGTCGACGCCCTCAATCCTACACATGACTCGCGGGGCTTCTTCAGTGCTAAGCTTGTGGATGAAGGGTATGAAGATAGACTCTGTGTACTGCGATAGGTCAATGTCCGTAGAGCGCATGCTGTTCTGGAGCATGGTGTAAAGCCCGAAAAAGAGGACGATGACAGCGACGTGCCGGCAGAGTGTTGAACTCCCCAAGACTGTGCCCGAAGGCGTTAAAGATGGTAAATATGGGGTTGAGGACGGTGCTGAGAGCGCTTGATAGTCCTGGGTTTCCATTGTTTGTATAGGCTGCAGCTGTGGTCCCACTGCAGCCTACATGTATGCTGTCAAACGCCAAACATTCACGCTAGAGAGATGTCAGTAATGCGACTAAAGCACGAACATGTGGTTCGTCGATACCCTTACATATCTTCTCCATGGGGTGTCAAAAGAGCGGTGGTTGTGCTTCTACGTCATTCGCGCATTGATGAGTTGGCGTGTCCCCACCACTGAACCCCATCTTGTCTTAACAGCTTCAGCCTTCCACTCTGCTCAACCAGCAACATGTGATAATTTTACACACCGGTCAGAATGCGACCACCAACTGCCGACAGCCACAGCGTTCCCCGAATCGCCCATCCATGTTCTGCAGATCGCTAAGCACACGTGACGATGCACGACGCAGCTGGGGTTTCCTTGGCTCTTCTGCATGTCCAGTGGCGCAGGATTACCTTCTACTAACATCAAGGCTATACAAACAATTTTTGCACAAATCAACACCCTCGAGTCGAAGATGGCTTCCGACGACGTACGCGACCCAGTTCATCGAACCTGAGGCCCCCTTCGATCTCATCTCGAGTCGCTCAGAGATTCGCCCCTTCTACCCACCGCCGCATTGTTTGACGCAGAACACTCGAATACAGAGCATGTAGCCACCATGGGTCGCTCACCCTCCCGATCCAGCGATGGCGCAGACTCTGCGCACCACATGCGAGTCGAACCGCGCCTTCTGAAGGCGATCGAAGATAAGAAGCATGAAGAAGCTATCGCCGTCATCGAGCATGCGAAGGCGAAGTCCGAGCCCGTGGAGCATCTCCTGCGCATAGGCTTGATGCGCGCAGCTGAGCGTGGGAACATCTACATCACAGAATACCTTCTCAAGAGCGGTGCAAAGCCTGACGGCGCGCCAGGAGGAAGGGCATCCCCCCTGTTCAAGGCCATCGAAAAGAACCATGTCGGTATTGTGCAATTACTGCTCAGGTTTGGAGGGAATATGGATGCACAAGATAAACAGGGACGCACGGCTCTTATGACGGCCGCATGGAAGAATCACTTTCACATCATGCATGAGCTGTTGAGGTGTGGTGCAGATGTCAACAAGAAGGACAACACAGGTAGGAATGTACTACACAACTTAGCGGCGGACAAGCATTGCAATTGGGGGCGCGACGTTATTGCTGAGCTGTTGAGGCAGAATGTTGCGATTGATGGACCGGAGGGCCAAGACGAGCAGAAGAGGAGTCCGCTGCATTGGGCGGCGAGCACGGGGAAGAAAGAGCTTTGTGAAATGTTGCTGAAGAGAGCTAGGTTGCCACGGGCGAACGTGAATGCGGTGGAAGTACGTCAGAAGACGGCATTGCATCTCGCTGTTGCGCATGGACGAGATGATATCATCGAGTTGTTGCTCGTTCATGGGGCCGACGTCATGGCAAAGAGCGATGGTAGCTGGACACCACTGCACAACGCCTGTGAGCAGGGTAGCATAAAAGTTGTTCGCATACTTCTAAGTGCCGGCGCAAACGTCAATGCGAGGCTATTGAATGGCATGACTCCTTTGCACGTGGCAGCCCAGAATGGACATTTAGAGGTTGTGAACTGCCTTCTAGAGAGGAAGGATATTAAGCGAGCAGCAAAAGATACGTTCGGTATCACGCCATTTCTCCGTGCGGCGCAGAGCAAGAAGCCAGCACGGAAAGATATAATCAACACGCTGGCGCCACACAACCAGGTGGAGGCATTGAGCGAGGACGCGCTCGGGGCCACGAATGGCTTCCACGCTACCATCGTCGACTTCGGCAATTTTCATAATGAAAATAAGGTGACTAGGAAAACTGTTTACGAGCTGCTGTATGGCCGTGACACCATCAATCCGAGGAAGCCTGCAGTCACTATCTTGCCCAAGGAATCAAAGGCGACGAGCTTTAGGTGGATCCATCTCCCTGCCAACAATATGGCGTGGGTAGAGGCATTGCTGACCAAAGCGTTCATTGAAGAAGGGGCAAGTGACGTTGAAGGATTCAAAGCGCTAGAACGATCTTTCAGCCATCAGCACCGTGGACAGCAAATACACTCACACTTCATGAGACCACTATGTCAGAGTACACCACGCGCCCCGAAACAACACGATGACTCTGACCTCTCTGATGGCGCCGAACAAGAACCACCACAAATTGTTGTCAACAGCGGTTTAGGTCTAGATCTTGATGCTATAGCGGGTGCACAAGAACCAACATTACCGCGGTTGCCAAAAATGCCTGTAAGAACAGGTACAGTAGGCACGGACCAAACAGACTGGACAACAGGTTCTGGCTCGGGTCACGCAACTGGCAAGGAAAGCAAGGGGAAGACGAAAGACAAGACAAAAGACAAGACGAAAAAGATGGCGAGATGGGGCGGTTCCAAGCAGGCCGGGAAACGCGGTGGGACTGATACACCAACAAAGCCGCCAGATCATCATGCAAGACGACCAACTACAAATTCCTCGCTAACAAACAGTGGGTATCTTAGATCGCCCGGTAGTCCTGGGAGGAAAGACCCAACCGCCTCGGCGAAAGGCAATGTCTTCGCCTTCATGCCATACTTACATTTCGAAACCGACCGACGACGACAGGAGATGCAGGCTGCGATTGCGCGATCCCAGATGTTGAAGGAGCGAGAGAAGCACGAAGGTCGCAACATCAAGCCAGCCATCCAACGCGCGTCAACATACGACGAGATGCTCTTGCGGGCTCATTTGACTTCTTCACAAGTTTCGCTGCATGTCAGACGCACGCTGGATCAATTCTTCTATCATAACATCGACACGCAGTCTCGCGATCGGGATCAGGTTGTTTATCGGTATCAATGCAAGTCGGATGACCCTCAACATGTCGATCCGAAGATATTCATGGTCGACCAGCTGTGGTTGTGGACGCTCGGGAAAGACTTAATCGTGACTGCCTTCCCACAACGGTGGCAGCAACCTCGCAACGATCCACTTAATGTCCTCGACGGTGTCATCGAAGATATCAATAGCAAGACGCGAGAACCCGTGCGTAGTGTATATGATCTTGCGATGGTCATTACAAGCCGATGCAGCGGCGTATTTGACAGACACCGCATAGGGGACGAGGAGTACCAGTTCCTCGACATGTTCGAATCCAGCATCGGAGACGCTACTGAGATGGAGACTTTGCTATTCAAGGAGTTCAACACCGCATCAGCACAGGCATCAGCATGGCTTCAACACCATCGACGACCAAATCGGTTTTCTCGGCATCTTGAAGCCGAAGGAAGGCAAAGAGAGCATCTTAGTCGTCGGCACACGCCACACCACTCCCACCCATTGTCCGACCCACCCATTACAGAGGACTATGATGACACCGATCGTACAGCCGCCCACGCACCGCTCTTCGTCGATAACCTACTGGATATAGGCAATGAGACTGATCTGCTCGCTGAAATCAAGGACATCCGCGATGAACTCAACATGATTGCAAAGGTACTAGAAGATCAGCGCAATGTGCTACCGGATCTGGAAACCAGTGTTATCGATATCTATCGCGAAGAGCACAGAAATCAGCAAGATTTGAAGAAACGGTTCAAGGAAATGCTGAAAACAATCGATACGCATATCAAAGATTTGGAACGCATGGATAAACAGGCTGAACGCATTTATAAATCCATCACAGATCTACTTGATCTGAAACAGAAACACGCCAACGCATTCGAAGCTCGCTTTGCAAGGGATCAAGCTGCGGGCACGGCACGCCAGAGTCAGACTATTATGGTTTTTACGATAGTCACGATTATCTTCCTGCCTCTCTCCTTCATTGCGGCATTGTTCACCATCAACATACAAGAGTTTCCCCACGGGCCTGGTGGTGACGAACCGAGCTTACCATTGTCATTCGTCAGCAAGTATATGTTCGGCATCGGCCTTGCGATTTCGATCCCTTTCATTGCTATTGCTTTGAGTTTCGATGCTATTGGTGACTTCTTCCGCGAAGTCAAACGTCGGTTTAGAGCCCGTGGCGCGAGAAAGAGTCGAGCGCGACGTGGCAGTACTAACAAGACAATTATGAGCAATGATAAAATGGATATCGAATACACAGCCGACATGCGCACCCTTGAACAGACACTTAGTGCCGGGCGAAGCACCGTCCGACCGGATGGAAGGAGGAGTATTGAGAGCTATCTGGGCGGCGCGCGAGGTAATGGCTGGGGTGATGGAGGGTCCTTGCTTCCTGTGACTAGTAGGAGTACGGCGAGGAGCGGGCAAAAGAATGGCGTAGTTGTTAAAAATGGGACAGCAGCCGTCGCAGGCAGACTGAGTGCGGATATGCAGCTGTCGCCGGTGGAGAGGTTGAATACTGGTTTCAGGATGAGGGGAAGTGCGGATATTGAGCGTGTGTAGGGGCATCGTCAAGTATGAGAGTGTGTATGGGATTTTTGGGTAATGTAGGGGACAAAATTTGGAAAAGCATATACCCTAGCCCTATTCGTTCTCGCAATGCTAAAACACAGATATGAAGATATCGAATTCAGTCAAATGTCCTTCACTTTGCTGATCTCATCACCAACAGCGCCTGAGCTCCGGCCCCAGGCACGATGCGAGCTCTTCCCACTCACCCGACGATAACATCACAGAAGAACCCACGATTTCTCCCCCAACGACCGATCGCCTAAACCGCGCGGTCTTAGGCGAGTAAGAAAGTAAGATCATGTATGGATAAAGGTCATAAAGAAAAGCCTGCGCGCATAGGCGAAAGAGCATAGTCGACAAGAACGTCTCCAACTTTACGCCAACATGTATGCAGTCCTACCACGCGAAGTAAGAGACATGGTCTATGACAACATTCTTGGTGCAAATAGACATAAGCAACTGGTGATAAGACGTGGCGACGTGAAGAATAGACTTGGGTCCTACGAAATCATAGTGTAGCTTTCATCAATTTGTGACCACACAACTCTTCGAAGCCCGACTTGCAGTCTATATCCTGGTGCTCGACACGGATATGAGCACGGATGTTCTGACGGAACTCGTTGAGCGCTGTACCGCACTCGGGTCTTCCTCTTCAGCTCCGCATTCCTGAAAATGCTCCCTACATTTTTCACAGAAGATGGATTTAACCAGGGCACGGGGCCTAGTATCCTTGTTCAGCACATCCGCCACCGTATCTGCGCCGACAAAATATGTGACGCGATATCGGCGGAACGATTCAAAAGGAACTTGCCTGTCCTCCTTTCGATCAAGAATAAGAAAGTCAACTTAACGATATGTATTAATTCCAGCAACAAACTTCACTAATGAGTTATTAATGACAAGTTGTCTTTCCCACTATAACGAGCGTTTTCTTCATAACTAGTGGGTTTTTCCTGCCTGGCTTCGGGGGGGGGCTAACAGTTCAAGAAGGGCAGGTCGGATTCGGCTGAGTGTCACGCCTCTTCAAAGAAGAAACGCGTTGCTTGAGTGCTGACCCCTAACACAAAGAGATATGGCCTAAGGTGACTATGATATAGACAACCTGTCACCACTGGAATTGACTCAACGTAGACTTTGATAACGACGAAGCAAGGATTGACAGCACGGGCAGTACACCAAAATTGATAGTGGACGTTTAAATGAACACTTTTCTCTCGCTAAAGATCGAGGCCTACTAATCCCTGTCCGTTCCACAATGCATACGCGTTTTTCAGTGCAGGTTACATTGGTTTTGAATGCGTTGATGTGCGCCACGAAGCCTCAGCGTTCTTTCGTAGTGTAGCTGTTTACAGTCTCACCTCTTGTTGTTGCCTCTTCGTAAGCCAGGTAGTTCAAAAGTATTTCACTAAGTGCAGTGCCGAGTTGGGCCAGCCCTCGATCCCCAAATCACTTCTCTTCCACAGCTCCAGCTGCTGTCAAGGTACGATACTTTATCAATTCTATGAAGTCTTCGTCGACCTGCACACCATACTCGCTATAATATAATACCTGCAATTTATCTTCACATCTCATCCAACTATCTACCAGAATGGCAATCTGTATACCTTCTTGTAGGCTTTTGTTTTTAGATCCTATTAGAATAATCCTCTTCAGCATCCTCAGGATCGTCTTCCCCGAAGATAGCAACCTCGTCATTTGTTCCCACCTCATTCCCGCGCCCTCTCCCCCTTGGTATCACCATTCCTACCGCTTCTTTGTTCTGTAACACCACATCTCTCTCCCCAATCCCAGCCCTTCCACCCTGCTGCTTCTGCACCGCAACCACAATCACACGGCCCGAAACAAGCACACCCCCGCACAAGCTCCACCACCCCGGATTCACTCCAAAGACCAGCTTATCAAGCACGAGCGCCCACAGCACATTAGTATAAACCATGTTCGTCGCCCTGGCCCCATTCCCTATTCCCCCAGCCGCAAGACCGCTTGTGAGTAAGAACTGCGTGAAGAAGCCGCAGATCCCGAGGGAAAGTAGTAAGGACCATTGACGGAGATTGGCGGGTGCGGCAAACGAAGGGAAGGATGGGATGGGGAGAGTGAGGGACACCGTGGAGACAAGCGTTGACCAGGCAGCGAAGTAGTTCACGCTTACGAGCGGGTGCGCGCGTGGGCCTATCCACCGGATTATGGTAAAGACCGCGGCAGAGCCGAAGACTACGATCATTGCTAGTGCAACGCCCGAGAGACGTTGGGCCGAGGTTGGAGTTGGGAAGGATGCTTTGGATGTTGTTGAGGTTCCGTTTGTGGGGACGGATGTAGGTGGAGAGGTGGTGGTGGTGAACATGGATGTCGGGCGTGCAATTAGGAAGAATGATGATGGGATAAACACGATCTATTTTCTCAAGGCAAGCCTTCGACAATGAACAATTCACTGGTGGGAATTTACGCTCTGACTCTACCAGGTTGCGTTCGAAAGTCATGGCATGATAATGTTGAAAGGAGAATACGAATCTTCCAAGATCATATACGGCCTGCCCAAGCCAATCGGATTCGGCAGGTACAAAATTGAAAATCCGCCTACGTACTTCTACCTATCTGAATTCGTTGATATGGATGTCACGACAGCCCCTGACCCGTCGGAGTTCACAGAGCGACTCGCACAACTACATCAAGTTAGTAAGTCGCCCACGGGATTGTTGGCTTCGATGTCCAGACATGCGACGGGCAGGTTACCAACATCGTTTAGTGTCCACAAACCACTGTCATGTAGCACCTGGGAGTTTCATCAAGGATACAGCATACTCATTGAATCCGAATGCAGTTAAATTGGGAATTTGGAGATGTCAGTTCAGCTCAGTTTTCCGTTCGAAGGAGTACACTAGACACTACCTCCGCAACTATCCCGCAGAGGAGCCCGTTGCTGAGTTCAATGATCGGAACAGAGTCTATAGTCTGAAAAATGACCCAAATTACTCAGTGGGCCATCCAGGAACTTCGTTGCGAAAAAGGTGAGAGCTTCTCTTGATTTTTCTCGTTTGTGGCATGTTCCTTTCAAGATATTAACATCCGGTAGACTGACAAATCGGACTTTGTAGTGCCTACAACAACATGTGCTATCTTTGCGAGAAGTATGCTCCAGTTGAGGGCATCGATAAGTACGACCCTCGAATTGATCCTTCGGTAACAGGAGCTTATATCACGCCGCATCTGGCTGGAAATTTGGTCTGATTGTGCCAGTTTTGACGCGCGGATACCGGATCGCGGCTTGGGCTAGTTGAGGCCTCATTGCCAGGCCAAATTATTACCAAGGGCTAACTCTACACATGAGAAATAACATATGTCGACCAGTCAATTAGTTGCATTGGGTACACCAGCGGATCTGAATACATGAGCTCCTGTCTGGAACCGCTGATACTTCTCATGACACCCTATGCTACCTCAGGGGTATCCATTCGCTTTTGTATCCACAGTGCATTTACGCGATAATAATATATCAAGATGACTAAAAAAAAGCTCCTTTCGAGAACAATACGTATGTAATTGTTAATTTTCCAGCAAGATCGGTCCCAAGAGCTCTAGAAGAGCTTCCGTACTTAGCTGGTTAAGGCTTGCTTCATCAAGAAGATGGTTTTGTACCAAAACCTGTCGCAAGTTTGTCGAGCTGATTTCAGCGGAAGCAATTTTCGCATATTGAAGATAATACCCCCTCTTTAGAGGGCTAGTGCCACATGCACCTGTACATATGTCTAGCACAACCTCAGCTTGGACGGCATTCCCTTCATCTAGCCAAGATTAGTCGGCTATTAGAGGGGGGCATTATTTAGAAGCAATGCATGCACTGACCGTCTCCACAGCCCCTCTTTAAAGACTCACTGTCACATACACCTGTGCATGACCATAGCACAATATCGGCTTGAATAACCTCTCCTTCACCTAGCCAAGACCAGTCAGCTATAATAGGAAGGTGTCATCGAAGAGCAATGCATGCACTGACCTTTGCCACAACCATGCGTGCTACGGGACCACAGCCCGAATCCATTCCACACTACTGGCTTGCCATCCGGAAGAAAGTGGGTAGCGACATGTCTGGCTCTGTTTGTGACCAGTACACCCGGAAACTCGTATGGCATGATCTTGAGGGGGTCTTCTATATTTAGGTTATCCGGACCAACCAACCGTGCAAATGTCAGCTTGAATCCGTCCGCCTGAGTCAACCGGAATAAGGCCTTGCAAAATGGTTTGAAGGGGTACCAGGTAGCTGTCCATACCCACACCCTTGCTCTTGGAATTGACGATATGGCCCCCAAAAGATCTGCCCTGCGTGTTTGTGGAAGGAAAAGTCCGGGTGACTGTTGGATATCTTGTTTTTCAAGTGCCAGTCTTCACTAGGCAGGATGACGATCGCAACTGCCGCTACCTCTGGCCTCAGCCCTGATAAGATAACATCTATGTGTCCTCGATGTGGAGGATTGAACGAGCCTCCGTATACCAGGAGAAGATTTTCGCTGTCAGACTGCAAGATTCCTTTCAATGGCTCGATCGAGCGGAGTGCAGCCTCCGAAGTCAGACCAACCTCCTTGTAGGCCACCTGCAAGTAATGTTTGAGAGACATGTCTATCTTCCTCCTAATCTTCTCTGTAGTGTGTATGGTAGTTGTAAAGCTTCTAGACCGGGGCTTCAAAGAGATGGGAAAATATGACAAAAGCTTAGGGAATAACAATCCAAACTGGCTAGAGATATTGTCTTCAAACGCAGGCAGAACCTTCATGTTAAATAGTATCCACTTAGTGGGCACAACACAACCAACAGAAGACCAGTCACGGTAGCACAACCCGGCTTACAATTGTAACCCTAAATGAATGATCGCCATAAAAGCATCTAGTATTCTTCTCGATCGTCGGCGAGGCCGTGAACAGTCGAACAAGGACGCCAGGATCATGGAAAATTCGTATAAATTACAATACAACAGTATCCACCTTTTCGAAGGATACGACAAACCTGTTATTCCAGGCGTTTTCATGGTTCGGCCTCCAACTTCTGATGAAAGCGCAACAGTCGGCGCTATCTACTTGACATTTCCTCAACAAATCCAAGCAACACTCTTATTGAGCTTAGTTTAGTTCTGCTATTTCAGATGATCAGAAATCCTTAGAGTCGAACTGAATACGAATTAATTGCGGGGCATGTTGCAAGACCTATTGGCCACAGTGCAAGCCACGTATAATCGTAGTACTGGCCCCCACTAGGAAGGATGTTGATTCTCCACTATGGCCTAATGAGCCATCCTTATCGCGTCACGCTGACCGCTTTCTGCCAAGGCTGCAAGAACCAGGGTTATGTGTAAAACCTGCGGGATTGACCCTAAAAAAGACGGGACTCGGCAAGGATCAAATCTGACTGTGAGTCTTCAACTTTGAGGCGGGCATGAATTGAAAATAGTTGGCACTGCTATTGCCGAACAGCAAAATTCCTATACTTCATTGATTCGATTCTGCCTCAGAATACTATCCTCTGATCCTTATAAAACGGAAGTATGGCTGTTCCTCGAGAAGTCGAGTTTGACTTAGTCCGGTCAGCAACTCCGTTGGTTTAACCATTACGCAACTAAACATCGATTTGTCATAGGAACCTCTGGGTCACTGACTACGTGACCCTTTGCAATGGTACGTGAATACTACACTACCAGAATTATGATTTATACGCCCTGATATGGCTGACTGTGCGAATGCAGCGATTTGCGGAGGTGGAAACAGAAACCAAAGTAAAAGTTTGTGTAGCTAACCGGAGTCTAGTTCTTTGCAACGGTCCTTCATCACTGCCCACGTGTTTATATACCTCGGCTATGAGTTCGATCGCTGGGATGGGGTAGTTGCAAAATGGAGAAATGAATGCTCTGAAATGGGTAAACAGCTCGATAGCCTCTCGGACTTGGTACGGATTTTCCTTTTGCTCCCTTATCTCGCTAGTGCCTTTCCAGGAGATTTTTTTCTGTTTACTTATATTCCCAAAGATCAAATTTGGTGTGGCACCAACCATAATGTTGTACTCTATTGGATTTCGCACACCGGTGGATCAAGTTGTGTTGATATTCTATGTGGTCTGCGGTGTCTCTCGATTAGCAAGATTCAACATCACTGCAGATCTGATACCGAAGGACGCGCACGGCAAGGCACTCTACTATGAAGGGATTATTATTCCATATGCAGCATTGGGTGTATCGACAGCCGTGGCTGTCTGTGCGTGGATGGACTGGACATCGGAATATGTTCTCTTTCAGGCTTTCTTCCGAGCAACCTGGTGCGAATTCCACCCGGCAATAGTTCCTGTGATCGCCGTCGGTACTAGCATGGTGAGCAAGCGGTTGAAGCCGCCGGCAGTTGGGACGTTTGTAATACCGGCTATGACTGTAGTTGTCTTTGCTAGCTGTTGGTCGCTTTCGCCACCACAGCTTTAAAATAACGATGGGAACGCGCTTTTCAGTTACATTATTCGGATGTTTTAGTAGCCCTGATGGAGTCTTTATTAGTAACTATCCTCTCAAGCTAGCAGTGTCCTGGTATATCGTAATTGCATCTTCAGTTCGCCAAGGTCTCATTCCTCACTACACAACCACCACGTCTTGAAGTACGGGCAAAGTCTGGGATTTATCCTCACAGACCACTGGTAATCGTAATGTCTCTCTCATCACTGCCGTTAGCCTCTGAATGGCCGAGACATGCTTCGCTGGCCTTAGAACTTGGTTTGCGCTCTACTCTTATCGATTCATAGATGTATGGAACAAAGTCGAGTGGGGTTAGCGAAGCGAATTTGTCAGGGAGCATCATTTCGGTGCAGATTTGGTGATATCTAGCCTCGAAGATTGGAGGGTTAAAAGGGACTGTCCGTCATCTGTTATATGTCTGCGAAAAGATGGTAATGAGAGGTGAGGATGTAGAGGGTGAAGAGGTAGCCACTGCTCTGGCTGTGATGTATATTAGACGCACCTCAAAAGTCTTGGGGGAAGAAAAAGGGGAGAAAAAAAAGCGCATACGCGCCCCAACAAGCTGTCCCCAACAAGCTGTTTGCAGGCTGCAGTTCAGCCCTTCATTCAATCGCGTCAATCGATACCAACGTGACCAACGAAGACGATTCGCGAAAGAGTAAAGAGTAAAGAGTAGCTACTATGCGGCAATATTAGAAAATTCAGGACAAGCCCCCCTTCACCGGTAGGTTGCTAGGCAGAATCGAATGGTGAGTTGAGAATTTCAGGCAGAAGCGTAGTACGAAGCCTTGGCGTCGTGCAGTGCCACATCTGTTTCCCACATATAAACTCCAACGCGATAGCTTCAAGTCGAGTGAGCTTCCTCGTCGGCTACAACAAGAGTGTGATCGTACTTGGACTTTTCCGATAGTATATCTTTTTCAACCTCAGTTTTCGCATCACACGCATCTAGGAAGGCTTTCCCAGCTCCAAACATTGAGGTACTGACCCTGAACTAACTCTTACGCCCCCAAGATGCAGACAATTGGTTGTGGAAGTTTCCCGAGGGCTATACCTATGGAGCCAAAAGAAGGGCTGTCGACTAAATTGACTCTGCGCCAGAAGCAAGTCAACGTTGCTAGAGGAAGGCACGCCGTTTCTGAGTATGTAACATTCAAAGCAATATCTGCCGCAGCTCATTGACAAAACGTAGAAAAGTGAAGGCCCAACGTTTCGCTAAAGCCTACGAACGCGGCAGGCGCGAATGCCTCGCTTTCTGCGTGAAGTTTCATGCCGCACTGCCTCGTGAGCTCCGTGACATGGTTTACGATCAGCTCATACCACCTCGACTTTGGCACCACGTATTCGAACCCCTTGATGAGAAGGGTCAACCTAGAGTTAGCAGCAACCCGCTAGTAAGCGCTTCGTTTTTCGATCCGCGGTCGCGCATCCCCGAGCAGCCCTCTGTCCGCCGGGACATCTGGAGATATCGCGAGTATGTAGGTGATATTGTCGCTAAGGAGGTCGCGGACCGCTGGTACCATACCGGGCTGTTCATTCTCGACGCCGAAGACGCTCTTCTGCCCAAATTTCTGTCCACGGACGTGTGGGAACAAGATAATGTGCCTGCGGAAGCGGTCCGACACATTCGCCTCAACATCAGAGACAGCATCTTTGACGACGAGCTAAAGCCCGACAAATTAGTGAAGGGCTTCGAGCACTTGTTTCGTGTTGCAAACAAGAAGACGGAAATTGTATTCTACATGTCCGGGGGGTACGGCGATCCTGTAGGCTGGTACATCCGTCACCTGTTCCGCTCATGGCAACTCCAGCCACTAGGTGATGCCCTCGAACTGATCAGGCCAACAATCTATCGCCTGCGCGAAGAGGGATATACGCGAGTCAGAGTACAACAAGGTGGCTGTGATGTATGTTAGACGCATCGCACATATCTTGGGAAAAACAAAAAATAAAAAAATAAAAGCGCATACGCGCCACAACTATCCGTTGAGCTACCATTTCATCGACGTGGGCCAGATTCGAACTGACGCTCCCGAAGGAACAAGATTTCTAGTCTTGCGCGATAACCACTCCGCCACCACGCCCGAGGTTGCATTGTTGAAAAACCCGGCTGTACGAGAGACATGTTCTTGATGAATCTGCGGAGATGCTTGGAATCGGTTGGCCAGATAAACGATAGTTATTTTGCAAAGTGGAGCTGGTGCTGATCTGTTCAACAAAACTTTCGGTGACGATGAGTACGAGGCGCGCTTCATTGTGGATATACGGCAGGAAGGGCCGGCCGTATAGGCGAGCGCTTGGGTGGATGCGGTTAAAGACTTTATATGTGAGCCGAACTAGCTATCGAGTGACAAGATTCTATGCGGCCTCTGTTATGACTGCAAGTGAGCCAGAAGTTGCGATGTGGTCAGGCTAAAACACGTCAATGAACGCCAACTCACATGACCTCGTTAGTCCCGCGCCGATATATCCCCGCTTATTCTCCGGAGCCCAAGCTCCAAGCTCATCCGTCACCGACGTGCTTTTGATATATGCGACTCACCGTAACGCCGATATTGTAGGCCCAAGAACCTCCTGGGAGCTATCAGAGCTGCACATATCTACGCTAATCATGATCACGGAACCGCGATAGCGGAGAACTGGACTTTGAAGCCGGAATGGCGTACGACACCTCGAGCGGGTATGCTCCGCCTAGCACGAGCAACATGCAAGACGATGCGTCGCTGCCCATGTTCAACATAGAGCGCGTGTCGTTGCAGTTCAACATATCATCCGACTTTGTGGCGGCTGCTGTGGCCAACAATGTCCTTATACTCGCCCTTTCTACTGGCCGCATTCTGCGCATAGATCTGGACAGCCCAGCCGATATAGATGGTTCGTAGACAATGGAGAGTCTTTGACAGTCGCTGGGCACGATCACTGACGTTCAAAGACATTGATCTACCGAAGAAGCCCTCAGAGATTGGCGTCATAAGGCGCCTCTTCCTCGACCCCTCCGCATCACACCTCATCGTAACTACGACCCTCGCGGAGAATTACTACCTCCACACACAATCGCGAACACCGAAAGCGCTCTCACGGCTGAAAGGCGTCGTCATAGAGAGCGTATCCTGGAATCCATCGCAGCCGACCGCATCGACACGCGAGATACTAGTGGGTGCCTCAGATGGGAATGTTTACGAGGTTTACATTGAGCCCTCGTCGGAGTTTTATAGGAGGGAAGAGCGATACTTAAAGGGCGTATATCGGACGAATGATGGGCCTATAATAGGATTATGGACCGATACTGTACCCGGTAGAACAGACCTGCGGAGAGTCATCATTGCGACACCCTCAACCTTCCTACATTTCGCCGGCAAGGTTGGGCGACAAGGACAGGAGGGCAGCGGATCGATCTTCTCCAAGCTCTTCGAATCCGAGTCTGCTACAGTGCATGAGATTCCGAATGCGGCCCCGACCGCCACCTCGCTTCTTGCAGTCTCACCAGAAAGCCAAGAGAACCCAAATACGGACCATTCAAATGCCGAGAGGATATTCGGCTGGCTTACGTCGCAAGGTGTGTTCCATGGGAAGCTATATCTATCGCAAGACGCGTCTGAGCTTGGCGGTAAGGTTCTAGGGGACTCAAGGATGGTGCCTAGATCGCTGATCTCGCCTTCACAAACCGCTAGCGGACGTACAAGAAGAACACAGGATGCAGTCACGTCTATGATACTCAGCCAGTGGCATATTCTTCAGCTAGTTGAGGGAAGGATTGTAGCCATCAATCGCCTTGACGATACTGTTGTCCTAGACCAAGTTGTGCTAGAGCCTGGCCAAAGTGCGCTTGGGCTGGTTGCCGACGTTAAAAAGAACACTTACTGGCTCTTTACTACCCAGGAAATTTTCGAGGTTGTTATCACAGACGAGAACAGGGACGTCTGGAAGATCATGCTCAAGGCGCAACAGTTCGATGCAGCTTCACAGTATGCGAAGACGTCGGCACAGAAGGATGCGGTCGCCACGGCATCCGGCGACTACCTCGTTGGCAAGAGCCAGTATATGGAAGCTGCCACAGTCTACGGAAGAAGCACCAAACCCTTCGAGCAAGTAGCGCTGACTTTCATCGACAAAGGGGAACAAGACGCGCTACGAAAGTACCTACTCACTAAGCTCTCCACGTTGAAGAAGTCGTCCATCATGCAAAGAACCATGGTGGCTACATGGCTGATTGAGTTGTACATGGCAAAGCTCAATACGCTCGACGATACCATCACAACAAAAGCCGAACTTTCTGAAAGTATGAACGCGGCAGAAACGCACGACCAACTATCTGTCATTAGAAAAGAGTACCAAGACTTCGTGACCAAATACAAGGCAGATCTAGATCGCAAAACCGTGTACGAAATAGTCAGCAGTCATGGTCGGGAAGAAGAGTTGTTGTACTTTGCTACAGTGGTAAATGACTACAATTATGTCCTATCATATTGGGTTCAGCGGGAGCGGTGGCCAGAGTCACTGGACGTTCTCAAGAGGCAGACTGACCCAGAGATATTCTACAAGTACAGTTCAGTCCTAATGGCGCATGTACCGGTCGAATTGGTGGACATCATGATGAGGCATTCGACATTTGACGCACAGAAGTTGATCCCAGCGTTTCTGAACTATAACAATCATACCAAAGTCGCCCTAAGCCAGAACCAGGCGGTTCGATATCTGCTCTTCGAAATCAACCAGCACAACTCCACTGATGCTGCTATTCACAACACCCTCATCTCCATATACGCATCACATCCGACGACCGACGAGTCGGCGCTCCTGGCCTATCTTGAAGGCCAGTCGCTGGCTCACGAACAAAACTACGACGCCGACTTCGCTCTCCGCCTATGTATCCAACATAAGCGCGTTTCGTCATGTGTCCACATATACAGCTCCATGGGCCAGTACGTGCAAGCCGTCGACCTAGCGCTCAAATACGACGAAGTAGACCTCGCAAGCAACGTCGCCGACCGATCCAACACCGAGCCCGCTCTGCGCAAGAAGCTCTGGCTCGCCATCGCAAAGAAAGTCATATCCCAGTCCTCGGGCATCAAAACAGCTATCGAGTTCCTGCGGCGGGTGGATCTTTTACGCATCGAAGATTTGATTCCCTTCTTCCCGGACTTTGCCGTAATTGATGACTTCAAAGAGGAAATCTGCACCGCTCTCGAAGACTACAGTCGCAAGATTGATAGCCTCAAGCAGGAAATGGACGACTCGGAGTCGACGGCGCAGCACATCAAGAGCGATATTAAGGCTCTCGAGCAACGGTATGCCATTGTCGAGCCGGGCGAGCGCTGCTACATCTGCGGCTTACCTCTTCTTGCTCGTCAGTTCTTCGTGTTTCCTTGCCAGCATGCATTCCACAGTGACTGCCTCGCGAAGAAGGTCGTCGAACTTGCGGGTATCGCGAGGGGCAAACGCATCGCAGAGCTGCAGATGGATGTACAGAAGGGTACGAAGCTGGGGGCGCAGCGGGAAAAGGCGATTAAAGAGTTGGATGCGCTTGTTGGGTCGAGCTGGTACGTTTACTCCTTTTACCACTAATGAGGTCTGAATAGATTTGCTAACGAATGTGCAGTGTACTTTGTAGCGAGCTGGCTGTTAAACTTGTCAATGAGCCGTTTATTAGCGCGTCGGATAATAGAGATGAGTGGGCGTTGTGAGGAACACTTCTATGCTGGTGCAATACACACAACGTGTTGTCCAGGTAGTGTGTAAATAGATATCCTTGATAGCAAAGTCACGCAGAGACTGTGTTCTATGACAGCTACCTCGAATCGCCGACCCTTCAAGTCAAGAAGTAGTAATGCAATGAACCTCGATTAATATTCCATCTATATAATATCGTACAAGCTGGGTAGCTAACTGTGCGCATCTAAAACACATCTGAAAGATATGCCAGGCAATGCGAGCAAGAAGCTTTTTTTTGTAGAATAAATGGTATACAAATTGCCCCATATTGGGAAAAGTCTTTTTCTCCCCACCCTAAACAAACGCCATGGCGCTGATGCATGCAATTGTAGAAGAATAGATGCCAAATGTTACGCCGCTGAGTTCGAGGTCTTGCTCTTTCGTCACTTTACTCGTCTTCATCCTCGTCCATAGCTACATCTCCGTTTGCCTTGGGCGCCGCAATGCCGTCATCTTCATCCTCATCTTCGTCATCGACCACACGGCCCTTGCGCGGTCGCGGTGCGGCGGAAACGCTAGCAGCGCCCTCATCCTCGCTCACCAGCTGTGCATCAGCCTTCTCCGTGTCGTCGGCAGGCAAATCTGCATCACCGTCGTCGCTGTCGTCGTCGATGAACTCGGCCGATTTGTACTTGCCACTGGGCTCGCTCTTCCTGGCCAGCTTCCTCTTCTTCTTCTCGCGGGGGCGCTCTTCATCTGAAAGGCCTTCAGTACCAGATGCGCTGGTCCTGCGACGCCGAGAGCGCGGTTCGTCATCGGTGCCGGAACCAAGGCCATCGGTGTCAGAGTCGGCGTCCTTCTTCTTGCGCTTCGGGCCCTTGGGACCACGCGCTCGTCGCTCAGCCTTGCGCAGTTCCTTGTCCTCGTCGTCTTCCATACGTCTCCGCTCCTCGTCGCCACGCCTCTCCATGAGCTCGCGATCGCGTTGAATGACTCGTTCTTGTTCTTCTAGGATCTTGCGCTTCCGTTCAATGGCCTGTTCCTCCACCCTTCGCTTCTCTTCTTCACGGCGTTGTACCTCCACTTCACGGAGTCTGCGGGCTTGGTCGAGTTTACTGGCATTTTCACCCTCATATGTAGCCTGCTTGTCGCGGGCGCGCTCAAGCTGCTTAGCCATGGTGTTGCGACCCATATTGGCACGGGAAGTAATATCTGACCTCGGAAATGGTGGCGCTTCTTCCTTTGCAATCTTTTCAAGAGCTTCAATGGCTTCAGTAAGACCATGGGTTGCGTCATCGACTTCTTCGAGGGTTCGGTCTCTTTCGGGCAGCGCGATGATGTTTTGCGCGATTTGGAACTGTATGAAGGCGACATTAAATTGGGAGTTGAGGTCCGAGGGGGCGACTTTGAGGGCTTGCTTGGAGTAGTCGAGGGCGGTGCGGTATGCGGCAATGCTGCGTTCGTGGCGAGCACGGAGATACCAAGTGCGGCCGAGACAGGCGAGGATCTTGGGGTCGTTTTGTCGACCTTTGGATAGACCTGCTTCGTACTGTGTGATATTAGCCAAGTAGACCATAGAGCAAGGTTGTTGTACATACATTTTCGATGGCACGAGCATACTGCTTGATCTCGCAGTAAGTATGACCAAGATTGACGAACACGCTGTGGTCCTTGAGTGTCTCTTTGACTTTGGTGAAGATCTGCAGAGCTGCCGAGTAGTCTTTCTTGTCTTCAACTAAAGCAATCGCGATACCTTGAGCGGCGTAGGCATTCTTGGGGTCAAGTTGAAGCACCTTGTCGAAGAACTCAACAGCACGCTCGTAGCCTTTCCGCCGCTTCTCCTTCTCTTGCTCTGAGCTCCTAGGCATCTCACGCGCAATAGCCAGATGGATATTGCCCATACCCATCAGGGAGTAACGATCGTGCTTGTCAGACTTTTGAAGGGTGTGTTTGTAAAGTCGTTGCTCGTCATCTGTCGCAAAGTTCTGCGTTCTCTTCTTCGACTTGTTCACATACCACCCGTAGAGAGCTCGTACCTCGATATTGTCCTCGTTTTCCTTGAACAGCTCTTTCATGGCACGTGGGCCGTCGTCTTGGGGACTCTGACGCAAAGAGATGTAGGTCAGGCGAAGTCGGGCGTCGACATAGTCGGTGTGGCGCTTGAGCAGATTGTCATATACGACCTTGGCCTCGTCATTCATGCCCTCGGCTTCGTAAGTGCGACCAAGATTGTAGCTGATCGACGTAACGAGCGCATCAGTGTCGATTGTCTCGTCACGAGAAGCCGCCTTGACGCAAGCGTTGAGAGCAGCCTGAAAAAGCTCTCGAGCGCGAACAAAACGCTCGGCCTGGAAGTGAAAGCAGCCCATGTTGTTAAGTAACTGGGGTGGTAAGAGCTCGCGTAGAGCTGCCTTCAGCTCGAACTCTTCCTCTACATCCTCGGGATAGTCTTCGTCTGGTATAGCGTCCAGCTCCATCTGCTCGACCTCTTCCAGACATTTTAAGCTCTTCTCGGGATGGTCAGCCTCGTATAGTCGGGCCAAGTTAAGGAGCACTGATTGATCGGGTGTGACTTTCTTTTTGGGGTCTTTCCATGCGCTCTGGACGGTCTCAAGGTATTTGAGGGCTTTCTTCAGTTCCGCTGACTTGTCCTCAGCGGACTTGCTGTTCTGGGCGGCAAAAACATCCTCGGCGTACAAGGTACCGAGGAGAGTCTGCGCCTCGAGCGTGGGCGACTGCTGGAGAATCTTTTCTAAACGGAATTTGGCGCCACCGTAGTTGCTCATCAGGACGTTCATCTGAGCCAGTCCAAATTTGGCTGGTATGAAGCCCCGCTCTTCGCCTCCGCGGGCCTGGTCAGACTTGGAGTAGTATTCTGCGGCCTTTGCTGTGTTCTCCTCATGGTGCGCTTTCTTAGCCCGAAGATACCAGCCATCGCTGGCTATGGCGTTCACGTCGGTCAGCTCGATGGCGCGTGTCGCAACAGTTTCAGCCTTTGCAAAGTCCCTCCGGATGAGGAAATGGCTTCCAAGCGTTGCACATGTTAGAGGGAACTGATTGTCTAGCTTCGTCGCGGGCGATATGTATTGGTTCGTTGCCTTCTTGTACAGTTCGACAAACTTGGGGTCGGACGAGGGTAGATTGGCCGTAAGCTGAAGATTGTAGATGCCCAATAAGATCAGAGCTATCTTTGACTTTGGGTTCAGCTCGAGAGAGCGTTGCCAGGCGGCAGCTGCGTCGTCTTTGAAGCCGAGCTGCCAGAAGCAGCAGCCAATGCCAATGCGCGGGTCGGGGTCGATGAGGTCTGGCGAGCTTTCAAGGACGTTCTGGTATGTCTTCAGGGCGTCGGCCCACTTGCCCATGGAGTAGTGCACGCGGGCCTTGCCCATCTTGGCCATGAGGTTCTTCCCGCCGGATGCCCTCAGCGCGTCCTCGAAGCATTTGGCGGCCTGCTTAAGCGTCTCCATGCGCTCTGGACTGATAGCGTTGGTTCCAGCAGTGGTCGAGGGGCCCTGTAGCGAGGCGCGGAGGAGGTAGAGCACGCCGCGGGCGAGAAACAGGGGCGGGTGCGAGGGGCTGATTCGGGAGGCATCGTTCAGCACGCTGGTGGCCGCCTGTAGATAGAAGTCTTTGGTCTTGGTGTCGGGATCGGTTTGCGTGTCTGTGCGTGTAGATGTAAGTGGTTGCTTAAATAGTGACTTGAATGAAGGGGTGTGCCTACCTGACATGATGCGCGGAGCCTCGCGACACTTGAGCAGATATAGCCAGCACAGGCCGTTGAGGATGCTGAGCCTGTCCTCGCCGCGCGCCCTTGCGAAAACATGAATGGCCTGGCTCAGCACGTCAATGGCGACATGGATCTTCTTGTGCTTCGCGTAGGCCACGGCGACCTTGACCCAGGTCGAAGTTAAGCTCTTCTCATTCTCGAGAATGGCGCAGAGCTCGGTTGGGTCGTCTTGGATGTCCTCGTCGAGGGGAATCTCGACATCGAGCTGGCCTCCCTCTTCATCGGCGACGGAGATGGTGATGGCGCTGGGCACGTCCGAGTATCGCGGCGGGGGGAACATGCTGCCTGCGCCGTTGACGCCATTTGCGCCGTTGGCGTATACGGCGGCCATGTCGAGGGAGAGGATGTCGCGACGGGGCGGCGGTTGGAGGTCGTCGAGGGTGAGACGAGGGTAGTGAGGCTATCAACGCGACATAGCAGGGCGAGGACGGTGGAGGCGAGTAAAAGCGCGAGGCTGCTCGAAGCCTGCGTTGATGAGTGGACAAAGAAAGAGTCGCGGGTTGAGAGGTTCAGAACTTGCGGAGCGTGAACGGAGGTCTTGGCGCGATGAATGCTCTCGATGATGTGCAAGGGTGCTTGTGCGGGTACTGTGCTGTGTGTGCTGCTGGGCTGCCTATCCACTAATAACTACACCACCCCCGGACTCTCCCCGCAACAGCCATTGCTGCACACGCCTAGATCGGTGCGCAAACCCCTCGCTCGCACACGATGCTCCTGAAGTCCTCGAGAATACGGCCTCTATCCACTTGCGACATCTGAAAGCGTCATGTCGCGCAACCCTGGCTACTCGCGGGCGGGAGCTAATGGCGCTTCTACCAACGGGAACTACAGCAATGGAGCAGGAGGAGCAGGAGGAGGATATGGCGCCCTGAACGATGACAACGGCGAGCGGAGAAGGAGACCCGGCGGATATGGAGGCTTGGATGCCTCCGAAGGCGAATACGCACAACCCCCACCCCTCAGCGAACGCGCTCGCGATCGCAGGCCTGGTGGATATGGTGGCATCAGTAGAGAGGACGACTATGCAAGGCGACCCAGTGCCGACAGCGACCGTCGCCCCGCTGGCTATGGAAGCGTCTCAGAGCGCAATGAGGAACTGCCGCACGTCACACGCCCTACCAGCCTCGAGCGCACCCAGGCACATCGACGCAGCGGAGAGAGGCAGTATGCGGGCCGCAACAGGGCGGGCGCAAACTATGGCCCAGGCAGCCAGCGGATCGACCAAGTCTTGCAGTATATCCAGCAAAATTGGGACTTCATGACTAAAGACCAATGTGTCCCCATCACAGTGGCCTTGAAGCTCATGGACTCTAGCTCGCTTGGACTCGCAAGCCAGGCCGGTCAATTCCGTCAAACACACGACGAACTACAGCAGGCTCTAAAGGCAATTGTGAATGAGCACCACCAGGGCTTCAACAGCTCCATTGGTACTTTCCATCAGATCCAATCCAGTCTTCAGAGCTCTCAACACCGTGTCAGGAGCTTGAAGGCCTCACTCACATCAGCCAAGTCAGACCTTTCCACGGCTAAACCTGAGCTCAAGGAGTTCGCCACAGCCTCTCAGAACTATGACGAGATGCTACAGATGCTCGACAACATCGAAAAATTACAGCTTGTTCCTGACAGACTCGAGGCTCGCATTTCGGAGAAACGCTTCCTGTCTGCCGTAGATATCCTCCAGGAAGCCCTCCGCATGATCCGCAAATCCGAAATGGAGAAAATAGGTGCTTTGTCTGACTTACGTACCTATCTCACCAACCAAGAAGTCTCGCTCACCGACATCTTGATTGAGGAACTTCATGGCCATCTATATCTCAAGTCACCCTATTGCGAGGACCGATGGAAGGAATATGCGCATAATCAAGTCAAAGGCGACATATCGGAGCGCGCCCAGGCCGATGCGAGAGGCCGGTTATTGTATTTCTTCCTAGATTGCCTTGATACTTCGGAACCGGTATGCATGTCTCACTCACCAAATGGTACCCAACTAATATCTTTTCAGATGACCGACGACTCCACGCCAAATCCGGAGGCAGACACGTTCCAGTATATCCGGCTTGTAATAGAGGCGCTCAACAAGATGGGGCGTCTGGACGAAGCAATTGATACCATCGAACAGCGTCTGCCTGTCGAACTTTTCAAGGTTGTCGAGAAATCTAACAACGAAGTCGCCCAACGGCACCCAAGTATATTGCGAGCTTATGCGGCAAGGAAAGGTGGCAAATCTAAGACAGAGATCGAAAGCGACGACATCCGAAGCACTCTCCTCAAAGACCTACTTTGGACTCTTTATGCACGCTTTGAGGCCATTGCTGAAAGTCACAGAGCCGTACACGATGTAGTTGCAGGTATTGTCCGCCGCGAAGGCCTGAGCTCGTCGAGTGGGACTTTAACCCGAGGTTTCAAGGAACTATGGAAATTGTATCAAAGCGAGGTAAGAACAAGTCTCAATCTTCATTCTATGCATACTAACTAGACCTAGATGCGTTCCATACTACACGATTATCTCGCAACAGATGGCGACTCCTTGTACCGAAGCGGTCAGGGCCAGACCTCGGTCGGTAGTGTGTTCTCACGCGCTCCACGAGACAGGAGCAAGCGCATGTTCAAGCTTGCCGATATGGATACGAAATCCTCCGATCTCTCACAGGAGCGAGAAGACCTGCAGCACCTTCTGAAATTGGTCGTCCCTGGGCTTGTAACAGACACGAAGAAGTCAAACGCTATATCTACGCATACCAACACCAGCCTTGATGGCAGTGCAACCGGACATAAACTACTCGTTGCCCCTAGTGTCTTCAACATGGGAATATTACTACCACCTTCGCTGGACTTCTTGAATAGACTGAAGGAGATTGTACCCCCGGGTTCAGACATTGTCATGAGCACCCTGACCTCATTTCTAGATGATTTCTTGGTGAACGTGTTCCATCCACAGCTGGACGAGACTCTTATTGAGCTCTGTGCGCAAACGTTCATCGAGCTTGATTCTTTCAATGAAGATCCGCATTGGGCAAGACATTCCAAAAAGCCTATTTTCAAGGTACTTTCAGGTCCACAGAAATACTTCCTAGATGCTAACTTTCTAGGGAACCTCACAATTCTTCACTCTGATTTCCGCCTTTTGCAAAATGCTTGATAACCTTCCTCACGACCAAGCATTCTCCCAGCTTATCGTCAGTCAAATGAGTACCTACGCGCAGAAGTGTATGGGTTGGTACCATACTCTAGTCAACCGCTCGCAACCAACCTCAACTGGTCGGCGAATGAAGGCACCTGCCGTTTGGGCAGAGTCACAGGAGATGGAGGAGCTCATTGGCCGCCTTGTTCAGCTTGATCACACCGACCAGGAGAGTTTCAATGAGTTACTTGAGAACGAGATTGATCTTCTAGTTGAGGCAGTCGAGACAGAACCCTTAGATCAAGCGGATATGATTCAAGATAAGAAGAGCATCATCAATCTATGCCTGTTATATACAAGCATGAAGTGGCTTGCCACGAAGATTGCACAGCTACGGCACATCAGTGATCGAGCATCGGACTCGACACAAGCGGAGACCAGCGGCCAGAGACACAACAGGCGCTGGACAATGCTGTCGTCTTCTGAGCCGAGGATAGAGGGTGCGCCTGTGTATCTTCCTTTGAGCACAGAGACTGTTGCGTAAGTCTTTTCTCTACTCTTTCTTGTCGCACGCTAATCTCGACAAGCGAATTCGATAAAGTCGTCTCAAGCTTCCAATCCCTTAGCACCCGCGTCCTCCGTACCCTATATCTCTCGATCAGGAGTACGATCTTGCACTCGCTGCACGCTAGCATCCAGCCAAATTTGTACATTGACTCACTCCTCAGTGACCCTGACCCGGCCGTTATATCGCTCAATTCTGCCCTTGTTTCTTTCGACACCGAAGTATCAACTTACATCCCTACCGCATCCTACAGCCACACAACACGCGGTCTCGCCGCCCTCATGGACACCTACCTCCTCTCCCTCTGCACTACCAGAATCGACAGAATGAACACCGACGGCTGCGCATTAATGCAGCTCAACATTCTCGTCCTCCAGCAAAATCTCAAGAACATTGAAGACGGCGCCACACTACCATACGCCGCCATGTTTTTCGATATGTTTACCGCGGGTCCTGATGCGATCGTCGCCCGGGCGAAGAAATACGGCAAGGACTTCGGCGTGCCTGGGGAGAGGTTTGGAGAAAGCGAAGTGAAGAAGTTGCTAGAGATGACTTACGAGGAGCGGGTGAATGCAGAGAACCGGGAAGCCAGTGTACAGGCGAAGAGGGCTCTGGACGCGCAGTTGCTAGAGATTAGTGAATTCATGTATTAAGGTTTGAAAGGGTGGATTATAGTGTGGAAGCTAGAAATTAGGGTTTGTTGTGCACTTTGTACTATACCGTCATCCGAATGCAAAATATTAGGTATTGTCAGCCGCTACAAGGCATCGCGTGCATGCTCAGAGTGTAACTCAATGGCGAAAGTAGAATGAAAGTTGGTAGTCGGCGAGGTTGCCCTCGAATGTCACCGATAAGCAGGGGTTTATCAACACGTCGTCTCACGCACCATTTCAGCCCGAGCAGAAAGTCTGTCGCTCCGCCCAATTAGAGCAACCGCTATCGACTAGAGCCCGTAAATAGTTCTAGAGGCTACGAGAATTGGCGTTGACACGGACGACATCGCTCGGGGGCCGAACGCAGCACGAATACTAGTAGCAGTCACCGACGGTATCAAACTTTCATTCCAGTCAACTATGCAGAGCAAATTTCTGAGCAATTTCTGGAAGACCCTCTACCCATACTCTGCAGGGTAGATGAACGTTTTACGTCAGTCAATTGTAGGTGCATATGCTGCTTACTTTGATGCTAACGCATCTACTTTGCCTCCATTGAGCTAGGCGTAAGATTTGGGGGCTGATACGAAATCTCCGCTTACTTTCGCAGTCGCCGAGGTCAACTTCACTCCTACCACATTGACGGAAAGTAATTTTGCGATGGGATATTACATTCATATAGTTTCGTGTGCCCGGTGTAGAACTTCCTTCGTAGATCATCATTCTGTCCTGTTTCCCCGATTCTGTTACTTCCCTTTGTACCAACTCCTCATATATATTCAGCTCGGCCTTTTTCTAATCCCTGTCTGGATCAGTCGATGTCATCATGTCACCGTCCAAGCATTATGAAGACGTTGAGAAAGCCATGGCAAACTCAGACTATGCACACTTGACCAATAACACTGTGCATAGCTTTAGCTGGGATAATATTACGGTCACAGTTAAAGACAGAAGTTCGAAGCAGCCTCTTGACATTCTATCTAGCATCAATGGAAGGGTCGAAGCAGGGGAAATGCTAGCACTGATGGGTCCAAGGTAACTTCGCTCACGTCCAGTCTCATAGTTGAATTGTACCTGAGTTTATGACTAGTGGTTCCGGAAAGACCACGCTCCTCGATGTACTCGCACATCGAGCCGCAACATCAAATGCCGCTATTCAGCAGACGCTCTGCATCAACGGCACGCCGACATCGCTCGCAACCTTTCGCAAACTTAGCTCGTATGTCGAACAGGAAGATGCGCTCATCGGCTCCCTCACCCTCCGCGAAACACTCTATTTCGCGGCACAACTCGCGCTTCCGAGGTAGATTAAGACCCCTATCCTTAAACCGGCATGTTTACGTGCGGGAGAAAAACATCCCTTACTAATTAGTACGCCGTAGTTCTATCAGCAAGACAGAGCGTAAGACTAGAATCGAAGGACTCCTTTCAGCGTTCGGGCTACGAGACCAGGCTAATACGCTGGTCGGCACACCAATCCGGAAAGGCGTGTCGGGTGGTCAGAAGAGGAGACTGAGTGTCGCTAGTCAACTGATTACAAGTCCGAAGATTCTGTTCCTGGATGAGCCGACTAGTGGGCTGGATTCGGCAGCAAGCTTTGAGGTTATAAAGTTTGTGAAGGACATTGCGAAGAAGTACAAGGTAAATCATTTATGCAATTCATCGTAGACATGTTTGGGTAGCTTATTGACCAAAATGCTATAGGTCCTAGTTATTGCCTCCATTCATCAACCATCCACGACTACCTTTGCACTCTTCGATAAGCTCATGCTCCTTTCGTGTGGCAAGGTCGCATACAATGGCCCCGTTTCCGAGGTCAAGGACTACTTCGAAAGTCTTGGTTACAACGTAAGTAGGCATGCTATCTTTTTGTGTCATAAGTTCGGTCACTGAGCGCCTTAGATGCCGCTCTACACAAACCCTGCAGAGTTCATCATCCAACTAGTCAACACTGACTTCTCCCGCGACACGTCTAAATCCGCGCAACAACTCGAGCACCTCCACACCTCCTGGTCAAAGTCACAGCAAGCCGCAATATTGTCACAAAAGATTCACGAAGCAGTTCAGAAGCCCGCGCAATTGGTCGCAACTTCAGACGTCGCTAGCCACCACGACTCCGCCAACCCATTCCTCATACCCTTCACATTGATTCATCGCTCGTTCATCAAGTCCTACCGCGACGTCGTCGTCTACGGCATCCGCATCGCAATGTACATGGGGCTCGCCATAATGATGGGAACCGTGTGGCTGCGCCTTACCCCCTCGCAGACGAACATCCAAGCCTTCATCAACGCCATCTTCTTCGGGGGAGCTTTCATGTCCTTTATGGCTGTTGCCTACATCCCCGCGTACCTTGAGGATCTCAGCATCTACACCAAGGAGCGTGCCAACGGGTTATACGGACCCACTGCCTTCATAACAGCCAACTTCCTCATCGGCATACCGTACCTGTTCCTCATTACTGTATTGTTCTCGCTCATTTCGTATTGGCTGGGAAATTTTACGCCGACTGCTTCTGGATTCTTCACGTGGGTGCTCTGGCTTTTTCTCGATCTACTTGCTGCTGAATCGCTCGTCGTACTCTTATCTTCTCTCATCCCTATATTCGTCGTAGCGCTTGCCGCTACTGCGTTTGCGAATGGGCTGTGGATGTGTGTCAATGGGTTTATGGTGCAGCCGCAAACGCTCAATGTGTTTTGGCGGTATGTTTTCCACTATATTGATTACCAAGCCTACGTTTTCCGCGGTATGATGGTCAATGAGTTTGGCAGGAGGGATTACACATGTACGGTTAAAGATGACGGGGTTTGTCAGTGTATGTATCCGAGTGCACTGCAGGACCAGTGCTTGGTTGAGGGGAAGGCGGTGTTGGGTAGTTATGGGTATAAAACGGGGGATACGGGGAGATATGTGGGTTACCTTTTGGTCATTGTGTTTGTGTATCGGCTTTTGGGATGGCTGGTGTTGTTTGTGAGGAAACAGTAGACTCGCGTTGAGATCGTGTACGCCTCGTAGTCTGGTCATCGATTCCTCAAATACACCCTCTCAAAAGTAAAACACACCCTCTGTCTTCCCCCCTTCTTTCCCCACACTTAGCTCGTTCAAACACTTCTTCACTCTGACCGCGGTGGCCGCGCCAAAGGCCTCTGTATCGCTTAACGCCGGCATCTCTGCCCTGTAGTTCACGTCTGGGCGCACCCAGACAACGCTCTGCACATCTTTCGACGCGTCTTTCATCTGACCAAACGCCTCGTTGTCAAAACCGCCGCCCACGGCAATGGCAACTGGCTTTTGCGTATAGTTTTGCGAGCCGTGATTGCCAGGGGTCTTTTCCGGTGTTTTGCCGGAGAGAAGGCGTGGAATCTCTAAAGTGCCGGCTTCGAGAGTGAGGATGATATGGATCACTGAGTTACTTAGACTGTGGACGTAAGACGTACTAGGTTGAGTGCAAACCATCGTATTCCGGCAGCAAGTCTTCGCGAACTTTCTTCGCGATGTTGGGGTTCTTCCCGCAGACGATGACGGGGATGGGAGACATGGTCGCTTTGGTGTTGAGCAGCGCTGGAATACTGGCTACTTGCGAGATTCAAAGTGGCATAGAAGTTAGGAAAGTGAAGCGGTGTATGTTGTGGACATGGAGCAAGGACAGTAAATTTAGGGGATAACGGGGGAAGGTGATATCAACTGCGAGTTGGTATTGTTTAGTGATCGAATGTTGTCTGATGACCTAAGTAGATGAAGAGTAGCGATAGCTCAACTAGGGCGTAAGCGCTTTGGAAATCCTCTAGATCAAGAGTATGCTTACCGGGCCTACGGGGCTGTATTGACCAGTGTGCAAATTCAACAAGCACTTTAGTCTCGTCCACTTTGGGGGTCGTACTCAATTGACAAAGTGATTATCATCTAACATACGAAACTTAGCTTGGTAAGCCATGAGATTACGAGCAATGCGGTCAGCGCAGGTGCCCAGCACTTGAGGGGAAAATCGACCTTTCCAACTTCGTCCTAGCGCCACGAGCCCCACTTCTGTTCTTTCACTGTTGTGATCTTGGCAAATGACTCATGTCGACTCAAACGATGTATTTTGTATGTGAAGCCTTGGGTGCAAAGGTATATATGTACGGCCAGCTTTTTCGTCTCGATCGACCTAGTGAAATAGAAAGTTTCAAGGTGAATGAAAGTAAGCAATTTGCACAGCAAAATTCAGGGTATCCTACGTCCAAAAAATTGGGTGCTGATTTATCTCTAGGCTCACTACATCTGCTGGAACTCACATATTCAGAGTCCCCCCTAGCTAGCTCAGTTAGACACGAGAGGACTCAGCAATAATGTCATCCCACGATCTAACCACTGAGGATGGTATCCGCGCTTATCTAAAGGCTGTGGGGAGGTCTAAAGAGGTGGAAGTGACGCTGCTCTCAGGTGGCACTGCAAACTACGTATACCGCATAGTTGGCATTCATGGCTACAAAAGTATCTTCAAGCACGCTGCGCCCTACCTTCACATCAACAAGAGTTTTGCGTTTGACCCCACGCGCATGGACTACGAAGCTCGAGCTTTGAGCATTTTCTCACCTGCCAATAGCGACAGCCCAATAACACGAAAACTGCCGAAAACAGCTGTGCATCCTGTGCGTCTGATAAGTTACGACCAAGAGCGGAAACTTCTTTGTATTGCAGATGGCGGAGATCGGAACCTCAAGAACGCATATGACGACTCAAAACTCAATATTCGTCTAGTCGGTGAAGAACTGGCCAAGTGGGTTGCCGCTCTGCATATGTGTTCAAAAGAGATATCGCTCGCATTACTCGGTCAAGATCCTACCGCGAGCAACAATAAGAACAACCCAATCGCGGTCAAAATTTACCGCCACTCATACACCAACCTTCACACAGCACTTTCGCAACATGGCCACGACACAAAACTCGCAGACCGCATTAACGAAGAGTTCGGCAGTCTTCTCGAAACAGACGATGAATGTGTCTGTCATGGAGACTTCTGGCCTGGCAACGTTCTCGTAAAGCTGAACACCTCGCAACAGAAGGCAGTGGATCTCACTATCGTGGATTGGGAGATGGTACGCCGCGGCACCAGCGCCACTGATGTCGGCCAATTCGCTGCCGAAGCGTTTCTACTCGATCGTTTTAGAGGTGGTAGAGGTCTGCTTCCTGCTTTTTTGAACGCATATGCTGCAGCTAGAGAAAGTGACAACACGCACAAAACGCTTGGCAAGGGATGGCTAAGGAGGGTGGCAGTTCATTGGGCTGTACATGTTGCTTACTGGCCGACCAGGGTTGCGTGGACGGATAAAGAAGGGACACAGCAACTAGTGGACATCGGTGTGGACGTGCTTGAAGGTATTTTGGATGACGACTGGGAGAGCCTGCTAGAGTCTCCGCTACTAAAATGCGTGAAAGAAGGTTGGGCGCCTATTATCGCAAAGGTGTGAGTAATCTATCTTTGTCATTAGATAGGAAGATTGCGACTGCTTTCGTGAAAACTTCGTCTTAGCTTAGTGCGAGTAGTTGAAGCAAAAAACTTAGACCGTAGACATGGTGGGAGTCCGGCGATTTGCTCATAGAGATCTCGTGCCCACTAGGAAGGGAAACTTCAGCTGATAGAAGCAAAAAAATTACAATATAAAAGAATCGGGACCACAGGAGAGAAACGGTCACTGCCAAAGAGCAACTTTACAACAGCCACATCAGCGGTATCCCCAGTTCCAGCATGAGCATCCAGCAGCTAGTATCAGCCCTAGCTCCAGCCCTTGCGGGCGCACTGCTACCCTCCGAGTTGAACTTAGCCACCTCATACTCGAAGTACTATCGGAAAGGCTTCAACAAAGGGAGACATCCAATTCAGAGCATGGCGAGGCCGAAAATATCTCAGGAGAAGACGAAGCACTTGCTAACGCGGAGAGACATAGCCACGCCGGCTTTGTAGCGAGTCAAGGCACGGTTGTATCTGATGATGAAATTATACGGAAGGCAAGAGTGCGAGATACTCGTCACATCGAGGAAGAAGATGGTAGATCTCCACCGACAGGAGTTGATTCGGATGGCAAATTTGGGGGGGGGGTGGCGAGGAATATGGGCAACCGGCAGTGAAGCCCTAGGCGGGTCTAGCTAAGGGCCGGGAAAGGGCAGGGAAGATGGTATGCATGTGAGGAAAGAAGGGCAATATGGAACGTTGAGGGCATGTACAGGTTTTGTCAGACTACTTCTTAAACCGGTACTGAGGAGACATAGAGTCCCGGTATCTAGCACGATGCCCTCCCCTTAGTTGCGAAATGCAAACTCAATCAAATGGACATTTTAGTGTGTTCGCCCGTTACATTCAAAGCCCCTTCTTCCCAGAACTCAATCGTTTTTCAATCACTGCTAACTTCTCCTCTCTCCATCCCCAGACAGCAGCAAGTGCTGCGCCAGGCCCTCCAAGCAAAGTCAATGCTGCGATGGCACCGGCGCCCTGGAGTAACTGCGCGCTGGTGGCAGCACCATGAATTAGTCGCTGTACGTCGTACACAGCGATCCAAGCAGCGAGATCATGCACTATCGCAATAATCAACCAGTCCCATTGGAAGATCCACACCAGGCCCCAGTCCAGGGTTGTTTTCCACTTAGACGTGCTAGGCAGGAATACAGCCGAGAGCGAAACCTCAGGGTTCGTGGATGTTATAATGCCGTGAATGGCGAACCAATGGCTTCCGATGCTAATTAAGAACGTAGCAATGTAGAGGAGTTTGAGATGCGGAAGATCTGCGTTCCTCGTCTTTGAGGCTGCTGCCGGGGCAGAGGAGACAAAGGGTGATGCAAACCACAATGGAACGTTGGCGAAAAGCGGGGTTAATTGCCAGAATGCGAGGAGATTCTGAAGGCTGATCAAGTCTATTCCAGGGACATACATTGCGATGCTGGGGATGGTGTAGATTGCGACCGTAGCTGGCAGTATGAGAGACGCGTATGGTAGCGGGACTATGCGTCCGCTAGAAAAGTACGATTTCTCAGCCGAGGCCCGATGAAGCAAAATCCACCAAATCGGGATGATGACGGCTCCGCCAACGTTCTGATATGCGAAAGCGAATATGGCAGTACTGAAAGCTCATTAGCATCAGTTTTGACGCACTATCTAGCAACAAGTGGAAACTCACTACTTCAGCCAACTCCCGCGATTCCTCTCTCGACAAGCCTCGACGTTCATGATGGCCACAATCGCCGTAATCTGTACCAGGAAGTGCAACTGTTGCCAATAAAATACTTCATTCCAGCCAGTTGGACCGTATAGGAAAGCAGCGACCAAGAACGACAACATTTCGTCCAGAGGCTTGATGCCAGTGTAATGTTTCTTGAATCGCGTCCCGTTAGGCAAGGCGCCTGTCTCAATTAATTTATCAAAGCCGACGGGGACATTGTTTAGCAGGGCTGAAATGCGCATAGACCAGGCTGCTGCGAGAGACAGAACCGTAAAGGCGGTTATCAGCGCTGCGTTGTAGCGGCGGCGGGCGGGTGGAGTAGCCATGGCGAGGAGGGATTGTTTGGGCGTGAACCGTACTGTGTTCGAACAGTACAATCACGATGGTTATATGTGTCGCGGTGCCCAGAAGCAATTTCGCATGGAGGATTCATCGGCGGGGACGTTTTACTGCTTACTGCTTGATGCTTACTGCTTACTGCTTAGGTACATCCTGCGCCCAGCGTTCTGTGGCATGCTTATGTAATGCGAGTCAGACCACCTCTCAAGCCGAGAATGTTAGGTTTAGCTCAAATTTTCATGCTCTTAATTGTACAACAATGAATATCTCAAAACTCACAGTCTTGATCGTACAATAGTGGGGCGTGATTATTGTGTCTTTTGCGCAGATCCGCGGCTCTACGGGCGTAAATGATGTTCCGCGTAGGATACTGCGTGACGTAAGTGACTTCAGCCTCTCAAACTGTGGCGCACTCAAGCCCCACGCATAACCTTGAACTTCTCAACATCTAACGCGAAAACATGGAACACGTTATGAAGGTGCAACATGCGGTCGGTGCCTGCCAAGTGGATCGTCTTGACGCAAAGCCGCATATTCCCGACGCTAGTGATGTCATTTACGACGTCGAAGACACCCAGGACCCCCAAATTGTCTTGTTTTATGCAGGGACGACGAGCAATACTAACGGCAATGGGGATAGGTATTCATTGTCATGATGCTCTCTCTGGCGCTACCGTATCTGGTCCTGTTCTGATCTTGCTTTTCGTCTAGTTCCAGCTTCTTTTGTGCTTCTTTACTTTATTCCCGAAGGATTTCCGTTCTTTAGGGCCTCCGTTTCCGTTTTCCATTAACATCAACGGCACCGAGAGTAACGAAGCTCAACAATCGAACAAAGGACAGCCTGTACAGCCATGGTCGGAACTAGGCGCAACCTACTTGGCGGCAATGGCAACGTTAACGGAAATGGCAAAGGCAACGATTTCAACAAGTATCAACGTGTCGATTTGGAAAGTGGCTATGGCTCAATCAATCCTGTACGCCCGCGACAGAAGTTCCGTGATGCGATCGAGCAGACGCTGAGGGAGCATCGTGCCACGGATATGAAGAAGAAGCTGATTGAAAACGTCGACCATGCCGCCCTGGAGAAATACAGGAAAAGCGACGAAAGCGTATGAGCACAGAAAGAACCTTTCTATGAAGTGTAGTACTTACGTATCTCTACAGCTCAAATGCATAGCGAACAAGAAGGTTCGTGCCTTCTACAAGGAACAAAACCAGCGTCTAGATGATTGGCTAGAAGTCGATATGGTAGTCTCTTCACTTGCAGACGACATAGTCGACAGCATGAACCCGGCAGACCCCGACCATGACGGCGTAGCGGAAGACCGAGGGCCGTTGGGTATTAGCGGTGAGAGTCTGGAGCCGTTCCTCCCAGAAGATGAACGAGCGAGGCGAGCCAAGTCCGCGAAACATGTGAGATGGGCTATCAATGTGAGATCAGAGGTCCCCTACAAAGTACTTAGCTAACGAAAAATAGATCAACGTCATAGTAAATATTCTACTATTGGCGGCTAAAGGCGTAGCTGCCATTTGGTCAAACTCGCTCTCCTTGATCGCGTCGCTCGTTGACTCTGCACTTGACCTACTCTGTACGATCATCATCTGGACTACTAACAAATTAGTGCGTTGGCGACTTATGAAGCTTAAAAAGAAATTCCCCATCGGACGGCGACGTCTTGAACCGCTCGGCATTCTCGTCTTCTCAATCATCATGGTTATTTCCTTCATGCAGATTCTGCAAGAGTCCGTGAAGAAGCTGCTACCAGGCGGTGACCGCGACGTAGCCGAGCTACCACCTGCGGCTATCTTTGCCATGGTAGCAACCATTGTTACGAAAGGCACCATATGGATCGGATGCGCACGGGTGAAGACAACCCAAGTTCGTGCGTTATCGCAAGATTGCAAAACGGATGTCTATTTCAATACGCTCTCCCTTCTCTTCCCGTTGATCGGCCACAAGCTCAATGTCTGGTGGCTTGATCCCGTAGGCGCTACCATCCTATCGCTCTTCATCATCTACGACTGGGCAGGCACATGTCTCGAGAACGTCACCCGACTGACAGGCGAAGCGGCAAGTGACCGCGTGGAGCGTAAGATGATGTACATGGCGTACCGATTTGCGCCGCTAGTAGAAGGGTTCAAGAGCATCAAGTGCTATCACGCGGGTGATGGCGTGTGCGTGGAGATTGATGTGTTGATGCCTGAGGAAGCGCCGTTAAGGAAGTGTCATGATGTTGCAGAGACCTTACAATATTGTCTTGAGGGATTAGATGAGGTAGATCGGGCGTTTGTGACCATGGATTGTGAGTATTCCATCTTATAACTGTGCATGGGACCAGCTGGGCTAATACGTAACAGACACATCGCAAGGTCCGACGGGACATGCAACAGCGGATGGTGGATAATGACGCTAAAGGGAATCTGTATAACATATAGCGGATGATTGTGCGCATAGCGTTGCAGCATTTAGTCAGTAGAGTATCTTGAATACTCTTATTAATGGAAACACTACTTTCTTGCTTCATACACACTACTCTAAGTTCGAACACATATCATTACCGACTTACAGTTCGCTTCTATCACGTGATTGATATTAGTTACATGCGCTGTCATTCTTGGCGCACGGTCAACGATTGCCGTGACACTTTCACCCCGAACACGCGCACCGTATAAGACAAGTGCAAGACTTTCCTTTGGGCGTCCACTGGACCTCTCAACCACAAAGCCTAAAATGTGGGTGCAAGGTGTCTGCAATCTACTCGCCACGCTATCGAAGCCTCCATGGACGAAGCCACTGAACTGGGACCTCCACATGACAATCGACGGCGAAGGACGCATTCCATTCCACTTATATGTTACGTATGAAGATGATCCACCCTGCACTTCATCGCAAGCTACCCTATTATCACGCTTTAGTCAGCTTTCTACAGAGCTTCAACTCCACGTCCTAGACTTCTGTTCTGCGCCTACGCTCTACAAGATGATGTACGCATCTATGCTTCGCATCGAAGCTGCAAAACGATTCTGGTCAGATTCGGATACATACTATCTCATTAAGGCCTACTGGCTCTTTGGAGGTGGGCACTCAGCCTATACATGCTACGATCTGTCCTTTATGGCTTACGTACAAAATGTGGAGATCGAGTACGACTTGCGCTCTGATGATAAAATAGCTCCTATTCGTCAAGACGATGTATTAGAGCTTGATTACAACAAGGCCCGAGAGTTTTGGAGGACCTTTCGAATGAGATTTCCTCGCGCAAAAAAGGTAGTGGTCAACAAGAATTGGGAATCGCTGACTATTCGATATCAAAACGATGAGCCTATTGCCTGTTCTCTAAAGGTACTTGTCGAGACATGCCCAATTAACCTCGAGATTTCGGTTTTAGTACTGGTGGAGGTGAGCTCTGGTGGCGAAAAGCGGACTGCACCTCCTATTGCGAAGAATTGGCACAGAGTACTCTATCGTCTCGCAGATGACGGCGAATGGAGAAAAGTCACTACGTCTGGTTTCGAACGCAAGACTGTTCTCATGCCTCCTAAAAGATTTTATGGACCGGTTGGTGAATTCAAGGGACTCTTGCACGAACAAGAGAAGATCCAATTGCAACTAACAGGCCTCGGCGCGGTCGCAATCGAAGCTTTAGATCGACATTATTTCGGCAAGGAGCATCCTGAGCCATTTCATTGCCCTGCGTCTGGATGCGATGTCTACTTCGAAAAAGCTGGACAGTGGACGCAGCATGCCGCAGAGGCACATGGCGTTGAGATGTTCATGGCACGACCTGAGATCCTACCTCACGCATTACAACATGGTTTCGAAGAACGCAAGAACAATCTGACAAAAGAGGTAGAAGCAAGAAGAAGAAAGTTCAGGAAGATCTTTGATGATTGGAATGAGGAAGGGGGTGAGAAGAGACGAGAGCTAGAGCGGGGTTGGATTCATCAGTTGGATACCGACGAGGCATGGAACACAGGGGTGAAGGGGACAGACAGTGAGCTCTGGGAACGATTCAACAATATGATGGATCCAACGTGGTCTGGATACTGACCAGAGGCCGGATTTCGTTGTAAGACAGTGTTAATGCTATTCTACATAGTATTAAGGGCTTAAGGAGAGATAGCTGCTAGAGTGTTTAATTTGATAGATGCGTAGGCATTGCTATAGTTCTCTTGCATAATCCAACCGGAAGGATTCTCGGCACATTTTCAACCGAGACCATGTCGGACCGACATAGACTGTGTGGAGCAGATTCGAAGATACGCTCATGACCAGAACTGGAAGAGTGAGAGGATGCTAGCGCAAGAATTACGCGGGGTTATTTATTGATTAATGTTATTTAATTTATTGAGGGTTGGGTCTTGAATCTCCAACGTCACGTGCAAGATATTCACAGGTAACCGACTGATTGAACTGAAGTTTGATGGTATATATCAGATGATTATCGAAATAAGTTCGCTAGCGCATATAAACCGCCAATAATCAAGCATGGTAGACTTGATACACAATAAGAAGCGTGATGTGGTTTAATGGTTTTCGACTGCTTTTCAGACCTATAGATCTTACTGAAGCCAGCCAACACCACACATCACCTTCTCCAAGAGCTCTTTCAGCTTTCCGTTTCTGAATTAACATCCCCATCCATTCTCCAATGCTTCAAGGAGAACTACTAAATCTTGGTCTCCGTAACATGGGCAGCCGGCACGGTCTCATCATGCTGGACGCTGCGCTTCCTCTCCTGGTTCTGCGCAATGTCGTTGAGGGACATGTGGCGCTGCTTCTCGTGATCCACATCCTGGAACGAGATTGAGGGCACGAAGGACTTGGATTTCCATGCTTGGTTGACGACGCCGTAGAGCTCGTCGACTTGCTCTAGGGAGAGACCCTTGGTTTCGTAGATCATGAACCAGCTAAGTGGATGTTAGTCTGAGAACTTGGTGGAACGGAGGAGGGAACAATGGTTGAACTTACACAAAGGCAATGCAGACGAAACAGAATGATCCCCAGATGAAGAACACCTTGGATCGTAGATTGGCATGGTCGGCGTCAACCAAGTAAGGCGTAGAAAATGCGATTGCCCAGTTGAGTAGCCAGTTGGATGCGGTAGCTGGGTTAAAAGTCAGTATGTCTCTGATGTATTGCGAATGGATGTTACCCACTCATAGACAGACACTTCGCACGGGCCTTCAATGGGAAAAGCTCGCCCGTGACAACCCATGCAACAGGGCCCCAGGAGCTGGCGAAGAAGAAGATGTAAATGCACACAAAGGCGATGGCTGCCTGCTGAGCTGGTAGAACAGTTGTTCCGGCTGCGGTTCCAGTGATGGCGACGATGAACTGACATACGGACATGCCGACAGCTCCCAAGAGGAGCAGGTTGCGACGGCCGAGTTTTTCAACCATGTAAAGACCTGGGAGGGTGGATGCGACATTGACAGAGTTGGTAATGACCTGGATGATAAAGGGATTACGGAATCCGGCGTTCTGGAAGTACTGTGTGCCGTAGTCTGGGCGCGATTAGAATGAGAACTTCATGTAGAACGAGACAATCGACTTACAGAAGATGAAGTTTACACCAGTCAACTGCTGCAATGATTGGAGAAGGCATCCGGTCATGAGGCGCTTGCCCAGAGTACCCTTGAAGCACTCAAGGTACGTAGACTTGCCAAGAGACATCTCATAGAGATGGTTGGCTTGGACCTCGCTCAATTCCTCGACGATAGCCGGGTGGTCAACGGGTAAGCGGCGGAGCTTTCCTAAACTTTGAGCAGCCGCGTCGTATTTGTCCATTTTGATGAGATAGCGCGGAGTCTCGGGAAGGAAGAACAGACTAGTCATTATTGTTAGTTTAGCTCGAGATGAGCTTATAGTGACTGCTTACCCAACGACGAGAATGATAGACCAAAGGAACTGTACAGCGATCGGAATACGGTATGATCCCGAATCATTGCGGCCCTTGGTGGAGTTGTTGACGATAGCTGCTAGGAAAAGACCGATGGTGATGGCAAGTTGGTATGCTCCCACAATCGTTCCGCGAATCCATTTAGGAGCTGTCTCGGACTGATACATGGGGACTAGAATTATCGTTAGTGCTACGCTAAAAATGTGATTCAGGATAACCAGTAGAGCCTCAGTAGTGTGAGATCTCGGCTAGCGTTGGCGACGTGATCTCTGAACTCGAAAACTCGTGCTACCCGGGGAAAAGGATGCGACTTACTCAAAGCCGAAATGAGACCGACACCGTATCCAGCAAAGAAACGTCCTGCGATGAATAGAGGCTGTGCAGTCGAGGCAGTCTGCATGACAACGCCAACATTGAAGACGATACCGGCAGAGAGCATAAGTCCAATACGACGTCCGAGGAGATCACCCAATGGCGCAGCGGTGAGCGCACCAAAGAATGTACCGGCTGAGAGAATTGAGACAATGAGGGAATCTTGGGATGCTGTTATGCTAAGGTCGGCCTCTGTTGAGAACTCTTTCTTCCAATAATCCATGGCAAGGATACCGGAGATGGTACCAGTGTCATATCTGTGGTGAGGTATTAGTTCATGTTGACAGTATATATGATAACCCATGCTTACCCGTAGAGGACACCTCCAAATGCGACGAAAAGGCCAATGAGGATGGCTGGCCTAGAGACTGTTAGCTGTGTTCATAGTAGCGAGAGTCGACATAGCTTACCATGCCTTGCCAGCCGTATCCGCCGGGGGCTTCAACATGAGACCCATCTTGTCTGTATGGTAATGTCGAAATCCGATTACGAAGAGTCGAGGTGGGAAGAGTCGACGTGCGTGAGAGTGATACTCCCTCCCAAAACGGCGCACCCCAGCTCTTTATCTAAAATGCTAACTAACTCCAAAGCAACCCTCCTCCCAAGCTCGGCCCCGCAAACCAAGCCCTACCCTTGTCCTCTATCTACCGAACAAATCTCATCATGCGCGTGCTCCATCATCGCCCCCAGGCCTAGGTCTCAAACTCGACCTAGTGCCCGTCGCTCCGCGCCAAGTTGCACCCAAGAACCAGCACGCGGTTGACCGTTGCACCACCAACATGGATGGCGAACAATACGACAACGACTGCTCATGGCGTGAGTAGTGAAAGACTATACAGCCAATAAGAAAGTAGTTGGCAGAGCGAACAAAGAAGTCGGACCGAGATTGACCATTGTTGGGTGCAGCCAAGCAAGCTCGGCGAAGCATGAAGCCATGTCAAGTTGCTTCTTCCGGCAGAAGATGCAAACGTCAGCCAAGGAATGTGCACGTTTTCGGCCTGGGATTTGAAACACGCCGGTCCGACTATTTCAGCATTAAAGACTCGGAGTATTCGATGATCTCAATGATGTGAAATGTCCGCTACGACTGCGAAGTTTTGGTAGATAAAAAGTGTTCTCCCCGCAATACACGATGATCCGCTTCCGGCCTCTTGGGCATACGTTCCGAAGATGCCGCTTCCAGCGCCACTCGCTTTGTTTACCTTTTCAAAGTCGCCTTACAGAATCTGTCCCCGTGATGTCGGTTCTCTGCATGCTCGATGCTCGCCCAGGAATACCATGGGCCAATAAATCTTTGATCGCTGCACTTGGCGTGCTTGTCAGCGGCCGGATCGTGGACATGCTGACTACGACATGGGTGCAAGCATCCGGGAAGCACGGATCGTCATATCCCGGCCTGTACGAATGCGTCTCAAGGCTGGGCAGACGCGATGTTTCCCGCTTTGTTATAAGCTTGCAAGGTTGACGTTGGATTAAAAGGAGGCTCTGCTGAGTCTAATGGCTCCCGTGGGCTCCGGCAAGATGTCGGGTGATAGCGTGCGCGTAGCGTGTAGTCTCCGCTGGAGGCTCCGCATTATCGCTGCGCCCCCCGTGGGACGGCAAACTCCAGCTATCCAGGAGAAGGCCATGTGATGTCTAAAAGAGATCTGATCGTGAAAATTCAGACATCTGGGGTCGCGCTCTTGCTCTTGGCTCTCCACTCGAATACGCGTTTCGGACAACGATGCTAGAAGCACATTAGCGCCCCGACGCTCACCTGCCGAATATCTTGGCTTTTAGCGATGGCATGACCCTAACGAGTGCAAAGAGGCGCTCCAAGAGTGCGAAGAGGTGATGTGACTGGAACTTGATCGTCTTGCCCAGGTGTGGAGTGCATGAGATGCGGGAGATCCTGTCGGCCAAGTTCTCCAGCCACCTCATCATCGAAACAGCACAGCAATAGCAGCTGGCAATCTCATGATCAAGCTCAGAATCTGTAAAGCCAAGTTCTCCTCTGAAAGAAGTTCAAATTGCGCAATATCCGTGCTACAAACAATTGCCGCAGCGATCTCACCTCATCGCACATGGGCGGAGTGGAGCTCTACAGAAAAGCCGGCCCGATAGACTTCACTGAGAAAGTTTACCACCTTTCGACCGTGCGCACAGCTGTTCTTTTGCGCGACTAAATCAGCCAAGACCATTAGCTTTGAGCAAACTTTGTTCGTCCGTGTTTGCCTTACTCACGCTCCGCTCTCCTCCTCCTCCACCACCACGAACCTTGGTACGCACGCCTCTTCCACATCTAACCGGGCCTTGGCGCCTAAGCCCTTTCTTGCCACACTAAGAAAACCCATCATCTCACTACACTCCCCAGACAGCAGACTCCCACCCACAAAACCACTTCACCCCTTGGAACCCCATATGCGCCATGTCTAGCTCATATTCAGATCCTGGGTCTGGAGAAGCTGTCGCAAACCCCACTGTTTCTAGAGATGTGCACCAGGGCGTGTAAAACTTAATCATCACCGCACTCAAAGTAGACCCCCGCACAGCCTTTCGCGCCTAGGCTCGTGGAGTGATTTATTATCGCTAACTCGTATACTGTACTCTAAAGATGAGGGTTTGTACATGCTCGCTTTGTTGCCTGATTGTGAGATCCCATCGCGGCACCACAAAAAACGGCCTAGGTTCCTTATACCATTGCCAGAGAACCGGTGCCTAGAACAAAGTCATCGCTTCGCTCGAGAATCTTATGCACCACTTTTCATGTGTGTATTTACTTGCATCAAAATAGCGGCGATCACATATGCATGTAGTAGTGATTGATGAATTGTATACAACGTGAAGTGATATGATCTGAGAACATTAAGATTGTGCATATAAGTAGACTGGTGGACAGTATTCGCGAATCAGGATCTCGTTGATTCGTAGTCTCGCTCGCTTTATGACAGCAACCGCTAATAGGTACAACTATGCCTTGCTCTTCTTCTCGCCGCTCTTTCTCCGCTCCTTCTTCGACTTGGCTTCGCCCCCGTTACCATTAACGCCATTCGACTTGGTAGGCTTAGCTACTTCAGCCCCACCAGCCTTCTTCTCCTTCTTGCTTACACTATTTGATATGGCAACCTTGGCCCCCTTTGTTCCATCAGCTTTCTTCTCCTTCTTGTTAGCTTGCTCCTCAACATTGACAGCAGCGACCTCCTTCTTGGCTTCTTGAACTTTCTTGCTCTCAGCTCCATTTGCAGCTTTGTCACCCTTTGGCGGCGGTGCAGCCTTCGGGTTCTTGCCCTTCCTACGTAGATCCTTCGCCTGTCCACGCTCAATGTACTTCTGATCCTCCTCTTCATCAAAGTCACCAAAGTCTGATCCGGACTCGTCGCCTTCCTCACGAATCGGGGCATTATCAACAACTTCGAGTTGAACGACCTTATTTGTCGCAGTCTTACTTTTGGGCTTGGTTGATTCATTGGCGCCCACAGCGTTGAGTGGCGTGGCAGCGATCTTCTTGAACTTGGCAACGAAGAAGCCATCGACGTTGTACGTGTGGGGATAGTATCTCCTCGTCATCTAGTAAACAGTCAGTAACGAGTCAAACAATGCTAAGTAAGAATGACTTACCTTCATCGAAGGATGGAAGATCTTGCCTCCAATATTTGTGAAACCCTCCTTGCCGAACGTAAGTCCAGTCTCAACGAGCTTGACATTAGGCCTCTTGTTCAATGCATACTGCACGACCTGCTCATTTTCTTCTATTGTGACTGAACAGGTGGAGTACACGATGTAGCCGCCCGTCTTGCTGTGGTGATCTACGGAATCGATGGCCGAAAGGATCAGTTGCTTTTGGAGATGGGGCAGCTTCATGAAATCGGCTTCGGTTTTGTTCTGTTGTACGGATTAGTAAAAAGTCATGGTACCGAGAAGCATTTATACGTACGGTCTTGACACTAGCATCCTTCGCAATGACACCAGTGCCGGAGCAAGGCGCATCGAGCAATACCCTGTCAAACCCACCCATAACCCTCGGGAACTCGAGCGCAGAGTAATTACAGACAACACTGTTCCTGACTCCCAAACGGTGAATGTTACCGATCAGACCTTTGGAACGATCCTTGTTCGCATCGTTCGCAAATATGCACCCAGTATTCTTCATCAACGCTGCGATATGCGTCGTCTTACCGCCGGGGGCGGCAGTCATGTCCAGCACTCTCTCGTTCTCTTGTGGCGCCAACGCCATGACAGGCAAGAACGAAGAAGCAGCCTGAAGAATGTAGTGGCCAGCCAGATACTCAGGTGTAGCACCAAGAGGTACTTGCGACTCGAAAATCTGTAGACCGACTTTGGACCACTTTCCTACAGGCTCAAGTTGTACGCCGCGGTTGATGAGGGATTGTGCGAGGTCACGACGATGTGTGCGGAGGGTGTTTGTGCGAATGACAATGGGGCGGGGTGTTTCGTTGGCTTCGAAGAAGGCGAAGGCTTCGCGAGGGGGGAAGAGGTTGAGGAGCTTGTCGGCAAGAAATTCAGAGTAGCCATAGTAAGCGCAAATGTCTTTCAACATCTGTGCTCGGTACTCTGCCCTTGATCGGCCCTCTTCTGCAAGATTCTTGAAATCGTCAAGAACTCGGATAGTGTCGTTCAACCGCGTGCGGAGGAGCTGTATGTCCTGTGTGACGAGGTTCGTTATCGGGCGTCCCTCTTCGTCTTCCGCATCTTCCAAGATCTTCGGCCTCTCTCCAGCGATGTTCGTCTGCATGTTCCCCTCCTCAAGCTCAGCTTGTGCCTCCGCGTCTTCGATGGCTTTCTGCATGTCCAATTTTCGCGATAGACCTGCAATGTTTGCCGCTGTGAGCTTCTCCTCGATGTCCTCGTCGTCTTCGTCATCTGACCACATGGCCTTCCGGACGTCTGTGTCCGAGTCCATGACATCTGAATCGAATGCATCGTCGTCAATTTCGTCCTCGTCTTCAGATGCACTGCCAAGCGCATCGAGTCCAGTGACGTTTACGTTTTGTAGGTCATCTTCCATGGCATCTGCGCTGTCCGAGACTTCGTCTTCATCGTTGGATGGCGGTGGAGCGAACTTCTTCGCAGGCTTTCCGTTGACCCTCGTCTTGGCTCCATTGACTTTGGGTCCCTTGACTACTGTAGCCTTCTTCGGTGGTGCAGCTTTGGCCTTGGCCTCTTTAGCCTCTCTAGCCGCTGTTCTGCTTCTCTTCTTTCGCTCTGGGTCTACTGCAGCCGGCGCGTCTTTTCGTTTCCGTGTAACAAGCGACTCGTCTAATGGCTCGGGCATGCCCTGCTTCTTCATGCGACGACCTTGACCCATGGCGACGATTGATACACTAAGGTGTAAGGGAGAGAATAGGTGGAGGGTGTATTCAACGATGTCTGCTCGGACCTCGAACTTTTGCTGGATTTTTTCGGCAACTTTTAGGCGGGTCGCAGCTTCCCTCTTACCGCCTTCGGTGATCGGTAGAACGAGGCGCCGTGTCCCGCATCTCGACCATCGTCATCTTTAACTCTTGTTACCGAGCTTTGTTTCACTACATTTGGAACACCTTGAGGATTTTCTATCGCCATAAATCCTCCGTAAAATCGTCCCAGGTGACGCGCTGCTATCTCCTACCTGAAAGGCTACCATCAAGTGTTACTCTCTATCAGATCGCACCAGAAGCAGCCCACTATGTCGGAACTCGCATTCTGCAAATCATTCCTCAGTGCCCTCGATGCGCGTCCGGCAAAGCTCTCTTCAGATCACATCGCAGATGCGCGACAGTACCCTGCGCAAGGTGCTGTAAGCTTTTCCACCCCATGATGATATACACCAGCCTAACAACCTCACAGTACACGCTTCCCCGCCTCCCACACCCGCCTCACCCCTCTCGACCAAACCCCCAATCTACCAGTACAGCTCGCGATGCCTCCACAGCGTCCACGATAAACGTATCTCTCAAACCCATGAAACCAAGCACACCTACGATCTCATTATCCTCCATCGACCCCTCCAAAACTTCCATCTACGACTTGAAGCAGCAGTACGCGACATCAACCTCCATACCAGCTGCCAAAATAAAGATCCTGTACAAGAAGAAGCCAGTCATGGACTCAAAGACTGTCGCGGAAATTATCGGGACTGGGGCGGGAGGCGATGTCGAGTTTAGTGTCATGGTACTGGGTGGAGCCGCTGTAGGAGGGACACCGCCAGTTACAAGCCCACCTGCCGTTGCGCCAAGTGAGGCGGACAAGGGATTAGCTGGCAATGTCGGCGAGTCGTCAGGTACTGGTGCTGCAGCGGTTGGACCAAGTGGGAAGGAGCTCGTTGCTACGGAGGAGTTCTGGGGAGACTTGAAGAATTTCGTGCTGCAGAGGATAAAAGACGAACAGGAGAGCGAGAGGCTAGTAGGTGTGTTCAGGAGTGCTTGGAATGAGAGCAAATAAGATACCAGCATACATGGCCGAGAGCATACTCGGCCGAATAGGGACTCGAGGACGTAAATAGGACCAGGGCACAGGGCACATCACAGCATGCTAGCGACTTGATACCAAATTTATGTCCATGATTGACAGTTCACCAGCTCTAGAGCTCATCAGAAGATACACAGCCTGATAATGCAAAGAAACTAGCATCACTGCTCCGCAGTAAACCATGCTCGTCGTTCAGACCATCCAAGCCCGATCAATTTGCTTTGTTGCCTCCGCTGCCAACGTTTTCGAGCTTGTTTCATAATGTCGTCACTAAGCTGTTCCCCTTCTTTTGCCTAGTGTTGCGCGGAATCGATAATAGTATGATGTATTTAGCGGCCCTTGGAGACACGGCTCTTGATGTTCTCCCACTCGATGTCGTCGGCGTCGTTGGCTTGGATATCAGCGGCGAGACCGTTCAGAGCGCGCTTGATGGCTTCCTTTGAGGACGAGTACATCATGCGGGGCTATCATTCGTTAGCACATGCCCCTGAGCTACCCCACTATCACGCTCTCTCTCCCCGCCAAGTAAATTGGGCACTCACGTATTGCGATGCATCATCTGGCGTCCAGCTAATGAACGTAATCTTGCTCCTGCTCCCCTCGCCGGAGTCTAGCTCATACTCGACATCAAAGACGGCATAGCGACCACCAATGCCCTCCTTGCCACGGCGGTCCTTGCTCTTCGCGTTGAGCAGCTTCTCGCGGAAGACCTCGAAGTTTGCCTCCTTGGACGACTCCTCGACGACGATCTCTTTCCAGTCATCGCTGATCTTGTAGATAATCCATTTGATGTCCTTGCCGAGCTTCAGCTCGTTGAAGGCCTGGATGCACTCGGGCGCGACGGAAACACTGGCGGTGCGTTAGTGGGGGTGGATGAACAGGAATGGGTCGGTGCGGGTAGTGCAGTATGGAACGCGGGCAGTTGGATATGGATGTCGGGATGCGACAGCTCTGAGGCGCGGTGTTGTTTGTCTAGTAGTACGTACCCGGATTGAGCCTGTCGAGGTCATGTTAGCACGCTTCGTCGAGCAGTTTGTCTACATGTGCACTTACCATGATGTCTTGTGTGTAGTGTAGAGGATGTTAGAGGACAGTCGGGACACGGGGCGCTTTATCAGTACTGTGTTGCCTGTTAGCGTCGTCATCGTCTTCGCCTTCCGCGTGCGCGAGACCAGCAGTGAACGGGTGCCTGCAGTGGAAAAGGTGAGGCTTACGTCAATCCTATAGGTGGACTGATAGTGTGTAGTGGATGTGTGGGTGAAGGGTCAGCTGAGGTGGAGGGAGTTTCGTGAGGTTGCTGAGGCTGATGAGGAAGGGTAGTGCAGGTGGTGGGGTATTTTAACGACGCTTGGTGGGGTTGCTTTCGAGGACCAACAGGATTAGCTGACGGCCCTGGGCGCCACAGCAACGAGGGCTGCTAAGCCATATTCATCACTCCTCCCGCTATCTTTCATGTCACATCATCGTTCACAACTCATGTCTGTGCGGTTTGTTTAACGTTGTTTACATTTCCTTGGTCGCTTTTACATCTTGTCCTTCCCAGGAGCGTCTAGATATTACACATGATATTGTACAAATTCAAACATCCAATAATGCTGCGCTTTTCATAAAGGTGGAGAGAAAACAGGAGAGAAGAGCGGAGAGCCTACCCAATATCGTGTACATGAACCATCGCTGGGAAAGACGAGATCACTAATAGTGGATATAGTAGAACATGGGTATAGATAGGAAAGAGAAGAGAGGGGCCAGGCTTCAGCTGTTTAGAAGCCCATGCCACCCATACCTCCCATACCTCCCATGCCGCCCATACCACCTGGGGGACCAGCTGCCTTCTCCTCAGGAGCCTCGACAATGGCGACCTCTGTGGTTCCAAGGAGCGATGCGACGCCGCTAGCGTCAACAAGTGCAGTGCGGACGACCTTGAAAGGGTCAAGAATGCCGGCTGCGATCATGTCGACGTACTCGCCCTTGGCGCTGTTGAAGCCCTTGTTGAAGTCGCCCTTGTATTCGTCCATGAGCTTGCCAACAATGACAGAGCCCTCGGCACCAGCATTCTCGACAATCTTGCGAGCAGGGTGAGTGATGGCGTTCTTGACAATGGTAATACCAAGTTGCTGGTCGAAGTTCTCAGCCTTGACTGAGCCCAACGCGTTAGCAGAGGCCTTCAGTAGACCAGTACCACCACCGGGTAGAATGCCCTCCTCAACAGCGGCGCGGGTAGCGTTCAAGGCGTCAACAATGCGGTCTTTCTTCTCACCAACCTCAACCTCAGAAGCACCACCGACCTTGATGACGGCGACGCCACCAGATAGCTTGGCGAGACGCTCCTGGAGCTTCTCCTTCTCGTACTCAGAGGTGGTAGGGTCGTTGATGACGCCACGAATCTGCTCGCAGCGCTGCGCAACCTGGTCCTTGCTGCCCTCGCCGTTGAGAATGACAGTGTCCTCCTTGGTAATGGTAATGGAGCCAGTTGAGCCGAACATGTCTGGGGTAGCCTTCTCGAGCTTGATGTCGAGGTCCTCGCTGAAGACGGTAGCATTGGTCAAAACAGCAAGATCACCGAGGATAGACTTCCTGTTGTCGCCAAAGCCAGGGGCCTTGACGGCAGCGACCTGAAGCTGGCCGCGGAGCTTGTTGAGGATGCAGACGGCAAGAGCCTCACCGTCAATGTCCTCAGCAATGATAACGAGGGGTCGGCGGAGCTGCTGGGAGGCCTCGAGAGCGGGGACGATGTCCTGGACAGCGGAGATCTTCCTCTCGGAGAGGAGAATCAGAGGCTTCTCGAATTCGACCTTCGCGGTCTTGGTGTCGGTGATGAAGTAGGGGGAGATGTAGCCACGGTCGAACTTCATGCCTTCAGTAACCTCGAGCTCGTCCTCAGTCGTCTTGCCCTCCTTGACAGTGATGACACCCTCCTTTCCGACCTTCTCCATAGCGTTTGACAGTAGCTTGCCAATGTGTGTGTCACCGTTAGCGGAGATAGTAGCAACCTGGGCAATCTCTGCGCTTGTGGTGATGTCCCGCTTGTTGGCCCTCAGGTAATCGACAACCGCCTCAACAGCGGCCTGGGTTCCGCGCCTCAAATCCATGGGGTTGCAGCCAGCGGCGACGTTCTTGACAGTCTCAGAGAAGATGGCGCGGGCGAGGACGGTGGCAGTGGTGGTACCGTCACCAGCAACCTCGTTGGTCTTGGAAGCGACATCCTGGAGCAGGCGGGCTCCGAGGTTCTCGAATTTGTCCTGGAGGGTGATGGCCCTTGCGACCGTTACACCGTCTGGGTCCATGTGAGCGGATATCGCGGGGGTGGTGGAGAAGTTTGTACGTACCCTTGGTGATCTTGGGAGAGCCGTAGCTAGACTCAATCAACACATTGCGACCCTTGGGACCCAATGTCGTTGATACCGCCTTCGCTAGTGTGTCGACGCCCTTGAGCAATGATGCTCGTGCCTCGACGCCGAACTTCAGCTCCTACCAAATGCGTTAGCCTGCAAGCTCGACAACGATGGCAATAGAGTGCTGGGGTAGACTTACCTTGTGTGCAAATCGCTGCTGCTGGAGGTTGAAGCTCGTTGACCGGAGCTTGGCGCTCGAGTTCAGGGCCGAAGTCCGCGCCCGCGATGTGAGAGCTCTCTGCATTGTGATGGAATTGGCGTGCGTATATAAGTATACAATGTCAAGCCGTGCTCCTAGACTCCAGCTGAATGCAAGATAACAAGGAAGAGATGGCGGATGTTGGGGAGAATTGCGGAGATGGTGCTTGACGGACAGACGATAGAAAATTAGCTACAGAAACATCGAGAAGGCGCTATGACTGACGCACGGATGGCCGTACCTCGGCTTTGGTTCCGCGTGGTCCACCACCAACCACAAGTCATCCAATATTACCCACGATCACCTCAATGTCTTCGTATATATACGAGACTTGGATGGCTTCAGGCTTTACTGGAAACGCACTCGCATCGTCGTTCTGTCACTCGCGTAGTTTGTTTCAGAATCGGATATTGCTCACTCTACGTTCAACTACCCAATCAAATCCGCTTTCTCCTACGGCACCACAGTCCGATCAACTCAACATGACTAGTTGACTTCTCTAGCAATGCCTGTTAAGGCGCAGTGACCTTCTGGCTCATCAGCAAAATATGATCTCTCTCTCCCTTGAGCCCCAACCCGAATATCTCAAACCTCTCAGTTGTTGCCCCAAGATTCACCGCATAATGAGGCGGTGACGCCTTCTGCACAAACTCGATGCAGCTCCAAAGTTCAGCATTCTCTTCCTCGAGTATCCATATCGTTCCTCTTGGTCCAGAGCTAATCTCTCTTAACTTTCTTTGCATTTTAGCCGCGATGATGGCGCCGCGCGCTCTGCCCTTGTTCTCTATCTCTGCTTGTTCTTTCTCCTGCTGTATCTGGTGGGCGGTCTTGCCTTCTTTCTTTATGGATGGTGGTGGAGGGAACTTCTGATTATAGAATAATCCGGCCTTGCTCTTAATCTCCTGCTTCCAGTGGTTGGCTTCTGGAGCACTGTTTTTGTAGATGAGATGGTAGTATATGCGTTTCTCGCGTTTCTCGTCCAGAAGGAGGTGTAGAGGCCTTGGATAAGATGACTCTGGCGGCGGCCAGCGCGTATCACCTTCCGGGCACGCCCTCATCTCCTCGTCCGTTAGGTTTTTCGATCGACCCCCACCCCCACCTCCCCCTCCCCCGTTTCCTCTCGAGGGTACCGGTATAGGTGCCGGAGACTGTGGCAAGGAGTTTGGAACAGAAAACCTAGACTTGGGTATGGTTTCGGCCACGGCTGCTGGTGCAAGTCCAGGGTCATCATAAATTGATGGCGGGAACTCTTGAACCTGTTGTTGATTGCGCTTTGGTGCTGCAAGGTTTTCTTTCTGCCATCCTGCAAGCGGATCGCCTCGTGGCATGTTTTGGTGGTTTCCCCGCGGCATTTAGGGTCAAGTTTTGAGAGGGACGATCTAGCATAGCAATATGTGGGCTTGAGATCGGTTATTGAGGGTACTGTGTTTACACACCTGTCACAGACGATCTTGTCACTGGGTCAACTATGATTCAATGTGAGTATGTTTACTTCAATGCTAGCACTTGCGCATCCTTGCTGTTGTCGTCAGGGAAGTGGTGAAGAGTTGCGTCAGAGCATATTGGACTTTGGTCGAATATTCTCCTTCGATGGCTTCAAGCAAACACGGAGGCTATACAGAGTAAGACTTCTACTTGAATGACATATGCATTTCTTCTTCAGTCATGATGGCACTTGAACCGTAGGTTTCCCTGTGGCTGCAAGGATCATTTTCCTTGCTAAATTTGTTAACATTTTGCTAGAGCGTGCTTTTTATGTTACATAAGAGTTAGTTTGTCAGTTGCGCGCTGTCGTGGGAGTTTTTCGGGTAGCATGACAAAGATGAGTATGCCTTGAAAGGCGTGACACACGATTGGGCTTTTTTCAAGCTACGTCTTCTTTTTCTGGGGCGCGTGATTTGGTTTTGCGGCTGAGCAGTCCGCCAAAAGCGACGCCGTGCAACACACCAAGCGCATTAGGCGTTGCAGAAGGCAAACCTCCAACCTCAGCCTCGTAATGTAGTGAACGGCTGCCTAGCACTGTTGCATAAGACTGACACGTAGAGTTTCATGATTGAGGGCTTACCAATATGCTGCCGTTTTGCTGCAAGCGATGCCTCCATGTCTACCTAAAGTGATATCCCGCATTTCGCCGGACAGCTTCAAGACGGAGTCACAAGGCTGAGGCCGCTCGGAGTGAGCACTATATATCGTCGGCCTTTCGCAATTTGCCCCACTAGAAACATGGTAGAGGTCGAGAAGCATTAGCCTCGTACACGTGAGTTTATTGAAGATATCATCCATCTTAATCATTGCCACACTCCTTGCCTTAGCCTTTGGCTTGCATCACCTGTTCAACCACGCCTCAGGATGTTGCATCGACGTCCAACTGACCCAGCACTTGAGCGCGCAAGGCAGGCCCAGCGTAGGCCTACACTACCGTTCGAGAAGATTTCCGGTCGAGTGCAAGACAAGTATCCTGCATATGACGACTTTCCTTGGGAAAAAATCGAAGAATACCTTCAGGGCAAGTGGCCGGCCTGGAAGAACTTCAAACCAACAAGAGTACGTTCAAGTCGTACAGTTGCGACTAGAAGCTAATAGGCTCCACAAAGTTCAACGGAAATTGGCAGTTCGAAGTCCCTGAAAAGCTGACCGAGGTGAGTCCTCTCCTTTGCTCCAAGAACAAGGCTCAGACGTTTCAGGGTGACCGAAGAGAGCTGAGGAATCGGAGGGATGCGCCCAACAGGACGCGGAGAGCGTCAGTCTCTCCAGAGCCGGAGCCACAATCCACATCGTAGCGCCTGGAAAGTTGGCAGACATAGTCAAGCAATGTATTGATGATTTGGTCTGCGTTCCCGTGCCATGGCATGCATTGACGCCGGTGAGGGCAGCGCCCCCGGCTAAGCGGGGACCCATGTCACTTCCCCAAATCAGTCGCCTGGCTTGCCCTCACACAAGCATGCGCTCATCACAGCCGCAGAAAATCAGCCCTCTGAGGCTTTGCTATTCGCCGCCGCTGCTCTCAAAATGAAGTCTCTCCTTCTGTTTTCTTTCCTCATGCCAAGTGCCTCCTATCAACGTTGCACTAGTACCAGAGACTGCGATGACGCTGCCTCTTGAGCTGCAAACTTCTTACCTCAATTCTATCGACTACCCAGAGAACCTTGTTCCTAGCGGTACGGCAACATACAGATCTAAATTGATCTCTTACAAGAAACATTTTGATGATGCCGAGTCCGATCTCTGCCTCGTTCATGGAGAAGATGACGTTGACGATATATTCGAAATTCCCATGATTGATCTAGAGACTGGCGACGGAAAAGGTAGGGTTCCTACTGTAACATGACCCAACAAAAGCTGACCACTGCAGCTTTGGACAAGAGAAACATCCACTCCCCCTCCAAACTCACGCAATGGCTCGGCGTGGAATTTGTGGTCGACCCAACCGACCCAAATACGCAGCATGTCATTGCCAGGAAACGGGATCCAAAATGCCGATTCATGTAAGCCCATGATGTTTCTTCTGATAAACAGCTACTTACCAAATCACACAGATACTTCTACGGGCAAAATTCACGCGACAAACTAAAGACAACTCGCAGCAGCCTAACTCAGATTCTGACTTATCATCAAGTTATGCCTGTATATATGGACTTCATGCTAGTGTTTGGAGCGCAAAGTGATGCCAAAGACCTCCGCTTCAGCGGCTTTCGTGAACAGATACTGCTCAAAACTCCTCCAAGCGGGCAGTCCATACCTGCATTAGGTCGAAGTGGGAGGACTTTCCAACTCTGCTACAATCTTAAGGGAGTACAGTTCAAGAAACAAAGCAACGAAAATATCAAACTTTCCGAGTGGTCCATCAGGCAAACAGCCGTGTATCACAAATTCGACGTGGAGTATGGGACAACCCTGTGGATCGTAACAAAAGGTGGCGAAGATATCCTAAACCGATACAAAGAATTAACTGGAGCAAATGGACGCCCAGAAGACCGGACGTTTTGCGATCCAGCATCGTGCTTCCGATCAACCCTTTCTACCCACTTACTACTAAGCCATTGGTGAGCAAATCTGTGTGCGAACTACATTTGAGGCACACACTAATTTCGTGACTGCCGTTCTTAGGTCAACCGAGGACTGGAGATGGTATATCCGCTGGCTTGAAGAGGTATTGGACCACGAGGTAAGCTAGAACTTCAAAGTCGAGAGCTTTGTGAGCTAATATGAAACTTTGTAGAGTGGAATGGCGGTTGATGGGCTACGCGGCGAAGGCTACGCACATAAGGAATATAAGCCATACCATATTCAGGACTTGCAACACTGGCAAGATAAAGCTAACGAAGCAGTCATGGTACTGGAGTCCAATGCTGAAATTTTAAAGGCGATACGCAAATTCTACCTGGACCTGGTTATTCGAAAAGATTTTCCTGACGCGCTCAAGTCCGCCTGTGAAGAAGACTTGGCTGTCTTCTTCTCGCAGCTCGATGAGATCATCAACGACTTTCGTATGCAAATAGCTCGGGCAAAACTTCTAGTGCACATCATCAGCGATAGGAAAGAGCTGGTCTTGCAACATTTGCAGGGTCAAGCTGCGGAGCGGACCGAACAACTCAACAGAAATCTCGAGCGAGAGGCTATTGTCATGCGTATAATTACGATCGTTACTCTGCTTTACCTCCCAGCGACCTTCGTTTCGGTAAGTTGTGACATTCGTAGACATTGCCTTTGCTAAGTAGACCCAGACGTTTTTCAGCACTGATGTTGTAAAATATCAAGATCAAGATGAGACTAACGCCGACCCAAACGGTTCCTTTTCAGCCCTCGCTCTGAAGAGGTGGCTTCAAGTCACACTACCGTTAACAGCACTCACGTTGTTCGGTGCGTGGTCTACATATCAGATTTATGATACATCAAGCGGAACCTCGACCATTGTGGTGCGTGCGAAGAGCACTATTTACAGACTCAAGTCTTATGGGAGCACACCACACACGCGGACGCCACCTCAAGATCAATATGATCCTCATGATACCTCTATATGTGGCTCAACATGGTGGTATTCGAGAAGGCCCTTCAAGTTCGTCCCGGATCCTTTACGATGGCTGCGAAGTAGTCGCTCTACTTTGCCTTTACATGGGAGCAGCCAAACAAAGAACGGGTGAATCGAGGATGAACTGGTAGAAGCGCATTTTGCGTCATGAACTTTCGGCATTCGGTGCTTACTCAACGGCGTCAGCCCACCTCAACGGGAAGAGGCGCCCGCCATGTTCCATCCGGCCCTGCAATTTCGTGCGTCCCAACAAATAGTCAGCCTGCAGCCACACATCCGGTTCGGGTTGAAATTCAGCACGGAGGGTTCAAGGGCGGGGTCGGCGCTTAGCGAACAGACGTTCCTCGCAATCATCATTCTTTTCATAGGTTCAAGCAATTATATCATAGGCATCTAACCGTAATTTTTCGCTCGGAGTCCAAATACCACCTTTAGACATTGCGGAGCGAATCACTCCCACCTTCAATCTTCTTCTGTTGCCTAATTGCTTAGCCTAGTCGGCATTTGCAGCTGTGGATGAAAACTCAGCCTTGCTGCCTTGTTAAAGTCATCAGCTCACTGCAGCCACAGTGGTCCTCCTCGGAGCTATTGGCGCAGCTCCCTACGTACCTAGCCCTGCCTCATCAGGTGGTCAGAGCTTGATTTGGGTAGTAATAACGATCATGCCCCGCTTACAACTACATGAGGCTCTGCGATCTCGACTGACAGCTACTCGTCTCTTCTCAACTAGACTATACTTGGTACATAATTCACGCTTCCATCTCTTTAATCTTCGGTCTATACTTCGCACGGATCTAGAACCGGCGAACGTAGCGCTGCGTTGGCCTTAGCGCACCTCTGTCCTATGGGGACTGTGCGTGCCTTGTTCACGGTTGGAGCCACGTCGAAATGCCAGACAAAATGCAGACAAAGGACCGCCCTACCCTGAATGAATACACAAACCTCTTACAGTCAGAATGGACTCGACCAGTCGCATGCCAGGACCAGTGCGATCCGCCTGAATCTTGCAGTTGTCAGCGCCGCATTGTCCACGTGGATGCTATCAAGGCGTGGTGCGGACGCAAGGCCTCTGGGACTTCCGAACAGACAAAACTGCATCGATTGTTCGACGAGATGCAGTCCGCGGGACATCGAAAATTTCCTCTCGACTTCAAGACTTTCTTTACTGGAGAATACCACTGCCTTCGAGTTTTCGGTCGGTTACTCGAACAAGGTTATGGTAATCTCATCGATCGGTTCTATAATTCCAACATGCATGACATTTATCTGGAACGAGGCGAGGAATACCAGCAACTTCGCGAAAACTTATTGGAGATCTTTGACGTTAATGAAGTGGACCGCATTATCCAAGATTTTCAACACACGAGATGGGCATACTGTCCATTTGCACTCACGTTACATGTAGATCGTGGTCTAGAAAGCACCAAAGTCATTGTCCCTTTCTGCCGTAAGATCAAGCTTGGTGACAAAGGAGGTACCGCGTCTGTATATTGGGTGGCTATCCAGAGGGACCTTATATCTGATGAAGGGCTAAAGGGTGTGCTCCACGAATCGCTTCACCTGGATCCGGACTTTGGCGAGGTAACTTCCGTCAATAATCTAATTGTGAATAGGACTAACAAATTCGTCAGTGTTACCAATTAGCCTTGAAGTCCTATTGTGGTAACAAGAAACTTGCTTACGAGCAAGAAAAGGACGCATTCTCGGGACTGAAGTCTAACGAAAGGGTACCCATAGTTCGCTATCTAGGATCTTACACGCATGATCACGGCGAAGGATACGATTCAAAAGGAGTACATACAGGAAAGACGTACAATCTGCTTCTGGAGTACGGAGAGCAAGATCTCTATCAGTACTGGGCAGACGAAACAAATGTGCCACCCGTACGAGCAGACGAAATCGTTCGAGAATGGGAATCGTTATTCGAGGTTGCCGATGCTATTCGACACGTTCACAACTTAGAGGTTCCACGCGAGAGAGGCGATCCCTGGAGATTCTATGGGTATACTATCACTCAATAAGCGTGAAAGGAATCCATGCTAACCAACGTAGCTGGCACGCAGATATAAAACCGGATAATATTCTCATTGTCCACGGGCGGTTCAAGCTGGCTGATTTCGGCTACTCTAGGTTTGCACCCGTTGTGAAGAGTCAAGATGGTGTCTTGCCCACAGAATTCATCAATGGATTCACCGATACCTATGGTAAGTGCTAGATTTCAAAGGCAGTAGCGCTTTTTCTAACGAACGATCAGGTGCACCCGAAGTGTCTCGTATGAAACGACCGGACGGAACGATGTCGGGAGTCACACAATCCATTGACACCTGGTCTTTTGGCTGTGTGCTATCAGTTGCCGCAACCTGGATTGTATTAGGTTTCCAAGGCGTTCGACAATACGAAATACTACGAACTCTTGCTCCAGCCAATAATAGAGACGGTGCTATGCGTGACTGTTTCCACGACGGCACACAGGTACTACCCGAGATTCGGAAATGGCACAACTATCTGAGAGGGCATCTTCGCCCTTCAGACACCACAACGCCATTGGTATTGGATCTCATCGAGCACAAAATGCTTCAAACCGATACATACAATCGTCTCGAGCTAGGAGCGCTCTGTGATGAATTGAAAGACCTTATTCCGCGAGCTAAAGAAAAGATAAGGTGCCTCAAATTGCACGCGAGGGAAACAGATCCGGTGGTTTTACAAGCGTTGCTGAAAGTCGAGCAAGAAGCACAGAGAGACAAATCCTCGAGACCAAAGAGTACCCCATTTCAGCAGCAGACGACGGTCGCCGGTATGGCGCATACGAGTCATCCTCTTCAAAGAGTTACAAGGCATCTTCAAAAAGAGCATATCATCAAGAGTAAACCATTAGGACAGACCACCTATCGCAAAGAAATCCTGGAGAAACAGCTGAAGCGCAATTCCGTCATCCGAGAGGATGATGAACAAAACAAGCAGGGAACACACAATGGGGCAGTTACTGATAGTCCCATCGAATCACTGCTTCCAGCAGACACATGGCGTGCTCTGCGAAAAGAGAAACCGAGAAACCCAGAACATCCCCCCGCAACTGTGAAACTTGCAAAACCAGCTCCCATCGAATTCCGCGACGCTGTGTCCACCGCTACATTTCAAAGCTCTTCCCAACCCCGAAATCACAGCTCCAACAGTAATCGTTTCGTCGCCAATGGAGGTAACCCAGGTTCTAATGAAGGTCAGCCGAGTTCCTTCGATGCTTTACGTAACAGTGCAGAATCAGTGCGATCGAATCGACAAACTTCAATGGCACCAGACTCACCGTTAGCGCGAAAATCAACCTATCCAGCCGTGCCCGAATTTCCTCAGGGTTCCTCTTTAATGAGTCCGGAATCACATCGTTCAACGCCGGATGTTCTATCGCCCCTCCTATACACGTCAGGATCCAAGGACACATCTCCAGTATCCCCTTACCCGCCAACTGTCATAGCCTCTGCGAAACTGACACAGTCCCGAGGTTCCTCCGTGGAGGAGAATTCTCAACAACGACGGCTGTATTCTGATAACGTCCCACAACTATCATATCCCATCCCAAATCGCTCTAATTCCAATGATAGACGCATATATGAGCCGGATATCTATACATCTGGTCAAATTGAGAGTTCTCCAATACCTGGACCGTCCATCATATTATCTCAGCCTGCTGAGCCCGTGGCATCTGAACAAAGTACCACAGACTTTTTTCCTGGCCTGCACGTAGCAGAAAAGCAAGCCGTAGACCCTGAACAGGATATTTTCTCCCCTGAGTCTATAGCTACGATTCCACTTCCCCCATCAGTTTATGACCTTCCATTCAATATCTGTCACAAAAGGAAGGAGCTCGACCAGCAAGTTTCGAAGGGCTTTGCGAAGCTCAAGGGCAAGTTTGGCGTTGAGACGCGGAATAAGGACACAAGCCTTGTTCAGACCTTTAGTGAACCACGTGAAATAGTAAGTCTAGCAATATCTTAGCGTCAATTACTTTGCTTACACTGTTAGATTCTTGTCGTTGATAATGGCGGGACAATGTTCGAACACTGGCCAATTGTTATGTTTGTCGCAGAAACACTGGCGAAAAATGCTGCAGGTTTAGATAAGAATGGTATTTGTCATGATATGGGGGTGATGATCTGTATTCATAGGTTCTGTCGAGCTAAACTAGCTGCTGGGTGAATGATATACCCTATCCCGGCACGGACCATCCTTCCTTGGCGTTCACGTGACAGTATTGACCTCAAGTTTACGGTTGACGGACACACCTACGACAAAGGAGACCTCAAAGGAGATTTGGGGCGACGATTACTTAAGAATGCTTTGAACGCAGCGTGGCCGGAAAACACAAAGACTGACGACTCGCTAACCGATATGGGAAGAATATTTACAAACATATTCAAGGAGTGGAAGCGTAACAAAAAGCGTGCTACTACGCTACTTATACTCACGGATGGTGTTTGGACGAAAACTGAAGAGTTACGTCTCCACCTTACTATCCTTGATATTGCCAGGCAAGAGCAAATGCACGCAGGTAACCGCCATTTCAGCATCCAGTTCATCCGCTTCGGAGACCGTGAGAATGAGAAAGCGAAACTTCAATGGCTGGATGATGAGCTCTGTACCCGGAGTAACCTGAGGTACGTTCAGCAACACCTTAAAATTACATTACACCCCAACTAACTCTTCGCAGAGACATCATAGACCATTGCTCGTGGCGCACGACTGTAGATAAGATGTTCAAGGGGAGTATTGAAGGCTGGCACGACCAGAAAGATCCAGATGAGCTGGACATTCCATATCACTACCCGGATCTTGTCGCGCTATTCAAGAGCTTTAATGAAGGCTCCGACACACTCTCCCCCTCTACTCCGCACCGGACACCGTCAAGATCTTCGAGTCGTAGCTCCAACTCAACATCGCAGTGGAGAACCTCGATGCCACCAGAGCGTACGGGAAGCTGGAAATCGCAATCTTGAGCGCCATTCACTGCATTATTATACTCTCTCTTCACGCTTCCTCTTGCACATTCACACCAGTGATCGCATTTTAGCAATCATTGTGATGCGGGTAACGTTTATGCACTAGACGGCTTCGATCAAGTTCTTGCTACACATTTTATCGCTTTTCGGACATTTTATTTCTTTTCTCTAGCTCGAGATACCCAAGGATCGGCATTGTCAATGGTTTCATGCTTTGAGAAGGGAAAGAGCGCCGCTGCATATCGCACGTAGCGCTAATAAATATACAAGGAGGCATTCATTCTAGCATCGCATATATTTGCAATATCAAAAACTCACGTCTTAACTCGATACGCCATGTCACATACTTACTACTTTCTCCTCGCGCTTCTATGCTCACTTCCTCCCTGTCATTTCCTCTCGTTCTTCTTCCGCAACTCCTCTAGCGCCTTTAGATGTTTAAAGTTTGCGTCTGGATCATTCAACGGTCCAAATTGCTTTGGATCGAGCCTACTCTGGCCGGGCACATATATGCGTTGACCTCTTGCACCCAACGGAAGATTTGTAGTCATCAGTGGATCCACCATAGCTGGTGTATGTTGGAAAGGTTGAGGCGGCACTGAAGGCTGGAACATGAAAGGTTGTTCAGGCTGTTGTTGAGACCCAAATCGAAGAGTTTGTTGCTGAAATGGTAATAGAGATTGCTGTGGAGACAGAGCTGGGTGTAGAAAGGAGGATCGAGGACCCTGTTGGAAGTCTCGAGCGCTACTGCTACCAGCGAATGGCGGCCCATGCTGGTTACGAAACCTTGAAGGTCGTTGAGAAGAAAGTAGTGGTTCGGAGCGATCCCGATTCGAGCGCATTGACTGCGGTGGGAGGCCAAAGTTGCGCGGATTTACGTCCTCTACATCACCTCCATCGCCCTCAAAGTCTCCAAGGTGAGACTTGACATTTAGTCCGAACGTTCCCTTTGGACCACTGAGAATCTGTCCAGGGAACATCAGGTGTACCTGTTCTCTCCGCTCTCGCTTGGCCTGTCTCTCCGCTTCCTTGTACTTAGCGGTTTCAGCGCCAAAGTCGTTTAGTCTTCTATCCTCCTCTTCGTCAACGTACACCTTCCCGTCTTCCCCAATCTTCATATGATGCATACAGCCTTTCTCATCAAAGGTTTTGAACTCATGCCCTGGGTTTGACTTGCTGGGTGGTGGCCTACGCCCACTGTTTATGTCATCGGCGAGGCGGCGACCTGCGCGAAGTTCGTCGTTTCGGGATTTGTAGTTGAAGTCGACGCGTGGTCCCTTGCGAAAAACATCGAACAACCCCATAGTGATGATTTTACTTTGTTCTTAGGGCGGAACTTTTGTAGCAGGGTTTTTCTGGATGTTGTAGATGGCTTGTGGGCTTGAGGTTGGAAATTCCAAGTTTAAACTGCACTGGTTAGTCACACAATCGGCCTTGACATTCAGCCAAATTAGAGAATGAAGAGAATGGTCATCGAATGCTACTAGGTAGAGACAGTGAAGGAAAGACTTAGTACACTCGATCGTACATCTACAGCAGTAGCCATCTTTTACGATGTGCTGTCCGCATGTGTCAAAGATACGTTGATTTTTTTCAAACTCAACATAAGGCTTTAAACAACTCAAATATACCTAGAGTTAGCTGACTGCGAAGTTATACGTGAAAACAAATCATTGCGTGAAAGTAAGTCACGCACCTTGTGAGTGAGTTAGATTGCGGAACGCATCAGCTTGCGCGTGGACATGGTTCTCAATCACATTTACAAAATCAAGAAATCAAACATTCAGGTCTCAAATATAATCATTCAAGTACCTATTTTTATGTATCGTTTTAATGTGGGATTTTCATATAACCTTCTTCCCACTTGACCTTGTCTCACAAGGAGACTAGTCTGGTAGCAAAGTAAGGTATAGAAGCACCCGTAGTCGCCATGTCCGTGAAGTAATTCCCATACTCCCCTCATATGATAAGCATTCGCACATACCTCCATCAACTCATGCACCTATTCAGTCCATCAAAGTATCAAGATACTTATTCTACCCGAAAAAGGACAATTTGTTTGAGGAGGGAGTGGTAATGGTATCCAAGGGGTTAAAGAAAATCGTAGCCTTATTTTTAGGCCGGATGCCGTAAAGCTGTTCAAGCCAGCATTCGTATGCCATGAACCGTAAATCGTTGAGTCATCAATTGAAGAGTAGCCAGTACACCGAAGTCCGCTGAGCTGAAGTGGGTGGTCGAACATGTACTGCCAGAACAGTCAGTGATGAATCCAGCTAAAGGACATTCGTATCCCTACAAAGTCGATCCATAGCCCCCTTAGATTGGCAACAGAAGATGCAGCTTAGTTACGAGTTGAAAAGTCCACAAAGGGATCCTCAAGATCACCCTTGCTGTCGTCTTCTCCATCGTCCATGCTGTGGTTGTTTTGGCGCGCATAGAGAGGCCAGTCGTCCTGGTCACTGAGACCAACCCACGTAGTGGAATACACGGATTCCCGGTTGCCTTGAGGGTTGAATGCACCATCCTCACGTAGGTTCGAGTCGAGCCGGTCAGCAACGATAGAATCGGCAGCAGCTGAGCGTGGGGGTGTGACAGGCATCGAATTTTGGTTGACGTAAGCGTGTTGAACGCGGTCGAATGTCCCACCGGTTGCCTGGGTGTTATCAGTAGCGCCGTGGAAATAGCCATTGACTGGCATGCCGATTGCATCGCTATGGGCCGGGCTACTGGCTGGTGTGGTAGACGTAGTCCCATTGACTGGCATACCGAAAGTATTGCTATAGATCGAGCTGCTGGCTGGTGTGGTAGCTGTAGACCCATTGACTGGCATGGCGAATGCATTACCATAGGTCGCGCTACTGACTGGTGCAGTAGGCGCAGGACCATTGACTGGCATGGCGAATGCATTGCTATAGGCAGAGTTACTGGCTGGTGTGGTAGTCATAGTTCCATTGACTGGCATGCTATATGCGTTGCTATAGGTCGAGCTGCTGGCTGGTGCGGCAGGCATAGTGCCATGTCCCGTGTTGTCGGTCATGCCATAGACGCTGGTAGCACCTGATTGGGTGCGACTTGCCTGCGACTGAGTGGAGATGGGACTGGGCGGCATGAGTGTTCCGGGCACGATGAATTGAGGAGCCGTAGTGCTGATAGAGCGGTTGTCAAAGACAGCGATATTCCTGTAGCGCATCCTCGGGTCCGTGGAGAAGAAGTCGCAGCCCAGATCGTAGTTTGATGGCATACGCCGAGTCGGACTAACGAGACTGCCGTCGAGAAACATTCCGGCAACGTGGCGAGGGTCGTGCTGAACGGTTACGCTGTTATAGTGACCATGGGCACTTCCATCCATAGAGCCGTTAGTGCCAGTATTCGGGTCAACTTGTGCGTGACCAGAGGGAGTGCTCTGAGCAGGTGTATACCCCGACAAAGGAGGGGGCACATTAGTTAACAGACCATAATCTCCGAGCAGATGCGGATCAGTAGCGTTCGGGATAGCTGAGAACACCGTCATGTCGTTGCTGTTATCATGGGCCCGTGGGGTCGGAATGCCATGGTTCATCGCGGGATCGAAGGAGCTGTTAACGTCGTCCATGATGCAGTCATCGTATTGATCAGCATAGTCGAAAGTACCAGAACATTGGTCAACGTCGCCGGAGGGGTTTTCGTTGATCATGATTGCGTTACCGGTACGGACGCGCTGCTGCTGCCGAGAAACCCTATTGAACTTGTGCGGGAATCCTAAGTACATCCTATCAGCGTCTTGATAGGCGCGCTTGAGCGTGATGATGAGGGACTGATTACCTTCCCAGCGCGTTGGCTTCTTCTTTTGCAGCATGGTCTTGGTTGGAGTCGTTGCATCCTGAACAGTCCCCGCATTAGCAGTGGACGATGATGAAGCGGAACGTCTATTCTTTCGCGTCCACGCCATCCTCAACGGTGGAATTTGGTTGCCCTCGGCGATTTGTTTACCGCGCAGCTTCAGAAGGGCTTGTTGCAGCGCACCGGCCGTGCAACGATCGCCAACAACTTGGGCTGCTTGGTCGAAGGGGATTTGTAGGCCACTCTCGCCACAAGCCCAAACAATGCCTAGGGCAACATTCTTCCAGTCGTTCTCGGTCCATTTAAGGAGCTTTGGACGAGGCTGACGTGGCTTGCGAGGAATGCCATCCTTGTTGATCTTGGGCACCTTGGGCGCTCTCCGACCTTCCGAGTCGCTCTCCTCGTACTCACTATCGTCGGCGGGGGTAGAACTCACAATTTGATCAGACTGGTCATTCTCCTCTTTGACCGCAACAGTCATGCCACCATCAACAGCATAGCTGCCGTCTTCGGTCCCTCCGTGGAGTGAACCATGGGTGTAGTTGTACAGCTCAGATGCACTAGCATGGGCACGGGAACTGTCAACGTACATGCTGTGGTCGTTGAATATACCGACGTGGCTGCTAGGCCTATGACCGAAGCCGTTGTTTTCGAAGCTAGACTGACCCTGAAATGTACCCTGCTCGCGGCCGAGATTAGAGGAGCTGTCATAATGGTTGCCAGTGGGCTGGTTGACCGCTCCAACAGTATCTCTGTCGACGAATGCATCGTTTCGAGGCGGCATGGGGTAGGTGGAAGGCACATGTCGATCCAAATCATGGTCGTTGAGGCGGGGACGATTCTGACGACCGAGGCTCTCGAAGCGCTCGCCGATCGCATTGCTGAGCGCTATGGCGTTTTGGTCGAACCTCTCATACTCGGCATTATGTGTCGGGGAAGTATCACGGTCGACAAGAGGTCGAATTGAATCGAGGTCGAAGCTAGGCATGCTGCTCTCCGAGGAAGGGGGCCTAGAGATGGGCTCCATGGGCATGTTTTCCATGCCGCTGTCCGTGGATCGGTTGTGGTAACCTCTGTATCCTTGGAACAAGGTGCCAACATCGCCAGCTTCACGCTTGCGTTTTGACGGGAGACAACCCATGCCTAAGGGATTCGTATTTTTCTTCGAAGAAACTTCAACCGTTGCGTTGGATGTCTGTAGCGTCTTCCTGCCCTTCGCGAAGTTCCTGGTGGGCGTGTAGGCCTCTTCGTCGCTGTCGTCGAGACTAACCGTGTTGAGCTTGTTGTCGTGAAATGGAGTCATGGTAGCTGTCTTCGTCAACTGATGCTCGATGCATAGAACAAGCGATGGCGCTGCGTATGTTCTTGAGAAAAGTGTATAGACTCACCGGCTCACCTGCTGTTGACAAACCCCTCGGGATATATGCCGCGAAGGTGTCAGGATGTTGTTGCGGATCTAATGTAGCCGAGGAGGGCGTGACTGCGAACATATTAGTGTGTGCGGGGGCTGAACGTGCTGAGGGTAGCCAGCGTACCTTGAGCGGAGCGGGCGACCCAAATGCCCTTACGCGCCTACTAAGCCCCAAGGGCGAATCAAACTGTACAAATAGCTAACGAGGAGCTTCAAAGAAGGCTCTGTAGCGTTGTTAGCACAGCTTCAGGCTGGAGGCTCAAGTTTTCACGCAAGAGCGTGCGGGGACCAGGAGGCGGGGTGCACAATGAGTACAAGCAGCACCTTGCGGAGACTGATCCTGCATTGTGAAGATGCTAGGGCTGGCATAGGAGAAAGCTATTGCGCTGGTGCAGTACGTACCTCGTTGCTGTCGTCGTGTGTTGGTGGGTGGAGGGGCGAAGGAGGAGCTGCGCGGACAAGGACTTTATGGAGGGCAGGAGGCGCTAGCGTCTTTCCACTCAACGCAAATCTCGTTCACGTAGGCAACGGTAAGCTCGCTTAAGAGTTCTTGCTCAGGAGACGATACGCTAAGACCACGGCAGGACACCCTTCTTTCCTTAGTGCGAACGGGAAAAGGCGACGTGAAGTACAATTGTATCCTGATAGCGTTTGCCGTAAAAGATTGTAGAGATAGGTATCCAAAGACTTTCAGCGTTCTCTATGGTCAAGCCGATGGGACCAAGGATCTGCGGGTGCAACGGGTGGCGGCGAGATAGTAGGGCGTCAAAGACAAGGGCAAATCCGCAGTGTACGAACAGGTCCGAAAAGTCGGCGACAGTAGGCTGTAGGATGATGTTTACTCTCGTGAAACTCTAAGGGAAGACTGGTGCGGAGGTACTGCGGAAGTTTGCGTAAGCGCAGCCCAGGTACTACGCAGTCCGTTGAGATGATGAAGGCGATCCGTACGCTTTGAGGTAGCTCGCAAAGCACCCACGGAAGGCAGGCTTGACAAATGTGACGAGCACGTATGATCGTTTGCAAATATTCAGCGATTGCAACGTGCGAATATCTGCTGAGCGAAACAGGCGTACGTGCTGAGGTGAGAGAAATCCAACTTTATCTTGTAAACCACCGCTAGCGATTGCAAGATTGTCGAATGAATAGGTTTTGAGTCTTGATACATATAACTTAGATCCCAATGACGCTTCATATAGGCGAGGTAAGTGCGGATATCTGAGGTGTGAGTGGAGCACACGTGACGCAAGTGTTATGCCCCCGCTTCAATTTTGATAGACAAGTCGAGAAATTAAAGCGAGTGATATGCTCGATAAATGCGGGGTAATCATGAAACCAGTAATGCAATCCGTGATTGGGGCCAAAAGCGTCGATAGAACAGTCTGAAATCGGAAACTTCTGGTATTATGGTTCACACAACACCCATGGTGAAGTGCATCCTCGAGTAATGGAGAGTAGCCTTTGGTGTAGCGCACTTTCATGTCTCCAGTCGTGGTGCGTCCGAAGTGTATGAGGGTTTTGAAGTCTTATTCATCCTGGCGGATGGTGCTGTTCGATGCCGTGTACATCCAGTTCGATGAATGTTTGGACTTCTTGATGGGGTTTCCATTGTCCATGAACAAGTATTGAATATCGTGCTCGAGTGTTCGGTTGAATGTATGAAAGATCCAGCGGGATGACGGGACGTAGAAACAACGGTGATGATAGAGGAATTGGGTGTGTAGTTGACGTCGAAGGAGGAGATAATGGAAGGAGACGGAGTAAGTAGAGAGAAAGTGAGATGAAGTACAGGCTAATTGGCAATAGGGTCGAATATGTTATTGGACTTCACGAGAGAGAGAAGGGGTCCCCGTTAATGAAATTTACCTTATTACTGCCAGATGAGGGTGCAGCTCGTGAGAAGAATGACACTGGGCCGTGGAATGGCTCGAGAAAGAGGAAGGTAACAAACGAATAGCAACTTTTGCGGTAATCAATACCAAAACAGGAAGAGCTAGACGTAGAAACAAAGATTGGAACGTTTTTCATGAAACTTAAGAGAAGGCTCTCTACTGAACCCGACGAAAACCAGGACGTGGGTTGAACGAAATGATAAGTAAAGGCTGAGTCCGTTGAGCTGGAAAGCGCGGTTGAGTTCTGTTTAAAGTTGATAGGTATCTCACTATTGAATTGAGAGAACTTCTTGCTGTGAGCATGTTTGTGTGACTGAAGATACCGGTGACCAAGGATTAGGAATTGACATAGCTTGTGTAGAGCTTTTCGTAGTCCTGTTGAAGTAAGATACTTCCCTGATTCAAGTAGTTGTTAGCTGGCTAGTATCCTGTATCGAAAGCCGGTCAGATTATAATCTTCCACTATGGAGTCTAGGCTTAGTTTTCGGTAGGTACGGATTGCCTCGGGCTCTATGAAGGAAGGTGTATGGGGCGGATATATTGAGAGTGACAATTGTGCTTTCAAATATCAATGATGTTGAATATGTTGGAAGGGAGCATACGGTGCCTTAACAAGGTTGATTTCGGATTCTTGGATGACACTTCCCGAGGAAGCAGCTGTCGCTAGCCATTAGAGTGCGCATGTTCGACCTTATGACATGGATCTCTGCAGCGAAGAGCTCGGTTATGTTCCATGGTCTACGCCGATTAGTGTTATTCCATAACTAAAGATCCCTCTTTGGTGCTGAGGTTGGGGGATTTTCCGAGGTAGCACCGTGCAGCCACCAGATGCGAACATGGTATGGGTGAAACGGTGGGGTATCAGAAGACCAGAAGCGATGTGGCGGTGTAGGTCTTGTGTGGTGATGTGCTAATAGATGTCATTAGTATCCTCGAGTCTATGTCACGCGTTCCTCGAAGCTGGCGAGCGGTCAGCTTGACGTGTATCATGTTGAACAAGGCCGATTCCAGAGCCTTTTCTATGACTTTGCGAGTAGTAGTCCCGGCTGAAGCGGTGCAGTGCCATGTAGAGCGGCTGAAAACCTAGAGGCTGTGGGTCAACGCGCTCGCTCGTAGTGCTTGGGCAGTCCGCTGCGGGCAGGCTACGCGCTGTGGCGGGAATAGCTTCCACATGTTCAAGTTCTTCGAGAGGGGGGCGATGCTGTGGTGTCAGTCTTGAGGCAATAGAAAGGGTTGCAGTGCGTAATAGTTTCTCGAGGAGGTTGAATCTGGGAGGGTCAATGGAGTGGAGGGAGGTGTGAAGAGGTGGGAATAAGGTTATGTGCGCTAAGACAGTGCGACAGGCACAATAGCCCAACGGTTCACAGCCTTGGCACAATTTGGTCGCCTAGGAAAACGTCGCTGCACACGATGAAGGGGGGGACTGGGCAGATACATCAGTCAAATTAGGGGGGGTAACAGTATTGCAATTCAAAAACTATCTGTCCAAGTCTTAGCATTCGGTCTCTACTGTGAGGGGGATGTGACGGTGTGGGCTTACCTAAACCTGTAGATGCGTGATGCATTTGGCTCTTGATCTGATAGAGGGCTGTAGTCCCAGTGACGAGGATCGAGCTGAGTGAAGTGGAATCTTTACATCGCCTAGGATATGATGCCCTTTCATTCTACTCAATTGAGACTCGGGGCTCGTTGGCTGCACAAGCGATTGCAAACCTGAGTTGACATCGGCCCGAATCTCGTAGCTCGAGTTTCCGAGTCGGCTAGTCCTGTGGCATCGAGACGGCGCCTCTACAACCCTCGACAATGTGCTCGATGCTTTCCTAGAGGTGGTTTGTACCTGTTGCCGTCGTCGTCGCTCCTGCTGATTCCGTTGGGGTCTCTTACCAAAAGCTTCCGCCTCCTTTCCTCGCCGACCTTCTCGGCCATCCTCAACACCCCACCACCGACCTCAACGATTTCGATCGCACATCCTCGCCGCGCGTTCAGCGTACAATACTGAGATGGAGACTCGGAGCGCTGGGATGCAAAGTCTGTACTGGGGTTGCTCCTACCTCCTGAGCGCCGCCGGACTTTGCGGCCATTTCGCTCCTTCCTTCGACGCCACCACGCCCACAACCACCCGGACGATCGCCCTCCGGCCTGTTCAGGATACTTGGCTTGGAGTTGGGAGATAGAGTCATCTCCTAAGAAGGAGTGGTAGACTTTCATCGAGCCCCCTCACCCCGCTGCACGTAGTCGCTGTGTCGCGGCCGACCGCATTGCGATACCCCACCACCGCCCTGCTCGACAACAATACAACGAACAGGAGAGCTGGGAGAGGCCGGGAGCTGAGAAAGGTCGCGCAAACTTTCTCATTTACCCAAGAGCTACGTCTGGGGTGGTCATCGCTGCGGCTCTGCAGCTTGCCTTGAGCATTCCCTGCAGACATCCGCAAAACATCGGCGACGCGGTAGGGCAATCCAAGGACATCATGAGACTGACGGACAGACAATTTCAACAGCCCATATATTGAGATACGTATCGCCCTGCTCGACCTTCGAATTGGAAATGTCCGATCGCAAGCGCCCCAGTAGCACACGGGAGGCACACGCACCCAGCGCGGCGGTAGACACGAGCGGGGCGACCATGGACAACCTACACCTCGATTCAACAACGTTCACGCTGTCTGGACAACATGAATTGGGCATGTTGATATGACTTGTGATGCTTGGGTTCGGAACCGCGGATACCGACATTCTTGACCGCCATTCCAAAGCGACATCCCTGATTGTTGCCAATCATTCGGAGCCCGATGAAAGCAGGATCGGATGCCATATACTTCCCATGAAAAAGCTCAAACGGGACCGGGAACTCGACAATTCTCGGTTTTGGATGTGCCAACTAAGGATGGAGGTCGTTCATGGTTGTGCTGACAACCACCGATCCAAGTGAGGCATTCATTCAAGAGCTGGAATCGAATGGCGTAGCTCTGCGACATGAAGGAGCCGCCCGTATATTGCAAGTCCTGCCCAGGTGCCTTGTATATGAGAAGAGCTGGACTTCACGTTGAGCCTCGAGATTGACAAGTCGGTAGATGAGCTATTATTCATCCACTTGGCACACAACCTTGCCAATACCGAGCGATTCGGGCATGTAGGGCATAGTAACCGACCGCGTTGATGTCAATCTTCGCTGCCGTAAGACCTGTCGAGGTAATCTGGCAACTTCTGTGCCGTAGAGAGCGTAGCCAGATAAACAGCCACGGTCTACGATATACGACTCCGCGACTGAGGCTAATCGAGTGTCTGCCACGACCCTCTACAATGGGACATGTGACCCACGCATCCGGGAAGTCAATCCACGGCTTTTGCCTTCGGCCGAACACGGATCGTTCATAAGACTAGGCCAGGCGATCGTTTCTAGTGGACATGCTCCAAGAAAGCCTTCCCCTAAAATCACAAACTCATTCCCAAGTTTGCTGAGAGAGTTGCAGCTTATCCTCAAGGGAAAAGATGTGCCTGACTTGAGAGCGGTCACTCACGGCTTCGTGGCATCAAGAGACCTCGGCTGAGTAGGGGTAGGAGCTGTGGGCCCTACGGAATCAAGTTAGCGGCCGGTTATCAACAGGACCCTCCGTCTGCCATCTTCGTGTGTGCAAGGCCTCTCTTTTGATCTCACGGCTAGTGTGGTTCACGCTATACCAATGGACGCCTGTCGTTGAAGTCAGCGACATGATTGCTAAGCGGGGACAACCATCATTATGGGTGTCCCACTTGTATACGTTACTCGGATTACTCGGACGACTTCGACGCTCGCATTCTTCCGTGCAAGGATAGACCGCCAGTCCGGACCGCCTTTCAACCTAGAGATCGGGGGATGCTCGACTGCATCGGTAATCTCCCAAGGCTGTAGATCTGACTTCATATCACTGGGAGCAAGATTTGACTTCCATCATGGGTGTCCGCATAGCTGTCCGTGCACCGTTGGATTGTGGACTATCTGGAGGTTCCTATTACACCACAGCTATTCGGATGTGCGCTGCAGAGCACCCCTTTATTCGACGCCGTCTCTCGCTACTTGCTTCGGATGAAGGCATGAGTTGGAACCGACAGGGTCGGTCAGTCTCCTCGGCTATCCTAGCTCAGGGTCAGTTTCTAGACGACGTATATACGTATGACACGCCATTGTGACACCCTTTAGGGTGTTTCTTCGTCTTCGACCCCTCGATAGCTAGGATGACAACAAGCCCTGCGATGCTCTCCAGATATCACGTCGTCATCTGAAGACCCCAGCAGACGTTTCTCATTCCTTGTGGACATGGCAATATCTCGTCAACTCATTCCGTTTCATACTAGGCATAGTCGCTGGCCCATTTTCCCCGGGGTGACGAATACAGTTGCAGCTCGGTATTCGCCGTACAAGTATCTCCCTTGTACTGTCCTTCGAGGGGAGTGTACACATGTCTAACTACGATGATTATGTACCTGCTCGCGCAGATCGCATAGAGGTTCGGTGTAATGCTCTGGTATCGACTGAGGTTGTGTCGCATTTTCGTCGTGTTGCGCTCGTCTCGTCGATACACTCTTCCGGCCGGGTTCTGCTTCGACACGAGACTGCCTGCGTTCCTTACTGTCGGAGGAGTCAGGATGTCTGCTACACCGTTACCGCTGGCTGCTAGACAAGTCATTCCTTCTCTTGGGATGGCGTACGGCTATATCCTCGCCCCGCCTGGACGAGCTTCCGAATATTGTCCATGCTAGACACTCGCACGTCGAGCGCAGTATCCCGAACACCCATTGCTTCCGTAGTCCTTCTACGACTGCCACCATTTGTACATCCCGGATGTGGCACCTTGCCATGCACCACCGCGTCTGGATTACCGTAAGAATAGGCTTTTGGGCTGTAGACCGCAGCATCCATACAGCGAATTGTGCTTGTAATGCCTTCGCCCCAGGGCCACTCGTAAGGGTACCCGTTATATTCTCGCTGGTGTGTGCAGTTTGTCCCCGCCGTTGCGTGTTGTCGGCGTTTGGTAACGAAGGTCCGGGCCCTGAAGATTGCTCGTTGTACATTCTCGGCCAAGCCGCAAATTGTTTGAGCCCAGTGCGCGTATGCTCGCATCCTCTTATCGGCCGTTGTGGTTTGTCGGCCGGTGTGGATCGTTGTGTGTATGCTCTGCTATGGCCGGCGGGGCCCCGATGGCTGCGGGGATAGTCCATGATGCTCCCAGAGCCGTCTTGTGGTGTAGCGCCTGCGAACTGCTCATCGGCAAAGGTTGGAACACATGGGCTTCCCCTTGAGGTGTTTGGTGGTGGTGTAGAAGCTGTGCGTAGCTCGGCGTGGCTGTCTCGCTGCGGGGTGCCTCGTTGTCGTCGCGGGTTCTACGGCGATGTCAGACATGTTGACGAGGCTCGTCATAATCACTGCGCCGAACTTGCTATCAGTATTGGCCATCCATGTCTGCCAGGCGGTGCTATTGCGTTGCATGGCAGGGTGAATCGTAGTTGATGGGGCTGAGGTACGTCGGCCACGCAAAATCGAACAGATATGGGCCGTGAACCTCGAAGAAGCAATGCACACCTTATGATCCAGACGAGGAGGGTTCAATCGAATTTGCATGAATAGCAGCTGAGGCTCCTTACCACGAAAAGATAGTTGGCCAATTAGCCGGCGATGCAGGAGTCTTCCCCCGCGGGTATCCTCGCCTTCGGGGGGTGTAGCATACATGCGAACACCAAACGATTGCACGGGGCCGCATAGTTGTGTAGATGCATACCAGTGCGTTCATTCCTTTATGGCCGTGGTACTGGGCTTGCGACGTCTGGAGACTCGTGTGAGGAGGTTGCAGTTTGCGAGTCCGCACGTTGCTGCAACCAAGACCCAAGTACTTGCAAACAGACCTAAGATACCTTGAGGGTATTGTCAACAGAGGCTCCATCACGCTCGATACAGAGGGATATTCTTCGTGGTAGGCATCGCTGTTCATCAAGCAGATTTGGTACATGCACCAACACCGGGAGATTGATAGGCTTTGCAAAAGGAGATGGACGCCAACATGTGCAAGCGGTGAGAGCGAGTATACGGAGGCGGATGGCGTGCCACGTCGATCACCCATGTTTACACAATCCTGCTGTCATGGTGAAGCAGCCCCACGGATGTGCCCGCTTGTGACGCCCACACAGATGATTTCGCCAACACCAAGCTGGATCATACCGAAGTCAGATCTATATTGCCTATATATTCTTTATTATTCTACAGGCTATCACCGCTCGATGAACCGAGGTGGCCAGACTCGGGGAGGGCAGGTCTAGTGGACAATGCTAACATCTTTACCAGGGCGGCAAAAAACATCGGTGGGTTCGACTCCCAGAGCGTCAGGGCTCCCAATACGTGGTCTCCTCTTTTTTTGCTCTTTTTTTGACCATTTTACATGGTAGCCGTCAGCACGAAACCTTATTGCAAGCGCGCACGTGAAGGTAATCAAGAACAAGCATCTAAGCCAAGTCCTCCAAATAAGAAATCTAAAATCCTGCGGATTAAGGGAGATTCCTTTGTCGCAATCTCTTGAGAATCGCGCGTAGAGCGGAGCGGAGCCAAGTCGTCAGAGATTGCCATTACAGATTTCTCAAAAACACCGGATTTCACTCCTAAGGCAGAACATCCGCCCTGAAAGGGAGATTCCTAGGTCAAGAAAGAAGCTGCGATGCGCCACCTCCTGGCCAGTCGTTGAGAATGTTTGCATTTCAGTATCCAAGTGCCTTCTGCGCCTGTTTCGCATACCTACCGTTCTTGGGCCCACATGACAACATAGACAGACAGGCAATGACTTCATTACCGTGTATCTACGCCCTCCAGATCTGGAAGAGGTTCGCTAGTGCTCAAAAGCCGAATCGATGCGCAAGAAAATGCGTTGCATATTGCTAAAGCCATGACTCGCATAGGAATCAATATTCCTATAAGGTTAAGAACCTTATGCTTCGCACGAAGTAGTTTGCGTTAGGAAACTAGCACGCTGTCCTATTCGTTGACTACACTCAGTTATCTTGTTCGCGGTGCATTCTATGTATCATGCACCACGACTACGAACTACGCTTCAAGCCTGAATATATGCGAGAGACTCGTTGCTGCCGCAGGTTGTCCTCGTACTCCTGTCCAGCTACTCAAAGATGCGCATTGCTATCTTGAGAGCTATTCAGGTCACTTGCGACGCATTTCTGGGAGTACCAACCGCCAACCAGTCCCACAGTCTACTTTCCCTGATGATAAAAACAATGATGGCTCGGCTATTTACTCAGCGTCGCAAGAGTTAAGGAATGTATGAAATGGCGAGTGTTCAATATTCACAAGCCTGAACGCGGCACGCATTCAGGATGAGGAGACGATACGAAATACCATCTCTCAAATGTCAACAGCGTACAAGAGCAGTCGCGGTGATCTTCCAGCATTCGCCTAACAAGGCAATGGTAAAACACATTGCTGCAATAGCGTAAGAGGAGCATCAAATCTAAGGCGCCGCGCATGGCGAATCACGGTTTGCAGTTTCGCGAGGCAGGTCATCATTAAGAGCTGCACATTAAGAGCTGCAGCTGCAGTTGAGTGGAGATGACAATGCGCCAGACAACAGGACTATGTGGTCTTATGAAGGATGAAAGAAGAGCAATCACCAACGCCACCTCGCCTAACCTCCGCTTGGCCCGAATAACCACACGCTCCCCACGCAACTCTCACCGTCCCTGAATACATAATCTTCACAATTTTCAAATACTTCGCCGAGTACCTGTTTAAGGCAAAGGAAGTCCGAACCGCGTGGCAGCGTGGCTAGGCCTGTTGTATTTGTACTTTTTTTTTGTTCTCCAGCAGGTTACGAGTTCGAGGCTGGAAGCGCCCAGCAAGGATATTCGCTACGCTCCCGGGCATAAAGTGGTCGTTAATCTTTGGTGCTCTAGCCTGTCTGCAGGCTGTGCTCAAGATGCACTGTTTATTATGAAAAGCGCTGTGTGGGCGGTTGAGCTCAATTTAGTTTGCAGGTGCCAGGCCCTTTGTGTGACCTTTTTTCAACTCTACGCATATTGACGTGGATCCGACGATTGGCGCCAGGATCGAACGCCTTTAACACCAACCGCCCTGCTAAGCCGTCGGAAGTATCACACTAGGATTTTATCCGAAATCCAAAGCATGTACATCATGTGGAGGTCGCCCTCTTAGTCTTCACGCCCGGCTTCCTTCATGGCTTCTCTAGCTACGTTAATCACTCTGGTAGTACCTACGCCCGGAGTCCTTCAATGGCAAATCCTTGGCTTACTCCAGTCTTGAGGGTACCATGCGTGTCTTCTAGGCTACCTATAGGTAAGTTCAAGGGTAGGGTAATAAGCTCTTTTGGAGGCTCCAGCTACATTTAGAATCACGTATGCACGTATTCTAGGTCAGGTGGGCGACGGTAAGCTTGTTTGACTTGACTCCGAAAAGGGTTGTTTATACAGTCTAAAGTTATGCTTCCTCCTAGGAAGAATCGACTCCAGGTATACACACCGCGCACACTTTACCAGCGGCCTCACTCCTCACCAGGGAAGAGACTGACTGATCCAGCCATCGCTGCTCGGATCGCAGAGGTCTCATCGAGGGCAAGGTTGTGGAGCTGGAACCACCCCTCCATCCCATCCTCTATCCCGCCCACGCTGTACTCCACAGCGTCGTGGAAGCTCTCCTTTCTCGCCTGCTCCGCTTCGCTCAGCTGCACGCCTCGTCCGGACATGACCTTCTTCAGGTATGCACCTAGTATCCAAACCTCGAGTTTTTCGCGGATCCGTGTCCACGTGAGGAGCTTTTGGGCCTTAACCCGGAGGGCGATGAACGCGTTCTCGGCGTTCACGTCAGCGTTTCGCTAGATGTAGTCAGCATTGCTTCATCCTCGAACAGACAGTTCGCACAGGGTTCTGGGCTGCATACCGCGACCTCGTGCCAATCGGCCACCTCCTGCTCATGAGCTTCTCGGTCCTCGGCTACGCGGACGAGCCAATTCAGCATCTCCTGGGCCCGAAGCTTGGTTCTCATACAATCATCGATGTAGCGCTGGGTCGCGCAGGTTTCCCTCACAGAGGTGAGCTCGTCGGCTCGCACCTGACCATGTAGCTGCTCCCAGGCTTGGAGACTTGACTCCGCGTAGTGCGCCATGTACAGGTTGGCGGCATGCTCGATCAATGGCCGGCTGGTATCGGTACTCATTATGAGCAGCTTGCGGTGGAATAGTGCGGGCGAGGATGGAGGATTCGTGGAGTGCGTCTGCGAATGGATTACTACGAGGATCAATATCGCCACGGAGGTGAGTATTATTCTGGATTGACTTACAAGAGGATTCTAGAGAGTCTTGCCAGAGGGCTGCTGCTGTTCTCAGAGGAAATCAAGAAGTGGTGATGTGGTTGCGTTGTTGTTTTGGGATTGAGTCGGAGCGGCAATGGGGAAAAGTTTAGCCAATTTCACAATCATAAACACGACAATGTCCGACCAGCACGTACGCGACGATTCACCTCGAGGCCACCAGAACATCAAGCACTCCCAGATCTGAGAGAAAGGATCCCATTAACTACCGCAAGCTTTACGTCGACTTTGGGCGACTAATCTACTCTATGGCACACGCAATCTGTCAAGACGTCCGTGAAGCCCAGACAAGCCTCGACGGAGTATGCCAAACACATCAAACCCCCGCTTCTACCTCCCAAACGCCACGCGCTCTTCGGATCTCGTTATTATTTGCACCGAATCAAGGTCATTCCCAGTCTGCTCAGGTTCATGAGCTTATCATTCTCTCTCTCGGTCAGCTGCAGCCGTCTTGGTAGCTGGACTACATTCTAATAGACGCCTTCCCATTGTCGTCAACCTAATAAAGTGGACGCACTGACCCCTTTGTCGCCTACAGATGTTCCGCCGCTAGTCCCTCCTTCTGCTTCTCGCAACGCCATCTAATAAACCTCTACTTTCTCACTTTGGTTCCTGCTGCTACTACTACTGCTACTGCTATCACTACTACAGCTTCTAGATACCCATTCTCCTCTTCTCGGGGGCCGCCCCCCTGCTCTCCACACTCTCCGCATCTCCTCCGCCACCACCATAGCCAAGATCTCCGACGCCGACGCCGACACCGACTTCTCCGCCGGGGCCATGGCGCACGCTGAGGACAGGCTCTAAATGGGGCGGATCGAACAGATCCAGGGGCTCACGTGGAGCACAAGGTCAGCAAGGATCAGTCGGAGGGTTGTTGATGTTTGAAGGGAGGCGCTGGTCAGCGTTTGTAATTCCAGTATCAGTCCGTCAATCCCGGACTACTTCGAGACCCAGGAGATGTGATGGATCGCCTGGCCTGCGCGTCTGGCTGTCCTCCACGGCCTGCGCGCGGCTAAGGAGCTGGAGTATGGGACTTGATGTCTCTCCAATGACATCGGCTTCCGCGTAAGTTCCTTTTGCTGCTACAACTCGTCTACTCATACTAGATGCAATCAGGGATGGATGCTAACTAACTCCTGGTCGCCATGCTGGTTGCCCTGTTCTCGTTCGGGTCGACAGCCGTGTGTAACGGCGTGGTGGTCGTTAGAGATGGGGAAGGACTCGTTCTGCTTTCGGGTCTGGGTGCTTGCTGCGGGTGCGCCCCAGGCTGTTCCCGCTGTGCAAGCATGCGTGAAGGTGCGTTGGTAGATGAAGAAATATGGGATAGAGCAAAATTTGCCAAGGTTTATTACAATGTGCTATTCGTCTTGTGGTGCGTCTTTTCTCGCGAACTAGTGAAGCTCGCCATGATGCGTAATTGGCTTTGTGCTTGTCTATATGAAAATATCGTGTATTGGCTACAATGTTTTCTAGGAAAACTGAGTGTCTTGATCATAATGCAAGAGAGAAGAAAAGAGTTGTAAAGCTCGGAAACTCTGCAAATTCTAACGCAAGACGTTTCCACTCTCTTCAGGGGATGCTTGATGCAGGTTCATAACATTTACCTACAACTACGAAGTGATCGGCAACGCACTTTGACCTCTGACAATGATGTCAAGATAAGGTTCCAACTAACGGTCGTCTTTATTGGAAGCGAAATCTGTCGTGCATGCCGCGGGCAGATCTTGAGCGGTGGGGATAGGGAGCGCCTCGGCTCGTCGGGCTTAATTTCCGGGCGAGACCAAACCGCTTCCTCGTTAGCTCGTCTCCTTTAGGAGACCCTCACACCACTACACAGGATTTCCTCCAGACGTCGCAACCTTAATTCAACTACCAAAGCGATGGGCCGAAAGCGGGCCAATACATAAGCAGCGATGGTGCCCACTGGACATGACATTTGCTACAGTGCAACGTTCGTTGGGTTTTCCAAGGCGTGTCGCGAGCCTGCAGAATTCGACAGGCACTCCACCTACCCAGGTGATACTGAGAGCCGAGATCGGCCAACAATTCACACTCCGTCTTTACAATCACTATCGATCGTTACCCATGGCACTAGCCGTACCAGGACCCGAACTTTGCTTCTAGACTACTGAACGACTATCTTCAAAGGGAAACAAGTGGCCGGGGTGGCTAGAGGGAAAGAGGAATTAAGAGATGATAGCACTGCTTGAAAATAGAGGCAAGAGACAAAACTGAAAGAATGAACGATATGGTCGAATGTGGCTACATAACACGACGTGGAAGTATTCTTGACGCTAGGCTATGGCCCTGATCCTCCTCTTCCTTGGATGTACTCTCGACTTTCATTGCCAACGCAACCAAGCCGATGTTGCAGGTTCACTTAGCCAAGGTGGACACACCGATGCTTCCCCTTGGAGTTCCATCTCTCACGTCGAAGCACTAGAGATCAGAGAAATTGAGGAACCCATCGAAAATTACGACCAAATCTGGACAACCGAAGAACAACAGGAACTTACGATGCTTCATCATGGCCTGGAACCTTAATCATCCGCCCAGCTGTGCGCCACAGAAAGAGATATATGGGTATAGACTTGGACACAAGTTTGTTAATAGGAGGGTTGGTGGGCAGCCAGATCAAGAAACATCAAAGAGGGAAACTTTTCAAGAAGCATCTACGCCTCAAGGCCACCTTTTGAGCCATGGATAGTCTACGGGTGTGTAAGAGAAGACCTATCGACTACGAAAAGCGATATATATCCCCAACACCGACTCTACGCTTGCACAACGCCCTCATTGGACATCGAAGCTCCAAGCCGACATTACGAGAAGATGACAAAAGGGCGTACTTTCCGAGGAAAAACCAGTATCACGAGCCTTGTAGAACGTCAGCAGAAGCGGGTGCTCTTGGAATTTGCAAGACATGGAATGGTAAGCGCTATGCCTGCCCTTGCGCGCAAAACGATCCGGCAATATCGTGTTGTTTAAGGATGCAAGGCCTACCAGACTTGGTCAGGTATTGTGGATACGGGAAATTGCGTCAGACTCTATCCACTATTTGCAGAGCGCAACTGCGTTTGTGTTTGGACAAGGACGAGAACACGAACAAGGTAAACTGAAGAACTTATTATTGAACTGACACATGTGATAGCGACCATGACAGGAAGAGCACGATCCCGGTACCCGAGCAATTATAAAGACACCCATGTAATTCTACACCATCACGCCATCACGCTAAGACTGAGAATCCCTATTCGAGATTGGTCGGGAAGTGGATCCGTAGCGCCATACCACATCCATAGTGCTAACCGGTCCGGCCCACAATCTAGCATGCATTTGCCCAGCTAGCTCGAGCACACCTTAGACTATCGGAAACCCTGGCGCAGTAAAGCATCCTCTTCGGCCTTATTTTCTACCCCTGCTCACATATTGCCTTTCCAGTATTCGTCCAAAGTGGTGCGCGGCGCCGCACTTACCGCGAAATTTTGTCACGCTTAACTTGATGGGCTTGGGTGTACTGGCTTGACGCAATAGCATCCGCTGCGGGTAGTGGAGCCTCACTTATGGTTGTTTGTTGAGCCTGCCTAGATCTCTGAAGTGCCGGGCTCAACAGCACTAGGTGGTCCGGAGCTAGCTTTAGCTCGAACCACAGAAATCCGTCCTGCGCCTCCTCTAGCCTGCCCTTGGATGCTTGCTGGCCGTTTCCCTTTCTCGGCTAGGACCGAGGCAACTTTTCTGTCCTGCATAGCTGGTTTAGCTGTATTGTGAAAGGCTTTCGCTGTTGTGCGACCTTCAGCGCGTGCTCCGTCTGCCGCTACCCGTTCTACTTCTGTATGCTTACGCGGTAGCGCGCGTTGTGGACGTATAGCAGGGGTTGGTGTTGGAAATGCTGTGGGTGAAGCAGTCATTATAGCCTGCACTCGAGAAGAAGATGACGTTACGGCACGTTGAATTTTCAGCGCGGGCGTTGATGGTACATGGTTAGTAGTTGCCATCTTCGCCAGCCACTCTTCATGCTGTCGATCTCGTTCTGCTAGCTTCTGTTCATACTCATGGGCTCGGATTGTGCAGTGAGCCTTCATAGGCGGATCAGGGCTGTTCTCCTCTGCGAGGCCCTTCCAGACACGGATCATACTCCTGAGGCTTCCAACATCTAGCTCTGACTCTTCGATGTCACGCTTGGCTCGTTGTTCGCGCAGGTGTTGAATCTGTTGACGCGCTTTGGTTGTCATCACAGCCTTCTCTTCAGGGGTTGTTAGCTTGACAGGTGTTCTACGCTTCGATGTTGGTGGAGCATCTGAATCGGTATAGTGTTGAGACGGTTCGGCGTCGTAGGCGGCTTTCAGGGAAGGGTCCATCAGTACATCGTACGCTTGTTGGATGTCTCTGAATGCAGCAGCATGAGAGATGCGCTCTAAAGACGTGCGATGTAGGTTCTTGTCAGGATGGTAGAGAAGTACAAGGGCTTTGTAGGCGGCGCGTATTACTTCGAGGGGTGCGTTTGGAGCCAGTCCAAGGGCGCTGTAGTGGGTTTGCATGTTCGATCTCGTCGGGGATGCTTCGTGAAGCTCTACTGGGCAGGAATGTCGTTTGAATGGTCATTTTAAAGCAGAGAGAGGTGTTTTGGATGTGTCTAGGAGCGTTTGGTAAGTTGCACGATGTTCCTCATCGACTCACCGTTGCGTAGCGCCACGATCTCTATCAAGACAGTCATGGTGAGATGTCTCGGGCGTTAGAACAAGGTCTTGGAGCGTCTGGGAAGACGTCGGAAGAGAATTTACGATAGATCTGGCTCGGTCGATTGGTGATGAGGTGAGAAAGGGGTTGAGGGTGGTCGTTCTGGGCCTTGAGAGTTTTGGACGCCCATGGTATGCATGGTGACAATGGAGCATCTAGGCTGCTAATTCCAAAGGCGCAACTTGGTTCTGACACAGATTTCATGTCGTGGGATGTTGGGCACGCGAGCAGAGGGTCGAGGCACCGTCCTGGTTGATGTAAGTGGAGTTTCAAGCGATGCATGGGGGGCGCGGCCTTAGGTAAAAGCGTGGAGGTGGACACGGGCTTGTGGGCAAGATGGCGCAATCGAACTACGATCGCCAACTTCAGCGCTGAGAAAGAGACTTTTAGCATGGGGTGTGGCACATACCTAGTGTGGGCTGCGTGACATTTGTGTCCTTCTTATAGGGTAGCACATCATCGCTCAGGCGCGCAAGAACGTCAGTTTTCCACACCCCCCAGCTCGACTGTACACCCGGCCCCATAGTCAACCACGAACCGTTCGCAACGTACAACCCTACTTCTTCGCAACCCAGACCCGGGCGACGACCACGACCCGAATTATCCACCCCCTCTTCCTCTCTGTCTACCAAGCTGGCTGAATGCGTATTGCCGATGGAGAGTAATGTCGGAAACTTATCGCCAGCAAGCTTTTGGACGGCCGACCTTCATCGACGCGTCTGCGAGTGGGAGTTCGTCTGGACGTGACCACTTCGATATCCTCGACGCCGCCAATCTCTACCACGACCAGCACGACTATCCAGGCCATCGTGTGCAACCGCTGCACATAGCAGTGCAGGATGGCTACCCACCAGGCCACCAGTTTGCCTATCCGTCGCACAGCAGCGGCGTGTCGCTCCCAGGTAAGCGCACCCCCCTCTATTTGAACTCTTTTCCATCCGGGAGAAGCGGTCGGCTCCATGTCGCATTCGATTCCATGTACCATCTCATCATCCTGTCCGGTTCCCTGGTGCGTCGTCGCCATTCCCGCTGCGCTGCCCTGCCGCATTGGGATGACGCTCGTTGGCCCGCAAAGCACGCAATCGTCACGTGACGAACCCTGCATCCGCTCCCATAGGCCTCCTCCTACCTAGGTAGGTGCCTGTGCAACGATGCACAGGCGCTTACGGGGTACTGCCGCAACTATCGGTCAAATACAACGCACAGCGACCTCTCAGCCGCCATTCTGTTTCTATTGCTTTTTCCAGTTTCCTCGTGAAATGGTCCCGGCTAACACATGCCTCGAGGCCTGCAATACACCTCGCCAACCATGGCCGGACACATTCCCCAGCCCTACGAGCACGAGAGTGCAATCCAAGTTCTAGAGGAACTCCAGGGCTTCTCTCCCATCACCCCAAACCCCTACGGCATCAGCGCCTACCGCACGCCATACGCCGACAGCAACGCCACATCCACTTCTTCCGCCACGTCTCCTGACCCCGCCAATGCCGGCGTCATTACAGATGCTGTCATCGTCGAGGCGGACGAGGACAAGCGGAAGCGCAACCAAGCCGCCTCTGCGCGCTTTCGCCAGAAGAAGAAGCAGCGCGAGCAGCAACTCATGGAGTCGAGCCGCGACATGCAGGAGCGGACCAGGAAACTGGAAGCTGAAAATGAGGGGCTGAAGAAGGAGAATCTGTTTTTGAAGAAGCTGCTTGTTGAAAAGGTCGATCACATGAGCGACGAGGACCGCGAGATGCTGAAGAAGGCCACCGAAGGCACGCTGAACGGGAAGAGGAAATGAAAGCTAATGAGGCTTCACGAACTGTGTCTTTGATTTTTCCGACGATGGCTAATGACGGGGTCACCGGAGCTGGGGAGTGATTGTTGCAAGATACACCGGGTGCGACGGCGTTAAAGCGTTAATGTTGTTTTTGATCATGTCAAGGAGTGATGTTTTTCCTAATTCTGCGCAGTTTGGATGATTTAGGCTCGAATTGAGTCCCTATCAAGGGTTTTCGATGACCCCACTAGGATTGAGTTTAGAGTTGATTATACCCACAAGCGACACCTCCTTTAGATGCCCTCTAGATGAAGTATACCCAATGCGACCACGACGATTTAGTGCGCTCCGAGATTATGTCTTCCAGACGTGCTATTTTAAACATTTTCTCATACTTGTGGATATATTTCATCAATTTGATTAAACCTTTTGGAAGGAGTTGAGGCTCATGGACGTGGCTCACTGGCGCTTTCCTTTTTTGACCGCGGGATGAGTCGGCGAGGCTGCCCGACACCCCATTCCGGCATAGACTCAATCTACTTACCACAGCTCAATTCGGCATGCCATATCAACTATATATGCTATATTCAGCTGCAAACCTCGCTATGTCACCACCGCGAATAGACGAAGATTCAGAAGGTACCGCAAATGATAAGCGTATGTGCTCTTCGGTCTCAAATCATCCTACCTGATGTTAGGTGTAGTACGGGGCGGGGACGTTAAGGTATGAGTTGTAACATCTGCATGTCCAGTACGAGATAATGGTGAAAGCACCGACATACCTTTGGCTAGCATATGGTTCGTTCCTAGTGCCATCACATTGAAGTCTCTAGGCAATTTCCTTTTCTACTACTAACGACACTCTTGTTTTCCTGCTATGCTCCTTCTTTTATATGCTCGTCATGCTTTTCGTCTCCCGGTCTTTCTGGTAATTGCCAATACCGGGTTGTGTAGACGTCTTTTTCAAGCCGGTGTTTGAGAATCAGCAAGACAACAGTGCAGAGAGCGCGCATCCAGCGGTAAGAATCAAGGACGAGGAGGATCACATTGGCGTAAGCAAGTTTATCTACTCTTTGGGCGTCAAAACTGTCGTTCAATTAGACTTCGATGTTAATGCATGAGGTTGGTTACAATGACTAGTTGAGCTCCTCGCACTCAGGAAGCCACAAAGGATGCAGCATTACGCCTTCGCTTTCGCCAAGAACATACAAGCTCCATTCAAAATTCACCCCCGACTTGCGGATAAGGATCTGTGTTTCGATATTTCTGAAACGCAAAGTGACATTTTTCTCCTGAATTCTACCTAGTCTCACCTAGATGAAAGCAGCCCTTTCGCGGGCGCATGTATCGCTTCCGCCGCATAAGCAATCAGGGAGACGACCTCCAATATCTCATCGAGAATATTAACTTTCGATAGCTCAATAGACAACACCGGAGCGTAGGGACTTTTGATAAGATTTTTTTTGGCAAAGCACCGTACACGGGGTAGACCCTGTATGCCATGTGTATGCCATGGACTCCCAGAGTAGCGTCCCTCTGTTAATAATCGGTCCCCGTCTGATATTAAGTCTGCCTTTGCTAGTTAATTTAAAATAGAACCGTTTCAGCCCTCTCTGCCTCGCGCCTTAGCCGCAATGCTGGGGCCTTTAGAGATGACCATCGCTTTCCTCCGCCTGTGGAAAATTCACGACCTAAGTTCACGTCCGCCATGATCACAAAATCACAGTATCAGTAGTGCATACAGCTTTTATGTTCTGCTGCAAAACCTCTCTCCAGCTCTTCGGTGTAGTTGATTGTTCCAACTTGCACGTTAGAGGCCTATACACTACCTCGCTAACCCATGTATCTCATGCATAGGATATTGGGACGCACCCCAGCATCAACGCTCGCAATAGGTCCCATAACCAGTTAAAATATGCTGATCTTGCGGTATCCAGACTTTGCTCCTGACAGGGGTTCATTTCACGCCTTATAGTCTGCATCGCAGTTTTTCTATCTTGTTTACTTATCCAGGTCCCAATATACATCTTCTTTACAATATCTCTTCTCCCAAATTTTGCTTTGTTTTTTGAGTTATAATTTACAGAAAAGAGTCCACATGGAAGTGTCACCTAAATATCCTTTACAGCCCACATACGAGCACTCAATACTCCCCGAAGCCGTCTACCAAGAAGACCCACCCCGTAACGCCGCGCAAATCCCGAAGGAACCATACTATTCTACCTGGCCACAAGAACCAGCAGAAAGACGTACTTGGTGGACGCGCTGGCCGTGGCTCTTCATCATCGGTATCCTGACCGCAGTCCTCGCCGGCTTAGTAGGAGGTTTCATTGGCAAGTCAATAGAAGGAAACAGACATAACAGCGCAGTACCCAACGCTCAGGCAAGCGCATGTCCCTCAACGACCGCCTCTAGTCCAACTTCAACTACAAGTCCAAGCGCCAACTCCCAAATCGTCATCCCGAAAACAGGCTGTCCAGACGCCACAGGCCGCACATTCCAATCCTCCTTCTCAAACGCAACCTTCAAGCACTTCTGCAACGTGGACTGGACTGGAAACGACATCGCTTCTGTGTATGCTACTACCATATCCGACTGCGTCAAGACATGTAGTACTGTGAATCAGTATGGGCGCATCAATAAGACGTGCATTGGGGCTACTTTTGTCCCCGCTTGGGCGAATAGGACACAGGCGATGCAGAGTGTCGATCGCCCGAGTAACTGTTTTATGAAGTATGCGGCAGAGGGGTATCCTGGAAATAAGAGGCAAGAAGAAACTGTTGTGGTGTGTTTGGAGGGGAAGTGTCCGTGAAGTTGATGTGGGTGGGCTCGTGCGATAGGACTTCGGGTTCTACGTTATTGAGCGTAACTCCAAGATTCTGCGTGACTTGCGTGGCCTTTATGAGCTCCCAGAATTGCGGTGACATGGCAGAGAGAATGAACGAATTTGTGGGATCGGAGCTTTTGGGTATTCTAAACCGTCCTGGGATACTGCTTTTCTAGTTCTCCTACTCTTTTCACCATCTCAATCAGCTTCCGACCATTACAAGCGGTGACATGAAGGCGCTGAGTTTATGCACTCGTACGATGCTCTTGCGATTCGCACCAATGCTGACTTCACTGATACCGAACGTGCCCTGCTGTCCTTCCAAGCTTCCAATCCCACCTCGGCGGTGTTTATGCCTCAGATTCTTCACCACAGGAGGCAAGGAGTCTTCTATGTGGAAGAACAGATGCGGATCTGGATTAGGCCCTTCTCCCTCGTCACACACGATCGTGACCTTGGTGACGACTTTGAAGCCAAGCTGGGCTTTGTGCTGGGTGAGAAAATAGGCGATGGTCGCGCCAACTGGAGATCCTAAAACGCATGAGAAGCGAGATCAAGCTATTATTCAAAAGTTTACTTACCAAGGATAGCTTTCCCTTCATCTGTGTCAGTGCTGAATGCAATACCAGGCCACGGGCTAAGCTTCTTCTTTTTGTTTCTCAATGCTCTAGCAATGAGCTTGTTAGTATCTTCGTTCATGACCATGTTGACGCCATAGTAGCGGATGTTCTTGATGTTGGGGTTCTCGCGGTTCCAGAATCCCCAGAGCACGTCGGAGAGCGAGCGTAACTCTGGCAGCTCTGACCTCTCCGGCTTCCGCTTCCAATGGTCTGCGGCCTCATGCGCAGGGCTGGCAAGGACTTGACCGAAAATTGCTAGAGCAGATTGTCTTATTGTGTGAGTTTGATGGTAGGATAGAGGTAGGCTTACCGCCATCAATGCGGTTCATCGCAAAGCCATAGTGACCAACTGTAGCCTGTATTCACCGTCATCAATGTGGTGAGTTTAGGAGACGGAGAGGCAACTCACACGATACCTCTTCTCGCCAACTTTGTATGTCTGGTCCGCGGGTGGGACCATGCGATCATTATCATCCTTCAAGTTCGGTTGCCAATGCTCAATGCGATAACACTCGTTATGTCCTCCCTCTGAGACCGGATGCGGGTTCAAGCCGAGACCTCTGAACGTGGACTCGAGTTCCCAGAACCCATCATTGTCGAAGGAGCAGAGCATTTTGTTGCTCATGACGTCGTTCCATCCCCACTTCTTCAACTCAGCTAGTCAATACCATGAGCCATATTCACCGTCGACAGGAAGTGAGCGCGTGATAAGACTCACGCTTTAGGTCGCCCTGCCAAACGCTCGCTGCCGAAGGCGGATCTCGGACATCATTCAGCCATTCCCCTGCGAGCTTGTCCGAATTTCTCATGGCACACACGAGTGCCCCGCCCTTTAGCACAAATCTGTCCCATGTGACTTGGTCTGCGAGGATGTCGGGAGAGTAGTCCAAGGAATGAAGCGGCAAGGTGTTGTCGTGTACTGTCTTAGGCGGCGACTGAGAGAGATTGAAGGACCCAGGAACGGCGTTGAATTCCTCGCAAACAGACAGCGTTGTGAATCCCGCGACTACAGCGACTAGAGTAACTATCATGATGAAGGTGACTCGAGAAGAAAATTGAAAGGTGCAATAGATGGCCGAGGTTTTCAGTACGCAATTATAAAGGAAGAAACAGAGTTTTTGGCATGGGACCGAAGCAAAGTGAGGGTGAAGGCGAATGATGGAAGAGCTGCCAAGAAAATGAGCTAGATTCCCGAAGAGGGAGGAAGAGGCACATTGAAAGGAAGGCACGACTGAAGGTTGCCCTTTCAGATCGCACCAAGTAGAATATTCTAACCGTCTAATTCCAAGATTCACATCCAGCGTTTAATCCGCTCGTCTCTTTATAAGGATTTCCTCCAGACGCCTATACACTCGTCTACTCCTTCTCTTGGAGAAAGTTCACAACAGCTGTCATTTGTTAGTGCACATAGATTAGATAGCGAGAAAACATCGACGTACCCTTGATGAATTCCTCAGGTTTCTCGCTAATAACCCAATGACCCGAGTCAATATCCACCAGCTCAAACCTGGGAAAGAAGCGACCAATAATCGGCAGGGTCTCATCGCTCACATAAGGACTCTTCGTGCCCCGTATGAACAGCGCGCGTTTGCTAAAACGGACCTCGTCTGGATTGGTGAAGGGAAAGTCGGCCATATCATCGAGCGACCTGGCTAGTGTCTGTATGGGGATACGGAACTTGAGAGGAGCGGATGGTTCGGGCCTCCCGAGATTCGTGAGGAGGAACTGGCGGACCGGTAGATCTTTTGCATACGGCTCCAAGATCTTATCGGCTTCCTTCTGGCTCTTTGGCTTCGCTTGCTCGACGCGCTTCATGCCTTCGGCATACTTGGGGAAGTCGCTTGATAGGGCTGCGTCGACGGGTGCATTGTCTACGGGAATGATATTCGCGCAAGAGTCCGGATTTCTGAGTGCCAATGTCATGACTGTTTTTGCGCCCATAGAGTGCCCTATCAGCGTCGCATTCTTGAGATCGTGCTTTTTCAGGAAGGCTTCTACGTCGTCGGCAAGCGCCGTGTAGTTGTGGGTTGTGTCGTGCGGGGACTCGCCGTGGTTTCGGGTGTCGATTGCGTATACAGGCCGACTGAGGATGCGCGCGAAAGCACTGATTGGAGAATTAGCCTCAGTTGGGCTGAAACCCATGAATAGCATACTTTGCGACGCTCTGGTTGTTTCTCTTGCTGCCAAATAGCCCGTGAATTATCACAATCGGATCTCCCTTCGCATCCCCGTTGTGATCATGAAGCCGGTACGCGAGGTCGAGCGCCCTCCAGCTCGCAGATGCATGGAATGAGCGCGTCCATGCTGGCAGTGGTGTCGCGTTAGAAAGTTGTATCCGGGCCGTATGCTTTGGGTGTAGCAAGGGCGCGTAAACGGGGCGTAAGCTTCTCTGTAAAAAGCGCATTGTGAGAATTGAGGTTACTGAAGTTCGGGCATCGAAACTTTTTGTACTGCCAAGCCCCACGTCATTCCCATAACCTCAGGGCATCACCGCCAGAACTTGCGAGACACAATTAGTGAGGGGTACCTCATGTTGTTGTTGTTGTTGTCATCATCACGGAAATCATTTCACGATTGGTTCAGATGATAAGCGATAATAGTAATGAGGGACAAGCAATATATCAGGGCTGGATCGCTACACTAATCAGTACCATCCGTAACCACAACCTCAACCTGCAGTGACCAACAAATCTTTGTTATTTGGGTATCTCTATTGATATGCAACATGCCAGTTGACAAGTCGTACCAACTCGCCATCAATACTCGTGCAGGTATGCATAAGGAGAAGCATGTGTAAATGCTTTATTCTATTTACCGGGGTTGCATCGCCGGAAAATAGCGAGGGCCTGAATAGCCGTAGAACTGTACACTCTCGATATCGATGTTACCATCATGCTTTGGACTCCAGAACTTGAGTAGAACGTGCTTTCCAGAGCTGTGGGGTTCGTTAGCGAAGAAGGGAATTACAAGTCAAAAGCTGTAGCTTACATCGCTGGGTGAAACTTGATCGTTATTTTGTTCTTGTTCTTCGCAATGAAGAACCTTGCATGCGGCGAAATCAGGGTTTCGGCATCGGGTGCAGGCTCAGAAGGTTCTATTCGACTTGGTGCGCCCACGCGAGCCGCGCGAATGGGCTCTAGATAGCGCTCCCTCCGTTCCCGCCACTCGCCGTAAGTGGTATAGTCCAACGCAGGTGCTCGTCGCAGCGGGCTAAGACGAGGCATAATCTCATCTTCCTCGTCGTCGCTGTCCGGGCGCCACCGGCTCTCCCTTCGTAGCCGATCAGCCATAATAGCTGCGCTAGGCAGCTCCTCGTTGGAGTCCGACTCTTCTTCTTCGCTCGCAGTCGTCACTGTGAATGGAGGCGGAGTGGGTGCAGATACTCCGGCAGCGCCTGCATGCGAATCCTCCGCTGCGTGATCACAATTGTCAATATCTGCTTCATCTTCGTTCTCAACCATCTGGCGAAGGATTCTGCGTCGCTCAGAGTCAGAGCGTAAGGACGATATCAAGTTTGCCGATTCTGCATTCAACCTTTCGCTGCGGAGCCTGAGGTTTTCGATACGTTCCTGCATGTCTGCGTGGGTTCCTTGACGAGAGTGCTGCCATATCGCCGGATCTGCAATCGCTTCTCTTAGTGACAGCTGCTGATCGTCGTCGCCCTGGGAGGTGGGTGTAGGGGTCATGAACGGAGAATGGGTGCCGTATTGTAGGCTATAGGCTGATGTGCCAGAGAGAAGTTCATCTGCAGACATGGAGACAAATACAAGACCTTCTTGAACACTGATTTGAGGTTAGCAACGTGGGCAGATTGGAATGCGAACACATACGGAGCCGTAAAGCCACGGTCCGGTGCCCGAATAACGACCTTTTCTAGAGCAAAAGACGCTTCGCCGATATGTTTCAGTAGAAGATTGCACTGTGAGCTTTCACTGCAATATACGCTTTTGTCGTTCCTCAGCACGTTTTGAACCTTGTACAGCCCTGGTGGATTGTCTTTGCGATGTTCACCGCCATCACAGCTCACAATCTCCATCCTCAGGCGACCAGGCACAACTTGGCCTTTGTGACCATACTTGAAGCAGGTATACTCTGGAGTCGCATTCGGGTCATGCTCGAGCTTCCTTCGCTTATTCCTGCGCTCGCTACTGACTTCGACGGCAGGGCTGCGTCGACGGGCATTGGGATTTGAGAGGGCGAATGGGTTGTTGATCGGTATATCGCTTAGGGAATCGAGGAGATGGGTAGCAGCGTCCATGTCAGCAGCGCGCTGCTCTCGTACGCGGGCCTGGGAGCGGCGGAGGTAGCGTTCGCTGGGTGTGGCGCGGGGACGGTTGGGGTTCGCTGTAGGGGGCCGCCTCGACAGATTGTCTGCCGCTTCGCTGTCCCGTGGAGGCCCAAATATCCGGTGTAGTGGACCACGTCTGCTGATAGACGTACTCGTGCGCCTAGCCATGTGCCTGGGCACGGTGGCCGCATCATGTACGATAGCTGAAGTCTGGGCCATTGCTCGGCTCAGTGAATGTAGAGTATTCTCAGCAGCGCTAGTACCCTCTGGGTGCGAAGGAGATGTGGATGCATGAGGAAAGTCAAAGCTGCCCGTAGTGTAAGGGAAGTTCGCCGGCGGAGGTGAGGGCGAGGCGGGCGGTCTGGGCATTAGTGACGTCGGTGCCCGCTCCCATTGAGAGGGCGCGGCTTGGTACGAGGAGTGTGGAGGACCTGGGGGGTTTTGGCGATTTGAGAGAGGTGAACGGAAGTCTTTTGGGAAGAGAGTGAGTGAGCGAGTGAAGGATGTATGAGTATATGACGAGTCAGGCTGAGCTGAGGTGAGTGAGGGAGAGGTAGCCCAGCACAAGCAGCCCGGGGTCCGCGTGCTAGCCAGCCCCACGCCGCGGGGGACAGAGCCCGCACAAGCCAAACTCTATCTCTAGTGGCAGAGCCGCAAAGCTACCAAAGCCTAACTCGGTACCTAGGTAGCTACCTGGTATCCATCTACTATACATAGCAATCAACAACAAAACTACCATGGCGACGACCAATGGCACCATCCCCGCAGAGGATGCAGCTGGACAGACGGTCGCTGCCATTGCGGCGGCCGACACAATCTCGGCGGGTACGAGCGACCCAAGACACAAGCAGCCCCAGTTAGCTACTAACCGCCGCCTCCAGATGAGATCGCACTCTACGACCGCCAGATCCGGCTATGGGGTGTGCAAGCCCAAGAGAAGTAGGCTGCTATCATTATCCTACTCGGCCTGGGTGCAGTTACTCATGCACGTAGAATCCGCACCGCCAACATCCTCCTCGTTTCCATCAAGGCGCTCGCCAACGAAATCGCAAAGAACCTCGTCCTCGCAGGCATAGGCTCCATCACGCTGGCAGACCACGAAACCGTCACAGAAGCTGATCTCGGTGCACAATTCTTCCTTAGCGATGCCGACGTAGGCAAGAACCGCGCCGAAGCAGCAGCCCCCCAAGTCCAGAAGCTCAATCCCCGCGTCAAGGTCAACGTCCTCTCGACCGATGTACGCAACGAGCAAGACCTCAATTTCTACGCAAACTACGATGTGATCATCGCCACGGATATGGACTTCCTGTCCTTTAGCGCACTGAACGCCGGCGCACGAATCGCACGCAAGTCCTTCTACGCTGGCGCCTCGCACGGTCTATACGGGTACATCTTCGCCGACCTCGTCGAGCACAACTTTGTCATTGAGCGCGAGAAGAGCAACCGCGCGACGCAGACGGGGCCTGAGAGCGCAACCAGGAACGTGACGGGCGTTCAGGTCAAGAGGGAGAGCGGCAAGGTGGTCGAGTTGGTGAGCAAGCAAGAGCTGTACAGTCCGCTCATGCTGGCAAAAGACTCCCCCCTACCACCGGACATTGCAGGAAACACGAGGAGGCTGAAGAAAGTCCACCCACTGCTAACCTGCGTTCGCGCACTGTGGGAATACCAACGCAACGGCCATGGCATCTTCCCATCCCACACCCCTCAGGATCTGCAGCTCTTTACTACCCTCGCAAACGTCAAGCACAAGGAACTCCTGCTCCCGCCCGAGTCTCTCAAGGCAGACTTTCTCCGCAGTTTCTTGCAGAATCTGGGTAGCGAACTCGCGCCCGTTACGGCTTTTCTGGGCGGGCAGCTGGCACAAGATGTCATCAATGTGTTGGGCCAGAGGGAGCAGCCGATTCAGAACCTCATGCTGTTCGATGGAGAGGATAGTGCAGGGCCCGTGTACACGCTTCATCCGATTTTCCCGGGGACGAGTGTACCTATCATTCCGAGTGTACCGGTGGAGGCACCCATTTTGGTGGTTTAGAACGCTTCAACGGGTAGGTGGAGATTGCAGCTTGGTATGTATGTGGGGATTGGTGAGCAGGGACGGCAAAGTGGAAGTTGGGCGCATTTTAATAGATACCCACGATACTCATGCTTATTATAGCGAGACACGACTCAAATTCAAGTTCAACCTAACAAAACCCCGCGATGACTTCTTATTGCTTCTTCTTCCCCTTCTCCACAACCTTCTGCCCACCACCCACCTTCCCAAACAAAACCCAGCACAGACCCAGAAAAGCCACAAGCACGGTTCCTACAGTCCCAGCCTCCACCCACCCCGTCTTCGTTGTATCCAGAACGGGCACATCAATCCACTCCACTAACTGTCTCGTTCCATTCCCCTGCCCGCTCGGCTCAACATGCATGAACCGCGTCCTCGGTCCAAAAAGAGCCTCATACCCCAAATGCACGCGATCAAAGGGATTCGCAGCCATCTTCGCGCCCTCATCCGCTCTGCACGCCCAGAACACTACTGGCCAGGGGACAGGAACACGTGCGTGTGACGAGGGCGAGGCGGGGAGGTAGCGCAGGTGCAGGGGAATTGACACATTCCAGGACGCACTTGCGGTATCCTTCTGTTCGGTGGACGGAGGAGGGTGTGCTAGTTCGAATAGCGCCGCACTACCCCATTGATTGATGACCCAGTCGGGAGCTTCGAGGTCTGTCGCGCCGGCTATGCTGCGTAGACGCTTTAGGTTCTTGGATTGGAGGAATAAGGCATCGTTAAATTGGTATTTGTCAATGAAGAGGTACGAGGGTAGGGTGAGGTGTGTGTGGAGTTTGCAGCTTGGATTTGGCGGCGCGAGATGCTCCTTGGGTAATGAAAGGATGAGTGTTGGGTGCAGGCCGGTGGGTTGGGAGAAGGAAGTTGTGTAGGTTAAGGGATGGAGTTTGGGTGTTGCAGTTGTGCTTGAGGAGGATTGAATGAGTGGGTAGTGCCGTGTTGGCGTTTGGAAACGGGCTGGTTCTGGCGCCCTGTCAGTCGTGTCTACTTAAACATCAAAGGGATTGTACGTACTTGGTGCAGAGTCTTGTCCCAGGACAGTCAGGAATCCACCAAATTGAACATCTTCTGGGTCAGAGTTCGGCTCATGGCTTAGAACACCTATCTCTACCGTGGAGTCCTTCTTCGGTAGTTCAATATCTTCTGACCATCCTTCATTCCCTTGTGCATCGGGCCATGCAGCAGTCAGGACGACGGCGCGCGAGATGGTGTCGTAGTCAATATCCACATATGCCGCGGTGAGCAGCTGCTTAGTCAAATTTCCACAAACTTCATTTTCTACCTTGCAGAACTTCTGTTGGAAGTCGTCAATAACTTTGACAGGAGATTCCAGGTAGTCGAAGTACTGCGAGGAAGCGGACATGGAGAAGCGTTCCGAAAGAACAGGAAGTTTGATGGCTGACGCATTTGACGAACACTTCAGATCTGTACTCAAAAGGTCGTGAAGCTGAGAGCACAAGGCGTCTTCAGGGGTTGATTTCAGAGGTGTGAAGAATATGTGCAGCCCGGGAGAGACACGTGATGTAAAAGGTGGTGTTGCGGTGTAGGCGGTCGATGAGGCCCAGCGGATATGAAATTCGTGCCATTGCTGGAAGACTCTGCTGAGCTGTAGGAATGTTAGTTTCAACTTCTTTGTGTCTGAATCTCCTCTGGAGATGTTTACTTCTCTAGGCAGCTCATCTAGGCCGAGTGTGATACGGTGTTCTTTCGCAGCGTGAACACGCTGCAATGTAAATTTCGTGCCATCATCCTTCACTACCAGCTGCTCAGGCGTGAAGGCCTCTGGATTCTTCACAACATATGTTATTCGCTGTTTCATGTTTCAAGTTGTGAAAGTGAATGACTTGGGTGCTTGCCCTGTCATGTTCAGACGCTCCGTAACTACCATCCGTGCTAGCCAATTACGGCTAGACAATCCAGGCGTTCCTGAGCGAATGACGTCTGCAGTGCCAAGACCGTCTTCATTGTCCCGCGATCTGGACTCGTTGCCTTATTCTTAACACGTCTTTACACTGTGTCCTTTTGCGCCTGTCGCCACCTATGGACCTGAAATAACAGCACCTGCGAGTTATTGAATCCTCTCTCACACCTATACGACACCGCCGCCATGCATATCCTCAGCTTCCTTTATCCAGCGCTGCTGGCCGCCAGTGGCGCTGAAGCCCTCCGCTCAGGCTCCAAAGTCAAGCTCTCAAATGTTCAAAGCCTCACGCTGCGCAAGGGCCAAAGCACCTCACACAGGCGTGTCGATGCGATGCCTCAGGTTCGTCGTCTCCCATCATTGCACCACTACGCCACCAGCAAGGCGTCTATCATGCATGCTAACATTCCGAATAGTTGACATGCATCGGTGGCTCTGCGCGTGGCCTCTACGAAGTCGACGTTATGCGCTGCAAAAACTCCGGCTCCGACTACGACGAAGACTCCATCCAATGGACGTGTACCGCCTCGCTCCCCGAGGAATTCAAACTCGGCTCCACGGACGTCATCTGCGAAGGCTACGACTCCCCCAATGATCCATACATATTGAAGGGCAGCTGCGGTGTCGAGTACAAGCTAGTCTTGACGGATAAGGGCCGTGAGAAGTATGGCAAGGGCAAAGGAGGGGGATGGTGGGGTGGCGATGATGAGGGTGGCGAGCGAGGGGACGGACCGAAGACGATGGGTGAACGGGTCGCTGCTGCTGTATTCTGGTTGCTGTTCATTGGCGTTGCGCTTTGGATGGCGTACTCCGCATTCACAGGTTGGGCACAGCGCCGTGCCGACGGCGGTGGAGCAGGTGGCAATCGACCAGGCTGGGGCGGCGGCGGCGGCGGTGGTGGCGGTGGAGGATGGGGAGGAGGCAACAACGACGCCTATGATGACCCACCACCACCATACTACCCTTCAAATCCTGGCAAGCCACGATCTGGAGACGCTACAGAGGGCTGGAGGCCTGGTTTCTGGTCTGGTACATTGGGTGGTGCCGCCGCCGGATGGGCTGCGGGACGTATGGGTAACAGAGGGAATCAGACAGGTAGTGGCTACGGAAGCGGAAGTGGTTGGAATAACGGAGAAGGAAGCTCGAGGTCGTCGTCTGGGGATAGCTTTTCGAGCACGAGACATGAGAGCACTGGATTTGGGTCGACATCGCGTAGATAAAGCGTAGGGAAGGTTGCAGAGTTTCTATTTGGTTCAGAATGATACCCCTATTCATACTATTACTACATTTATCCACGGATACTAACCTATGGAGCCACCTGAAAAGCATGAAATTTAAAAGATGAAAATATAAGATCATCGTCGACTTGCACCTGAGTCAAATCACGGGCTCTTGCAAGTTTTTCATGACCTCGGACAGCCTGACAGTCACAAATTCCGTTTGCCTAATTCTGGTCTACAGCTTGGTCTACCCCAATAGTTCGTAGATAGCGTGCTGAAGGCATTCAAGCCTCACTTTGCTGACCCGCCCGCCACAGTATATCCTCATCTCCCACCTTCGTACATGTGAGATAACCGACATGATTCGCCTCGACATCAAGCATGAGCTCGTTCGCGGCCAGCTCCTCCACAATGCCACTGGCATGCTTCTTCAGCAAGGTCAAATCCTCACTCAGATTGTCCACTGCACTCGGCATGATTCTTTCCATCAAGCGTCTCATTTCCTCGTAGCTCATATACAGACTGCCTCCCTTGCGAATTTTCCGAAAGATAGCGCCGCGCCTCATACTTTTCTTTCGGTCGTTTTCGAGAGTGTTGAACTCCCTAGCGAGGATGTCGCGGAAGTTCTGCACAATGAACCAAGTGTCGAATTGACTCTTTTCCTGTGGTTGCACTGGTTTAGAGCGGACGTATATTGTGAGCAATAACAATTCCCTTTCTGCTTCCAAGCATAGTCTGTCCAGCGCCCTGCTCTTCGTCATGATAAGACGTCGAATCTCTCCAGGCACTACTGTCCGCTTTGTAGGCCAGGGCCAGCAGGGGTGTGCGCCTGCGAGGTGGATCAGGGCTTCGGTGTATATGCTGTCGTTTTGGAGGAGCATGGAGAGTAGAATCCAGCGAGCAGGGTCGGCTTTGATGGCGCTGAAGAGGGACTGGCGGTACGAGAAGAGGGCATTGCCAATATGCGAGGTGATGAGGTGTAGACATCCTAGGTTTTGCGCGATCTCGGCGAGCTGTTCGGATTGGGTGAGGGCGACGGCGATGGAGGCCGTGGAGATTGAGGGTGGAATGCTATAGAATGTTCCAAAGATTTGGCTGTAGATCGCCATGGTGGAGCTGTGATTCATCCCTGAGAGGACGTGGGTTGCATTTCTAGTCGTCCCTGATACTGGTATTGATGCCGGGCGCTCTTTAGTAGCCAAGATGGTATCGTCCGTCTCTTCGACCTTTACGGCGGTACCGAGATCTATACCACCATCATCTCGAGCTTCGATATCTGGCTGTTCGCCTGTGATTTGTTGACGCACAAGTCCAATCTTGCCTTCAACTTCCTCGATAGTGTACGAGAACCAGGTGGGACCGTCGTCTTCACTCCTACGTTCTTGCTGTAGGGATCGGGCGAACCAAGGAGAATGTCGAGCAAGAATAGCGCTATGGAGTCGCCACTGCTTTGGTGGATCAATAAAGCTCGACTTGACATGAACGTCACCGCCTTGAAAGATAGGGAACGCCTCTAGCGGAGCGTAATGCATTAGAGACGTGGATTCGGGGTATCGGAAGTCGTTGGCAACATAGGGCGAGATCTATTCTAACGTGAGAAATGCACGCAGACCAAGTCAGATACGTACCACCGTTCCATCATGTATGTTTGCAAATATCGTCTGTGGGGTTGCAAGACCTGTATGGGTCTTGCTTGCGTCAGTACATGGTGCAAGTTCAGGGTTCGTGGAATTCTTTAAAGTGCCTGATGATCGGCTCATCATTTGAGTTGCTCGATGCCGAAGTGACGAAGGATAGCTCTTCACACTATTCAATGATGCACTGGACCCTGTACATTTCGTCGACACGTTCGATAAGCTAGAAACTGTGGTCGACAGTGGACTAGGCGACATTACACTTGTTACTATCCCGCTAGTAGTTTTTGATTGTGTGCTAGCTGCGGTCTTTTCCGAAGCAGTTGAGCCTTCACGTTTGCGAGAGGTCGTCAGTGACTGAGAGCGGCTGCGCTTGCTCATGGCGGCAATTAGAAGGATGTTTGGGTGAAATTCATGTATTTCGCGGATACGTTTTTGACGAGAGTTGAGTACTGGATTGCCGTACCGTAAGTGCGTAAGTAAGATCAAGGTGGCAGGGGAGACATGGCGCAAGTAATTGGCAGCAGCTCAGAGTCAAAATACGGTAAAGGCTGTTGTGCTCAAGATTATCGCTAGCAGACGATGATTTTCGTGGTCTGTTAGCACTTGCGGTATGCGTCGGGTTCCGAATAGCGGGCAGCGAGTGAGAGACCCGATGAGTGCGACGGAGACATAGGACAGAGTGGTCAAAGAGAAAGGTATTGTTGGATAATGCATATCGGAGTACTCCTCGCTCAAAACATGCAGCCATATCGACGTGGCTGTGCTGTTTCGAAATCATGCAGAAGTTGAAACAACAAAAAAACTGAGACGCCGCCTTTGGGTCTTTGGGGCGAGGTTGATGAAACATGGAGCGAGTCTAGAAATTTCAAGATGAGTTGGCAATGAACATGCCTGCACAGAGAAGACAATGGGACACGCGGATTCCATTCAGCATATGGTCAACTTGAAATACGTTTAGGATGCGATAGGACAGCCGACTGAGAACGGAAGGCAACCGATGTGGTTTTCGGGGAGATGACGCCGGCTGAGATGACACCGCCTTGAGATGCGTGAGGCTTGTATGGGAATGCCATGTTACGGAACGCTTCGTGCCTATGTGAGCGGCCTCTATGAATAGTCGCTCGAACACAGGGCCTAATCAGTCCCATATTGTGAGTACCTGCGCATCGAAGATCACGCTACCGTCCGAACACGTGTGGGTGGTGGACTTTGCGAAAGTTGTTTGGTACAGACAAAGTCAGTCTTTGGGCTGTCTTGGATGCTTTGCGAGATGCATCGGTTGCCTGGGCCAACTAGATGGAGGGCCACGTGCCGCACGGTCACATTCTACCTCCAGGCGCTCAAGACGAATCCACCCACCGCGGACCAGACGCGAAGGCGCCGTTGTTGCACCGCCATCTCAGACAGGGACGCGATCGATGGGGGCACACCCTCCGCACGACTCATCTGGAGCATGCCTCCCGAAACTGGATGCAGCCAAGAACTCTGCAGTCTAGGATGGTATGGAGAAGAGCGAAGTCGGACATGTCGAGCCTATGCTGGGGTGGAATCAGGATGTTGATGGAGAAAAGTGGCGTCCGCGGGTGAGGGAGCGGGGATTAGACAGATGGCAAGGCAACGAGCAGGGTGGACATGCGTGGTGACAACAAGCGATACGGACAGCGTAGACAGGTCAAAAGGCCTAGAATGTGCTGCTACTGTAGGCAGCACGCAAGGTGTCATGGCGATAGCAGAGGGGAGGGGGGGCGCATAGTGAAGGGTCGGGACATGTGACGTCATTTGTCAGCCACCCTACCAGATTGGGCCTCGGCTCCCACCCGGGACGTCACACTGAGTTCCATGCCTGAAGGGGCTCCCGAAATGGAGCTGCGTCACTAAAAGCAGGACCAACCCCGGCTTCTGGTGAATCTCTGTAATGCAAAACTCGTACGATTTCCCACTCCACAATCCCCCAAGCACCACGGTTAGCTAGTCTAGCGGAGCCCCCAGCCGCTTGGTCGCACGCGCGTAGCGGAGCAATGGCCCTTTTGCCGGGAGGTTTGCCAACTCCGCCAATGCCTACAAATGCCAATCTCCTGCCAGCCTCCAAGCCCGCCGACGACGACGGCCTTCTCTGCGATCTAATCCGCCTGACCCCCGTTCCGACCGTGCTGCTGGATGCATCGCTCTTGGTCCGCCAGGTTTCAGATAGCTATCTGTTGATTTCAGGGGCAAGCGACCGCAACGCCCTGGTTGGGATGCAAGCGGACGACCTCTTCAACTACACTACTACTACTACCACGCTCCCCGCCTTCGCTTCAGCCCGCAAGGTCATTCGCGCTGCACGGGACACACGCTCCGTGCACCAGATGAAGTGTGTGCTCGACACAGGAGCTGCCTGGAATTTACGTGCCGTCCCCATTGTCCGTCATGACCATCTGCGCTGCATTCAAATGGAGTTTCTCGACATCACTGACGACCACCGCAAGCAACTGGAGCTTGAGGAGAGGGTCTACGCAAACGAGACTTTTCGCATCCTCGTCGAAACCGTAAAAGACTATGCCATCTTCATGTTGGATCCCACGGGACACGTAGCTACCTGGAATGCTGGAGCCCAGGCTTTCAAAGGCTACACCAAAGCCGACATCATTGGCAAGCACTTCTCTGCTTTTTACGGCAAAGAAGATCTTGCAGATGGCAAACCGGAGAGGGAGCTTCGAGATGCACTCCGCGATGGCCGCTGCGAAGATGAGGGTTGGCGATATCGCTCAGATGGCTCAAGATTTTGGGCAAATGTCGTCATTACCCCCGTCTACAAGGCCGACGTGCTTCTCGGATTCTCCAAAGTCACAAGAGATCTTACTGAAAGTCGGCTAGCAGAGCAGAAGCTGATAGCTGCCTACGAGGAGGCATCCAAACTAAAGTCAGAGTTCCTGGCCAACATGTCTCACGAGATTCGAACTCCCATGCATGGCATGTTGTCGGCATTGACTCTCCTCCTAGACACACAGCTCGATACGAACCAGCTCGAGCTTGCCCACGTCATCCAGGAGTCCGGAGACGTGCTGCTTCAAGTCATCAACGACATCCTGGACTACAGTAAGCTCAAGTCGGGCAGCTTTTCCGTCAGCCAAGATATTATTAGCGTAACCGACATCATACAATCTGTCTTCCGGGCACACCAGGCGTGTCACAAGCCCGGCGTCAAATTAGAAAGCGTGCTCGATCCACATCTTCCCAAGTCGGCCGAGGGAGACAGTCTTAGATATCGTCAGATCATACAGAATCTCCTATCAAACGCCACCAAGTTCACCGAGGAAGGCTATGTACGCATAGTCGCCAAACTCATCAAGGAAGATGATGAGTTTTACACCATTCTTACCGAGGTCATAGACACTGGCATTGGAGTCCCCACAGGCGGCCCAGGTACTCTCTTTACACCATTTACCCAATTCGATAATTCCGCCACCAAAAGATACAAAGGTACTGGTTTAGGCCTGAGTATATGCAAGAGCCTGGCGGAGCTTATGGGGGGCAAAATTGGCTTCCACCCCAATCCCGAGGGCCACGGCAGCGTGTTTTGGTTCACAGCGAAGCTCAAAAGGTGCAAGCAAATGAGTCTCGTGGAAGCGTTGCAAGATAAGACACTAAGCACGTCAGCCCGCTCGACAGCTCTCGTCAATCCCATGGAAGAGATGAAAGTGGTCGCTGCCGACAAACGAATCCTACTTGCAGAAGACAATTTAATGAACCAAAAGGTTATGCTGAAGATGTTAATAGGCCTCGGTTTCCAAGGCGTCGACGTTGCGCAAGACGGCAAGGAAGCAGTAACCAAAGCGTTACATGACCCCACGTCCTACGATCTCATCTTAATGGATGTCAACATGCCTGTTCAAGACGGCGTCAGTGCGACTAAAGAGCTTAGAGACAAAGGGCTACAGATCCCCATCGTCGCCATGACTGCAAACGCGCTCAAAGGCCAGGCAGAGTCGTACATAGCCAAAGGCATGACGGGCTACATTGCAAAGCCAGTTGATCGCAGCCTTCTTATCAAGCTACTAATGAATTCCCTCAAGCGGAAGGGCCCTGGATGAAACCTCTGGGGGTCGAATAGCCGTATAATTAGAGGACAATAGCTACACTGACCTACTTCCATTTTATCCAAAAATGGATGGGACTGAACCACATCGAGAAACGATACGTATCCATGGCCTTGGCCGCCGAAAGAAGGAAAGAACCGACATTGGCGAAAGTTAGAGAGTGGGAAAGTCCACATAATGTTATCACGAATGGGGGGCGGAGGGTTTGTTCTGGCGTTCAGGAAGTGCAAAGGCATATATCATCGGGGGCATAGACGATGCGTTGTTCATGGTAATGAAACGCTCCCTATCCATTTAGCAGGCCACTACCATCATGCACCACTATATTTATGATGTGCTTTAGGCCACGGTAGTTTAGAAACACGTGGAGATAGACACGTAATTTAGCGGATTGTTAGATACATGTAGGATTCAGTGATCGGCATGAGGACGAGCGAGCTCGAGTAAAGGTCTCTTGAAGAAAGCAGAGTCCTTACAAAGCGGCCTATCACTTTTGGTCGGACTAGTCGGTTGTGAATATTTGATATTTCCACTGTTTTAGAGTAGATAAAGTCGTTATATCTGTAGTTTTAAAATCAGATCATTCAACTCATCTGAGTACCCTCCAGTCCTGGCCTCGCTGCTCCTCTGTCGGGCGGTCCTGTAATTGCACGCCTAGCCCTCTCCTTTCATTGAGTTCTTCAACAACGTGTTCAATAACGACTGGACTTACTTCCATCGCTTCCTCGGCCTTCTTTCCCCCCTTCTCTGCCGCAGCCTCCTCGACCAAAGTGTCCAGTCCAGTTTCAGTCCTCCCAATACCCCAGGGTTTGGACGAAATCACATTCCCCTCCCACTCTGACCTGGGCGTCGATTGTTTCATCTTCAGTTGCGGATGTGTAAGTTTGCGCAAGTCCAGCCCAGCTAAGAGTTGACCAGGTTCAGTAACAGGGACATCTCTATCACAGCCCGTCCACTCTCCAAATCCAGCCTCCTCTTGCGCAAGGCGTTGAAGTTGCAGAATGTTTGTTTGAGACCACTCGAATGCGCCGTAAAGGGGATGCGAGACCTTCTCATTGGGGTAGCTTTCATCGCGCAACTGGTTTTTTCTGTACTTGCGGCGCTGCCACCATGCGATTGTAGGCTCGAGACCCATATCCAGTACGATGATAATCACCCCCAGGATGAGGATTAAAGAAAGACCCAACACATTGAATGAAGAGTAGCTGTTGCTGACAATCTTCTGGTTCACACAAATGTTTTGTGCGATTGTCTCGTTTGCAAGTGGCGGTTGCCGGAAGTCCTCGAGCTCTGCAGGGATTCCGTTGGCCGCCTCGACAAAGACATCTTGGAGGGAGGCTAAGCCGCCTTTGATCCAATGTTCGGCCTCGAGTTGCCACTGGTTGTCAGGCAAAGGACCGGAGTATCCGTAGGAAAGGCCGTTACGGGCACGAAGGGCAGAAGCCCCTATGAATCCTACAGTTGCCGAGATTGTGTACATGCTGGGCGTCCAGATGTTGTCTACCCAATTTATTACCGCAAAGTGGTCATCTGTTGTAAAGATCTTCTTGACACGGGCCGTTGCTCGCAGGTCAGTGATGCCTCGCAGTGGTTCGCAACGCTCTCCGTCGGGCAGGTTAGGGTTGCAGTATTGCATTTGTTCGGTGCAGGCCATTGCTCCCAGGGGCTCGTCTTGCAGCCAAGCGTTAAACTCAGATTTAGTCTCCTGATGGTTGAGTTCAGAGGCATCCCTGTGCGCTGAAAACCATGCGTCATCAACTGGTTCCGAGTAATGTAGTTGGGGTGCTGACATAAAGAGGAGGTGCACATCTGCATCCACCCGTTTGAGAGCATCTATAGGTGCCCATCCGTTACGGCCAGGAGTTACCGTTGTATTCGGTGACCCAAAGTGCCTCTCCACCCCGAGAGAGTAATCTAGGCGCGGAATATTTCTGCTACTGGAGTTATCGCCCGGTACATAAGCGTTATCTACCGGTAATTCGTAGGTCCAGTTGTTAACCTGTCGAACGTTTGCGACAGAGCCGTACATGTACCGCTTTACAGCACCATAGTCACTATCGTTGTAGTCTGTCATGTACCCTTGTGTTTTGAGCGGCGCACATGTATACACCATGCGAAACTGGAAGCGGTGTCCTGGAGCGGTGTTGATGCCGAGATGTTCGAGGCTATCAAGCAGGCCAGTATCCATGGCGAGATTGTCGTTATCCAGCTTACAGATGTTGTCACCAAAGGGACAAGCCACGCCGCGTGTGGATACTAGAGGCAGCCTGGGCTTAATATACAGGTTGCAGCCGCCCGTGTGCGTTTCGTTGGTGTAGCATTGCAATCCGTAGTTGAGGAACCTGTTTGCCTTCTCGGCTTGAGCTGGCAATAGCAGTGTAAGCTGCTTGTAAACACTGTTCGCCTTCCCTAGGCTATACGAGCCACACCTCGTGCCCTTGAGCAGCACTTGATTAAGGGTCTCGCTTGTAAGATTGGATGAAAAGATGGAAGCTACACCAAATGCAGCAGATATCGTAAAGGCGACCACGATGATTGGCAGGAGTCGTAGGATTGGTCTTCGTGCTCGGCGACCCGATTTCCAAGCCAGCATCGACGTGAGCATTCGCCAAGCTCCATCTTGCGCAGTATCTGAGTTGCGCAATATGGCTTGCCGTTGGTGGTAAAGGCCGTCTTGTGCTTCAGCCGAGGAGAAGTGACGATGCAGGGCGAAGCATCCTAAACGCCAGAAACTATACTAATCAGTTTTTGCAATAAACACCAGGGCGGATGAGTTACCTCTTTCCCACCATGCCGATAAAGATGGCTACAAAAGCGATCAAGAACCCTCCATTTCGTCTTGTGAGGGTCACAGTCGCACCCTGAATCTTGCCATGACTCCAGTTCGTCCAGAACCCAAGATGAACTTCGTAGTGATTTGTAGATGCCATGCTTCGTAGTAGAGCCTGCTTTCAGGGCGTAATCGGGACCTGAGTTGGGACACACCGTTTGTTAAGACCTGCAGCGGGAAGGAGCCGCGGGGCGAGGTCAGCACTTAAGGACCGTAAGACTGTCCCCGAACCCCAGCTTGGGTGATCCAATCGAAGAGAGATGCGGCAGGTTTGGTAAACATAGCTTCGTTATGCCCGCACTTTGGGACCCCATAAGCAGTACTGTCGGTTGTAATGATCCATTCAGCTAGCTGTCAATATGGAGAAGATTGCTACCGGCCCCCAATTTTGGAACGTCCTACATGAAACATGATTGCTTTCTATACTGGGGTACTCTAGCGTGAGGTTGGTCTTGGCCTGGTGGCACGATTGGTGCGGAAGACTTGCATAATGGAGGCTGACAGCGTAGCCGCCCGGTTAGGGGATAGCCCGTCAGCCCTATTTTGGTCGGTGTCTTGTGGTTGGAAGCTCGCTCGGGGACTTTTGTAGTTGGGGGCGATGCAGTTGCTGGGGCCTGTTGAATTGATTGGAAATGTTGGCGAGAGGAGATGGCGGACGTTGCTTGTGGCGCTGCTATTTTGGGAAGCGAACATGTGGGGTGCGCGCCGTTACCTACCTACGCTCAGTCGGCCTCCATGACACAATAGGAACAACACAGTGACTAGATATGCGACATCTATATACTGATAACTGTAGTTCAATTTGCCCCACGGTAAGGTATTGAGCCCTCGCCCAACAGAGCATACCGGAAAGTGCGCTTGTGGACACGCCCCGGCTAGTACCTATGCTCAACATCTTAGAGCATTTTATCGAGGCATCTTCAACAGAATCTCCTGCGTACAGCCAGTTTTATCTACGCCTATACCAGCCATGGCCTGTCTGCTAGCCCAGCAGTCTTTCGCAATTCGCGATATGCCGGCGCCGACCTCGGCTTTAACCATCTCCGAGCCGAGTCATCGCTTCCCTCGTGAGGTAGAGAGCTTCTCACATCCCTCGTCTGCCAACTGTCATGAGCGACACATCAAAGAAGCAAAGGAGGCAGCGAGCCGTGCTGTCCTGTAATGACTGTCGTCGGCGGAAACTGAAGTGCGACAGAGAGCTTCCGTGCAACAGGTGCAAAAACGGTGGCATTGCAGATAGCTGTGCTTACAGCCCTGAAGCGCACGGTGTAACAGACCCTCAGGAACAACCAGTGAAGAGACAGCGACAATCTTTAACCAGACAAGCAGCTTCAATTATTCAAGGTGAGCCGCAGTCTCATGGAAATGTCCGCGAAACCTTGGATTGCTCGGACAAAGCCCAGTCGGACATTTTGCCTAAACACCGAATCGAGCAACTTCAGTTTCAGGTCGCACTTCTCAAAGAACAAATCTCCATTCAAAGACATCCTGTCGAGGACCAAACATTGGGTTGCGCTCAGTTCCCTGATCAGGGCGCATCTAAGCCTGCTCCTTTGATGGGGCTGCTGAAAGGGCGCAACTACGCGACTTTCTTCCATGGCTCTTCTTCAGCAATCTCTATAATGGCACATGTAAGTATTTCAGCATCGACCATAAGCCGATCTTTGATACGTTCGCTATTTTTGAATGAGAAGCTAAGTCCGACAGTTTTCGGACCTTCGAAGCTTCATGAAAGATATCTACCAGAACTCCACAGCACAAAGGCTTCAGCGAGACATGAAGGCGTTCGAAGACAGAGCTCAGCCGATGAGTCGATCTTATCGCGTCTTGTCAGTTACGAGCTTGCGAAGTCTGCTCCCTGATCGAGCAACGGTTGGTGCACTCATACGGCAGTACCTCGATACCTTCGAAACAACTTACAGAGTGCTGCATATCCCGAGTTTTGAGGCAGCATATCAAGGTTTCTGGAATTCTGAACGGTCCGGAGATGTAGAAATGGATGCGTTAGTGCTTGCTATCCTAGCATGCACACTTTGCACTTCGACCCACGACAGCCCGCGGTATAATCACAATGGATCGACTTTTCATACCAAGGCAGTCATTTGGATCAAAGCCTGTGAAGCTTGGCTTAAGCGACACAGTAACAAGCATCGAACCCTTATCTCTCTTCAGGTTCGTTGTCTACGTATATTAGCTCTGTCAACGACCTCTCATAAGAAGAAAGAGTACTATCAAGATGTGCAAGCACATATAGCGTTCATGCGATCATCCGGCCTGCACAGAGATCCTAGCATATTTGGAACTCGATGTTCAGCTTACGAGGGTGAGATGCGTCGGAGACTCTGGGCAACCTCTATGGAATTGGAGCTTCAGGCGTCCATTGACAAAGGTGCCATGCCCACTGGGACACGAAAGGAAGGGTACTAATATATGACCAGGTTTACCTTCCGTAATCTCCAGTCTCGAATACGACTGCACCTCTCCCCGAAATATCAACGACGCTGATCTCCCTGTCGACCTGACGGAACTGCCGAATAGCCATCCCATTACTACCTTCACAGACACATCCTACCTCCATCTCTCTATGAGGACGATCGATCGTAGAACGAGATTTTGTTCTCTAGTAAATAGTTTCAAGGCTAGCTTGAGCTTTCAAGATATACTTCGCCACACGGAGGATATTCAACGATGCTTACAAGCAACCCCGAAGTGGGGGGACTCAAGATCTCTCCAAGCCCGAACACTTCTCGATCTCCAGTTGCGGCAGTTTTTGGTGATATTACACACATCAAAGGTACTGGGAGTGGACCTTCAGCTGGGGGCAGAAGGCCGTTACTCAATGATAGCAGCACTAGAGGCGTCAGCTGCGCTGATCGATTTGCACACGCATGTTTTGAATGCTTCGGTCTTTACTCTTTGTTGTACGCGTAATGACTACTACAGGGCAGCATTACTCATATGCCACATTGCTTATCATGCCAGCAAATCTAATCGTGAGCTGCCTTCCTATACAAATAATGTTTGGCGCTAAAACAACTCCTAGACACGGTAATCGCGCAAGTCGCAAAATTAACTTTCAACCAGTGCTTACATCAAGCTCTTCGTCTTCAAGAAGAGCGTGCGATGAGGCCCGGTCGGGGCAGCCAGCAGCACTGGTACCTGAGTGCAGCCATGGGTCTAGTCGGTCTGCAATTCGACCCTTCTCAATCTGAGGCTATGAAACTTCAAGCCATTGACCGTGTTTCGCGTCTGTTATACAAGACGCTATCACTGCTAGATGACCCAGACGAGCAGTCCTTGGCGAGTGAGGTTAGTAGCCTCTAATTCCACAGAAGCGCAAGACTGACGTGAAATAGGTCTACCTCGACGACACATCGGCGACGGGCATGCTTGTTGATGCGTCCTCAAGCACCACCGCAGAGCCCCTCTTGGCGGAGGGATTTACCAATGCAGGGCTGCGCTTCGACGCGTTCGACCTCGGGAGCACATCGGAATGGATGCTAGACGACTTTTGGTTCTTCAATGACGTTTCCTCCCTTGGATTTGATGATCAGCACATCTCTGGACTCTAATAATACTTCGACCAAGCGCTTGGGTGTTTTATGTACGGTTGGCAAATCTACGATGCTTTGAAAGACAAGAGAGGACTGCGCGTTCCTTTTGTTGCCCAGCAATGGCTTGCGCGTCAGCATGAACCACTCAGCTATCTCGACGTCACAAATGCCGGGGATTCTCCAGGTTTCGATACCCGTTTTTAACCCCCGATGGATCTGCATGGGGCGGTCCACCGCTAGCGATCGACATGTCTGCTTGGCAGCCTTGCAGCAGCTACGCTCACCAGACACCATTAATCGTCCTCCAAGGATTTTCCATGGTGCCTAGAACAAATCACACTGCTTGGGGATGGACAGGCTTCGTCTTCACGATGCGTAAGTCGTGGCTTGCTCTTAGTTGATAACCAACAAGCTGCCGTATTTGGTAGTCGATGCCAATGCTATCGGCCAGATCACGGCTTCTCGGCGCTCATCATGACTGGATGTTCAATGTAAGACGACGTATAAAACAGTTTTTTGTGGGCTTCGTCCACGACATCCCCTTCTTGTCCCTCTTAGCCATGCTTGGAAAAGAATGGAACCACTGTCGATCATGGTGGCGTTCATGTATAACTTCGAAGCGCGCGACCACCGGAAGTCCATCAGAACCACAAATATCAACGTGCCCTTCAGTTGTTAACTTCATACTCATATCCACAGTCGATTCTTAATCGTTCTACCTTTCTCAAGTCAAGATGCTTTTCCAGAAATTTGCTCTAGTCTCCGCTCTTGCAGCTCTTGTTGCCACCCAGGATATCAGCCAAGACGATATTCCGCAACAATGCAGGGCTGTTTGCGCAGATATTGTTTCAATTGCCCAGCGCTGCGACAATGAGAATGGTATGAGTCTCTCGTCCGCCCGATTCAGTGTCAGCTAAAGATTTGTCTAGAAACCGATGCTGCTGAGCTCGCGTGTATATGCCGGGCTCCGAATGCAAACACCCTCGTCCCTACATGCGAAGCCTGCGTCGCTCAATTCGACCGGGACGACGATCAAGATGATAATCCCAACGATCGGAATGGTAACTATAGCCCATAATGTACCTGTGACAACAGTGCTATTAGACTTACATCATACAGATGTCTTCGAAGTCTTGACCCGCTGCAACTTCACAACTACTGCACACAATAGCGCTTCTGCTAGCTCCGTCCTCCAGTCCATCGCCTCATCTCTCGTGTCTGCATCTGCATCTGCGTCCGGCTCCGTTGCTGTGACTACCTCGGGTACTGTTGTCCTGACGACGCGGGTTCCAGCGTCAACGCAAGTGCCGCAGCAAACAGGAGCTGCTATGCCTGCACAGACTGCTGGTGCCGCTATTGGTCTCGGTGCGCTTGGTATCGCCTTGGGCATGTTGTGAGTGGCTGTCGGTAGAGACGGGCAACCTGACTCCACCGCAAGCTCCAATGACTTTTACGAGTGGATTACGAAAGAGTTGGACTATGCAATAAGAAGCCTTTTTGGATTTTCTTTAGAAGGCGTAATGTCGGGATGTACATGATATATTACTAAATTGACGACCTTTAAACTTATTCGCTCATACACTAGGCCTTGTATCGTTCAAAGGGGGCGCTTTTATTTCACAATGTGCTCAGAGTACTAACGCCACGAACATAGAAGGATAGTGAACACACTCCGAAAAAATAAATCGAAGTAAAAAAGCCTAGAACAACCTATTCAGCACCAAGATGCGGAGGGAACCTGGGATCTCAATTTCCATGTACATGGACAGCACCAGGTTTCGACTATAACACCAAATGGGGGCAAGCCATCAGAGGTCTTCATTGTCGGCCGAAACTTTTCGTGATCAAAGAAGAAGATATCCTCTGGATTGGCTCCTTCTGCCAAGCGCTCGCCTACAAGGTCACTGTTCCCCGGCTACCAAATGGAAAGCCCGCGGCAAGCGGGGGGTTTATGGAGAGTGAAGTGTGTGGATCGCAGCTGTACATTGGTTCCATGAACTTGGCCTTGCCTGAGAATTTGATTCAGCGGTGGAACGCACTAAAGCGGTAGCAGTAGTAAAAATGGTTTGAGTAGGAATTGAGCCAGTATGCCAACGTTGCGAAAATATTATGTCTTGTTTCTGTGCATCTAATCGAACGCCAGACCGTCTACGATTCAATTATACGTGAATTCGTGACCAGGCGGATCCTGCATGGCCTCGGGAGCAGCGTAAGACGGATAAAACGATGGCGCAATGTTGCCAAACATTCCCCATATCGAGTTCCCCCATAGGTCTTCAGGAAGCGAAAAGTCCAGCGTTTCGAAGCTGTTCATGTGTGAATCGTCCATGGCTATGTCTTTACCTTTCGTATCCAGAGATGGTTCTAGAGGTCTCGACAATCCATTGGGGACCTCATTTGACAGGTCTTCGACGACTTCTATGGGCAGGTGTCGCAGCTCGTGCCCAGTTGTCACAGCATCATAGACCAGCGAAGCACCCATGCGGTCGTCAACCCGTAGCTTGGAATTCTCGAGATCGATTGGCCTCTGACGGCTTAGTGTTTCGAAAAGTAATGCACACCGAGCTCGCTCGTCCCGTGGATCTTTTGAACCAGCATGGAAGAACCGCTGAGCGATTGCGACATGGTTGCGAGCTAGCTCCTGCTCTGCTGGTGTCGCTTGATTGTTCGATACGAAGAACCGTAGCAGAAAGGTGGTTGAAAGAACCAAGATCCGGAAGTAGTTCTTCGGTAACGTGTCTTGGAGGATTTCGGGTGGGATATCAGGAAAGTCATTCGGTCGAAAGGCAAGGCCTTGATCCGTAACGTAAATAATCCGCACCGCGACGGACAACCCTTTTCGCATCAGAATCTCTCGCGATGCGCGATCTGATTGCAGTCGGATGACTACTGTTGTGTATAGCAGTAGCTTCGCAGTCAAGTTGGATACTTCGACTCTCGGCGTCCATGGTGTAGGATATCTCGTCTTCAACTCGTCCAACTCTGCGTCGATGATATTTGCCAAAGAAATGCTCATGCTCTCTTGCGAGTTCTCCACGATAGTATTGAAAAACTTCGCTAATGTGTGAAGTACCATGACTTGATATGCGAACTCTGGTGAGATGGGGTGGGAGCGGACAAACTGCTCAACTGTAGCCAAATCCGTAGTCCCACTGATCGGGGAGCTTACACCCACATGCTTAGCCAGTCTGTACAATCAAGTCAGCAGGAATATGAATCGGCGTAGGGCTTATCACCTACGCTGTGCTAGCAACGAAACATCCCAGCCACGTATGAGCTCTCGCCCGTGGTGACCCCGATGATACACCGATACTGCGCAAGGATGGTGCTGCCTTTGCCCGATGCAGCCCCATATACATAGCAGCGTTGAGGGCAATGCCGGAATACAGCCAGCTCGAATCGCTTGTTTGCGTCTTTACAGGAAATGGGAACATTATCAAGTATACTATAGCCTGAATTTTCTGGAGTGGTAGAGGCGCGTTCAAGATCTCTGATTGGAACTGGCGTAAGAAAGGTCCATTGAGCGGCTCGCTTACTGCTTGAAAGGACGGAAATATACCTCGCGATGTAGTCACAGCGATGATAGTCCAGAATAGTAGCCGTGAGGACTCATATAGTGTTGATATGGAAATGTTGGGGTTGAGAATAGGGATATGTGGGTAGTAGAAGACGCAAAAGCTGTGCGCATCTGGTATCAGCAACCAAATATCTCAGAATATAGACAGGTGGAGGGAATATTTACACTCTGAAAATCTCAACAGCTAGATCTTTGTCGATTACAAAATCCTCTAACTGAAAGTGATCCTGGGTGATTCCAGTCTCATCAAGTACTGCTGTCCCAGGATGCTCAATAGGGCCATCTGGAGAGTCCTGCACCGAGTCTGGAATGGAAGGCGATTCAGTAAATCTTTGCGCAGTGTCCTCTTGTTGCTGGTTCTTCAATGCCTCAAGCTCCTTGGCCATCTCTTCAACGCGCCTTGATGAGTGATGTCAGATCTCTATGCAAATGGATCCGACAGCGTAGTACTCTATGGACGTACCTCCGCGCCGGTGTACGCCGAAAGGACGAGTCGACGACACATTGAAGGTCTCTTGATTGACACCGCGTGCATGGAGCAGGGAACTTCTCTTTTGAGTCGCATCTCAGCTGTGATTCGTCAGTGTTATCCTGGCGGAAAACAAATAGTGCACATATATGCACATATCATACCTTGACCTGTTTGCACTGCGTACAAGTTTTGACCGGTCGATGAACAGACCTGAGTAGTGGATTGGAGGCCATTGTGAGTGCGAATTGCGAATTGTGGCCCGGTAAGCGACTTCAATGCCTTCAAATGTATCTAGCATCCAACGTGCAAGCACTACTATATGTGGTTAATAGACTACTGAAGGTGCACTGCCTCCTGGGGTTGGTCACATCACATGTAGGGCGAGGCGGTGCAATCTGACCTAAGTCAGCAGGCTGCAAGTAAGAATGCTCGATCGCGAAGAGTTAGTGGAGTGTCAACAAAGCGCATGCTGCAAATTATATTTCGATAATATTTGTAAACGACGTGTGTACCATAGACGAGTAGGAAGGAGGGGTGCTAGATGATTTCAGGAGCACAGACGTGGGGACCGTCTTGGCGTGAGCTCCTTTTATTTCAAACGTTCGACAAAGTGTTCGAGTGTTGCGTCGATTCTCGCACCACACCATTGCCTGTTTACGCTCACCGCCCTATGCAGCAGTCAACCTATTCTCCCAACTCCCTAACCATCTATACCCTCTACACACCCGACCCAACTCCCCCAACGCTCCATTAACTTTACCCTCTTCCCCTTCTTCTTCCTTCCGACCCTTCAACTCCACGAAGAAAACGTAATTCCAATTCTCAACACCACTTGGCCTCGTGTTGATACTCGTCAGATTTAAACCGTATTTCTCGAACGCAGACAGACAGTGCGCTAATGCCCCAGGGTTGGCTTGATCAACCGTGAAGGTAATCAGAGTTTTCCAGTTCCTCTGCTCGCCGTTCGTAGCTGTAGTGGCGCTTGATTTTGGCGATGACGGAATGGATTCTGGAGGCGTACTGCTATCCTTCCTCCTAATCACTAAAAACCGTGTAGTGTTTTCCACGCGGTCGTTGATTGTTTTGGCAAGGACATCGAGGTCGAACATGTCTGCGGCTATTATGCTCGACAATGCTGCTGATTCACCACTCTTGTCTTGCGCGACTAGCTCTGCTGCTTTGGAGGTAGATGATACGTCGTTGCGTTCTGCGTGCTTGAGATACGTGTTTAGGAACTCCTTGCATTGACCCCATGCTTGCGGATGCGAGTACAGTCTCTTGACGTTGGAGATGTCTGCTATTGGGCGTGCTGGTGACACTGCAGCAGGAAAAGTTGTTGAAGCTGTTTCGCTTGATGGCGCATGCCCAAGTAGACAATGCTTCACAGCGACGTAGCTCTCCCCGCAGACGAGAATGTCAGGGTATTTGCCGTGCAGGTCGGCAAAAAGATCCAAAGTAAAGACTACAGAGCCATTGCTGCTGTTCTCAAAGGGTATCACGCCTCTGTAGGCATCGCCACTCTGCACCGCTGTGAAGACGTCCTCGATTGTAACCTGTGGGGAGATGACGTAGTCTGAGTGATTGAAGGCGTCTAATGTAGCCTGGCGTAGTGTAAGTCAAGGCTTCAAACAAGAAAAAGTGGCAACAATAGGCAGTTGGAAAATATGGGGTTCATATTGGAGATTTCCTGGAATTCGAGGATGGCAGGTGCAGATGCATGGCATTGGCCAGATTCGGACGGAACGACGATAGAGAGCACAAACATCGCGGCGGCCTTGCAAAATTGAACACTGTGACTAACCTGGTGCGTATAGCTGCCTTGTGGCCCCAGGAAGGCAACTATGGGTCTATTTTCTTCTGACATGACTGTTTTGTGTTGGTGATTGATTATAGATGGAAATCTGGGGTTCAAAAGGCAAAGTTAGAGATTAATGTTCGGATCCGGAATCGGAGCTTCACCGGCCATGACATCGGGAATGTATAGAACGCGCCCTACGCCGTCACACCGGTTTCTGTGGGTTTGTGGAGAAGTGAATTCCGTGTACGGTCGCTAACGCTTGGGACACGATTGTCTCAAAGAATCAAGACATCACAAGCAACGAAGTTGGAGATTGCATTCGAAAACACACATGTATTCAGCTGAACTTTAGCGATCGACTAGCTGACAGGTATAATGCAAACAATTTGTGTCCTCCTTCCATCAAAGTTTGTCGTGCGGAGAATCGCAAAGCGGATGATTGACAATGGCCATTCTTGGCTATCCCGTTCATTCAAATCATGAATGCGTATAGAATAGAACTTCTTCGAGTGATGACCCGAGCAAAGAACGCGTCCAAGCAGACTACTGCCTCTCCATTGAAGCGAGGGTGGGGTCGTGGTAAGAATGGGTAGTTCATCAGCCTACGGAGAGTGTTAGCGTCGCTTTTCTGTACCAAGTTATTTAACATACATTGCAAACCCTCCGTGAGCACTCCCTTCACTCAATTACAACCTGGAGAGGCGAAGCGTCGTTGCTTCGACAGCTCTGGTCTTCATCCCGGACGCGTCATTTTGACCTTGGCTGCGGGTAGACGACGTTCCATCACTCGACGCGGGGAGTGGGGTCTCTACCTCGCGGTCTGCGAGGGCGCACAACCGTCAATCATCGTAGAATTCGTCTTCGTCATCATCGAAGTCGGCGAGTTGCTCAAAGTTGAGCGCGTAGCGAAGGATGGCGCCAATACCACCAAAGCCCTTGACGAACTGGTTGCCCTCGGAGGAGCGGTCGGAAACGAACTCGAGCGTCGCACCAAAGTCTCGATACTTTTCAGCGAGCCACTCGAGCATGGAGCCTTGATCGATGACCTCCATCTCTTGGCCAGTCTCCTTGTCCATGAAGAGGCTTCGGTCTGTTTCTTGGAGCTTGGTGGTATGGAGGATGATTTCCGCGCCCTCGGAGCTCTTGAGGACCCAGCGAGTGATCTCTAGATTCTCGAAGACAATCAGAGTCTCGGCTGCACCGGCCTCCAAGGCCTTCAAGGTATCTTCCATACCGTAGCAGACCTTGCCAGAATCCTTGGAGATGTGATCAAAGTATTCGTTGATGAGCTTCTTCTCCTGGATGAACTTGACATTGCTGAGCGTCTCGCCACTCAGCTCGATGGCTTGGTTGAATCCGTTCTCGCCTCCGTAAGACACGTCAACGACCTTGATGACCTTGGACTGCAGGCGGTTGTCGAACAGGTCAGACTGATTGAGGTCGTTCTTAAAATCAGCGGACCCAGCCAGAATGATACCGGCTACGTTGACCTTGTCGGCGGTGATGAAGTTCTGGACAGCCAGTTCAGCGACCTTGCGGACGTAGTTGTGACGCTTTTCCTCTCGCAGACGGGCGAAACGCAGGGCGGACTGACCACCACGACCGTGCTTCTTGGGCAAATCGACCGAGAATCTAGCCTGGTTAGCATTGGGCATTCCATGAGCGGCTGCTCGCAAGACTCACTTGTGAACAATCTCACGGGTGTTGCCTGAGAGGGTGCCAAAAAGGGCACCGTTTCCGTCCATGATGATGAAGCCGAACTTCTGATCCGACTCGAGCAGCTCGCTCAGCGCCTCGGTATGAAACTTGTTGTCGCAGAGGTATAGCGAGGTGTTGATGGGCTTGAAGGGCTCGAAGTCGATGTTGATCTTGCGCTCCTTGCCTTCGGCGGTGATGATTTCACCGCAGTAGACAACGAGGCCATTGGGTGGGACCTTCGAGTACAGCTTCAGGCGCTGCTGGGTGGAGGTAATGGCCGAAAGGACGGAGAGACGGTTGACGCGGGACTTGATGTTGGAGGCAGTGCCCTGGTCGTGTTAGCTCTGCCTGCCTCGTGAGATTTATTGACAAGAGACGTACAAATTCTTCAGCCAACATCTTGGCAGCGCGTGAAACCTGGTCCTTTGGCGCTGTGCATGGTGAGTCGGGTCGCTCTCTGGCAACTAGGTGGGCGTGCAGGGCTCACGTACGGATGATGAGCGAGATCATGCTTGTGCCATTTCCACGGGCGGCTTCAAGACGCTTGATCAGCTTCTTGACCTTCCAGATCTCGATATTCTTCTCAGCCTCGTTGGGCTGCGGCTCCTTGGACGACATGGTCGCGGTGTGGGAAGTGGTGTCGCGGTGTGCTGTGTTGTGGTAAATTGGCGGGGTTCTAAGAGATTTTTGCCTGGCCAGCGAGGGGCGGGCAAGTGACGAGGGTAGCGGGCTATGCGGCTGATGGTTCGGCGGTTGTTGTCCGCTATTTCAAGTGAAGGGAAAAGGGAAGCGTGAGCCAGCTGGCTTTGTGTGTGTGTGTGTGAATTTATTGGTTCTCTTTCTCTTTCTCTCCTTCTCCAGCCTGTCGCACTCTAACTCTGATCTGACTCCGAATAGAGTATTATGACCCAAAGCTTCGCTTGCGGAGCCACTGAGGGCGCAGCGGGCATGGCGATGCTGCAGACCCGCCCTTGTCATCCCAGCTCCGCCCAAACATGGAACTATGACGGCGGGACATGCGGGGCCTGCCTCTACGCGTGATATCTAGCTATCCAACTTTCCACCAGAGTGCTACACTACATGACGATGCAATTGCCGGGCATGCACCGCAGTAGCACGCGATCCCAACGCCGCCAATCTCTGCCCCCCGACGATAGCCAGCCATCGCTTCACGTAGCTCCCGCGCTGTGCATGGGTGGAAAGACCGAGATTTCTATATCACGCCTCCACCCGCTCAACCCTGGTCTCTTCCTTTGCCGCTCATCTTATCTTGCTACGATTGCCCGTGTGACTTGACGGCTTCACACCATGGACATCAGAGGACAGCAGCCCTCCACTTGGGACGACTACGACGGCGTCCACAGAGGCTCAGTAGACTCAACAGGAAGCCATGTGCAGTGGGATCAGCTCGAGAGAAGACCGAGCGGAGAGAGTGGCGCGGGCACTGGACGGTGGTCAGGAAGGGTCGGTGAGCTGAGACGGCGGAGGTAAGTAACAGAGGGTTGCTTCAATTGCATTAGACATGAGCTAACGACTACCCAAGATCTTCGATTTCTCAGCAAATCGGCGCTCTAGGCGATGCGGGCGGCGTCAACAGCATCAACAACTTCGCCCGTTCATGGCAGCGTGCTGCAGGCTTCTTTGAGATTACGCCCGTGCGCCCCTCCTTCCGTGTCGATGCAGAAGACGACGACGAAGAAGAAGACGAGTCCTCTGCTTTCTCGCGAAGTGGACTACCCACACCCGTTCTAGACCAGCGATCAGCGCTACGACAAGCTTTGCAGACAGAGGGAAGGCGCGCCTCGGACAATGCCGTGGCGGATGAAGAGCATGGCGCAACAGAGCACACACACCTGCTCCCCAACACCGTCGAGCAGCGACTGAGGGCGAGAGAGTCGAGCATCTTTCAGATTGAGCCCTCGCTCTCTTCGCCATTTGGAGGAAGCTATGGCACCGGCTACGGAAGTCTCTCTGCGCGCGTCAATGAGTCTTCCATGCGCCATGCCGGCCGCCTCTTCACAGAGCAGCAGCTGAAGGGTGTCACAGAGCCAGAGCAGGAACGAGAGCCGCTTCTCGTAAAGCAGATCGAGGAAGACGGCCACATCATCAACGTGGTTGTCGGCCAATCCACGCTTCCGCAAACCATCTTCAACTCGGTCAACGTCTTGGTTGGTGTAGGGTTGCTAACGCTACCCTTGGCCTTGAAATATTCCGGATGGCTAATAGGAATGATATTCCTGGCCTGGTCGGCTGTGGTGACTGCGTATACGGCTAAGCTGCTTGCGAAGTGCTTAGATGTGGATAGCTCACTCATTACCTTTGCGGACCTCGCATACGTTTCCTTCGGTAACAAAGCTCGAATTGCTGTCAGCATCCTATTCTCGCTCGAGCTGTTAGCTGCTTGTGTGGCGCTAGTAGTCCTCTTCGCTGACAGCATGGACGCCCTCATTCCTGGCTGGGACGTCATGCAATGGAAGATTGTCTGCGGACTGATCCTCATACCGTTGAGCTTCCTACCTCTCCGCTTCTTGTCCTTCACATCTATCCTGGGAGTGATGTCCTGTTTTGGAAGTATGTTACCCCCCGCCCCCGACCACACTCACCATTCGCTAACCCACACTCAACAGTCACACTCGCCGTATGGGTCGACGGACTGATCAAGCCTGATAGTCCCGGTTCTATCCGCCAACCCGCTACCCAGTACCTCTTCCCGAAGAACTGGCTCACTATCCCGCTATCCTTCGGCCTCCTCATGTCTCCCTGGGGCGGTCACTCCGTCTTTCCCAACATCTATCGCGATATGCGACATCCGTACAAATACCGCAAGGCCGTCGACGTTACGTACATCTTCACATACATCATCGATCTCGGCATGGCGTGCGCGGGTATCCTCATGTTTGGTGATGATGCACGGGAAGAGGTCACGAGTAACATTTTCTTGACGAAGGGCTATCCCGCGGCATTGAGTGTCTGCGTTGCGATATGCATTGCCATTATCCCCCTCACGAAAGTGCCGCTAAATGCACGACCTATTGTCTCGACCCTGGAAGTCCTCTTCGGTCTCGACACGCGCTCCCTTGCCGCTTCATCGAGCCTGATTGGCATGTCCGGCTTCAATCGCGGATTGTTCAAGATTCTCCTGCGAGTTGTTACGATTATTATTTTCGTCGTTATTGCCATTGTTTGCCCGTCGTTTGATCGCATCATGACGCTCCTCGGTAGCGTAGCGTGCTTCAGCATTTGCATCATCTTGCCGCTGGCGTTCCATTTGAAATTGTTTGGGAAAGAGATTAGCAAAGGCGAAAAGACAATGAACTGGACCCTAATCGTGGTCAGCACTATCATGGCGATTGTCAGTACGGTGTTTGCTTGCGTCCCCAAGGAGCTTATTGGCGCTTAAAGGGAAAGAAGACGTAAATACTGCATTGCAGACCGAAGGTGAACGTGTTTCATAGTATTTGTTTGTATTGTACAAAGCTTGATATCCATTGATTGGGCATGTTCGGCGCTCTTGTTGCATTTGGCAGGCTTTTGACGGTTAGTAATTTTTACTAGATAGTCCACTTTCTCACTTCAGCTGAAATGAATATGTCTCACGTTCTCAGTTTTATTGTGTCACATTTCATCTTGAAGCATACCTTATTTGCCTCCCGTTGCCTTAAAACTCGCCTCGAATTCTCTAATCTTAGGCTATTCTAATAGATCCACTACAGTTTGGCTCTTATAGCATGCTCTCTCACAACGTTCCTCCCATCAGTGTTCCTCTCCACGATCCGCGGTCCCTCACCCCAAATCACCCAGACCTGGCACAGAGCCCTGTTCAAGTCTAGAAGCCTGCGCATGCCCTTCGACATAGAACAGCAAGTACGGCAAACTGCCCTCTCCCCCAGACTTGAATATCCTAACCTTGGAGAAGTGCTTGTCTCCACGAAGCTGTCTCTTATGTTGTATGAGGAAGTAGCCCGCCCAGCGACCGACAGGAGAGCCTAGCAATGCTTTACCAGCGTCCGAGTCCATGGAAAATTCGTGGCCGGGCCAACTATGCGTTTCGTCCTGAGGAGGTGTGAGTGTGGAGAGGACGCGCCTGATGTGTTTGTTTGTCTCTCGGTTGATGATTATTGTGACGAAGAAGTATTTTATATTCGTCACGTCGCCACCAGCGGCATTGACGCGGTTCCAGAATGCCTAGGCAAGATCGGAAACGGAGCGGATATGTGGGAGTTCTTCTGGGGGAGCAGTGCGCTTCCATAGTTGCCGGGCTGCGCTTGCGGCGCTGCGGACACTCATCGCAAAGATGGCACCACCCGCGGCGTTCACACCGATTGTATGCTCAGCGCTAGTGATGCGATAGTCCTTTCCGCAGACTTTGTACCGCTGGTTGGGCTTAGCTGGTAGCTCGTTGGTCTCGTAGTGTTCAACGGCCGGACTATCGTGGTGCTCGATTTGGAAGCATTCGTTTGGTCCTTTTTGGCTTTTCGATTTCGTGCCGAGACCAAGTTCGTCAAATGTCTTCTTGAGCATGTGGCCGCTGCTAGTGCTATCAAAATTGCACTCCTGTCGTAGAGCTTTTGCATAGCGTCCGTATTGTGGTTATAACCCCACTCTCTCAGCTTGTCCTTGAGGTCGCCGTCAAATGGGCTCTCCGCTGACTCGCCCATGTCGTAGAGGGTCGCTGCTTCTTGATCACTGCCCTTCATGTCCGCGATAAGCTTGGTACCTCGTTCGACTGACTTCTTCCATAGCTCGACATCATCAACAGCGGTCGCTGGGTCCGTCCATTCGAATAGAGGGATCTCGGTCGCAGCTGTGATGTTGAATTCGACGTCATAGTTGGTGTCGTGAAAGAAGGTCGGAACAACTCTAGTAATACCAATAGTGGTCAGAGTCAGTATGCTAAACCCCAGCGCAATAAAAGACTTCATACTGTCAGAAGACAGATTGAACCAAGTAGAGCTGCTTGGTTTCAAAGGGAGCGAGAAATTTGACCAACAAGAGCGTGACTGTCAAATGGGAGGAGCGACGTTTTGAAGCACAGTCCGCAGTTGTAGCCGTAGAGAAGCCTTCAACTGAGGTCTGAAACAATCTCTAGACGCAGACCATACTAGTGAAATTGCTTCCATGGTGTCCTTCTATAGAAAGGATAGTGAGAAGGTCAGATGTAAACTCGTGTTGACCGAGGAGGCAAGAGGGTTGTTGAATCAAAGAATGGTAGGTGACCCTGATGATTTGGCTCTTAATTCACCGTCTCGGTTGCAAGAACATCGCTCTGTTAAAAATGTACTAATTACATCCTAGCCATGGCTTCAGATGCTACTGACTTATTGTTTTGTTCAAGCTTGGAAATGCATTCATGGTTGGTCCTTCATGATCTTTGCGAATAGGCGGACGGTCTGGTCCACGTCTACTAGTGGTAGAGAGTTCATCCTGTCAGTCGCAAAGTACCGGATAAAGATATGCTGATACCAATTGTTGTATTGCAAGAGAGTGTACTTCCGTAGCCCTCACTCAGTGTTGCCTGCGCCAAGCTGACTAACCACCGTCGGCATCCTCACGCAACCTCCGATCGAAGCGTCAAGGACGTCAAGAAATTCTACAGACAATTATCGACATCTACAAGCCGCCTCTTCCAGTCTGACACTACCTAAACTTCCGTTAAATACCTCTTCGCGATCACACAATCAGCAACAATGGACTCTCTAGGCGGCGGCCTCGGCAACACTGACCTCTCCAAGCTCAGCGACCGCGACAAGCAAGAACTGCAGCAATTCGCCATGAACGAGGGCCAGAAAGCTAGGATTCAATCTTGTACGTTGTTTCTACCTTGAGATCTCATATTACCTTGAATTCTTGCAAATACTCAACCTACCCGCTCTTCTCTCTTCTCCGCAGCCATACTCTCCACTCCATGCGCACCCGATATAATTGCGAGTCTGGTTTCTGACGCAATCTACAGCGATACACTCCCTAACCGACACATGTTTCCGCAAATGTATCCCCGCGGGCACCGTCAAGACCGGCAAACTGGATAAATACGAAGAGCCGTGTATGAGGCAGTGTGTGGATCGATTTTTGGATGCGAACCTGGTTGTGATGAGGGAGTTGGAGAGGCTGAGGCATTAGAGCTCTCCTAGGAGAAGAGAAACCGTAAAGATAAAAGCAAGGGATATAGAAGGATGTGTGGAAGAGACCATGTACGATATAGTCGCTACATTACGGGTGTACAATACCCGATCACATTGGCTCCTTTTGGATTTGGGAATCGGGTGCATAGCGTAAACGTTTATGAGAAAAGCATGCAAGGAACAACATTCTATACTCCTGAGACGTCTCGTGCTACTCAACGCCAGCAGACATTCAATAGGATTTGGTACATCACGGAAAATTCATTTTGGAAGTCTCGTTTGGTTGGATAAATGGAACCAGATAGTGGCGTCATGTGGAAATCTGATTCATTCGAGTCACCGTGACTACGTATCCATGAACGCCCGCCATGCATAACACATCGCTTTTCCTTGTCGGGTATAACCAGACCCAATCATGACCATCTATACATAGACCACCCCTTAAACAATGGCGAGCTTGGTAGCCGCAATGTCGAGAGCGTCGACATCGGCAGTCAGGCGAGCGAAAGCCTTCTTTGAGCCGTCCGGTCGGATGAGGGTGTTAATCTTGACGCAGCTAACATCGTACTGCTTCTTGAGGGCAGCGGCGATCTGGCGCTTGTTGGCCTTGACATTGACAATGAAGACGAGCGTGTTGTTCTCCTCGATCTGTATCAGAGATCAGCCTTCGTGTGCTTCCTAACCGAACTTGCAGATGTATACCTTCTTCATGGCGGACTCGGTGTTGAGCGGGTGGATGAGAACCTTGGAGGCATCCATGCGAGGCTCATGAGGAACCGACTTGCGAGGGTACTTGCCCGCGCGGGACAGCTCGAGGGTCTTGGGGCTATAGAGTGTTAGCATACGACAAATTCTCGCAACGCAGACTGTACATACCGATGGAAGCTGGTGCTTGTCCTGACCGCTCGCTTCTTGTTCGCATACGACTGTCATCTCGTTAATTGTGCCCATCACACGAGAAAAACAGCCCGTCAGAGATGAGATTCTGACACGACTCAAGAGGATCAAGGGAGGCTTACGCCACGGAGGGCCGACTTGGCAGCAGCATTGGCCTGCTTGCCAGACTTGGTGGAGGCTATGAGGATTGTTAGCTATGAGCGTAGGAAGAGGGGAGCTGATCGAGCCGCATTCGCAGTGTTGCTTTCGATACCAGGGCGATTGCCATGGTGCGTAGCTATTGCACATTGCGCATGCAGATTTCTCAGTCGCTCGATGGCGATTTAGGCGCGAACGTACGCTTGGTGGCTGGCTTGGGTCCCATTTTGGCGATGTGGTGGTCCTGTCGTTAGTGTCGAGATCTCAAGACTGAAGTTTTGGCGAGTTCGAGGAAGGTGCAGGTGTGCGAAAATTCGGTTATTTGGCCAGACGCGGACTAGCCCCAAATCCGACTGACCCAGCTCTGCATCCCGGGCCACGACCCAGACATGTGATCTCGCGTTCGACAAAGATCCATAATGGCAGCCAACAAGCGCCAAAAGACTCTGTCGCATGGCCGACCACCATCCAGCAGACCGAAAGAACGCATGACGTCTGAGCGATCCCGCGCCATCATTCGCGCCCATCACCGGCTACAGAAGGATCATGCAGCGGCTTTGAAGAGAGGAGACACAAAAGCGGCAGAAGAGCTTGTCCGAGAGATCGAAAAAAACGGTGGCATCAAAACGTACCAAGCAGCTAGCAAGCAAGGGCAAGCCAGGGATCGGGGCGGTGACTCCAGCAAGGTTCTTATCAACTGGCTACAACAGGCGCAAGTGATTGATCTTGCAACTCGAGATCGTAGTAGTACTGGGGAGGCTCCATTGAGGTGCCTTGAGGTCGGAGCGCTGTCGACGCAGAATGAGATCTCCAAGTTCCCGAGCATCATCGACATGACACGGATCGATCTGAATAGCCAGGGCCCCGGGATCGAGAAACAAGACTTCATGGAGCGACCGCTTCCTACAGCAGAAGACGAGGGGTTCGATATCATCTCCCTGTCTCTAGTGCTCAACTATGTGCCGGACGCGATCGGTCGCGGAGAGATGCTAAAGCGCATTACCAAGTTCCTGCGTACGCACGCAGGGCAGTCAAATAAGTCGACTGCTACCCTACCAGCTTTGTTCCTGGTTCTACCGCTGCCATGCATTGACAATTGCCGCTACCTCAACGAAGAGTTATTACTACGCATCTTGGACAATCTGGGTTTCACTATGAAATATAACAAGAAAACCTCGAAACTATGCTATTACCTGCTTAGCTGGACAAGAAAGGATACTTTTGCAAAGACCGAGAAGAAGAAAATCCGGGATCGTCCTGCTATGAACAACTTCTGCATTATCGTGGAATGAAACAAACCACAGACCGAAGGCTTCTGCCCCGCCTTACAAACTCCGGATTACCGGCAACTAGAGTCGACTGCCTCATTGTATCGTACGGATATCGAATCTTATCGCATGGGAGAACGAGACTGAAATGGTTCCACTCGGTCTAATTACGAAAGTTCTAACATATACTTTGGCATAGTGGCCAATGATAGTAATTTCTGGGTGAATGGATACACTTCGAGGTAGCGCCTAGCGCCTGCCATGCAGACCTCATCAAGCGACGAACAGCTCATCATAGCAATCTAGGCCTTGGCGTACTTGATGTGTGGTACGAAGATGCACGCTTAGTTCGACCTCGCAATGATGGCAATCATAGGAATGGAGGGGAGTCGCACGCGAGCCACGGAGCTACTTGAGCGCGCCGTGTTTCAAGTCACGGCATCTGGGCGTGGCCGATAAAGATGGAATCATCGAAGCCGAGGTAGCGGCATCCTAGTGATACTCCAACTACTCGAACGAATACACAGCTTAAGACATAGCATGGGACAGCCAGAGACAAGCATGTACGTGCAAGAGCAATCATTATTCTACGCTAAATCAGTCTGTAATGTTCTCGGAAATTTTCTCCTGGTAACAGTGCCCCGTCAAACTACGTCAACGATCACCACCGGAATCTCACAAGATCAACAACAGAGATAAATTCCTAGCCCCAAAAAGCTAGTGGGACAACGAACGTACCGTCTTGTTTCATAGCTTGTGTCGCCGCATCCCATAACCGATGGTGTACAAACATCGTGTCATGAAACCTGAATCCCGATCGCCGGAATTCCACATGTTTTCCGTTCTACAACCTTCCTTACCTCCGCGCATATCTCAAAGCACCGTGAAGTGTCTTTCTCATGTTATGCAATCCCGCTTCGAAGATGCTCGGTATTTTGTATACTGGCTATCGAACGTGTTTTTGCTGTGGTGTGAAGATTTTATCGAGCTTCCCGTATTTCCCGCCTTGTCATTTCGCGAACGTTTGATCTTCCTTTAGCGTATATTTAATCCCAGCACCTCATCACAACTTTCCGTCAAGGGAAACGAAAACAAGACTTTCGCACCCACAATAATTAGATTCTAGACCTAGGATTCTAGATACGATCTGCTGAAAGATGAATGCACTAGGAGGGGAAGAAAGACTCGCGATTTCTCACCAGTCCATCATAGGAGATCATGAGACTGAGCTTAGTTTGTGCCGAGCAATTTCCAAGATGGGCCGGAGCTACTGCATAGGGGTTAGTGAAATGAGTGTTGATAGGGCCTGAAGGGGTTTATGTACTCGTGAGAGTACGCATCTTTCTACATAAGATTTTGAGCTTTCGGTCTCTCTCGTCGCACGTTATCCAGTCACTCATTTTGCAAGCCGCGGTGCTGCTTCCCTTCGCTTTCGTCACTCTTTAAGATCGTTGATACGATTCTCCTCACTCATTAAAGCGCAAGTCACCGCTTTCGACACTCCCTGTCACAGATCAGCCATCCAACATGAAGTCCTCCATCCTCTCCCTGCTTCCCCTCGCGAGCCTCGCCATTGCAGAGTCGTCATGCACACGCAAGACCGTAACTCATACCAAATACGAAAAGGTCTACAAGACCGTTGAACCCGTCGTCGACGCTAAGGCCGAACCCACATGTTCGAGGCAGACCGTCACCGCGACCTCCTACGAGAAGGTCTACGTCACCGTTACCCCCGGAGCAAGTTCCTCTGGCATACCCTACCCTACGATTAGCTCCCATTCGAAGGGCCCCGAGTACTCTCTCGGTTATACACCTGTTCCCCTGAGCGAGGTCGAGAAGCGCACTTCTACTATTGCCTCCTACCCTACTATTAGCTCTTATACGAAGGAGCCTGAATACTCTCTCAATTACACGCCTATCCCCCTGAGCGAGGTTGAGAAGCGCACTTCGACTATTCCCTCCCACCCTACCATCAGCTCTTATACGAAGGAACCTGAGTACTCTCTCAATTACACGCCTATTCCCCTAAGTGAGGTCGCGAAGCCTACTTCTACTGTCCCCTCCCACCCTACCATCGCCTCTCAGTCGAAGCAGCCTGAGTACTCTCTCAATTATACGCCTGTTCCCCAGAGCGAGGTCGCAAAGCCCAGTTCCGCGCCTGAACCGGCTGCGCGAGCAGATGTGTCCGCGGCTGCGGGATCGAACAAAGGTGAGGCGACCTTTTACGGTGGTAATGTCGCAGGCGGTATGTGCTCTTTCACGGGCTACACCATCCCTGCCGGTATCTTTGGCACCGCTCTCTCGAGCAGCAATTGGGATGGCGCCGCCAACTGCGGTACCTGCGTGCAAGTCACTGGACCTAGCGGAACTAAGATCAAGGCTATGGTCGTTGACCAGTGCCCCGGCTGCGGACCCAACCACCTCGACCTCTTCCCCGACGCGTTCAAACAGCTTGCCGACCCCACTAAGGGCGTCATTCCCGTTTCTTGGGACATTGTGTCTTGCGGTATCACGACCCCCATTGTGCTAAAGAATAAGGAGGGCACCAGCAAGTTCTGGTTCAGCATGCAGGTCATGAACTCCAATGTAAAGGTGAGCAAGCTTGAGGTGAGCACAGACGGCGGCAGCTCATGGAAGAGCACTACTCGCAAGGAGTACAACTACTTTGAGAACCCATCCGGCTTTGGCGCAGACAGTGTAGATGTCAAGGTTACGAGCGTCAACGGCGACTCGATTGTTGTCAAGGACGTGAGCATTGCCGCCAGCAGCACAAAGACGAGCAAAGGCAACTTTGCTTAAACAGGGATGGGGCTAATACTTGACGGTATTCTGATGGCGTGTTTTTCTTGTGGATGAGCTAATGAGTTCGGTGTTCCAATTCTCAAAGCCAACTTGATCTGCTTCTTGTTCTTATTAATACTTTCTCGGTCAGCACAAAAGTCGCTGCAATACGTTCAATAGGCAGAAAACAATCATATCCCTTGATATCCGCCAAATCTGAGTCATCACTTCCGGCAATTGCGTAACAGTAACAGGGTATGAACCTGGTGTGATAGCCAATGCTTGCTGGCCAAATTCAACATCCATCATAACATTAGTCATCATCCAGGCTATAATCTCATGCAGACTCCGAATGATATTGGTAATTCTGGCTAAAGGGTCAGACACAAGCGCTTAAGGGGTATCTATAGTCGTTGTGAATCCAACAAGTGTATATGGATGTATGCTGGTGGGGAATTGAGAATAGTACTGAAGGACAACAGGCGATTGATTTAGTCGTTGACTAAAGTTAAGCGCTTAATCTGGAGATTGGCATAGACGTGACTAATAGCTTGATATTTATGTAGAAAGCCAATTACGACGCGTATGCGAGCCTGTCAGGAGTTCCCAGATAGGATGCCTAGACGGATGACTGCCGGGCTAGGGCTTGGAAGACACGGCTCTTGGCGCGATGCTATGATGCTTCCTCATATGGTCGAACGAAGGGTTTTGAGAATGATTGTGTGGCAGATGATGTACAATGCGAGTACATTCACCAACAGCCTGTTCCGAGGAAGGCTGACACATGTCTCGTCGGCACTCACTCTACCGACCCAGGCGATCGGTATTGTAGGATGCGGCGGCCGCTAGCTACACTGGGAGTGCCTCGACTCCGTTCCCATCGTATCTCCTCGAGGCCAAGCCACCATGGAGCTGACGTCTCCCCTTGCAGTGCAAAGAACACGTCCCCGATACCTTTCTTTTGTGTAATAATGTAAATTCTTTCTATTCACTCATTGGCCTTATTTAAAGCTGCTGCTGTGCTGTTTCCCTGCATACTCGAACCGTTCCACACACCCAATGCGACTTTCCACGTTTCTATAACCCTCGAGTGCAGGAGCGATTGACGCGCACGCGACCACCTCCAAACGCTCGATCCTTCTTAGACGGGAGGACCGGCCATGAAGATGCCCTCTGTCGCGCAATGGACGGGTACGCCCTCGGTCAAGGGCTCTACTGAGAGCATGCGCATGGCCCTGCTCACGGCATCTCTCATCGGACTACAGTATGCTTCCGCCTTATTTTCCCGGGCACATGCTAGGCTAACACCGCTATTAGGTTCACATGGAATGTAGAAATGTCCTACTGCACACCGTACCTCCTCGAACTCGGCCTCACCAAGTCCAAAATCTCCCTCGTCTGGGTCGCGGGCCCCCTGTCCGGCCTCATAACACAACCCATCGTCGGCGTCGTCGCAGACCGATCGACATCCCGCTGGGGCCGGCGCAGGCCATTCATGTTCTACGGCACTATACTCGTCGGCATATTCCTGTTACTACTTGGGTGGACGAGAGAAGTAGTCAGATACTTTGTCAAGGAGGAGGCGGCGGCGAAGTCAGCGACAATTTACGTGGCGGTGCTAAGTATATATGGAATTGATTTCGCCATCAATGCTGTGCAGGGAAGCTGTAGGGGTCTCATCGTGGACACACTGCCGATTTCGAAACAGCAGATGGGCAGTAGTTGGGCGAGCCGGATGGTTGCGGTCGGCTCGCTAATAGGATACGGTGCTGGAGCTATTGATTTGAAGAGTGTGTTTGGCCCGATGCTGGGCGATACGCAGTTCAAGCAACTTACAGCTGTTGCGGCACTGACACTGTGTCTGGCGGTCGGGACAACGAGCTGGGCAGTGACGGAACGTGTGTTGATAAGTGACGGGGCGGACGGAGAGAAGCTGGATATCAAGCAGGTGCTGGGTACGATTGCGCACACGGCGATGAATTTACCGAAGGGGATACAAGCTATCTGTCATGTGCAGTTTTGGGCCTGGATCGGTAAGATATTAATCCGCGGGATGTGTCAACGACATGTACTAAGACTCAGCAGGCTGGTTTCCCTTCCTTTTCTACAGCACAACCTGGGTCGGCGAAGTCTATCTACGCTACGATGCCCCTGCAGACGTCAAAGCATCCCCCGATCTTACCGGCAAAGTGGGCCGTATCGGCTCCATGGCGCTCATCGCCTTCTCCATCATTACGTTCGTGATGTCGGTCCTGCTCCCCTTCTTCGTTCAGAGCCCAGAGGATGAGAAGGCGCCTGGCTTCACGCCCCGTCCACCGAAGAGCATCGCTGGCCTTGTGACTGATATGGAGAAATACAAACCTTCTCTGCTTACAGTGTGGACGGTATCTCATTGCATATTTGCATCTTCGATGATCACCGCACCCTTTGTGCAGTCGCTAAGGGGTGCGACGTTCATCATCGCAGTTTGTGGCGTGTAAGTAATGCATGGAGGCTTGAAGATGTTGTGCTGATACAGATTAGATCATGGTCGATTGCGTGCTGGGCGCCTTTTGCCTTCTTGGGTGTCGAGATCAACCGCCTCTCTTCTCCGAACAGCCATACATACGGCCATCTTGGCCGCACCTCAGTTGAACTCGAATCACCCATTGCTCTGCATCTCAATCATGGGCTAGAAGAAGCCAGTGGTAGCCAAACCGGCGAAAGCTCTGGCAAGTATCTCGGCATCATGAACTTGTATACAACCCTTCCCCAGTTTGTTGGAACAGGTATATCGTGGGTGGTGTTCTCGATACTAGAGCCTGGGAAGAGTCCTGAGCTATCTGAAGCACCGCCCGAAGAGCATAATTCGACTGATGGGCCGAATGCGATTGCGGTTTGTTTGTTTATTGGGGCGTGCTCCGCGTGTATGGCTGTGCTGGCTACAAGGAGATTAAAGAGGATACAGGGTTATTAATAGAGGTAGACTTTCCATATAGACTATAGAGTTCGGTACAGCGTTATCGCTGACGGTCCCAACACAAGCTCGTTCCACGATCCTACGCTATTTCGGGACGTAAGGGACGCGACGGCGTTTGCGAGATTTTGCTACGGGATTTCTATGGGTCTGGCTTTGTTCTAGAAGGGGAGGTGTGGCTAATAATATTCAAGGATGGTGTTGGATGTAGAAGAACAAAGTGCCCTTTTCAGCTTGAACGTTCCCGACGAAACGGACAATCGCCGCGTGCGGTCAACTGCTTGAATCTGTGTTTTCGGGGCCGCTTTGCTCACTGATGGCTTAGATGGCCAGACCCGAGGCTCGAGGTCTCTTCCGAAAACGATCCATCGGATGGCAGCCAGCTGTTGTTGGACAGGGCATGTACACTCAATGTGTGTTTAGGCCCTCGACAAAATACATGGCGGCCAGGGTGGGCCATCCTGTAGCGGAATCTGATGCGGTAGGCTACTGCGAGTGCAGGTGAGGTGTCGCCGCCAGCTAAACTGAGTCGACATGTCGTGGGCTGCTTGAATGGATACACGTGCCGCGTCTGCAGTGAATTGGCGGGAGCACATACAAATAGCAGCGGATGCGCCGCTTCCTCGCGTCCAACTGGCAATCACTCTGGGACTGGCCAACTTGCTCCATTTCTTCTCCATCGTTCTCCATCGTTCTCGACTCCAAAGCGATAATTTGTGTGCTAGCCGCAACTAGCCTTAATAGAGGGGCGACAACCTTGCGTGGCGGCTTCCCTCCCTCAACCCGCCGAACATTTCTGCAGAGGGCTCACCAACAACACCTCTACTCCCCTCAACAACCCGCTACCTGCATATCGACATCTCAGCGTCGCCAAGATGTCTGAGCCAATCCGCAATAAGAAGATGGATTCCATTTCCGCTCCGTAAGTCACTCTTTGCCCGCCGCCACACAATTTTGACCTTCTTGGTTACCTCATCGCAACGACACCCACCATGAACGTACCGCCTGCTAACCTTTTGCCCTCCAGCACGCCCCAGAACACCCCCTCAAATGCTGCGCCTATATCGTCGCGCGCCCAGCAGCCCGGTGTCGGCACGATCAAAGAAGGTGAGTCGCAATATTCTCGCTCCTGCCCCTCCGACCCCGCGTCATGGCGTAGTGAAGGCTTGACCGCTAATTCGAGTTTTCGTGCAGAGGAACTGGAGCGCACTGCCGCTGGACTCTTCGCTGCCAACCCCGCCCTCGTGGCCATGATGCAGAACAAGCTCGGCTCGCTTGTGGGCAGGTCAAGTGGCTATATCGAGTCCCTCCCTGTCTCGGTCCGCCGTCGCGTCGCAGGCTTGAAGGGCGTCCAGAAGGAGCACTCCAAGCTCGAGGCAGAGTTCCAAGAGGAGGTTCTGCAGCTGGAGAAGAAGTACTTTGCCAAGTTCACGCCGCTGTACCAGACCCGTGCAAAGATCGTCAACGGCGGCGAGGAGCCGTCCGAAGAACAGGTCAAGGTTGGCGAGACGCAAGATGAGGACGATGACGAGGACACACCCGAAGTGGAACTCAACAAGGACGAGGGCAAGGACGTCAAGGGTATCCCACAGTTCTGGCTAAGCGCCATGAAGAACCAGATCTCGCTCGCAGAGATGATCACAGACCGGGACGAGGCCGCGCTGAAGCACCTGACCGACGTCCGCATGGAGTACCTCGACCGTCCTGGTTTCCGTCTGATATTCGAGTTCGAGGAGAACGAGTTCTTCACTAACAAGACCATCACCAAGACCTACTTCTACCAGGAGGAGAACGGCTATGGCGGTGACTTCATCTACGACCATGCCGAGGGCGACAAGGTCGACTGGAAGGCAGGCAAGGACCTGACTGTCCGCGTCGAGAGCAAAAAGCAGAGGAATAAGAGTGAGTGTTCTTGCAGACTAGTCTCTACTGTTTAGCCGCTAATTGTTTTCAGACACCAAGCAGACCCGCGTCGTGAAGAAGACCGTTCCCACGGAGTCATTCTTCAACTTCTTCGACCCACCCAACCCCCCGCAGGACGATGACGATGCTTCCTCTGACATCGAGGAGCGCCTTGAGCTCGATTACCAGCTCGGTGAGGACATCAAGGAGAAGCTGATTCCCCGCGCCATCGACTGGTTTACTGGCGAAGCCCTTCAGTATGAGAACATTGAAGACTTCGAGGAGGCCGATTTCGAAGATGAGGACGACGAGGATGAGGACGAGCTCAGCGATGACCGTGACGAGGATGAGGAGTCGGATGATGAGGTATGCTCATAAAGTCTTCTATGCATCGTAGCACACACTAATTTGAACCCACAGAACGACGGCACAAAACCCAAGCAGGAGGCTGCTGAGTGCAAGCAGAGCTAAACGGCTCGACGGACACGATTTCCTTAATTGAGATTATTGGGCTTGTTCTTCCGATCTAGATACCGGCATCATCACGCATTTTGGTGGCTTTGCAGTCGCTTAATCCGCCTCCTCTTCCAAACTCCACATCACTACAGGCCTCCCCATAGAGCTGGGGATGGATTGGTTGGAGATTCTTGGATTAGTTATCAACACCAATTACTTTGGTTCTCCCTAGCTTTATTACCCCTCACACCTTCCCAATGATACAACAGAACGATCACTAGCATGTTTGGCGTCATCTGGGTGGAGTTCTGAAGTTTCATATGATGGTAACTTGCGCCCTCAGAGGAGGGTCAGAGAAGGGCAACGGAGCGTCGATTAGTATTGTTTCTTCAGTCGTCACGAGAAAAGTTTGAGTTTATACAGCTGATATCGCTGGTCTTCGGGCTGATTGCTGTTGATGTGATGCTGCTTGCGCCAGACTTTTGAGCCCACAATCACAATGTCGAAAGGCATGCGTTACATCCCATACTAGTATGGAAACTACCACGACGAGCACTCGTCGTCTCTAACATATTTCGCTTGAGGGCAAATGTTATTCGTCGACCTGTGTGGTTTCCCATGACATAACCGGGCTAGATAAGGTTAGCGCGGGGCTGCGGGGGTCGTACCGGACGGGTGAAATTCGGGTAGGCAAATAATTTTGGATGCGCAAGCTTACGCGCGTTGAATGAGCAATTGAAGCAAGGAAACACTCTATTCACAATTTTATACTAGCCTACACCTTCATAAAAGGCTTTATAACGCTCTAGTTTCATAACAGCTTGTCCTACGACTGATACATCGTACGAGCACTCCGTTTGCGACCAAGTACACGACTCGAACCTCAGACATGGCGCGTAAGAACCCGAATATTGTCATCACAGGCACACCTGGTGTAGGAAAGACGACACATGCCGAGCAACTGGCTAGGGCGACCGGGTTCCAGCACCTATCTGTGAACCAAATCGTCAAAGACGAAGGATTTCATGAGGGCAAAGACGAAGAGACGGGGAGCTGGATTGTAGACGAGGACAAGGTACGCCTTCACCATGTTCTTATGCAAATATACTCGAATAAATAAGTTCGCTTTGGAATGAAACGTTGTAGCAGCAAGCTAACAGTTCCTGCCCTCAGCTGCTTGATCACCTTGAAACCCTCCCTCTCCACACAACCGGTGGCTACATCCTCGACTGGCACGCCTGCGACCTCTTCCCCGAGCGCTGGATCGACCTCGTCATTGTCTTACGCTGCGACTCTACTACCCTATACGATCGCTTGACAGCACGAGGATACAAGGGCAAGAAACTGGAAGAGAATATGGATTCAGAGATTATGCAGGTCTTGCTTGACGAGGCGAGGGAGGGCTACAAGGAGGATATTGTGGTCGAGCTGAGGAGTGATAGTGCTGAGGATGTAGAGGGGAATTTGGAGAGGATAGAGCAATGGGTTGAGAATTGGAGGAAGGATAGAGAGGGGCAGGCAGACGACGAGTAAGCTTGACGAGAAGAAATGTGATCGAACATTAAGACCAAGCATCTGGTGAGTGCCCTTCTATCTACGCTCTATTTTGTCCGAAATCCGTGTATGTCCGAGTCCCTTTTGCCTCACGACTCTACCTTGTTCGCCAGCCACTCCTTCAGCTTATCCAGCGCTTTTCCCCGATGGCTTATTTTGTTCTTCTCACTCTTGTCCATCTCCGCATACGTTTGACCGTTGTATTCGAAACAAGAGTCCCATCCTATTCCATGTCAGCTGTATGTTCACGACAGTCCCGGTTTTTTCAAAGCTTGATCGTCGGTAATGAAGATTCATTGGCTTACCAAATACAGTACTCCCCCGCGACTCGACCAACTTTCCATCTGTCCGACCTTGAAAGAGCACCGGCTCGTATCCTGGCCCTTCGCAGTACGCGAATGTGCAGACTGCCTGGGCGGATTTGTCGTCGAATCCTGCAAGCATCTTGTGCATCTGGGAGGCGCCGAGGGAAAGCATGAACCATTTGCTAGTAGGACGATCAATTAGTGGTCGTTCTAGAGTTGTTGAAAGTGGCTAGGATAGCGACGCGATAGGGGCAAGGCAAGGACTTGGGAACGGGGGGTGGAGATTACATGTATGGACCTGGGAGGTCGTTCATTGCTTTGAAGCAGAGGCATGTGTCTTCGACTAGAACGGGGCCTTGGATCTAGAATACCATTAGCGAATGACTAGTATGAGAAATTAACTCCAATCTCCATTTATGCTACACATAACAGTGTATCATAGAAGTAGAAGAGGCCTGTAAAACATGTATAGTGACATTGAACTTACAGCTTCAGCAGCTCTCCGTGCCTTGTCCTTTGTAACTTCCTCGACTGTGCCTTGGATCTCAACTAGGTCAACATTCTCATTTCGTAGTTCGATGACGCCTTGTAGGATTGCTTGGACCTGGATGGTCATAAGTCAATGAAATGGACAGACTGCCCTGGAAAAGTGTGAAGTACCTCGGCGAGTTTGTTCTTATTTCCCGTGATGAAGTTGAGGTGCTTGGGAGTGGAAGTCATGATGACCTGGTTCTTCCTTTGTCTGCAGTAGATGACTTGTCGAAATTGTTTTTGTTGTGGAGAAAAGTTGAATAGATGCTATCTTGATGTTAGTCTGGTAATAAACTACTGGACTTAAATATCAATATATACCCACTTGGTTAAACACAATATCTCTTCCTGCGCTGCTGTAATCGATGGTTTGATAAGCGACGACAAGACGACTAGGTTTGGCGGAATTAGCAGCCGTAGGGCGGAGGCTGAATCTCGTTTGCGGTGATTGGACAACAGCTTTGATCCAAAGGGCTGAGGTTACAATCAAAAGTCTTCACAAGGGCTGACAAATGAGCAATTAGTGGTCCCCCAAAAAAGTCTTCCCAACGTCACGACAAGGCTGTGAGGAAGGTGGGGTCCATTTTTAGATACTAAGCGAATCAGGGAGAACTTCAGCTCTAACGCGCTACGTTGAATGTAACCGTGCCCTACGGACCTCGCTCTAGCGTCCCTATTTCGACCTTTTCCCATTAACATTTCTCGCCAGTCATTCATCTCGGAGTGTAGTCCTGCAGAAATATCGAGGTCGTACTGCAGACTCTATAGCGCAGAGCCAAAGGCGTTCTTCGCTACCTAGGAGGACTGCGCGTCGCCCACGCACCTGGGTCAGCTGTAAGCGGACCGCAGCACATCGAGGACTCTATTCCTCCAGGATTAGAGCATCGGAACCCGCGACAACGGACGGTCTAACAGAAGGAAAACATGTCTTCCCTCAGGACTTTGTTTCTGGGCGTGTATGCCTCAAGTGGCATAATAAGGGTGCTTTTCTTGCCACTATGCTACCTCTTGTTGTCCACTCCGTTTACTCTTGTTATCGCATGGTATTTTGGCTTTGTTCAGACGCTTCAAACATTCATACCAGAAGAGTTTACTTGGATTGACCTTCTGCCTCAAATTACCCTTTCAGCTGTCTTCTTACTTCTTCCCACAAGGTTGCTTTCTAGCTCGAGAGATGGGGTAAAGAATAAAGATGGGAAGAGGCGGGTACAATCGTTGCCATACTGGATACCTGGTGTTCGGCACTTTGGGAGTGTCATTTTTGGTGGGGAGGGATGGATGAAGAGTATCAGGTGAGTCCATGACATTCAAATTGATGAGTGAAATCTGACGGATGATCAGAGAGTCATCGATTACCAGTATCATTGCATACAGCGCTGCTGGTGCGAAACACAACATCTTTTTTTCGGATTCCCTTCTCCACCAAATCTACAAGAACTGGAGTAGCCTGGAAGAACCGAAACCTTATACGTTGGCTCTTCTCCGAAATGCATTTGGCTTACCGAAGGGTGCAGAGAGTCAATATATCGAGCTCTCGCCAGCAATTGCAAAAGTCATCGAGTCCGATATGTTTAAGGGCAAAAAGTTAGAGGGCCTTATTTCTGCATCGTTGAACAACATTTCGGAATCATTACCGGACTTCATCACATTCAATACTTCTATCGTTGACCAAATGCAATGGGAGCGCGTCTCGAATCTGGAGCTCACGGATGGCAATTCAGAAGCTGAGTGTGACTTGTTCACCTTGGTCAATGAATTCTGCTGCAACGCAATTCTCCCTCCAGTCATAGGTACTCAGTTCACCGAATCATATCAGCTACTTGCCACGGATCTTGCGGCTTTCAATCATCGGTTTTGGGCACTTGCTCTTGGAATACCACGATTATCCCCTATCCAGGGCCTACCAGGAGCTGCTTTGTCACAGAAGAGGTTGCTGCACAACTTTACAAAGGTATTCCATGACTTGACAAACCCACCCGTAAGGAGGGTACCGGAAGATGACGAAAGTGTGAGCGGTGGGGAGGAAACGGATGCAGATATCTCCACACCACTCACAGCACTCAATGAGCTCTTCACAAAACATGATCTGCCTGTAGAAGTTCGGGCGGCAGTCGCACTTCACCTAATACATAACATAGTGTCAGAAGTTGTTCCACTGGTCTTTTGGACAATTTTGCACGTCTATTCATCGTCGAGCACGCAAGGCTTGGAGACCTCGAACGATGCATCTCTCGCGAGGATCAAAGACGAAACTAAGGCTTGGGCCCAAGCCATCCAGCCTCCCTCAATACACCCGTCCTTCCCAGCACCTCCGGAGGTACGTTTCGCCTCTGCAAAGGAGGCGTTATCTTCAAAACATTTCCCTTATCTACGATCCTGCATCGACGAATCCCGGCGCCTTTACAATTCCTCCATCTCCACCTACCTAGTGACAAAACCAATCGCCCTCGAAGAAGAAGGCATTGCACGACCGAGCGAGCAAGAGCAATGGGAACTCGATGTCGGCTCTTACGTCGACATTGGTCTCTCACAAACCCTGATCAACTCCTCGCCAGCAAACCACATCTCCCCAAACAGATTCAAACCAGACCGTTTCGTCAACATACCTGCCTCATCCTCAATCACGTCTCCCATCGACCCTTCAAACCAGTACAAATCTGCCCTTCTCATCTCTCTCATAGCAGGTATCATGCAGCTTTGGGAACTCGCACCGGCGCCCAAGAAGACAATTTTCGATCACCTGCAAGAAGTGCGGGATGAAGCCACAATAGGTGCAGAGCCGCTTACTGGAGAACAGAAGGCAGCAAAGGATGAAGCTCAGGCGGAGAAATCTAAGAAAGCCAGGAAAGCCGGGAAGTGGATCATTCCTAAAGCGGTTGACGGAGCTGCTGTAAAGATACCAAAGAGCGATGTCAGAGTTAGGGTCAGGAGAAGGGAGGGTCTCCCCACATCGAAGATTATGCGGAGAATCGGGTAATGTGGACAAGTGGTGATTGGGAAGCAGAGCGGCGAGTATCGTGAGGGTGGGATGATGCGAAAGTGGATATACGAGTACGAGAGCAGATCACCGGGTTTGGAGACCCCATGGCTGTACCATAAGTCCAGACGCGTACACACAGGCAGTGTCACTAGCACCAAAGTTCGAATCTCGATTACATTCTCTACATCTCGCATGGTTCCTCGCTCATCCTTCCCTAATAACAAAGTCCAAGTTCCGAAGCTAACACCCACTCTCTCGCCAAAGTAGCGGTGTACAGTAGCCTGCAAACTTGATTCAGCATCCTGTCCTCTCCCGCATCCACGCGAAAACTTAAACGCACAAACACATCATCATGCCTCGAGCATTTATTGATCTTCATCATCATCATCATCACACCGTCAGTGCTGATGATTCTAAAAAGAGCTAGCGGGCACTAATGAGTATCCCCGGGCCACACCGCTGGAATCGCTGAAGGAGGAAATTGCGAGTGCACGTGCCTAAGTAAGCCCAGTCTGCATAAGTGAATGAAGCTCTTTGCTGCCCCTCCAAATAAGATGAGGATGAGTCAGGGACAGGAGATTCGTTTGGTGTCTGATAGGAACACGATACCAAGGTCAACTGAGAGGTGGTTTTATTGATATTCATCGGCAACTCATACCCGTTGACCAATGTTCGAATTCACTCAGGTATGGCCCGTGCCTTCAGTATCCTCGTAGTCGTTGTATCGAGGGGAGGAAGGCTTCCTTTCCATCTTTATGAAGGCACCATGGCTATCTTCCGAGCCTAAGCTGAGTTGGCAGTCTGATGAAGTGCCGCACGTACGATAGTCGGACAAGTATAACTCGTAGCTGATGTCTGTTCCTCCACTCTCTTCCACGTTGACCCGATTGGTGACCGAGGATTGCCTAAATGAGTAAATTATACCACGGCTTGTCTTATGTATCGTTGGACTGTACATGTGATGTCCCTCAGCCCACCTTCACTTGTGCCTTCGTTGTCGTCGACGTCAAGACTACCAGATATGTGGATTAAATAACATCTGAACCTGTAGGAATGAAGGTAACCAGTGTAGGAAGATGGCCAGAAAAGTCCATACTGAGGTAACGTTGCTGCATCTCACCTGTAGTCAAGAAGCTCTGTACGTCTGGCTATTTGCTAAGTGGATAAAATGTTGATCTGGTCGATAGCGAGTTATGAAAGCAGTTACCATACCAAGTATCAGACTCCGGTAAGTTTACTTCATTATCAACGGCGACATAAGAGCAGGCGTGAAACGAAGACGTAGAGAAGATTGAGTTGTTCAAGCGGCTGCCCTGGGCGTTGTGCGATTAGTATGATATTGAAGCTCATTTGAATGTGGAGAGTTCAGATGTCGTGCAGAAACACCTCAGCTGCAGACCTAACATCGTTACTGCACATGGTTGACGTGAATGGCACATATCAGCGACATGGTCAGCACTCTGCGATGGGACCTGATTGTGTAACTTGTCATTGTCATTTCCATGATTCTTTTCCGCAGCACCTGTGAACACCAGATGCGGATCGTACCCATGCACGCCATCACAGCCGCGGAGACTCATCAAGGGTATGTTTGACCATTCATTTGTAAACATAACACCTTTTGGATGCCCATATCATGCCACAGAAAGTTGAAAAGACCCAGAAAACCCCTGCCTAATCAACGAGACCTTACACCTCCTCGAGAACAGTCTCCTTGAATTCCCGCTCAACCTGGATAATCGTTAGAAAAAATTCATTCAATGCGTAGGTGATGTAATCGTACCTTCTGGCCGGAGTCATCCGCGCTGGACTCGCCGTGAAGACCGAGGAGAGCACCAAGGTCGAACTTGGGTGCCTTGAGGAGCTTGACCTTTCGTACGTGGACCTATGTGGTGTTAGTCGCATTCTTTCTTTTCAAGTTTCAGGACTGTGCACTGACGTTCTGGAGAGGGTAGATGCCCTGGGTGGACTTCTCAATCTCGCGGCCGATAACCTCGGGGATGAGCTTCTGGGTGAGCTGAGCAAGAGTGCACGAGCTGGCGTCCCGGGTCATGATCTCGACCATCTTCTTGCGGATCGCCCTGATCTGGGACGAAGCAGCGTATGTGGTCTTCTTGATCTGGTTTGGTCGTCGCTTGGTGAAAGCGATGGCGAAGAGGCGGAGGAGGTAGTCATCGGTGGTCTTGACAACGACGTTGGCCTCAATGAGGGTTTGCCACTTGCGCACAAGCGAGCGAAGCTTGTCAGAGGTGAAGTCGAGGCCGTGGAAGTTGGTCAGGCAGTTCTTGCCCTGGACCTCGTCGACGCGGAGCTTGACCTTGCGGAAAGCGTGGTCCTCATCCTTCTGGAGATCAGCGAGCGAGACCTCGAATATCCGGCCCTTCAGAGCATCGTTCGCGTTCTTGAGACCAGTAGTTCGGTTGACGAGGGTCTTTCCGACGCTGCAAGGACAGACGAGTAAGTATTGATTCCATTGAGAAGCCATGGCTGGCCACAGGCAGGGAGTCTTACTCTCGGACGGCGAACGTTCCTGGGGCCTTGACGTTGTACCAGTCCTTCTTTGCGAAGGTGTCGGTCTTCTTCTTAAGACCCTTCTTGCCCTTTGAAAGACGCTTGTTCTTGCCGACAGCCATGATTGCGACGAGGGTTGTTGGGCGTCCAAGGCTGTGTGGTGTTGTCGTCGTTGGATCGATTTGCTGGCGGCGGAACGTCAAAGTGCGAGAAATTCGCTTAAGCCGACTAACCAGATGTGGGAGCCTTAGCTCATGTGCGCATCACGTGCGCCAAGGCCGACCCGATCAATCAGACGATCCAGTCTGGAACCTCATAACACTGTTCTTCGTAACGATGCGCGCCCTGTTAAGACAATGTGTATTTGTGCTCGAGGAAGACGCATTCAATGCATTGACGTCCCTTGGGGTTGCCTTTCCAACTGCCCGATTTCAACCCGAAACTAGCCGTCAGTCACTACCCTTCTCAACAGGAAAATGACTACTGTGTATTCATTCTGCTAACGATAGTAAGTAGAAAGAGGAGTCACCACACATACATATATTGTCAAGGGATGGGCACAAGCATCTTGGTTACTGATATATCATTGCTGCGTCTATGCTAATTGTGCACGTCGCGCTACGCCATCCGAACTTCTTACGTACACGCTCCCACAATGCCTAAAGTCGCATCGCAAGGCTTCCTCTCTCCTGCGCCACCTCCCCATCGACCTCGCCGCATCAGTTGCCTGGAGCGCGACAACGTGACCGCTAGCCGCAGCTCTGTGGCTATGCTTCAAGTTACGAGAAAAACAGACATTGCCCCCACGCAAGGTTTTCTTCTCCCGCGCGGCAGCATCCTAACGTCTTACGATTGTGACGTACTTTGCTGTCTGTGAGCTCTCCTCGCCTCCGCTTTGATTGAGCGAACATGGCGCAGCCTGCCTCGGTGCGTGGCATGTCGCTGAGCTGTCGGCCGTGTTGAGTACCGTGGGCTTACTGCCTCTTCGCGGGCTTACTGCCTCTTCATGGGCAGTCGTAACTCCCTCCTCCTGATCGGAAGAAATGTAGAATTGCGTGGTAGGTTGATGTTTTAGTTTCGTTAATTCCACGAACGTATCGTGAACCTGCTGCCGTTCGCAGGGTTCATTTTGATTTTGCCATTCAATCAAGTTTTGACAACAGTGTGTTCACGCTGCTGGTCATACGAGTTACGGCTCTGGCAGAACTTCTCAAAATCTGGGAAGCTGATGTATCCATCTGAGTTCATGTCAGCCTCTTGTTCTTTCCAGCCTCATATCGAAGGACTCATACCTTGCTGCTTGTACTGCCTCACATAACGTTCACTTTCGCTCCTCCATATCTGAGGCCTTTCAGAAGAATAAGTCGGGCTCGAGTGCATTCTGGACTCTGGAGATGGCATTGGACTTCCAACTGGTGTCTCGCCTCGAGGCGTGGTGGGTGACGAGACTACCTTGGCCAATAAGGTTGACGCTTTAGTTGGACTTCCAGAAGATCCTGAATCCCGTCGTGAGGCGACAGGCACAAGGGTCGTGAGACATGGCGAAGAGACAGTTGATGGTGTCAGAGGTGGGCGACGGCTGGCTGATCTGGATCGTTCAGGTGCTTCGGTGGGTAGCGAAAAGTAGTATCTAGTATTATTCGCCATGATGATGATGTGTTGGCGATCAATCGTGGATCTTCGAAATCGGAGAATTGGATATATGTCTACGGGAGCTGAGAATGACGAAGTGTGTGTAAGACCTGGAAGCAGAGCCAGGTAGTAATAGTGTTCGCAAGGCAGCGCCCAGACGCCATTCACCCCATACTACGGAATGTATAGAGCGACGCCTCTGCAAGTCCCAGGCCCACCCCCTTGTCAACACCAGCTGCATAAGCAGCCGGAGCTACCCACTCAACCTCGTTGACTTCCTGGCCTAGGCTGCATGCTCAATGCGCGCCGCCAGAGGACCTTGGGCCTTTTAGGAATTAGCATGGTGACAGGGATGATGCGCTGTCATCCGTTTACTCGTCCCGACTCGCCCCCAACGCACAGAAGACCACCTCGCTATAATCTCTCTAGACTGCCGCTCAACTGCAGGTGTGAGCTGGCCACCGTAGACGAAGCCACCGCTTTCTGGCACGCTGGTTAGCCCTGGACGGCTGCTCCATCCAGCCAGTGCGCTTACGGTGGCAGACTGTTGGTGTCGGCCGCCCCTGATTGGCATTGCGCGCTCTGCTACAAAGCTTCGCCGGAAGAGCGGGTTCACTGCCAGAGCGGCGCTACGACTCATTCCCTCAGTCCAGCAGATGCAAGCCGTCATGGCTGCGTGATGATGACTTTCCAAACCTTGTTCCGGGGCCTAGAAATTTGACTGCGTTCCTTGATGTGTACCTTGAACATGCGAGGTATTCCCATAGCTGTCTTTGTATCGGAACAGACCACCAACCGGTTTGTGCGACATTGAGACAGGAACAAAACTGCGACCGCCTCACTCGGTTCCATCCTTTTGTCTGTGACGACATTTTCGCCAGAGTCGTCTATGCTGCGTGTGTCATGCCATGCATATCACGTTCCTTGCCGAAGTCGAGAACACACAATTGCAAGGGCATCCTTTCATGGCGCTTGTGCGACTTTGTTGGATCATAAGAACGTGCGAGATGGCCAACCGCAAGGTCAACGGTCATTCTTCCCATAGTCTTTCGATATCGACCTCTCTCGTGAGGCCACAAGCGACTCTGACATCGGTAGCCACTTCTTTTTAGGACGATTGAGCGGCGGCCACGTACCTGACGATAAGGCCGCCCCCGATTGCTTGGAAGTATCTGCCCCTCACCGACCGGACGAACAATATGAGACGCTTCTACCACAAAGCAGCTCTTGGGGTTATTAATCTGGATCTGGAACCAGTGCCACCTCCTTTCGGCTCCACATCTATCAGCTGTCCTCAAGTCAGCTGCAGACGTTACGATGCCTCTAAAGTGGAGCAGAGAATGATCAGCATCGGTAGCTGTCAACCTAGGAGCGCTGAATACACAACACTGCTAGGTTTGTTTCTGGTTCGCGAGTCGTCGCTACTACGTTCTTGCTTACGACGGCTCTATTCCTTTCGTCTGTTGAGTGTTGCCCACCACTTTTCCCATGTTCCGCTTCGTAGGTTTCAGCAAACAACACAACTACATACAACGTTATCTTGCGCCGATCGAATAGTGAAATCGTAGATCTAATGTGCACTAAATACATCGCAATCAATCAATTCAATTCATCATTCGGCATACAAAGTACAGTCAGTTCTAGGTGCGATACCCGCGCTCAGCGAGTGTATCAGTCCACTTCGAGAAGCGGATGCAGGAGTCCACAGTCTACACCTGCATCCAGCATATGCCATGCTGCCCAGTCCGTTGTAATGCCGCAAAACTAGCCACCACAACGTGCATGTATCCAGTACCTGGACCCGAGAAGCGGGTATATGGCCACGCCGTCATAGCCGCGGCCCTAACCGTTGACAACATCCGCATTTAGACATTTACACCCACACGCATCTACACTCAATATGCTTGCATTTGCGAAGCTGACCTTATCTCAGACGGGCCTCAACCTCACAGGGGATAGTATAATGGCATACGCTGAGGGTGCAGTGCAACCCCTCCCTCAACCTACACCATCTCAACAGCTCGTTGACCCCTCATCACCACACCCTCAGCGTCAGCCCGCAACCCTAATAATTCTCCGCAAATCCAGACACGCTTCCATGGCAGATCTTTCGCCGATCCTACCCGGAAATCGCCTGAGCTATCCTTCTACGGATCCGCACCGCCATGACGCTCTCGTTCTCGCTTACGAATTCTCGCTGGACTTGGTCGGGATATCCGCCACTACAAGATGCGTGTGGACACGTGCGTGCTTTTGACTTGCAAATCTTAACATCTCTCATAACATGGTGGGGTATACTATGGTATATAGAAAGCGTATGAGCGTTGTTTATCCATGTGTGTGTGGAAAACTAAGTGGGCATAAGGATCGAAGGAGCGGTAAGAGATGCATACGATAACGGTCCAGCCAACTTATTGCGGGCCGCCCCGGTGTCGGTTTTTCCGTCTCGGGCTTCGACTTCCGCACATCAGATTCCTTTCAACCATGAATGACAGGATGGTGGGGTCGAGTGCCCGTCTAGACGGCGGGTAGGGCGGAAATTTCAACCAGTGGATGTTAGTATCAGTATCATGGTGCAGGATCTGCCTTGCTTCTGTCGTGGAGTGTTGCACTGGGGGTGCAGGGTTTTCACGGGGACAGGTGAGTATGACTGTTCTGCATACAGCTGGGCGCAGATGTGGGGGAGGACAAGAAGATAAAGCACACGCGGTACTATCAATGAGGCATCCTTTCCGCATGTGTTAAGTTGATGCGAGCTTGGCATGAGACCTCGGTAACGTAGCCATAGGATCGATCATACATGGCATGTCGTAAGTGGCTTGTGGTGTTGAAAATCTCTCGCTGTTCGGGGTAATTGGTGCGGGAAGGCCAATCGCCAGATAGAAACACCAATCTCAATGCACCGACGTACAGGGCAATATCTGAACAACTTAATCGATGTCCGTATGATTGTCCTATCTCTAGTTGTGGGGAGAACACTACTTGATCCTCAATTTCTGGCGGACTTTGCTGTACCGAACTGCATCCTATGCGCGCCGAATATGGGAGATGTCCAGATGACCACTTCCAGGCTGCTACTTCGCTTATGTTGATGATATCATGGTTTAATGCTGTGATTGGAGTCAGCTTTCGTCACCGAGCAAATAAGAAAGGAAATCATCCCACGTACATCGATGTCTTCCCAACCACGGCCCTTTACGTTCGCCAACTCGTCCATGGACATGACATGGCCAGTCGTAACTGCAGATCCACGCGTCAGCTCCATATTTCATCAAAAGTACGTCACGCATGACCAGTCGCTCAATGCACAGGACAGAAAGGGGTGGTCAGGGTGAATGGAAGAGTATGCTTACAGTAACCAGCCTGGATCTTAGCATCAATCTCAACACGGCTATCTGCCGGAATCATGTCGTCGGGGATCGGAACGCGCTCGTGAATCGGGATACCTTGGTCAACGATAGCATCATGCTTCATGTTGCTCATACTCAGCATCCTGTCAATTTTCGTGATACCCAACCAATGCAAGATGTCAGGCATAAGCGCCTGAAACCGCATATCCTTAACCCCCGCAATATTTTCTGTTCTTTTGAAGTACTCGCTTGCTCTATCCTCTCCACGCTTCCTCGCGTTGTATACGAGGTACTTGGTCACCTCTCCAAGTGCACGACCTTCTTTGCGGAAATAGATGACGACGCCGCTGCCGCCTTTTTGAGCTTCCTTGACGGCTTCTTCGATACCGAAGGTTAGATAAGGACGGCAAGTGCAGATGTCGGAGCCGAAGACGTCGCTGCCGTTGCATTCATCGTGGACACGTAGGGCGAGTTTGGCAGAGGGATCAGACATTTTGGCAGGGTCGCCAAAGATGTATACTGTTAGACCGCCGATGGGAGGGAGGAAAAGTTTGATGTCGTGACGGGTGATCAATTCGGGGTATGAACCGCCTGTCTCTTCGAAGAGGGTTCGTCGAAGAGTTCCCTCATCTGAAGCAAGCCGTCAGTTGTAGTAGCCTCAGACTTGACAGAGATACTCACCGATATTGAAGCGCTCAGCCACTCCCGGGAGGTACCACACAGGCTCAACAGCAACCTTGGTCACAGCAACCTCACCCGTCTCATTCACGCAGATCTTACCATCGGGAACGAGGCGGCCTTTTCTTACGCTTTCCTCGAGTTCGGGCAATTTCATATGCGCCCTTGTGATGGCAATCGTAGGTCTAATCTCGACATCGTCCTTGTCCATTGTCTCTTTGTACAACCATGGTGCAAGATGGCCATACGGATCCATGGCCACAATCTTCTTGGGGTCGCTCCATTGTGGAAAGGGTCCAATCTTTGCGGCAGGCTCGGTGTTCGTGAAGTCCGGCTTGTGAGTGATGTCGAGGTTCTTGCTTGCTACAGCGAGCGCATTGTAGATTGAATATGAACCTCCGTGAGCGCCGACAGCTGGGACACGTTAGCCAAATCTTGTTTACAGTAGACAGCATTGGATGAACATACCGTTACGCCTACGAATGGTGTTTGCATGCCTTGACACCACGACAGGCCCACGGACAGCAGGATCTTTGGCACCCCATTCCATTGGCAATGGATCAACACCAGCCTGACCAGGATACGACGTCAAGATGATTTTGGAAGTCTTCGAGACGCTTGCTCGACGAGGGGGTGCATCAACATTGGCAGGTGGCTGCTCGTATTGCTGGCTAACAGCTTCTACGGTCTTGCCTGATTCAGCTTCCTCTGCCTTCTTCCCGTTCAGAGTGTCAATGGCTGCCTCACTGGCAGCCTCATCCTTCAACTGCTTAATACCAGCCAGCATGTTCACGCGGCCATTGATCTTATCAACGGATGCTGCTAGTACGGAGTTCTCGGTTCGCAACGCCTTAAGCCCCTCCAAGATCTCCTTGAGAACAGCATCACTAGCTGTGCTTTCGATGGACATGATGAGTATGAAGTATTGTCATACAACATACAATGTGAGAGAACTTGAACAATGCTAGAGAAAGGAACGAAATGCTTCGATTGCGTGTGTTCCGCGACGAAGACCGGTGGATGCCGATAGGCCAAGGACAACGTATATATTGTAGGTGAATAGCTCTAGATTGCTAGGTAAAGCAAGTTTAGTCTTGCACAAACGGAACTTCGAACAGTGTAACGAAAAGGGCCCAAAAGGATCCAGAGAGAAGAGAGAAGGAGAAGAGGAGGAAGCAACGTGGACAAAGATGGGGAGCTCCCAGGGACAGCTGACTATGCGGCTCGGCCATGTTGATAGCTGATTGGAAGCGGGGCTTATCGCATGGGGCAGCTGCCTCTGGAAGCACGAGCCACCGGGCGGTGAAGGCGGAAGGTACCCTTGGCGCCGGAGTTGCCCACCACGCGCGCCTTTGACATTCATTGTCGCCCGACCATACAAACCGCGTCATTGCACACACAACCGCAGCTCAACATCACCGTCTGCTTGTCCTCAACTACCTTTACCTGCGAACGAAGACATCCACACTCCACTCTAAGTAATCCATCTTCTGTGGCAACAACATGGTACGCTCTTCCTCCCACAACTGCTCACACGCGCCTGCTCACATGTTTCCTAGGGCAAGCGCAAGTCCGCCAGCAAGCCGCAAGGCCCCAAGAAGGTAACTGCTCCCCAGCTCGGTGCCCTTTGTGACTGTCTCTAACAGCTTCACAGAAGGAAAAACTCCCAACTACCTTCCAATGCCTCTTCTGCAACCACGAGAAATCCGTCAGCGTCTCCATCGAGAAGAAGTCCGGCGTCGGCAACCTTCAGTGCAAAGTTTGCGGCCAGACCTTTCAGACGAACATCAACTACCTCTCTGCTCCTGTCGATGTGTATGCGGATTGGATCGACGCGTGTGATGCGGTAGCAAAGGAGGCCGCGAAGGGGAATGCGGCGACGGAGAGGTCCGCGGATAGGAGGGGCGGGATGCCGAGGGGCCCAGCAGACCCGGAGGATGATGGTTTCATTGAGCATGATGATTTGGACGCGGAGGGGGAGTACGCGGACTAAGGAGCCCACACGAGTTCGCGCGACAACATCTACGCTTCTCCAAGGACACTTGTACAACATGAAGTATGACGGGGATGGGCTGGATTATGGCTCGCATGGCGTTTACGGTATACCATGGAAAAGGATCCCACGGATCTACGGTGGCGTTTGCGATAATTTTCGATATTTTCAAGTTCTGAAGGGATAGCGGAGCATTGCTTGATACTTGTCAGATTCGAGTAATTTATGGACTACCACCTCTCTTCCACTAAATCTCCTTTATGATACATTGATTCATCAAGTATCCTAGTGCTAATCTATGCAAAAGCAAGCCGAAGCAAACCCACGCCCCACTAAATGCTCATTATCGTTGAATTGAGTATGTATGCTTACATGGTGTAGAAGCGATCACCAAAGTCACCCAGCCCAGGAACAATGTAGCTAAAGCGACACTTAGCGCTGAACGTTCATGAAAAGGAGGGGAACTCACTTCTTCTCATCCAGACCCTGATCAACGAATGCCGTGACCACCCTGACCTTAGGAAATTGATCGGCAAGGTTCTTCGCACCTTCCGGGCTCGCAATGAGATTGAGGAAGAGGATATGGTCCTCTGGTACACCCCTCGATTTGAGCACATCAATCGCCATGAGCGCCGAACCCCCTGGCCACAGTCAGCAAAATCTCATTACCACTCACTCAAAAACTTACCAGTAGCAAGCATAGGGTCCAGCAGTAACACCCATCGATCCGAAATATCCTCAGGCAACTTGTCATAATACAACTTCGGCTTACTCGTCTCCTCATCCCTCTGGATCAAGATCTTCCCGATCCTTACTGACCTACAGCAGTCCCTAAGGCCCTGCTCCATGGATTCGCCAGCCCTCATGATGCTGACACCGCAAATCTTGCCTTCAAACTTGACGCCAGAGTACGTGCGACCTACGGGCGTGGTGATCTCATGTTCAACCACGGGTAGGTGATTGAGACCCTCTTCAACAAGAAGCCGTATGATGCGGTTGCTGTAGAAGATGAAGTCTGCACGGCCGGTATTATGATCACGTATCATCCTTGTTCATGGTTAGAATCCAAGAGCTCAGTGTTTGTGAGGAGTCTTACGTTAGCAGCGCTATCAGCTGCGGTGTCTGGGGTAAGATATGGACATTGGCTTGCTGGAGAGGGGTAGAAACCGTTGCTGTCGGTTTCTGCGTGGCAGGCCGGTATTCAGGTCCTACGCTTTGCGATGGAGGTTGAGACTGAGACTGAGACTCGGACGACATGTTGGAACCGGGCACCTGAGATGAGGGGTCGTGGGCTGGCCAGTGTTAGCCGAAGGCTGCTTTAGATGGCAGAGCCTGATTCACATTGAGTAGATGATGTGTGAAAATAGATTTGCGAAGAGGCAATTTGCCAGGAAGACGTTTTGAGAGACTGACCTTCAATAGGCGGAATATTGTGCTGCTTGCTAAACTCGACACTTGGGGTGAATGGGAACGTGGGGTACACAATTGGTTTAAAAGTAGGACCAGATGTTAGACGAGTATGTAACAAACGGACACGACCTCGAGATAAGAGAGAAAGAAGAGGAGCTGAAGCGTAAGTAGGCTCGAAGTCTAGGCTCGTGACCATCGGCGAGCTCCATCTCTTCGTTTAGCGGGAACGAGCAGGGCTGACGGTCAGCCCGTCTGGGACTAGCGTGCCTGCCGTTCGAAGATCTGATAACGGGACCCTGCCGTGCGAAAGCCACCCGGCCGCGTTCGTCATTGCTCTTTGCGGACATGCCGCCAGCCGTCGCCGCTTCCAATGTTGCCACAGGTGTGTCACCGTAGCGGTGAAACAAAAACAACTGAATATCAATCACCGTGAGAAAACGCGCCTGTCCGTTGACTCACTTTAATGTGAACTTCAAATAAGCCATCACACCTTCTGTTGACATCGGTCGGGTCGACCCGACCCCCATACAACCGCGATGCGCGCCTGAACGGTATTTTTTCGAGGGTCACATCTACACCACTACCCTCAACATGGCAACCTCCATGTTCTCCAACTTTACCTCTGCGGATCGCCGCAAGAGATTAGTAACCTACGGCAAGCCGTCGCGACTATCGACGACCCCGGCACCAGCACCCGCTTCAAACGACGACGCGCCATCGCCCGAGCGACCGCGAAAACATACCGCGACCTCCAATGGGACGTTGAAAAGGCCAGGAGGGATCGGAACTAATCTAAAAGCTGCTAGCAGTTCAGGCGGCGCGCGTGCGAACACTGGGAGTCCCGATATCTACGATGTACCCTCCGAAGACGATTTTGTCGCGCGCTCCATCAAACCTGCAAGGAAATATCCAACAAGGGATAGACCACCTGGAGACGTTTTTGAGGTCCCTCTCTCAGAAGACGATGCTCCTGCGCCAAGTCGAAGACCCGTCAAGGCTGTACAGCCGTCGCGCAAGCTTGCGACAGTGAAGAAAGCAGTTGCCGCCGTTGAAGAACCGCAAAAGCCCGTACAGCTGCCAAAATCAGCACGAGTACCCCAACCTCCATCCGATGACCCTGTGGCGCCTCTCGTACGACGCAGAAAGACACCCCAGCCTGTGCAGAAAGCGAAGCAAGATACACAGAATAGGGAACAGGAACAACAACCGGTAGTGGTTGCGAAGCCAAAGGCATCTTCACGGGCTGTCACTCCTGCTCTGTCTACATCAAAGGCTCGGAAGGATGCAAAGTCCACGTTGGGATCAGCCCTTACAAAGGCATCGGTACAAACATCGGCGATGAAGAAATTAGAAGATCCGGACGTGTACGATGTGCCTTCTTCAGACGAAGAAGAACGTTTGCCGACCCGACAACCAGTCCGTCGAATTCCAGCAGCAAAATCGAAAGCCCCAACAAAGTCGCTGAAAGCAAGTACCGAAGCCCACAAAAGCTCCGTAGAGTCTGATGGTTCGAATACATCAAAGAAGCGGAAGCGCAAAGGGTCCATATCTTCGGTGACTACCGTGAAGCCAACAATCGAGCGAAAGCGAGAACCATCGGTACCTCAACGTAATCACAAATACCAGAAGAAAGAAGATAGTATATCACCGGGGCTTGATATGCCACACAAGCCCGATGTAACTGCTGCGCCAGAGGTTCAAACTGCAATACTCACGGTCAACAAACCCAGGAGGACGCGATTACGCACAGTACCTGTGCTTGCACGGCCGGCCATATCGAAGGGACAATCATCACCAGCTGCACTGCATACTATGCTCCCTACGCGCCCTCTATCCAAGCCGTCTCCTATTGCCGAAGTGCCTGAGGTCACGGCACTGGAAGATGAAACCATGTATGCTATTCCAGATCCGTTAGCCACGCCTGTCCGTTCTTCAAAGATGGTCCCCCCAGGCTCAGTAACACCGCGCCAAAAAGCGCTGTTTAGCAGCTTGTTGGGCGAATCTTCCTCGTCAACCCGTATGCCGGGTATATCTACACTGCAGCTAGCGGATCGGAGCCCGAGGCCGCTTCTTGGGGCCTTGTCGAGGTCAAAGTCTGACCTCACTTGCAGTGCTCAGGTCCGGAAGCCTAGACTCATTGATACAATTAAGCGTGCTGAGACTAGCTCGGACGATGAGGATGAAGACGACGATAGCACGAGCGACAGCGATGAAACCACTGCAGAGATATTTCATAACGGAAGTGCGATCGAAAAGCCACCAACCACTCGACATTCTGCTGCTATTTTATCTGATGGCATGGATGTCGCCGATATAGCTGCGGCCTCGCAAACATCACAGCCTACTTCTGGCCCCGGAACCAGCGCTAAGCTCACGTATGCAAAGGCTCGGTCTTATCTGGAAGAAGCTAATCCTGAGGATGCTCTCCTAATCTCAATGGATCTTGATGACAACCTAGGCTTCGACTCACAGAGGAAAGACTGCATGTCGGAGGACGAAGATGATCCCACTAATCAGGTTCAAGCTCATCACGAGCTTAAAAGACAAGGCCAACAGAAAGCATTCCATTGGGAGGCGGAGATGTCGATCGACGACATCTCCAACAAGACAAGCAACGGCATTCGCCGCAGTGCAATGTTGGAGCTTTGCACCAAGATGGCTGACACAACGTTCACTAACCAGCTTCTCGACTCGTCCTTGGCCCACCAATTCTTCAGCAATATGTCCTCGAACGGAGAGGTAGTTTTCGACTTTGCCACCACTATCGCTCTTATCTTCGTCTTCAGGACCAATCCTACCTACACTGTTCTAGATCAGATTCACCGAACTGGCATCATTACAGCCCTAATCAATCTTGCAGACAATGATATGGATATTCAGAGAATCGCAAAAGATCGGAAGACAAATTTGTCGAAGATAGCACAAGAATCTGTGCTAAAATTTCGCACTCTCGTACATGAATCTTCTATCTGGCACTCAGAGAAGCCCGACAAACTGTCACCACAGCTTGTCGCTTTGAAGGCCTTTGACTCGCTCATAGTTGGTCTTCGAAAGTCTGATAGTCGCGAGCCGCTGGTCAGTCAGGCGGAGATCTCGAGACTGGTAGACATGACCTCGAAACCGTACGAGCTAGTGAAATCTGGCACGGGATCGACACATGATACTCTGGTCCTAAACTCGATTCTTTCAATACTTGAATCTGTCTCCGTCGCAGGACAGAAGCAACCGGTATGGTCTATCGGCATTCTTCAACGCTTGGCGGATCTGTTACCCGTCTTCTTTGGACATGACACTGTCTCATCCACCATGCTAGCTGTGAAGCTCTGCATGAACCTGACGAACAACAAGCCTAAAGCCTGCCAACCATTTTCGGGGACGACGTTCGTTCGCCCTCTTGTGGCATCCATCATTTACAACTTCGAACTTCTCAATGCTGGTATAGGGTTGGAGCAGCGAACGGAGGTGCTAGAGAGTCTAATACTTAGCTTGGGCGCCATGATTAACCTGGCGGAACTCAGCGATTCAGCAAGGTGCAATGTGGACGACGGGGATCAAGCGATTGGTACCCTGGTCCGGATTTTCCTTGAGGGATCAGAACGCGCATCTCAAGTATGTTCACGGCTGGTACATTTTCAAGACAATGCTAACTTTGTCCCAGGCTAAATCGATGGAAGAGTCTCACTCTAGCGTAGCTGTCGGCTACCTTACGGTACTTCTCGGCAACCTTTGTCTCAATAGCATTGTAGGAGCCAAGATCCGCACGCAGCTTCCAGACCAGCGACTCGATATGCTCATCGATAAGATCAAAGAGTTCGTCCAGTTCCATGAGCGCGTCGATCGCAAGACTAGGCAGTTCGATGGAGAAGAAGGCCAGGAGACATGGCAGAACTACATTGCTCGTCTGATGCTTGTAGTTGAAAAGTTGGAGAAAGCAGAGGCGCAATAGGCTATTTTACACCCTCGACAGGCTGATGTTGTCGTGCATGGCATAGCACATGCAGCAGCAAACATGGACGTGAAGCGCTTTTCCTTTGTATAATTAGACACTCGGATTGCTTATCGTCGAGAAGCACTTGGGGCTTTTGTCATGGGCGTTTGTCATTCGGCGGTCACATCACGATACCCCAAATTATGAATATGCAGTAATTATCCGGGCGGGCATTATACCCCGGGTTTTGGTCCAGGACTTGGGAAGCAGGATAGGAAATCCATGCAGTATGCCGTCAGCGGTCTTTAGGCTAGCACATCTACCGCAGTATATAGGAGGGAAATGCAGAGTTACACATTCGTACACTGGCCTCGTATCGGCCTTGTATGAAGTTGGGCACATTCAGTAGGTTAAGGCAAATGAGGCCTGTAACGTCGTATTTGTAAGGCTGCACCCGTCCCACGAACTCGGTTGAAGTGACGCAGCAGGGTTTTGGAGCCGGCAACTCGATAGTTCTGCCGTCGGAACAATATAGGCCATGCTTCGAAAGTTGTTCTGTGCAGCACAAGCTACTATGGCAGGCACACAAATCACACAAATCTCTACCTATGCATGTGATGGAGCTTGACTCGACGTGTATTGATTCGGGTAAAGTGACCAACGGGGACTCGGGGGGGTAACTGCTGGACCCGTCTAGTTTTCTCGCCGCTCCGAAGACATCGCGGCATGTTCTAGTGTGCATGGCTGACATCTAGACTGTGTTGCGTTTGTTGGGTGCGATGGTAAGTGTGCGCTAGGCTGTAGGATGATTGATATCACGTAAATTGAATGTCTGGGATTCGTCGACGGCTACTCAGCATACACAGGAAGCTTGCTGCCAGGCCCAAAGAGAAGCACGCTGTTTGTCCCAGGCCCAATCCAGTTGTCATCTGGCTGTTGCCCAACCATGGTATGCGGATGCTACTCGCTGTTATACGGAGTGTCCCGGTTCTTGCTACCAAATGCAGCGAGAGGGCATGACGGCACTATGTAGACACGCGGCCGGGCGCTTTTTTAAATTTTGAATGGCCACCTCTTCTCGCTACGTTGCTCGCCAGACTTTACCTAACTATTCCACACACACCTCGTCAAGCACTTGAAAGGGAACCTGTAGCGTAGGCTTGGACTAGTTAGTTAACAAGCCAGTCTATTCTATTTCCCCTCGGTGCCACCTGCGGGCTGACGGTCCACGGCGTCATTCCGATCTCACGACTAGCTCCAAGCTAGCGCCTCCAGGCAATCGGCAAGTCCAAACGCATCTTAGGCAGCGACGTCTTCAGCGGTGGACAGAGACCGCCAGACCTCAACCCTGGCGAGTCGTTCAGCTTCTTCACGCCCTCCTCAGAAAGCCAGCAGCAAGATGCCGGCGCCCAAACAGAGAAAGATGGCCATCGTGGGCAGCAGAGCTGTCGGTGAGTGGCTGCGAACTAGCTTCCCGCTTTGTTCTTCACATGTGAGCAGCACAAGCACAGGTAACTGACTGAGATGCGAACAGGCAAGTCGAGTCTCACGGTGCAATTCGTCGACGGCCACTTTGTCGACAGCTACTATCCGACCATTGAGAATACCTTTAGCAAGATTATTCGATACAAGAACCAGGATTTCGCGACGGAGATTATTGATACTGCTGGACAGGTACATGAGTTTTCTTTACTCCCCGCATCGCGTCGCATCGCGAAGCTCCACGCCCCACCTCCACCATTGACATGGTCTCATCATCACCACCAATTCACGACATCGTATTGCACATGAGATGTTGCGGCTAAGACTGTTTACGAGGACCCGACTGACAAGGGTACTGTTTACCAGGATGAGTACAGCATCCTCAACTCGAAACACTTCATTGGCATTCATGGCTACATGATTGTGTACTCGGTTGCTAGCAAGCAGAGCTTCGAAATGGCACGCATTATCCGCGACAAGATCCTGAATCACCTCGTAAGTCTCGTCAGCTTTCACTCCTCCACTCCTCCTACGAACCTCAACGTGCAGCACCTAATCACATACAACCATCTAGGCTGTTGAATGGGTCCCTCTCGTAATCGTAGGCAACAAATCCGACCTCCGTCCCGAACAACGCCAAGTCACCCCCGAAGACGGCCGCGCCCTCGCCGCAGAGTTCAAGTGTGCCTGGACCGAGGCGTCGGCACGATACAATGAGAATGTGCAGAAAGCATTTGAGCTCATGGTCGCAGAGGTGGAGAGAAGCCAGAATCCTGGTGAGCCCGCTGCTGGCGGCAAGTGTATAGTCATGTGAGAGATGATGACTGACATGAGTTGTGTCTGTGAGGTGTACCGGTGGAGCAGTTGGAGCAGCTCAGGCTCGAGCGTGAACGGAAAGAAGAGAGGCGCATGCGGAGGAGGAGATGCTGTTTTCTGGGTGCTTTGATGCCCAAGGACCTTTGATAATTCATGGGCTAGACGGCATAGACGGTGGTTGATTTGGGCACACTACAGGATTTCTACTGGCTTGGTACCACTATCGAGGCATAATGGCGTAATGGTGTTTGAGCAGAGGCGTAAAGGGTGTTATCAGGTACTTTGTTTGAGCATGCTGTCATGATTCTTTTACGGCCTTCGTTTGCTTTTATCGATAGACGGAATACATTCAAAGCAAAGGGTAATACAGCTTGACCATTCCTTGCCCACTCTTCTTGATCTGATCGGTCTGACCCTGCATGTGGACTCTAGCAGGTAGCTCCACATGCAATGCACCGACCACGCCCTGACCTTGATTAGGAAGCTCTGAAGCTTTGACGGGACAGCCGCCGTCTTCGACAGATCGCAGCCTACCTACTCTTCTAGGAAGCTGGAAGCTCCTCGGACCCAGCTACGCCGAGTCGAATAGCTTCTTCGATCCGTGGTGGCTCACTGGCAGCCACAGCCACAGCCACAGCCACAGTACAAGCCACACCTGCCCCGCCATGGCACGGACCAATTGTGTCCCTGACTCAAGCGACACCACAATTGTGACTTGCTCAGCTGCGACTTTCTGCCCAACACCAATTCCACCGCCTACGTTCTTTACATCGTGAGACAAGATGTTGGACATGTAAGTCATTTCCTACCATGTTCGGCCGTCTACCTCTTGGGCTCCACGTGTGATCTTCAGGGTAGAGGACTTTCAACTAACATAGAGGGGTAATAGCAACGACTTCATCAAGGAGCGTGGCGGCGACCCAGAGAAGATCCGCGAGTCGCAGCGAAAGCGACATGAACCCCTCGAGATTGTAGACGAAATTATCGCAGACTTCGAGGACCACCGCAAGACACAATATGCCGCCACACAAATCGGGTCCAGCATCAACGCCCTGCAGAAGCAAGTGGGCCAGAAGAAAAAGGCCAAGGAGAACGCCGACGACCTCGTTGCTGAGATGAAGAAGCTTCAGGAAGAAAAGAAGGCCAAGGAAGAAGAGGCAACCGAGAAGTTGAAGAAGCTGAATGCCAAGGCTAAGACCGTAGGAAACTACGTCCACAAGGATGTCCCAGTTTCGGACAACGAGGACAACAACGAAGTAATCAGGACATGGGCGCCAGAAGACAGAAAAGCCGAGTTCAAGAATGACGGTATCCCCCACCACGGCGTCCTCGCACGACTCAACGGCTACGATCCAGAGCGCGGCGTTAAGGTCGTAGGCCACCGCGGCTACTGTTTGACCGGCTACGGCCTCTTCCTCAACCAGGCTCTTGTCTCATATGGCTTAGAATACTTGTTTCATAAGGGCTATACACCGAACCAGCCCCCCTTTATGTAAGTAACGTCCATGTACAAAATGCATATGAAAAATATTTCTTACACCAAGATTTAGGATGCTTCGGGACGTCATGGCGAAGACTGCACAGCTATCGGATTTCGACTCTGAATTATATAAAGTCACGGAGTCCAAAGACAGGCCGGAACTTGATAAATATCTCATTGCCACTTCGGAACAGCCCCTCTCTGCTCTGCACAGCGAGGAGTGGTTACAAGGTGACCAGTTACCAATTCGTTACGCTGGGTATTCTACGAATTTCAGGAAGGAGGCTGGCTCTGGTACGAACCCACAAACGAAGACTATTCGAATGTTTTGCTAACATACGGATAGTGAGTATTAAACCTTATTTTCATCACTCTTTGCGGGCCCAATCGGAGATAACCGGAACTATGGTTATTAGCTGCGCCACATAAGCCACAGCGCGGCCCGTAGCAACATTGGCCGAGATAGTATTCGAACATCATTTAGGGGGCATGCTAACGTGTCGCAGTCGGGCAAAGATACCTGGGGTATCTTCCGTATACATCAATTCGAGAAGGTGGAGCAGTTCTTGATTACCCACCCAGAAAAAAGCTGGGAAGCGTTCTCTGAAATGCTTGCTACGTAAGCTGCAACTCCCTGACATACTCCTGCGTCAACTCGCTCACGTCGTTAAAGTTCAGAGGAATTCTATCAATCGTTAGGACTTCCATACCAGGTTATCAATATCGTCTCCGGGGCCCTTAGTATGTGGAAATTCATCGAAAATCCCACGGACGAGGGCTGACATTATGCAGATAACGCAGCGGCAATGAAGCGCGACCTCGAGGCTTGGTTCCCGGTCACTGGTGGTGGCGAGTATAAGGAGCTCGTTTCCATCTCGAATTGCACAGACTATCAAACGAGAGAGCTGGAGATTCGACATGGAACTAAGAAGCTCAACGCGACACGCAAGGAATACGTCCATGCACTGAACGGTACACTGTGCGCAACCGAACGAACCCTTTGCTGCATCCTCGAGAACTACCAAACACCCGAAGGTTTCACTGTCCCGGAGGTGCTGAGGAAATACATTCCCGGTCAGCCAGAATTCCTACCATTCGTCAAGGAATGGAAGGCACCCAAGGATGACAAGCCACTCCCAGACCGAACAAAGCAGACATAATCGGGGATGGGTGGTTATGGGCTTGAAGAGTGGATGGAATGAACGTTCGTCATGAAAGGGTATGCAAAGTTAGTTGGCTCTTATGTGTGCAAGATTGGCCATAAAAGCCTTGCGCATATGCATATGTAAAACTCATAAAGTCTCAACGTGGAAAAGGAATACAATATGGATGATGATCTTCAAAGTTTTGACCTGTGATATTGTGGTGCTGAGGATTGCCGTCCAACCTAGGAAACGAAAAGATCCCAGTCTATTGTGTGCACCTTCTTAGAGAGGGTGTGTTCAAACAGATTAAAAGGTGGTATCTAGCAGCATGTGCTCAAATTTGACGGTCAGTGCTTCGAAAGCGGCGCGGCGGGTCTTTGCGCGTAGAAATTTTATGCGCAGGGCCACGGCCAGGAATTATCGCCTCGGCCAAGTCGATGAGAACGTGGTTGTTGATTAAGCGCATGGCTTACCCGCACCGGGGAAGCCGTTGAGAAAAATAATGCAGCCTTGCTTTGCCTTCTGACTATAGTGCCAAAGATCGTGTAGGTAGTTAATCCCAGATGGATGCTCCTTCTTCGTGGCTGCAACAGCCCGTCCATGTGTCGCTGGAACATGGATGAGCATGCAGAAGTTTGTATTAGTTTCATTCCGCTATGCAAGGCCATGTCGCTTGTTGAATTTGGTCCGTAAGCGCGATTGGTCTCGAATGTTTTTTCTTCTATTGCCTAGAGAGGTAAGACCTGAAGACTATAGCTATAATACATGGGTATAAGTTACAGAGAAGGTATGCGCGAATCCAACCCAGTTTAATGGCGGCGCTGGTCCTTGGTACTCATGGCCTTGTAGTCATTTATTCCTGCTGTGACATGTGCGTAGGGAAATTATAGTCCGTGTAATCGATATGCACAAAGGCACGGTCGACGTACGGCACACTCTCTGTAGCACAGTTAGTCACACGTCCATGCCTTCTAGTAACACTTTCACGGTCTTCACTTACCCAAAACATATTGCAGACTCTCGCCAAGATCATGACTATCACGCAGCCCCATGTCCACATCTACTACGATGTCCACTTCGACATTGAGTTTATCCCCTGCATGGTACGCTTGCAGCCCTTGAATCCTCTTTATAGACTTTGCAAACCGCATCGTCATATACAGCAGCACATTTCTCTGGTCTGCCGTCGCACTAGCACCCGTAAGGTTACGGATATGTTCGGCGGATGTCGTAGACCAGTTGATAATTACGTAGGCGGACAGCAAGATACCGCCTAAGCTGTCTAGCCACCAGATATCAAGGAAGTAGCCAAGGAGGGGGAAGAGGATGGAGAAGGTATTGAACACAACATCGGTTGCGGCGTCTTGGGCGAGGGCTTGCACGGAGGAGTTGCGGATTAGGCGACACCAGACCCAGCACAAGCCCTTGATAACCACCGTTGAAGCCATGATGGCTACAGCTGGCACAGTGAGTTGGACTACGGTATGGTCATCGCCGGAGAGGCGCGAGATTCCTTCAATACCGACCTGGAAAAACGATGTCATCATGATGACGGAAAATATCAGGACGCCAATGGGTTCCAAGCGTCGCCGGCCTACGGGGTAGGCATATCGGTCCTGCCGGGCGATCATCCACGATGTGAACCAGACAATGGCTGTGCTGAGGAAGTCGAGCGCTGCATCGACCAAGGAGGCAAGCACGGAGAGCGAGGATGTGAGGACCGCAACGATGATCTTCATTATCAACAAGATGGTGTTTGCGAACATGTTCACGTAAATTGCGAGCTTGACAATGGGGGATTCGGTGTCTTCATCTTCGTCCGGAACCCAGTCCTTGAGTTTGGAGTCAATGGCCTCTCTCTCTTCTTCCTCTTCTTCATCCTCAAAGAGATCGTCATTTTGCGAAAGTAAAGGCTGGTTTTCGTCGGCCTCAGGGACTTTGTAGAGGTTCTTGGGCGTGCGTTTGACCATGGCTTTGGGGGCACCATTGGTGCCATTGGTGCCGTAGCTTGCTGACGTGCGACTAGACTGTAGACCAGATCCGTTCTCACTAGATTTCACGGGGGTGTTGGCGCCAGGGGTAATGGCCAGAGGGGTAGAGGCTGCCGACGACTCCTCGGTGATTGTGGACGGGATCTTGACTGCGCCCGATTCGAGATTCGTGTACTCTTGAATCAAATTGTGTGGGAGAGACGAGTCAAGCAGGCGATCGATGTACATGTAGTGCTGGAGGAGCTGGTTGTTGCGCTCGTAGTACTCTCGTATTGGCTTCTTCATACCCTTGAGCTCCTCGTCCCGTTTGTAGTACCTCTCCCACTTGTACCTTGGATTCGAATTGCCAATCAACCGTTGGCTCCTCATCTGCGGTGTATTCAATGCATGTGCACCCACACTGTTCCTACGATCTAAATCCCGATCATATTGCATTAGCAGCCCATGTCTAGAGCTTTCTAGGTCTTCATCGTCGGTGTCGCTTCCTCTACGCTCGTTACTACGAATGGTGGACGGTCTGCGGTAGAGCAGGCTTGGTAGATGTTGGCCACGCGTTGATAGGGCAGTTGGCTCGTGTGTAAGAGGGAGGAAGAGCTTAGAGCTGACGAGGCGCGGGAGGCTGGCTGGAGAGGGCGATTTAGAGGGAGGTGTTGACGGAGAGTCTGCCATGGCTGAAAGAACTATGGGGGAGCGAGAGATCAGAGTTCTAATAGTCCTGCGAAGAGGAAGAGTTGCGCGGAGACCAGATAACAACAAGGCTGCTGCTCTTCTTTCTCTTATCTGGCGTGGCGGATGCGCATGCGCTCAGCAGCTCAAGACAAGACGAGACGAATTCGGTCCGGGAGATGGGGCGCTATGAAACAATTGCGCTCTGCACGACCCGGAGACGCATGGTAGAGGAGTGTAGCCGGTTGCTGGTGCGGAAGAAAAAGGCAGCAAACATTTGCGCCGAAACGGAGCGTCTACTCACTTTGAGCGGGATCGACATCATTGTTCGCTAATCCTTGCGACGCGCCCTGACATCGTTAGCGCCTCTCGCGAATCTGGGGTCGCGACGTTGCTGACCATAGATTGCGCCCCAGTTCGTCTGAACGTTGTTTCACGAGTACACATGCCCAGCACGGAAATACTTGTCTCGATCCTTTCATTATTTATGAAAGGCCTTGATACCGCTAAGATAAATTCTGACCGCCCCCTGGCACTTCTCTGCCTGGGTCCACCTGGACTTGATGCAGGCATTTCCATAAATGTGTTGATCTTCACTCGCGCGTACACTAGTGCTGTCGCATATCCATGCCGCGATGCAGGCACCATATATTCTGCCCCGTGTGTCTTTCGCTCGTGCACGACTGAACCCAAACTCACGCATCCTACTAGTTGAACTCAATTCGAAGCCTCGTCAACGAGTCTATACCAGCATTTGAGGCTATTCCCGTATCAGTCCTCGACTTGCGCTGTAGACATGGCCAGACCGTCCTGGACGCATGCGTCTATAATGGACGTGAAGATGTGCGCGCTATTGACAATACGCTTCCGACACTGATCCTTGTCATACACAAGATGCTCATGAAAGACACACGAATTGGGTATGCAGTCTTCAAATTTGAATGGGATCCCTCCTGCACCAGAAAAGTGGTTCTGGAGTCGCTGTGCCTGGGCAAGACTGACCTCAAATGCGAAGTCTGGATTCATAGCCTGCATCGCCTGCATCTTGGTGGCACAATCCCCACTCGGTTCCGACAGCCACAAGAAGGCCGCTGAGAGTATCTGAAACCGCAGGAACGTCGAAGACTTGGGCAGGTTGTCGTACGCGAAAGCAATCACGACATCATCAGTCTCAGGCCACCAGTTCCCGGCGAAGGTTTGGCTTAGCAAGCTGGTCATGATGTCGTCGCGTAGTTGGTGGATGTTGTACTTGTCTGCAAAGATGTACAGGCGTAGGTAAGCGATCATCATGGATCGATAATTTACAACCGACTCGACATCCTCAGAGTATAGCTCGTCCGTTGCTTTAAGGTGGTAGTGGTCTTCGTCACAAGCAAACATTACTGCGCCATGGGGCCTTAAGCCGCCGTTCAGCTGAAGGTCCTTCTTGCTGTCGCTATTGCTATCGCTTTGAACGCCATCATCCACTGTGTCTATATGCGAAGTGGAGTTTGTAAAGGCACTCTCGAGGTTTGTAGGGCGGTATGGGAGAATTTTGGTTTGGCAGAGAAGCACCTGAGGGGTAGGTATCGAGACGCTAGTTGATTGTTGATCCGTCTGCATATGTGCCCATCGAAGGAATATGCGAAATGTCTGCTCAGAGACGTCGGTTAAGGAAATAGTGCGATCGATCGCCTCTTTGAAACAGCCTTCGAATGCGCCTAGGAAGTAGGGTGACACTGCAGTGAGGACATCGCAGTAGACCGGAATGCTCACTGCCTCCTTTGGGTCTCCAACGCGTATTGTAACCATGTCGAAACTCATCGTTCTGGATTAACAGTCAGCTTTGCTGGTCAAATGTAAGTCAGGTTATAACTCATTCGTCTCACAAGAAATTCGGGGCTTTGCCAGCCTGAGGTTTACGGTCTGGTGTCATGGAGGGCTATTCAGTCGAGAAGGCTATTCGTAGTGTTGAGTAGACTGAGATGTGAAGGTTTGCGCGATGATTTATACTAAATGTGCTGACAGTAGTATCGAGGGCGAAGGGTCAAGATCTGCTACCATGGTTGACCGTCGAACCAGTGGGGCACCTACCATGGAAGAATCAACGTAATTACATATATTCCCGCTCTCAAACAACACTCATAGAATACCAATAGCCCAATAGGTAGTTGCTAGGGCATAAACACTTCCGAGGAAGAGTTTCCGACCAACCCTGGAAACCCACCCCGGGTTCTTTTCGGACGTCTGAGTTTGGTTGACTTCGATTGTGCAGTTCGTGACCTAAGCTACCATGAAGGATTTTGTTTTCTTTCTAGCTCTCTGCACGAGTGAAATCTGCTGCCATCTTCGTCGCGTCTCGTATGAATGTCGGTACAGAGTGGAGTACGAGGTCAGAGGGAGAGGGCAAGCTGCTGAAGTGACGGCATAAAACATCGATGTTTTGCCTCCACTTGGTCAAATTATCTCCAACGCCACCGAAATTCTTGCATGACCTTTCTGACACTTTTAGTCATGAAGGCGAACTTGCGATGTAGTCTATGAGTGGAGGTTTGCTGGCTGCAGCAAAGTGCATGTTCCGAACCCGTCATCCCTTTTGGGTTAGATCAACTTGGCGCACCGCCCACAACGATTGCTCGCTTAACACCCTCTCCTCAAATTTTAACGACTTCACCTTTCGACATCCCGACTACGCACGTCAAGCAGTCAAGATGCCGGTACGCTATCGCCCTGTTAACAGATTCATCGCAATCATCGGAATATTGACGCCCTGCAGAGCCAAAAGTCCTTCCGCACCAAGCAGAAGCTTGCCCGCGCGCAAAAGCAGAATCGCCCGATCCCTCAGTGGATCCGCCTGAGGACCAACAACACCATCAGGTACGACGCACCCCGAAACGCCGCAATTTAGGAACCAAATACTCGTGGTCATGAGGAGCATGAGAGCATGGACTGACAGAATACTCACAGGTACAACGCCAAGCGCCGACATTGGCGCAAGACCCGTCTCGGTATCTAGACGACTCGCCATCGCACCCTCTCTCTCGATTCTCGATTTCATTACCTCCTTTACGACAATCGAATACCAAACAAGCGACATCGGGAACGAAATGGCGGCGGTCTTCAAAGCGGAGCACTCCCACGAATGAGGGATGCATGGAGTGGATTGGTGGGCATGTTACTTCACCGGGCACTCTCACTATGGCGCTTTGGGTCTGATATCGAAAAACGAGCATGATGGTTAGACTAGGCAGTGATGAATGAATACACTTGCTGGTCGAATGAAGACAATTGATCTTGTCTAATTGGTGATGTGGATAAAATGGCATGCTACTTGGCTCGTGATTCTAGATGCATCTTGATAGGGTCCCACAATCTCCAAAGACACGCCACTTTTCGCGCCTCTGCTAGCTAGTCTTCGTTGACTCCACGCCCAAACAGCACGATTCACCAGAAAGCGACTGCATCGCTCGCGACCGAAACCTCACGGGCGAAGCACCTCTACGCGGCCACATCAGCATCTGCATGCGAATGTTGCAACCCAACTCCGCCAGTTCGATACGTTTCTCCTTCTTCCCCTATCGGCCACTTCGCACCTGAAACTTTGGTCTCTCGCTCATATCCACCACCAGACATTTCTCCTCACTCTTCCCCGCAGTTTCATAAAGACTCACAACACCCTTCTCAATCCGAATTACCGTACTACTCCCTGCATAGCAAACCCCCTTTTCCATCCCACACCTGTTCGCCAATATGACATACACCGGCTTGTCTTCCTTCGCCTCCACAAGCGGCTGGAAGCGCTCTACCCAGTATGCCACGGTAGCGATATCGGGTTGTGTGGGGTCCTGCATCAGTTCGGTGGGTGTGAGGTGGCACAGCCAGGCCATCGAAATGCAGATAATGGGGGAAGAGGTGCTAAGGGCGAGGGAGGCGAACTCGTAGGCCGCCCAGGGGGAGGTGAAACGGTAAGGGTTGATGTCCATGCATATTCCTAGCGTAACTTTTCCCAGATTGCCCAGATCCCCGGCGAAGAAGGGCGCATCAGATGATGAGGGGTCTGAGAGGTGGTGTGATTGGGAACCAGGGCCTTCGGATGCCCATGTCTCGTCTGTGTAGTAGAGGAAGGATTTGCGGTAGTTGTGAAGAACCGTGCCTTGTGGATTGATGGTTACGGTGGAATTGTACTGGGTCTGTCTATCTGAAGGGTTGACAGACGGGATGGTGATTTCTGGATAGCCGATTGTTACGTGGCAGTTGTAGTGCCGCGCTACTTGAATGGCCCATTGTGTACTGACTCCCGATGTTGTGGGTTCCAGGAAGGGTCGAATCTCTTCTAGCGAATGGAAGTTATAACCTAGATGCTGTCAGTTTATCTCAACCACTTCAATGATTAATTTACGCGTTCAAGTCGTGTCTTTTGTCTTTTCCCTGGAAACCCCCGAGGGGCTGAAGTAAGAGAGGGTGCCTACCAGAGAATGCCAGTTCTGGTAGAACAAGCCAGTCCAGATCTGTCGGTATCCGTGTGTTTTGCAATATGTTATCTGCTCTGCGGATGTTCTCTTGGACTTTACCCACTTCAGGCGCAAATTGTAGACATGCGACCTTCATTTCCAGCTCTTTTGATATCGGCCAGATCAAATGATAACAGTCTGACTTCGATGATAGTGGTGGCGTTGTGTTATGTGTGATTGGTATTTCGAAGAATTAGGGCACTACTCCTTTCGACAGAAGGAAGGGAAGTCTCCGGGCTCATCAAACTGCGGCCTGATGGCTTCGTTATCTCGTGATTGTGGTGGCTCTGCCCAACGAAGCTCTCCAAGTTTATGATGTGGTCGCGAGCACCCCAGGATTGTGGTGGGATCTGAAAGATGTTGGGGCAAGAATCGAGACAATTGTCGTGAGCGTAGGGTGCTGAGATGTCTCTACAGTAGTCAAATTGGTGTATTTGTTTCTGAAGAGTAGCCCGAGAGACAGTAGCCAGCTGCCCGCACTAATGTAGACACCCCTGCACTTCGCTAACCAATTGTGCAGGAGCCGCCTTTCAGCTTAACTGCATCAAGCTATGACGCGGATAGTTTTCGATGGTTCTCACACGAGCTCGTACACCTTGCACAGCTGTCTCACACGCTGCGTCATGACTTTTCCGTACCGGTAGCCCTTTTCATCCATCGTAATGGCAGGCAGAAGACTTGTAGACGCTGCGAAGCTATTCAATGCCTCGAAATCCGTCGCCCAAAAGCACGTCGCGCTCCGGTCGAATCAGCTCGATGTATACAATAAGACATCGACCTTAGCAAGGGCTGTCAAGAACCAGACCGACCGCGTCACTCTCACAGCAGCGGCTGCTATCGCGCTCTCACAACGCTTCAGCGAGGAAGCTCCATTGTATGCAAAAGCCGCGGCGGAGCGCGCAACAGGCACACGGAATGGGGATATACCAAAGAGGGACATGGTGAAGAGAGACACGCCAGTGCAGGGTGCTAAGGAGGGAGTAGAGCAGGATCACCACTATGATCGGTCGGGGCAAAACACAGCCGTCGAACACCCGCGTGAGGATGAGCTGGAGGTTAAGCAGAAGCAAGCCCCAAGGCGCCCTTTGCCAGACGGGACAATTCCAACTGCAGGAGTAAATCTGGAGCAGGAGGGGCAGGACACATTCTCTAATAGACCAGTATCTGAAGCGCCGCAGGCGTCTCTGGCTCAGGATCAGGATGGACAGGCCCGGCATGAGCCTGAGGGACTAAAGCCGGTAGAGTCGACCGAGTCTACAATCCCACGCCCCGAACGGCCATTAAATGCTTCTTCACAACGTGCCGAAACAATACCTTCACACACAAATGATCTACAAAAGGCTGCGAGATCGCCGCACCTGCAGCAGCTACAAAACGGGCACGACAGGGACGTGTTCTATTCCAGATCAGTCGAATCACAGGCGGCCGCGTCCTCTCAGCCTCGCTCGCAAATACCTAAGCATACGGGATCGAAGCAGGAGAGCGATGAGCATGTCGAAGATGGCCGGTTAAATCAAGACGTGTATTATTCGGTTCCCAAGCCTGGGCAGGAGCAAGCGCAGAAAGTTACGCCAGAGGAGGATATCCCAGAGGGAATCAATACCGATGTATTTCACTCAAAACGCGTGGCAAGGATGCTTGGAAGCGATCCTTTGTCACGGAAAGAGCATCTAGAAAGGAGGAGCACCGGTAGGCACCCGCTTGATGACCGTCCGATATCTCAAGTCAATGCTACGTCCCATACCCGAGCTAGCGAGCAAGCTCAGTCTTCCCGCTCGGAATACCTATCACAACCTGCTACTACCGCGAAAGAGATGGAAGACCTTGCATCTCAGCTGGCTCGAGATGTCCGGTCGAATGCTACAGCACATGAGGTACAGATACCCCATTCTTTCGCATGCTGCATGCTGATTTGCTGACAGTTCCATCACAGTCACCCAGCGAGATAAGTACAGAACCGGAAAAGGCACCGTATACACTACGGGAGTCTAAGGTTCCATCATCACGAGTTGGCCGCCTATGGCAGTACGCGGGTCTCGGTACCAGCATGGCCCTCGGAGCTGTTGGTGAGAGTCTCCGCCGTGTGACTGGTACAGCTGCATCGACTACTGGCTCGCTGATGCTCAGTCCGGGAAACTTGGAGATTCTGGTAGCGAAGCTTTCACGCATGCGAGGCGCTGCTCTTAAACTTGGGCAAATGATAAGCTTTCAAGGTAAGTAAGTCGTATCATGGGGTTCGCATCATCTGACGACGTATAGATATCAAGATGCTACCACCTGCAATCCACGACGTTCTACAACGCGTACAAGACAGCGCGGACTATATGCCCGCCTCGCAGCGAAACAAAGTCCTCTCCAACAACCTTGGCGAAAACTGGCGTGACCTCTTCGAATCCTTCGAAGATGTTCCGATTGCTGCAGCTTCGATCGGTCAAGTCCACAAAGCAGTCCTCAAATCGACCGGTCAAGCCGTTGCAGTGAAGGTCCAATACCCGGGCGTCGCTGGTTCCATCGACTCCGACCTGAGCAACCTATCCATACTACTAACCGCATCCCGCCTACTGCCCAAGGGACTATATCTCGACAAAACAATTGCCAATGCACGCACAGAACTTGGCTGGGAATGCGACTACACGCGCGAAGCTGAATGCCAGACCCGATTCCGCGACCTCCTCACCGACGACACAGACGTCTTCACCGTGCCTAAAGTCTTCCCCGAAGCTAGCGGGAAGCAGGTCCTCACTGCAGAGCTCATGCATGGCGTTGGTGTAACGAAACTCAAGAATCTAACGCAAGAGCAGCGTGATTGGATTGGTACACAGATCCTACGCCTCTGTCTGCGAGAGATCGTTGAGTTCAAGTTTATGCAAACAGATCCAAATTGGTCGAACTTTCTCTACAACGCTGAGAAACAGAAAGTTGAACTCCTCGACTTTGGCGCGAGCAGAGAGTATCCCGATGAATTTGTCGAGCCGTATATCAAGGTCCTTATCGCCGCCTCCAAAGGCGATCGCGATTCTATTCGCGACCTCTCCCTTGAGCTTGGATACTTGACTGGCAGTGAGAGTCCTGCGATGCTCAATGCACACATAGATTCCGTCTTGACACTCGCCGAGCCCTTCAGTGGTTCGGGACCTGAGGTGTATGATTTTAGAGACCAGACGATTACAGACAGAGTCAGGGGACTGATCCCGGTGATGGTCAATGAGCGGTTAGCGCCACCCCCAGAAGAGACGTATTCGCTGCATCGCAAATTGTCTGGCGCTTTCTTGTTGTGTGCGAGACTGGGGAGTAGGGTACCGTGTCAGGAGCTTTTCATGATGGCAGTGAAGACTTGGGAGGGAAAGGCGACGATGAAATAGAAACTCTGCACTCTCGTATCCTGTCGGCACACTTCTTTCTTCAGACTTCTGTTGTTACTAGATATTGTATATTATTATGTTTGGTAATGAGCATATCGATCACCACGCCTCAAACTCGGCATATTCTTCGTCCGCCGTTTTCACAACATTACATTTCAATATGCAGTTGTTCATACCTATGTTTGCGTTACAATGTTTAGGCCTTGGGTTTGGAGCGCGTTGTGATAACGACTAGATTGTGGGCATTGGGTATTTGTGCTACAGGCGTAAAAGTTTTATTCTAATCATCAATCTACCGAAGTTCTGAAGTGAACTGTCGACTATGATCATTTACTCTAGCTACAAATACAGCTTTAAAGTTATATATTTTGTTGGGATGGAAAGTGTTGTGAGTTTCTGCAGTTATTTGGTGGTATGGGCACACGTAGTAATGCATTTCGAAGGAGGAGCGTTGGCTCTTCAGACCAAGAAACAAACCAAAAGAGGCAAAGAAAACTAAGCCCCATGATGTATACTCCTCATTATGCAATGCGTATGAACGAACTCTATTGTACATGTTGCTCAATGACAAAAGGTGCGAAGTTTTCGCTAACCGCCAAATCTATTTTTTCTGCTCCGCCTCCTTTTCCACCTCCTTTTTAGCCTGACCCTTATACCACAGGTACACTGCAAGAGCAATGAAGGACCCGAAACCACTTGCCATGATCATCCTGCCTCTGAAGCCTTGCTTTCTCTTCAGCGCCTCATCTCCACCGAGGATGACCACAGCCTTCTTTGACCACGTGTACTCTAGTCCACTGTATACTGTGGTACTTGCGACAATGGCTGACATGCCCTGAATCATAGTCTTAACGCCCCCCTCGCCGCCGAGAATATCCTGAATGGACATGAGCAGGCCACCCGCTGCGGACGAAGTAGCTGAAGGGTCGTGCAGCAAGTTGGTGCAGAGAAGCGTGCCCAGCAAACTCAATTGCAGGAAGGTGTTGAGCTTCGAAATTGTAGTGGGATGAACCTCCGCACTCGGGAGACTGAAATCCCAATACCTCGCCAACGTCTTCGGGGCGGGCAAACTCGCATACCGGTAATAAAGGGCCGCAATCGCCAGGCTAACGTCCCTGCCAAAAATCAACACAAACAACGGCATTGGTAAGCTCCCATTAACAGCCAGGCACGTTACTAGCGTCGTCATCAGGAGTTTGTCGGCCATAGGGTCGACCACGCTTCCAACGACAGTCTGCAAGTTCCATCGCCTGGCTATCCAGCCGTCGAGAAGGTCAGAGAAAGCGGCATAGACAAAGAGTGAGAAGGCGTAGAGATGGTGGTTATGGATGATAAGGTAGCCGATTGCGGGGGTTGCGATGAGGCGCGAGAGCGTGAGAATGTTAGGGATATTGTATATGTTCTCATGGCGGACGGTGTCGAGTTTGAGTTTGGATTTGAGGGTTGTGGCGAGATTCGTGGTTGCGGGTGTGGGTGGTTGTTGCTGGTGAATAATTAGTATGATCTCATTCGACGCGCTGAACCACCCTGCATCAAAAGTTGGGGTGGGAATTGTCACAAATATATGAGGATTAATCATAATGTTACACATGTCGAACCAAAGATATCACCGAAGACGAAAATTCTTTGGTTGCCGAAGAAACCCACCGAGTTTCATGACCAAGTGTAGTTTGGAGATGCGACGTTTTCTACCTGTTAAACGCTCTGGGTCTCCTAAAGATGCACTTTCGACTGCTTCGGTGGCGAAGTCGGAGAGAATCCAAAAGGTATAGTAGTAGACCACAGGAGTAAAGAAATAAATACTCGAGAAGTTGATGAAATAGTTAGCCTACCTCGGTGTTCGGTCTTGAAGTCTGAGTTGCACCATTCTTGTCCTCTTCCACCTTCAGTCGTCGGGCTGTCGAAGTACTAAACAGACTAGCCGGCTGTATACTAGAAGGTTTCCGAGGTCTAGGGCCCAAGGAGGGTTGAAATGGTCGGTAGCCGTCGTTGCGAAACCATGAGTAAGAGGCACGTGAGCTCAAGGGACAAAAAGTTTGTCCGATTCGTGGATGCCGCGAAAGTGCGCGCAGCCTGATTGAAGGTCCGGATAGAGAGAGGAGTGAAGCTGAAGGTGCTCTGACCCCCGCCATAGATAAAAGGCTCATAGATGCGGATGCATGTGTTGTTTGATGGCTGTAGAGCTTTCGAGCTTGAGGCTCGCGCCTGCAATGATGACGTTGCCAAGAGCCACTAAGGAGCATAGGGAAATGCGTCCTCGACTTCTGATCTGAACTCTTCTCGTCTCATCAAACAAATGTTTCGTCGTCTAGTTTTATTCCAAAGCTTATTCGTAGCTGCCTAACGTACGACTGTACATGCAGTATTTCACCACGAAATTCGAGCAACCGACCGGCAAGACTTTGGACGTCGTGCTGTTGTTTAGTTACCTCGCTCATTGAATCCTTCGATGTTGAAAACCTTCCTAGTGATTTCTAAAATATGTACAATCATTGGCTATTAGGTTAAGCGTTTAAGGGTAGGTGTCTGTAGACTCCTTCATGTCAAAAGAAAGGTCGACCCTGCTAAAGCCTCGCCCAGACCGTCACTGTTAACATCATCCGATATAACCAGAATCACCTCCTTAGATCGCTTAAGCCCATCGTACGGATCAAACCTGTAGACTACTGTGCCATGACACCTCGAATACTTCTATTATCACCGCAGCGCTGCCAAAATAGCTCTACGAAGGTTATTCGATTACTCTGCGTTTTGCACGACCTTCTTATTCTACATATCCGAGTCTGCTAGAGGAGTTCTTCAATGAATGACTTGTTGAGCACTCTTAAGCTCTAGGGAATATAGTTGTACTATCTCGGGGATCCATATTTTCGGCTACAGCTATCCGACTTGGTAAGTGATAAACCCCCAATCTCCGAGAGAGCTTCTCCAGTTCGGAATCAAACTCTGTTTGTCGAAAGGGAACGTGCTCGCTGATCGTCTCGTTTCGCTTCTCGTTTGCAAGAATTACTATTCTCAAGCTGGCGCGAAGTTTAACAGCTCCTATCAAGACATGCGAACCGTTGTATTGTCCATCCTGAAACGGACCGCCTCTTTCACGACTATTGCCGGCCGAGTCCGAGATAGAGTTTGGCTGCGCCTCGTGCCATGTGTCGTGCATGGAGAACGGCACTACATTCAGTCCGTGTCTTCGCTTCGATAGTCGACTTCATGACACGCTAATAAACTTTTACCGACACTTTATCCATCCAAGCAGAAACGCTATACTATTGAAAAAAAAAGTGGATTCCAATGGTCAAACACGTAGAACAGATCCAGAAGAAGTCGATAGAAGCGTGCAAGGATGCAACTCAATGCTCTGATCCTTACAGATGATGCTATCCTTTCCATATACGCCTAAGCGTCCAAGTTCTCCCAACGGCCCCAAATGGACCGGTCACCAGGTGATCCCATCCCAGCTTAGGTGAAACAATTGCCGGCGGCTCAATCAGATTTCCCCACGCAGCATGCAGAACAGAAATCGATAGATGGGATACATCTGCAAGTGACAACTTAATCTGAAACTTCGGCCATTCTGATACAAGCTCCCAGAATCTGATACAACAAGTGCAGATCATAGACTCTAAACAGGCTTTTGCATTCGTTGCGTCAACTGTTCACTACTTGATCGCTCGGAAACGGCCGCCTTTTGGTTCTCTGTTACAACGGCATGTCAAGGGAGCTAGGCTTTTGCAAAGGGGAAGGATTCTCCGCTGCACTGCATGCGAAATCAACTCGATTTTTAGAGCATATAACAGCCGTATATTATGATCAAGTTTTCAAGCTGCAAAGCAAAGGGGCTACGTCGACGTGGGTGTAGAAACGGATAGAACGGTTAATCAGTAGTTCGGCTCATCTTCCACGTTACCAGCTCGCCAAAGGGCTTCTCGCCCAGCCATAGCGCTCAGATAGTGTAGAAGATATTTCGGGGCCACCTGTTCTGGCAAGGCTTCAAAGCCATGAGCTGCAATACATGACTTGGTATCACCGCGAATGGTGTCTTGATCGACCTGATCATTGTCGCTCACCGGATGGTCTAACCAGCTTTCCCCACCCTCAACAACGAAAGCAGCAAAGTGGAACACTACCCTGCCAGTGTCTTTCATATCATGCAAAACTAACGATTTCAAGCGAGACGGTCCTCCTTCTGGGCCATAGGCTCGTATCCCGTTCAGGTAATTAGGTCAAGGATGGATGAGTTTCAGAAATGCCTCTATAGCACGCTAACGCAGGTACAGAACTCCACCACCCCAATGTGACTTTTGCTCCGTTAGGGGCTCCAAATCCCGCACGCACACACGTTAGCGATACTTTGTTTTTGGGAAACGGTGCAAAGCCTTACGGTAGGGCCCCAAGCGTTCGCAGACACGGCACAGAGGCGGCTTTGCCAATGTCGTCACATTCGACCAAGATGCGGGCTTCTAGCGCACTGGGCTCCTTGGATTGAGTTTTGCGATTGCTGTAGTGTAGGTAGGGCCTCACGTTTTACATGCAGTGCCCGATCCGATGAAATGGAAGTTGCTCTTCAGCGCAACGTTAGCAAGGCCCTTTGCGCCCAAGGCAAGGCTTCTAGCACGTGTCGGCAGTACAGACTGCAAAGGCTTACAGGTCCAAGTGACAGTGTCTGTGACGTCCAGCGTCCAGATGCATGAGTGAGGGCCTGGGTGGCAGCATGGCATCATTGATCATGACAAGCGAGTGTATAGGCGCTTGCACACGAGTGGTAATGCCGCCGATGGCTTGTGATTCGCCCAGTGACCAGGGCCAAACGGCTAGCCAAAGGCAGGCCTGAAACGGCTTCCACCACCTCACTGGCTTGCGAAGGGGGCGTGACGCCGACAAGAGACATTCCAGTCGATGGCAAAGATTACGGCGCGCTCTCCCCCCCTCGATGCTCATTGTGTGGATCACATGGAAAGGCAGGCTAGAGGTGATGATCAGCAAGCGAGAGACTGGACGAGCAGTGAGTTGCGAGATTTGCGAGGAGCCGATGGACGCTCCCGCTGGACTGGCAAGAAGCGTGTTTCAGCATGGAGATCAAACCATGTCCCAGTGCTACTTGGACTGGTACCTGCATCTAGACGCAGTGATCAGCCACCGAAGATGAGTTTAGCAGCGAGGCTGGATGGCGGTCATCGAGGGCATGTTCTCGTGATGCGCCGGGCGCATTTGCAAGCCTCCAGTGTGTGATGTTCCTGCGTCTGCAGCGTGCATCCTGGGATGCTCTGCGGCCAGTGCCGGCCAGCTTTGGAAGTGTGTGTGGTGGTTTTCGCTACGATGGTGGTTATACCAAGAGACGAGACATTTGCGAGCGAGAATGATTGATTTTGGTGGTAGTAGTCATGCGAGGACACCACTCGGAGGCCAGGGTAGCCAAGATGCTACGCACATGCATGCGATGTGGTATGCTCATGGCCGTCGCTGGCTGGTGTTGAGCAGTGGGTACGTCGCCGGATCTGCCCATTGCAACGAGCTAACTGACGCATGAAGGGTATAAGTCAAGTCATGGAGTAGTAGCAGCGGCCGTCGGACCGCGATGATCCATACTGAAGATGGGCAAACTGTGTGTCTGTGTTTGCGGGCCCTCGTGGCTGCAAGCGAGGTTGCTGCACTGCATGCAAGTCTGCCAGTCTGCCCGGCAAGTCTGGTGCAAGTGCCCAGGTGGGGTGCTAGGCTAGAAGCGAGTGCTTGCCCGTGTCCGTTGCCCGAGCAAGGTGCGGGCTCTCTCAGGCAAGGCAAGTCAAGGCAAGGCAGGTGCGAGCGAGCGAGCGAGCGAGCGAGGAGTGGGCAGCAGGAAGGAAGGAAGGAAGGAAGGAGCGGACAACGAGCAAGGACAGGAAGGGAAAGGGCGCCCCATCCCATCCCATCCCACCTTCCCATCCAGGCCCTCCACACACACAGAATAGAACAGAACTGCACAACTCCAGACTCTCGACGCCAGACGCCCATCTATCCCACCGCATCGCATCGCATGAATGCCCGTCGTCCAACTCTTCCCAGCGCCCTCAACGACAGCAATGCACGGCCGTCCCATGAGTCGCCCACCCCCCCGTCGCACCCTTGTCTCTGCCCCGGCGTGCGTCGCCCAATTGGCCACCGCCCGCCCGCTTACTAGCCAGGCGCAGGCCAGGAATAACTCAAACATGCTAACGAGGGGTTTCAAGTGCCCTCTCTGACACCCCCCTAAAAGCTCCGTCCTGCCCACTTGCGTTTGAGATCTCCAGAGCCCTAACCTTCCCTCTGTCCAAGTCTTCTTGTCCTTCGAGTCTGTCCATCCCGAGGCAGGCCCTCGATTCGTTTTATTGTCCCTTTTAACATATCTGATACCGTCGCCGGCTTTTTTCCCTTCGCTTTGCGCCTCATATTCCTTTCTTCGAACCTGGCAGGTCCTCCTTCGAGCCCCATTCCGACCCTCGTGTTCCATCCGACCATCGCCCTACCACGTCTGACGTCCCTCACTCCAAAACGCTTGTATAGAGGATCGTGTTGCAGCGCAGCATGTACCCTACCGCCCATCATGCCGCCATGCCGCCGCCTCAGGCACGCTCTGTCGCGCCCGAGACCTTCTTATTAGACCAGGACGCTCAGCAAAGCCTACCACCTGATAGTGTCGTCGCGCTTCAGCAAGTCGACAACCGTACGTGCTTCATACCCGTCTCCATGGTCGTACTACTAGTAGTAGTCGCGCACTACTAGTCACCACCATGCATTGACCGCTTGCGCCGCCTACTGACACGCGCTTGCAGTCAAATACTTCCTCATCTCAGCGCCCGTCGACTGGCAGCCGGACCAGTACATCCGCAGGTTTCTATTACCAACAGGCGAATACGTCTCGTGTGTTTTATGGTGAGTGCTCCCCTCCTGCCTTCGCGCTCAGCTCAGCTCAGCTCAGCTCTAACCACCATGCAGGAACAACCTCTTCCACATCTCCGGCACAGATATCGTACGATGCCTGTCGTTCAGATTTCAGGCCTTCGGCCGCCCCGTCAAGAACTCGAAGAAGTTCGAGGAGGGTATCTTTTCGGACTTGCGCAACCTAAAGTCGGGCACCGATGCGTCGCTAGAAGAGCCAAAGAGCGCATTTCTTGATTTCCTCTACAAGAACAACTGTATAAGAACACAAAAGAAGCAAAAGGTCTTCTACTGGTATAGCGTGCCCCACGATAGACTCTTTCTCGATGCGCTGGAGCGCGATCTCAAGCGCGAGAAAATGGGCCAGGAGGCCACAACCATGGCCGTGAGCGAGCCGGCGCTGTCTTTCGAGTTCGATTCGTCGCAGTCGCTCTTCGAGCAGCTCACCAAGGCACAACAAACAAATTCCTCGTCTTTCAATAACAACGTCCAATCGTCCTACCAGACGACCTCGCCTGATATGCGTGGAATGGACTCGATGCCACCGCCAACCATGGTACCGGTACCCCAGCCGATACCCCAGCCAATCCACCACCAAGAGGACCCAATGGCTCAGTACCACCAGCAAATGTCGATGCCACCCATGCAGCATCCCGTTGCCAAGAGCAGAGGAGAGCGCGAATACAGCACTCCGATGCAGCAGATGCAGTACGACCGAAATGGCATTCCCCTGTCGCAGGTACATCAACGACACAGTTCCATGCCAGCCTACATGGAGTACTCGCCAGCGCCTTCATTCGTCTCCTCCCACTACGAGGACTACAGCACTCGTGGTCTCTCTTATGAGCCTTTGACGCCGCCTCAACATCAGATTAGTCTTGGCGCTGAGCCAGCCTACATCGCCAACGAGGACACGGGTTTGTACAGCGCTATTCCCGACCTTCCGATTCCCACCACATTCAACCCGTTGATGAACATCCCACCGTCAAACCTCATGGGGCCTAGTTTCTCAGGGGTGTCTAGGCCATTCGGTCCAGGGAATGTGTACTCGGTCATCGAGGGCTCACCGACCTACAAGCAACGTAGGAGGCGCTCCTCGCTATCTGCTGGGATCAGCGCAGCAATCACCTCTGCCGGAGCCAACCATCACTCTCACCGTCCAAGTGATCTCAGACGATCAATGTCAAGTTCGGTCGTTCCCGTCCCGGAAGCCGACGAGTCGACTCATAACTCGCCAAATAGTGCTAATGGCACCAACTACCCTCACGCAATCCCAGAAGTGAAAGCCATGGTCGACATCTCGCGGCAGGGTACCCCTCTGAATACCGTCGAGGAGAGCCCAGAACAGCAACCGGCCATTCTGGACGACCTCAACAGTATGGTCAATGGTGAGCTGTTCGAGACGCCACTGCAACACAGCGCTCTAGCTCGCGCTGCAGGCGCCGCGCCCGTTTTCCGACGCGCCCGGAGTGCCACTATGATGGAGATTGGTAGCCCCTACCCGCAAAAATCGCACTCGTGTCCGATCCCCACTTGCGGTAGACTATTCAAGAGATTAGAACATCTCAAGAGGTAAGCGCCCGCAATTTCCCTCATTCCCACTTTTTTGTCCCAAGGACTCGGATGAGGCTCGTCGCTATTTATAAGTTTGGATAGACGCTGACTTTGGGCGCTTAGGCACGTGCGTACCCACACACAAGAACGACCGTACGTTTGCCCATTGTGTAACAAGGCCTTCTCGCGCTCGGATAACCTCGCCCAGTAAGTTACCTCTTTTTTTCCTCCAACCAAAAGCATAGTGCTAATGAGAGTGGCAGACACCGTCGCACACACGAACCTCGACCTGACGGCGAGCCGCTGAGCGACTACCAAGACGACGACCTCGAAGGCGACGAGGATCATCTCCACTCGCTGGAAGAGGACTCGCCTGATTCTGGCAACGATTACCTCTCTGGGCTGTCTCACGTCCCTCAGTCCATCAACGACATTCCTGGCCCGGGACTAGGTATGACGACAATAGCGCCACAGCAACAACTCATGGCGGGCAGCCACTACTGAACACATACTGCCATCAACACTAGTAGAAAATTTTGACGACGTCACACAACGTGAAATGAGCATCTGGCGCAGGAGGTGCAGCCATCTAGAGGATTTGATTTCGTTTTCTTGTTTATCTTCATTCATCCTGTTTAATTTCCTAGGCCGGTCTTTTGTCTTCTAGTAGCATCACTTTATGATGACTGCGTTGCATTGCATGCTCTTCCTTGATTGTTTCGGAGCCCTGGGGAGGGTGGTACACCGGAAATTGGCTGCTGCTTGGCGAGGACCGCTTCACGACCACACGAACATGAGTACCCTTTGTTTTCATCTCATCGTTTTTGCTTCTGTTCTTTCTTTTCTTTTCTTTGTTGTAGTTTGAGCGCTTTCGCCTCTTCTCTTTACTGCCAAAGTTGAATACATCTTCGACGTTGAGCGCTTTTCGCATGGGCATACCGGCAAAAGTCGATGCATCACTGGATCCATCAAGCACGCATTTTGTCGCTTTGTATGGCCAGCATGCTGCTAAACCGCTTTTTCTTGTGGATATGAAGCTACTGGTGTAGACGTCGCTGCTTGAGGGCGTGTGTATAATATCGGGCAATACAAACGCGTCTACGCGGTAACATATCTTCCTCTTCTGGCATTGTGACAAGCCCAACGCACTGTTCTCATGATGTTGCTAGTATGTCTCACTGATGGGCACCGTTAACAGACATTACAGCCATACGAAGGAATCATAGGCCATGTGCCCTAGCACGAACGACAAAGTCTCACAGGATCTGACACCCACTCGAACAAGTTCCCGACTTACAGCACTAGTCTCTGTAGAACAGATGAGATGTCAAACAGTCTCAGAGCCCCTTCTTTTTCGAGGCGGAACGGAAGAGCCGATTGTAGAATGACACATGCAGTGCTCTGTTACTGTTGCTTTTGTGGCTTGGAAGTAACATCTCGTCGGATGCTATTGGTATACATGCGTAGTCTACATTTCACCCATCAAAGTAGGTATATCCTAACAGAAGCGCAATGCTCCATCAAACGCCGCCCAATGCCGCGTAATATACAAAGTCTTCTCGAAGCAACAAGAACGTGTAGGATATCCTACAAGCCTTCTACGCCCAAACTAGGCGTAGCGTTCATATATTTTGCCTTTCGCATCTCCACTTCCTCCTTGATGCGAGCGTTCCGCTCTTCCCTACCAGCACCTTTGACGTACTGCAGCAACCGTAGTGCACCAGTAGGCGTGACACCCTCGACTCGTCGCGCCATGCCCACGCTCTCTGGCCGCGCAACTTCCAACGCGCGCTTCTCTTCGAAACTCAGTCCAAATATGCTCTCGTAATCTAGATCTTCTGGTAGCTTGAGGCTCTCGTCTCGGAGCCAGCGTGCTTGTGAGGTGGTTTGGTAGGCTACGTAGGGAGCGTATGTGGCTTCTATGTGGACGCGGTCTTGTACGCGCTGTGAGTATTGGGAGATGGTAGGGAGGATGTGGGCGAGCGAAGAGGGTGTAGTGGCTGGGAGACGGAGGAGGTCGTAGGCTGAGCGTTTGGTACTGTCGTTGCGGACGGAGAAGCCAGCTTTATTCCAGTCTGTCCAGCCCAGAGTCTTTTCTTGCAGGACTTTGGAGAGTTCGGCCATTTCATTCGCTTCACGCTCGAAGGCTGTCCATCGCTTGTCGCCAACGACACCTGCTGCGCGACCCATAGCGGTGAGTCGTGTATCAGCGTTGTCGGCGCGCGCAGACATGCGGTATTCAGAGCGGGATGTGAACATCCTGTAGGGCTCGGAGACGCCTTTGGTGATTAGATCATCGATCATAATTCCAATGTATCCATCTGCTCTTGTCAGAGCCAGCGGATCTTTGCCTAAGCTTCTGAGCCCCGCGTTTATGCCTGCAATGACGCCCTGGCCTGCTGCTTCTTCGTATCCGGTTGTACCGTTAATTTGTCCTGCTAAAAACAAGCCAGAGATGTTCTTTGTTTCAAGCGTAGACCGCAAGTGTCGTGGATCGACGTAATCGTATTCGACACCGTATCCCGGCTGCAGCATCGTCATGTTCTCGAGCCCGCGTATCGTTTTCAACATCGCGATTTGCACGTCGGCGGGAACCGTACATGATATACCGTTCGGGTATATAGTATCGTCATCGAAGCCTTCTGGTTCAAGCCAGACGATGTGCGATGTTTTGTCCGCGAAACGAATGACCTTTGACTCGAGGGAGGGGCAGTAGCGCGGCCCTTTGACGGTTTCGCGAATGTGTATTGACTTGTCGAGGTTCTTTCGTATGATATCGTGTGTCGCTTCGTTTGTTCGTGTTTCGTGGTTCAGCAGTTGGTCTTCGACCTGTACGCGATCGTTAAGGTAACTGAACGGCATTGGGGGATCATCTCCCTCTTGCGCCTCCAGCACCTTGTAATCGATCGTCTTCCCGTCCAACCTTGGTGGCGTCCCTGTCTTCAATCTCCCTAGCGTAAACCCAGCGTCCTTCAGACTCTTGCTTAGTCCAAATGTCGCAGCCTCACCCATGCGCCCGGACGGGTACGCTTCAAGACCAATGTGTATTTCTCCCCCCAAAAACGTTCCCGTGGTAATGACCACATTCCCCGTCGGTATTATTTCCCCACTTTCTAACCTCACGCCTGTAATCTTGCCATATCTTCCATTTCCTCCAACATCCCCCTCTTGCGTTCTATCCACGATAATATCCGCCACACTCCCCTCCACAACACTCAGTCCGCTATACCCCAGCATCTCCTCTTTCATGTACTTCTTGTACAGAGTCCTATCGATCTGTGCCCGTGGTCCCCAGACAGCAGGCCCCTTCTTCCTATTTAGCACTCGAAATTGCACACCCGCTTTGTCCACGATTCGCCCAACAACACCGTCTAGTGCATCGATTTCGCGCAACATAGTGCCTTTGCCGATCCCACCGAAGGAAGGGTTACATGAGCAGACGCCGAGGTTGTGAACGGAAGGCGTTACGAGGGCAGTGCGTGCGCCGGATCGGGCTGCTGCTGCGGAGGCTTCGCAGCCTGCATGGCCGCCGCCGATTACTATGACATCGTAGGGGCTGTGGCATGATTAGAGAGGGACCTTGGGGTAAAGTTGGTAAAGAGCAGTGGTGTACCGTTCTGCGCCTGAGACAGTTGCGAATGTCCTTCGACTGCGATTGAAAGACCGCACGCGTGGTGCATGACCCCATAACCGGCGTGCCCGCTGGGGAATAACTCGTTGCATGGTGAGTATGGTTCTGGTGTTGGAGAGTCTCAATGTCGTGCAAGAAAAAGTTCGAGATGGAAGACGCGGAGGTCCGCAACGCCATCACGTGCAGCCCAGTCAAGAATATCCAACCTGCTATACGATAGCGCGCTATGAGTTTGAACTTGTAAGTGGATAGCTAGCATGTCAAGTACACAATCTCTATTCAAGTCAAGACATGTCAGATTGAACGAACATGATTTCCTAAGAAAGAGGTATCATTCACCGGACTCCTGAACAAACCATATCTCAAGCCTCTACTAGAGCGGAGATGATACAAATGGAGATTTCCCAAAGATAGTATACACTTTCCCTGTCAATACAAGACACTGACATTATCCCCTATAGCGCCGCACAAAGATCTGAACCCATTGCTCGTTGAAAAGGCTCGCACCCCAAGCCTCTGACCAGTCCGTGGACCTCATTGACATTACAAGGTTGTAGTTGTTTGTAACCGGAAATGTGCGTAGAACGGCGCCCATTTAACCGGAGGCTTCCTGGACAAGACCCTCGTCGTTGGTCTCAGGCTCCTCGTTGCGGGGGCGGGAGAGGACGTCGAAGTTTCCTATGAATGGATTAGCATCCATGCCATTCTAGAACTTGTGTAGTGTGAATCAGGAATAGGAGGAAGTGAAAAACGTACGTGCGACCAAGCTCAGGTTTGAGCGTTTGTTGCCCTCGGCATCGAGGTAGGTCTCCATGCGCGCATCGGCGTCAACGTAGAGGAGTGATCTGGAAAATCAACTTGTCAGCTTGGATTTCCAACATGAGACAGATGATTCCATGAAACAGATGATGAAGGGGTTGCAACTGATATGCCGTATGCTTCCCACCGTGGCCCTCCATGTCGAACTTTTATCTCTTCCTTGTATTTCCCCACCTCAGCGCACACCACGGCCATTGCATCTTTCCCAACTTAGTCCGACATAATTGAAATGGCACTCACCCCTTCGGCACACTGAGCAAAAAGTCCTTCTGCGCTCCCTGCACAAAACTCGCAATCCTGAACCAGCTGGTCTTCTTGTCCTCTCCCTTGCCAAACGACGTGCCAACGACATAGCGCACAAGTGTCCTGTCACCGCTGATAGTAACCTCCTCTGGGGCCACACCCAGGCGTCCGACGACAGTCATGCGCGCAAGTTGGGAGCGGGGTGTGGCGGAGAAGGCGCGCGTGAAAGCCGGTGCGCGGGGGGCGGAGGTGCGGAGAGATGAGAACATTGTTGCGATTGGGTCTTGTAAGAAGGTCGATTGGCGACGGTATGAGGAATTGTTGTGATGATAGGGAGGTTTTTGTGTGTGATTGAGTTCGGTGTCGCGTCGCGGTCGTGCAACTCTGCTTGCTCATTTAGGGTTCGCGACCAGGGGCGCGTCCACGCGTGCCAAGACCATAATTCACAGGGCCATTTCTATATATTACTCGAGTTCAAGTTCATCGTTCATCTATCATAACATGGTATATATTTTCGATTACCAGACGCCAGCAATGCTTTCCATGATCAGTATTACCACAGCCATAACTTGACTACCGCTTAGCCCGTTTTGAGTCTCTCTCGTCTTCATCGCTGTCATATTCCTTGTAGATAGTCTTCGGTTGCGTCTTATCCCATGCACCCGTAAAAACATTCTTCTCTCCCTCTTTCGGCGCATACTTCAACAGCGCCTCCCTCGGATCCTCATCCCGCATATCACTCCCCTCAATCTGCTCCATGACATACTTCTGATCCGGCGTGCTTTTCGCAAATGGCGTCGTGGCAGGGATGTGCGGGCGTCTTGGATCTCTGCTCTTGCCTGACGCAGTAAGGCCGATCGTGGGATGTCGGGCAGCGAACGAGCCAGCTTGGACACCACCGGCGAGCCTGCCAGAGGGATCGTAATGCGCGTCCCCAGACATACCGAGTGGGTCCATGTCCACGGTCAAAGAGGGATCGTCGTCGAGGTGCCGCTTTTTAGGCGCCTTGCTGAGAATGGTGAGGGCGCCGGCTTGCGATAGTTTGGGGCTGAACAAAATGGTAGTTTGGCCATTTGCGGAGCCGGTGAGGATCTGATTGAGTTTGGGATGCCAGTTTACCGATATAAGGGGCGAACCTGGTGTGACTGGTGTGACTAGCTCGGGGCGGAGAGTTGCGGGATTGAGGATGTGCAGGTGGCCAGTCTCGGAACCTGTGATGATGCTTGAGGAGTTTGGCGCGAACTGAATGTTCGACGTCGGATATTGTGATGAGGTTGAGGGATGTGATGTCGTATTGAGAGGCGCCTTGAATTTCCGTGTATCCCAAAGTTTAATTGTGTCGTCTCCGCCTCTTGTGATTACTAGCCTTCCGTCTGCGCTGATATCCAGTCCGCTCGTCCAGGTGTCCTTCTCATGCGCGTCTCGAATCTCTGCCGTAGGACGATGATATGGTCCCTCACCACCCCACATGACCAAGCTTCCATCTAGTGCTGCGGAGACAAGCATACTGCTTCCTCCATTAGCTGCAGCGCCCCACGCTATAGCCGTCATCCTCGTCATGCCTGCACTTCCAGCAGCCCTCGATTTGTGTACGATGACCTCTTCCTGCTTCATTCTCTTGTTGACATTCCATATTCGTACCGTACTATCCGTCCCTGCTGTGACGAACCGGTCGCGGTTTGTAGGGTGCCATGCGCCGCTCGTGATCTCTGATGTATGTCCCTTGGTGTTGTGCTTGTCCCTTAGGTACATGTCGCCCTTGACAAACTCGGAGACAAGGTCGCCATCTCTGCTGAATAGTCTCGCTTGTGACGTCGCGCTGATACACAGAAATTGGCCGCCGGAGTGCGGACCATAGAGAATCTGATGGATCGAATGCGACTCTGCCGACTGTGAAGCCTTCGTAGCGAACGGATCCACGGTCTTGAACGCGCGAATGGTACTTGGTGTCAGCGCGCTCAGATCGTGTAGTTTGAGCGTACAGTCGTTACTCCCTGTAACAAGTCGCGTGCCCGAGGGATCGAGCGCAATCGTCGTGACCGCGCGATCATGCGTTTTGATGATCAATTCGTGCGAAACCGGGAACTCGTCGTCGTCGTCGTTGCCGCTGTCGTCGCTGTCGTCGCTGTCGTCATCATCCGAGTCCTTTTCATCGCCTGATCCACCATCCTTCTTGCCCTGTTTGCTCTCATCCACGACTGGTCTCCGCGCCCGTTCAATTTGCGCCTCGACGTTTACGGAACCATCTTTTTTCCCGAATTGGCTTGGCATATACTGTTTGAAAGCCTCATCGTCATCCGCGGAGAAGTCCATTATCAACTCGTATGCATAGTAATCCTCCTGGTGCTTACTGTTGCTGTCGTAGGTTAATAAATCCACAAGCTCGGTGAGACTGTACGAGGCTAACAGGCTGCAGCATGACATAACGCGCCGAGCTATTACCAAAGCAGCGCGCCCTAACAGTACTGTGGGGCAATGCTATCACCATTCCAGACATATGTTCATACCTAGGTATCCTCTTTCGATTAGTTTCTACTTCGAAGATATGAGATCCCTCCAACTTGATCATGATGGCCTTTTTCGTTGCGGATGAGTCAGCCCGTGGCAGCCTCTCAGCACTAAAATGAGCATGAACCTCGATGTCGATAGGCGCTCGTTGAACGTAGTGTGTCTTGCATGGCCTTTTGCATACAGCCAGGCGTAGTTCTAAGAGACTAACGGGAAGGATGCTGCAGACTGATAACTCGAGAGGTGGGGTCGGAGTTGGATCCTGTAAGAAATATAAAGGTAGCCTTCCTTCCACTTGAGAACACCCCCACATCACACAGAGACGCCGTAGTATAGTACACTTCAAACTAGCTCAAATTGAGATCTCACCTCCGCGCCTGAGAAATCAGATTTGGATCAAGCAGTACTTGCAGTCCCAAACCTCTACCTCGTCAATAAGCCCAACAACACCTCAATTTCACGACGGCAAGATGACTCGCACTCTAATCGTCTTCGGCTCAGGTCCTGGAATCGGCAACGTAACAACCCCCTTACCCAAACATTTACCTGACAATCCCCTAACTCTCACCCTAGCACACAGCCGCAAAGTTCGCCTCCAAAGGCATCGACCACATCATCCTTCTCTCTCGCAACACCCAGCGTCTCCAGAACGAAGACGCGCCCTTCGTTGCCCAAGGCAGCTCCTCCGTAAAAGTCGACACTCTTCGCATTGACTTGTCTGACCTAGACTCCATCCCAGGAATCCTGAAGGAACTCGACGGCCGGACACAAGGCGAGGATGTGGAAGTTGTGTTCTTCAATGCGGCTCGGATCAAGCCGAGTGAGCCGCTGGGTGTAGATGTGAAGGAGATCGAGGAGGACTTCAAGGTACGCACTGTGTTCCTCTCCCTCCCATCTATATCGACAAAGTTTATATTGCTAATGCCAATATTAGACGACAAATCTCGCCCTCTACATCGTAGCGCAACACTACATCCCCAAGCTCCAGACACTCGCCAAATCTAACAAATCCCTCAAGCCTGCTCTTCTCGTCACCAATAGCCATCTCCCTTGGGACCCTGTGCCACAGCTGCTCTCGCTGAGCTTGGTCAAGGCCTCCCAGCGCAACATGGTACTGAGCTTCAGTCGCGCCTTTACTGGAAGTGGTGTGCACATCGGACTGATCCATGTGGAGGGTGTGGTGGCGCCAGAGAATAAGGTACTAAATCCGAAGACGATTGCGGAGAGGACTGTGGCGTTTTGGGAGGGAGGCAACGGGGTTGATGTTAACATCAAGGAGGAGTAAAGGATGCGGGTTGAGAAGAATTGTGAGGGCATGGTTGGCACACGCATCAAGTGAGGCCCCTGAGAATCCTCGTCACCTGTAGCTGTTGCACGCCGGGTGCTGAGTTCAAATTGTCTCTTGATTCATCCTACGTAGTGCCCATCCCATGCATATAAAGCCAGCGCCAAACTCGTACAGTAATCACACTGCCACATCACCTTCACCTCACCACGCGCATTCCCCTCCGCAGAACAGTCATCCTGTCCACCTATGACCGCATATTCGTAAAGCAGAAGAAGACTGTCAAAGCCTCTCTAGCGCTGGGAAAGGAACAACTTGCACCGGTCGAAACATACTCCAAGCCACCCAATGTCCCAAAAAAAGCCATGCTGTGCCATGCCCATGCTCAGAAAAGAAGAATGCCACCGTTTGTGTGTAAGCAGCGCCACGTGTCGAAGTTGAAAACAAGATGTTGTACAAGAGGGGTACATGGCGGTGAGGTGAAGCTAGTGTACTGGTGTGAAGTTGGGGTTGGTATACGTGTTGTGTGCGTTGGGTGTCCATACGTCGAATGAAGCAGCCTTGAGAAAAGGAAAGTCATCCAGGACGTGGATACAGCCGTGCCGCGAGAATGGAAGGTAGTGAAACACCCCGCGTGGAGGTGATGAAATTGCTGAATTACGCCGAACATATAACGCAACCGTGAATTAGGTGCCCCCGCCGTATACCCGCTACGCCTGCAATCCGGTCGTGGTAAAGTGCACATGATTGCTGCTACAGGTATCCAGCCGTTTCGATATATAGATCGTCAATGGAAAAGTCATGGCAAGTGGAACAAGCTCAGAGCCGCTAAATCTCGACCGTCTTGAGCTCTGAGGACTCTGACGACTCAGTGACGGAATTCTTGAGCGAGCTCGCTCCCGCCTTAGTGTCCTTGCTCTCCTTGTTATCCTTAGTCTCCTTGTTCTCTTTGTCACTACTCAAGCTCCCTCTCGCTGGTGTGGAGTCTTCGCTGGGCCTCGGGGTGTCGACGGAAATCAGCTTGTCCATGGGGGCGCCGGCCTTGAAGTCGAGATCGGTGTGCACGAGTATTGGCTGCGGAGTTTCTTCAGCGACCCTCGCAAGTGGGCTTGAGAGCTTGCTTCCGGGGCTCATCTTCTTGGACTTTTGTGACAGACGGTGGGGACTGCGACCTCGGTCCTCAGGTCCTACTACGGGGCTATGGTAGGGGCTGCTGGCCGTGCTGCTAGGAACTACTGAGCCAGGCGCATTAGGGTTAACGCGCAAGCCGCTGCTCGGGCGCCGCCTCGCAGTCGGTTTCCGGCCATGCTTCTGATCGCATCGCCATCGGAGGATCTCTAGGTAAGGAGGCTCGACGTTCTGGCGCTTGAAGACTAGGAGCTTCAGCTCGCCACTGTCTTCGTCCATGTGCAAGTCCTTGGACGCAAAGTCGTCCGCAACCATAGCTAGGAGAGCGCCCCAGGAGCGTGCTACGACATATTTGCAATCGTAGTCTCGGCCGAAAATAATGATCTGGCCCCATGTGCCACTAGGGCCTGGCGCGAGATCCGTAGCAAGGTAGTTACCTCCCCAGTCGCGAGCCAGAGGAATCCAGGCAGGGTGGGCATAGGCTTTCTGGACGGCGTTTGGTGGCTGGGACTCCTGTTTTGCTTGCAGGTCCTGTCGCCAGAGCGGATTGCCCGATGACTGGGGCTGTGCGATGGGAGGGGCTGTAGACGAACCGGCAAAGGCCTTGACTGGGATCTGCGGGCTTGAATAGTCAGGCTTTGTGGTGAGATATTCCTCGGAGACCTTGCGCCAGTTCTTCCATTCCATGATGATTTCCTCGCAATCAAGCAACATCAAGCCGAAGAGGAGACCCGTTGGGAGGCCACCACGCTCTTGGCCATCATGGAACTGCAGTGATTCGCGGACATCCATAGGGAGTGTAGCATCGAGATCGTGCTCCAACTCGTTGACATCGTTTGCGGTTGCACCCTCGCAGATGTTGTCGAAGAGCTCCTCGTAGTGATCCTCGACCCATCGATCGATGCGCCTCCACGAGTGAGACACTGGGGGCGGTGGAGGCAGGCCTTCGTTGAAGTCCTGCATCTGGATCTGGCCATTGGCGCCCTTATCAAACGTGTCTGACTCGAGTGTGGCCTGGCGGCTCAGCGACCCGCGCATTCCAGGTGAGTAGGGAGAGGTGGGAGACATTGGGCCCTGGGGCGAGCCAATGAAGCCGTTGCTTGTCGCGGGCTCGCCATCATGTGTGTAGGGAGATGAGAGATCGACGCGGGAGTCTACACCGCTGGCAGCAATCGAGGAGAGGGCAGCATGGCGGCTCTGTGGGATGGGTATGTGGCGGCCGGTCCGATACGGAGAGTCGTGCGAGGCGTGTCGGTCGTTGGAGGTCATGGTATGCCAAAAGTCCTTGAAGGACGATGCTATTCTGTCTCATTGTCAGTGTCATGGGCGGCAGAAAGGGCAATGCCGCGGGTGTCGTACAGTTGTGCCATGAGTCGGAAGTCAAGGGAGAGAACGAGCGAGCGAGCGAGCGAGAGGTTGCGCTCCGCGCTGTCAGTCTGTCAAGCGGAGTCGATGTGCTAGCGAGCGTCGGATTCGAGAAAGGGCGCAGGTGGAGAAGCAGAGCCAGAGCCGATATTGGAGCGTTGGCAGCAGCTTTGGAATTGTGGTCGAGAAAACAAACGGGATCCAAAGGTCCACTGACGTTGCGTTTAAGGGGCGCCAGGCGCCAAGACAGACGCACGCACAAGGTCTGCCCTGATATTTTGCTCCGCAATTCAGTCCGTTCGCCCTACAGCCTTTCTTCTATTACGACAATGCGGCTACGCGATGCACCGTGGGATGGCGGTGAAAGGGTGGTGGTTATGGAACGGGGTGGTGGTGGTTGTGGTCTTGTCAAGCGGTATGGCGGTCTGGCTGTGGTGTTCCTTCACACTCTTTGCGCCATCAACATGATGCAAACTGGGACTTCACCCCGGTTATTAATAGGACGTTGGCATTCCTTCCGAATCCTTGCCACCCTAACCAAACGATGCCATGTCCCTAATATCCTCCTATCCATGTGATGATGAGCCAGCCGCCGCGTTGAATTGCAGGCCAATCTTGGTTGCTTTTGCTCACTCCCTCGCACATTCTGCCGCAGCCAATTCACCCCCCATGTCGCCCATTCGCCGGCTGCATCCTCGCGCGTTGTTCGCCCTAAGCGCGTTTCACAGGTCGCGCGGCCTTGTGCTGCGCGCCAACCACAACGCCTCCCGAAGCCACCACGACACCACAATGCCATTGGCGTGGGCTCAAAGGGGCGCGCCTTGTCTCCCAGCCGGTGCTGCCGAAGCAACGCATGCAGTACCTCTGTTGATCGTATCCTTCTCGAATAAACACTGTCATCACATGGCACCCCTGTGTATATACGCCTTGGTGGACACCACTCCCACTGCTGACTGTCCCTTATCGCCAGGACAAAACACCGCACACCACCCAGAAGACTCTTCGGGTCAGCGTACTACTATACTACTATACTACTAGCCATAAGCTGCCAAGCCCTTTCGTGGGTCTCCAACAGTGTTTTCATCTCTCCATCGGCAGGTGACGCGGCCACCGTTTCTCCGCCGTCATGACGTAACCTACATACATTGTACCATTGTGCATGGAGAGAGTTACACACAGATAGCAGGCAGTCGTCACGTCAAGCTTTTGTTTCAGCCAAAGGAACAACCTGCGCATTGTTTTATCTCGTGGCACCAAGTGCGTTGCTTGCGTCATGGTACTACCCAGTCCTCGATAACCCCACTTTTGCCTTGCTCCCCCTCCAGCCTGTCAGGACGGAGCAAGAGACACACTCTGCCAAACCACGAGCCACACATACCCAACCGAACCGGGAACCTGCAGCTCTCGGATGCGGGATGCGGGGGGCGAGGCTGCCTGTATTTTTAGAAGACTGCGCCCTCACTTGCCACTTGCCACATCGCTTCGTTGCTTCGTTGCTTCGTCGTCGCCCAGGTGGCTCTTCTATCAGTCCAGACAACATATATCGCCCCCTGTTAAGCGTATGGGCAACACCTTCAGCATGTCGTCCTGTTAGACGTCGGACATTTCCTGCACTAGTCTTTTACCCCGGGTTCAGATTGACCGGAAAGCGGGTCAGATACGAGGTGATGTGCACTCGCTTCGATCCAGATGCTAGAAGCGCGGGACGTATCTTTAGAGCTCGTGCGGGCAGTTCACATCGTTAGTCTGACTCGTGCTGCCTTGCAATTCCGCTGTGGGATTGAGCCTCACGTCGCTGCCTTGCCCAGAAATTGGTTCAACTCCTCCTGCAATGGCAACACAATGCCTTCAACCGCTGCCTGAAGGAATTCTGCGTCCTGTAAACTCGCACCAGGATCGCCAAAGCATCGCAAGCAATGCCTGACGGCGCTCAGAAAGGCTGCAGAGAGATCCTCTTGAGAATCTTCAGCCCATCGATGTGCGAATGAGCATAGCATCCATGAGTTTTGATGGAATGCCGGATCGACAGCTCCATGCTCTGACTCTTGATATTTCTCAGCCGTCGTCCCAAAGTAGAGCTCAAGGAGCGCTATTGCTAAAGCGAGCAGGACAGTGTTCTTGTTGTGGAAGCTTCGCCGTTTCTGGCCATCTGGTAAAACCTTTGAGAACTCGGTCAGTGCTGGAGCCACATACGGACGCTCAGTATCGATTGGGCGAGCGGTAGTTGTCGTTCTGTGGAAGACGATGTCTTTTGTCGCCCACTGGTCCATAAGCCAGGGCGTCGAGTTAAGATAAAGCACGCTTGATGCTAATGTCAAGGCTAAGCTATATCTATCTTTTTGGCTGAGTCTTGAGCGTCTCCCATTGATAAAAGGAGGATGGTCTAAGAGGTCTTCAAGGGTCACTGTTTCGGAAGAACGTTCGTACACATCTATAGTGTCGATGGAATAAGTACCTCGTAGCTTACTTTTGCTGTCGAGCGAGAAGCCCAACGTTGGAGTCCTCTTATGTAGCTGCTGTATTGATGCACACAGATCCTTGACCTCCTGAAGCGATGGCTTGAGGTTGGCCGTAGGATCTAGTACCGAGTACGGAGGTGGCGTGCCAAAGCTGACGCTCTTGGTCATTCTGTAAATGTCAGCACAGTGCAGATATAGTGCAGCTTGGAGGTTCCAGAGTGAAGTAAGTAGGAAACGAGCGGGTTTGCTGAACCTACTTTGGCTTCGGCGAGGGCACAGGGCTAAGGCCTTCTTCTTCATCGTCCTCCACATGTATCTCGGCGGTTTGAAAGATCCAAGCCGCGCCATCTTTCTCAGCAGGTACAGTCGAAAAGGATACATTGAAGCTGGTTTGCGAGGGCTCGATCATCTTCCTAGGACCCGTAGCAAATAGACTGCGCCGTGGTTCTAATTGAATGCTGGTATGGTGAGAGGATTTACATGAACACGACCAGCACAATGTGACCGAGTCGTGCAGAGTCTTAGCGTACCCTTGCAAGCGTTGTAGTCGTTTTGCATACGAAGGTTTGACTGACTTCCTGTATGTTTCGATCTTGTCACTCTTATCGGTAAATCGCTCGAGCTCTTTATTACAATCATCCAACTCTTCAAGGAGTGCTTTGATCGTCTTTTTGTTCATGCCAAAGCGAATGCGCTTCCGCAACTCAAACCTGTCATTCTTCTTTGGATTCGCGACGATGATGGCCTCAAGGTCGTTGCGCGTGAGCTAAAAGAATGTGAGCGTGATGCAAGGGAGAAAGGACGACATTACTCCTACCTCCGTTGCGCGATCAAGGTCCAGTTTGCTCGCGATCCTCTTCGTTATGCGCTCAATATTCACAATCGTACTCTGATATGCCTGATATGATTCCTGAAGCTTGTCTTGGAGCAAGACTTCTTTACTCTTCCATAGTTGTTTTGACCCAGGGTCCGTCAACATCTCTTCGAGCTCATCTGCCGACGTTATAGGTTCGAAGAGCAGGTGTATCGTTTGCGCGTAGTGGACGTGTTGGTTCCTGAGTTTTCGAATGAATTGCGGCAGCTCGCGCTCCCATCTGACGAAGCTCTTGATCGGGTCGAGTCCCTCATTGTAGCTTTCAATTCCTTCGTTCGTTGTTAGTATTTTCCTTGAACGAAAGACACATCCACCTACCCTGAATCAATAGCGGCAAAGCCCCCAATACCAAGCCAGCGATCTCCACACCACTCATCTTAAGACGTCACTCCAATATCCATAGGAATCGCAAGAGCTGGTGCGCTGCGTCAACGTGAATCTGGGTCCGTATAGAGGCGGCGCTCGAATCCAATCCTCAAGAGACCGACACTTTGGGCTTCAGGAGGCGAGCTTTACTTCTGTGCAGCAACCGGTTGCAACATGGGAGTTTCTCTTCGATTCGACGGTGATTAGAGGTCGGAAGAGAGCTATGACATTCGTCAGTACTCCGCCCCCACCACACGAAACAATCTAGCCTCATCGCCTCACATGCACGCCTAAACTACGGACTGCACGCTCTTGGTATTGCGACAACCCATGCTGCCAAGCTGGGACTGCGACGACGCGTTCTGATCGACATCACAATTGGTTCCCTTATCTCTACGTGGCATTCAGCACACCAACACAGAACAGGTCGGGCCAAAGCAATGCAGCCCCAGGGACGTAAACATCCTTTATAATTTCTCCAACATGTGGGATTGGCGACCATGTCTTCCCTACGACTAGCCACTGCCTCTAATGTAAGGGCATTCCAATCCTTGTTGAATGCCCTCAACACAAGCGACAGCAAATGGGCAGCCTCAATAGACCGCGAAGCTCTAGAGGACGAAATAGGAAGATTTAGAGTCTGGTCTGGAAATCTAGGAGCACTCTCCAAAGGACCCAGCGCTCTCGACCACCGACTTCGCGATTCCCCACTTCTTTCCAGCAATGCACTCAAGTTCCTGGAAGAACTCGAGGGGAACCTTAACGAAGCATTTGCTATTGTATCTGGAACTCGTCTACCCTATGAAGAGCAACCTAAGCCAGAAAAGCCCGAGGAAGAGGATGACGACGACGGTTTCTTCAGCGAGGATGAGGACGAGGACGAGAACGACTTAAGTGGCTCTAAGACCGAGTTGAGCATGCGCTTTTCAGAGATTGTCGATATCATTGACAACTTGTATAAACTAAGTGTCCGCATCAGAACACCAACCCTGAGATCAAGGTCGCTCAAAGCGGCTTCTTATAAACCGAAAGATCCAGAGACAGGCGTCGATATACTGAGCACGTACGCCGAATACGACCTGCAACATATCAAGGAGCTGCTTTCGCATCTTAGACAGCCACACCCTGTGGGTGAGAAGTATGAGGAAGATTTCTTAGTTGCGCGACTAGGTGCAGGTATCACTCTTCGACGTAGACAATTCAAATACTGGAAGCGACGTAAGCCTGAAACCGAGCACTACATCGTATAACATATGCTGAAATTTCTAGATCGAGACAAATTGGGCGCCTCTACAATCATTGAAGAAGCTGCGAAACCTGTACAGCCTGTTCAGCCCATGATTGAGACTGATCAGCCGCAACGTTACGACACCATGGAAGTCCGCTTAGGAGAACCTATCAATGTAATAGCACCGAGCCAAAAGACCGGCAAAACCCTGCTTTCAGGGACAGAAGCAACGCAGCATCATCAATCATTGGATGAAATTGTTGACGCCAGATCGATGACTAGCTACGCTGTCACAGTCAAAGACATACATGGGAAAGGGATTGATCTACCTCCACCCCCAAAAGCCGCCAACGGGGACAAAGATTTCGAGTGTCCATACTGTTACATCATATGCCCAGCACGGTATGGACGAGGACGAGCTTGGAGAACCCACCTTCTACAGGATTTGCAGCCGTACATTTGTACCTATTCTGAATGTGAAAGCCCTGAGCGGCTGTTCCGCGGTCGAAGAGAATGGGTTGAACATGAAGCTAGTCATCGCAAAGCCTGGAGGTGCCCAGAACACCCAACAGCGATATACAAGACTCATACAGGGTTGGAGAATCATCTCCGGCGGAAGCATATAGATAGCTTCCCTGAGAGCGAAGTTTCCAACATCGTCAAGGTGGGCGAGACTGCCACGTTAGACTTGCGGCAAGAGTGCCCTATTTGCTATGTGTCCGCAGATACTGCAGATTTAGGTGATTTCCAGAGCCACATTGCCCAACATCTCGAGCGAATCGCTACCTTTGCTCTCCCTAACGCCATAGAAGATGACTCAGATGGCGCAAGCAGTGCTGCGAGTCGAGGATGGTCGGGCGACATGTCTTTGCACAGCGACTCTACGGAGGGACAGGAAGATGAAAAGAAAGAAGCCGGTGAGCGCAGAATAGTTTTACAGTGTACGCCAAGGATGTTTAGGCTAACGCTTGCTCCAGATACGTTACAGGATGCTCGATCCCCTAGCCTGACTCAAAGCGTGGAACCGAGTCGGATGGTTCTATCAGCCGAAAGCCTGCAACAAGTGCCCGATGCAAGCCAAAGCCGAGTCGACATGATTGCCAGTCAGTTAAACGAACAAGGCAACGTAGATGATCCACCACTCGATGATGATGAATCTGGTGGTCAGCACGTCGAGCAAGAAGAGGTCGATGAGACACCAGCCGAGGTGCAAGAGCACCTAGAGCAGAGGGACAACTTCCGAACTTATATGATGTCCTTATCGGGTTCTGAGTCGGTTCGATTCTACAAACAATACGGTGCTTGGTCTGGTCAAGCTATCTTCAAAGACGACGCTGCTGCTCTGCAAGCTCTTGAATCTTTCGACGCTCGAAGATTTCCATCTGTAAGGGTTCACCTGAGTTCGTTGTCCAAAAGCAGATTGAAGTTTGCACTTTCAAACCCGCCTAGAGGTAAAGGTACGTTGAGTTGCAGTTCACTTAGCAATCTTATCACTCTACTGACGTTAGTGTACCGACAGCCAAGCGATTGCCGCCAAATCGTCAGTCAAATCTGGAAACGCAGGAAAACGAGGACACACGCAGTGCCTCATCAGGTTCGATAGTGCATGACGGAGAAGAGGAAAAGAATAAGAGAGGACCGATCCTTACTGTGTCTGAGATCCCTACGCTCCGCTCGTTGTACAGGTCACGGAGGCTCATGCAGCGTGACCAAAGATATGCGCCCAATGACGTCTACAATCGGATGATATCCTTTTGCTACTACGACCTGACGAGGCTAAAGGTAGACGCGATCGTCAACAGCGCTAACAGTGCTATGAAAATCACGAAATCTCCTGAAACGCTCAATCACGCTGTCCATAAAGCTGCGGGACCAGGCATGAGACAAGAGGCAAAGTCGAAAGGCAAAGTCAAAGCTGGGCAAGTAGAGCTGACCCATGGGTATGACCTTCCAAGTCCTTGGGTTATCCACGCGTCACGACCACAATATTCTGCTTCGAAGGGCATGGGCGAATTCAACGTGCTCACACAATGTTACCGTAGCGCCTTGAAGATGGCTCTCAACTATGACTTCAAGCAGATTGCTTTCCCATGTCTGGGCACAGGAGGATGTGGCTTCCCTCCACGAGTGGCCGCCCGCATCGCGCTTCAAGAGGTTCGAGACTTCTTAGACGCTCACACTGATAACAACTTGGAGCGAATCGTCTTTTGTGTCATGAGCGCAGTAGACGAAAAGGCTTACGTATGAAACCCTAGTGTACGAACTATTTGTGAGACATACACTGACTTTGTACATACACACTTTAGATGGACTTTTTCCCTGTGTTCTTCCCACCAACATATGGAGACCTCGAAGTCGCGAAGTCGTCGGAGTGGTCGGCAAACCGTGCTGCACTAGCCATCCAGGTCCTGGAAACTCGTACCCAGGTCCAGAAATTGTTCGAGGAGCTGTCCACGGACTTCAGCCTGGTAGTGCCGGACTTCGACGAAAAGATTCTTGGTGAGCTCAGCGCTATTGACTCCGCACTGGCTTCGATTCGAAGCTTCCTGTTAGGGCCTAAGGAGCTAAAACGAAGTTTGGGGGATCTTAACCTGATCTGCTCGGTCATGCAAACGGTTTGTGGCAGCGTCACTGAAACCACCGAGCTGGCCAAAGATACATCAGGATTAGTACCAAAGCATAAAGAAATTTGGGATGATTACAACGCTCATATGAGGACAACGCACGCAAGCGATCTTGTCCATTTTCTGGTGGACTGCCAGAACTTTGTGCAATGTCTAGACGACATCTTAACGCGCGATGGTATCGAGTTGGACGAAATGTCTAATATGCGACAACGACTGGATAGTTACAAAGCCAAACAAATTGGACAAGACGCAGAAGGCATTCGCGACCACCTAGATGAAGTTCTCTACACTCGTGAGTTTCAACGACAGACAGTGTCCCACGCTCGTGAAACTGTTAGACTGCATGAAATATCGTCGGTTGCTCGACTTTATCAACTCGGTGAGCTCCAATCAAAGCCTACCTTGGCGCATCCGTATGTAACCTAGAAAGAACTGCATATAAGACGTACACTGACTTCGCACACCTGCATTAGTTCTGCAATTTTCAACCACACAGTTTGCTTAAACAGAGTGGATATCACTCAGCTAGAAGTTGACATTATAGTTAACTCAACAGATGTTTTCTTCAACGGGATGGGCACACTTGATCGTACCGTGTTCAAGAAAGGCGGATTCGAACTACGGGAAGAAGTCAAGAAATTTGGCATGTGCAACGAAGGCGATGTGAGGGCGACGCCGGGATATCTGCTTCCGGCCAAACACATCCTCCATACAGTGCCGCCTCAACAGTATGGGAAGGACACTAGAAATTTGTTGCGTCGAATCTACCGTGACGTCCTACATACGGCCGTCTCAATGCGGGCGACATCGATTGCAATACCAAGCATTGGCACAGGCATGCTGAACTATCCACGACGTGATTGCGCATCACTGGCAATGGAAGAAGTCAAGGGATTCCTCGAATCTGCGGAGCCCACTAGTTTACTTGAGAAGATCATTTTTGTGGTGTACTCATCTAGCGATGAGTTCATTTACAAGAGTCTTTTGCCAGTCTACTTCCCACCAAAGGAGTATGGTACTCAAGCACTACCTACTACGCAACCTGCCGGGCCAAAGAGCGATTCACCATCCGTAGAGTCATCTTCAACTCGTCGTCGAACACTGTTCGGGTCCATCGGCGAAGCCTTCCGTAATGTGCGTTTCGGCAAACAGGCTGAGACTTCACGTCAAATCGACACATACGAAGAACATGCGCTGATCGCCTTCGAGTCACACGCCAAAGACTGCGTCATCTGTAAAGATATCAATAAATTATATCTGGATGGGCGGGATCTGTGTGAAAAGGGCTATCCGCTTGCACAAGTGGTGTTGTGGTACATGAACATGTCTATGGATCAAATCGTGCATACCAAACCCGACAATACCGGCCAGCGCATGGGATTAGAGGTTCCCACCGATTTGTTCCCGCTATCACTGAGTCTATTGACTACAGTGGAAAAGAGTTTGCGAGATGAAGGTGGACGCAGACCATTTGTCAGTCAGAACCGACGATATGCAGCCACAGTTCAGGACCAGCGGCAAGAGGGCGCCGCACAATCATCTATTATAACGCATGAGGCGGAAAGCACAGAGTCAGCTACAATCTCAGGAGGCCGAGAGAAGCCTCGAGCAGAAGTCGCTATCTGGTCTAACCTTGCAAAGAGGTGGGACCCAGTATACCCTAGCGAGTGTAGCATCCACATCTATCCAGGCAAGGTTGAGTTCCGTGAGTCGGACCATCCAGCAGCAAACCAAGTTCCACTGCTAGCTCTTCAGCTTATCGCCACCACTGTTGTAGCGAGGCATGCAGCCAATACTGAGGTGACTATTTCTGGTGCTCCACGCCTGGACTCGGTATTAAAAACCAGTGGAGACATATTGCTCCGCAGTCAAAGTGCCAGTGGCTCAGAAGCACTGCTCGAGTCGTTACAGCGTGCGAGAGGTGACGCTTCTGAGCTCCAGGAGGATTCCGCGCGAATTGATCGCGGACGGGAGCTTGAATCAGTAGCGGGACCAAGTGACGCTAGGCCTCTGTCAAGCGAGAGTCAAAAGCCGGCTGAAAGTTATCTTGGGTGGAATCAGCGGCTGCATGATATCCGCGAAGACCTAGCTTTGGCCAAAAAGCACCGTGAGGGGCGGTTGAGTCCTCTGCAGTCCAGATTACAAAACCTGAGAGAAGCTACTGACACTTTACGGCCGAGCTCGAGTGAGCAAGGGCGAGCATCGGATCTGCCAGTAGAAGGCACCATCACCCTTCCAGCAGTGCCATCTGATAATCTCTCTACACCCGTTCAGAAAACACCAAGCGATGGCGGCAACAGCCCACTAGCGGACCAGATTATGGCACATCTGACAAAAGATCTCAAGACAAGACCAGGCTCCTACATAGGTCAACACACCAAAGACATAGCGTCCGCACTTCAGAGAGAGCAGGCGGAGATTTCAGCCGCCATCGAAGGACTAGCAGCACAAGACAAGGCCCATAATACCATCGACGGGAGTACGTGGGTCATATCGCGCCCTCCAGCAGAGCTTCCTACACTGCTTCCGCAGCAAAGACAGCCGAAGGAACAAAGCATTCCTGCTTTCGAGCTTATGAGTCCTCTCGCTGTGCAAATCCTGTCATACATGACATATGTCAACCGAGCCAGCGGAAACGAAAGCAGGCAAACCGTACGGGAAATTGCTTCTGCCCTCCAACTACCTACTTCAGAGATATGGCCTGAAATTAGACAACTAGCAGCACGAGGAGACATACAGCGCTCCTTGAATGCAGAGACATGGGTCGTTACGGCGACACGACGAGAGAATCAGTCTCCAGCGCAGCATCCAAGTGGAAATTTGAGAAATAGAACGACGGGAAGATCGCCAGAGCCTCCCTCTACAACCGCCCAAGTCCGGAATCCTCCCATCTTCAAAGACACGCCGCCAAGTCCCACTACCGCCGAACCTTCAACGTCAAACACTGACTACGACCTTGCCCTTGACCTCTCCACCATCAATTTAGATGATTACTTCACACCCTCTGGCGCACGCTGGACACGCATTGACAAGCGCCTAATTGACGCACAAGTTCTGCTCGAAGCAGAAGAAGAGTTCGATGACACGGAAGAAGGTTTTGTCGTGCACCGTGTCTTGCGGCGTGGAGAGGTTAGAACGTGGGCGGAGAAGACGAGGGAGAGGAGAAATCGGCCGGCTTCGAGTAGTGGAGTTAGGGAACGGAGAGGGGAGTGGGCTACAAGGCCAAGAGATAGGGAGGAGCGCGGAGGTTGGAGGGATGGAAGGGGCGAGAAGGATAGAAAGCAAGCAAAGTTGGATCGGGTGCTGGCGGGTGACATGAAAGAGGAAGAGTTGAGACATTTTGCGGATATGGATGATGAACGAGATTGAATGCTGTAGATTGAATTAATGCAAAATATGCCTATGATCTACACACTTCACGTAAAATCGAACAATGCATATGCCTCCCAGTTCATCTGAATCCTATCAAAACCACCAACCACCTATGTTCCGTTGACGGCAACACCCAGCCCTTCGTCCGCAATCGCACCCATGAAGTCTTCCACCCCCTCGCCCCTCTCATCTAACACATACTCAAGCGTCTGCACCCAAGTCTCCCCATTATTTGTGAACCAGTTCGACCCGTCGCTACTTTCTCCCAGACACCTCACATAACTCTCCACCATACCCTTCAGCGGAGCATTCTCTTTCAGCCACAGGATCTGCTCGGGGTCCAGCTTAAGGTAATCTTCGACGACGTAGTAGTGCGGGATGTCGTCGCCCCAGCCCTCGGCACCGACTTCATGACTAGGGCGTGGAGAGTATCTTGAGGAAGCGAAGCGGGAGGTGTAAGTAGATGTATTGTTGAAATGGGAAGAGAGGGTATTGGGCGTGAAAGGGTTGTAGGATGGCGGCCCCGGCGGAGGGTAGTTGAGGTGGATGTTGAATAGCAATCCGTGCTCAGGTTCGGGATATCGTTTTTTAAACTTCCGGGATATCGTGCCGTTCGAAGGACAGACGTTGCTATAAACCACCTCGCGGATAATATCATGCACGTCTGCGATCTCGGCAAGCTCCTGTGTGTTCCAGTTATGTAGGAGCGCAGCGCGTTTCTGAAGAACGAGTTTGGTTGCGCGGAGCTCGCGCGGGTGGTCACGGTTGTGGAAGGCGCGAGAGTAGAGCCAAGATCGGTAGACTGCTCTCCGGAGTCGATATCGCTCCTCGCTCGTCAGAAGCCGACGGCTTTCGTAGTTGTACTTCCACTTTTTGAAAGGGTAAATATCGCACCATTTCTCAGCCACTCGACCTGTACGTAGAATCTGTTTGAGCAAGGCGGCCGAGAACGGAACGTTGCGAACGATGTGGGCTGGTTGGCTGGCGTTGTGCGTCAGGAGCTGAGTGAGATCTTGTAGAGGTCCGAATTGCAGTTCAGCGGCATTTTCGAGTATGGCAAGCTTCTGGGAGGATGAGAAGATATTACGAAAGCGACGACAGGTGGAGGATAGTGTAAGGACGTCGGCAACGGAAGTGCTGGAAAAGTAGATTTGGAGCACCAGCTCGGTGGCTAGGTCTTCGAACAACATTCTGATAGTGGGATCAGGCCCGGATTTTCTGGAGATTAGACGGTCAGCGACTGACTGCAGCATCCAACATGCTGTATACGTCCGACAGCGTGTATGCAACTTACTTGTGATTTGTATGTTAACGCGTTAGGCCTCTAGCCTATTGTGACTACTACTTAGTCGTGTAATCTTGAAGTTGGCCGAAAACGCGAGATCTCGACACCTCTTCTTCACCCCAGTATCTCAGATCTCCGAGTCTATCTTTATTGATTCGTACAGTCTGATCTTGCGATCGATCGACGCGTAGCTAGCTGCTTGGGCGCCGATAGGGAAGCTGAGGTTCAGATAAATCGGACCCCTCCGTTGGGGCTATAGATAGAAAACACAACCTTCTCAAACGATCCATTCCAAGTAAATGCAGGCCCCGATGGGCTGTCTGTCGTAGTGAGTGTCATGGTTGGTGTTGAGGGAGGAAAGGAGTCATCGTCACGACCATGGAGTTGAGTAAATAACGCCAAGTAGGCTAACCCCAGACCGCAGGAGCCAATCGGCAGCGACACTCCCGATGTCGTCAATGGTACTCGAGGACGCGATCTCTGGGAGACTTGCTGAATCGCTTCAGGTACTCATGGCCAATTCGATCGGCTGGCCCTACTAAATAAACAATGCAGCGCTACGAACCTATTTCTATGGACGTCTCGCCACTTCTGCGCTTACCTGTCGAACTTCGAAGACTAATCTATTGCTACGTCCTCCCCCACACCACGACATTCGATGTGCGTTTGCAACGCCCTCCCGACCCTGCCCCCAAAGCCGAGTTCAATCTGACATTCGTCCGGCAGAGAAATGGCGACGGGGGCTGGCGCATGCAGAAGACCTCACCGCGCACTGATCGCGAGAGTGGCAATGATATCGTCTGGCTGCGCGGCGGCACGAGCCTGTTAGCTGTTAATCGCCAGATCCACGAAGAGGCAGCAGATATGCTATACGGAAGCAATATCTTTGTGGTCGACGTGACGTTCGATACAATCAACTTTCGCTACCGCTGGCGGACGGCGAACAACTTGACACCGAATCGAGCGTACCAATTCCTGGATCACTTCTCCCAACGCAACCTCCTTCGAATAAAGAACTATGTCGTAAACGTAGAATCGGTGGACGACTACACTGGCATGATAAAATACAACCACGGGGGGCGCGGTCTGCCCGCAGGAATACGACGAAGAGTACAGGAGCTCGTGGACTTGTTGGTAGTGGCTCCGCAGTTGCACCGGCTGCAGCTACATTTGATCGATGGCGCTATAAGTCGTGTGAAGTTTCCGAGTGGCAGGGTCCATAGAGTACAGGACGAGAGCAACTTTTCGCAAACACAGACAGTGCTGCTTCCGTTCCGAGCGCTTTATGGAGTGCGCAAAGCACAGGTCACTGGAGTAAGTGAAGCGTACGCAGAAAGTTTGGAGCGGCATATGGTAGCGCAGAGAGAACATCGAACCCTTGAGAGGGGCCAGGTTGGAATATAAAAGAATGCACTGAGGCTTCGCGTGGCCCTAGGTCAATGAGAAAGAGATGTTTTTGACCCAGCAAGGTTAGGAAGAGTTGGAGCATCAGAGCATTCTATGAATTCTTCCAGAGTCCAATTACCATATAGGCAATCTACAGAATAAAACAACAAAGGAGCCCAGGGTATTCCCATATCCCACCCCCCAAACGCCAACCCAAATTCCTAACCCACACCTTATCGTTACACACTCCATGTCTAGCAGCCGCCGCCGCCTCCGCCGCCGCCTCCACCATCTCCTCCTCCACATCCTCCGCCGCCGCCACCACCATCACCACCGAAGAACCCTCCTCCACCACCCACGTAGCCCATTCCACCAGCGCCTCCTGCATAGTTGCCATGACGTCTGTTGCGCTGTTCCCGTCTCATGCGTCGTGCCTGGCCCCGAGTTTGCCGCATGGGCGGGGGGTAGTCGTAGGCTTGCTTTGAGGAACCACAACCCATGTTGATGAGATTTACTTTGGTGTCAGATTTAGGTTGAGGCGAGCACGCGTCGTGTATGTGTTGTTGTACCAAGAGGTCGTGTGTAGTTGTGCAGAAATAGGATTTGGTAGTTCAGACAGATGTCGGTGGGTAGTAGTCGAAAGACAAAGTGTAATCAAGGGTTGGGTAGATTTGGAAGTATTCAAGAATGTTCTTGTTGTAGCTTAGTAGTCGCTATCTTGTTATGGTGCGTAGATCGAAGATATAAATCTTGTCTCTTGTGTTGGCTTGAATCGATGAAGATAAAAACCTCTCCACGACGCGGGCCAACCCCAACTTAATATACCACTCCCCAAGCCCCCTTCAGACGCAGAACTCTTACCCAGTCTGCCTCGCAACCCACATCCCACATCATCGTACCGCCCCCCATATAAGTAAGGCCACCCACCCACCGCTCTACCATTTCCCAAAACAGCATAGCTTCCTTCGCGAAGATACTCACTGCTTTAGATACAACCGGTCAGCCTACATGGGCGCCCGATTTCCCCATTTGCCCCCCGTCGGTATGTCAGAGTAGAGTAGCCACCGCTTCTGATTCGTTGTTTCGCTTCATCAGGTACGTTGGTCTTGCGTGGTAATCCCCGTATCCAGTGGAGGTTGCCAGGGTCGCGAGCTGGATCGGCGTAGACGGGGCTGTGCGGGCGTCACGTGGGTGCAGGGCAGGTGATCTACCTGTGTCTATCTATTCCGTGTTAGGAAGGGTGAGAGAAGGCTTGTGGAAGGCTTATGGAAGGCTGTGCTTTGGGAAGAGAGACGTGCTTGACTACGCCGTCTCGTGTAGAGGACTAGATTGGATTGATGATGATGTGGTTGGGTCACGGAAGGGAGGCGGAAATGCATGATGATGTCTATGGGATGTAGGCCCTTGGTGCTCGAGGCGCATTTTGCGACTTGATACGAGGTGTGCTTGGAGAGAGAGAAGCTCTAGTCTTGGTCTTTCGCCAATCTATCCGCAAGAGCAGGGTCTTGCACAAGAGATCTCGCAATTCATGAAACTGTCTATTTTCTATCAAACGCCTGAAAAAACAGAGAGGAAGCGAGCAAGCTAGTTGAAGTTTCAATGCTTTCATTCGAGGTATATTATCAGAGTATTCAACGCCGTGCTAATTAAATGCAAAACCTAGAGATATGACCAGGTGCGACAAACAATGTCGTCTACCGAAGGATCCCCCCAAGACCCTATAAGAAACAGAGAAGGTATATCCCCAAACCGCGTGTGATCTATCGTCAAATGTTTTTGTGGGCGTAAAATCCAAGCACACCATGTCGCTCTCTCGCTGTGCTGTGCGTTGCGTCGCATATACAAACAGGCGTTTCAAACAGTGCATATCTAGTAGCATCAAAGTAGTCCCTCAAGACAAGACTTCCGCGCGAGCCCCGGCTCCATACTCTATACAACAGGCCCCTCTCGGGCGCCCAGCGTCTCTTTCAACGCTCTCAACTTGCCCTACTTCTTCGCCTTGAGCGCAAGATGCGAGTATACCCAGCCGCCACCCAGCGCAAGCAAAACACCAAACCACTCCCGCGGGCTCAGGATCTTGCCCTCGCTGTACCAGCCAATGGACAGAATGAGAATCGTCTTGAGATGACTAACAATGTTGAAGGTCAACGCCGACGTACGGCCGATAATCAAGAACTGGCTCAAGTTGTACATGGAAGCCATGATACCGCTCGCGCAGACGGACCAGAGGATGTCGGTGGGCACCTTGCTGAGATCTGGAAGCGTGTCGAAAAATGGGACGAAGGGGAGGAGGAGGCAGACGGAGATGGGCGCTTGGTTGAGGAGGAGCTGAGGCGGGCTGACGGCAAAATCCTCAATCTTCTTGCCGATCCAAATCTGGTAGAGAGCCGTGGAGCAGAAAGCCAGCGTCGCAATAATGATGCCAAACAGCTGTGTCTTGGCTGCCTCGTTGATGGTGAAGGATACACCAATGCAGGTGGCCAAGATGGCAATGAGCATGTAGCGGGTGACCATCTTCCTGAACAGGACAAAGTTGATTAGGACAACGGTAGGGGTTGTCATGACTTTGGAGAGCTGGTAGAAGCCGATCGAGTTGAAGGTGAGCGAGAGGTTGCCGAGGACGACGTATCCCGCGAAGAAACCGCACACGGGCAGCATGTTCCAGACATTAAGGCGTACGGCTTTGAAAGCGCGGAAGGGGCCGAGGGTGGAGATGAAGAGGACGAGGCCTGTCGCGGTAAAATGCCACATGACGACCATGAGCTGGCAGGCTTTGAGCTGCTTGTCGCTGAAGACGCTGTTCCTTGATCAGCAAAGTGCCGTATATATCCGAAGCATCTCGAGGCTAGCGTACCGTTTGCTCAAAAAGATGAGTCCCAGTGTGCTCAGCGTGTTCAGCGCAATCCAAAAACACGTAACGAGTTTCTCCCTCAACGGCAATGGCGCCGGCTCCGTCGCTGGCTTCTCGAATGTAGGCAGCTCCTCCAGCTCGTGCGATTCTCGAGGATCGACATTATCGACGAGGCCGTCGGTCGAGGGGCGTTTCTCAACTATATGTCGCTGTTAGTCGCATGCATTCGTCGGCTTCGGATCTTGAGCCACGGCCTACCCATGGTATGCTATAATCGAGATAGCGAGCGAGGGATTGTTTGCGGGAAGCGTCGGGCTATGCGATCATGCTCGGAGAAAGTGACAGGTGGGCAAAGGAGCGGAGGCGCGGGCCTGATGGTGGGTGGTGTTACACGGCGCGAGCGGCGAGGGTGCGAGCGAATCGATGAGAGAGGAGTAGGAGAAGGGTATCACACAGGAGTTCAGGACGGATTGTAACAAAAAGGGATCCAGCAGTGGCACTGCCTGTTAGCGGAAGACGCCAAGGAGGGTCGAGAAGGGGGCAGCGCACTCGGGTCCAGCCAAAAGCCAGCCCCCAATCCATTCACGTCCCGCGGGCGCCGACCAAACCAAACCAATCCAACCCAAACCCAAACCAAAACCATGGAGGGGTCCAATCACCACCGGGTTAGCGCCATCGTGTTCATCAGTCAGCGCGCAAATGTAATTTTAGATTAGATTATTACACCTGGGCAGGAAAAGGAAGCGCTACTCCTTTGGACGAGCGACCAAATTATTTCCCATCCGTTACACCAAGTGGATGCGTAGCCCACCTGAAGGGACATGACCCGCCCTTGCTGTCGCAAAAGCGTCGCGCATCCTGCAGCATCTACAGACAGTAACAGTTGCGACTCTTCATTATAATAGCCGGCACCCGCGTATAGCGTTTCAACACGGTCAAATTACTGTCGATGCATAATCCACAAAATAACATAATCTCTACATCTTTTAGACTCCCTCATCTATGCAGTATGATGCAGGAGACTGGCGCCAAAAGCAACCCTAGGTAAAAAGGAAAAGGAACACGACTGTAGTGTACATATGCAACGTCCCGTACAAGCTAACGTGCCCGGTGCGGGGTGCTGGTGCCCCAGCTAAAGGTAAAGATGGAAAGGGAAAGGGAAAGGGTAGTGTTACAAAGATTAAACCTCGCCATCAGCAACTGCAAGACGCTGCTTAGCCGTCTTCGCCTTCTTGCTGAGACCTTTCTTCTTCTTGCCGCCTGGAGCGGCTTCCGTAGCAGCTATCGGAGTCGCTGCACCGCTGGCCTTTGCGCTCTCATCGAAATGTCCTTCGCCTAGCCGGCGTCAGTATGTCTACCATCAAAATTGTAGCTGTTGATCAGACTCACCTTCATGATACATGTCGTCCAAGTTCACATCCACCTTCTTCTTGCTCTTCCTCTTCTTTCCCGGTGGGGCATTCTTCTCCTGCTCCGCCAACTCTGCCTCCTTCTTCTCAATCTCAGCGGCCTGTTCGTCGTCCACGAGCCACATAGCCATGTCCTTGGTACGGTTCTCTCTAGACCGCGTGTTGAAGTCGACTCCAGCACCGCCGCCACCCGAAATGACAACGCGCTGCACTTCTTCCTTCTGAAGAGCCCGCTTGCGGATTCGTTCTTCGATAGTGCCGGCTGTGATGAGACGGTATACTGTGACTTGTCGCGTCTGGCCAAGACGATGGGCACGGTCCATGGCCTGCGAGTCGATCGTCGGATTCCAGTCCGAGTCGTAGAAGATGACGGTATCGGCCGCCGTCAAGTTGATACCAAGACCACCGGCACGGGTAGACAGCAGGAAGACAAAGATGGACGGGTCCGTCTGGAAATCTGCGACGGTATCTCGACGGTCCTCGAGCTTCGTCGATCCGTCCAGGCGACAGTACTTGTAGTTTCGGTATGTCAGATACTCCTCCATGAGATCAATCATCCGCGTCATTTGGAAGTACAGCAGGACACGGTGGTCGCCCGCCTTGAGCTCTTTGAGCAACGCATCCAGTCGAGCTAGCTTACCAGAATCCGTGACGAAGCGCGACATGGATGGGGCCTCGATGTGCGTGAACCGCGTTCGCTCATTTGTCGGTGGGGGTAGCTTGTTGCGAACCGTCAGAGCGGTGCTATCCTGCTTGGAATCTAACATGACGTGTTCAGTCTTCTCGGAGACGCCGTACAGGGCATTGCGGATGGGAGCATTGAAGTAGTCACGCTGTTTCTCTGCGATGACACCCTGGCTGGCGCAGTACAGCTCAATCGGAGGCGCGGAGGCTTTTGGCTTGGCACATGGCTCGATAACGTTCAAGCCTGTTTTCTCAAATGCAGCCTGGGACACATTGAGCAGATTGTGCATGTAGCCTTCGGTGGTGATGTCGGTCAAAGGAGCGCGATCTTGGCGATCGACAATATTGAACATCGATTGCTTGGGTTCCCACTCGCCGTTGTCGCCATCATAGAAAACGTTGAATCGACCGGTTTTGTTTGGCTTGTCACCAGCAGCAAGAGCTCTGTGGAATAAGTCGCTCTTCGCAACCTTTGACGCTTCACTTGCCGAGAGATCCGAAAAGCGAAGCCAAGAGAATGCACCTGCCTGGCGAGCGGACCGCTGAACGTTGTCTGGGCTCCAGACGTTCATCAAGTTGTCGAGATAGTGGCCCTTGAAGCCCGCCGTCGGATTCTCAGGACCAGCGATATCAAGCCGACCGCCATTCCGGCAAACAAGGCGCGGTAGAGAGTACTCTATTAGGTTTCGTGTGGAATATCCAACTCGCACGTTCTGGCCTTCGCGCAGGAAGGACGCAGTCTCAGCAAAGTAGGCAAAGGAGAAAGGAGACCATGTATCAGCGCGCTCGAAAAGGTCAGGGTGGTTGCAAACCTTCCTGAACTGCATAACGAGGTTCATCAGGGTCGCGCTGTCTTGTTCGTCGCCAACAGCCTTCTCGATTAGGTCCATGATGCTGATCTTGTTGCGAAGGTTGGCGTAGTAGGCGCGCTGTCGGTAGGTAAGGTCGCAGTAAACGTCCAACTCGATCTTGTCTCCCAGCTCTTTCTGTACATGCTTCTTGACACGTCGCAGCATGAAGGGCTTCAAAATCATATGTAGTCGCCTCAACTGGTCCTCGTTGAGTTTGGTGTTACTCTGTGCGTGACTTTCAATGTCCTTTGAGAACCACTCGCTAAATTCGTCATGCGAATCGAACAAGCTCGGCATGATGAAATGGAGAAGTGCCCAGAGTTCCTGCATGTTGTTCTGGATGGGTGTACCCGTCAGAAGCAGTCGATTGCGCGAGTGGAAACCCAGCAAGCTCTTCCATCGAGAGCTCTGAGAAGACTTGATGGCCTGAGCTTCATCGAGAATCATGTACTGCCAACGCATCTTCTGGAAGTATTGAGCATCTTGAACGACCAACTGGTAGGAGGAAACCACAACATGGAACGGCGAGTCCCTGGTGTATGTAACATGCTTCCGATCCCACAGCTTGCGTAAAATCTTTCGATCTTTGGCGGTGCCCCAGTAGGGGATTACGTTCAAATCTGGCACGAACCGCGAAATCTCTTGTTGCCAGTTGTGCAGTGTTGAAGCCGGGGCGATGACGAGGAAAGGACCCCATATGTTGTACCTCTCAGCAAGGTATGCCATGACGGAAATGGACTGGACGGTCTTTCCAAGGCCCATCTCATCGGCCAGGATACCGTTGATACCTTGCTCGTACAGATTGACCAGCCAATTGAGACCCTTGAGTTGGTATTCTTTGAGGGTACAGTTGAGCATGCCAGGTTGAGGTATCCAGTCTTCTTTGTTCTGCAGCCCGGAAGGATTTTGGAAGTTGAGCTCGCCGTCCTCCTCGTCACCCCCAGGTTTGTTAAAGGCACGAGCTCGATCCTGCGCCTCCTGAATGGCGTGTTGGGCGTTCGCCATAGCGGCGGCATTGAGAACGCTCTCATCCTCATTGTCAAAATCAAGGTCTTCAAAGTTGGTCACCTTGCCACTAGCCTGCGTAGGCAGATCGCCAACATCGATTCCGGAATGATGTGCTTCCGCTGGTGCAGCTGCAGCTGTGTCGGCATCGTCCGTGGACCTCTCGATTTCAGATGTTCTAGCCTTCTTGCCGATGAAATGGGAGTAGAGCTCGGTCTGGGAAATAAGGAAGTTGAGTTTGCGCTTCTGTCGATTGGCTTCCCGATCAGCTTCAGCCTTCTTCGCATTTTCCAGTTCTTGACGCTCAGCGTTCTTCCGTGACTCGCGCTCGTCACGCTCGTTCCTCTTCCAGAAAGCAAGCATCTCGCGCATCCCGCGCTTGGCCCTAGCTTGTGTGTCTTTCTGATTCTTGTTTGTGCGCATCTGCCATCGACGGGCTTCCTTGGCGGCCAACTGGGCTGTCTTTCGTAGATTCGACTGCTTTGTAGACAGTGAATTCTCCTTGATACGGACGACCTTGGGTAAATCCTTTCGAGCCAGGTCTTTTACAATCTGCTGGTAGAGATTGCGATATACGGACGAGTCGTAAGATGTCAAGACAACAGGGCCCAGATCTTCTGTATGACTTCGGCCTCTGACGGATTCGAGACGCGACTCGTCGCGCGGTGCAATGAGAGGAAGGTCGTCGCCACGATCGAGAGCGGCCTGACCAGCGGCAGCAGCATCCTTTTCTGCCTGCTTTTGTTCCTTGCTTTTCTTGAGACGCCCCGTAGCACGGTTTCCTTTCCGCTTTCCGCCACCTCCTAGAACGTCGTCGGAGGCCTGGAAGGAGCTCATGGTGCCGCCTTCAAGGTTTGGCCCATGTGGAGTAGTTTCCCGGATGTCTTTGCTAGGCGCATTACCTTGTAGAAGCTGCGAGGTAGTCTTCGCCTTGCGTTCAGCCTTTTGCGCAGCTAGGAGGTGTCGCTCCTTCTCTTCCTCATTCTCCGCCTGTCCAGCCTTTGCTAGTGCTTCAGCACGCTTGGCTTCCTCATTCTGGATGGTCTTTTCCCGCCTGCGCTTGCGTTGCATGTCCTTCTTGCGCTCTTTCTCCTCGGCAATCTCCTGGCTCTGGACCTGTTGCCAGGCGTCGCCCTCATGTTCCAAGTTATATGACTGCTTGGCATAATCGCGGTGGGCACCGATGACATCCTGGAAGCGCACCAGGGTAGCAGTCCGTCGGCGCTTGCGTTTACTATTGTCTGCATTGGTAACCTCCAAGGCGCGCTTTTGGCTGCGCTCTTTGTGCTCCTCATGCTCATGTGGGGTGCCTGAATCCTCAACCTCATTCATCTGCTTGGTTTCGATGTGGGCGAGAGCAGCCTCTACTTCAGCCTCGTCTGGCACAGGCAGCTCGCGAGATGAGGGCTGGAGCGAGGGCTGCAAGCTACCGACAGGTGGCATTGACTCGTACAGGCCTCGAGGGGGGTAGCCATTGCCTTGTGGTGGTAGGTCGGGAGGTGCAGGGGATGTCATGGCCTCTTGTTTGACAAAAAGGGGGTTGGGCGATGGCTTCGATAGTCGATAGGAATCGGGGTTGAGGGGCGGGAGTTGTTGGGTTTTCGGTGGAGGGTCGTTGTCTACGCCAGAGGACATGATGCTCGAGAGGGACATGGGGTCGGCGCGGGTTGGGGGCGGTGCCTGCGTGGTGGTTAGGGACTGCAGACAGATGATGGTAAGTACAAGTAAGGCGTGGTTTCACTTACCTCGTCCTTGAACGATGGCCGCCTCGCATAGTTTGGCGGTGGCGGCTGGACGGCGCCCCGGTTCAATGATTGATAGACGGACGGGGACACGGGAGAGTGCGACATGGCCTCCATGGTGCCAGTCTGCTGGTGTTGTGAATGCGGACGCTGCAGCGGCGAGTGATGGGGGTATGCGTTTGTGACTGGCGAGTGATAGGGTTGCGGATCTCGAGTCTGGAGAAGAGGAGGGTTAGCGTTTTATCCCTGCATATAAAATGTGTCTGTAGCAGCAGAGCAGGCACGTCGACGATGGCATGGATGGGAGGTAGGTGTACGGACCTGTGGGGGATAGTGGTTGGTGTCGTAACGCGCCGGGTCGCGCCCTAGAGTGCGCTCGCCATTGTCTGATGTGGGATCGTAGTATCTGGACGTGTCGCGAGCGTAGAGCTGCGTGGTGATGGGCGGGAGGTCGGTCGAGGGCGGCGAGGTGGGAGGACGGTGGTGTTGACGGGGATGGAAATTGTTGGCGTGGTGCAGCGGCAAGGGCGCGGGTGTCGTTGGGGAGTGGTGCTGGTAGGGTTGGGCGGTTTGTGTTGGCGATGTGTGGTAAGCTGGCGGAGGATCCCCTTGGTGCCCTGGCGGCATTCTTTCGTCTCCTCGCGAAAGCTCCTCCGCGTCGTCGACCGAGCGCGGCACGACGGCGGGATCGCGGAACATGACGACTGCGCGCGCGCGTGAGAGCTATCAGCACTGCCGTTGGGCTGGCTGCTCCATGGGCGAGAAGCAGCAGAGGCAAACTGGGGGAGCGCGCAGCAGCAGCAGGCGTCGCAGGCGGGCGACAGGACTGGTTGAGTGATTGATTGCGCCGTCGGATGATGGATGGGACGATGGATGCGTGACGAACGACGGCGAGATGGACAGCAGGCAGAGGGGAAGATGGGGACGACGAGGCTTTGATGGATGTGGAGCAAAGTCGTCGTCTGAAAGCAAGCACACACACACACACACGGGGAAGATGGACGGTCAGCTCCTGTGCTTAGTGCGGCCGCGGCCAGTTCCCTTTCCCCAGTGATGCAGAGCCGCGATGAGGTTGGATGGCAGCCTCAGCGACCAGCGAGACAGCGTCTGATGAGATGCAGCGAAGATGGGCGCGGAGCAGCAGGAGAAGGGCAAGTCATGGTGGGAATTACTCGCGGCACACGCATCGCGACCCTTTTTCCGCGACTGGGCGGGTTCTACTGTTAACAAAGCACTTGAACCCCATCTATCGTAGAAGCAGTACTCCACGCACGCCCAGAGGGTCCAGCGGCCAATACTTTGGCATGCATGCGAGCGGCCCCGTTGCAGCTGGCCAGCAGGTTCTTGGTTGGGTTTTATTCCATCTGCATAGAGTTATTATCTACTTTGGTCCTCTCTGATGGCGTCTTGATGCTGGGCGCATTTCGTAATCCATCCCATGTGCCCACGCCGTTCCTCTCTCTCTCTTGCTCCGCGTGCCGGGTTGAGGCGTTGCAAGCTTCGGCTAATGCGACCACCGCCCAACATGACCTCCCAACTCTGCCTTTTTTCCCCTCCTGCTTTTCTGCTTCTGCGCTGTTCATATTAATTGATTCATTCATTCACTTTCCGCCCAGATGCGACCCCAATGCGCAGAGACTGTACCGGGTGACTGAGGCAGCAATCGACGTCCTCATTGGACGCGACTAGACGAGGACGGTGACGGAAGGCGCGACCCATACCGCTGGCTCGCATGCAGGCCCAAGCGTCCTGCGAGGCGATGGCGCTAAACCGCTCGGCATCAATTCTCGAACTTTTTCACTCTCCCAAAGGGCACGTCCAACTCGCCATTTGCGCAACATCATAGCCCATATCCACAATGGCTTCCGTATACAAGACCCTGTCCGGCAAAGATGGCCATGAGAAAGAGCCCGGAGAGAAGAGAAACAAGCAGCGCGTCCTCATTCTGGTACGCATTCCGGTTACACAGCGACGGGCCTTGCTAATCATTCGCAGAGCTCAAGAGGCGTTACCTTCAGACATCGTCATCTACTAAATGACCTGTACTCTCTCATGTGAGTTTCAAGTCTGGCGCTCTGCGAATACTTGCTGACTGCAGCAAGGCCCCATAGCCGGAAAGAGGCAAAACTCGACACCAAGACCAAGCTCTACCAGCTGAACGAACTCGCGGGTACGTAGAGTCCATCTTGCCTGAGAAAGAAAAAATGTGCCCTCGCAGTTTTCAAGAACACGATTCGCCATGTTTACTCTCAAGTCACATGACAAAGACTAACAGTCCCAGAACTCTACAACTGCAACAACGTCCTCTTCTTTGAAGCCCGCAAAGGCCAGGATCTCTACTGCTGGATGTCCAAGCCCCCCAATGGACCCACCGTAAAAATGCACCTGCAAAATCTGCACACCATGGAAGAGCTCAACTTCATCGGAAACTGCTTAAAAGGATCGCGGCCCATCCTCTCCTTCGACGCAGCATTCGAAAAGCAGGCCCATCTCCGCGTCATCAAGGAACTTCTTACCCAAATCTTTGGCGTGCCCAAGACGAGCAGAAAGGTGAAGCCTTTCGTGGACCATGTCATGGGCTTTACTGTTGCAGACGGCAAGATCTGGGTCCGCGTCTACCAGGTCAATGAGAGCGAGACGAGCAGGAAGAAGCCCACCAAGGATGGCGACGAGGTTGATGTCGATGCTCTTCTCAAGAAGAAGAGCGGCAAGACCGACTTCGACGTCAGCTTAGTAGAGATTGGCCCGCGCTTCGTCCTCACGCCCATCGTCATCCAGGAGTCGAGTTTCGGAGGCCCCATCATCTACGAGAACAAGGAATTCGTATCGCCCAACCAGATCCGTTCCGACTTGCGCCTGTCAAAGGCTGGCAGGTTCAATAGGAGGACTGAAGCGGTAAAAGACTCAAAGGCCAAGCACGCCGATCTCGGACTCACGTCGCATGGTGGACGCAAGCAAGAAAAGGATCCTCTCAGCGACCAGGTGCTATTTGCATAGATTGTTCAAGCAAAAGTTGGGAAAAGCATGGCGTTTCAAGGTTAGGTCTTGTAGGTTTGTCGGCGCAGGTTAGGTGGGCATGTACAGTGTCAAGCTATAGAATAATCCACTATACCCATAGTTCTCATTCAGACTTTGGCCCATTGTACGTAATTTACTCACACTGGATTAAGGCATGCATGATAAATCAAACTGAATTCGTATTACAACATGGTTGCAATTAGGGGCTTGAAACACTCCCGCAATGCTCTTGCTAAATGCAAATGCTCAAAATGACGCCAAACTCCAAGACACTAACCAACGACAATTGTCCTTGAGCTAAAGGCATGGACATCTGATGTCCATCCTCTCCCCATCTTCATCCATCCAGGTACCTACTCGAGGAACAACTCATCTAAACCATCTTCGTCATCCTCGGACAACGCTGTGTTATCCACCTCACCATTCACAACCCCCGCATCACCCTCAACGTCAACCATATACGGGATACTCATCTTCCGCTCCCGTCCACAAGGAGACGTAACCTCTGGAGAAAACGCAACCCGCTTCACCTTCTCAACTAGCCTCGATGGCGTAGAAGATGTCACAGACGAATCCTCTTCTTCAGCCATGGAATCAGAAAATACATTCTTTCGCTTGGTGCTCTTTAGCGGCGAGGGAGTGCTTGAGGGTGATGGGGGTACCGACGACGATGGCTGCGGGGTGGAGGGGCGTGTGACTTCTTCCTGGATAACGGTGATTTCTTCTTCTGCAGGGGAGGACTTGAGCTTTTTGGCAGGCTGTGCATTGGTGTCCAACTCCTTGCTTGATGACACCTCGGGGATCTGCTCGGGAGTGGAACTCCTCTTGCGCTTCTTTGAAGGAGAAGGGAGAGTCGAAGTATCTTCAGCGGAAGGCTCCGTCTCGTCGAGTTGCGTGGTGTGGTCGACTCCAATAATCTGCGTGGTTGCAATCTTCTCCATCGTGTCCGTGATATCAATGGTCTCTTGAGTCTCAATAGTCTCCGTTACCTCATTCTCCTCTGCGGTCTCTTTCTGCTCCTGCTCCTGCTCCTCTTCCTTTTCTTGTTGATGAACTACCTCTTCTACCAACGCAGCTCCCTCAGCCTCCCAACCTTCGCAGACCATCTCCTCTGGCAGCTTCGTTGCCGCGGCAGGTAGTGTATAGTCTGCGTCGTCATCACTGTCCGTAATGATGGCAGCAGACTTCTTAGACTTCTTCTGCGACTGCTTTTCACTCATGTCTTCCTCGATGACGGCTGCCTTGCGCTTCTTTGACTTCGTCTGCTCTGGTTTCTTGAGAGGTGCTTGATGCGCAACTTCATCAGCCTCCGGTGTGGCAGATGTCTCTGACGGCTGAGTAAACGCTTGGTCTTCTTCGTCGTCAGCCTGCTCCTGCCCTTGCACTTCTGCTCTTGCAGCCTTGAAGAAGCTCCAGCTTTCTTCAACCTCTTCAATATCCTTCTCGTTTGTCGCCCTCTTTATAGTAGCCGTCTCGGTGACAGAGGCTTGCTGGGGATGAGTGACACCTGTAACCATGTTAGGACGCTCTATCGCTGCTAGCACACTGCGAAGCTCATCGTCTTCATCTTTGTTGTCTGCTTCAGGAGATTCCGACTGCGGTTCTTCGTTCACCTCAACCGCGGCGTAATGCTCCGTCTCTTCCTCTTCGACCTGATGAATACCTGCTAGAAGAGTTCGCTCCTCTGTAGTCATTTCGCGCGGCTTTGGCTTTCGAGAAGCCTTTGGGGCCTGTGGTTGCTTCACCGTTGTCTTGGTCTTCGGAGTTGCCTTAGGCTGCTCCTCTTCATCTGAACTTTGCTCCGAAACGAGACGTCGATGTATTGGCCGTACAGAAGTCACCTTTTTAGGCACGACATGGCCGTCTTCATCAGACTCTGCCCCAGTCGTCTTCGCCTTCCGAGGCTTCAGTGGTGTCTTCGTTCGCTTCGTCATTGGCGACTTCTTTTCATCCTTGGTGGACCGCTTTGCCAAAGATGTGCTCTTGGTGTTGACTCTCAATTTCTTGGGCTTTGTCAATGGCGCCTCGTCATCTTCCGAATCGTCAACTGTGATGCCTTTAGCTCGCTGACCGCGATGCACCTCTTGTTGTGCTTGTTGCAACACCATCGTGTCCAGCTCTTTCTTACGGTCTTGGGCATTCATTAACACCCGCGTAGCCTCCCGCTGCTCGACAATCTTCTCGTGTTTGCCCCTGCTCATCTGAGAAATCATGCACTGAATTTCACGCTCCACCCTATTGTTTGGCGGTGGCCTACGTGGCTCCTTTCCGTCTCGCCTATCTCGTGCGGTAAGCTTGCCATTCTCCATGTCCAGAAACTTCTGGATTATACGCTCAGCCAGAATCTTGCCCCGCGTCTGGTAATCAGGTGCAGGGCAGGACTTGTGGTCCTCATGATCCAAAGGAGACTTGAAGTAGGATTTCATCCTCGGCTTCCATGTGCCGTTCTTGTTGTCCGGATCCAGAGAATTCCACTCGATACATAGGTCTTGGTGTTGGCAGAAAGAGACCTGCGAAGAGTTCTCATATTGAAGACCATTATCGGGATAAAACTGGTCTTGAAGAAGGGGGCTTTCAGGTCGATAAGTGGAGCTCTTTTGGTATGCGGTGCCATCATTGAGAGCGTTGCCAAGATGCTCTAACATTTGCACACTGGGCAACTGTCGCATATCTTGCCACTCTCGCGTAGGCGTACGTATCTGACCAGGTCGCCAATGTGCGCGCTCGTATTCGTCTTTCTTCTGCTGGTCCTTCTTCTTCTCCCCCGGGGAGACGAAATCCCGGCCGCCCGTTCTTGCCTCGCCTAGGAGGTTTCCAAAGAAAGATTTACCAGCCGTCTCTAGAGGTGTTGACGCCTCGCTCTCCTTATCCGATGACGTGACTTGCCACGATGTAAATCTCTGCTCCGTGTGAATAAATGTCTCGCTAGCGGCATTTTTATTCATCGTGAAAGGTAATTTTCGTTTCATAGTTGCAGTGCACAAGATTCTGTGCGTGCTTTTGTGTGATGACAAGTAGTAAAGTTGAGGATAAAGCAATGTTGAAATATCTGTGGTTGATTACTGTCGTATATTGTCCGTTATATCTGCTGGAATCGGGATAAGAGGGTATTTGAAAAAGTAGGCACGTGTAGGGGCCTGAAAGGCAGTCGTTTCAAGACAATGCTTTGTACTTCGATTCCTTCATGTACTTGCCCTGCTCGTTGTCAGAGTAACAAAATAATATCATTGTGAAAGTGTTGAAAGTTGCTGTGTACAATCTAATAAAGGGAGCACACTGTCGGGTGAATGAAAATATGGTGGCGGAAGGCATTCCTTTGTTGACGTCGCGAAACCTTATGTATCCTTTCTCGCATGCGTTACATTGTAGACGTGACGAGCAACTAGAACGTCAGCGTTCAAATTCATGAAATAGAATGTATATTCGAGACCTAAATAAGAGGGGAATAATTCGCTGGTAAAGACTGATCTACTTCAGCTCGTGTTTGCATGTCTGCACATACTCCCAACGTTGGGAGCTTACTGAGCCGTAAGAACCGTCTTGATGTACTCCTGCCTGTACTGATTCGTGTCCGTCTCGCTTCCTCTGTTCAGTGGTGTCCACTTGGGCTCATCCTTGAACAGGCGCAGAGCCTTGGTGTACTAAAAAACTTGTCGTTAGCATCCTCGTATGCTTCGAACCCACACTACACTTAGCATTCAGCGACTATAGACTTACATTTTGCTCATCAGTAGTAAACCGATGGTAAATGCCGGGCGGCAAAATGATGAGGTCTCCCTTCTCCAGCCAAATCCTCACCCAATCATCCCCCTCACTTCTAACGTCAAAGTAGCCTCCGCCGTCTAAAATGTACCGGATCTCCTCGTCCTCATGAAGATGCTCGTGGAAAAAACTCTTCACCTTCTCCTCGTAGATGGCGCCCATTTTTTCGGGCGACACAGTGATTTCATCCCGATTTCTATAGTTGCGGGATGTAGCGATTACGTCAACACCAGAGACGTCGGGGACATGGTGGTATATGACACCTAGTTTGGCGAGATAGTCTGGGTCGAGAGTGCGGCCAGAGTTGTGTGGCTCGCGTTGGTCGCCCTGCAGTCATGTGAGATGGAGACGCTTTGGCGAGGAAGTAAGGGCTTACGGGGAGATTATCGAACCAGTAGGCCTTCATTGTCAAGTTTATATGTCGATTTTATAATAACTTGATGCCCTGTTGCCTGGAGAAGCGTAAAAGTTGCGTTCAAGTTGGGCGTTGGGCAACACCAAGAAGTATTTGAATTGGGCGATCGCACGTGGCGGACATGACGCCATTCCGGCAATAGCGATTACTCAGCACCCGTTAGCCGGACCATGGCATCCAACTGAACAATATTCTAGGACTATACCAATCTACCGCTTGGTGTATGTATTTGTTTCCCCGTTACTGTTAATTCACGTTCTTTGCAGAGTTCAATTCTCGTCTTTGTTATACAAATACTACACTGGGGCATCAGCTGAGCTTTTCAACAAATCATCGTCTGCAAGTCAACTGCTTCCGCGATTTGTGTATATGTTTTGCTATTCGACTACGGGAACTGTGATCTCCCCGTTAATTTGCATAGCCTTGATATAGCCTGGTCGAGCTCTAGCCTACGAAGGGCCAACTGGAAGCGTACTTTTGCTTGCTCTCCAGGCAATCGCTTGTATGGGGACCATGACTGTTACCCAATTAGATCTCGAACATGTGCACAAACCCATCGCAGCTGGCGTAATGCATGCACTGTTTAATTGAATCAGTCCTGTTTTCCCGACTTCTGCTGAATGCATTCCGGAAATAAGCCGCGCAGTAGACGGATGGGGCGAGCTGACGCAACTGACCGTACAGCCAACAGCTTTTCAGTCCTCCCAATCATCTTCCTCGTCTTCCTGCTGCTTCGCCTTACTCTTCTGCACCCTCCTCCTTTCATCTTCATCGTTGACCTTGTTCCTCGCAAGCACATTAGCCCGTATGAGCCTTGCTTCCAGATCCCTAGTCGTAAAACTCTCTGAAGTCCTTCCTAGTCCTTCGAATCCAATGATGCGATCAGCTCCTACGCCATCGATGAAAGCAATGACACATGGCAAGACTTGGATGCCTAACCTAGTGACAAGAAAAGGGCAATTGTCGACGTTGATTTTGAGTATGCGGGCCTCGTAATGAGACGTCGCCAAAGACTATTCCCACGTTAGACCAAGTAATTGATAGTGTGATTGGGGACTTACCTCAAGATGTGTGTCCATAACCCGACAGCGGTTGAAGTCCGGCTTGAAGAAGTGAACAACACACAATTTCGTGCTGGTCGTGATATTCATCAACGCCTTCTCATCTTTGATCTCAGTGTACGTGCCGTGCTCGCTAGCTTTTAATTGCTGCGCTCTGCTGTACTCGGCATGGAGCTGTTGTAGTCGCTGCTCTCGAAAGGCATCGAGTTCTGAGTCATCTTCTAGGGATGCAATTAGGCCGTCTTCGTCTGAATCATCGTCCCTTGTGGCGCGGTCGACAATCGAGGCGACTTTGGAATCCAGTTGAGCCATTCTTTCATGCGCACACGATGGCTGGGCTGATGTGGGAAAAGGGGGGGATGATCTTTACACGAGGCGCCGATAAGAGCGGTCACGTGAAGATAACACTGCCACTGCTGATCGAGCCACACACTTTCTCTAGAAATCCTGTCTGCGAGGCTGGCCGTGGAAATTTGCTCGTTCGTACAAGGCTTGAGCTACGCGTCTGGTAGCGAAGAATAGAAAAGCCATTGCATTTCCATGCAGGGTCGCGGCTGACGGACCATTACTGGCTGCTCAAGGAGGCTTAGCGGCATTTGCCAGCTTAAAATTACCTACCACGGCTCGTAAACCAACACCTACCAAGCCAGGGGAGCACCGTAATTGAGACCCACCCATTCGTGTCCTTGGGCTTTTGTCTTGAGAAACTCTCCTCTTTTCCCTTTACGTCCGATCTTCTGTCCTTTCCCCCTCGACGCCGTGTCCTCCTTTGTGATTGCCATCTACGCCAGCTTACCTGTCCTGCCACCACCGCCTACGACGCACCGACCAAGGGAGCTTTTGCGCGAATACGTCCCAACTTCACGATGTCCGACGATAAGAAGAGCGACGATTACAGAATCGAAATGCCTGGAGGCAAAGAATTCCGCGCGCCGTCGCCCCCGCGCGCCTCCAGTGTGCATCGAAGCGGAGGCACGTCGGTGACAGAGAACCCGGTTATTGCCATCTTCGCATATTGTGCTTCCTCCATTACGATGACAGTAACAAACAAATACGTTTTGTCAGGAGTGGACTTCAATCTCAACTTCTTCCTACTCTGCGTACAGGTATGGTGTTACTCTCAGCCGGTAGAGTGCTTGGCTAACAGTACTGCAGTCCGTCGTCTGCGTAGCAGCGATCTCGTTTTGCAAAGCCGCCGGTGTAATCACATACAGGGACTTCAACAGCGACGAGGCAAAGAAGTGTACGTCCAAGAGATGTTTGAGATAGGGCACAGGCTAACAGCAGCAGGGTTCCCCATCTCCGTCCTCCTCATCGGCATGATCTACACGAGCACCTGGGCACTAAAGTTCCTTTCGATCCCCGTATACACGATCTTCAAGAACCTGACAATCATCCTGATCGCATATGGAGAGGTGCTTTGGTTCGGTGGTGCCGTGACACCGATGGCGCTCTTCTCGTTCGGATTGATGGTACTGAGCTCCGTCATTGCGGCTTGGGCCGACATTCAACACGCTTTGGCTAGCATGGGACAGGCTGCTAGTGCGTCTACTGATGCTATGTCGACTCTGCACGCTGGTTATCTGTGGATGATGTTCAACTGCATATGCAGTGCTACTTATCTTTTGGCTATGAGGAAGCGTATAAAGTTGACCAACTTCAAGGACTTTGACAGTATGTTTGCTGGAATCTGAAGCTACCTATCTTCTGCTAACCACTGTATAGCCATGTACTACAACAATCTCCTCACTATCCCGATCTTGCTCGTTGCCTCCATCCTCGTCGAAGACTGGTCCGCCGCCAACATCCAAAAGAATTTCCCCCCCGAGCAGCGCAATACCGTCATTATTGTTATGATCGTCTCCGGACTCTCTACCGTCTTCATCTCTTACACCTCTGCCTGGGCCGTCCGCGTTACCTCCTCTACGACGTACTCCATGGTCGGCGCGCTAAACAAATTGCCCATTGCGCTTAGTGGGCTGGTATTTTTCGATGCCCCGGTCACCTTCGGCAGTGTGTCTGCCATCTTCGTCGGTTTTGTCAGCGGTCTTGTCTATGCGCTGGCCAAGGTACGACAGAACAGCAAGCCGAAGCACGTGCTTCCCACGAGCAATGTTCCGGTTAGTGCGAGCAGCCAGAGCATGAGGGACAGCTTGAAGCAATAGAGCACCTTTTTTGGATTAAAAGGACACAACATGAAGGCAAACGACAATCTCATATACTTGTTTCTTCTGGTACCGCCGTTGGATTGAGTCCAATGTGTGTGCCCTCTTTCTGCAGGGTTGGCAGGGATGTTCGCTTTCTTGTACCTCTTATGCATTGAGCATTTCACTACACACTTTTAACATATACTAGAATGGCTTGGCGTTTGTGGCCCAGGAAAATTGGGCGTGAGCATGATTGAGAGAGATGCTGCGTATTGGTCTCGAAGTAGGCGTATGCTGTATTACAATTGTTAAATAATTAGATTTACATGTGTTCTGGAGCTTGATGTTGGTCTTTCGCGCAATCAACTTTGATCTGATTCTGTCATTTGCTATGATATCCGTCACATGCCCGTAGAATATCAACTAACTCTCCACAACTGCTCCGCAAGGTAAAATATGACCCCATGTTGATCTGAATGCGAATGGTGATTCTATGGTTAAAAGACAGTGCAAGCGTCTCTTCTAACGCCAATGTTGAATGCTTTTTGCTTTCCCACTTTCTCTTGGTTCTGATGAAGAACTGTCCAATGACTCACTTACCACTGTATAACTTTTGTATCTTTTTACATTTCTTCCGCGACCTACAGCCTCCCGCTTCGCCAATCGCTGTTCACTATATATGACCACCCCTCGCGTCTGCCTCAATCGGCAACCTAGCGACCGAACACTCAATACCTGCATCTAATAAAGAACTCTCGTTCGGATACACGCTATTGCATATTAGTAAACGCGTAACACCTAGTTTTGGGGTAAACTTACAAGAAAGCTCCTGCAAGCTCTGGAAGAGATCCCTAATCTCCCCCTCCTTGACATCACTGATATCTGCCATGAGATACGCAACTTCACCTCTCGAGTCGGACATCTGCTTGTCGATGTTGTGGTGAAGGAGGATGCCATTCACTATATATTTGTTAGCGGGATTCATCACAGGAGAATTGATATAACGCTCAACGTACCTTGTCGCAGCACACCGGGCACGTTCTTATGGATATAGATAACCCTCACATCGTCCTCCTTGTCCACGGTCACACTCCTCAAATTGACTTCTGGCATGTTCACCGCGCCTAGCGTCGCTCCCTCATTCACATACCGCACAAGGGCTGTTGAAACCTCAACGCCAATAGCGCTTTGAGCCTCCTCAGTGCTTCCACCGATATGTGGGGTAAGGATGATGTTCTTGAGGCCGACAAGGTCCTTGGTCCAGCTGTTGAGGTCGTTGGAGAAGTAGTCTCCGTTACCCGCTGGTTCGTGGGGAAACACGTCGATCGCTGCACCAGCGAGCTTGCCGCTGCGGGAGGCTTCGATGAGGGCGGGGATGTCGATTACGGTGCCGCGGGCATTGTTGATGAGGTAGCTGCCATCCTTCATCTTTGCCAGCTCCTTGGCTCCAATGAGGTTCTTCGTTTCTGAGGTCGCGGGAACGTGTAGGGAGACGAAGTCGGCCTCTGCCAGCAAATCGTCCAATGATGCTACATTCCGTGCTGTTCCCAGGCTCATCATAGTCAGGACATCGTAGTAGATGACATTCATGCCCATGGACTCAGCCAACACGCTCAACTGGCTGCCAATGTGTCCGTAGCCGACTATGCCCAACGTCTTGCCGCGAATCTCCCAGCAGCCTTTGCTGACCTTGTTCCATGTGCCATTGTGAAGTTCCATTGAGCGGTCGGTAAGCTGGCGGGCGAGCGCAATGATCTCTGAAATGACGAGTTCGGCGACGGAGCGCGAGTTGCTGAAGGGCGAGTTGAAGACTGCGATACCCTGCTGCGCAGCAGTCTGGAGGTCGACCTGGTTCGTTCCAATGCAGAAGCAACCGATGACAATCAAGTTCTTCGCTTCCTTCAACACCCTCTCGGTGAGCTTGGTCTTGGACCGAATGCCGATGACCTGCACATCGCGAATCTTCTCAATCAACTGATCCTCGGATAAGCTGCTCTTGATCGCTTCAACCTGATAACCCTGTCCTCTTAAAATGTCGATACCCGCTTCATTCACGTTTTCCAAGAGCAGAACCTTAATATCCTTTGTGTCGAACGGCTTCAGCTGTTTCGCAAGCTGCGAGGCCGTGGAGAGCGCATTTGTGCTGCCTGGCGGTGGCTGCCGGAATGTGGAAGGTGGGCTGTGGAAAGAGAGGTTCGGGCTCGTACTGAGGTTGAGGCTGTTCGACACGGTGCGTGCGAGCGTGTTGACGCCGCCGGTGATGTCCTGTGCGGGAGTCATGGTAGGTGCGGGGAGGTTGCGGAGGGATTGTTCGAAGGGGGATGCAATAGCTCGATGTGGATGTTCAATCCGGGGGGTACTCGAAAAGCTTGGGGGTTTAAAGAGTGAGGGTCTCTCTATTACAAGACTGTTCAGCTTTTTAGGATCGCTGAGTTACAAGAGTCACAAGTCAGGTTTTCCAGTCCTCAATGAAAGTATGGAAGTAGCGGCGGCAACATCAGAACACGGTCAGACGATCTCCACTCTTTTCGAAGATGACTACTCTTTAACCGCGTTCTCTATTTACGGTGACATCTACGGTTGACTCAAACGGCCTCCGATACCTTCAAAAAATTTCTCGACATGCCGCATGATGCAATCCTACTAGCGCGCCATTCCCCTCCATCCCGCTAAGAGTGGGTTGCGACCGATGCGCTATGGATCTTTGTCCCTCCGTTTTCGGCAAGCTACCTTCGCAGCCAGTCTATGATACTGATTCAGGCCTTGTCACTAGGCAGGTTATTGTGATGGGGATATTGGGACAGGCGCAGCTCATTTCAATAGTCTACTCATTGTTGTTCTAACTAAACAAGTTGTAGAAATCATCGTGTCATTGTATGTTTGCAACAGAAACGCCGTGGCATTCGTAATCTCTTGACTTCCGGCTTTCCATTAATCGAGCCTCAAAGCGCCGCTCAAAGACCGTGAAGAGGAGCGAGGATCCTTTATCCCTCCCAGCCAACTCCAATACAGCTGACTTTTGTACGAAAGTGTCACTGAACCTAAAGCTTCTGCTCGTTCATTGGCCATTGGTAGCCTGCGAGTATGTCAGTGAGCCCGTCGAGTTAGGCTACAGGTTGGAACCCACCGGCTGCATCGCTGAATTTGTATCCGTAGGAAGAAGTGAAGTCGTCCAATACCGCAGGACCGCGAGAACCTATCAAATGGTCAGTCATTTCCGTTGCCAATGTAGAAGACAGGGTTCGTACCATAAGGATACTCCATAGGAATGATCTCCTTGTTGTCGTCAAGGTAATGTAGCAGAGGCGTGAAGATCCTCCAGCTGGCGTCGAGTTCGTCGTCACGAACAAAGTTGGAGTGATCACCCTTGAGCGCGTCGAGAATGAGCGACTCGTATGCCTCGGGGATCTTCAAGTCTGAGAATCGCCGCCTATAAGTAAGGTCAAGCTCTGTAACGACCGTCTGCATGCTGAGACCAGGTAACTTCGAGTTCATCTTGATGTAGACACTCTCGTTGGGCTGTACTCGAATGACGAGTTCGTTTCGTGGAATGTCCTTGAAAATCCCCGAAGTGACATCCTTGAACTGGATGCGGACTTCCGTCTTCTGCTCGTTGAGCGCTTTTCCTGCCTTCAGGATAAAAGGCACGCCGTCCCACCTCTCGTTCTTGATGTAGGCTACCATGGAGGCGAAGGTGGGGCAACGAGAGTCTTTGGGCACTGTGTCATCCTCCTTGTATCCGGGCTTTGAGCCATCTAACGATTTTCCGTATTGTCCGATGATGACGTTCTTGGGTTCGATCGCAGTCATACCGCGGAGGACACGGACTTTCTCGTCGCGAATGTCTTCAGCGGAGAAGGAGATTGGTCGTTCCATAGCAAGGAGAGTGAGCACCTGCAGCAAGTCTGTCACTAGTTAGTCGTTGCGCATTGGGTAGTAGTGGATGGCTGCTCACGGTTCTGCATGACATCACGAATAATGCCGAACTCGTCGAAGTAACCGCCTCGTCCTTCTGTTCCGAAAGGCTCCTTGAAAGTGATCTGCACCAATTAGCAGAGGATTTGCAAACCATGCATGCTCTCCGTACCTGAATGTTATCGATGTGGTTCCTGTTCCAGGTTGCTCCAAAGAACTCGTTACCAAATCGGAGGATAAGAATATTCTTGACCATCTCTTTGCCTAGGTAGTGATCGATTCGATAGAGCTCGTCTTCAGTCCAGTCTGGTGCAAGTGCGCGCTGAAGCTCTCTTGAACTTGGGAGATCCTTGCCAAACGGCTTCTCGACAATAACTCGAGAGATGCCGTTCTTGGGGTAGCAGTTGCGCTTCAAGTGCTGAGAGACTGTGATGAACACACTGGGCGGGAGAGCCATGTAGAATATTCTGTTGGTCTCCTTGCGCCCCTGCTCGAGCTCTCCCAAATGCTTTTCGAGCTCTTGGAAAGACTCGTCCTTGTCATACTGGCCAGAGACGTACGAGCAGAAGCCGCAGAACTCTTCCAGTTGCTTCTCTAGTTCCTTTGTTGGTGTTTTGATGTAGGACTTGACGCGCTTGAGGTACTCCTCATGGTCCATCTTTGTCCGCGCATATCCGACGATGCGAATGTTCTTGGGGAGGAAGTTGTTTCGGTGCTGTGCGAGTGGTCAACGGGGAAGCTGTAATCGAAGCATGCAACCTACGAGGCCAAAGAGGGCGGGGAACTGGATCACGGTTAGCTGTCTTCGACATTTTGCTCTGTGGCTGTCTAGGTACTCACGGTCTTCTTCTTGGCCAAATCGCCGGAGGCACCTAGAACCACTATAATCGTGTTGTCCTTGAGCTCCATGTTGCTGTGATTGTTTTCGAGTCAGCCAGTGGTCTTGCGTTGTGTCAAGACTGTCCTTCTGCTCCGCTGTTGAAGTGCCCCTCCATCCCAAACCGCGAGATGGTCCCGCCTCAGGCAAGCGTCGGAGAAATTGATGCGAGCCCCAGAAAGCTCTCCTTGAGCTTCGCAATGCTAGTCTGAGACAAAAAAGGGTACCTACCCGGCATTGACTTCCTCGTGTTGAGGCTGGATGACCGTGTCCGCCATGGCAGTTGTGGTATGGTGGATTGCGATCGCTTTGCGTAGAGAGTAGTCGCAAAGGGCTGTAGGTCAATTGGCAGCAATAAAGGAACACAAGATGTATCGGAGCAAGGGCGGAGGTGACGGCAGGGACGTGTCGTGGGGATGAAAAGCTTCTACGAGGGGTGGGGTGGGTTATCGGTGTTGCTCTAGCGGTGGTTGACGTAGTGGCTTCGATTTGCCCCTTGACCTTGAGCTCTAGCAGCGAACAATCAATTGGAGGGAAAAGCTTCGCGACGGGCTGCAGCGAGGCCTCGACGTCTTTTAAGGCCCGTCAGTAAACAACCAGGTCATCAAGCATCACTAAGCGGCGGCACGTCTTTTGCAACTCAAGTCCGGCACCAGTCAGAACCCGCCGTGCCCTCCGGAGGCTACTGCACTAACGCCGAGAGTCGCGGATAAACCCCACCATGGCACTCGCTATCTCGTCCTGCAACGGGCTTCAGAGGTGCTGTGTTGGACCTGTGAAGCTGGCCAACGTCTCATCTAATAAATCTTCCAGTGCAGCCCAACGCCTTGGACCTCATTTCACGCTCGTTGCACTGCGTGAAGCCCGACTAATCCCACGCACGGCTACCCCGCCATGAAGCTCCTCCGAGTCCGGGAGAACTAGTTGCAAATATTATTTCATGGCGAAATAGAGTAACACAAGCACCGGCATCCCTCAGCCTCTCGGGGGCGGTTATACACGTCTCTTGACTTTATTCGGCCCCTCGATCAGCATTGCTTGCGTCAATGAACCCGTTGAGGCCCTAACTGCAAGAGTTGCATCCATGGATGTCCGCGATGATAGGTTCTAATCTGTGTCTTTTTGACCGACTCCACACGCTTACCAATATGTTCCGGCATACTCAGCATGGAAATGGAAGCGTGCGGATTTGGCCGTAGGCATCCTGCAATGATCTGGGAACGTGATACGACGAGGAGCAGCATTGTGTGCCGTGCCGCGATACGGAAGTTTGCACTCTATATGCCAAGAAGCACCTAGCTCTTCAGTGTAGATATGGCTAATGTTGAGGGCTCCACCTTCATCTGTCTGTTGCACGCAGGAAGAGGCCCTTGAGGCTACACCATCGGCTGCCAACCTTGAAAGCTGATTTCCCAACCGGAGAAGACAGAACTACTGTCTCGGTAGTTATGCAGATAAGAACTGCAGTATGCAACTTGCCTGATTACAGTCGTGAGGCGCCAAGGCTTGTTCCACTATAGCCGAAAGGGCAAGAGGAGTATCGAGGTTCAAATGTTGTCTACCGCGTGATCTGAGCAGCAACGCAAATATTCCGTGATTGACCGCAGTCGTAGATAACTGCACAAATGGGCTTGTTAAGACACAAAAGTGAGGAAGGCATTTGATTCCAGACGCGGCTTGGCTTTATTCTCTCATCGGCAAATGTTCGTGTAGAATCCCAGGAGCCCACCAACCCAATGCCTTCACGGAAACGGTGATCGGAAGTATACGTGCTCAGCAGCAACTGTTGTTCATAATAATTGTACGAGAGATGAAGATGTATAAATTTCGAGTCGCCACAATTTTTTGGGGCTGGACGCGAACAGTGCTGCCCAGCGGTGATTGGCTAAGCGTCGCACTAACATTCACATAATGCCACTCTTGCTTGCCCAGATGCCCACACTCGAACAGACCGGTACTAACGACAGCAACACCACGCCTTCTTCCCACACACCAACCGGAGGCCAATATCATTCGCCATGTCTGACAAATCGCACCGTCTCTACGTCAAGGGCAAGCACATTTCGTGAGTGCGCACCAGTCCAGGATCGAAATAATCGCATCGCTAACAATGCCATAGCTACCAGCGAGGGTACGACGATTCCACATCCGCATCTGTGGCTCCCACTCACGATTCGTAGAAAGCGCAATACCAACCCTGGCACTTCGCTGCTGAAGCTCGAGGGCGTCGATGACACCGCCGCGGCCCAATTCTACGCTGGCAAGCGCGTAGCATGTACGTACAACCCGCCTCCGACGGCACGTCGCTTGAAGAAGGAAAATTAATGTGTGCGCAGACGTCTACCGTGCTCAGAGGGCTATCCAGGGCTCCAAGATCCGCGTCATCTGGGGCAAGGTCACCCGGCCACACGGCAACAGCGGTGTCGTCCGTGCCAAGTTCAGGAACAACCTCCCTCCCAAGTCCTTCGGTGCCTCCGTCCGCGTCATGCTGTACCCTTCTTCGATATAATTTCCGCTACGACCTTGGGGGATGGGGACGATGTAGATGAGCGATGGAGCGGCGAATGATTCGGCGCAAAATCCCTCACGGAACGAGAGAACGACAGTGGGGAGACATTCATGCGTGCTCTCTTTCATATGGCATGTTCAGGCTGGTTCACGGTGTCATTGGTATCGGAAGTCCATGACAATGGCAAGATCAATCAAGTCTCCTCCCAAGATCAACCAAAAATGATCAAATCCCTCTTGATGGCATTGGATATGTGACAACTGAAACGAGTACTTTTGCGAGGAGCTGGAGAAGATCAGACTATAATGATACAGAGACATGCTTGGCTAACCAGTGCAGCGTCCAGTTCATCGTGTACATTGTTCAAAACCTACTTAGGTTCGGGGATTTACTAGAAATAGGCTCGAGCTACATAGCTCTTACCAGACAGCACTTAGCTCTACTCGTGCAGTAGGGTTCACGGACGTCAGCATACTGCTTAAGCAAACAGATTCCAGCTACGAAATAGGTCTCCCTACCATGCAGCTTTCATTGCATGATAGGTCTATGCCTTCAACTTACGCCTCTTACTTCTAACTTGCACATAAGTATTGGGCGAGCCTTTTCTACCAAGTTCAATGCCACAAATGTCGCGATGCGCTCTGGTTCCCTTCTCGTTGTTTCTTGGCACTTGCCCCGAAAGAACTATTATATAGTCTACCCCCCACAATTTCTCCTCGTCACCAAACGCACTATCAGCAATCCCTCAGCGTGATAAGGATATAACATCACTACCCGTTGGCTCCTGACTGCAGCGTTTCACGTCATCTACATCCGCTATGTTTTCCGCGCCAGTATACAGCCATTGCCAAATCCTGTCCTATCAGCGCGTTGCACTGCGCCGTGGCGTCTTTCTACATGCACCTCGTATAGTAGGCTATCTTGTCGATGCACTGCAACGAGGCTGAGGGGCTGAACACCCACTGACTCATATCTCAGTCTTAGAACAAAATAGTCATGGGTAGATGGACTTAGAAAGGCTCTACAGCCCTATCAGTGTCTTAACGTTGCAACATACTCCACAAGGCCACAATGTCGACCGACTCAGATGTGCAAACCCAGGCTGCAATCACGGCCAACAGGCTCGCGTCCATCGCTGTGGGCTTTTCCATCGCCACATTCATAATGGCATACCTGCAACTCTTCCTTGGTAAGCTCATGTCCGGACACGCCCTGTGGAAGACGAACCAAGCAGCAATTGGAGTCATCGCACACCATCGATCTTAGCGACCTAGTCTGCGAAGAATCAAGATACTGTATCCTAAGATCAGCCTTCAACCCGAACGCCTTCTACAGGCTGCTCGGACATCACCACTTCATTTGGAGGTACTTCATGATAGACCACGAGCTACCTGGGCGCAGATTGTTCAAGCTTTCAACGTCACAGATCCGTCTTCTTTGGTGGAAGCTTACCTCGATTACGACACCATCCCCTCTACGATCGACGTACCTATCCAGCGAGTCCGATTGTTCGATCTCGCAAAACTGGCAGCCAGTCTATCATCCGTGGGACTTACACGGCGCTCTTATTAAACACTGTACTTTCTATCATGATATGGTGTTAGAAGAGGCATCGATCGAGTACGAGCGCCTTGCAATCATGCTCAAATTACGTGCACTCTTCTTCCTCGCGTTCTTGATGATCGGCCCTCATTCAACCTCAGTCTACGAGACGAGAGGAAGTCAGGCGCAAGTCCCTATCATCTGAGATATTGATTTAAGCACTGGGGATGAGGTAGCTAAATAATATAAAAAGGTGATCTACTGCTAGTCTGGCCGGCTGAGCATTAGAAAATAGAAGTGCAGCATAGAGCATGTCTTGCCTAGGGAAGTAGGCCAAACTCCACCACTTGAATCTGGTTAAACATTCACGCTACGATTATCCCAAGTATACAAGAATGTTAGGTTTTAGAGCAGTCTTCAGAGATGTCTTTCGCAGGCAGCATGCATAGACTAACGACCACAAAGCAAAAACACCGAGCAATAGCGTGAATATCGTGGTTCCATTGATATGTACTCTTGAGCGTAAAGACACTCAAATCACCTATCTTACGGTGTCATAATACACTCGTATACCATTTGTCTTTCGCCCCATGACCGTTCCCATTCTAATAACCCTCTTATCTCGCTTCACTACATCGAACGCCAGTCCCCCCTACTCTTAATCGCTATCACCCCAAGTCTCAACATCCGTATCCGGCATGTCATCATCCTCATCACCACCCATTGCGTCCGCCTGGTCCTGGAACCAGCTGTGGATCGCGCTACCCGGACTATTCTGGATCCCCGGAATAGAGGCCGATTGTGTGGGTTGAGCCGAGCTACCTGCCATGGGCAGCTGTGTAAGGCTGTTCGGCTGGGTAGCTGGCTGAGAATTTGGTCGACGCTGAAAGGAGCTGGAAGGGGATATCAACGGAGTCGGCTCTTTTCCCTTAGCATTCGGCGTTGGGGTAGCGACACCAGGAGCTGCAACAGACTCCTTCGTGCCCTTGCCCGCACTGTTCCCTTTGCCCTTAGACTTATCCCCGGGAGGAGAGTCCACCTCCGTATCCAATCCATCCAGTAGACCAGGAGCTGTAAGAGATTTATTCTTGCCCTTGCCCGCACCGTTCTTTTTGCCCTTGGACTTATCCCCGGGAGGAGAGTCCACCTCCGTATCCGATCCATCC